CCAACATGAGAGAGCAATCCAACTGAAAACTGGGAGGCCGGAGTGTGTCGGAAAAGCGACCAACCGGATGAAGTCTAGACCTCGCCTATTGAGTTCCAACGTTCTGCCCCCTGAAACACCCAGCGAGCCCAACAACCACGCGTCCGCAGCGTCGAACTGCTGGAGCATGCGCCATGATCTCTCACGCTTGAGGACTAGCGCAGCCCCCTAGGTAGCGCTCCTTAACTTCCTTAGCGCACAGACTGGAGTCTGGACCCTGGTGATTTCACGTGGCGGATTCTCGCGTCCGTCGAAGCATCCTTCGGCCCTTCCCGAGTTGGCACCAAAGCCGATGCACTACTGCACGCTAGTATTATTGCCTTTTGGACAGTGGTATGTACCTTCAGCTCTTCTTCTCAAAGAACAAATCTTGGCTTGGAGCAGGGTTGAGGGTTTCAATAGAGGACAAGGGGGGGAGAGAAATCTCCGCCGAAAATGCACAATCCTTGCTTATCAGTGCCTCAGTGCGCTTCACCAAGCCTTCCACAGCTCTGGTCCCAGATTCTTTTCTCACCGGGACGCCAAGCCACAATCCGACTTTCAAGGCTTCTTGACTTTTCCGTGTTCTCGCAAGCTGAGGTTGGATCAGTCCGTATCGTAATTTCAATACGGTCGATCAGTTCATGAGTCGCAACGCTCCAAAGCCTAACAGAGTAACTGACATCCATTGCATCGCGTGGCAACTCTGTCGCAGCTCTCCATCGCCGTCTCGGATCGCATCACTTGATCACATACCCCAAGGCTCAAGCCAAGAGAAAAACAAACTATCACATCCCTAGACAGGGTCAGCTTGTCTCGGATTTCGGAGTTCTTGCTTGAATCGATAAGCCCTCATTCTTGAAGATGGATCCCGCAATGATTGAACCCGCATACGCAAACCAAGGCCGAGTCCTTCAAGGGATCGTATCATCGGACCATCATCGCAAGATGTCTTGATAATCGATTAATATTAATATATGCGAATCCTTCGTGTTCAGACAGTTAAACCTTATTCGAGTCATGTCGGGACCACTATTGATTGATGAAGAATGCTGGCAGTCGGATTTCTTGCCGTCGTCGGACCCGACAATGTGGCCATTTGCCCGCTAGTACCTTGCAAATTGAGTCGGCGACTTCAGTCTCATGTCGCGCCTGGATGCGTCCTCTAAAAGAGCATCATATTACCCCGTATGGAGCACCACGTACTCAACGTCAATGCCAAGCTGTGATAGTGGCACGCGAAAATATATCATTTCGCACTCACATCCCTCGATCGGGTCTACTCCGGAGTAAAGCACAACTACCCGGCTAATTCCACAGGAATGTCTAAATCAGACGGCTCTAGCCGAGAGTCCGCGAGGCATGCCCTCTTCTGCAACAAAGAAACTCTGCATTCACTCCAAGACCCCAGCTTGAAGCTGGAGGAGTAGGTGGGAAGAATTAGACCGGGATACGGAGTACGACAGTTCGATACGTCAAAGGATATGGGGCCTGTGGGGCCTTACAACCACACTGGCAATTGTACGGAGTGTGTACAGCTTCAGAGGGGAACGGTGGTGTAAGAGATTGCAAGACCTTGGATCACCTGGCTGCGATCATTGACGCAGATGGGCAATCAAAGCCGCTCCTATTCTTGCTGCGGAGGGAATTCCGCCTCACTCTTTCAGCCAGCTTGGCTTAACGAGTTCTTAGGAAAGGAGAAATGGAAATATCTGACAACCCTGTCATGGAACGGAAATTCTGTACTCCGTACGCGGCCACAAGGTCAAGCCCCGGCCCAGGCTGAGACTTGAATTCAACGTCACATCTGTGCGCCTGCCCCATGGTTTTACCAGGTAAGCAAGGCGATCTCCTTTTAGCCGACGAATCAGATCTCAGATCCTCGCCAACAAAGAAGATCGAGAGTTATTATTCAATCAGCCATTCATGCATGCATACGGAATACCTATGTGCAGTGGTGATTATTTTGATTACCCAGAAGTAGCGACAATCCCTGGATAACTCGCGTGGATTCGGAAATATCAAGCGAGAACAGCGTGGGACAGTGGATCCGCATTCCACTTTCTTGAGTCTTGGCTCCTTTCCCACTCACGTCGCGAGCCTGCAACGTCTTTCTGAGTTTCTTACCTCTCTCGGCTTAGTTGAGTGGCTCCTTGCCCCCATCGGTCGGTCAGTCAGGCTTCAGTCAGCAAGTGGCGTGGCGCATGGCAGATTACGAAGTTGCCATGAGGTTTGGGGCGGATTGAACATCTTCTGGCCATAGCTTCTGGCCGGCTGAATGCAGCGTCCTGGAAAAAATGTTGTTTCGAGGTTTCAAGTCGCATATTTGGTTTGCAACCCCTTACCTATGAGGAATCACGTGGAAGGAGTATCGTCATGGAGAGCCTTCAATCAAAGCAGCGTATCTCCAGGGCCAAAAGGGAAATGTGTACGGTGCTCACCCAGCAGAGCGAGACCTGTGCAACTCAGCTGAATGAGCCTGAATCGAGGTAAGACAATCTCGCATAGGCTAGCCTCATCCGGCTGACTCCAACGACAATCACAAGTGAACCAGAAATCAAAAAAGAACATGATCTCTGGCGTGGCAGACGGGGCCTTACCAGAACTAGCTTAGTGGTTGCTCTCTGCCGTGGGATCTGGGTCACATTTCCATGGGTCAGGCCGAGGTGGATACGGTCCCTCTGCAAATGAGAAAGCCGCAAGGGCACATTATTAAGCCGGGCGACGTTTCGACCGAAGTTGTTCCAGAGAGATCGACAACGGGGACTGACGCGCCAAATTAGAACTGTACATCATCCTGCCACTCTCCATTTCGCTTGGTGTCGGCGAGGATCCATATTCCACCCTGTTAATCGGGTAAACTGTGAACAGTCGAGTTGGCATTATTCTGCTTCTTTGGGTGCAAAGAGCTCCTGAGCACAGAGTAATGGCTTTGGGTATGAATCTCGAGAAAGTGGCCAGCAAGACCATCATATCATGTAGTGGCCCGCCTCTTACGTATGTTGTAGTATCCTGTTCCTCTCACACCCTTTCGGACGGAGGGAAGCAGTGCTTTTCGAGTCTATTCAACTCATAGCCAGTGCCAGCCACACGAAACGGAGAAGCTTAGCTTCAGGAAAAGGAAAGGTCCGAGTCCCGCCAGCAGTCCGTTAGCCGAAGAACTTGCCGCTCAGCTGTTCTCAGGAGGATGAGCATGGGCCATCTGTAAGATGAGATGTGATGGGGCCTGCATCAAGAGAAGGTGACTGACTGGTGGTTTCAGCCTTCTATCCACCCTAGCGCCATCCTTTCCATTAACTTTGCATGAGGAACTCAAGGGGATTTTGTGCCAGAATGATTCTGCCTTGTGACACGGTGTTGTGCAGCGCATCGCGCCGCACTTGCATTGCTTCGAGATGGGTACGCCGAATTCGCTATCGAATAAATGTGTCGTGCCTTGTGTGGCTTGGCCGATTCTCTTACAGACATGGAGATCTATGTTTGTGCTCGTGTTCGTCCAAGCGCGTCTCCTAGCGTCCTCGAGCGACTGTGTTGGTTTTTCTGCATGAGATCATGAGATGAGGCTTGAAGGATGAGTGGAAGTGCTGGTTGGGTTTGTACGCAAGTCACATCACCAGGAAGGTCCACGTTGGATGGGACTGAGGACATAGAGCTTACGATGTAGCGGCAGACTTGCTCTACCTCAAAAATGGGCTGGACCCTGGTCAAGATATACAAACCCGATGAAACCTTCGTTTTTAGCTCGAATAAGTGCGGTCATATCCGGCGTCGCATTCTTCGGCGGAGTGCAGCAAGTCTGGCGTGCGACTCCAGACCCTTGCCCACGCGGTAAGCAGAGTTAGAGAATAATACAGGAGACCTTCCAACAGCAACGATCAATCACTTGGCGCTCTAGTGGTCCAACGTAACCACTTATCCAGCGATGTCGTCTGTTCCCGGTGAGGGAAAGGCAGGAAATACCGTTTTTGTTGCCATGATTGCCTATGGTTGGTCAACGTAAATCTGGAAGACACCAATCTCCGTCTTCTGGAGCGACATAATACTCCGTATCTCTCAATTTTCGAGCGCCGATTTTGCGACTCGGGTTCTTGATCTTCATACAATTATCTCCTTAAGGAACGGAGCGTGTTTTGGGTGGGATGCACCTTGTCCAGAAGGATCCTGCGTGGTGTGGCCGTAGATCACCCATGTGTATCGCCTAGGAATTTCCCCAAGATGACACTGGCAGGGGTCGGCCCTAGGGATGGAGGCGAGCGTTAGAGAAAGCATCGGGAATAGATTACCAGACACTTGGGAGAGTCGAACGGCTTCAAATGCCCGCATTCATTTTGCGTCACCTGGTCTGAGAATCCCAGTTCAGCCGAGAGAGTGGGCCTCTCAGCTATAGTAGTCTGTCTTATTGGATATGGTTCTCAATGTCGAGGACCAGAATTTGTCTTCAATTCCCTGGGGTATCGATGGCGACAGAGACGAAATGAGCCAGCACCGGTCCACCTTGAATACGGAATGCAGCAATTTTGGACTCGCGGAGGGTCGTCCACTGCTTGTGAGTCTCGCACGTTCCTCTGCGATAAGGCGTCAGGAATCCTGCGGTGCATGTTAGCCAGCGCCTGGCCGCATGATTTACCATGCAGTCAGACTACCGCCATATCAAGTTAGTTTACCGCGCAAGACTGAGAGGTCAAACAAGGACTCAAACGTTGTCTGCTGGAGAATGAAGGCGCAGTCTCAATTTGCCCCTCATCTGATTTTTCACCCCGCCATGATTCTCAAGATGGCGTCAGCTTTCGCCAAAAGGATGAGGCGCCTCGTCAGGGGACGCAGAACCAGGAATTCTTGTCATCGCGCCCAAATGTCCTGTACTCCGTAGGCTTCAGCAAAAGTACAGGCATGAAATCATACCTCATACCTGAGTCATCGCCATATGGCTTAACGGTTTCGAACTCGCAAATTATTGCACCAATCAGTCACCCACCCCCGCACATCCGAAGGAGTCCATGGCTATGTCGATCTGCCTTCTTGGAGAAAATCAGTGGGGTACCAGCAACTGAGCATCCGTGAGTCGCCGACTCAAACCGGTTCAGGATTGAAGATGTGAAGTGCGCACAGTCAAAAACTTATGGTGTGTCCTGGCAAGCACACTCTGGGAACAGAGTTGAAAGGAACGATGGTTAATGGTCGAGCCCCATGCAAGTTGCGAAGTTGCGGTGGCCACCGTCGACACCCAACATTGACCATGATTCGGCCCCTCACGTCCATTGATTGGCAAGTAAAAATCCCGACAGCAGATTGACCATGCGTTTCGTGGGCGATCCGCCACGGAAATGCCCGATTCAACGTACCAGCCAGAAAGCAGCAGGAGAAAAAAAAGAAGGGGCCAGGTCACCAATCAGCCTTCATGATCGCCAGCATTTTGACGCTTTGATTTTCAATCCTGCATGATTTGGTTCCCTTCGCCCACTTTCCCACTCTGAGTCTCCAGTCACCCTGTGCCTCATCGCCTCAGGTTGAGTGAATACCACCCTGACACCAAAATCTGCACAGATCCTCCTGGGTGGCTCCTCCCCGCTGCATTGATCTCTGAGCGATGGATTTTGGTTGGCTGTTCAGACCACCCGGCGCCTAGCCTTCAAAGAGCCTTTTGCCATCCCACGCCCGACACCAGGGAAAGGTAAATCTGAATTTGTAAGGTGGAAACATTGCAGCATGATCAGCCCTCTAGACCAGAACATGGTCTATCGGATTGTCTCGACTCTGTTGTCTGCTGGCTTGCGCACCTCGCGTAAGGCAATCTGCTTTCATCATTCGTCAAGCAGCCTGAGGTCGTTCTGAGAGATGAGAGGAAATAATCCTAGAGCTGGGATTGCCAGCACCATATGCAGGCCCTCGCTTGCTATCACAAATTCCGGCATGGGCCTGAATTATCATCATCTCTCACTGCGGCATTTTCAGTCCCAGGTACAAGGCGCTGACGGTCAGAAGAATCAGCGACGAAAATATTACGGGTTTGGACTCCGTTCTGTCAAACCTTGACATTGTTTGAGTTTCTCTGTTTTGAAGGTGCAGATGATGCTCGAATGATAAACAAGAGAGCGTGCGCTAGCAGCCCCAAAGTATCGCACTGACTCTGCGGGCCGGGGCGCGTGCTTTCGATGTTTGCTCTGACCGAACACAAGACTGTTGGGAAAGCGTATCAAGTCCTTGTCATTAGCATCGCAGGTTTTTGCTGTATAGAGAGGTGTCGTACTCAACATCGATTCGTCTTTGTCACGAGATTGTACCGAATTCACATGCTGTTTGCCTGTGGAAATCTACATGAAGCTGCTCGACTTCTCCTCTGCGGCCAACTTTTCATAAGGTGAACTTGCATTCCATTCGAAAGTCACTGCCATCGAGTCGGTCTGAAGTAAGCAAAATGGTGAGAAGACTCTGTCACAATGTAGAATTGGGTTTGAATGGAACTTGGAGCGGAGCGAGTGTATAACCATAGGGGACTGTTTCTACCCAGGAGCCAGAAAGTTCAGAGAATGTATTCTTGCGTATGCATATATGGTGTAGATCAAGAAAATAAAAATAACAATAAAAAAATGTCTTCGGCGGAGTCCTCGCGGATGTATATATGGTGCGTTAGGTTCTGTAGGTCGTCAATCATCGACTCTTCGAACGCTAAAGGCAAGGTTCTGAACTCCAAACAGTTTATGCGTCTAAGTTCAGGCTTTCCAGAATCTGATCCAGCTTTTCCATCAAAATCTGGTAGTTGATTGCGTCTTTGGTGAATTCATCGCCGGCGATTTCCCCATCCAAAGTTCGGATGACGGGCGGGCGATCCTCCCCATTGGTAACAATGGGTTCAGGCACAGCGTCGCTATTCGTAACAAGGTCAATCGCGTTGACGCCGCTGATAACTTTCTCAAGTCCTTCGTTGTTGGTCTCAACATCCACGGGTTGTTGTATAGTTTCCTCCATCATCTCTTCTATGCCCGCGTCATCAAACCTGAGCCTGAACCGTTCATTGAGGTAAAATCTTATATCGTCCAGCAACTCAATGGAATCGGTTTCCTGTCGTCCTTGGATACGGAGTGCTGACTCTTCGATCAGCTCCGCGAATTCAGGAGAATCTATATGTGCCTCAAGACGATAAGCCAAATAACGAGCAGCAAATTGCTCCAGTCGCTGAACACGGGTCATCCACGCAGCACGAATGATACCGTAAATGTCTATGTCGTCTTCCTCCTCACCTCTAGTCTTCGCGGCTTCCGCTTGTGACATGTTGCCACTGCCTAGGGTGCTGATCACAACTGCCGCCTTTGTCTTGAGCTTCTCGATGAAAAGCATGTCCGCCGCAAACAGCACGTCGACTGCAATGTCAAGGGAGAAATCAGCTCGCTCAGTGTAGAGGAATGTGAGAATAATTTCTAGCACATCTGGGGAGCAGTCCAATGGGATGATATGTAGATGTTCTTTCATCTGAGCTTCGCGAAAAGAGGAATTGAACATAGTCTGGAAGAATTCGGACCGTAGCAGCATCGCCCTGTGGCAGGGGAAGATTGTCGACTTTCGAGGCGATTGCACGTCTCCAGAAGATCCAATGGGGCCAAGAGGGAGGCCGGTAGTACCGGAATTCTCAGTCGATTGCAGGTTCTCGTCCTCGGGAAGTTCGTCGGCTCGTAATAGAACATCCGCAAATATGGGATTATTGTGATCCCATTGGATGTCATCGACCTTTTCTGTATCGACCACTAATTTATTCTGAAGAACATTCTCCCGAAACCATTCCTCTAGTTGGTCTCGTCCTCTCGTAATTTCGATCGTTCTCCTTTGCCGGGCAAGCCTTCTATCACCGCTGTCGATTATGCTGTCCACAAGGGTGCTGATTTCCAAGTAGTTGGCGATTTTGTCAATGCCGGCAAAGACTTCTGACTCTGTAAATCCTGTTCCCGGCCCACTCCTCAAGTCTCGAGGGGGCTCTCCCAGGTACAAGTACTTGATCGCCGTCCCAAAAGCCTGCGGTGGTATGGTACTTGGGAGCTTCCATGCCGTGGTCTCCGGGGCAGACTTCAGCTTTTGACGGAAATAGGGCGATCGAGCAGCGAGGATAAACTTGTGTAGACGCAAAACCTCGTTGCCAGCAGCAACATCTATGTCAAATGTCTTGGGTTCTTCGCGCACCATGAGTGATGCAACATGAGCAGCAAGAGGCTGGAGCGGATCAGTCGATTTAGAGTAATCATATTCAAGAAGCAGATTTCGTATACGGTCATTCAAAGCATTGTATAGGCACCTAATGAGAAGCACTATTGTCAGCAACGGCGTGGGCAATCTTAACTAAGAAACCCGGGAAAATCTTGCGCGTACCTTTCTCCTTGAAAGGTGTCTCTCTCACATAAAGCCCCAGATTCAAGGAGTAGCTGGGCGACTTCGTAATGACCGCAGAGACTCGCCTAAACAGTCGCCATGGTTACTAATTCGCTCAGGTTTAGGTAAGATAGAGACCAAAGGCAATAGAAATCACTCACCAGGATTAAAGGGGTATAATCGTAAGGATCCCGTGCATTAACATTGACTCCCTCGGTGATCTTCTCTTGACAAACCTTAAGATCCCCCTTACGACAAGCTTCACATAGTTCCCGAAACGGCTCGCTCAGGTCAAGAGGGTTATCGTCAAGGATAGTGCCCTCCTTGATTAGCTTCTGCTCATTGTGCAAGCTGATCTCTAATTGATCTTTGCGCAGAACAGTCCTATCTTCCATTGTGAAAAGTTGCGTTGTCTCCGGTGGCGGAGGGGCTCTCGGGGATAAGATGAAATGCGGGACCGGATATTGCTTGCCAATGATGCCATTCTTATCGATAAGTCGCGTCACGTGCGCCTATGTTGGCTTTGGCCGACCGAAGAGTGGGGTTTCGATTGTGATGGAATGCTCGCGCTTGGCGAGTGAGACTTCGATAGCTCAGATATCATGATCGTGTAGAGGCTATCGACCGTGAATTGCATGATATAAGTTCCGACAGGTGTTGGGGATACAGGGCTGTATTCTGTACTTGGCAAGGAGAAAGTTGCAAGAGCGGGAACCCTTGAGGAGTGGCTACTATTGAGTATCCACCGCTTTCCGACGCACCCACCGCTTTCTTTATACAGATAAGACTCAGTCCTCCCGACGGTTGCTCAGCAACAGCAGGTGGCTCTAAACATTCAGTACTTCCATGCCCGTGACATACCAACTTCTTCAAAGCTTCAACTTTCTCCATGCTCCAATTCGGCATCCTCCTCTACTAACCAAGCAGATACCACCGCGCTGGGCAACTCGTCAATGAGCTAGGGCTCTCCTTACCCAGTCCTCTCTACCTTTCTTCTTACCGACCACCTACATCCTACACATCAGCGCTCGACTTCCCCAGCAGTCACAATGGCCATCGCATTGGCGGAGGCAGACAAGTATGAAGTACTCGAGAAGATTGGTAGGTGCTCGATTCTGTCTGCTCTTGCCTCTGCTGCCTACTATACTAACACTGTAGCTACCAGGCTGCGGCTCCTTTGGCATCATTCGCAAAGTGAAGCGGAAAAACGACGGCTTCGTAAGTCAAAGAAGAACCCCGTATAATCCAAAGATGCTTACGGTGATCTTTGTAGATACTATGTCGCAAAGAGATTAATTACATCAAAATGTCCCAGAAGGAGAGGGAACAATTGACCGCCGAATTCAACATTTTGAGCTCCCTTCGACACCCGAACATCGTCGCCTATTACCACCGAGAGCACCTTAAAGCGAGTCAGGACTTGTATTTATACATGGAGTACTGCGGCGGGGGAGACCTAAGCATGGTCATCAAAAATCTAAAGCGAACGAACAAATACGCGGAGGAGGATTTTGTTTGGCGCATTCTCTCGCAGCTTGTGACCGCCCTATATCGCTGCCATTATGGTACGGATCCAGCAGAAGTGGGTTCGAACTTGCTGGGCCCTGCGCCCAAGCCTTCTGGCCTCAAAGGAAAGCAGGCCCCAATGACTATTCTGCATCGCGATTTGAAACCGGAAAACATCTTTCTTGGCACAGACAACACCGTCAAGCTGGGTGATTTTGGTTTGTCGAAACTTATGAATTCCCACGACTTCGCCTCCACATACGTTGGAACGCCCTTTTACATGTCTCCAGAGATATGTGCGGCTGAAAAGTATACGTTACGTTCCGATATTTGGGCAGTTGGCTGCATCATGTACGAGCTCTGTCAACGAGAGCCGCCTTTCAACGCTCGGACACATATTCAGCTCGTCCAAAAGATCCGCGAAGGAAAATTTGCTCCGCTTCCCGACTTCTACTCATCGGAACTGAAGAATGTGATTGCCAGCTGCCTGCGTGTCAATCCCGACCACCGCCCGGACACTGCTTCTCTAATCAACTCCCCTGTCATCCGGATAATGCGGAAGGAGGTGGAACTTGGAAACCTCTCGAAGTCCATCCGAAAGCGAGAGGAAGCCACCATGCAGAAGGTGAAGGAAGTGGAACTAGCTTTCACTAAACTGGAAAAGGAGAAGCAGCAAATCCGGACTGATATCGAGAATACTGTTCGGCGAGAGTGGGAAGTGAAAGCAAGGCTGGAGATCGATCGCCAAGTTCAAAGCGAGCTCGACAAGCTCCGGAAAAGGTTTGAATGCGAGGTTCAGGAGCGAGTCTCCGTTGAGGTCGAGAAGCAAAGGCGAAGTGCGCACTTCCGTGAAGATGCCAGCCTCCATTCTAGCGGACACGGTTCGCAAACTTCTTCCAGCAACAGCGAGGACACAGACTATCCGTCGAGCACGGACATCAGCCAGCTGTCACTTGAGTCGCCTTCGAGTAGGGGAACCCGGCCGCCGAAGAAGGAGACACGCACTCCGTTCAGTCGTTCCAAGACCGTGGTTGACTCCCCTATGGATATACAAATGGCAGAGCCATCCCCAATGTCCATAGCCTCCCTTTCCTTGTCGCCCCGTCGCACATCAACAACTTATTCAGGCAAGAATATCTTTGCCGAAGGTGAAAGGCAGCGACCGAAATGGGAGCCCTCTATGGCATACTCGGATGATGAGGATGACACACCAGAACTTCCTTCGCCCACTCGCCCAAAGGTTAGGCCTGATCCTTTCAAGGCTCCTTCTCGTCCTTTGCTCCGGCAGAACACGGCTGCATTAATGCAAAAACTAAGCACCCAGCCACCCATCTTCCCGGCCAACTCTTCTAGGCTTCCCCAGATTTCGGGATCCGGTCAACCTGATAGCCATCCCAGGGAATCAAAATCAAGGTCCCCTCATCGGCGTCTATCTAAGATCCCATCCTCGGCCAATCTTGCTGCTGATGCAGGATCGCCGACTCGCAAGAGCGCCGCTAAGTCAGCCTCATCAAAGTCGAACGGCGGCGGCGGCGAAGAAATGTTCAAAGCCGTAATGCAGCGGAACATGGGGGGGAGAACGCTAGTTGAGCTTGCACAAGCACGTGCTGGTGGTCGTCCCATCGATGAAGTCAAGCGCTGTGCCAGTGACACTCGTTCCGCGGCCTGCTCCGTTCCCTTGAAGTCTTCTGACCGTGATCCACCCGCGGTTTGGGATCCAGAAAGAGATGAGATGCCGAGTCCATTTTTGGCACGAGGGCGAAAAGTGATCCGTAATCTGAGGTAAACATGGATTCGTGTTGCTTCTTGTGCGGGATTCATTCACTATACCGTAGTTCAGGAGGATCCATAGCCCTGCAATAACTGCAGCCTCCGGCAATGCGGCCATTGCAATATTCTCCTTTCGGCGGTTGATCCGCGAAAGGCATCTGCATTACTTCTTGGGCATTTGATTGGCCGATGCTTGACGTTCCAATCTCGCCCCTTAATAATTACAACATTTCTTGGAGTTATGGTTGGGTGGTATACATTCTGAGAGCGAAGACCATGCAAGACATGGAGCAATGATGCATTTCCCTGCGCTACTGCACCTTTGTCAAGATTCTGACTCACTTACCCTGCGATACATTTACCAGACTTTCCTTTGTTTAATGCAGTGATGACCCCCTCTTGCCTCTCTGTTGATTTGCGAATACTGTACAGCTACCTGCACTTGTCCTTGAGTCTAGATTAGCCATTTCGTCGAGGTGGTTGCACAGACTTCCAGAAGACTTGAACCTAGTTGACTGTGCTTCTTTCTCCGAAAGGCTGACAGACGCGTTCACTCTCTTGGATGGTACATTCCCCGGCTCTTTTCTTTTCTTGTTTTTTTCCCCTATATCTCTTGGTATCTCAGTGGGTGGCGTTCATACAATGGAGCTTGGATTAACGGAGTTGTTTCACAAGGAATCGATGTATGTTTGTGCATCTGTACTCTTACATCCTGAATTTCAGTTTGGATAGATGATTCCCTCGAGCCGTCAATACCACCTGTCTTCTAAGTGCAAGTTACTCTAGACCTGAGGGTCCATACTCGCATAAAGGCACGTGTACTCCGAAGAGCGTAGTCAAGAATCAAGAATGATACCAAGAGGGGTCTTAAGACGGGATCATGTAGAGTTGTCCCCTAGATGACCATCGCTGATATCTACCCCACCTCACAAGGTACGACCGGACTCGGACTCGAAACTTGAGCACAGCGTTGCATGTGAAGCAGGCTCGAACGTATGTATGAGTACTCGTAAGCCAACCACAGCGTCAGCATCATCCGATTTTCTTTTCTCAGTTTGTTTTATCTGAGATTACGCAGCATGGTGTAGTGACCTTGTTATTCCCCGGTGTAACTGTATCTGAAACATGCTGTGTTGTATTGATGCTTAAGGTTGAAGGTATAGGGCTGGAGCTCGTGTTGTATATAGATAGGAGTGAGGTACCGCGCAGTACTTCAGGCAAGAGGCTACGGAGACCCATTTTGTTGATGTCGAGAATAGGGATATGCAAAAGTACTAGTAGGGCTGGGTTCTAGCCCCGGGAGTCGGAGAGGCCCGCGTATCCTGGCAGTGAATGTGCGAATGGGTGAGGTTCTGCGTGAGATTCCCAGCGTGAGAGGGCAAATGAGGGCCCTCTGGAGCGAACGCTGGTTGACTGACTGACAGGGACCATATTCACCTCTCATGTCGCTCGATGAGGTTGAGCATCAGCACATGATGAAGCAGACAGGCATGGTCGGATCGGAGGCCGGGGAATGGTGGAGGCGAGTATCACAACCTCACCATGGATTGATGGGGCCTGGGCTCTTGATTATGCTTCAGCCGGGGGTATCACAGGCCCTGTGGGTGTCATCACACTTCTACCTACGTTCGGGGTGTACTGTGTTAGGATGGTTGAATATGAATCATGGAGTAAGTGTCTTTTTTGCATTTACTAGAGTACAGTTTGTATGGGTATCAATCATGCTTCCTCATCTTCGACGTCCTCGATCTGCACAGACCGTAGTTCTTGGTTGAACCGTCGCTCTTCATCGAGGAGTCTTTCGTGGTCTTCAGCGGTTGTTTCCGCCTTCGCAGGGCCGGCATTATACCCGGCTTTTTCAAGACGGTCCAGCTCGTCTGGTTCTAACAGCTTCCCTTGGCCCCGTATTGACTCTTGCTTCATTCTGACTGCAGCTGGGATGAATTTGTTCACGGCTTCTTGTCGTAGATCACGGATCTCTGGTTTTGCTTCGTAGACTGTCCTCAATTCTGTCACCGGAGGCGTCGTCGGAAGGGAATGCGGGCCCCGGCCCTCGCTGCCTCTCTTTGCCTCGTTCCTCCTCTGGTACTCGCGCGGGATAGGTGGAGGCGTATCTCGCGGCATGGGTATCCTCCGCACTTCCTCATCGGTCTCGTTGCTATCGCTATCTTGCTCTCCGAGCCGTCCGTGGCCCTCTCGCCTCCGCTTCCCCAGTACCCCAATGTCCCGCGTGTAATCATCCCCCCGCCTATGTTGCGAGCTCGCAAATTTGGGTGCCTTATCGCCCAATGCTTCTCGGGCTTTCAGCACGGCCCGCAAATCCCGTTCTAGAGCTTCTAAGAGCTCTTTCTCACGTGGTCGCATGCCCTGTCCTGACTGCTCCATTTCCTTCAGGTCGTTGATTTGCCGCTGGATGCGCTCTGGATTGCGACGGGCCAATTTTTCGTTCCGGCGGGCTAGCGCCTCAGCCTTGCCTTTTTTGAGATTCTTCTGCTTCTCCAGCTTCCGCTGCGCCATGGCAGGGTTGACCGAACGCTCCTTGTCGCGAGGCATTATGTTCGTTCCTCTTCCTTTTGAAGTTCTAAGATTCAATTGGTCCAGGCGAACCGACACGGAATTGGAGGGATAACGATAACAAAGTTCAGCTAGAAAGGATTGGAGCGGTTCGGTTACCCTAGTCGGACATTCATTGACTATTCGACGATATCCTGTTGAACGGGCAGAAATGGCGTCAGTCAAGTACCTCCATCTTGAGAAACAAGAAAAAAAAAGAGGATCTATCTAAGAGGGATAGCGGGGGAGCATAGACACCCGCAGCAAACTAGGCAGGCTTGGGAAGATTGGGGAACGCTCACAGGCTGAGGGCAGAGGTAAGCTGCAGGTAGACGAAATAATTGAGCAAGTCGAATCGTTGCTCTTTGAGCGTGGGACCGTCTCAGACCCAATAGAATAATCCAGGGCAATGATGCAGGGCTTTTAGCCTCACAGGTTGGGCAGCGGGAGCTTTAGGTCGCTGGTTTTGGTGTCTGGAGATACGCGAGTGATATCGGCACCTGGGCAGAAAGCGGCTGGAAGAGCGTCAAGAGCGGCAAACCCAGGCTTTCGGAATCTGAGACGATTGGAGGGAATTTCGAAAGGCGGAGGAGATCGGGCTGTGAGGTAAATTATGGAGATTGGATGGCGGGAGAAGCAAATGTCGAGAGCTGGAGCAAATGAGGAGAACAGTCATGGATGGATCTGGCCGACCCGAAGGAGAACGGAAGGCGGTGGCCCACGCGATACATCACTCGAGATACTATGGGGTACAGCCTAAGGAAGACGAGGAGCTGATGGGGAGATCATTCGTCATGGTTATTGCGAGCCTGTCAGGGACTGGAGATTGAAGACATGCCATTCCGTTGGTTGGTAACTGAGCCTCATCGTATAGTGCTCGCGCAGGACTCACGCGAAGAGACGATGTGCATTCATCATCGAGGTACCTCTGGACGATCTACCATACAATCCTCTCGATTACTCTGGAGTGTCCAGTCTCTTGTCCTGCATCTCATCAACGTCTCCAAGTCCTTTCCTTTCTTTTTCTTGTGATTCCGCTCGTTCCCCTTCCCATCCGCCGTCCCAGCTTTCGGTCTCTCCATCCCTGAGCCGCCTCACTTAATTGTGCCATTAATTCGCTACCCTCCTCATTCTGCTGTAGGGGGTTAATCGTGACTGATTCTCCGTCAGTGTAACATCCGATTGACTGAAGCGCAAGGAGGAGTCGTCGTCTACGATATTATCTACTAGTAGCTATTATTTTTCCCATTTTCCTTACCGCCGACGATCCAATCCGTTTGTTTCCTCATCATCCCATCCCCTCTCCAGCGCCAGCTCCCCCTTCTTGTTTCCGAGAATGTCATATTAAACACGGCAGGGGATCATTCTTCCGTTTTTTGAGAAGATAACCCGCGTGTCTACTTGGGGGTCACCTTGTCCTCGTGCCACTTCTCTGGCTCTACCCCCTTCTCCCCTTCCCTCCTCTTCTACTCCGCCTTTCCGCCCTCAACTCCAACCTGCACCCCCCCTTCCTTGCTTGGTCTTTAGCATCATGAACTTCGGTCCGTTCTACCTTTTCGCATTGAGATCGGCTGGCGCTTCCTAGACTCTTGTCGCGGTTGGAGCATGTCTCTGCGCGGACCAAATGTCCGTCGCCTCGATTCCCGACACCTCGCTTGGCCTCACGTCCTCCGAGATTCAGATTCTCCGACAGCAGCAGCAGCTTGCACTCCAAGGTGGTCATACTGGAAATGGGGTATCTAGGGGCAGAGGTACTGGGCGCACTAGCAACTCTAGCTCGCGCGCTGCTAGTGCCGCCAGCAGCCATGGTCGTTTGCTGCTGGACCCGATGAGCCTTCGGGCACTTTCGCATCAGCTAGACGGATTGCAGCAGCAGATCCAGAGTCGCCTTGAATACGTATGTGAACTTCTCTAGATTCGCTTCTTTTCTCTCCATACCGTTTGATTTGCGCCCCATTCTTACCCAGCTACTGGTTGAGGCGATGTGTCAAGCCAGGTTTCTATGCCATGTACATGCGCAAAGCAAACAGCGGTCTTGTACTAACGTATTTTAGTTGGAGGCGCAAATGCAACTCTCCATTCAAAATAGTTATGACCGCGCAGGGAATGTTATCCACAACGCGGACGCAGAAATCGCCCGCACCCGTTCAATATTGACATCAATTGATGAATTGGAGGACGAACTTGCCAAAATCGGACACATAAGAGAAATTGTCAGGGCATACCGTGGCCGGATAGAAGGCCTGGATCAACGTCTTGATCAAGCCGCACGCCGACGACGGTGATATGCAGCGTATAACTCTTTTTTTTGGCCGTCGGCTTTCTTCTATGCCAAGTTGCGAACTATACCCATACCCCAACTCCTTCACACATTCCATCCTTATTCATTTCTTTATGACTTACTCACGAAAAATGCGGCCCAAACATTAGCCCTGGTGGCGCTTTGTTTCCGAATCCGCACCAGCTATTCGACAGACGCATAATTACCACGCCGATTTTTCATTAATCCCGCCGGACGAAGCTCCTAATTCCTGTACACGAACACGAAGAATGATTGGTACGACTGCCAATCCAACGACGGTCACGACAGAGTATGAGAAAAAGAAAGAGAAGCTTTCTCCTACGAAGCCATGCGCACGCACCCATATACTGTATTTGTCCTCACGGACGCTGTTACTCAAGATAACGCCGCCATGCCTCTGCCCAGTTCCTATCTAAGCGGTCCACCGACGTGGCTATTTTGTTTTATTTTGTCTTTGTCTTTCGTCGTCTTCGCTTGCAAATGGGGGGAGGATTACTCTTAAAAAGATTGATACCTGCCTCACGGCACCTTTGGTTGTTGCAAACCAACCTTGAAACGAATGTTTACGGGGAAGCAAGTTTTATCATGTCTCTAGCGTCGGAGTTTAATTCCTCGGCGAGGGAAGCTCAGGAGTTCTTTTGCTATTGCGTCTGTCCTGGTAATGTTGTGTTCAATGTGTCACGATGCCATGTTAGCTCATTATTATGCTGCTTCTGTTGGAAATCACCACTGTGGATTTATACATACGACCGCGAACCATTTCAATGATATCGGCAGAGCAAGCCTGATATGTCAGACGCAGGAACCTTCGTGACTGAACACAGGGGACCAGCCTATGTATACTGAATGCCATTCGGAGTATGATACCGATTCCGTCCAAGTTATATTGGACACCTTACGCCTTGAGTTGGAATAGCCAGTCACTTGCTGTTCCTGAACGATGATCTTGGCATTACGTGGTGAACATTCTCCAATCGTACAGCGCAGGGCCTCTGCAGGCACTTAATCCTGACACGGACTGACGGCGGGGTCGATCAATAGCACTTTGGGTTTCCCTAGCATGATCATCACGCACGGTTTTGTTCAATCTGTCTCCGAGCAGCCTATCAACTAGCCTCTGGACTGCAAGTAGTTTGACCTTCATGTCTAGATTATGTGATGATACCCCTTCTGTATCGACTTCTCGGTGAGGGCAAGAGGACGCCCATCTAAGAGTGCGCATGGTGCAGGATTCGATCACGCAGGAGCGGTTTTACACCAAACGTTTAGTGTGGTCGAAGAGAAAACGGGCAATGATATCACGTCGGTTTCGTTAAATCAGGGTTGGGCGGTTGCTGTCTGTGGTTTTTGGCGCGCCGAAAGCTTGCTGCTACGCCGGTCTGTCCGAGGGAACCGTTTCTCTGTTCCACAGGTGGTGCAGCGCACAACTCGTACCTCAGCCCATGGCTTCCTAGACCCCCGACTCGGGTTTCTGATTTCTTCGGTACAATTATTCCCGGCGATCAACAAGATATCGCAACGCTTGCAGAACGATCTTTTCTGTTCGATTGGCAGTCGGAGTTGCGATTTCAAAGATACCCCACGCATTTGATAAATGTATGTCCGAGCAAGCGCGGGGACGCGGTCTGCAGGGTCGCGAGAGATATCACCGTTGGCGTGTGCTTCACCGAGTGTTAAACCTGTCATCACTTCGTCCTCCACGGGCTTGACTGTGTGTTCGACAGCTTCGGACTTTCGACTCGCCGTCTGTAGGAGTGTTGCTGCATTATAGAGGAAGTTTATACGCGCGCGAACGTGGCTGTTGACCCCACCGCTCGTGCCCTTTCCTCCCTTCAATTTCGCCATTGTAAGAGGGTGGATGGCGATGTCATCTGTTCACTGGGAAAATTCGGGATGAAACTGCACAATCTGTAGCTCTTAAGGTGGCCCACAAGTCGGAGCTAGCCCAAAGCGGCAGGCAGCCATCGGCGTGGGCGGCGCTTGAATGACTAATCTGTGTCACGTGAACAGATCAACCTGCTTTCTTTCCTTCATCCCTCGCGCTTCACCTCCCATCTATCTCATTCTCTATCATCATCAGCCATTCACCCGCCTCAATTCATCTCGCAGCCACCATAAAAGCGGCTGTTTGTCTTTCAACTCCTCAACTCGATCGCGATATCTCGCCTTCGACTTCTGAAATTTCTGCTATCCCAAATTCCGATTTCCCCAGCTACAAACGCGCCGGCGTAATCAGACCTTCCCTTTCGCTTTCGATCTTACACTCTATCGCCACTACATTTCAACATGTCTCACGAGGAGGATCTCATTGACTACTCCGATGAGGAGCTTCAGACCACTGACGCCGCAGCCACTACTGCCGCTCCTGCCGCCAATGGAGCCCAGGCTAAGAAAGAGGGCGATTTGACGGTAACTGGTGGCCGTCCCGACAAGAAGGGAAGTTATGTCGGTATTCATTCGACCGGTTTCCGCGACTTCCTGCTCAAGGGCGAACTTTTACGCGCTATCACCGATTGCGGTTTCGAACATCCTTCGGAGGGTTAGTCATCACATATTCTTTCCCAATAGCCTTCCTCCATAGCTCCATGTTTCAACGTCCGTCCATCTCCTCGGGAAAGGAAAACTATAGTCGCTTCCTGCCATCTGTTTTTCTCGGGTCTCTGTGCGCCATGAAGGGTTGTTTTTGAAACGTCCTGAGACAACTTGCGCCGCGCGGAAAGTGCTCCTATTGCATCCAGCTGTTGCTCTGCTTCAGTGACACATGGTGAAATCGCCGGTCTTGGCCGAGTTTTAGTTTTCAAGAATCTTGCGCTGAGCTATTCTGGGCGAACCTTTGCGCATTCGAAGATACGGGGCGTCTTGCCACAGGCTCTGAACGGAAACCGTCTTCGTGCAACCACTGGGAGATTGTGGACTTGACTCTACCCCCTCCCAGCAGTTGGTTCTTTTTTGCTCTCGCATGCTTATGGCTTGCACTTCCCGATTTTGAGACGAAGAACAGGGGCCCGACACCTTTTGTTTTTGCGTAGTCGATCACTCGGGGGATGGACGGACCTTGGAACGCGGATTGCCTTTTCACTTTGAGTTTCATGGATCGAACACAAGTCTAACATACCGTTCGCCTCATCACAGTCCAGCAAGTCTGTATTCCGACCGCCATTTTGAACGTTGATGTTCTTTGCCAGGCCAAGTCTGGTCTTGGAAAGACGGCCGTATTCGTCCTTACAACTCTTCACCAACTGGAGCCTGTTCCCGGAGAGTGCTCTGTTTTGGTTATGTGCCACACGCGCGAGTTGGCTTATCAGATCAAGAACGAATATGCTCGATTCAGCAAGTACCTACCCGACGTGAAGACTGCTGTCTTCTACGGAGGAACTCCTATCCAGAAGGATATTGAGCTTTTGTCGAACAAGGATACTTTCCCCAACATCATTGTTGGTACGCCCGGTCGACTCAACGCCCTTGTCCGTGACAAGAAACTTTCTCTGCGCAACGTCAAGGCTTTTGTTCTTGACGAGTGTGACAAGATGCTGGATCAGATTGGTAGGTCTTTGTGGCTTTTCGATGTTTGCGGGCAATACTTACTCGTTCTTTTTAGACATGCGCCGTGACGTTCAGGAGATTTTCCGTGCCACACCCGCCGACAAGCAGGTCATGATGTTCAGCGCTACTCTCTCTCAGGAAGTTCGACCCATTTGCAAGAAGTTCATGAGGAACCCGCTGGAAGTTTACGTCGACGATGACACGAAGCTCACCCTGCACGGTCTGCAGCAGTACTACATCAAGCTCAGTGAAGCTGAGAAGAACCGAAAGCTGAATGAGCTCCTCGACAGCCTTGAGTTCAATCAGGTCATTATCTTCGTCAAGAGCACAATTCGTGCCAATGAGCTGGACAAGCTGCTGCGCGAGTGCAACTTCCCCAGTATCGCTGTCCACTCCGGTGTCAGCCAGGAGGAGCGGTAAGACAACCCTGTACCATACTCTGAGAATGCGCATGCTGATAAGCCATTATAGTATCAAACGTTATAAGGAGTTCAAGGAGTTCAACAAGCGTATCTGTGTCGCCACCGACGTTTTCGGACGTGGTATTGATATCGAGCGTATCAACCTTGCTATCAACTACGATCTACCCGCAGACGCTGATTCCTACCTGCACCGTGTCGGTCGTGCCGGTCGTTTCGGTACCAAGGGTCTGTCCATCTCCTTTGTCAGCAGCCCTGAAGACGAGCAGGTGCTCAAGGACATCGAGAAGCGGTTCGAGGTCGCCCTTCCGTAAGTTACCTCACACCACGTTAAACTCCATCTTGGTAAGCTAACAACTCTCGTTTAGGGAATACCCTGAGAACGGCGTCGACTCCAGCACCTACATGGCATAGACGCTTATCACGACTATCTACCTTCACTGTCGCGTTACTCGAGCAAATTACATCACTCATCAGTAAACGGCACTCTTCCTTTCCTCTATTCCCGGTCGCTTTCTAAACCATTATCATCTATCTCGTAACTTTGACTCTGCTTTTGCTTTTGGCGCGATGGTTTCGGATGTAATATTGTCATGCTTGGATGTGCTGGGAAGGGCCATCTGACGCGGGACGAATCAAAATGTACTTACAAGATTATCTAGGCATGTTTCAATTCAATTGAAATCTTACTGAGTTTATTCACATGTGTGAGCTGAAGCATTCACTTCGTAGATGACAGTTTGCTTTTCCAACGTAATACAGGCATGCCAACATGTGTGCAGAAGCAAATATATAAGTTAGCCCTAAGTGCACCCAATACATCAACACATTTAAGTCTCCAGCCTGAGTAACCCATGGTATTGTATTTCATCTTACAGTATCCATAAGTAATGCGAGTGGGAGTTCATCTAATCTAATTTTTCTACTACCTAAGGTGACAGGAAAGTTCTCAACTCAATCCACCACCACATATTGATCGTCAATGTCTTCTTCAGTATGATTGTCGTTGTCAAAGCCACTGCCATCCCCGCTATCGGAAGTATAATATTTTCTCACCCACTGAAGATTTTCTTCTTCCGTCTCCCCCTCACCAAGCGTCGGAAAGAACTGAACTTCATCCATAAGGTCCGTCGGAGACTGGCTATTGGGGCGTGTGGGTTCCGCAAAGGGCTCTGCCTCGTGTTCTTCGATCCAGTCTTCAAATTCCCATCTAGGAGGGTCTAATGGCTGGACTGATGCAGCAAGGTCAATCTCCGACTGAGTGGCCCTGGGGGTGTCAGCCAAGCCGAGCCCAGTGTCAGGTGCCCCCGATCCATCCTTGGACCACGTCCAGCCGCAGTAGCGTAAGTGGTGTCGGTTGCAAGTGGAATGTAACATAATCCGCGGGGCACAACTGGTCTTGTTGACTCTCCCTGGGGGGCTCCAGGGGCTAAGCGGGGTGAGACTATCCGGGTTGTTATTGCCATCGATAGGGACGACACGAGACAGACGGAAGACATCTGCCCGTGAAATGGTCTGTGTTTGTTGGTCCAGGTAGGGACCGGACCCAGGTATGTCCAAGAAGCCCTGCAGGGCACGGGTCCAAGCGCTCGTAACCTCGTCAGGGACTTGCCTGACCTTGTCAACTTCGTCTAGTATCGCACGCCCGAGCCCACTGACGACAGCCCCCAGCCACAGTGCTGCGATAGTTGGTCGACGGATCCTGCAGATGATAGCAAGCGGCTCTTCAAAAATGCCAGGCTTGGCTCGAATTTCTTCTTCATCAAGAACCTCCCTCAAGATGGGATGCAGCCAGACACTGGCTAGACTCCGAGGCACCCCAGGTTCCCAGAACATTCCACTGAGAGTTGAAGTTAACCCATCTGGGTCGCAGCTCAGAGTCATGTACCAGGATAGGTCATAGAACTGTTCAAGCCAATATTTCGAGATGACAGACTGGTCTTGTACTAGGACGGGGGTTCTCATGCTTCTGCGCGTTGGATATGGGAGCTGTGCAATCGTCCTACGGAAATTGTGCGTAGGGAACGTCATGGCTGCTGTAAGAGCGATTTGAAATTGGTCGCCCAAGTCGTACTGGTGGGCAAAGTTGGCAAGGGCCCTGAATGCCTCTTCCGCCTTAAGGGGCTGGTCAGGGTTGTTCGCTGTGAGGCCGCCCACTCCTCGAATAGCAAAGGACACGGGGGCCGTCCCGGTCAGTGTCCAGGGCGTGAGGAATTCTCGTTCCCGGGCCTTTTCTTTAGAACTCCTCGAAGTGAGAATACCCCTCCAGCCCTGAGAACCAGCCAGGATTGTTGACCACCACAGAGCTATATCCCCATCTGTAGTACAGATGTCGATTCTGACATCCACACCGGAAATTTGACAATCACGAAGGTTCTCCCAAAGGGGCGCTTTGGAGCCCGTATATTCCATGCGAGCGCCCTTTTTAAACAACTCCACCGCCCGGGCTGACATGATGTAGCACCATCCCAAAGTGAGCACTGCAAGATAGTTATGGTACGGTATCTTCTGACCTTGGGCACCTTTCCAGTAGTAGAAACTCCGATTTGCGAAATTGAAACCCGTTGGTTGCGAGATTCCAATCGGGAAAATCCGTGCTTCCCCAATCTTGTCATCGGCGATACCGCAGTCCTTGGGTCCTTCGGTCTTCCAATGCGCGCGTCCCTCCACGGCGAGTGACAGGTCTAGTGAACCCCCAAGGGTGACTGAGGTGGTCTCTTGTGGATTCACACATGGCTTAGGGACGTGCTGTAGCATGAATCGGGGGTTGGCCGCCTGAGGGGGAAGGCCAACTGTTTGGTTGTGGCGTGCGATGGCTGCAGCCTTATACCAGTACTTGCGACTCTGCTCCAGAGCCTCCTTTCTTTGGTCATCGGTGGGCTGGGAGGTATTAGGGTCATCGCCGAGGATCTATGCTCGATTGATTAGTTAAGCGCGTTTAGCAGATCAGCACACAGGCCTTGATCTCACCAAGTTGAAGTTCGGAGGATTCAAGTAGGGGAAGGTCATCTTGATGTATCGTCGGGGAGTGTGGAAGAGTTAAAGAGACTTGTGAGGTAGCGAGCGAGTAGCAATAAGAGTCAAAGGTTGAATGAGCGTAGGTTATGGATAATTGAGTACTGTATGCACTGATATAGAACTAAATGGAATTTGTAATGCGAGTATACGACCCGAGGCAGGGTAAAGTGGAAAGGGAGCTCTTCTAACATTTGACAAGCTAGAACAGCCCCCAAGACTGGATCTGGAAAGAGCCCAGCTTAACAGGGTCAACAGTCGCACCTTCCACATTTGTCATGGATTTCTACCAAGGAGAGATCGGGAACGTCTGCACTCACCTAAAGACCGACAAACATCATGGATCGGTATATTCAAGTCTGTCTCAAAAGAACACCGTCACCGTACAGTGCCGTAGACGCTCTGGAAGAACCCAGCGAAGGCCTTCGCTCCATCTTCCCCAAATAGCATCTGGCCGTTATTATACGTTTCCTGTGCCTTCTCCTCGGTGCGTTCTAGCTGCTCCACCTCGAAATCCACGAGTAACGGGTCCAGTGCGCTGATAAATGAACCACCATTCTTCGCAACGGTCTCATGAGCTCTGATAATTGCATGTGCAAGCAACAGCGAGTCCCACATTGCTAGGTTGACGCCCTCCCCTGCCCATGGACACATCAAATGCGCCGCATCGCCGACGAGCGTTACATTAGACTTGTGTTCCCACGAGGTTCCAATAGGTAGCGTGTATAGCGGTTTGATATCCAACAGGGCGCCGGGATTGTTGCTCGTCTCCTCCTCGCATGAGACGGCAACCAGTTCTTTGATGACAGGCCCAAACCGGCCAAGAAGGGTATCGTCTTGGAGGATTTTGCTTTTGGCAGCTGCTGCGGTACAACACGCAAGCCCCGACGAGGAAGGAAAGTCCTCGTCCGGCAGAGTGAGAAAAGTGTAGATGCGCGCTGCATTCTGCGATAAACGGTGCGACATGACTCCGTGCCGGAGACCAAGCGCCGAGAAGCTACCGCAGCCGATGAGCTCAGCCAGATGCGGATACTTTGCGAGCTGAGTTATGTTTGCGGTAATACTCTGCGTCCCTGCGTAATACGGTTTCACGTCCGTGAGTAGACTACGGACGCGGGACCAGGCACCATCAGCACCGATGACTAGATCGAAGGGCAGTTTTCCATGTTGCCCAAAGTCCAGCTCGACTTCCATGCCGTTGGGTGTGGTTGAGGTAGTAGCAGAGAGGAGCTTGTGTCCCCATTTGATAGTGTGAGGTGGAAGATCGGTGGCCAAGAGGTTGGTCAGCGCATGGCGAGAGATTTCTGGGCGCCCACTCAGCTCTCCTTCATCTGTGTGTAGGATGTTTCCATCCTTGTCTGAGACCTTTTGCGCCTCGGAGCATTCGCCTGTGAGCTGAAGGAAGCGGCCGTATAACCCGCATTCTCGGATTGCAGCGAGGCCAGATTCCTCATGGAGATCGAGCATCCCAGAAGGTTTCGCCAATTCTGCGTCTGTTGGTTCCTGGCGGGCCTCAAATACTAGAAATGGGATATCACGCTTGTGAAGCAGAAGACCGAGGGTCAGTCCGGCTGGACCACCGCCGATAATGGCAATTCTTGGCTGTGATGGCAACATGTAGGAAGGGATTCTGTAGCTTGTATGCATATTATGGATTTGGAACAGTATAACTCGAACAGGAAGGCCCCATCTTATATTTGTATGAGTTCGGGTAATTGAAAGCCCCGAATTTCAGGGAGAATGCGTGTGTGTGCACTCTCGGTCTCTTCTAATGTCCGAGACTGCGAGTCGGAGTATCAAGGTATTATTGATCTCCGAGAAGCTTACCTCCACGCCTCGAGACAGTTCAACTTCTGCCTAGACTAGGCTGAACAGCGAGAGCTGGGTCACTAGTGTCTGAAGTTGCCATCGGAAGACTTCATGGCCGATAGATTCAGACCTTTTAGAACATTTCCATCCTCGATGGTGTTGTATCAAGATAATCCATATCGAATCTTTCACTCGCGAGAGTATCGGAAGTGCAATTTGCGCTGTATGCAGGATCCAGACAAACAGTTGACAAATGAAACGCTTTCGAAACGCATCGCCAATATCTGTTATGCTCGTAAGGGGGCCTGGCCTCATAGTCGCCGCTTGTCTGCCAGAAGCTTCACCGAGACGGCAAGTTGGGTCCTTCAGGCTTCATTCCGAAAATAAGTATCTTGTCTTCACAGATAGGGATTCGATAGAAACAAGCTGGACGACGTGGAATTCTCATGTTTGTTTGATGCCCTCATCTGATTTCACCGGGTAGAGTTTAGCACGATGAGAATATTGAGACGTAAGTGAAACACAGTGTCAAACATATCTACTACCGTAGGAGGGAAAAGAGTAGAGGGTGTGCTTCGTGCAGTTGACTGTGGAGTGTGAATAACTTTTCCATGAAAGCCAAGAAGTTAACGGTCCGAGCCAAGCTTCTCCACCATTCGAACAGGGACGCCGCATTGCCGCAAAGACAGGCCCGTCCGCTCAAATCCACGTGAGTGATGGCGAAAGATAATTCGCAGGGTATAGCCAGGGACATGATGGAATTACTCTGGAGTCGTCCCAACGTGGCAGGAGGCATCTGACAGGAGACAAGAGTAGCCCCAACTTCCAAGGAACAGCAGCGCCTAGTGAAATCTAAACCCCGAGGACGGAAAGGTGGGACTTAATTTTCAGACAGTTGGCAAAACTGGGAAGTTGAAGTGAAGTGGACGGGCCGGCGGGCCAACACGAATGCGACTGGAGCTATTGAGCTGTTGTGCTTGCTAGCTGGCGTGATAATGGTGAGGTGGAAAAAGCAATTTCGACTTTTGAGGCTTCAGCGGATTTGGCTTGATTGTTAATGTTATAGAGATGAAGACTGGCCGGTGCGACAATGCATTGTTCTTTGTCCTACAGTAGTCTGAAACTGGGGAGGATAGTTGGTGGACGGCAAATGCATGGTGTCAAGCCACACGGTCAATGGCAAGTTGAAGCATGGGCCCTTGACCCTCAAAATCCAAAGGCTGCCTCAACGGTTCCCGTAAATCACAATTGAGATGTGGGGAAAGGAAATTAGGCGTTGCGATAGCATCGGGAGACGGGCCAGACCTGATGGACAAGTCAAAGTGGCTGATCAAGCGAGATTAATCTAAAGTGAGATCATCCTGACGTCAAGGGCGTTTTGGCCTTCGCGACCGTGCTGTTGCTGGCAGAGGCTCGCAGAGAGCCTGGGGAATAAAGTCTACCCCATACTCACTGGTCAGGTCTGCGGTTCGTTTATTAGGATGATTCAAGCCACACTTTCCTTGGAGGCAAAAAAACAGAGTGAAACGATCGTAAAAATGTCTTAGAACTGTCAGAAGGGCATTGAGCGAAAGTTCCAATCGAAAACCTGAAAATAGCTTCAGTGTGGGGCCTGATTTCCAATGTTTTTGATGGATTTGATTAGCTCACTTCTAGACTCTGCTCTAGCAAATCATATTGCCAGCATTTTAGCCTCTGTTTCTATCTACGGAGTATGGTTCTTGGCCCGGTGGGTCAGGCACGAATTCAAGTTTCCAGAATCTCGAATGGAGAAGCACGAGATAATTCAGGCCTCATGTTGTTGTTTGATGTTTGCGGTGGCAGGCTTATCTTTGGAGGCACTTGCGCAATGTTGTGTAATTCCCCATTGGAAATCTGGCTTATGTAATTCATCTGCCGCCCTCTCAAGAATAATGTAAACCGCTTTTGATCGGACGGATTTACTCCTAGTCGAAGTACTAGGAGTCAGCGGAACCCGGAGTATGCAACCAGTAATGCAGGACCATCACATTCCTCTCACAAAGATTCAATCCCTGACATATAACACCCAATGGCCCGAAAAAAAAAAAAACCGCACCTCTTTCTCAAGTTTCCGTCACCGCTGTACGTGGTACCATGTTCTATCATTGTCACTGAAGATCATTTAGACAACTCAGGATGAAGTATCCCTGGGATCGACAAGGTGGCGAACAAAGTGCCAGTGTGCCACACGGCCCAAACGGTCAGGAACCTTAACTCCGGGGGAAAGCCTGCGAGATTGACTCAAACCTGACCAGTGACCACGGCAAGTTTGCTGATGGGACCATCGAAGGTACCTCGACGACGGGAGCCAAGGGTATCCCGGATGCAATCAGCAGCTGCAAACAGCATAACCCGTTTCCTTCCCTGTCGAAATGCGCCGATCCCTACTCCGGAGAAAGCTTTGGCATGCGAGGATGAAGTACACTGCCCCCCCCTTCCCGAACATCATTTCCCTCCCCTCAGACAGTCCTGACTTCATACGATTACATTTGTATGAGATCAAAGCAAGAATGGGCCATGATTGAAGCGGTGCTCAACAGATCGCCTCCTGCACTGAATGCAGCATGGACCATCATGCAACGATCATGCAGTGTCACGATCATCCATCCAAGCTTGTCCTACCCATATCTGATCAGCCCGTTCGGGATGGGAGACACTCATGGCCGTCGGCGGGCGACTTGATAGGAGGCCACCCTTGAGGGGGTAACACCTGTCTCTCCGGGAACCGAATGAAATCCGAGAGGAGAGGAGGTCCTACGGAGTATATCTCACAGAGGGCTCAATGCTTACTCAGACGATATGCGCGGCTTGGAGCTGCAGGCGCGAAGAATGAGGGTGATCAAGATCTAAGAGCTACTCGATCGATTAGCTCGGTGTTTCGAAAAGATTACGGGAACCGGCTAGAAGGCGTAGAATGTCGAGGCTGGAATGGGGATGTATAAAAACGACTGCGGAATGAGTCCGGGCACTGGCTGAGTCTCGATTGTCTTGCAGGTGGGTTCGGTGACGGGAGGATGTGTTGCTCCTGCAGCCGATTTGCCTGGGCACCCCATTAGCGGGTGGCTGTCGTGTCTCAAACGCATAATCAGGATGATTCATTTGACGAGTCGCCCTTATAAATAGTGCGAGCTAGGCCAGAGTGTACGTAAATGCTACCACGCAAGAGCTCACGTCGACAGAAAGGAGAGGAGGGGGAAAAAAGAAAAATCGTTGTCCAAGCCGACCGTTTGGATACAAATACCGAGTTCTAGCACTGCTGCACTAGCCACCCTCAACGTGCGATCTTCGTAGCATAAATCCCAAAGGAATAGTACTCGCGCCGTAGCCATTCACAAATTGCCAATCATCAACAATGATGCATTTAATTTCCAACTCCAATTAGACAGATTCTCAGTCGAGCTTCCGTCTCTTATTTTTGGGAGGGGGGGAAAGCTTCAGGTACATACATTCTTCTGCTTTCCGCCATTCGTTTCCCCAGCTCCAGGGCACTGGCAGTATCGAGTGTTTTCGTTTTTCTTTTTCTTCGCTTGCAGCCTATCGCCCTCTGTCCGTTGAGTTGTCGCCTCCCTGGCTCCGTTTCCGGTTCGAGCTCTGGCGGGGATCCACGATTGTTAGAGAGAGGCTTGGAACAACAGCGACCCCAGCTGCGAAAAAGGGAAAAAAAGAAAAAAGAAAGCGATACGCACGGCTCCATAACTTGAGGTTAGCTCTACTCTACTCCGTATCGGGCTGCCTTTCCGCCTGAACCTGGCCGTTTTCTTGCTTTCATCCTCATCCAGCAATCTCCAGTCAAGAATCTCTTGTCTCTCTCTTCGCCCTTCTCCTCAATCTTATCCCCTTCTCTCTCTCCTCCTCTCCTCTTGACCACAATTCCTTCCCTTCGTTTGTCCCCTTCCTCCGCCCTCCATATCCTCGCCCCCTCCCTTACCTGCGTTTGATCGTGCATTCTGTGGTTTTTTCCTTCTCTACCCACGGCGCATCAAAACCACCCTGGCTCCAATCACTGAATTGCGCTCCTTCGTTCTGGGATAAGCAGCGGTCATCAAATCCCTGGAATAACTGTTTTTTTTTCAGTGACAATATCGTTCATCGCTTTTTTTTCAAGGCTTCTAGCTGGCGGGAACAGCTTCCTTCCATTTTTGATCGCTTGCCATGGCTCCTCCGCCGCGCCTGCGCATTTTGTCAGGTTAGTGACAGCTCTGGGAGCCCTGCTCGATCGATTCGATCTGGTGCCTCCAGCTTCCTCTGCTACACCTCGCATTTCATCGCAGCAGCCCCCTTTCTCACTCTTCCGGAAGCTCCGAAAAATGGGCCGTCGTCTAACGAAATTCTGTTTAGTGGGCAGCAATGGCATCTCTGCGTTCCTCTCCTGGAGGCTCCAGGCAACCACATCCTGTGACGTGACGCTAGTCTGGAAGTCCGGATTCGAATCAGTATCTCAGTATGGAGTGTCTATGAAGTATGATTCCTCTGCATAACGTTCTGAATTACGCAACGGACGCTAACAGGCGTTTATCTAGATCGAAAACATTTGGAACAGAACGATTTAAGCCCCGTCATGGTGAGATCTTGATTGTTCAATACTTATATAATCGCGAGTCACTGATTACCACTCTTTGATTGCACAGTCGTCCGCACTCCGGAAGAAGCCGCGTCTCGTGAAAATGCATATGACTATGTTATCCTGTGTGTCAAGGCGCTTCCCGACGTCTACGATCTAGCCGCCGTGATTGAATCCGTCGTTACTCCCCAACATACGTGCATTTTGGTCAATACGTCAAATACTCTTGGTGTCGAATCGCACTTGGAACAGCGGTTTCCGACCAATGTTGTTTTGTCCTTGGTTTCGGGCGTCGAAATAGTCCAAACCGGACCGGCCGAATTCGAACACCTCAACTCGACAGAAATCTGGGTGGGATCTACGACAAGCCATTCCGGCATCCCTGAGGAGATTCAAAATGACATGGCTCAAGCGTTGGCGATGACACTATCATCGGGTCAGGTTGACTGCAAAGTGTCCAGAAACATCAGGCAGGAGCAGTTTGAGCGTATGATAGGGTAAAGCTCTCTTTCTAACTTTCGGGTCTGTTTGTGTCGTTAACAGCTGCGCTTTCTAGGCCTATTGCATTCCATTCCGCAAGCGTTATGTTCGATACCGCCAGCCACAAACAACTGCTGGAGAAAGTGGGAGTTCGCCAATTGGTCTCCGATGTCATTCAGGAGCTAGTCGACTTGGCCAAGGCGTATGGATGCTCTTTTCCAGTCGACTTCAGCCAGAAGACGATTGATAAGATGACCGCCATCGATACTCCCAGCACGATGTATCAGGATTTCCAATCTCGACGCCCAATGGAAATCGAGACCAACCTCGGATCGCCTATCAAACTTGCCACTGAGTTGGGGGTCAGAATTCCCCGCATTGAGACTCTGTACGCTATGTTGCATCATATCAACACCACCAATTTGACCAAACCTCGAGACTCTCCGCCCCCCGCTATGGCTCAACTACCCCCGCGGGTTTCCTCGGTTCCGCCTCAAAGGAACGGCCCCATGCGTCCGCCCTCATCTGCCAGAGTCCCATCAGGGATGCTGCCGCCCAGACGAGGCCCTCCGACAATGTCGAGACCACCAAGCACCCAGCCTATACCTCACGGAGGTCGTATTCCCCGCGAGCCTTCTTTAGAAGGTCTCGAAGAATTTAGCCATCTGGTACTCTATGACGATGCTCCAGACGGCGCGATGCCCCCGCCTGCTACAAACGGATACCACGATGTTTCTCCCAATGGCCCCGCTCCAGCAGCAGCGCAACTTGCATTGAGGGAGCGAGAGTTAGCCCTCCGCCAGCGGGAATTGATGCTCCGCGAACAAGAAATGGGTATGAGACGAGGGCCGCGCAGACCACCTCCTCCGCGATCAGTTTTCGACGAAGAGGACGAAGACGACTACTTTGATCCTATGGAGAATATCCCGGTTCCGCACATTGACCCTGACAACGTGGATATGATGAGTATAACGTCGCGAAGAGCAAAGAAGGCTCCTAGCGCGAGCCAATTCCGCAAGAATCCCGAGATGAATATGATGAACGGAGGCAGATCTTCATCATCTTTCGGCCGGTACTTTGGGGGAAGGAAGCGTACTAGCGATCGCATCATGCAGGAAATCCCGGGTCTTCACGATTCTCTCATGGATAATCCAATGATGGCGTACTCTTCCAATCGCTACGGTGCTGTCGACAGAAACCAGATGCAGCAGGGTTCCCGCGCTAACTCCCTCACGGCCAGTCGAATGGGTGATTTGGGCCCCTATCCCAACTACCCTGGTAGTAGACGGAACAGCCAATCTCCGGGAACACCATTTGGTGGTCCCGGACCCCGAATGGGCCGACCAGCTACTGCCCAAGAACATCCGCCCAGCGGCCCTCCTATGAATGGCCCCATGAATGGTCCTATGAATGGCAGCCACCCGTCGCCACCAGGAGCCATGCGAGCACCTGTGCCCAAGTATCCTCCTGGGCAAGGAAATGCGGTAGGCCCGCAGCAAGTTGAGCAATATGGGGTGAGCAACCCGTACTCCGCCAAGGGTACTCCAAAACAAAGAAGTCTGACCGGAAGTGCGAGCGCCAGCGCGGAGAGTGGTGACAGCGGAGCTAGTGCCACCCTCGATTCCGAGAACTCGGCCCATAGCAGCCAGATCAGCCTGGGCCCGCAACAGACTGCGGCGCCCGTTCGTTAAACACGATGATACCCCCGGCGTCCCCGTTCCCTCTCCCTCGCATCGATCGAGCGAAATCCATCATTTACCCTTTCCTTTTCCCCCTGTACACGCCGAGCTTTCCAGCATTCATATTCTCTATTGTCTACCGAGAACCCCTTTCGCAGCGCTTGTTTACTTGCTATAAAGATTATCTTCTAATGAGATGCTTGACGAGGAGGACAAGAGCTGACTCCTGTCATACTCTGTTTCTGTTCTTTACATATACACAAGGGACATACGGGACGCGGCTGCTTCTGTTTTTTTTTTTTTTTCCCCGTCTTGTTTCATCTCTGGGTGGGCGCATCTGGCTGGGTGTTTTTTATCGCATGTGGTCATTTGTCTTTCATTCCTGCGACATTGTCTTATCTAATGAACACGGTGCCCGTCGTCCGGTTGACAGTACGGGTTTGACCTGTTGCAATTATACCAAACGCTTCTTCCAAACGCCAACAGTGAATCATTTTGACGATGACATATTACTGCTGTACACTATACTACTACTTTGTGGGGCAATCGTGACAGTTTCGACCTCCCATTTGCGCCTGACACCCTGTCCCCTGTTACTCTCTTTTTTCTTAGTCCCTATATCCCTCCCTTTCTTTTCTTGTCTTTTCCTGGACTGAATTTGGCGTTTAAAAAGAGCATTGATGTCTGATCCCGTCGAGTTGATCGTTCTGAACAGGCTGGTTTTTTGTATTCTTGCATGCTGTCTCATGAGGGGTCTGTGGCGGTCGAAGTTTACATATTTGATTGACAATAAACAATGATAGATCATTCGATCAAAAGTGTAGTTGTGAGGTGATTCTACTTAATGTTTATTTGCAAGAGTCGAAGTAAAACATCGTTCACATGACTTGGCGCCGTGCATAAACAAACAACCGACGGAAGCCGCCGGCCACTTCTCCGTCCATCTTCCCACTATCCACAACTTCAAGCTACAACATACCAGCACGATGCCTCCATCACACCAGCACTCACATTCCCAATCTTACCCGCGCCATTCCGTCGTTCCCTCGTCGACCGCATCCTCCATGGGCAACCCCTCTTCGATGTCCGCCGCCAAAACACGCCAGTATGCACACCTGCATTCCCAGCTCGCCCAGCTTAATGCGCATCTAGCAGATACCGAGAACCTTCTGCGAATGACAGCTATCCAGGCTGAGGATATGCGCTTTTTGGGCGGCTATGTCGGCGCTCTCTTTATGGGATCTGCGAAGGTCCTTGGGGAGGAGGGGGTTAAAGGGGAGAGCACTTCAGAACGGCAAGAGCCTGGTGAAGAGAAGTAGTAAGCGACCATTCAAGACTACGAATTGCCGGCCCAGAAAGGTTGGTCGATGCTCCTCTTTACATTTAATAACTTAATGCCTATCTAACAATGTTTGGGTTAGAGAAGATTTCAGTTGTTTCAGTTTTCCACGACGAAACCTCCGCCCAAAATTATTGCCGGCTCGTCGATGCTATGGTGCTCGTAACTAGAATCGCAGAGTCAAAACTTGTCTCAAGGCTCGTGGTTGGCTCCGCTTACCTCAGTGTGCCTACTCCTCCGGCCTCTAGAATCAGCGCAGTCTCCGTCAGTGGCCGTCCCGTCCAGCGCATCGCAAATGCACGAAGGATATGACCGTGCGCGACTATAAGGACGTCGCCGCCGTCGCTCTCGCCCGACTCGAGACACGGATTGTGGTACTTTTCCCTGATCTCGGCGATCAATGCGTCGAGTCGTTTAATGACGTCTTCGGGGGATCTGATAGCTAGTGAGCAACTTTCGCTGTACAAAGGGACTGCATGAATGATAAACAAGCGGGTTGGGTGCGTCTTACTCTCCACCAGGACAACCATCCCGCCAAATATCCCAAGAACCCTCACCGCGCTCTGCCCTCTGTTCCCGAATTTGCTTGCTCGTCAACCCCTCGTAGTCACCGTAGTCCCACTCGCGAACGGCCTCGGTGACTTCGACTTTTGCGCCGGTTCGGATCGGCTCTTCGTTCTCCGACTTTCGCTTCTCCGTCCAGGGGAGTCTCTCTCTGCATCCTATCTCGAGAAGTTCCAGCGTTCGTTGCGCACGGGTGCGGGGGGAGACATATCTAAACAAGGCGCTCTCAGTACCCGAGGATATACACATGAATTGATCCTCAAGACATACACATGAACCAACTTCTTCGGCGCGATGAGCCTGTCATTCCCAACCAGCGCCTTTCCCGTAGCCTTGATCCGCTTCTCACCGTTCTCTGTTAGAGGCAGATCTGTAATTCCGGTGTGCCGGCCATTGAGTGACCATTCAGTTTCGCCGTGGCGGACAATGAAGCAGCGAGGAGCCATTGTGTAGAACTCTACCTATGAGAGCGAATGGGCAAGTCACTTCGGAGTAGCGAGGCGTTGAGGTAAAAAGGGTGAAACTGGGAGAACGTGGGATCCCGGTGAGCCTTGTTATACAGTCGGCCGAGGTGGGGTTGCGTCATGGAAATTGGCTTTGGATCTGGTCTTGTTCTTGTCGCAGGCTAGGTAATCATTACTCATTGCTCCATAAGGCTTGATCAATCCCATGATGTCCTTTATGCGACTCTTTCCCAGCAAAACTGCAGCCTCCATCCCGACAAAATAGATGTTTAATCGAGCTTGACAATACTCCCTCTCAACTGACCCTCGACGAAAGCTTCAATGACTAAGCACATGTACAGCATCTTTTGGGCGAAAAGCTCACATCCCAAAGCCATAACATAACATGGAAGAACCAGAATGGGAAAGGCCAAAAAGTCCCAACGAGATGTAGCCCGGCTCTCTGGCAAACCACTCTCCGAGACACTTGAGCCATCGTCTGTCCTGTGCACGAATCCAGGAACAGAGGAGGGGCAGGAGGGGCAATGGGTTACCTCGCCGGATCTTACAGAGTATGGACTCTCTTTCAGCACCGATAATGTCCAGGAGACTACGTTCTTCCTTTTGGCGAACCCAGGTCTAAACTCAACGGTGCTGTTTCGAGCGGATATCCTGTTTGATACGGGTACGGGAACTGAAGCATCTCGAGGTGAGGGGAATTGCGGCACGCCGCTTCCAGCAAGAGATGTACCAGAGTTCGAGTTGAGCAGGACGATCGTGAGAAGATTAATTCCGAGAAACTCGCAGCTTGATCGGCCGTTGGACCAGACCTGCCATTTTTACCTGTCTCCCACTGCTGCTGCTGGCACGGATGGAACAGAGCAGAAGCGGTTCTTGGCCATTTATACGCCCCATGTCTCGAGTAAGGAGGAATTACCATACTATCACCCGATGCTGCGGTCTCTGGCATTCCTATACGATGCTTCTTCTCCCCCCTCAACCCCAACAGACCCAAAGCCAGAGACACCGGCAGGGGTAATGTCCATCCACATCCTCCCCTGGCAACCCGAACCCGTACACAATCGCCTAGAGCGCACGCTATCCAAACTTCTAGACGTGCAAATCCGCCTCACAAAGCGCCGTCTCACCGAAATACCCACAGCTCGCAGTCCCTACGCGCCTATCAAGGACAATGTCATTCCACGACATAGAGTGCAGGACACCTACTCGCGACTCAAGACCAGGTACGCGGCCGAGCTGTGCAGCCGCTGGGTTGAGAGCACGGAGCCTAGCAAGCATATCTTTGAGGATCTAGGTGTTGCCGCGTTTCTGATTGAGTTCTGGAGGGAGATGTATGGGTGTGTCCCAGTGGATGAGAGACAGGATTCTTCTACGACTGAGAGCGGACGCGCTGAAGGCGTGGAGAGTACGGAGCTGGACTCGGACTTGAGCTTGAGCTCGAAATTCCCCGGTTTCGTCGACATCGCCTGCGGAAACGGCGTACTTGTCTACATCCTCCTCCAGGAGGGATACCCAGGCTGGGGCTTCGACGCGCGCCGCCGGAAAACCTGGGACATATTCCCAGCCTCTGTGCAGGAGTATCTGCGGGAGGAAATCTATATCCCGAAGCCCTTTGCCGATGAACTCTCTTCGCCGCAAGATCTCAACCTTCCAGGTCTCAAGGGTATAAAAGCACACAGCGCCACCCCACCAACTTTGCCCAGAACCACATTCATCATCTCAAACCACGCCGATGAACTTACCCTCTGGACACCTCTCCTCGCCGCGATCCTCAACCCCACACACCCGCAACCCTTCCTTGCAATCCCCTGCTGCTCGCATTCCCTCTCCGGTGCGAGATATCGATATCCGCCGCAGACCAGCAGCACGTCTAAAGGGAAAGAAAGCACCACAGAATCAGGAATTGGAGAAGGCCCTGACTCAGGGCCTAAATCAGGCGACCTAAAAGCCCTCCGCGCATCCAAACTCACCGCCTCAACGCCGGGTTCCGCCGCATTCAATAAGTCGAGCTACGGCACGCTGACTGAGAAACTAGTTTCTCTTGCGGCGGAGGTGGGGTACGACGTTGAGAAGACGTTGTTGAGGATTCCGAGTACGAGGAATATTGGGGTTCTTGGGCGAATGACGGCGGTGGATGGGGTCGGGGAGGGTGAGAAGGAGATCCTTGATAGGGTTAGCGAGATTGTGGCTCGGGAGTGTGCGCGTGATGGGGGGTTAAATCTTGCTGCGAGGGCCTGGGTTGAGAGGGCGGTTGGGTTGACGGCCGCCGGCGGTGGTTGTGGTGCGAATGGGCAGAGTCATGCGCATGTTTAAGGCTGGATCCCATTACGGCTGTTTATGCATGGTGCGGATATAGAGACAGATAAAAGCAAGATACCCGGATACTTTAGCTTCTGAGATTACAGATACTTTCGAAAATCAGTTGGTGGCTGAGATACTGATGTACATTGATTGGGGACTTTAGCTGCTCTAGATACAAAGAGGAATGACTGGTCTATGAACACAGAGATAATCGCAAGCTGGCTCCCAAGATACCCAAACTCCGGATAAAGTACAAGGCACAAAACCAGAAGATGCCTGTAGAGCGGTCTAGATAGCATTAGTAGAACCGGCCTGAGGCTGCGAGGCCTCCCATTTTCTAACAATCGATAATATGACAAATTCTCCAGTGTAGATGCATATAGTAGGTAGTAGCGTCGAAACATTAATCGGTAACTGTGAGAAGAGATAGCGTGGCGGTATGGTAAAATCATGCAGAACCCCCACTTGAGACATCAGACTCCGGCCGCGAAGCGGAGTCTGCGCCTTTAGGCGTGGCATCGCGTGCCTTCGACGCAGACCCGCCGAGCGCACGTTTCAAAGACGCCGCTCGATTCTTCGCCGCTTCAGACGCAGCAGACCGGGCCGCCGCCGCCGCCGTGGCGCTATCCTTAAGCCGCTTCATACGTTCCGCTCTCCCCTCGCCGGGAAGACCGCCCCAAACAGGCTCGATGGAGTCAGCGCGCCAGTTTGCCCGGTGGGCTGGGAGCGCGTTGTGGAGGGGGATCATGGGGCCGCCGCCGGCGCCGGCCTCACCCCACATGCGGACGCGTTGCAGCTTACGTAGCTTTGCGAGGCCGTAAACGCAGACGAGGGCGGAGATGGCGAAGCAGGTTATGGAGACGGCGCCGAAGCCGAGGTCGGATTCTTCAATGAAGTTTTTCAGGTTCATGCCGTACAGAGCGGAGAAGAGTGTTCCTGTTGCGAGGCCGAGGGTGCCAATGCTGACTTTTAGGTCAAGAAGCATGAGGGAGTTGCGGTTCGCATCGAGGATGGCTTTTACTCTGTTTGGTTTAGTGGTTGGTCTAGAAGTGAGTAGGAGCTTCAAGGCTTACACTTCTTCCGTGTTGCGGATACTGGTCACAAGATTGCCGCTGGCTTGCACGATTTCGTCACATACTTTATGATACGACTCGAGGAGCATCTCGACTTCCTGATGATCCTGTTCCTCTCGATGAACACCCTTTGATCTCTCCGACAGATACATGGAGGCGAGGTCGTCGTCCGCCTCCAGCAGATCGTCGATAGCATCACGAACAAGCCGTGCCTTCTGCTCAAACGTTCCCAGCTTCTTCGAATAAATAAGCAGATGTCGGAGTTTATCCCTGTCAATATCCTCTTCCAGAGCCCGTAGGACTCGTACAACCGGTTCCCGGACGCCGTTGAATTCCTCTTCTAAGCCAGTGGTGACGCTAATAAGCACCGCTTCCAGAGCTCTAAATTCATAAGGCAGAGCACCCGCACCCTGTGTCTGTTTCTGTCGTAATTTCCCTTCCAAGTCATACACGAACAACGACTGCATGTAGGAGTCGGTCGACCCATACGCATCAAAGACCAAGACGCGGTCAGCTTTGATGAGTACGCGGAGATGGAGAAGGTTTATTAGGATAGTACTCGGTCGCACGAAAATATGAGGCAACGTGGAGGAATCGATTTTTCTGAGGTCCCGAGGAAGAAGGCCGTACTATACAGAAAGTTAGCGGCCATCATACTTTAGGTCATCCCGCTCACCTTTGCGATCAGCTCGCTCTTCTTGAAATCCCCGTTCATCAGTGTCACATTCCCGTTCAGATCAAACTCTGTACATCGAAGTCGCAGTTCGTTGGAAGCTTTTGCCGCAAGAGCCCGCGCGAGGCTTAAGTTCCCTTCTGTTCCATCGTCAAGCAGCGTAGGCCCGACACGGTTCTCTGCAGCCGGCGCGTTCTTCCTAGATCCCCAGAGGCTTCGCAAGAGAAGGCAGCTCCTTGTAGAAGAGAACGCCCGGGAGGGTGGTAATCGAGACAGTGAAGGAAAGTCTTTCGAGGTGGCCGGTGAAGCAAACCGTCGTGCAGCGATGCGGCGTCCTGTCGCAGGACTCACGTTCGAGACGAGCCGTGTCTGGACTGACAACACATCAAGCGACACCCGCGAATGTCCCTTCGGCGACACTGAACTAGATGATCGAGTCGGGGGCTTGGGCGAAGCATGACGGCATGCCGATGGCAGGTTCCTTGTGGGCAAGGCCGACTGGGCGCGCAGAAACCGAAGAAGTGAGGCTGAAGGAGCGGAGGGTTTCAATGGCGGGTTTGAGAGCATTTCTGCTGGGTAGTATTGACGGAGAGACCGGCAGCGATTGTGCTGCCCTTGGTTTTCTGGTAATCTCGCATCCACACGTCTCCCGCTTTTTCTGGCTTGGAGTTGTTTCGGATCGACTTTCCGCTCTTCGGATTTTCCGCATACAATGTCAGGGCGGATCAACTCTAATCCGGCTCCGCTCATATACTTCGAAGCGTTCGAGACTTTGACATAACAGTTATCTTTGATTTCTCTATACAAGTTTGACGCTATGAACCAGATTTTGAGCCCCGATGAATGCTGATGACCGTTCAATCGCTGAAAGATGGGTTTTCAATGCTCAAACGCGGACAAGACAGACACGCCTCCATTCAAGGACTTCGCAGCCGATATATAACAGACCAGAGAGGGAAACCCGGAGAAATACAGTCGAACACAGGTATCAAGAACAAAATACGCGAGCCATTCAATGATGTGTATTGGAAAGGGAACCAATTTGTCCATCGCTCACCAATCGTCGTCGTCGTCCTTCTCGTCGTCTGTATTCTGTTAGCGAGATTCATATCTGAAAGGAAGTAGTGACTTACCGCTGCCGCTGACTTTCTGCTTTCTCTTCGCTAGGGCATCTTGCAACGCTCCGGCTAATCCTCCCTGAGGACCGACACCCGAACTAGGAGTTGCTGCTGCAGATGATTCATTAGCCCCTCCCGGGACCATGGCTGCACTCCGATCCCTCTTATCCGAGTCTTTAACCTTTCTCAGCCCACCACCGCTTGATGCTCGAATAGCTGCCATCAGGTCACTCCTATCTCCGCTAGCTTGAGGCAACGGGGGTGTTGCACCCCCAGGAGGTGGAGGAGGTGGTGGTGCGCCAGCTCCAGGAGGAGGAGGGGGGGGAGGTGGTGGTGCACCTGCTCCTGGAGGTGGCGGAGGCGGAGGCGGTGGTGGAGGGGCAAAGCCGCCTGGTGCTGGTGGAGGTGGAGGGGGAGGGGCTGGAGGGCCAGAACTGGCTGGTGGAGGAGGCGGCGGAGGAGGTGGGATGTTTGAAACTGGACGCGCTGGAGGAGCATGGGCCGCAGGTGGCGGTGGCGGAGGCGGAGGCGGCGGAGCAGCGCTTGCCGATGGAGGTGGTGGAATAGGCCGTGAGGCACCAGGTACTGGAGGAGGTAAGGGTGGAGGTTGCGAGGCCGGGCTTCTTGGTGGTGGAGGAGGAGGACCTGGCGCTGCGGCATTGGGAACCTTCGGAGGAAGTTGTGGCGGGGCTGCAGGGCTCACTGTACGAGGCGGAGGAGGTGGAGGACCTGGGGCTAATGGGCTTCGACTGGGAGGAGCCGGAGGAGCTGACACCTTCCGCTCCCCTTGGAACGGGGGAGGAACCCCAAACCGAGGTGCTCCATCATCCATTGGAGCTTTCGGCGGCCGGGGCGGAGGTGGGGGCCCGGGCCCTGGATTAGCGCCTGACGCCGCTCGCGGGCGGGCAGGCGGAGCGGGGCTAATTGTATGGGCAAATTTACCAGCATCTGCGATGGGCGGCGGCGCGCGAAACCTCATCCGCGGCGGTGAGGGCTCTCGAGGAGGTGTTGGAGCCGCATCTTCCTCCGGCTTGGCTGGAGTCTTGCGTGATGGTGGTGGTGGTGGAGGGGGCGCACCGCGACGACTACCCGCACTGTTGCCGGTGTTTTGGGGGCTGAGGGCGCCAGCCTTCGGGGCAGGTGGTGCGGAAGGAGGAGGTGGTGGTGGGGGCGCTTTTCCTCTTCTTTGGTCGTCGGGTGGTGTCACAGATTCTGGTTCGCTGGCCTGCTTTTGCTCAATATACGACTTTATGAAGTCAGCGTTCTCTGCAATTTGGTCTTCAGTGAAACCCATCTGCTCAAGCTCGGCTAGTACACCCTTTATTTGAGGATCACTAGTGTCAAATGGTAACTCCTTGCGTGGAGGGGTAGCTGCCGGAGGAGGTGGCGGCGGGGCGATCTGAATTGACGGTGCAGGGGGCAATTCCACTGGGATTGCTGGGGGCGCGTGTGAGGCCGAAGACGACCGGTGTCCTAGCAGGCTGCCGAATAGCGACCGGCCTGACTTCCCATTGGCAACGGGGGTTGGACCTTGCCCTCGTGTCGAGGCGAAAGGAGTCTGGCGTGTCTCTTTGCTTCCATTCTTTTCTCTCTCTATCATCTTCTTGATGAACGTCTTTGCCTCTTTCTCATCCGCGAAGGAGAGAGCCGCGGGGCAATCGTCCAGCTCGAAGGTGTGGAAGAATGTTCGGTCTTGATTATACTGGAAGTTCTCGTAGATTTCTTGATCCCAGATGACGCCTTTCCCTGCAGGCTGCACCTCACGGAGACAATGCACCATCAGCAAGTGTTTCGTAAGGAGACGAGGGCCTAGCACTCACCGATACATCCACCAGCTTCAACCAGAACGTGCGCCCGACCAAGTCGTTCGCCAGCACAACAGCGCCCTGTAAACCAGTATATGTCCATCTGTGCGGATCTGGATAAGCCACATATAGTCGCGCAACCGCTACTGCATGTATCTTATTCGCCGGCTTCGGGACATTTCTCTTCACCGTCTCCTTGTCGGCGTCGCTGAGGATACTCGGCATGTCGGATCAAGTGGGATGTGGAAAAAATCGCGAGTTCGGGGAATATGGGAGACTGAAAGAATACGAGCTTTGATTTAGCTCAGGGAAACATCTCAGGTATGATGCGAGAGCCTGGCAGCGGGGACGGTTCGTTTCTAGAGACAGAAGGTAGCTGAACCTGTCGGCGGGCGGGCGGCCGGTCGAACTTGAGGAATCGAGTCTTCACTTAGAAACTCAATTATACCAGAATATGGCGGTGTATGAGAGGAGAAGTTCCAGGTAAGATTATGAAAGAGAAGCGCAGGTCGGCTGGATTGAGTGAGGTGAGTGAGAGAGACGGAGTGGAGTTGCAGGCGCTAGACAAGAGGCACCGCCCAGTGGGGAAGAGCCATGCGACACAACAACAACCTTACGATGTAGATACTAGACCATTAGGCTAGTCTGATCCTACAATGTGGCGGAACAGGGTCTTGGGGGACATTATTTTGTGTATTCCCTACGTTCAATCTGATAGCCTATGGGGGAAAAACCCCCCAAAGAATGAAAAGATGTATCTGTTGGGTGACAATATATACATTGCGCCCGAGACACTACTACGATACTCAATGAATAAAGAGACAACAGAGCATGTAATAAGAGAGCAGCCAGGCGACCAGGTTTCATAAGAGCCTCTTCTACTACTCCTCAAAGCCTCTGGCGTCTGTCGTTTACTAAAGTGACGTCATCTCCTCCAGGCTCTCTCTCTATATAAAAACTTCCAGGCAGCTTCTTTCTTCATTTTGACTATATCTTTTAATTCAGACCATCAACAATAGCTTTTTTTAAACCAGAATATCAAGCCTCACACCTGCACAAATGCCTGTCATTCCGGACCCCAGCACCTTCGCCCAAGGGAGCAACGACGACTCCAAGTCCCAAAAGCAGAACAAGAAGCCCACCGCCCAAGATCATATCTCGAAGGGCCCTCAGATCCCTGACAGTGAGTGGTACTTTTGTTAGCCTATGTTAAATTCTTGACAGCTAATCATCATACAACTTCGAAACGCAGACATGCCACCCAAAGCGTCTCGAGAGGAAATCGAGGCACGCATGAAGGAACTGAACAAATGAGCCACATGTTTCTATCCGATATGATGTAACTTATCTTTATGAGAGCATGACCTGTGATCCTACTTCTACTTTAATCTACCAATACTATCAACGAAATTCATCCCTGACGGTCGCATGAGCAGACTCCGTAAAGTGCCATGCCAACTAGTAGGACTGTTCAATCGCACGTTAACAGATCTCGTCATAAGTACTCCGGAATGATTAGGGAGATATGGTCGTCAACGAAGCAAATTCAAATAAAATGAGCTTGCTGTGGAGAGAGCTGCTTGTATGGATTGCATCATACCACGTGATCTCGTGTGTCACCTTGTGCCTCACTTCGCGCGCAGAAATGCTATACTCGCGTCAAGAGGCTCCTCATGCCGCCCCAACGTCAGACTGCTCCGGTGAAGCTGTCCTTGCCTTTAGTATGTGCTATGGTCCTTCCTATCTTGTTTCGCTCCAGCTGACGGATTGCAATCCAGCAATATCAGCAAGACATCTTCACCGAACTCCGCGGAGAGGATGAGCTGGTCATCCTCGCCCGAGGCCTGGGGCTTCTCCGCCTGATAAGCAACCTGCTACACTTCTACGATGCGGCAGGGAATAATCTAGTGCTACTGGTTGGTGCTGACGACCGGGAGAATGAATGGATAGGCGAGGGTATGTTGAATCACCGGCGTAATTGCTTCATGCGGAATTATACTGACGACACTATAGCTCTGGCAGAGCATTATGCTATCAGCAAGACTCCACTTGCGAGGGGTCTTAAAGTTATCAACACGGATAGGGCAACGGTACCAATGCGGTGCGTGCTGTTCCCGGTTACGAGCTATATGGATATTAACGGCGACCTAGAGAGAAGATCTATGCCGAAGGTGGTATTCTGAGCGTAACATCAAGAATACTGGTTGTGGATCTCTTGTCAAGTATGTACTGTTGTCCGACCTCTATTTTCGCTTTCATGCTACTTACACATTTCTAGAGTTACTAGACCCAGAAAAGGTCACTGGGTTGGTTGTACTTCACGCTGACAAGTAAGGTCCTGTTCCTGGATATATGGGGTACCATCCACTGACTGAGACAGAATTATTGCGACCTCAACCGAGGCGTTTATCATTCGGATCTATCGCCATGCCAACAAGAGTGGCTTTCTAAAAGCGTTTTCGGATTCACCAGAACCTTTCTCAACAGGATTTGCGCCTTTAGCCAATTATCTCCGAAACCTGTTTCTACGGAAAGCTTCGCTATGGCCACGATTTCATGTCACCGTTGCCGAGTCGTTAGAAGGCCATAGGAAAGCTGAAGTAATTGAGCTTGAAGTTCCTATGAGCGACAAGATGCGTGAGATACAAAATGCTGTGCTTGAGTGCGTGGAACTCTGTATCGGGGAGCTCAAGAAAGCAAACACGGGCCTCGATATGGCTGACTGGACTCTGGATAGTGCTTTGCATAGGAGTTTTGACATTGCGATCCGTCGACAGCTCGACCCGATGTGGCATCGCGTGAGTTTCAGAACAAGACAGATTGTTAATGATCTCACTGATCTGAGGGCTATTTTGCAGTGAGTGAAAAATACATATCTTACCACTCCGACTCTAGCCACTAACAGCACTCAGTGCCCTGCTCACCTATGATGCTGTGTCATTTGTGAAATATCTAGATACCATTGTAACCGCACATTCTCCGCCCCCTGGCTCCAACAGACACAATTATTCACCGTGGTTGTTTCTCGACGCAGCACATGTTCTTTTCAAGACCGCCAAATCTCGAGTTTATGAAGGGAAAATTGGCAACGATGCGGCTCGTTCGTCAGCGACATCTCTACCAACGACCCTTCGACCTGTTTTGGAAGAACAGCCCAAGTGGGACGTCTTGGCTGAAATCCTCGAGGAAATTGAAACCGACGCTCATCTCAACCCAGTCAATACAGACGAATCGAACAGCACTGTACTGATCATGTGTACCGACCAACGAATCTGCCGGCAGCTTCGGGAATACCTGGGAACAATGCACACAAAAGTGGAGAATGAGACTCAAGATGGAGCCGATGATGATGAAATGGAGCAAGAGAAGACTCGCTCCGCAGATGTGATGCTGCGTAGGCGTCTAAGGGAGTATATTGACTGGAAACACTCACTGTCAAATGTCAGCAGAAATTTGTCTGGACAACCAGCCAACGAGAAAAGTCAAACAGGGTCAGGCCGAGATTCACCACTGCCTCTCAACCCACCAGGGAGACCACCCCCGAATAAACGACGCCGAGTCCGCGGTGGTGGTGCAGTTTCAACTGTCTCAACCCCTGGCCGCGGTCCGAATGACAGCGTCCAGGCCGATAGCGAACCTTCAGAACAGATGGCCGGTCTATTGCAAGAGATCCAACCTACAGAAACCGAAGAAACCCAAAAGGAGGAAGTTATAATTGACGACTTCGAAGAGATGGAAGACTTTTACGAGCTCTATGATATGGATGACTTGGTAATGGTGCATCCGTACGATGGAGATGTGGACGAACATATCCTCGAAGAAGTCCGGCCTCGATACATTATCATGTATGAGCCTGATCCGGCCTTCATTCGACGAGTGGAGGTGTACCGTAGCTCTCATGCGGGGAGGAATGTGCGAGTGTACTTCATGTACTACGGCGGCTCTGTAGAAGAGCAGCGTTATTTAAGTGCAGTCCGGCGAGAGAAGGATTCATTTACGAAGCTCATTAAGGAAAAAAGTGTAAGGGCCTCTTTATCCTCCCTATTTCACAACCAAACTAACCAACTGTATCTGACAGAACATGGCCGTGACAATAACCCACGACAAGAGCCTCGAAGACCCTCAAGAACAATTCCTCCGCACTGTCAACACCCGCATCGCCGGTGGCGGCCGCCTCACGGCAACAGCCTCACCCCCGCGCGTTGTCGTCGACGTTCGAGAATTCAGGAGCGCCCTCCCTTCCCTTCTTCATGGCAACAATATGATCATCGTTCCCTGCCAGCTAACAGTCGGCGACTACATCCTCACTCCGGATATCTGCGTCGAACGCAAATCTGTCCGCGATCTCATCTCCTCCCTCCGCAACGGCCGCCTTTACAACCAAGCCGAAACAATGCTACAGCACTACAAAACTCCACTCCTGCTCATCGAATTCGACGAGAACAAATCATTTACCTTTGACGCCTTCACTTCCGCCACAACACCGGGCACAACCTTTCTCACTGACTTCGGTTTCACCTCCTCAGGAACTGCAACAACCACCCTATCAACCAGCAGTTCCCTCGTGAACCCAAACAGCCCCAAATCCGCACAACATCTTCTTGTCCTTCTGACGCTCGCCTTCCCCCGACTGAAAGTAATATGGTCTTCCTCGCCATACCAAACCGCTGAGATATTCGCCGAATTGAAGAAAAAGGCCGCCGAGCCGGACCCCGTTCGAGCCGTCCAGATCGGCCTAGATCTCGATATTGACATGGATACGGGCTCCGGCGACGTCATGACGGCTGCGGGGGTCGAGCATAGGACGTTTAATCTGCAGCCGCAGGAGATGTTGAGAGCTGTTCCGGGGATTACGCCTCAGGTCTTGGAGAGGTTGATCTTGCAGACGGGTAATATTGCTGAGATTGCAAATATGGACGTTGAACAATTGGATCCATTTATGGGGAAGGAGGCTGCGAGGAAGGTTGTTGGGTTTTTTAGAAAAAGTGTTTTTGAGGGGGGCTAAGCTTGGTGCTGTTTGCTGGGACTTTGATTATTATGTACTACGTAGATACCAGATAAATCATTGTTTGGAAGTCGTAACCCTTTCATTAATCTATCATCCAAGCTTTTTCAACAAGAAAAGAAGGAGCGAGTAGAAAGAGACACAGAAAAAGTACCACGGGCACGAGGTACGACAGCAGAGCCTGACACCGTAGCGCCGCGATCCTTTCTCTGCAATACCCGGAAAACGCCCCCCACGATGTTAAATATGTGCTGGAGAAAAAAAAATATACCCAATCTATCGTCATCATGGAGGGGTCCTCCGGAATTCCCAATATCGATGGTCCATACTGTGGAGCTTGGGGGAGCACTGGTTTTGGAGGATGATAAGCCGAAGCGGGGAGGCACCGCAAGCCTCAATACTCGTCATGGGTCTACCACCGAGCCGAAGTAAGAGTCTCTTCGGGGGGTAGTGATTAGGCCATGCCGGTGGTAGGAACGAAAAGGCCGAGTATTGTCGAGGCTGGCGGGAAGAACCCAGTGGCTCTTGTGGGAGTATGAATGCAAAGATATTGGGAGGTAGGTGAGGTTTTTAGAGCTCGTCGATATCGACGTCCTTCTCGTCTTCGCTGTCGCGGTCCTCGTCGAACTCGACGTTGTCCTCGAAACCTTCGTGACCGTAGGTGTCGGTTTCGTTGATCTTAGCGTGCTCGGGCAGTTCGCCGTAGGCCTTCAGACTTCTGGCCTCGTCGGCAGTGTACTTCATGATCACGTCGCCCTTTTCGTCTTGGTAGTCACGCAGCGAGAGAAGGATGATATCACCCTGGTTGATCCAGACTTTCTTCCTCAGCTTGCCTCGGATGTGTGCGAGACGTTTTTCGCCGTCGAAGCAGAGTGCCTCGAGACGGCCGTTGCCGAGCATTTTCACGACCTGCGCATACTCCTGGCCTTCCTCCTTGAAGACGAGTTCACGCTTCTCGTTGTCGTTTTCGTTCTTTCCACGACGACGGTTCTTACCGCCCTACACAAAAAATATACGTTAGCAACATTGTTCCATGTGATAAATTGACAAGTCAAAGCCATTTGAATCCGAATCTCATTGTCAAACGCTCGCTCACTACTACACCACACGCTACGCCCGGCGAAATATGATTGCCGTTGGAAATGGTGTGGTAGCGGTAGAAGGCGAAGTTGGGCAGCACAGAAGCGAAAAGTTTGGCGGGGCGGGTTTGTACAGAGGAGAAAAGGATAAGATCATACCTTTCCCTTATTCTTGGGCATGCTGGAAGGCTCCCTAGCAGTTCGAGCTTGCTGGGCTAGCGATACCTGATCAAAAGATCGAAAAAAGAGACCGGAGTCTGAGGGTGAGAGGTTGATGGGCAGCTGAAGCAACGTGGAAGTGGGGGGCGGTTGTGCCTTTAAAACTCGTCTTTCAAGCAAGTTTGTGATGGCTTATGTCAGCGTTATGTGGCGGCCTGAGGCTGCCTAAGGCTTGAACAAACCAGTCTCACCGCCCTGGACATATTATCTTCCATGCTTCTGCTTCGGCTTAGTTTTATACGGAGTTGGGATTTCAAGCTGTTAAGATATATGGTCTGTCTCCTTAAATTACATTTCTAGTCTTTTCCTCATTGATCTAACCTTGCCAGACGTAAGGATAACTTCCGTATACTCGTGATTCCATACATTTATGCCCTCCGGCTGTCAATGATCACCGACTATCTCTCTATCGCCTCCGCGTGTGCCTCCCCCAAAGACGCTTCCCTTGAAGATGAAACAACATGCTTGGGCAACGAAGCAGTTAACGCTTAAACTTGATCTGCAAAACACTCCATCAAAGATCGCTCTTCGCTATATGTCTAGGGAACATTGCCCCATCCGTCCCAAAATCAAATGGTTATCTGAAACTCGGGATAAAGATACGCTATGGTGGAGGGTCTCGACGTCAGAGATAGTAGATCTTCGGCGAGTGGTCCGGTCCTGGCATAGCCGAAGAGCGCGTAAGGCTTTCGGAGAAGAGTTGAAAGCCCGGGGCTTTGATTATAAGGGCAGGAAGTTACCATCAGACACACAGGGTTTGGCTACGGCTGAGCAGTTTCACGGGAATATGAAAGGAACCGTTACTCTCCAGCTTCGTCGGCACTGTCTCCAGGGAAATTTTACCACGATGCGCCAGGAAGTGAAGACTTTGGTCGACAATCTGCTGAAGTTTCAACTTGAGAATCAGCAGAAGCAACCTCGAGACAGCGAGATCCCGAATAGGAGGAGGAAGTCCGGGGGTTTCTCTCCAACGCGGAAGAAGATGCAAATCTCAAGCGGCAGGGCGCAAAGGGGTTGTTACTAATAAGAGTTGGCGTTTCCTTGATGGTCATGAGGATGATACCCATGTATTATTATTCGATCTTATCTTATAGACTGTAAACATACACACAATGCCCACTATTTTGGCTTGGGAGCGAAATCGGTCCGGTTTACCTAGGATCTTGAATCGGGTAAAAAACATAGTCCTTGCGCGACAGGCACGCGGCTCCCTTGCGCTCCGCGGTCTGGCTCAGCTTGGCAGGTTCGCTAACTACTGCCGATCTCCAGACTGCATCAACAGCCAACTTTCATCTACTATCGGACAAGAAAACTGATCAGGCCATCTCGCATCCCCATCCAGTCTTCCACCGCCCCAGTTCATGCGCTGTGAATCGCCCAGCTAGTCTCTTCGTGCCTGTCCGCCAGAATGCTGGTCTCCTTAACCGTTGGAAAGGTCGATGCTGGGGTCGCCGTCCTATTGACCCAGGACAATCGCCTCGTAAGCCCTTCCCGTCTAAAGAGATGTGTGCATTGGGCAGATGGCTGCTCGTTCCCGACGCATCTTCAGGGCTCTCTTGAAGAGCCTGAAAGCAATGGCTTTCCAGACTAATCATCCCACGTGGCTTCCAATAATGCTAATCTCGCTCTTAGATTGAATTCCCCTCTGTCCTGCTCCCCAATAATATAACCTCCGGCAGCATCGTCGATATCACCGTATCGCGAAACAATGCTGCAGAAGCTGCCAACGCAGCTGCTTTCCAAAGCCTCCAAAAACGAATCCTCAACACCTACGGCATCAAGACCCCCTCCCCACCCATCCTTCGTCTACGCAATGCCACGCAAACCTCCCTTGTCCTCGAATGGGAACCGATCGACTTGGCCACCGCATCCCTAAAGTCCATGTTCATATATCGCAATGGATCTAAAGCTGGGTCTATTCCCAAACCCCTCGAGCAGCGCTGCACCAAGATAAGTGGTCTGGCCATTCACACCGAATACACTTTCCACCTCGTTCTACGCACGACCGCGGGAACGTATCAGTCGGAGAAGTTGACTTGCCGGACACACAAGATGACAGATCTGTCCGGTATCACTGTCGTCACCGGCGTCCTTCATCCCCAGCGCAAGGAGGCGCTCGCTGCGGCCCTCGACCGCATTGGCGGAAAGCTCGTCGACTCAGTCCGACTCGATACTACACACTTCGTCTGCTCTGAGGGCCGAGGTCCGCTTTGGGAAAAGGCGGTCCAATTGAACATTCCGGTCGTTGTACCCGAGTGGGTGGATGCTTGCGAGGCAGAGGGCACGATCGTCAGTGTCCGAGGATACTACTTAAACGCAGATCCCAAGGCTAGACAGCTCGGGCATATTTCTGGCTCGACACAGCACCAGCGGACCACATCCTCAATAACTTCACCTACGCGTCAATCTCAATCGCAGTCCTTGTCACTCCCGCCAACTCAAGAAAGGGATCAGACTACCCCTGAGCCGCCCACAACACCGTTCCCTGGCGCAAATATGAGCGGCCAGCCAAAGGCGGAAGATGACGATAGAGTTTCTTCAGAGGATGAGTCCTCCCCTCCCCTACCTCCACCAAAGGACGAAGAGCCTGAGGCTACGGAGTCGCCCGAGACGCCGCCAAAGGATCAGCCCGAAACAAACGGAGAGTCAAAGTCAGAAGAGGTCGATTCTCAGTCTGAGGAAGACCAAGAAGGAACGCAAGATGTCAAAGCCGAAAGCCCGCATGAGCCAATCGAGGAACCGAAGGCCGACGGTTCATCCAGCACTGAACTAGATGATAAGGACAAAGCAAAGGAGAACTCGGAATCGGATTTCAACGAAGTACCTCTTTAAACGAATATCCAGCGTTGCTTGCTTGCGAGTATATATCCCGTCCTACCTGGTACGACTTCTGCCGAATTGACCTTCAACTTGCCTTTATCCTTTTCGTTTACCCTTTTACGCATGTCTATGATTCGACAGCCTCCTTTATCTCTAATTTCGTTCCTGCTCTGTTCTCCTGACCATTCTTATTAGCTATCAATCTGTATAGTAGACACGTAAAGTTAGACGGTTTTGTTTTCAAGCTCTACGAGTAATACATCTTCCAATGACGATTCGTCATCTCCTAACACTGTTTAGCAAGCTTGTAGTAAGCCATACTAATACTGTGCTAATTGAAGACCCTGCAACCTAAATATATCTTAATTGCACTGCGTTCTTGAATCATAGGCATTACGAAGAACATATATCTCGTCTAAACCATCTATGCACGCTAAACAAGAATATACGTGACCCATCTCATCGTACCTTGTTACTATATACAAACCCCGTCGTCAATTCATCTCAATTGTTGAATTGATGTTGATTAGTTGACGTTTCTCACAACCTCATCAATCGCCCTCGCAACGTAGTTTACGTTCTTCGGACTCAGCCCGCTGATCGAGGCTCTCCCGGACTTTAGGAGGTAGATGTGGTATTTGTCCTTGAGCGCGTAGACTTGCGACGGAGTTAGGCCTGTGTAGGAGAACATTCCGTTCTGGATGCGAGTTAGAAAGAGAATATATATCAAGGTATATCATATGTTTCTGGGAGGATGGCGGTACGTACCTGTTCAACGATATGCTTCCACGTCCCCGGCGTCTGGAGACGAACGAGCTCATTGTACAGAGCCTGGCGCATGGAGATAATGCGCGAGCTCATGGTCTTGAGATCATCGTGCCACTGCGCGGTGAGCTCAGGGCTCGTAAGGACCTTCTTCACGATGCTGCAGCCGGCCGTCGGACCCATCGAGTATTCCCCGCGAATGAGGTGGCAGAGGTTAACGACGACCGTGTCGCGGAGATCCTGCGAGCCGTCGTTGAGGACGTAGTGGAATGCGCCGACGCGCTGGCCGTAGAGGCCGAAGTTCTTGGAGAAGGATTGCGCAACACACATTTCCATCTGTGGCTTCTCGTTGAGGACGTAGCGGACGGCCCAGGCGTCTTCGTCTGCGGAACCCGAGGCGAAGCCCTGGTAGGCGGAGTCGAAGAAGGGGAAGAGGCGCTTGCGCTCGCAGAGGTCGATGATGGCTCTCCATTGCTCCTTGTTGGGGTCTAGCCCTGTGGGGTTGTGGGCGCAGGCGTGGAGAAGAACGACGTCGCCTTCCTCTGCTTCGGATTCGAGGGTCGACATCATGCCGGTGAAGTCGAAGGAGCGTGTGGCGGCGGCGTAATAAGGGTATGTCTTGCGGGGAACGCCGGCGAGTTCCCAGATGGTGAGGTGGTTAGCCCAGGAAGGGTTGGAGAGCCAGACAGTTCTAGGCTTCATGTGGCGCGCGAGGAAGATGGCGCCGAGGTGGTTTGCGCCGGTTCCCGCGACCGTTTGGACGGTGCCAATGCGTGCTTTCAATGCTTCGTCTTTTGCGGAGGTGGATTTGGAGTCAAAGCCGAACATCAGGTCCCGTGCCAGCGGGAGAAAGGCAATGTCGCCCTCAATGGCTGTGTACTCATGGCGGAAGAGGTTGTTGTCCTCGACAAGCTGCTTCTCTGCTTCCTCGACAACGGGCAAAGGCCATGGCTTGCCCTCGTTGGTGCGGTAAACACCTACACCGAGGTTGACCTTTTGCGGGTAGTCATCGTTGGTGTAGGCGCGGTTCAGGGCGAAGATCTCGTCCGGGGGAACTGGGGACACGGTGAGAACAGTCATTGTACTTGATGTCAATGCAAAGGCCCAGTGGAGGTCCAATTGTGCAAATGCGAAAAGTTGGGAACACAAGTGGAGAAGCAAGAATGTGCTTTTTATACTTGGCGAGATATCCACGAGTTGAATGAGTCAGGGCGTTCCTCGGTAGATCTTGTTATAGTGCCTGTCAAGAGGAGCCAAAGCATCTGCAAAAGCCTGGGGAATCTCGTCAAAATATACTTGCACGCCCGAGACTTGGTTTTTGGCCCGATATCGCCATTGTAAGTGGTCCCGGATGTTCGATCTTCATTGTTATTGGTTTCTGGAAAATTTTCGATTGGAACCAGGCAAAACCGAACCGATGCAAAGCCGCTAACCTGGGAAGACCGAGTACGGATCTACTGAGAGTACGAGTAACCCATCTCGTGCAAATTCTGTGTCTGACGGTCTGACCAAAGGTCTCCGTCCTGATGTCAGTGCCAATAAGGAATTCATAACCTCAGTGGCTATGATTATGCGAAGACTTGGCCGCGTGCATGAGACCCGATTCAGATCCAAAGGATCTGCTCGACCCGGGAGCTTGACCGGCAGTTCTCCTTGATTATTGCATGGACTCGTCAATCATGAAGTCAATAGTAGTGAAGTCAGAAGTCAGCTGGAACAATATCCCCAGGGCCGAGAAGTCATCCGCCTGCGGGAAATAGCCGTCGATAGCCGAGCCGCACCTTGAGCAGGCCCACGCAAGATCGGTCCTGTGAGATGATAAGACAAGATGACGGGCTTAACGATGGAGGATGCGGAGTCGAAGGTAGTAGTATGTTGGAGGAGCCCACTTGGAGACAGACGAGATAACGTGGAGACAGACGAGATAACGTAACGTGCTTTGAGACAACCCCCGCACCCAGAGCACAGCATGCAACTCAGCTTCATCTGCTCTGTTGACCTCACATTCAATACTGTCGTCATTATCGTCCCATATCCTCCTCGATTATTTCTACTTGCCTCAGTGACCAATGGCAGGAGACAAGGACCTGCATGAGCTACGCCCTGCGTTCATCGTGCAGCCTCTTCACAATAGTATCCCTCCTGAGCTGCTGCCTCGCTTTGACCCCGTCTACGTAGAGTACTATAACAAGTACAATGCAGGGCGCCTCCATACCCATGAGGTGCCGATAGACGCCTTTCGCAAAGATCCGGCAAAGTACCTGACCGTCTATGGCCGTGCTGCAGGCCCGGATATTTTCCGCATCACTGAGCAAAGGTGCCCGGTTAAAGACGGAGAGATCAAAGTCCGTATCTTTGAGCCCGCGCCTATCCTTGATGAACAAGGTCAGCCAAAGAAAAGAGCTGTCTACATTAATTTCCACGGCGGAGGCTGGGTTTTCGGAAATCTTGCCACAGACCATGACTTGTGCAAACGACTGGTGGAGGGCCTCGATGGTCATCTGGTAGCGTTTGATGTGGACTATCGGCTGGCACCAGAGCACAAGTTTCCTACCCCAGTGGACGATTGCTGGGCGGCCTTCAACTGGGTTCGTCACTCAATGACCCAAGGCGGACATCTCGGCTGACGTGAACCTTAGGTCCGGTCCCTAGCAAACGATTTCAACCTTGACCTAGATAGGATATCGGTTGGCGGTGCATCGGCTGGAGGCCATCTTGCGGCGGTGATAGCACACTACTGCCGAAACAATGGCATTCCTCTTGCGCTGCAGGTCCTCGTCGTGCCGGTCTGCGACTTACACAGCCCATTCACGCCGGCAGGAGAGTTTGACCGAGAGAAGTGCCCGTACGAGTCATATCGAGAGATGGAACATACGGTGGCACTTCCGGTTGCGAGGATGTCGTATTTCCATAAGCATTTCCTGGGGGTGCCTCGACCTGCTCCATCAAAGGAGGTAAGCTTGGACCGCCCTTCAGTTGTTGTCGGTATCTGTCTGACTTAATCCAGGACTGGAAGATATCGCCGATGTTGGCCACCGATTTCTCGAAGCTGGCGCCGGCCTTGGTCTTCAATGCCGAAATGGATCCTCTCCGAGACGAAGCCGAAGTATATGCAGACAAGTTGAAAGCAGCCGGCGGACGAGTGGAACTTGTCCGGGTTGCAGGCGCTCCGCACACCTTCTGCGGCCTGGATGAGATCTTGGAATCGGGTAAGATGTTCAACGCAAAGGTAATTGAGACAATGCGAAAGGAGTTTATCGCGTAGTTGGTCCAGCGCAGAGATCTTCGTGCTCAAGTCGTGGAGGAATCAAGAGAAAGACCGAGAGGATTTTGGTTTATCCGCCTGTCCCTGTGACCATACCATACCAGGGTCTTAGACAGTTTCTCCATAGCCTATAGTAATATATACGGTGCAATACCGGGCCGGGAGAAATCGGCCGGCGCTCTCGGACGGCAGCAGAAGAAAAGCAGAGAAGGGTCTCTGAAGCTCTTCGAAAGCGCATTCTGGCTGCTCTTCTTTAAGTCTGTTGTGTTGGCCGCCTTTCGGAGCGCTCTTTTCTCCCTTCTTTTCTTCTCCTCAAGGGTACATATCCCCCAATCGCATTAATACTATCTTGAACACACTCAACTCTACCCTCGGGTTCCCGTCATTTTATACACGCCGGCATTTCATCTTTCGTCATGACCTCCCGAACCGCGGTGCGCTCTGTGAGCAGCTTGACACATGCGGTAGCCAAAGCGTCCAGCACTTCCCCCGCAGTGGCCCGCAGTGGCCTGACGTTGGCTGCTCGTTCCCCCGCCTCGTTCACTAGCCGACGCTCGCTCAGCTCCAATAGCCGACACCTACAACAGTTCCCCCGCCTTCAGTCCGTCCAGTCTTTCTCTCACAAGAGAGCCTTCAGTTCAACCGTCACAATGGTACGTATCAACCGCATCTCGGACAGGACCCAGGATGAACCCGTGGTTAGCAGCTTGAAGCAGTACTGACTTCACTTGTATAGGCTTCCGAAACCCGCACTGAGAGCGATGCCTTCGGCGAGATCCAGGTACGTCAGCGATTCCGACGAACTTCTACAATGTCTGACCGAGTCCGATATAGGTCCCCGCCGACAAGTACTGGGGTGCGCAAACTCAGCGGTAAGCCACTCGTCACATGAATACATGGTGGATACGGGCTACAGACAGGCGCTGACGGACGGTAGTTCTCTGGGCAATTTCGACATCAACCAGCCCCAGGACCGCATGCCCGATGCCGTCGTCAAGGCATTCGGTATCCTGAAGGGTGCTGCTGCTACTGTCAACATGAAGTATGGTCTCGGTAAGCGCTTCGCGACAGGTATTCCGGCCAAGAAGCTCGTGTTGACGCTCTATAGACCCCAAGATCGGCGAGGCTATCAAGCAGGCTGCTGCTGAGGTTGCTGAAGGCAAGCTTTTGGACCATTTCCCTCTTGTCGTCTGGCAGACCGGCTCCGGCACTCAGTCCAACATGAACTCCAACGAGGTCATCTCCAACCGCGCCATTGAAATTCTCGGCGGCAAGATGGGCACCAAGAAGCCTGTCCACCCCAACGACCACGTCAACATGTCTGCTTCCTCCAACGATTCCTTCCCCACTGCCATGCACATCGCCGCTGTTGTGGAACTCGAGAACACTCTCCTCCCTGCCTTGAAGAGCCTCCGTGACGCTCTCCAGAAGAAGGTCGAGAACTTTGAGCGCATCATCAAGATCGGTCGTACCCATCTGCAGGACGCCACCCCTCTTACGCTTGGCCAGGAGTTCTCTGGCTACGTTGCCCAGCTCGACCGCAACATTGAGCGCGTCAATGCTTCTCTGCCTCACTTGCGCTACCTCGCACAGGGTGGTACTGCCGTTGGTACTGGTCTGAACACCTTCAAGGGTTTCGACGAGGCCATTGCCGTCGAAGTCAGCAAGCTCACCGGCACCGAGTTCAAGACTGCCCCCAACAAGTTCGAGGTTCTCGCTGCCCACGACGCCATTGTTGAGGCATCTGGCTCTCTCAACACCCTTGCCAGCTCCCTGTTCAAGATCGCCCAGGATATCCGTTATCTCGGATCCGGCCCTCGCTGCGGTCTCGGCGAACTCATCCTCCCCGAGAACGAGCCCGGTTCCTCCATCATGCCTGGCAAGGTCAACCCTACCCAGTGCGAGTCCCTGACCATGGTCTGCTCCCAGGTTATGGGTAACCACGTTGCTGCCACCATCGGCGGCATGAACGGCCAGTTCGAGCTCAACGTCTTCAAGCCTCTGATGATCCGCAACCTGCTCCACAGCGTGCGCATCCTCGCTGACGGCATGAAGAGCTTCGAGAAGAACCTCGTCGTTGGCCTTGAGGCTAATGAGCCCAGAATCAACGCTCTTCTCCACGAGAGGTAAGTTTTCTATATGTCTTTTGATCTGGCTCATACTAACGTCAGTAGTCTGATGCTTGTCACCTGCCTGAACCCCGTCATTGGCTACGACATGGCTTCCAAGGTCGCCAAGAACGCTCACAAGAAGGGTCTCACCCTGAAGCAGAGTGCTATGGAGCTCAAGGCCCTTAGCGAGGAGGACTTCGACAAGTACGTCCGTCCTGAGCTGATGCTGAGCCCTAAGGAGAAGAAATAGACGTAAGCATTCTTGATAGGTTTGGGAGGGTGTTCTACTAGAGTGGTATAAAACATTGTAGCGAAGTTAGCTATTGACTTGTATATTGAATATATGTATCATTTCTACACAATGTATACTTCGTTTCCTTCTTTTTCAAACTCGACAGTCTTGGAGAAAATCGGTCCCTGCTTGGCGTGTCTTGGTTATTTTTGGAACTCAACTACGTTTAGTAGCTGGACCCTTTTCGCCACTCCTCTCCATGTTTACTACGAAGGAAGTCATGGCGAATTGACTATGGAATGATCCTCCTTCATATAATCCGACGGAACCAAACTCTCTAGATCTCGAAGTGTAGAACCAGGTCTAAAAATACTTCTCGCCGTCCAATCCGTGAGTGTTTAGAGTGGGACCGTGGTTCAGCTCCGACAAGTTCTCCTGGTATAAGGTACGGAACTCCGCCTCAACCCTTCCTTTGTTGACAGTTTTTCATCTCCCTCGCCTCCTCGAATTCCTTTGCGCTTCAATCGCATTCTTGCTACTCATGTTCAAGCCTCCCATTGACCAATTGATCTTCAAGTCACTTTGAAACGGCAATCACTCAAGACAGCCACTCAATCGCGACTCACCGCTGAATTGACCCCTCGCACCCCTCTTATTCGTGACATCTCGAAGTCATCACATCTTCTTCCTTCCAGCCACAGGTCAACTGTCTATTGAACAATCCGCCTCAACCATTCGACCGATCGACACCTATCACAATCACAATGACCAACTCAACCACCCCGGAAACCCCCCTCTTCTCAACAACCCTCATCTCCCCCACCGTCTCCGCCTCCCTCCCAGAGGGCTACAAGCTGCGCCCTCTCGCGCGCTCCGACTACAACAAGGGCTACCTCGACGTGCTGCGCGTTCTCACAACCGTCGGCGACATTTCAGAGGAAGCCTGGAACACGCGGTACGACTGGATCTCCGCCCGCAATGACGAGTACTACATGATTGTGATTGAGGACGAGAAGGGCGCAATCGTCGCAACGGGGAGCCTGATTGTTGAGCGCAAGTTCATTCACTCGCTCGGGATGGTTGGACATATTGAGGATATTGCGGTTGAGAAGGGGCAGCAGGGGAAGAAGCTGGGGCTTCGGTTGATTCAGGCGCTGGATTTCATTGCGGAGAAGGTTGGGGCTTATAAGGTTTGTTTTCCTCATTTCGCTTGTCTGGGATGGGGTGGGGAGAGGCTAACTGGGGCCTACAGACGATTCTCGATTGCTCAGAGACGAATGAGGGATTTTACCTCAAGTGTGGGTTCAGGAAGGCTGGGTTGGAGATGGCTCATTATTACTAGGGGCTAGATGAGCACGGAGTATGGAGCAACGAGTAAATAGCTGGTTATGTGCTTGTTCGGTTTGAGAGCTTGTCTCTGCTGGTGTTCAGAGACGGTCAGGACTGGTTTGTGCTGACCGCCGTCCATGAAGTATAGATAGACTTATTATACCTAGATTAAGATGGCTGTTTCATATCCACCACTTCCTCTGGTCACTGTAGGAACACTCCCGGTATGTGACTGCTTGCGAGTTGAGATTGAGGTGGAAGCCAGCGTCATGGGACATTGGTGCCTTGGGTGCAATGTGCGCCGGGCGGAGACACATAAATGAAGCAGACTCGCTAGAGGTCTACGAGGGCGAGAGGTGAAGACAAAGGCAGCTACGAGATGAGATCCACATCACTGACAAACTGCATGCAGTAGCGCTGCACAAACGCCGCTCCCATGAAGCGAAGCGAAATATTCATTACGTCCGTTCAAGTGCAGAGACCGGCGACAGGTTGAGCGAAGAAAAACACTCGAATTCAATTCCCAGTATTGAAGTTGAAAAAAATCCCATTTGATGATGATGATGATGAAAGATACCAAGCCCATATAGAAACTAGTCGCGCATGAAAAGAAAACACCCGCAAACCATTCCCCCAAGGTCCGGCTCCTTTTCTGGATCGAAATCTCGAGTTGCTTCCACGTCGGCGTTGATATGATTCCTTTTCTGACTAGAGGACGATTGTTCGGAAAAACGCGGGCAACCGTCCGGACCGAGTATTGTGTCTCTTCTTCTTTTCGTTCGTAGTCGTCATCGTCATTTAACCGTCGCGATTACCGGTTCCTCCCTTGGCTAGGTAGGGGTATCTAGTTGCCGGGGTTGGGGTTCATCTGTAGTTATTCATTAGCCTCGGTATCCGGAGCGGTCATCGTTGGGTTGGGACAGGTCGGCGTGAGAGGACTGGACCTCGCTACGCCTGATCCCATCCTCCATATCAAAAACGTACCTTCCGCTTGCCACCGGTCATGGTGACGTTGACGAAACGACGAGTGTACTTGAGGCGCTTCATGGCGCGGCCCTTGGGGAGCTTCTTCTTCTCCTGGGGCTCGACCTGTATGAGTCAAGGGAAATCGTCAGTCTCGGATTCCTGGTCCTGAAAATCGCTTTCCAACACCGAAATCCCATGCAGCATCGAAACCAGCCCAGATCAATATCCCACCGACTTCCTCATAGTCCAGCTGCTGCAGAAATCCGTCCTCCTTGCCCGCAAATCACTCCCGCAACGCCACCCTCGAAAAAGACGAAAGAAAGAGGATAACCCACCTTAGGAGTCGCAGACTTAACCTTACCCGCACGAGCGAGAGATCCGTGAACCTTACCCATGTTGCTGGATGTGTAACTTGTCGACTGAAAATGGGAAAGTTGACTGAAGTCGAGGTGGGAACGTCAAAGGGGGGTTTCGTGGTGGTTGCCGACTGAGTCACTGGCTTCTGTGGGCGATTCGCGCTAGTTGGGGCGTAAGCGAGATGGCAAACTCCGTTCGGGAAGGCGGCGGACCAGGCCGGTGAGTCAGCGATTCGGGCTTGGCTATCTTGAAACCTCAGGCATCGACTTTAGGGTGCGAGAGGTTTCTGGCTTGTCCGGTTGTGGTTGTACCTGTTTAATGCTTATACGGCATCTGGATCCTCGTAGCCACCTTTTCCGATGATCTTACGATAGATTTGCTGCCTAATCCCGGGACGTGGTTTGAAATGGCGCCGTCATATAGATCATGAGGCCGTATTGGTTAACCTAGGTTTGAGCCCTACCATAGTTCAAGCCTTCAAGGGGATATCGTCATCCGACACCTGCGGCTTGAAGGGATAGCGGAGACATGGGGAAGTTATGGGTTAACCGCTTTCCGGAGAAGTTGGAAGCCTGTATAGTTGATCTGGGAATAAATGTGTCTTCTCTCGGACACCGGCCTGGGACTGGTGTTTCTACTTTCTAGCATAGCGATGGAGTTACGCCGACCAAGTCTGACTTTCTGCTGTAGCAACAATGCTGACTCTTAAATGCTTGATTTGGTGCGAACTCGAGCAGCAAGCTCATGTATGGATTTACAAAAGCACGATACCGACAAGCCGCATATCATATCCTTTTCATCTCATGGTGAGAACCCACGGCAAAAAACAGCGGCGCAAATGGTACAGCACAAGGAAGCCGTTGAATCCGTAAGAAACCGTCTTGTACGCCGATAAGGTTTGAAAGATTTCATTTTGTGTGATAGGGAAAAGACATATTCCAGCTCCAGTAACCACCCAAATTCCGTCCATGAACTCTTGCCTTTCAGCGCCCTTCCCAAGCCCCAGCCAGACCGTTATTTGATTTCCTTAACGAGATTTGGCAGCGACCTTGGGGGCAGAGCCCTTAATACCTTGCTTGCTCTGGATGCGCTGAGCAGCACCCTTGGCAGCAGAGGCGGCGGACTTGGCCTTGTCGGCCTTCTTCTTGCTCTCGGTGGCGGCCTTCTTCTCCTTAGCCTCCTTGATGGCCTGCTGGCGGGCGGCGGCACGGGCCTCGGGGCGCTGGGACCGGCGCTCCTTGATCACATCGAGGGAGGCACCGACGATGGCACGCTGGTGCTTGACGACGCGGCGAGTGCGCTTCTTGGCAACCTCCTGTTTACGTTCAAAACAATCCGTCAGTATTCTGTTTTCCATCGCACAACCGATATTATCCCTCCATCTGTCGTCTGTCGCACTCTCCGTCTTCATGATCCTCCGCTAGTACCCGATCGGTACATCATACCCCCTTCCCAACGCATCGTTCCCAATTTCCAAATTCATCCAGGAGTAAAGAAAAAGGCGGTACGGACCTCAGAGATACCCTTCTTGTGCTGACGGCGGTAGAGGACAGTCCAAGCTATCCGACGAGGGTTCTTGCGCTGGAGGAAGAGGGATTCGGACTTTCCATTCTGGAAGCGGAAGATCTTGCTGTCGCCACGGACGTACAGCTTACCCTGTAACACGAAAAAACCATTGTCAACATATATCTCAACAATCTTGCATTGGTGGCCGTTTTCCATCGAAACACAAATTTGTCGTTGTCGGATATCGAAGGGCACGGAATTGATCGAAGGGTCTTAGGCGGACAGGACAAAACGCACCTTGCCAGGGTAGATCTTTTGGCCGCTGAAAGAGTCGTCGTAGGTACGCATCTTGAACGTTAGAGATGCGCAGCCGGGGTTGACGAGATGGTGTCGGTGTTTGGCGTTGGGTGAGTCGAATCGGTCTCTTCGGCGGCTTGCTTCGCAAGACTGACAATTGTGGTGGTTGGTGCGGAGCCTCGCTAAGCGGCCCCACGTGACCAGATAGCCCTCACCCTTGGCTTTCTCGACCTTCTATACTTGCAGCTCTCTGGTGTGCTTTATTTGCATCGCTGTACGGCTGGATATTGGGTTTTTGGCCCCTGAACATGTTTCTTAGTACTATCTGCGCTATGTAACAGGATTACTGTCGCGGTACAATCCTTAGGAGCATTCAATACAACAATTCCATCGATCCCGTACCGCTTTCCGACTTCACTTCCGTCTGTCCACTGAAAACAAGCAATGAAAGATCGTGCTTGTTCATTTAAGGCCTGAAACCTGATACTTGAAGCACGGCTCGTGGGATCTCCAACGTCTGTCAGCTCAATCATGCCAGTCGCAATTCTCCCAGGGGCGATCCTTGCATGCCTGTTTCGCCATTGCGTGTCACTGATCAGTAACTCAAGCAGCGTTGAACATATGAGGGAAAAGACTTACCACGCACTGGATGTCGCGACAGATTTTGTTTGGACAGACGCCACAGCAGTCTGGACACACACGGCGGCCACATCCATCAGGGGGGGAGCACTGCGAGTAGGTGTCCGCGTCTTTGGCGTGAGGACCGAGGAATTCGATAATCTCGATCAGACGCTTGACCTTTTCGAGGTCCTCCCCCTCCAAAGATCCATCGTGCACCTTGGCCCGGGCTTCTTCGCGCAGGCAGCAGGCTACCTTGCAAACGGGACAGGGACCAGGGCAGCGGATGCACCGGAGGTTCCTATGGTTCCAGGCCCTAGCGTCGCCCTGTCTGCGACGGACCTTGGGATCAAGAAGATTGATCGACTTGATCTCGGTTCCGGTCGCGCGGCGGACATAGAGGATCTTCGTTTGTGTTAGTACGTGGTTCTTGTCAAAAGATGAGAACCATCTCACCAACTCCGCCAAACTTGCACATTTCTTCGGCTCCGCAAGAGGCTCTCCATCAGACTGTTCATTTTCGCCTTCTCCGCTACCGGCAAGACCGCTGTTGAGACCGTTGTTCATGATCTGATCCTCCAAGTAGTCGAGATCGATGATCATGTAATCTAACGAAAGCAGCATCAGCTATCATTCAAGATATAGGAGGACGCTGTGTTATGCCGTACCGTGAGGTGCTCTGATGTATCGCATAACACCAGGAGGGGATCCAGACACCTTTCTAGGCGAGAGAGACATGCTGGCTTCGCGGAATGGAGCTAGCCAACGCGAGCTCATAGAGGTCGAAGATCTGGATTCCCAGCTCTCTCTGTTAGTCGATTTGGTTGAGCCTCCAGTGAGAGCTCGGATGCGTTTTCTGAATGAACCCTCTCTGGGAGAGTCGGTCACAGCGAGGTGTTGTTGCTCAGGACTTTGAGCCAACTCGTCCACGGGTTTCTGCTGAGGAGAGTCGTCAACGGGCTTGGTATCCTCAATATGAAGAGAGCTTTCGACGCCCTTGGTGATATCTGCAGCCGACTTGTCGACCTCAGAGCGACCAGGCTTCTCTTCGGTGTTGCTGTGGGCGTCAGTAACAGTACAAAAGTGTTTTGACTCGAAGCCGCAAAACTGGGCGTAAAGAAAGGGGAGTTCCTACCTGATACGCTCCTTTGCTTTGTGTGCCTTCTTCCTCTTAAACTTGTTTGGCATGGTGTTCTAAAGAGATGGCTGTGTGGCCAAGTTATAAAGACAAGGGAATGCGACAGTCAGCGCCGAGAGTTGTGCAAAGAGAATCATGTACGCAAGGATAGATGCACTCTAAAGGCAAGAGCCTAAGAGAAATCTTCCAGAGTAATAGTGTTAATGAGGTCTCTTCATGTCTACATGGCAATTGCGCGCATTTCACAGGGCTACCAAAACATGTGCCAAGTCAACATTGCCTTTACTGAGAGAGACTACACACCAAGCACCAAAACAAACTAAAGGGAGCAGACGAGATAGATCAAGTCAGATTCAAGTCATGTTTAGATACCTATTCAAGATTGTATTTCCTGGATGTATGCTAACCCTAACAGTTGGTGGTACTATTGTAGAAGGGGATTTCGGAGGAAGGGGGGTATTATCTTGAGTGTTTGCGGCTACGAAGAGCTTCCGCGTACTAGTCTAGTACTAGTATGTGTTATTTGATTTTGAAGGTAAAATCTATTGAAGAACGGTTCTATGAAAATCTTGGACAGTACTGATCCATGCAAGAAAGATAATATGAAATGCCTGGAACGTGGAAGATGAGCAGTCCGCTCTCCCACGTACACAATCGAGTCAGGGTAGAACGAACCAAATATCGGTTGGAATGCAGATGTAATCGAAAAAGTACGCAGCCTCTGCCCTCATGTAAGGAAGTGATAAAGAGGACTTGGAAGAAAATCGACCCAATATATCAATGTGGAGAATGCCAAGGTCGCATCGATACTTTTCCTCATGGTCTCATCAAAATGTCGTCGGGTGCCATTCTCATGGCAACTAAATTGGCGCTATCAAAACGTCTAAGTCATTGCATGGGTCCTAGTCCATTCCTTCGCGGTCTGAATTGCGGCTGCCTCGTCCTCCTTCCATCGCTGGGCCACGTCGTTCGCAAGGGGATCATCAGGGTTTGGGGCTCCTAGCAGGATCTGAATTGATAGCAGGATCGTACGGATTTGCAAGGCCGGAGACCAGTTGCCTAGCAGGGGTTAGTCCTGAAACGCTTTGAAGGATTTGAGTCCGGAGGACATACTCTTCAGGACGTCGAGGCAAATCCGCCCAAGACGGTCGATGTTAGGGTGGTAGATCTTGGTAAGGAACCGGATCTTAGGGGGAGTCATCGGGTAGTCTTCAGGCAAGAAGAGCTCGAGACGGAAAATTCCACCTGATTTATGGTCAACGACCGCCGTTGATATCATTCTTCTGACGGTGCTTTACCTTCGTATGGAGACTGTGCTGGACCATGGATGGTAACATCGAAATACCGCAGGTTGTCTTCGTGAGGTACCGCTGTGATGCCAGGAACCCTGCAAGGACGTATAGATTAGTTTGTGGATCCAAACTTCCAAGTACTTTTTGGACGTACGGCTCCGCCAAAAGGCGTTCTGTTTCCTTTATGATTCTTTTTGGCAAGGCCATCGTGTGCTGCGGCTGAAATCCCGCTAGATTCAGAGTAGGTAGTTATGCTTGAGAGTATCCCAAAGCGGGGTGAGCCGGTTCTTTATGCAATAACTTCCCCTCGTGCCGGTTGTGGAAGTCGGATTTTTCGCAGTAAACCGAAGTTTTCCGAGCGCAGCCGCAAGAAAGATCTGGAGCAGATTCTCCAAAAGATGGTTGGAGCAGAGTAGCGGTATCAACAGAACGTATCGGCGAAAAGAGCAGCGACGTAACCACCGGAGGGGCCGGCCCTGCATTCTGGGTCTCTCCAGGAATCCGTAGTGGTACGGTAAGGCAGGCAATCCACAGACGCGGGCAATCATCTTGGCGGAAGTGGTTCCTTAACTCCGGACTGGGGTTGCGATCGAGGGCGGGAGCTTCGACAAACCATTGCGGCACATCTCCACTGCACCCAACACTCTCCTCCTTGAGAGCTGCACCTCTGACTTGTTGCCCTGGTAGAACTTCTTACCCGCTTCCTGATGTCTCTTACGCTAACCGAAGCTTTTAGTTTGGCAATCCAGCAATCGAAGCCGGGCTTCCACCACACACCATGCGCCATGCTTTGGAATAGCTTCTTGAGCCCGGTCCAATGAAATTACCGATATCGATTGCATCATTGCAGCGAAATGAAAGCGCCGTTTAATACCGTTCGGATCTTGTGGTCAATGCGCTTACTGGCCTCTTGAGGTCGACGTCTCTGAAGCCGCTTGGATCTTGACCCACAGGTTGGTGCGTCTGAGGCTGGGTTGCTGCCAAAAATGTCCGACTCAAACGAACCGAGGCCATTGACGTCGGCCTTTGAGAGTCCAACATTCGGCGAGGACAGCTCTTTCCATGTCGATCAGCCGGTTGGTTCTATGTCCATTTCCCCATGCGGCCGAGATGTGGTTCTCGCTTCCAAGGAGGGCCTCCACATTATCGACTTAGACTCGCCGTATTCTCCACCTCGATATCTCCCTCATCATACGCCATGGGAAGTTGCAGACGTTCAGTGGTCTCCGTTTGCTGCTCGAGACTATTGGGTAGTGAGCACGTCAAACCAGAAGGCGTTGGTGTGGAATTTGGCGATGCAGAGCTATCAGAACTCGATTGAACATGTCCTGCATGCTCATACCCGTGCCATCACGGATATAAATTTCTCTGCACACCATCCCGACATCCTTGCAACGTGCGCTGTGGATAGTTTTGTCCACTGCTGGGATCTTCGAACTCCTTCTCGGCCGGCCATATCTGTCTCTGATTGGTTTGCGGGCGCAACACAAGTCAAATGGAATCGACAGAATCCCAATATTATTGCCAGTTCGCACGACAAATTCCTTAGAATATGGGACAAGAGAATGGGTGCGTACCCAATCCGATCCATAGAGGCTCACGATACGAAAATCTATGGGGTCGATTGGAATAGAGTCCGACCTGGTGCTTTAGCGACATGTTCTCTAGACAAGACAATAAAGTTCTGGGATTACACTATTGAGGACGACGTACCGGAAAAGGTAATCAAGACGCCTTTTCCTGTGTGGCGTGCACGAAATACACCCTTTGGCTGGGGTGTTTTGGCAATGCCCCAGAGGGGCAATAGCGATCTCCATCTGTACAGTCGCAGAGCTGTCGAGGGCACCGACCCCGAGGGTCACCTTCCCCCAGTACATAGTTTTCCCCGTCACAAGGGACAAGTAAAGGAATTTCTTTGGAGGGCTCGTGGCAACGTCGTGGACGGCATTGACAACAGAGAATTTCAACTAGTGTCTTGGGGAACCGACAAGGAACTTCGCCTACATCGAGTCGACTCTGAGGTTCTCGAACGAGTTGGCTACGAAAAGGGAAAATCATTCATCTCAAACCTAAACATCACTCGCAAAGGGGCTCTTTACAGGAGCTTCCGTGATCCCAATGTTGGTGTTGAGGACGGGGATGAGTCTCCATTGTCACCAGCCTTCGAGAGTGCCATATCGCCACCATCTCGTGGAGTGGGGATAAACACAATCTCGATACCATATGCTCCAGCCTGGATTCAAGGTGCCAATGCAGACTCGAGAATAGGGATGCAGGGGAGACCAGGCCTGAGGGCAGACACCAATCCCATCGCCTGGATGCGTGGGGTGAAAATATCGGGCTGGGACATTGAAACCCTTGGCGATGAGATTACCCATGTTGGCGAAAAGTTCACAAAGGTTGCTTTTGAGTCAGTTGACATCAGGCGGCGGAAGGCGACAATATCTTTGCATGGGCCATGGGGCGAGGAAGGGGCTTCTTCGCTTTTCATTCGAGTGGATATCAAATTTCCACCAGACTACCCTAGGGATTCGGTGCCAACATTCGTCGTGCAAAAAACTACTGCTGTCACAGATGAGCTAGTCAATAAGATTGCCGCTGAGTTACAGACAATCTCCGAGACATATTTGTCTCACAAACGTGGATGCCTTGAAGGAGTCGTCCGTTATCTGTTAGGCGAAAGCAACCTTGAAGAAAGCATCGCGTGGATTCTAGGCGAAACAGCAGAGACCGTCAAATCTCCAACCAATGGTCAGGTCGGCGGCGAAGAATCAAGTGACGAGGATGAAGTTGGCATGTCCCAAAGTCAAGATCTAGCGATGAGCTCTGAGCTCATCCGACCTGTTAACGCCAACGTGATGGTTCCTGTGGCAAGGGTGTGTGGTGCTGTTTGGGCGAAGGACGGCCGGTTAGTATGCTTCTTCCCCACGAAGAAGGATAATTCAGCGTACTCCCTCGAGAACCTAGGCTTCAAGGAGATGACGAGGCTGTCAAGATCTGAGAAAGTGTTTGAGAGGTTTGGGCGCTTTGAGACGGGCTCCCCTGGGCCACGAAACATAGGCACTATAACCAGCACTGATGACGGTGCTTCCGAATACTCCGATGACTCTGAAGCTGAGACCTCAAGCTCTTCCGGATCGTCCGGCATTCTTTCAGGCCTTCAACATCGGTTCCCGACACCGCAAACATGGCGCAGTGCCGGTAGTCTCGGCTTTTACCGGCCACGGTCGACGGATAACTCCCAAAGGTCGACTGTTGGAGGTGCGACTGCACGATCTTCTGACACAGCGCAGAACGTGATTTCCATACACGACTTGGGCAGCCTACTGCCGGCCAAACGGGAGTTGGCGTGTAGGTACCGCATATGCGGTAAGGTTGTCGACGTCTGCGCTCACAACGCAGAGGTTGCCCTTGAACTTGGCTACGGTGAGCTGGCCCGTATATGGGGCTTGGCTAAACTTATCCTGCATGAAAACAGAACACCAGGGTCACCCATCCCAAAAAATGCCCACGGAGTCTCGCAAATTCAGCGTAAGGACAGTGCAATCGATCTAAGTTATGACACTGTCCATGGTGATCGCTCTCTTCTGGATACAACGGGTGTGATTCAATGGGGGAATCATCCTTATGGTGGCCAGTGGCTCATCCCTGCTCTATTAGAGCATTTTGAACGGACTGGTGATATTCAAATGGTCGCGATGCTTTCCTGCGTCCTGTGTGAGCCGAATCTCGACCGGACTACACCAGAACCGATGACAGTATCGAAGCCAGCAGAAAATGACGCGTTTTCTATTGACTTTTATGGGCCTCCGAGTGCGGGAATAGACAAGTCTCAGGCAGTGACGCCCCTCACTTCCACGCCAAAAGACAGTCATGCTACGCCTGCTACACATAGTTCTGGACGCTCGTCATCTGAAATATGGCGCACTGGAACCACCCCGCCGTTTTCCACTGGTACAACGCCTCCTTTCCTTCCTCGTACCGGTGCGCTAGCTACGGAGAGGAAGGCAGTCACACAGAACCCGTCTCTAGCTGCTTCGCCTGATCAGCAATCACAGCCACGAAGTGGCTCGGGATTTGGCTCTGTTCTCGCTTCTTCCCTTTCGCGATCTTTCACATTTGCCCCATCTTCCGCATCTCCTCCTGCAGGGGGTTTGCTGAAAAGGAGGCAGGGACAAAGCGAAAGCCCCCAGGCCACGACAAGCTCTGGGACGTGGACCCCGAATACCCCCCACTTCAAACCTGCGTCTGCAATTCCGGAATATCTCACGACATCTACAGCAGTTACCTCGCAGACCCATTCGGATACCGAGAGTGAGCGAACCCGGATACCGAGGAGCAAAGGGAAGGTCCGCACAGTGCTGAAGAACCAGGGCGCTTTTGACACTGATAGCACGACCCTGAACACCTTTCTTGATCCGAAGAAGGACTCGTTGTACCGGTCTTATCGCTCAGCATATGCACATTTACTTTCAATCTGGGGGCTACCGCTGCAGCGCAGTGAAATCCTGAAAATCGGCGATACAGCGACACAAACGCGCGACAGTCGCGCTCGGACCCTCAAAAGCCCTGAAGACTCGCTCACGCTCTCTGGTTATGCTCGCAGAAGCTCAACTGAACCAGCGACGGGCGAGGAGAGTAGGGGACTAGGGATCCAACGGCATTGCGTTGGGTGTGGACAACCTCAGCAGCTATCTATATTCGCGATCCAGAATGCGGTCGACACCGCAGTAACGGCCGCCAAGAACAATATCAAGGGAGCAACCGTGCCACTAATTTGTTCTCATTGCAAGCCTAAACGACCGCTACCAATCAAACTTCCGTGCGCGATATGCCACGAAGTCATTGAGGGTATGCTCACGCCCTGCCTCGGATGCGGCCACGTCTGTTGCTTTAGTTGCGCTCGCGACTGGGCTGCTACCATTTCAGATTTGCCCTTAGGGGATGATAACGAACATGAGGTGGATCCGCAGTTCTGCCCTAGTGGCTGTGGTTGCAAATGCGCAGACCACGCGGTGATTGACATCGCAGCACCCTGGAGCCAACCACCGTCGCCGCTAGCGGAAAGCGATAGTTCCCTTCACAAAGGACGAATCGAACAATTGGATGGACCAAAATCCATCGCCCACGTGGCCAATCTCGGCCAACCTGAAGATGCACTGGAACATTGGGACGCGTCGCCTTTTGCCTCGCTTGCCAGAGGCCTTGGAGGGGGCCTTAGCAGAGGCCTGCGTGGCAAGGAGGACAAGCGAAAGCCCAAAACCCCAAATTCTGCATTTGTTCCCAAGAAGTCGTCTATGAATCAGGTACTAAGCTAATTAGCATGATTATATCCCTGCATTTAGACATATACCCATACGTTGAATGACATGTTTTCTCTATTTTCACGAAGTCTCCTAACAACACCCTCCACATCCCTCTCCAGTAACCCTCACCCCCTCGTCCTTTACTCCCAAGTGGTAGCCACTAAACAACATGCGGCAACCCAAGAACCGCACTGGAATCATCGCCCCCAACACCTTTTTTTGCGCGTCCAGCTCTCCCCTTTTTTATACCTACTACGGGAACTTTCTTTCTGCTCCACCGGGCTTCCAGAATGCTCTATCAGTCTTCTGCAGCGGTTATCTTGTCCCTCAGTCTCTATAATCTACCTAAAAGTCAAAATCAACAGGCACCTCATACGAAACCCGACTCCCGCCCTTAACCCTTGAAATCTTCCTTATCGTAATCCTCCCAGTCAAGGCCGTACTCTCCACATGCGTCCCTCCACACGGACTCGCATCCAGATCCGCAATCTCCGCAACCCTCACCCTCCCCATCGCACCTACCTCCTCCAGCCGTCCCTCAACCAATCTCAGTTCTTCCTTTTTTGCTTCCACCTGGGCAGGATCCCACCACGAACATTTCACAGGCAGAGCCTGCGCAACAATTTCGTCGACTTTCTCCTGGATAAGCGATTTGTGTTTATCGTTGTACAAGAGGCCCTCGAATTCAAGCGACGCTTCGCCCGGGAAATGGTTTGCTTTGAGTTCTTGCCGGCGACCGAGGATCGGTTCTAGCTGGTGCATCGCGAGGCCAAGAATATGGCCTGCTGTATGGAGACGCGAATGGTAGTTCCGTTTCGCGCGGTCGATGCTCAGGGATACAGTTTGGTCAGGCGAGAAGAAAGATGATGAAGGCTGACTGACTTGTCTTTCTGCAGCGAGGAACCGGCCAAAGTGGATGATCATCCCGTCGAGGTTTTTTCGGACGAGGAGAACTTCGAATCTGTCATCTTGGTCTTGACTTTGACCTCGTTGTGTTTCGCGGACGATGAACCCCGTATCGCTTGCCTGTCCGCCGCCCTGTGCATAGAAAATTGTTTGCTGGGTTACGACGGCAAAGTCTTCGGCTGCGATGTTCTTTGCTAAGCGCTTGGTCTTCTCGTCTAGGCTTGAGACGGGCTGGCAGGAGATGAGCTGCGTTGTGGTTGTGTGCAGCGAGGAGTTGTCGAGATATAGGGCTTCAGTTGGGGCCTTGATGATGTTAGTTTTCCGTGCAGATAAAGGAGGGGTCAGCGGACCATTTTTGAAAAGACGCAAGATCTGTTCTATGGCCTTTTTTGGTATTCTTGTGTTGAGCAGATAGTTGAATATAGACATGGGTTTGGATTGGGGTTGGATTAGCGTGGCGGAGGTGAGTGGAGAATGTAGTAGGGCGCGCGGATGTTACCGCGAGCTCTATCAGTTTCTTCACGGCACTGAGACTTTCTGGTCGCATCGTTATCTATGAGGGAGGAGGCTTGGGTTGCAGTGGCTTCGGGCTTTGCTTGGCAACAACTTGAAGTACTTGAATGGCCTACTTTCTTTATATCCCGGCAATAGACGGAAAGCAAAGTGATATAAAGCAAAGATCATTTTTTGAATCCTCTTGGAGTATATATAATCAACGCGAGTACGAGATCTGCCCCGAGCTTGACGCGGGTGAACTTCCAGGAATAGGTGGATGAGAAGACTCCAAAGGAGACTTTTGTCAGACAATCATATTACTCGCCAGTTAGCTGTGAGCAGCCAGAATGAGCAGCCGGAGATTGTCAAACGTGCGTTGACTGGAGGGAGAGAACCCTAACTAAGGGACAAGCTCACATCAACAATGGGATTGCCGCTCATGGGCTCCTTGCTGCTGTAAATCGATGGCTTGGCGCACTAAGTGCGTGATGGAGTTGGCTTGGATAGTCACGTGATACTCTGGTACCTCGGCTCTCAATGCGCGTTCTTTTTACGTGACACTGTCTGGCCGTATCCTCTTACAATTGCGCTTCAGGCTTGCAATGTGACAAACATGTTTGGGCTCCGTCAGGTTGTGCAGTCACAACTGCGATATGCAGCAACACGCCCCCCTCTACTCCTTCGATCCCTGCGCCATGGCTCAAGAAACGCAACCACCAGCGCAAGCGCCGCCCATATCTCCCCTCAGCGGTCTTTATGGCTGCGGCGGGTGCTCTATGCAGGGATATTCGGCGGCCTTGGTTTTGGCCTTAGCAAACTTCAGTTCGATAAAATGACATCTCCGGCGCCAATTCCGGGGTCGGAGGAAGATGAGTACAGGATGGACCGCATCGAGATGTTCTTTGAGGAGCGTCTGCCTATCGTAAAGCAGCTACGGGAGGATCCGGATTATATCGAAGTTGATGTCTACGGCAATTATTCGTGGGTAGACAAGGAGCAGCGGCTTACGTCTGGCCCGTTGAGTGGGAGCGGGGGACTGGCATTTCAGGTGCGTGGTCTCTCTTTGTTTTGGCCTATCAATGTAGCCGGCAAGCCCTCTTTGAGTTGAGCTCAAGATTTGGCCCCGTTTTCCGAGTCGATTAATGCCGGCAATTAGGGGTCTGAGCCTCGGAAGACCGATCGTTCCTCGCTGACTGATTGGTCACCGCAGAGAGTCTTTTGGCACAACCAGCAAAAGAAAGCGATTAACATTGTTTTCATCGGCAAAGGGGTTGAAGGGTGGCCATCTTGTGTGCACGGTGGTGCGCTTGCTACCATACTCGACGAACATCTCGCTCGGGTTGCGATTCAAAATCTGCCTGAGCGCACAGCAGTTACTGCAAACCTGGATGTGAACTACCGGAAGCTATCACCTTCAGACCAGTTCTACGCTGTCCACGCGACGCTGGATCAGGAGCGAAGCACCGATCGCAAGGCTTACGTGAATGGAGTGGTTCGCGATATGGATGGAAACCTCTTGGTCGAATCCTCGGGTCTATTCGTAGTCCCCAGGGGCTATAAACTGAGGAGGCTAGGAGACGCATACTGACCGGGGTTGGCGAAAAAGATTCCCTTTCGACGCAGCCCTTAGCGGCGAGGCAACAACAAGGATTATACGGAGGCAGTTATCGCCCCTGAGCGCAGACTAAGTCCATGCACTTTTTTCAAACAGCAGCACGTGAATCACCACTTTACTCGAAGCTCCCACGGATCAGGATCTCCCAATCCTTGCTGTCCAAATTCCTTACAAGCCGTAGAAAAGAAGGGGCAGATGCTTATTACTTCGTCTAAAATTGCCTATCCAACAAAATAGCCCCCTAGAAGGCGATCAGGATCCCGGCCGTGAGCCTCTCGTAAACAATGACAGCGCAAGCGAGTTGGAATTTCGTCCCCTCCCATGACAGGTTTTGACTTCGACTAGCTGCTGGCTCTAAAGCTGCGACAGCTGCTGCCATTGGATGCGGCTATTCCGCCCCTTCATATCCACGTTTTTGAGTGCTGGGATTCTGGAACCCCCGCATTCCTTGTCCTTGAGTCGCACGCTCGTCCAACCACAATCCTCATCTCGCCTGTCGGCAATGAGCAAGTCTCATCCTTGAGGATTGCCTCGGCCTGTCAAAACGCCATCGATGCCGACTGGCTGTTTCAAGTTCTTGGACGGCGACTCACTGATGTCCATTAGTTGCCCGTAGCGAACTCCGCACTATGAACGCAATGTTACTCCGTGGTCAATATGCAGATCGAAAGAGAGGGGTCTGGGGAAGGGGCCAAGGCACTTCATTGCTACTTAAGGCTTGGAGACCCGCTCTTATATTGTTTCCCCAGTCTTGTCCGAAGCTTGGAGTTCTTTGCCTCATCAAGGACCCGCTTGCTCTTGGTTTGAATCTGCCTATCGTTCGTCAAGATGGTTTCCACCCACACCGACTCCGGTCACTCTCAGGTCGAAGAGAAGACCGCGGGCTCAGATATCAACTTGAAGCCAAACACCAGTCATCAGGAGGTCACTCGAACTGAAGCTGATGAGACAGGAGGCTTTGAACATGGCAATACTCCGGTACAGTTTCGATGTGTCGAGTGGAATAGCACTCTACGACTCCCTGCTGATCCTGGACGATAGATGACCTTTCGCCGATTTATGGGCTTTACAGCCATGGCTTTCTTGTGGACAGGCAGTCAGATCCCTGTTTATCTCTTTGGCGGCATCCCACCTATTATCTATGGCGATATCGGCGGTGTGGATAGATGGGTTTGGTTTGTATGTTCCTAATTGCGATCTCCCTTTTAAAGTGAGTTAGCTGGCTGACATGATTATTTTCCACGGCTTTAGGTCCTTGCAAATCTACTGGCTCTGGCTGGTGTTTGCCCATTTGTTGGCTCTCTCTCTGACCTCATCGGACGCCGCTATGTTGCTCTGATTGGCGCTGCACTGGTTACCATTGGAATGATTGTCTGCACCACGGCGCAGAGTATGAACGCCTTCATAGCCGGGATGGGCGTTGCAGGTGCCGGTGCAGGAGTCAACGAGCTGACGGCCCTGGCTGCGACAGCTGAGATGGCACCGACCCGCCAGCGAGGCAAATACGTTGCTGTTCTAATCTTTACCATTGCTCCCTTTGCACCCTCAGTTTTATGGGCTCAGCTAATCGCTGATGCGGGTAACTGGCGGCATGTCGGTGCGTTTTGCACGGCATGGAGCGGCCTTGCTTTTGTCATTACTGCCCTCTTCTATTTCCCTCCACCACGAGTCAACTCGGAGGGACTCAGCAGGGCTGATATTGTGAAGCGGATTGATTTCGTCGGCGGCTTCCTCAGCATTACCGGTCTGATTCTCTTTATGGCTGGCATGCAGTGGGGTGGATACCAGGTAAGCTCTCCACTTCATACAACAGCAGAGCTCAGCTAATAGACACAGTATGACTGGGGTTCTGCGCACGTCCTCGCTCCCCTTATTCTCGGCTTCCTCATGCTAGTGGCCTTTGGCTTCTGGGAAGTCTATGGTGCCGAATATCCCATCTTCCCCAGTCGGCTGAAGCAGGAACCTCGCACCCTTGGCTTGACGCTTGTTATAACATTTATCTCCGGAGCGAACTTCTTCTCAGTCCTCATGTTCTGGCCTACGCAGGCATTCAACGTATATGGCCACGATCCTACTGGCGTTGGCATTCGCGGTCTCCCCATCGGTTTCGGAATCATGGGCGGCGCCTGTATTGTCCTGTGGCTGCTCAGTGTTTTCCGTGGCCACAATAAGGAGCTTATGATTGCTAGCAGTGTCTTGATGACAGCGGGTCAGTTTACCCCGGCAAGCAATGATAGTATTTGTGTATACTGACACCCTGTAGGATGCGGTGCTTTGTCCATCGCAACACCCGATAACATGGATAAACTTTGGGGCCTCTTATTTCTTGCGGGACTTGGAATTGGTGGAATCGTGGTCCCAGCCTCAATCATCACAACCATCATCTGCCCTGATGTGAGCCCCCTAAAGACCTTACACCCACCCTACATTAACTAACCACAGTCAGGACCTAATCGCCACCATCTCCGCCCTAACGCTCTCCATTCGCGTTGTCGGCGGCAGCATCGGGTACACAATCTACTACAACGTCTTCATCAACAAATTCATCCCCAACGCCGAACACTACATTGGCGGTGTCATGGTAACTCAGCTCAATATAACCGACGTCGCCCTCATCACCGAGGCCATTGAATTCACGGGCGCCTCGCTTCTCGAGGCTCTGCACCATATCCCTGGCATTGAGGGTAATCAGGCGGCGTACGACGCCGTTGTGAAGGCGGGCCAGATCGCGTACTCGGAGAGTTACAAGTGGGTGTACTATGCGAGCATTGGGTTTGGCGGTGTTTCGATCTTGGCTGCGTGCTTCTTGGGCGAGATTGCGAGTTATATGGATGATCATGTTGCTGTTGTGATGCACTAGGTGCTGATTTGGTTTGTGGGGAACTTTTGTGATATGACATGATTTTTGTTACTCGGTTCTTGATGGGGCCATCCTTATCGACTGTGCTCTGAGATTCGGCCACATTACAAGTTTCTTCTTTTTGGTACATACGGGACGGCTCATTATTATTGACTGCCTAGAATACGACAATAGCTACAACCTACTCAGAATTTGTCAAGGTGTGGTGCAAGCTAGGGTTTTAATTAGGGGAAGCCTGAGCTCGATATCCAATTCAGAAACTAGAGTTCTTATTGCGTTTCTTCCCGGTTGTATATGAATCTGACTGCCGAGGAAGAAAAAAAGTCACTGGACCAGCTGGCTTGGAGTATGTTCCTTAATGTATTCTATCGGCTAGTTTGGTCATATGCTGGGAAGTACATTGTAGACCTGTTCCGGAGCATTATAAAAGAAGAATCCTGAGGGTATCTAGCCACGGATGAGAGCGTCTAGGTTCCGTACGAGCCCTCCGAGAAAAGGGGTGGAACCCCAAGCTCGATTTTGTATTCCTTGAAGCCTGATTTATTCTACGGTTGGCAGGTCGACAGCACGGTAGAGAAGAATGAGCGCCGAGTGAGATTCGCCTGGTGCAAAGTGCGTTAGTAATGTTCGACGGAGAAAATCTTAAGCTAACTCACCACCACCAGCCAGAGTCTCAATCTTCGAGCCATCCACCTCGGTCACTTTGTCGTCGTTGAACCACCACCATTTGTCATCGCGCTCTTCCTTGCTTTCACTGCTATTCTTCTTCACGTAAGAGGTATAATGGCCGCTATCGGCACTCGCACCTTGATGCGTAATTACACCTCTAAGTTCATAAAGTCCGGTCTTGTTGGTGCCACTGTCTGCCGCTAGCTTGGGGTCAAGAAGCTCAGCAAGTTCCTTCTTGGCCGCAAGAATGGAAGCATTCTTCTCGGCCTCGTATTCCGCATCAGTCTTGAAAACATCTGTCATGGCGGCGTCTTCATCCTTGCCGGCGTTCTTCGCCGCTTGCTCCTTGCGCTCCTCGGTGGCCGTTTTCTTCTGCATTGGCTCCTGGGCAGAATCCTCCGCCTTTGTATCTTCCTCTCTCTGGTGAGCGAGCTTCTGGCGCTTTCGGGCTCGCTCAACGTCGACTTCTTCCTTTCGAATATCCCGTACCTTGTCTCTGATGGGGACTAGCTGCTTCTTGAGTTCATCTGTACAGAAATCAACAGCGTCGAGCTCAGCGGGGAATGTGACTTTGCGCATGATCTTGGCTTTTTTCTGGGTTTCGCGTTTCCAAAAGAATCGAACGAAATGGACCGTCAGATATTTGGGTAACCGGGCAATTCGCGAGCGCTTGGTATAAACAGCATCCCGATCCAAAACAGGTGAATGCTTCTCAATCTTCTCCTCGAGACCCGCCATGATACCATCGTACAAATGGTTTGTTTCTTTACCAATATGGCAGTCCAGCTTGTAGAAGACGTCGGAGCTGTTGTTCGGCTGTTCACCGGCCTCCTGAGCTGCCGACTCATCACATTCGGTGATCGACTCAAATCGTCCCCCCAGATATTTGTCAACAAACGACACTTCGGTGGCAGATTCCCCTTCTCCGTCTTTGATCGTGAGCTTTTGGCGCAGCTGCGAGACAATTTGTGACCAGGCCTCTTCCGCATCTTGTTGAGCATAACCGTGTCCGTTTCGATCTCTCTGGGCGAATTGAGGATAAACATTTCTCAGAGCGTTGAGAAACATGAGCGGAGGAAATCCCTCCTGAGTCTCCGACATCTGCTTGAACAGATCTTTCAAGGAGGATGTAAGATCGCCGGCAGCGCCAAGACCACCAAGGCCAAGGCTGCTCAGATTTGAAAGCCCAGAAGAACCACTAGTGCTGCCAGAAGGGCGATATCTCTGAAGTTCTTCATGTAGTTCCGGAACGCTCCTCAGCGTTTGCAATGTCGAATTCAGATAGCAGGTATTTCCAAGATTCTGCAACCCTGCAGGAAGGGCGCCCTCTGCTCGTGCGGCCTCAGCTTCCGTCATATCTTCGAGGAATTTGACAACTTCCTTCGGCCGCCCCAAATCCGCAGAGCCCTGTGCCCCGGAAGGGGTGCCCATCATCATGAACGTCTGGCCGGGTTTGGCTTTGAGTGACGCTAGCGAGGTCTCATCTTTAAGCTGTCCTCCCTTCACTAAGATTTTCTGCCGCTCCGGCTCGACCCCGGTGAGAGAGTATAGCTGAAATTTGAACGTTTCGCCGTTGGATTCGGGGTCGAGCTCGACATCGTACCGTTTGCCCTGGTGCTTGACGACAACTGCGGTGTAGGATTAGCTATGATCTGGCCAGGGTCTAGAGTGAGTATCAATCAGTCATTGGGACAGGTACCTGGTATTGAAGCCATCTTATCGTCTTGAATGTAACCGGGGTGTAAGAAGGTGGCCTTCAGAGGAAAGTTGTAGGGGATGCAGTGGCGTAAATACATCTAGCACCTTTGGTGATTGTCAGCTTCCTTGGAGAGGCGTGGGGCTACTGTAAGTTTGCAACCAATGCAAACATCTCCAGGCTACATTGCGGGACGTTGCCCATCGCCCCGTAGCTGACCACTCAACACTCGGCGTCCTAGGCTCGCACGAAAGCCAACGATCAGAACAACCTCATTGATGCCCTAGAAGCTGGACTTGAGGGAACTATACTCTGTCCGAGCAACCAGTGGTGAAGTCGGCGCTTGTCTGTTCATTCCTCGAGCCTACCGGCTCTTGATTCCTCGCCTTATACGTCACCCCTCACTATGGTAGGTAGCTAATGGATCAAGCGCTGAGAACAATTAACTAACAAGCGTAGTCTCAATCACTGCGCCCATACCTTCAATGCGTCCGCGCCTCGCTGACCGCTGCGCTCGCTATATCCAATTTCGCTTCCCAGACCTCCGAGAGACACAATGTGCCAGAAATCGAGGCCGCGAGCTCCCCAGAACTACTCCTCAACCCTCTCACAGTGTCACGAAATGAGAACGAGAAAGTCTTGATCGAACCCAGTGTGAACAGTGTTCGTGTTAGCATCAGGATAAAGCAGGCAGACGAAATCGAGCACAGTATGTTCCTTTAACTAGTAACAATTGCGGGATGGTGGAATTGGGATTGACAACCTTATACTTACGTCAACATAGTCTTGGTACATAAACTCACCCGATTCTTGACTCAGCGCGCGGAATCCTTCTTTATCTTGCGGAGAAAGCCGGTAAAGGTACGTCGACGCACAGCTGTCTTTGGGATGCTTATAGATCTGACGCATGGCCAGGGCTACGACATTTCTTTCCTCATTACGAACTTCCACACCGAAGCTATGCTGAAAAATAAGCTGGTTGATTTCGTCATCTCATTGTAAGGCTATCTAGTTCGCTCAGCCGGCACTGACTAATTGCTAACCCACTTTTCAGTATGGAGGACGTGGACAAGGAAATTTCCGAGATGAAGCTTTTCGTATGTTTCTTGGAACATGCCCTCATGTTTCTTTGGGCTCTCTTTCTGACTGGTGCAGTTGAACGCCCGCGCTCGATTCGTTGCCGAATCTTTCCTGACACCTGTAAGCTGTTTCACACCCGGGTGAGACAGACCTGGTTCCTAACTTAAGCGGTGCAGTTCGATTAGATCGTCCCAAGCCCTTTACTTACGACTCCCCGAGATATAACATTAGTCTTGCTCAGTTCCATTCACCACAAAGCTTTACAGAGGCAAGTTGAGCTGGTCGAGATCACCTTACTTGGCGATGCATCACTCCTACCCGTATATCCGAAACCACTTCAAATACATATTGTTTAGCAAAGCCAAAACTCTTCCCGCAATCGTTATTCCTACTGCGATAGAACCAATATGGCTAGCCGCTTAGTTTATCTTGTACGAATTGTTATAGTATCTCTCGTGTCATAACCCCAGAAAGTTTTCCACGCTATTCTACGTACCTATTCCGGCAAAACTTCGCAACCACAAATGCAGCAAGTACGTGCTGAACAAGCAGTGGTCTCATGTGCGGCTCTACACGCACTCTACGCTTCCATTATTGTAGCTTATGCATAGAGTAGGGCATCGTCATGTGCCATGTGTTTCGTTCACTCAGGATGGAAATTGCAAGACCAGCTGTCTTATCAGTGGTGAAGCTGCCCGGGAATGGATGTTTCATTTTCGCAGACTCCTGCCAGGTTGCCTATTGCCATGGTAAGCAGCACTATTGAGCAGAGTCCTTTCTTTTTCTCTCTTGTACCTCCCCCTTATTAATTCTTTAAAGGCTTAACCCCAGGATGGTACTTCAGGAGTCTTGCTTTATGCTTCAGCTTGTAACCAGTGCACCCTACTTTGTGCTTCAGCTCAGGTTTGCAGCCATGTTAGATGAGTATACCATTTGCGTCTCTAGTAGAGCATTCACTCTTCTTGTTTCAGGGTGAGCAGTATCCCATGACCACCTATTCGAGCAATTATTATGCGACAGCAAGGCTTGTAACACATCTCAGCAAGTTAAATAGCTTTCACTTTGTTTTCATCCTCCTATCTCCTCAGGCGCCCTCTCTCCTTTCCTCAAACCTCACCATCATCATCTCACTTTCGGGCCTCGACATTCATCATTTTCCTTTCCATGCCCATCATGAATCCCTTCTCTCCAGCCTTCGTGCCTGGCTTTGCTCGCCAACAGAGCCAGAGCTTGATCTCTGCTCCTAACGACAGTAACACCGTCCCTCAACTGACACCCATGCTTGCCAGCTCTTATAGCCCCAACTCAGATCCACTTGTTGCGCACGGAATGAACACACTCCCGGCTCTATCTAGGCCTGACAGGCACTCGCACGAGAAGATTCCTCAAGCCCAATCTACTGTAATGATGCACCCTCCACACAAGCCTCGCCAGGTGGAAATTGCGTCGCCCATTTCGCACCGCAATCACCAGCCGCTGTTGCATAGGCTGAACAATTTTGACATTCAGAGCCCTTCTGAGAGCTCCAGTGTTTTGGCTGCATACAAAAAGAACGCCGACAAAGTTACCACCCCAAGCGAAATGCCAATCGGAAGCCTAGTGCACCTGAAAGAGCCCCCAACCTGGGGAGTCGTCAAGATATCCAACGTAAGCTACTCGAAGGGCGTCTACTAACCATGACTCGCTAACCTTGCGACAGATTCCTTACTCCATCACGAAGCAGGAGATTTTCCAGTTTCTGGGTCGTCAGGCACGCCTCATAACTCCCGAAAATGGTTGTCCCATTCACATCATCATGGAGCGCTCGACCGCGAAGACCATGGACTGCTATGTGGAGTTTAAAAGCCAGACCGACGCCAAAGACACTGTGATCCGCATAAACCGTATCTACGAGACTGGGAGAGCTCCTCGCCTGGGTAATCGCCATGTTGGTGTTGAGTTGACTGATCAGAACGAGCTCTTGAAAGACCTGTTTCCTCACGCAAAGTGTATTGTTTGGCGAGGTGGCGTGCCCTACCGTGTGCCGAATGACGACCCTTACTGCTCTGGCTTCGTCGGCTTCTTCACTGGCGAGGAGATCATTCTGGCCATTCGACATGCTGAAATACCCAATCGTGTGAGTTCCAACCCTCTAGCGCCCTGTCATTGCACTCATAGCCACTGAGCAATACTGTTTAGTCCCCGTTTCAGGAGAAATGTCCGCAACGCAGTTATGAGAGTACCATTAGCACACTTTACAAGGTAAGAGCTTTGCCGCTCTTTCCACATCTTTACATGCTCATCAAGGTTGATATTTCCCCTTTGTCACATAGTACCCCTGGCATGCCCCCGAGCTATACACGGTGCATGATCGCAATCAACTTTTCGAGTTGGCCAATCGTCACATAAAATCCCTTGTCGCGCGTATCAAGAGATACAATACCGTGGGTCTTGACCAGAAACTTCTCTATGATCTTCTCCACGCTGGTCTCAACTGCCCTGCGTTCAATGAGCGCCAGAAGTACACTCTCTGCATCAACTCTGAGATCTCAAGCGAGATAAACAAGTTCCCCGAGCTTGGAAAATGGTTCCCGTTTGACAGTCTTGTCAAGATGCCCAATTTCCCGGAGGAAATCCATAGGGTAGGCCTTCACACCGTCAACATTTCTTCTAGTATCCTAACTTTTTCAGTACTATGCAGGGTTGATCTCAATCGGCTCCGTGCCGAAAATCGGAAACATTGAGCTTCCCAATATGTTCCCTGTGGATCATCCGACGCTTCGTTCTCCGTATGGGCCTATCTGGTTCGAATGGCCACAATCTATTTCAGTCAATATCACTTGGGAATCCGCCGTCAACCATGAGATGGTCATCCTATCTAGTCTTGTCTTCAGTGGTTGGATCAACGATGATATGGATACCATGCTGAACCTCCGACGAGTGTCTGGTGAATCTTCATTCTCCCTTGCACCCTGCACTGGCCGCAAGGTTTCTGTCTCGCCTAGCGAGACCGAGGGAAGCCAGGCTCAAAGTGAGCTGTCTTCTCGTGCTGATATCTGCGCAGCTCCGTCTCGCCGCGCGAGTGAATCTGCAAGTATCGGTGGTGCTCTTAACCTCAACAACCCTGGTACTCTCTGGAACCAGAAGTTGCTTCTGTATCCTGGCAAAAAGCGCCCCGCCTATCTCGGCCATCGCATCACCCAGTCGTCTCCTATGTGCCTCCCGTCTCCCACCACTAATCCTTGGGGTGAGGAACGCGAAGACTAAAGGAAGAAGCGATTGAGCTTCATGATTGTGGAACCAAATCGTACTCATATCTGTCACCAATCTCTGCTCTACTCCGTCTTTCGAGTGAGTGAGCGCTATTCGAAGTCCATCGTGAACGTGCAAGTCCCTGGTAACTATGCTACACTATTCGTCCTGGTATCATGTCTTTTCTGGATTCCCAGGGGCTCACCTTTACCCATAAAACACAATGATGTTACATCTATGACACCTTGGGCTAGTGGTTGACGTCAATTGGACAAGATTCAAGTCTACGTTATCATCGTTATGATTTTGATTGGATGGAGAATACTTGGGAACTTGAATACCTACTTGGTTCTTTGTTCTCTTACGACGATGCATCACCTCGCTTCATGGATATGGTGCGCTTTAAGGAATCAGAGGTTCTAGTTTAGTGCTATGCAAGTGAATTGGGGTTTGATATGCAGCTACTACTATGTATTCAGGGAGCGTACTGGTTCTGCATGATCCTCAACTCCACTCTTACCATTCTCCTGTTTAGCCTGCTCTTCAAGTAACTTCTTCTTCGCCAGCCCTTCAGCCCTCTTTCTCTCCCTCCGCGTCTCTGCATCCTCCCACCCATCAGGCTTCGTCTTTCCTTTCGTTCTCATCCCGCCAGACTGGTCTGTCGAATAAGCACTTAGTAGCGCTGTCCGAAATCTTTCCTTTCGCTCCGAGTTCGTCAAAAACCGTTCGTTTGACATGGAAACCAGCAACTGGAGGTATTCATCGGTTACCAAGCTGCGAATAACGCCTTGACCGTCATCACCACCGTGGCCATCGTCTTCGTAATATCCTATCACGGATTCTAAGGCTAGGCCTGCGGATCGGACAGCGACAATTGGGCTAGGCGCTTTGTCGCCCTCTAGACAGCGTAAACTTTGAAGTCCGCTTTCGCGAAATCCTGAGCTAGACGCTGCGGAGAGGACGGGTTGAGCGTGCCCGAGGGTAGCTGTCATTATATGCAGAATCTATGGAGGAGCTTGTTAGTGTCTTGGGTCCATGCCAGTGTACTGCAGGGGTCGGGCAAGGATAATGAAAAGCCGGTTGTCAAAAGCATCATACTGGTATTGAATAAGAAAACAGGAAAGAATGACAAGGGGATATTAGGCGGAGAACAACAAGCGAAAGGAGGGATCAGCGAGTCTGGGACTTACCATGGGCTCGAAATGAAAGCGCACGAGGCGTGGGGCGTGGCCTTCTTTATCCACGCTCGGAGGGTTCCCATCCCCGGCCACCATCCCAAACACCTCAAGCAACGACTTTCTTTCTTTGTTCGCCTCGAAGCCCTTGGGAATCGCGCGTCCATTCTCCGTCTCCATCGGCTCATGTGAGACATACAGCCATTTGCCGGCTCCCTTGCCCCCAGAGGGAACGAATTTCCTTTCTTCGCCCGCGTTTGCTTCTTCCGCCGGATTCGAACCCCGCCGTCCTTCTAAGAATACGCTGATACGACCAGCACAGCTGCTGGTAGTCACTAGTCCAGGCAAGGTGTTGATGTCCTGGATGAGATCGCGAATCCCTTCATCAACCGAACCCTTGGGGGAAAGATCCGAATATTCTTCGTCTGGCGCTGAGAGCTCGGCAAGGATCTTGCTTTTGCGAGATACAAAAGTTTGTGGAATCATTATTGTTTCTGTGTCCATGTCTTCGTTCTTCTTGTTTTCGAAGCTTTACCTGATGTTGCAGTGTCTAGAATAGAACATTCATTCGAGCATGCGACGCCAGAGCGTTATTGGCTGGTACAGACGAAGAACAGGTTGAAGGAAACCTTTCTTGATATTTCCCACGCAAAAGCTGATTTGCAGAACTCGATCGGGCCTGGAACAACAACTGACCACCCTTTCCACAAAAAAAGCAAGCAAGGAACAATGAGATATACGAGCAGCTATACGCGGGCTCTTTATGACGAAAAGATGCACTTTCTCTATCAGTTCGAGGAACTCCGTGTTCTTTGATTGAAAGGCTCTGATCAAAGTGCTTGGTCCAAAAATCCTTCTCGATAACGTCGTGGGTGGGGACAAGTGCTCATCTTAAGTGGTGCCGGGAGCTCGCCGCCCCCTTCCACGCGAAGAACCGCCCCAGAAGCTACCAGCCCCTTGGTCTTTGATGCTTTGTGGGCTTGAGCCATCTGAACTCAATCAGCAACTTACCCGCCGTCAGACCGACCGTCAGACGGCTCGAGGAACAGGCTTAAATGCCCTTCGCTCATCCACTCTCTGCCAACGTTTTTCTATCCTCATGCCATCGGTGTCTGCAGAATCACTTCCTAATCATCTATTTCCTATAATCGCGAGAAATTGCTCAAAGCTTTTCAAAAGTTGCCATCACTGCTCTCCAGAACTTCTTGCCATGCCTCGAGTAACTCGATCGACTCGGGCCGCTCCCGCAGCCGCAGCAGCTCCAAAGCCCGCAAGCAAGAAGCGCACCTCGGCCAAAGGAGCTGGGGGCTCAGGCGGGGCGCTAAAGAAACAAAAGTACGACTCCAGCCCCCCGGACAAAATCGCGAAATCCACCACCAAAGAAAGCAAGTACTTCAAGAAAGGTGAATCCGCAAAGCCGAAGAAGGCTAGAACGAAGCGTGCTGCGAAGCCAGAGGAAGACTACGAAGACGACTCAGATGCCGTTTCCCCCGACGCAGACCATAACTCATCGGACGCAGACTCAAACTTTTGGGGACTGCAGGAGCAGGCCACTGAAGGGAAGAATGCCCTCTCACAAGCCATCAAAGACTTTTCAAGAAAGCGTGGACCCAAATCAGAGGTGTCAGTGGCGTCAGAGCCGCCGACAACATCTTCAAAGAAGGACCTATGGAAAGAAGGTGTCAAAACTGGCCTTGGACCTGGCAAAGAGGTTTTTATCAAGAAACCCAAAGCAAGAGATCCAGGCGACACCCCATACGAGGATGAAACTCTGCATCCAAATACCCTGCTCTTCCTGGAGGATTTGGCTGAAAATAACGAGAGACAATGGCTTAAAGGTACCCGACAATGAACCTTGCACTCACCCAGATGTGTCACCATCCAAGACTGACATAACTCGGGTCGGTAGCGCATGACGCGGACTATCGCGCGTCGAAGAAGGACTGGGAAACGTTTGTTGAATCCCTGACGGAGAAAATCACCGAGCAAGACGGCACAATTCCTGAGTTGCCTGCCAAGGACCTGGTCAGCTATGTTCTTTTGATATCTGAAGCGCGAAACTAACACAAATGAACTCTGCTTTAGGTGTTTCGCATACACCGAGACATCAGGTTCAGTAAGGATCCCACGCCATATAAAGTATGTTAATCCTTCTCAGAATGCGGCATATCTTCTTGGCCATGGATCTAATTGTCACCACAACAGACACATTTCTCAGCCGCCTGGTAGGTGGAAGCATACTTCTACACACTAAGAAGGTCAGCTAAGATGATATTCAAATAGGTCCCGAACCGGGAAGAAGGGGCCATACGCTGCGTACTATGTCCACTGCCAACCAGGGGCTAGCTTCGTTGGTGAGTCATAAGTGCAGTGCACACCCATCTGTCACAAATGCTCCCTGTCATTGTTGTTGCTATAATGCGTGTATCCTTTCCTATCCTTCATCGCGTCGCGTCGACGCCTCACAGACCCCCGGCTCGCTCCTTCCTTAGCAGAGCTTATGACCAAGCGGATCCTACTCTTTCCGACGCAATATCTCTGTTGCGACTGCTTCGCGCGTGAAACTTCTCCTTTGGCATTATGTCCATCGCAACACGTCCTAACCATTCCTCATGTGCCTAGGTGCGGGTCTCTGGCATCCAGAAGCTGACAAACTGGCGCTTCTTCGAGACGACATCGATAACAACTCGGAACGGCTAAAGGATGTTCTTCGACAGGAAGGATTGCGGCGCGAGTTCTTCGGCGGAATACCGGACGATGAAGATGAAGCTGTCCAAGCCTTCGCGAAGCAGAACAGCGAGAGCGCACTGAAGACTAAGCCAAAGGTAAGAATATTTTCTCGTTCTTTCTCCCACCTGACTCCCTCGTTATCCCATTCTCCGATATGCTTGATCAGTTCGCTCTGGACAAATCAAGTCAGCGAGTGACGAACTTTTGAAACTGGCGATGCTCTCACGTCGCTCGGGCGCGTTCGGTTATTGGGAGTCGCAGAGCGTCGTGCTCGTCAGGGCTGTTTTTATCGTTCGACGCGCTCAAATATCATCAATGAGGTATTATTGAAGGACGATGGGGCTCAAATTGGGCCTTTGAGTGATGGTGGTCAGTCCGCTTGAGCAGATGCCTTGGCGTTGCCAGGAGTAGGTGGTCAGTCACGGTCCTTCATGAGAGAGGCGTCAGTTTCTCGCTATTGGAGACCACTTGCAAGAAAAGTCAAGCCGGAGGGAGCAAAACATGAACCACTCTCCGTCAACACTGGCTTGTTGCAACGGAAGGTTGTTGCTCAAACATCACCACTGTTGATGGTTCAAGCGCAGCCACGGACGAGAGGCTCTCTCCCTTTTCCACCATCAGTCCCGCTGGCCGCGCCTGGCCACTGGGTGGCCAGCATGAGCTTTTTTGGGCCTGGTGCGGCAAGCAGGCATGCTTTCGCTGTCCCACTGGGTATACCCGCTTGGGAAAAGCGTCTGCGCCGTCTCATCTGGTTTCCATGGTTCAACACCTCCCTGCCTCCGTCCCCCGAGATTACTATGCCTCTGATTGGAACTCGCAAGAATTGGACCAAGCTAACTTCTCTCCTTTCCAACAGGGCTATGAACACGACAACGAAAACATCGAACTTCTCCGGCTGCGCAGCTTCACAATTGGCAAACCAGTCTCTGATGCAGATCTTCTGAGCCCTGATGCTCAGGAGAAAATAGCCACTTTGATTGGTACCATGGAACCTTTCGTAAGCAATCCTTTCACGTTCATATGAAGCCAGATTTTGTCTCCCGCATCCCCGGCCGCGTTGTGCGCCCAATGATCACCGTCTTTGGTCCCTCCCATACTCTTATCCAGTCTCTTCGTCCTTGGGTGGGTGGTCCATGGACTTTTGGCCAGAATGGCCTTGACTGCCACACTTCATCACAATTCGCGGCACAGGCGTCCAGACCTCCCCAGCGCCGTGCGCCCTTCGCAAGGGTATTGGCTGACTAGTTTATCGTCTCAACAGGTCACGTATCTCAATAGCGTTGTCATGCCCGATCCGGGCGGCCATGATACCAGTAGTATTGCGACAGATTCTGCGGATGAGGAGTGAACGATGCCTGTGTTAATGCGCAGGACTACTTTTATTGGTACGATTTCTGACTCGTTCTCGCTCCATGTGTGTGATTATTTCGCGCTATTCTCCATGGGCAACTAGTTGATCTATCTCCCTTAGTGCTTTATTCTTGGGCTTTGCTTTTGTTATGCGATGTTCCGATTTATCTATCTCTATCTTCATTCTCCACTCATCTCTGAGTTGTTGTACTTGTACGATTCTCGTTGGTCTTGCACTCCAGCTGACCTGCTTGCTGTTCAATACATTGTTGGGATATATCAAGTGCAAACCCAATACACGTCTTTGTTTTTGACAAGCTTGGAGTGTCAACGACTTGTCCATCTTTCTTACCGCCAATTCTCGGCCTGCCATGGAGACTCAACCGATGGGCGGACAGCGACCCTTGCTATGACCTCCCCAGAATCTGCATGCCACACTCACTTTTCACACTTGCAGATTAACCGCACGGGCACTAGTTTCGGCCGACCTCTTATGCGTGCACACAAAATTCGTCCGACGGGGCAAGAGTTGGATGCCTTTGCCCCAAAAAAAAAATAGACTTCGGCCGTCTGCATCCATGCCCAAGCAGTACAGTAGCCTAGTCCTAAGTTCAAGGCTATTGTCGTGACAGGAATGTGTATTTTCTAGCGAATACCGAAACTTGAAATACCAAGAGTGAGTTTACTCCAGTAATCTGGAGCGACCGTCTCGTCTCCTACGCTATGACTCTCTTACGACGCCTTTCGAGGACTCTAGTCGAGGCGAGAGCCGTCATGGTTTCTCAATTCTCGAGCCTGAACGAAGCACAAGACTTCGACTGGTCAAGCCGAAGATCCGAGTACAATCTATATGCGGGACATGCCGCGCCACCCACCAGGACAGTGTCCCGGGCCAGTATCCTATAAGATCGAATTTAAATGGTGCCTTGGATTAGGAAGAGTTGGTTTCTGTCTATTAAGTAACCAATGTCCTCTGAACCTAGAAGTTTAACTTCGTCGTGCGCGTTTCCTTTAGAAATACGTAGACTTATATCTGGAACCTCCAGTGTAAGAAGCCCCCGTCATGCTTGACGGTTGTTATATGAGCTTGACAAATCCTACTAGACTTATCCCTTGAAGTCTTTTTCTTTCGAACAAAGTATACGCATCTAATATGTATGTACGGTCATCATCACCCTCAATTCTCCCAGCATACCCAACGGTCTCAGCCCTTCTAACTTTTCCCTTCAAACCATGGTCAGTAGCAGAACGGGACGGGACGACCTCGTGGTCTGACCACCTCTACCACTCTGGACCGTCACTTAAGCTCGTCGGTATGGAACGGGCCTACAGGCGGAGGTAACTGTATGGGTATGCTAGCCATGGAACGGAAACGAACGTAGCCTTTTCTTGAGAGTTCAGGCTATCCACCTCTGGCATTTTGTCATTGAACTCAATATTATGCGAGGGTTTGAATTGGGTCGGGTCGAGTTTTATGATACGCGTTGGAGTTTACGATGTTCCATGGTTCGTTCGTAGTCTCTAGTAGTATGCTGATATGAAGTTCTTCTGAGAGCAGACAATGTTGAAAGAATCAGTACTCGTATTAAGCAAAGCATCGCTAGACTGATACCGAATCAGAGAGATAACCATTACTACCTAGTATGATGCCTTGAGCCGCGTAGACCAGTTATACCCCACCGGCATATATATTAGTACGACAGGGTGTGAGACGTCCTCAGATCGGTTTGGAAGAACAAAGAACTTCCTGTTTGATGTTCGGAGATCTCATTCCGAACGATTATAAGTCCAATGGCGTCGTTCCAAATAATGGACACACAGTCGTCCAAGGGAAGATTCTCGACCGCGGGTCTCGAGGGGAGCTAAAAGATACCTACTCCTACGAGTAGTACCGAACTGAGAGGTAGCCAAGTCGGTAGTCACTTCAAGGTTCTTACACTGGGACCTTTAGCCGGGGAGAATCCTCTGGGCTGAGGCGCTGGAATTCTGAATTTCCTCTTCGAGTATTTGCCTCTTCGCGGCGGCGGATGACGCTTATAAGCAGTGGAATCAAGAGAACCTTCTAACAAGTGTTTATTTTCCGCGGGCTGTAGATTACATTGGAATGGACTACCGAGAAACGACCTGTCGTTGACAGGAAAACCTTGGGGAAAAGTATCGCATCCATACCTCTTTCCCGATGGAGTTTCTTGGAGAACCTTGAAGTGACAGGTCCAAACGCTGGCGGCGCGCCTCCATGCGAGGTGAAAAAAAATTCTCCTCACGTCACAACATGCATGATTCTCCCTTGATTTGCCAATTAACAGGCGATTACCTGCGAATCCTCATCGTAATCGAACCTACGCAACAGGGTCTCGGGGGAGGCGAACTATAAGAGCTACCGGACAATAGTCCCGACAATCGCAATATCCGTCCCAAAGAACCGTCGAGGTTTAACCCTGGTAGACTCCAGCCATGCGGTGGCAATGAATTTGTTGCGAGTCGCCGACTCGTATACAGTAACTACTTAATTTTGAGGTTAGAAGGATTCGGTCACGATGTGATGATGCGATAGACGCTGCGAGGGCTTTAGCCTTGTGGGCTCGCCGTTTGGCTTAGTGTGGGGGGAGGGGGTGAGCTGCGAGATGGTTAGGTCGAGAGCTTCCGGTGTCCCCGGGCAGTTACAATCGCGATGCGGGAGTTGAAAGGTAGAATTAATCGAGGGACGACGAGATGTCTTTTAGTCTTGTCTTGGTGAGACGGAAATCTGGCAGCGCTTGAGATATGTATCGCATGGCGCGCGGACTGCTCAGTCCTGATAGGGGAGACTGAGACTGGGGATGCGATCCGGGCGCGGAGGATGAACTTTCGAGGGGTGAGGCTTCTGGTGTGATACATGGCTGCGTCAAGAGAAACTCTCTTTGGAATCTTGTTCCTACAACGTCCTCCGTCAGAAACAGCGAGGGATCATGTTTTGCTCGATCTGAATATTAGGTCTTCACTTCGATCCGGCGACTTGGCAGGGACGATCAATCAATCTGGAGAAACGACGGGGTCGTGAGCGATCGACGATGCCTGTGGGAGCGCGCCGGAGCGGACGAACAAAAGTTTGCTTTTGTTGACGGGACCGAGGAATATGATCGCCGTTTTGTGATCAAAGTGAGGAAAGGAGCCAGCAGTGAGATGAGACGCCTCAAACTTCCCATGTCAGGCATTCATCAGCAGGGCAATCTTCGGAGCCTAACGATGAGATATCACGCGATGAAGGGGTATGACAAGAGGGACAAGATCGACTGTGCCACCCAAACGCTTGCTGCTCCAGATTGTCGTGCAGGGCTCGGCCATCCACGGGGTAATAATACAGGTTGACTTTCCTCCCAGTTGCCCGATTGCCGCAGGTAGACGAGGTCGAATGGGTCTCCTGCCGTGCGGTATACATATTGGGGCTGCTCTCAAAATTCAGAAAGTAAGGCGGGGAGAGTTCTGTATGCAGGCTGTCAGTGTCGGCTCCCTCGCCAGGCCTCGCCACGTCACTACCCTTCCTCAAATGGCTCATTTTACACACGCGCACACATCCTTTGTGACTTGTCCCCGAGAGCACAGACGCAGGTTTGGAATTGAGCTATGGTGCTGGCCGTTCCTTGTTGTCGCAGGTGTTGTCCACCAACCATATCCCGAGAATTACCGCCCTGTCACCCACCATTAGCACACCACCAAGTGTCTTCCGACGCACAGGCGGGCCAACAGCGGCTCAGGAGGAGATAAAGTCGAGATCGCCTCTTGGATCTGGCGCTCTCATAGGCCCCTGAGCCTTCACGTGATCGAAGACGTATGCGGGTTGATCGATGATCACAGGCAGGTTGCTTCCCTTTTCCCTGCGCCCCCGGGGCAGCCGCACACTAGACAGTAGGCTAGTCCATTAGCTCGGTAGTAGCCCAGCCAACTAGCTTGTCCGCCTCTCGTCATACCGCCTCGCTGACAAGTTGACAACCATGGCCCGGTCAGACCTCAAAGAGTCAAAGAGTCAGTCAGCATCGCCAGTCATCCTGGCACAGAGTCCATCGCTTGTTCTCCTTGCAAACTACGCGCATGAAGGCGGCGATGCGCGTTGGCGATGCGATTCGAGCCGGTCTAGGCGACGTAAATGTACTGGGGGTTAACGCAGGTGTCGACGGCAAGGTTGCAGATATCCATGGAACCATGGTCACCGCAAGGCCCAAGAAGGCCGTGACCAGGATCAAGCTGGCGGTGAGGGAAGACGTTGGCTGAAGTGGAGGAGAAGGTGGAGCATTCCGAGGACGAAGGACCGGGACGAGCTGAGTTGCAGCGGAAAATCGCGGACGGCAATGCACCGAGCCGATTGGGATTGAAAAACGTGGCAAGAGGGAGAGGGAGAAAAAAAAATAATGAATTAAACGGAGGTCAGCAGCAAAACCGAGCGTGTAACTTACACTGTGTAATACAGCGTTTCCAGACCGGTTTGGTTTTGTATGGTTTGGAAACGACTTGACTTGGGAGGAGGCCCAAGTCACATCAGCAAGGACGATCATAGCGACGGGAAGAAGGCAAATCCCTTGAAGTATCAATGCCTGGAGGAATGTGATAACGCGAGGCTAAGGTGATAGCGGACTTTGCGAAACTTGCCATGTGCGGGCGACCAGGTCTATTGCCAGCGCCCTGAGGATCGGATGTAGATAGTCTGAAGCGCCCTGTTTGAGCGCATGCGGTGTTGCAACATCGTATTACAGATTGCTGTACGGCAGGGTTGTCTGCCTCTGCAGCTTCCACAGCATGAGGATAGAACTGGATCGCCTTGCTTCCAGGCAAGGAATACGATGCGGAACTTTCAATAAAGCACGGGAGGCAAGGGGGCACGAAGTCGATTGCCGGGCACGATTGGCCAGCCACCGGGCCAGGCGATGGCCTCCAATGAGGAGCAGCAGGAAGAGAACTGTCTTCACGGGGCAAAGACTACCTAGTAGTAGGTAATAATCATATCCTTGCAACAACGAGGTTGTCTGAGAACACGACGGATACACGTCGTGCATTAGATTGGCGGGAGACGGTGCGGGCCGTCGTGGCGTGGAAAGACAGAATAAATTTCACTAGCGGGGGATGATCGAGCGAGGGTGGTTGCCCAACGCCCTGACAGGCCGGCACAGACACCTGCATTTCCAGGAGACGCTGAAGTCTTGTTTTGGCTGAGCCATCTTTCTAGAAATCAGGCGAGAAACCACTAGATAGTTACTCTCACCCTTGTCGGCCGCATCATCATTATTCATCCATGTGCGACCCCCACCGAAGAGAGCCAGCGCCTGGGGAAGTCACACGATCCTAGTCACGGGATAAAAACAGCCGATTGGCATCGATCCGCTTCAACGTGGAGGTGAGAAAACAGCAGATTCTCAAACCATGTGGACTGCCAGTAGTGTCCTCAAAGTGAGACACGGGTCCTGATTTTATGTAGCAGCGCTGGGTATTACGACAGCAGCAAGGATCCCTTCCGACCTGGCTGGTTCGTCCCATCATCAACCCAGAAGTTCATACATTATCGTGAGTGGAACATGCATGTCACCAGACGCCCCCGCAGCTCGGCCCATCGCTTTTTTTTTTATCACAAGCCCGAATAGAGCTTTCTATTGGAGCGCTCGGCCGCGACACCGTCCCTGACGCCTGCATTCTCAGCTGGGGATTCTCGAGCCGAGAAAAATTTTCGACCAGAGCAAGCCACGCTAATGCAACTTATTCTGAAAGGCACTATTTAGTACTATATGGTACCTAGGTGACGGTCGTGGTGCTTCACACTGCTCACTCCGAAAGTCGAGTCTCGTTTGTGAGTCTGTGAGTATCCCCCAATGTTAGATTGGAACGTTGAGCCCGTGGTGCGATCCCGAAACTCAAGCACTGGGAACCCCGCCATCAGTCCTGCCCCTCCTCCTGAATGAAATCGCCCTCTTCTGCGTTTTGATTGAACGACTCTCGTCCATCCTTATATCCATCTATTCTCCCATTGGTCACACCGAATTATGTCGCGACCAATGAGCACCGCGGTTGAACTTTTCCCGTGTGGTTCCAGAATTTGTGCGACAACACCAAGGGAAAACCAGAAGTTGGAGTATCTACGGGATCTCCGGACGACCGGGCTGAGAAACAAAGGAGAAAATGAAGTCCAGAAAAAGGTAAAATGATAGTTGCCACTAAGCAGGAGAGGTTGCTTGGACTTTGGTCGTGCCGGGATTCAACCTTCCCCTTCCAGTATCCTTGATGTCGTTTTCGGCCAAAGTCGAACGGATCCATGGAACCGTAGATTGAACTCAGCTTACCTGGAGTCCACCTCTCCAGCGTCAGTCACCGATCCCCAGTTGAACATAGAAGCCGTTACGTACTCTGCGTAATCCATATAAGATTCCGATTTTGAGCAGGCCCCGAGACACTGGTGGCGTCCATTAGTCAACATCAAGTCTAAGGCGCTTCTTGGTGCCCTAAGACGAGATCAGTCCGCGTCCTGCATCGTTCCAGTATTCTGGCTGCTGTGTCTCTGGTTCGGAGCGGTCCTTGCTCCTGGGCCCAAGGGGTTGGTCCCACTGGTCGAGCTGCTAGCATCCCCTTGTTCTCCTGAATGTCATGGACGATCTGTTTCCGTTCAGAGCATATCGAGTCCAAGCGGAAGAAAAGACTGCACCATATTGCAGCATCCCTGGCACATAACGGCCATCTTGCTTTCAGCGTACGAGTCTAAATGTGCACGTACAAGGGGTTGACAGAGGATGCAAGGGATGTTATATCTCGGTTTGCTGAGTTGCATGCTCAGGCTGGGTTGCTCTAATAGTAGGATTCGTTTCTGTCCGCCTGTCGCTCGAGCTAGTCCGACCTGCTTCGAAGGGTGCTGTCACCTCTGAGGCTCGGAGAAGTATGAGGCTTGTTTAAGACGTTTAGCCATTGAGAGTGTTGGTGTTCAAAGCTTCGTGTTCCGCGCTGTGGATTGTTATCTGTATCATTGGGGTATGCACTATGCATGGATGGGTTACACGTAGGCCCTGCCCGGTACCTGGACACATCGCAAGTGTGAGGTTCCAAAATCGATAGACTGCCTCGGCTCATCGTGACACGCCCTCGATTATCGAACAAGTATATGCGCCTGTGGTTGTGGAGCGGGAGATATCCTGGAAGCTGTCACCGCGAGCATTGATGGAGTCAAAAGTCAGTTCCCGCAATTTGCGGTGCTGTCCAATTTCAAGACCTACGATTAACGGGATTGGGTCATGGCGAGGAGACATGAAACATAGGCATAACAGCCGAGCCTCGATATGAGGTTCCTTGCATGTTCGGCGGAGAATTTTAGCCGCGTGTCCCGTAGTCGTACACAGTACTATTTCGACATTCTTGACAAAGGACCAGCAGGCGGTTCTTGCGGTGACACAAAGTTTGGAACGCTAGCAATAACATCCATGGATCGCGGCCGAATCGCGGAAGAACTCGAACGTCCCTGCGGGAGAAGCAGGGCGGGCGGTTTCACCCCTAGCGCAATGCGAAGTGAGGATCTCGAGGCGGAGAAGTGAAGAGCGAGGATTTATGCACGGTCTTTCGAGGTCGCACAGAGTGACGAGGGAGGGCGAGGCTGTGAGATTCTTCCCGGGATTATTGTCCGTTCAGCCAGACGAGCGCAAGTGCGAGTCAATTATTTTTCTGCAAGCGCAATGACCGGTAGAAATCAGTGCTAAGACTCTAAGAGTTTGCCGGGCCTGCTGCTAACCTGTTGAGGATTCGGCTCCTCGCCGGGTGGACCCTTCCGAACGCAAGTGCTGAAGAGTCCCAAGCGGACCAACGGTCCCAGTCTGTCCCGCCACTGAGACACATGGATGGATTCATATACGGTAATTGAAGGCTGGGACCTCGGAGTCGGGGCTCGCTGGTCACAACATCAATGCATAGTAATCTGCATTTAAATCAGGACTGCAATGCCTCCCTACCTGAAGAATCTTGATGCGGGCCAGCATCCTTGGTTCATTTAGCAAGTACTCCAATGTACAGGTACTTTAAAAGCGAAGAACTACTGCAGGCAGTTCCGCTCTAAGTAGTAGTCAATGCGAGAGCTCCGGCTGAGCAGCTGCTTTTGGATGGGCCAAGTCCACCGCTAATTCATCAGAATTGTCATCTGGAAGGATGAGGACGATTTACCTTGCTTAGAGACTCTTGAAGAGATGATAAAAATGATCCCGTATACCACTCCTAGTACTGGTGGTACTAAGTAAGTACTGCGAGTTGTTAGGATTAATCGCTCTTAACGTAAGATTACTTACCATACAACGGTACAGCCTGAGTACCGAGAGTGAGGTTTGGAGCAGTGGAGATTCCGTCACGGCGCGTTTGCCCGTCCCGGCGTCCCTTGGGCCTTTTCAGCTGATCCCCATGGAGCCATGGATGCCTTAGCGCTGGGCTTGGGGTGTCGGCTCGCCCATGTCTATGGGTCGTTGGCGTGTTGGGTACCGGGGTTCCACTTGCGCACGGCGGACACTGCTGCGTTGATGCTTTTTTTTTTTTTTTTTTTTTTTTTTTTTTTTTTTTTTTTTTTCTTTCCGCCTCTAACCGCCCTGTTATATCCATCCTCTAGGCTCTTGGAGACCTGCAAGCATGGTCAGTCGATATTATCGATGGGATTCCGAGTTAAGCGCAATGGTTTGCATCGACGTTTCCTTCTTCCAACGGCTGTCTTCGAATGCCGAATCCAGGTTATGTAAGTATCCAAAGGGAGGTGTGGTCCTAGCAAATTAGACTCACGAGAAAGGGACACACAATTATTGCACTCTTTAAGTTTTTTTTTTTTTTTTTTTTTTTTTTTTTACCTTTTTTTTTTTTTTCCCACGCTCGTCTTTATGACCGCCTCTTGTTCAACCCAACTTCCATCAAACCCAGTTCAACTCCACTGGCCTGAGATCCTCACAAGGTTGCTCCCGTTGCGGTGTATCATTCCCATTGCCCTGATCGCAGTTTCAAGGCACGTCATCCTGATACCGCTACTATAATTATTATTCCATGTACGCCATCGCCCGAAAGATACGGCCTGCCTCATCGCTACCTTTTCAGGCAGAGACCCAGTCAACCCAAGGAACCGTGTGCTGCAACAGTCCATCCCTTACCATTCCCCATCTGCTTGCCTCCCGAACGGACCGGCTAGTCTGCGACCCAGACTTTGAGATGGGGCGCTCGAGATTATCAGCAACGGGCGAAGGAGACGATTCGAGCTGGAGGAAAGCCAGAAAAAATCAATCGGAATTAGTAGATTATTAGGGCATTATCCATCAGACCTGTAGCTACTCGTATGAAGTAAAGTACTTTCTTCTGCTCTACGACCCAATTGCAGTTTCCTCGTCAGCTTTCCTAGCCAACAACGGCGATTCCAGAGGCTTTTCCTCGTAAGGTACGTCTCCATTTGCCCCTACAGTCTACAGAAGTACTCCTTGATTGCTCGCACAACCGCGCTGCTGAGTATCCGACAGGCTGGGCGTGACCTCCTCGCTCGAGTTTTGACCTATACTGACATTCGCATTGCACTACTGCCAGGCGTTGTGGACGCTATAATTCCTTCTTGCTTGCTGACAAGATCTCACTATTATTATTATTATTGGTACGTTGCTCTGCTATTATTCGATTATTTTATTTTATTTTCTTCTCCCTCCCTGTTTTTGCATCCGCGCGTCCTCATCTTCCATCACGCACACCTGCTGGATGCCAACAGTCAACGTCATAATTGAAACCCGAGGCTCTTTTTCTTTTTCTCCATTACTTCCTCGATTTTCTCCTTTTTGGGAGCTGCATTTTGCCATCTCCGCCTTTTCCAGGTTGTGCAAAGTTGGCAGCTTGACTTCTGATTATTTTCCTCCACCGCCTCTCTGACCTTCTGGTCTCTTTCTCCCACCCCTGCTCTTTCTTCCCTTTTCCTCCCTCCCTTTCCCCATCCTTGTCGGCCCAAAATTCCCTCTCTGGGTTAATCCAATCTTCAGCCCTCTCTTTTCCTTTTGTTCTTTCCCTTTGCCCTCTGCTCGGCCCCAGTGTGACCACGAGGCTAGCTAGCCCTGCACATCACCCGACGGAAACTCGCTGTGATTTGGTCTCTTCTCTGAATTGTTCTTCTTGCGCCTCAGACTTAACGCCTCTATTATTATTCATCCCTGCACAGACTCACCTCCATTCGCTCCTTTAGCATCCACCCGCCTCCTGCTGGCTCACCCTTACCATACGGTCCTTTACACCAATCCGTCTTACGCTTACATACAACAAACGGCTCCGTCCGCCGCCATTGGTTTGGTCACCCCTGCGCGGCCCTGAGCCTAACGACGAGCCCACTCGATTTTTCATACATCATCCTGCATTCGCCCTCTCTTCTTAACTCCTCCCCAGTCCGCCTTTCCCGTGGTTTGAGCAGCCTCTCTCGCTCACTCGCCTACAAATGTCCAACAATCCCCACGATTACACCGGCCCGAACGGCAACGGCCCCAATCGACAGGGACAGTATCCACCGCCTCAGTGGAACACCAGTCAGCCCGACGAGAGCTCTTATCCACCGTCTTCGCAATACCCTGTATGTTTCTTATACATCCTCACTCCCCGTCATCACTGGTCTATAAATATACTCCTCTTCGCCGCTCGCCCTTCCTCTGTCGATCTCTGTCAACTCTTGCTACGTTTACTTGCCTCCACCACCAGTGCAATCAGCCATCACTAACACAAATGCTCTCATTCCAGTACCCTCCAGCCTCTTATCCTCCAACGGGCCCAGCACCACCAACCCACCAATACGCACCGCCGCCGGCGCAATATCCTCCGCACACGCAATATCCTCCTCACCCAGCCATGGCTGCCGTTCACCCAGGCCCACCACAAGACCCCTATCGGCTTCCCCCTCCGCCTAACGCCTACCGGCCGGATCCATTCGCACAACAGCCTCCACCTCCACCCCCCGGGGGTCCGGGAGTTGTCTATCAAGCTGCCCCTCGACAGAGAACGGCCATCGCTTGTCGCTATTGTAGGAGACGGAAGGTATGTGCCGAATCATCTCACTCGCAAGTCGCGTGCTGCTCGATATCTCAGTTCTAGCTAACAACTGGCCTGTCATAATAGATTCGATGCTCTGGATTCGAGAGCAACCCGGATGGACGCTGCAGCAATTGCGTGCGCTTCAACCAGCAGTGCATGTTTACCCCAGTGTCCTCTCAGACTCAGGCGTTTGTGCCCGCCCACGCTGCATACCCACATATGAGGAACGGTCAAAACCAAGGAGAGCCAGTCGTGCTTTACGGTGCCCACGGTCAACCCCTGCCACCCCAACATCAACCTCCGCCAGGCCCCGAGACAACACTTCCACCGCCAAATGGAATGTACCAACCCGCATATGGCAATCCAGCACCCATGGCAGATCACGTATGTTCCAATTGACGCATTGCAGCTTTGCTTCCTTTCTCTATCTGATTGCTAACCTCATGTTTTACTCGTCCAACAGAGACCTCGCCGCGGCTCCGGTTCTGGATTCGATTACCCCGATCCTACTAATCTCGCCCCTGTTACGCCAGCTACATCCGCGCCCTACCAGTCCCGCGCCGCTCCCTACTATGCCCCACCTCCTGCTGCGCATGAGCGCCGCCCTTCGCCGCAGGCTAATTACCCATATGACAACCGCCATTCGTCCTCCCCTCACGGTTCTCCCTACCCTCCGGTCCATCCTCCGAATGCAATCACACCCCCGCCAACCTCTACTCCCGGTTCTGCGACTCGCAATGGTCTCAATGTGCGGGATATGCTCAATCCCGGCGGTGATAACCCAGGCCGCTCCAGTACTGACAGCGATATGCTCAATGCTTTGAACCGGCGTGGCTTGGGTCAGTAGACGAATTCCCCACGTCTGCCGCGTCCATCTAACGGAGCCACGGGAGAGCCAACATGGGTGGCACCCACAGTTTAACAGGATGACTTGTGATGGCAAGTAGAGATTAGTGGCAGAGAACGGTGTGCCGGCCACACTTTGCTTTCCTGTCCGAGTTCAAATTAGGCTGCAATTGCGTGGAGAAAAATGGGACGGAGCCTGAACCAAGAGCAGAAAAAAAGTTTTTTTAAAAAAAAAAAAAATAAGGGGACAAGAAAAGAAAAAGAAAAACCTGAAGAAAATTCGGCGTGAAGCGTTTACAGGAAAAGCTGGGGACTTCCTTAGGAGCTGGATACATCGTTCCGGAAGAATTGTGCTGGCACAATTTAGGATTACAGATCTAACGAGAGAACGAGATACGCTATTTCGCCAATTTTGTTCGACGATTACGAATATATGAGTTCGGCAAGCGACATGATGACGAAGAAGTGTGCAATCATAGACATGAATTTGCTCTCGACAACTCTTTTATTCAAGTTAGCAGTCACAACCTGCGAACAGTCAGTCGACCTCTCGCTATGAATCGAATCAGACCCGCACCGAAGCGATCAACACGAATCATGAGGAGGTATTGTGTGCATTTTGGAGGACATGCGTTACGATTTTATAAACTATTTCGGGGCAACCCGCTAATGGGATCTTTTTCCCTACTGTCTTCATCTGGACATCGGTCTGGACCATGGGTTTCTGGCATGTTTCAAGGCTTAACTCCTGGACTGACCGCGTGTCACACTTCGCATCGGCAAGCGGTCAACCCGGGAGTTAAACCATGCCATGCCACCACGGAATTTACAAAAGATATTGCATTTAGCCGGCGGTATTCTTCGTCTTGAAATTATGAAGCGAAGTCTGGTGTGGAACTTTGCTTTTTGCCCTTCTGTTTGGGAGCGGCTTCAACTCGCGCAGCATTTGTTGATTTTACTACCCTTTACGCCCTACTAGTCATGTTTCGCCTCGTTTCGTTTTCGCTTTCAACACATTTCGGGTGGCTCTTTGTCTTTGCGTTTCTCATCATCGCCAATCTATATCCAGCAGTGACTACTCCTGGTTATGATTCATTTCCCCTTGCTTGTTTGTTAAAACTTGCCTGATGCTATTACTACTGGGTGGCTATACCGACACCGTCTTTCTGCGAGAAGAGAAGAGGGGGTAAAGAAAAATAGGGAGGCTCTCTGCTTGGTTTTGCCATTTGCCTATTCACCTTCTGTCTTAGTGTTTCGTCCATTTTTGCCGTTCTTCTTGTCTTTATCCTGGGAGGCTGTCTGATCAATTTTCTAGTTCATTATGATTTGCGAAGATTCTAATCTTGATTGAATGGTCCTTGCGTCCTATTTGAGGGTTTTGGTCTTGCCGGCTGATCTCGACTACAAGTAACCTTAATCTTACACTGCTAGACTTGTCCTTGATAGATACCTTCTAAATCACATTGCAGTTACCCATTATCTCCCTCAGGCAGCCTCAAACTTTACAGGGGTATGTTTATGTTTCTCATTTGGAATTAGCTACTAAACACTATACTACTGCTGGCGGTGGGTACGCTGTCCTCCAAAAGAAGCGAGAAGAGCAACTGCATATCACAAAGGAAAATTTGCAAGTAACGAGGGCCTAGGGAAAGTTTTGTAATCAGGAACATTGACCGGGGGCAAGGTTGGTCAGCGAAGCCATTCAAACCAAATAATGGAAGCCAGATAGTGGGTTTCTCACGGCATTGTGCCTTCCTGATTTGCGTCCGACCAACCAACAGAAACGTCGACAGTGCAAAAGGTCAAGTTTAGAAGTAGCCAGATACTCGACACGTAGGTCATGTACGGTACAATATAAAGTAGTCCTGCCAATTCAGATCCGTGTAAGTTGACGTAAACTCTTTTGGGTGTTTTGGTGCCGGGATATCTAGGTATTTGGAAAGGTGTCGAGGACTCGTGCCATCTTCTTCGCGCGTATTGGGTCTTCGACGAGGAGGTCCCGTTGCTTCATAACTAAACAGAGTGTATCGACGACTTTATTGAACGACGAAGCGGCACCGCGTTCCTGTCGGAATCGAACCAGGCTGAGGTTTGCTTGCCGGCCGTCTTCAATAACAGTATAGAAGTCTGCAGAAAATTCGACGGGACTGAGGCGGAAGACTATAGATGTGTGAAAAAGCAACCTCGTTAGCAGGGACGTTCAGAGAGTTCAGGAAGCCCGAAGAGCTTAGGGCTTGAGAAGGGGAAGTAAGTACAGTTTGACTCCCCAACTCGACCGTAGATAATATTGTTGGCTTTGTCCAAACGGATGTCTTCGATTCCGTACTGTTTCCATTCACGGAGCATTTTGTAAACCTCCTTGCGGCCTTTGATCTTAGATGTGTTGAGAGCTACGACGCGAGTGGCGGGTTTGAATTGGAAGACGCGGGCGAACCAGTTGTTGCTTTTGCCTGGGGACCTCTGACGGGCTTTCGAGGGATCATGATTCACCAGTTGTTCGGCGGCCAATGGGCGTTCTAGGTGGGGGCTCGTGGGTTCGCAGCCTGAAGGCATCCTGTAAGCTAGGGCTCTGTTAATCTACCAAACGTTGACTTACCGCTGTTTCTGCTTGACTTTCGCTTCATAAATCTCCAAAATGAACTCTTTTGCGAGTTAGATGACGGTTTTAAGGGCTTTTGTTGGTGTCCCGGCGTCAACAATGCTTCAGGCGGAGCATTGCTCTCGTGGACAATGACAGTAGCGGAACTCGGATGCAAAGGCTTAACCACTTTTGGGGTTCTCGCTGCATCTTCTTCAATGTTCTGAGATTTTCGAAACCAAGACCACTTCTTGTGGTCTGAAACGCGGACGCCACCGCGACGCGGTGACGCGGGATGCTCATCGATAGGATCTAGCTCACAAGGACTGCGGCAGTATCTGGAATTAATAGACGCGGCACGCGAGGCCACGGGTTGGGTGTTGTCGAGTTCTGGTATAACACCATCTTTATCAGACGAGGATCGTTGCTTATGAACTGTCAAGGGATCGGCGTTCCCTATTGACTGGAAGGAACTCTGAGGGACCATGCGGATTGACCGTTTACCGCCACTAATGTCACTTCGTTGGCTGCTTGCAGCAGTTGAATCTGAGGCATGCCTTCCTTGGTGATTGTGTTTACCCAGGCAGCCAGTTGTGGCTTTTAACTCCTCAGATATCACCGGCAGGTGACTCTCATCCAAAGCTGATCCGGAGAAAAGATCGCTTGCTGAACTATGGCCCTCATTAGTGGTCAATTTCCTTCCCTGGGTCCTCGTTTTTTCTTGCTCAATCAAGCGATCAAGGTGACTTATGACCTTCGCAAGGTAACCTGGAATGTCTTTGGAACCTCCCTTGCTCGAGTGCTCGATTAGTCTGCGGCGTGTTTCTTCAAGCTCCTTGCTGGCATAAGTGGACTTCGGTGAGTCCCCTAGTGTACGTGGTGCTAAGCACACCGTTGAACTGCTGCCTACCAGCCGATCATTGGAAATTCCGGGGCTAGCTATCGAAATGGATGTGGCTGGGGTTTCCGAGCCGACACAGGTGGTATCTGTGCAACCAGTCGATAGCGAGCTACCATTGAAAGCTTCTTCACAGATCTGGCTAAGTTCGTGGGATACTTTCCGAGCATCATCCTTCCAAATGATGTCAGAGTGCTGTACTCTCCGCTCGGCAGTACTCTTGATAGCGATTCCGGCGCCGCGGACAACAGCCGGCTGAGCTGGGAGCATGGGACTACCGTACGGGTCCGAGAATGGATCGTCGTCAAACACAGATATGAGACTCCCTTCACTTTGTTGTCGTTTGTAGCCAGTACGGCCTCTCTTTGTTTTCAATGACATGGAGCCCTGTGAGCGATTCCAGGTGTGGCGGAAACTAACACCCCGTTTATAGCTGGCGGAGCGAGGAGTTGACATGCGGTTGACGGCGCGACGTGACCCAGAGAGCGAGGCTTTAGAGTGGAACGACTTGACAGAGTTCACCTTGGGTCTCTTTTTGTGCACGACGGTAAATGAAGGACTTTGCTGGCTCCCTATCTCTTCCTGTTCGTCGCCGAGAAACGGATTTGACAGCGCCGTGATCTGAACATGAGTCTGTTTCGGAGGCGATGCAGGTTTATCGCGATGAATGGTCACTCGTGCGTACTCAGGGGATCCTTCTGGTGCTCGATTGAAAGGGGATCGGAAGGGATCATAGCTTTCTACTGTGCATGACGATTTGGGCTCTTTGGTCGGACGCCGGCGTTTCCCAGTTTCCTTAACGGCCGGAACCTGAGAGCGTCGTGGTCCATGCGAGCGGTTCTGCAGATGTTTGGACAGGCGGGCCTGTCCCCGCGAGATATGGTGGTAGTCGCTTGCAGAATATTTCAGCTGTGGGCCTTGGTAGTTTTCCAATTGCTCGTTCCTAAATTTAACCAACGCATAGTAGAACATCCGCTCCTGAGTCGGTCTATAACGGTAATCTTGTTAGTCTTCGGCTAATAGCTCCTGTGGCAACAGATCAAACGATAGGGACGCGTACTCGAGGCTCAGCAGTCTCTCAATGAGGTGTTCGGGTTTGACATCGTGCCATAGCGTTTGCAGATTTCTCAGGAGGTCGACATCAATATCTTGCCTTACTACCGGCGGACCACAATCTTCAGGCAATAATGGAGGCGCAGGGCCCAGATGGTGGTTACATATCGCCTGGTGGAACTTTTCATACTTCTTCAAAAGCGGGTGCTTCCACATTTCCCTCATACTGATGCGATCGTCCGGCTTCTTTTGCAGAATCCTCTGTATAAGATCCGCCGCCTCATCGCTGACATTTGGCGGGATCATATAATCGCCCTTCCTAACCAGCTGTAAAGTGGTATGAAGATCTCCTCCGTCAAAAGGGAGAAATCCTGTAAGCAAAGCATACAGGATAATCCCACAACTCCATATATCCGCCTTGTCACCTCTATACCTGCGGCCGTAAATAATCTCTGGTGCCGCATAATGAGGGCTTCCGCAAGAGGTATTGAGCCAGTGACCTGCTGGCTGGAGTGCCGCCATACCAAAGTCCGCCAGCTTAACATTGTGGTCACCGTCTAGTAGGATGTTTTCTGGTTTCAGGTCCCGATGGCAGATGTTGAAACGATGACAGTACCCGAGCCCGGCGATTATCTGTCGGAACAGCCGAACGGCTTCTTCCTCTGGGAGTGGTCCATGTTTAGAAACATAATCGAAAAGTTCGCCTCCTTCAACGTATTCAAGCACGAGGTACCTAAGGCGTCACTGTTAGCTCCAAACCCCTAGGACCGTCCTTGGTCTACTTACAGCTCTCCTCGGTTCTCCCAGACATCGTATAGACTGATGACGTTGGGGTGCTCAATGAGTTTCATAATCACCACCTCACGTTCGATTCCGGAGGGCATCTGTCTTGTTCCTGTCCCAATGAAGTTCCCGGCGCTCTTATCCATCGCAGCGATACTATCACTCTGGGAGATGGCAGCACACTTCTTCGACACAATTTTGATCGCCGCCGTTTGGCCCGTCGCCGCATGTTTTGCAAGCCTCACGCGGCCAGTGGCACCGCTACCGAGGGTTCTACCAAGTTGCCATGGTCCAACGTGTGTCTTTCTTTTCCCCTTCCCTGAGACGATCGAAGCGGCTGATACCGCCGAATCCCGTTTGGAGCCAGCTCGAGAATCCGTCACCGGCGAAAGGCAGTTCTTTTCCGCATTTGTCCTTGTTGATAAAGGGCTAGTCGCGATCGACATTGGTTCCGGCGATGTTAGCATGTAGTCCTCCCTAGTTGCACCGCGGTCCGTAGTAGGTGTATGGCAGCTGTTTATCCTTTTGCTCGCGTCCGTCAAAGGCGACCGCATCGTTCTAGGCTCGCGAAAAGGGTTCGTCTCCTCCATTAGCAGACAAAGTCCCTAGCACGATGCAATTTTCGTGTCGAGGCGGCACATAGGGAAGTTTGGTAGCTCGCTATCAGTTGAGGTTAGGAGTCGACGTGACTTGAGAAGTGTGGTCTGTGGATGCTGCAGACTCTTGTCGAGGAAATACTCACATGCAGGTCTATACTGTTGGGACACGCTGTATAGTATTGGATTCCTAGTGTCAGTATAGCCCTCCTCGAAACAAGCCTTGACGCCCTGCAACTGACTGTCGACTGTCGGTGGGCGCTTCAGGATTGTCCCTGGTACTCTGTTAGTTGTCACTGGGGCGTCAAGGAACCAACACCAGAATGGCAGGAGTGGAGGGGCCGACGACCACCAGATCAATCGAAACTGTCCTCAACACAGTCGTTGGAGGGCTGAAGGAATGAGAGTCGTAGGCCGCAATGGTCCCAAATCGAGTAAGTAATTTCCCGAGAAATGTCGCCAAACACATCGTCAGGATCGATTGAGGGCAAAACTTGGCAACCGAAGAGCACTGAGCATGCCGCAGTAAGGTTGAAAGTTGTGGAATGAGCGTGGTGAGGTGTTTGTTTTGAAGTGAATACCTCATGTTTCTGGGACACACGAAACCATCACAGCCGGGAATGCACTTGTTGCTCAGCTATGAGCATCAATTCCCGGTCCTGTCGTGCATCGCTCATGGAATTTGCTTGAGTAGTGAGGAAAGAATTTCACTCGGTCGCCTGGCGCGAAGGACTCGGTTGTGAGTCCACTCCTAATTCAGAGCCGCGGCTTCCATTCAAAAAGAGAGGTAGTTTTCCCACGATCACAATAATGCGCCGGTGGAGACAGCGCTCTACAAGAAATCAGTAAATTGACTGTGGCACAGTGGCACTCGTGGTGCCCCTTCTGCAGTGTCTTTAGCGTCAATTCTATGTCCTTTTTGAGTTTCGAGTACAGGGGCGAATATGTCAAGGGAGAAGGGGTGCTCGCCGGGTTCTATCAACATACCCTTCCAGTCAAACATTCCAACTGAAATCACTGGCTTGACCGTCAATTCCTTTTATTTATTTTTTTGAGTCTTTCCTAACAGAATGAATGGGCAGTGTGGTTCCAATCAGCTCAGCATCTCAGGTTGGCGAAATATCACCAGTGCTCCTCGCTAATGTCCACGTCCTCGATGTCCACACCTTCCACAAACCACCGTCCATCACCGTTACCATCAGGGCCGAGTAACATGTCATTGCCACACATCATACGCTTACGCATCCTCCCCGTTTCCCTGTCGAAAGTCCAATCTTCCAGGCCGTAGCACCGCTTCCACCGCATGCCATCTTCGGCGTCCTGGAACTCGTACCAGAACTGAACAGCAATGCGATCATCAGTGAATGAGAATAGCTCTTTCCGGAGCCTATAGTTGCGTTCGCGATTCCATTTCGCCGTGAGAAAGCTGATGATCCCCTCTGTTCCGGAGAAAAACGAGGTGCGGTTGCGCCAGATGCAGTCTGGCGTGTATGCTTGCGCGACACGAGCAGGGTCCCTGTATAAACTGTGAGCTACAGCCTAAAAACAACATTGGGCGACGCTTGATAAGCTCGACTTTGAGAATATGGCGGCTCTGCGGTCTCAGAGAAAGTCGAGTCGGGGTGCATCCAATGGAAAAAGGTAAGCAAGGGATAGGGCGGGGCAATGGTTCAAATTCAGGCCTCATTCCAGGGGTAACCGAGATAAGTGAAGCATGACATGAAGCAATACTAGTACCCAATGACATAAGAGTACGAGAAATCAGTGCGTGGATGGTAGGCTGGTAGCTACTTGACAAGAAAGGCTTACTGAGTGTTCCAGAGATTCTGCGCCAATTTAACCTTCTTTCTCGCAGTCTCTTCAGTGAATGGGGGCTTGAGGTCCGCCATAGTTAACTGGACACTCTAGAAGCAGTAAAGAAAATAATAAGATGATGTATTTGTTTCTCAAGCTAAGCAGTGACTCAAGCGACACCGAACGTCATATATATAAGCTCTATCACGTGCTGTCAGCCTTATGCACCCCATTTTTAGCGTCGCTTCTCGACACCCTAGCCACAGGGGGGACATGACACGGAAAGGCGAAGGAAAATTCATTTTATGAATCTCGGGACCTCATCGGCGGCAGAGTTGAGGATCATGATTGTCGCTGCAATGGAGGAGATTTATGATGCTGACGCGATGTGCTATAATACCGGATATGTTGTCTCATCAGGGTCAAATATATTTAGCAATCCGGAGGGAGGCATCATCGACAACAGAACGTAGTATCTTGTTAAAGCAAACCCCAGAATAAACACAACTCACTTCCCTAATAGGTAAATGATCAGGCACCGTTGGCTGATTGATATAAACATTCTAGGCCGCCCTGCTAAGTAATCTGATGTTTCTACCCTTCTCCATAACCAACTCGGTCTGCTCCATAATGCGACAACTCGATCGACCGGCCTGAGTAAGCCACAGGAGGCACGATGCCATGACATGGGATGTTACTCATCTGACATCAAGCCACGCTTCGACATTTTGTCATCATGGTTGAAAAGTCAACCAAGAAAGCAAATAGCCAACATATTGGCCACCTCGGACTCTCGGAGTATCTTATCAGATTGCCAATAACCGAGTCCAAGATCCGATGGGCGGCTCGGATAGTGGAGGGCTGGACCTGATTTCCGGTGGCGAACTGGCGTCCGAGGTCCTATCGCCGATTGACACAAGCTGGAAAAGTAAAGTACCAAAGCTAAGCCATATCGAGATAAAGCTCCATTTATGGATTAGCTGGCCATGTATTTGCGGAGAGTCACTTCAAGAGAGGAGTATATCACTGTGGGCAAACCGATGACCCTGCAGGTGGCATTCATTAGCGTTTGCGACGAAAAGAGACCCAATACTTCCAATAGTTCCAATACTTGGACAATCCTACCCCAAAACCCCTGCTTCACATGAAAGACCGTTTACAGACTTCAGAGAGTCGGTACAGCTCAGGAGGATGTTCCGGGGGCTCTCCGAGACGACCCCGATGTTTTCCCGATTCAGTCGAGGGGCAAACCGGTTCGGCGGTAAGCATATATCTACGATGATTGGCGGAGAAGTGCAGGCGGTGGCGCGTCCCAGAGTTGAACAAAAGAGGCAAGCAAATTGAAATTTTCTTTGCCTCAGGCAAGACGCGACAAGGAGGGGTAACTTTGGGGATCTTCGTCAGGCTTGAGGACCTTGGACTGGGGGACCTGTATCTTGCCAGCTTATGTCTCGACTGCAGGTATAATTGGACCAACTGTTCACCACATGGGCCCACCCGCCTCGAGAGCATTGGGGACAAAGTGCGGTGTGAGGCGTGAACTGGAACAATGGTCGAGCCATGGCTAGCCGCTATCAGAGACACAATCTGAGAGAGAGTGCTAAGCTGACCAAACTGCCAGAGTCGGAAAAGAAAGTGACAAATTGTCACCGGAAGGCGAGTCCTCGATGATTTCACATGGCTGACAGTGATTAGTCAATGTTTGGGGCCTAGATAACAATTCGTTGCGTGGTGCTGCGCCGAAGAGAGATTTCGTGGTGGGGGGATATTGCTCGACTCAAGGTACTGGCGGGGCCTCAGTCTCGGGCGGTCTTTCTTGATAATACACAGGCGAATCGAAAGGATTCGTTCGGTATCCTCTTGCTTCGGATCACCTTACCTTAGGGGCACTATGGCGTCTCTGCAACCCGGAACTGCGCCATTATTCGCTTGCCTTCTGGAAGACGCGATCTCCAACGGCAACCGTGGACCGTTCCTATTTAATACCCACGCTCTCCCTACACTCGGCTTCTTCTTCGTCTCTTATCTCAACTCAATAATCTCAATCCAATCACTCTCACTCTCACCCTCACTCTCTACACTCCCACTCTCTACACTCTCACTTTCTACAACCGTCTACCACTACTCTCACAATGTCTGGATTCAAGGCCGGTGACAGCTTCCCTGAAGACGTTGTCTTCTCGTAAGTTTTCTATCTCTCCACCACGCTCAATGGCCCTGAACTAACACGGATCTCCTGATAGCTACATCCCCTGGTCCGAGGACAAGGGCGAGATCACCTCCTGCGGTATCCCCATCAACTACTACGCCAGCAAGGAGTGGGCCAACAAGAAGGTCATCCTCTTCGCCCTCCCCGGTGCCTTCACCCCGGTCTGCTCCGCTCGGCACGTTCCCGAATACATTGAGCGCCTCCCTGAGATCCGCGAGAAGGGTGTCGATGTTGTTGCTGTCCTTGCCTACAACGATGCCTACGTCATGAGCGCCTGGGGCAAGGCCAACCAGGTCACTAACGATGACATTGTATGTTCCTTTTCCCCAAAACCAGTGCTCTGGTCTGGTTCTAACACAATATCTAGCTCTTCCTCTCCGACCCCGAGGCCAGGTTCTCCAAGAGCGTCGGCTGGGCTGACGAGGAGGGCCGCACCAAGCGCTTCGCTATCGTCATCGACCACGGCAAGGTCACCTACGCCGCTCTCGAGCCCTCCAAGAACCACCTCGAGTTCTCCAGCGCCGAGGCCGTCATCAAGCACCTGTAAACGACTATAATACGAGATGATAGACGGGGTGTTTGTTTTTTTTTTTTTTTTAGCACACTGCTGTGTTCCACCGGTTGGGTAATGTCCTGCAAAGACGGGGTTAAATCACTTATTAGACTTAGACCTTCCGCAATATAGAGGAATACAATGCATTTACGACGCTATGAACAATGCTCCACTCCGTGTTCGATATATTTTCATCGTTCGGGTACGGTGTATTGTAGTATTCCGAAATGATGTCAGGTCCTGGATAGGCACGAACACCAAGAAACGGTAGGACAAAGTAAGCTTAATATAGATTTACCCCGGCTTCCACACGATCTGCGTAAATCGAGTTCCCCTCTTCATGCTGCCGTTTCGATTGGTTCTCGATTCCTCTGTGCATTTCTCTCGGCCGGGAGGTGTGACGCGCTAAAAACTTTCATCCACGCAGATTCCAGACCTTTCATCGACTTCTAAGAGCTCTGCAAGCTTCAAAGTCGGACAGCACAAAAAATCATTTAGGTTTCCGCGTCCACCCTTCATCCTCCAGGCCATTATGGCCCTCAATCTGCCCATGAAGCGCAAATCTGCATTCCCGGGTCAGCAAAACTCCTCCGCAGCCCGCAAACGCGCGAAGAACATTGATGCTCGGTCCCTGGCTGTGCAGTCATCCGAGGCTGCGCTCTCTGCAACAGGCGAGCTTGACGTTGATGCCTACCTCAAAGCCCGCGAATATGAAATCAGATCCCTTGAAGCCGGCATCCAGAAGTCAAAATCGGCGCTCACCAGTCGTGCGTTCCAGCAGGTACCTCGGTCGCTGAGGCGGCGGACGGCTAGTCATAATGTGAAGAGGATCCCCAAGAGGCTAAGGGTTCGGGCGAGAAGAGAGGTATGCTGGTAATGTCTTCATGGGTAGAAAGAGCTGCTAGGCTAATCTTTTGACTGGTCGGAGAACTAGATGATCGAGGATAATACGCCGACCGTGACAGCTCGACGACGAAAGCCGACGGAGATTATGCGGATCCGGCTCGAGACGGCTCGACGTTTACAAACCCTGAACTCGAAGACCAAGGCGAAACGGGCAGCACTAAAGGCGAAGCGTACAAAGGAGGAAGAGAAAGGGCTAGAGGAGGCGGGGAGTCACCCATATAGCATTGCGCCGCGAGTGCCCAAAATCAAGAAGAACAAGCTTTCACGACCTCCGCCGCCGGAATCAAAGTACAAGAAGCGGCAGCGCAGCAAGACTTGGCTGCCCACCCATATGTTCCATGCGAAGCGCGCCCACATGACAACATCAAAAGATCCATTGTGGAGGTTTGCCGTGCCCCTGTCGCCAACTGAGAAAAGTTATAGGCCTACTCATCGGGCGAGTGGTGCGAGGGGTGGAGTAGCATGGGATATGAGCTACATCTCTACGATTCAGTTGAGCGGAACGGAGACAGGTTTGGAGAGTGTCCTTAAAGCTGTGGGGATCGTCGGAGGAGAGGCCTGGGGCGTGAAAGGCAGGAAATGGAGGGCCGGAGTGAGAAGTCTTAGTGCATGGGTTTTTGAGTCTGAAGGCCAACGGAGACCACTTGCACCTGTCACTTTGATCCGGTGTGCTCACAGACTTACCGAAGACATGGAAATGAGTGATGTTGATGACGGTAATGCTGGAGGAGAGAAAGCAAACCAAAAGGATAAATCGAAAATATTTATCAGAATTCACCCTTCCGCCTTCCTGCAGCTGTGGAATGAGCTTCTAAGGCTCTCAAAGGAACAGCACCCCCCCGTCATGATCGAGGATTTACGATATGAAGTTGGGAGCATTGAAATTACTGGCCCAGGATCAACAGAAGCTCTCATCTCGTCTTTGCGTCCGTTAGATCTCGAGAGCAACGCACTGGGAGCTGATAGTCCAGAGGCAACATGGAATGCTTTGCTAGGTGTCTCAAATCCATCATCACTACCTCAAAACGCCCTTCTTTCGTTTTTCGTGTCTGACCCCCGTCTTCAATTTCCTCCTCGAACAACCAAGCCGCCATCTTCAGAGAATGATATGCAGGACCTGGCCTCACTGCTGTCATCATGGCCTTCAGATCGAAGCCCATCACCGTCGGCACTCTTCGACCGGCGTGCTCGCTTGGCTGCTATTATACAGTCACCAAGCCAGAAGGCTATCAACCGACGACGTTCTGAGGCTGGACCAGGCCAGTACCCTGCTCCCCAGTCATCTGATCCGAAAATACCGGTTATTGTACTGGCAAACAGAGCCAGCTCACAACAGAGAAGTAGCAATTTTTCGGGATCTTGGACAGTCCTTCTTCCCTGGAACTTTGTCACACCTGTATGGTACTCGTTGATGTACTATCCGCTCTCGAGCGGAGGAAATCTCAGATTCGGTGGGCTTAAAGAGCAACAACAAGTCGCTTTCGAGGCGGGAACACCATGGTTCCCCGGGGATTTCCCAGGAACTCGCGCAGGCTGGGAATGGGGTCTCCGAGAGCGCGAAGACGCCAAGAAAGAGTGGGAGCGACAACCGAAAGGACGACGGGTTGAATTTGATTCCCTAGACCTTGGGAATACTCCTAAAGGCGAAATCGGACGTGGTTGGGCTTGTGACTGGGAAAGGTTGCTCAACATCGTGACCCCTGCTTCCAGAACTGGACTGGATACTTCAACTGAGAAAAGACAAGACATCAACACAGATGGTAAGCCTGCTGAAGAAGCACAACAGCCAGAGCCTCCATTTAACCTCTACCAACTACCCACCACTCAAGCACAAGCCGCCCTTACCAACCCGTCAATCAAGATCAGCGACTCCGCACTGGCTACAGTTAGAATCAACCTCCAATCCCGCGGAAGCCCCTCTGCACGAGCACGAATTTACCGACTCCCAACAAGCAAGCCAGCTCTACGCCAAAAATGGCTGTCTCTGGCGTCTAAGAGCCCAGCAGCTCGCGCATCAACCACTCACCTCTCAGGCCTGCCTCCCAATCAAGGTGCAGACGACGCTGCCTCTGCCAGTCAGCGCCTCGCAGCGTCTCTTCTAACCCCCGGGCTTTCCTCTGGTCGCCGTCAGGAGCATCTGCCGTCTCCACCTGAAGAAGACCTGATTGGATTTGTCACGACGGGGAACTACAACTTGTCTGAAGGCAAGGGCACCGGGATAGGGTCGATTCTTTTTTCAAAAGTAAGAAGTTCGACCAAAGGTGCCAAGGGTAAGGGTCAAGGGAAACATATCAAGGAACGGAACATTTGCATTGTCCGGAACGCGGGCGAGAGTGTCGGACGGCTGGCTTCTTGGGAGCTTGTCTGAGCAGGGTTGAGATTATCGAGGATGTATTAGTTTGGCCTCATCAGCGTGCATATACCCTATAGACTATGATCGACTGAGTAGGAGACAAAAAAATTCACATACAAACATTCGAACAGGATGCGGGCAGTCCAATAAGATCTCAAAGAGACAGTAGGTATACAATATAATTCGAACAAGAACCGACATCCTGAAAAGCGACAAGTCTATTTTCTCTCTGGCAACGACAGCCAGATCCACATCACCACAGTCGTGCTTATATCAAATCAACCCACAATCCGATCCACAAACGCCTCCTCAAGCCTCGCGACCTCCTTCTTGAACTCCTGCACCTCCTTCCAGCAATCCAACGGCCGTCGGTCGTTGAGCCTTAAGCAGCTAACAACATCCGCCCTCGCCTTCAGAACCCCATCGTCAAGATCAGCAAGCTTCTTCCGCCCTTCGAGCTTAGCCCTTAGCTCCTCAATCTCCGTGTTTACAGATTCCCGGCTCAGTTCGCGGTTAACAGGGACTGCCATCTCGGTAACAGCGGCTTGCGGAACGGGCGTGTACTCGCGGCCAGCGAAGGGAATCCGAGGTGCGTCGAGGTCCAGAGAGCCCGCGGGAGGCGCGTAGCCGGCGCTTGGGCTTGTCGTTGTGGTAGAGGAGCTAGAGGTGTCTTTGACTTCGGCGAGGCGCTTCTCAATCTCGGCGAGGGTCTGTTGTTCGCGAGCGCGGAGACGGGAGAGCTCTTCTGAGACGCGGGCCTGGATTTGGAGTTCGAGGGATTTGGCGCGGGCGGAGTCGGTCTGTATGTTTGTTAGGATTTTGTAGGCATATCCCTGGAGCTAGCGCAGGGTTGGCTGTCCTATCATAGCAGGAGACATACTTCGGTGTTTGATTGCAGGCCGTCGACGAGGTTGGAGGAGAATTGAATGGGGGAGTTGCTGTTGATAACGGGTGATTAGCCAGCTGTTTCTGACCGTCACCAGGAGTAATTGTCCGTGATTCTCATTAGGGAAGCATGCGATTAAGTTGGTAAAACATGCAGTCGCCCTTCAAGCAGCGATATCCCGCCAATCATCGCGACAATTGATCCCAAAGCGCGAACGCATACCTCTCGAAAATGTGTTTTGACCCGGTCGAGGCCTCGGGTTTCGAGCTGCCAGCGCCCATTTTGTGCGATTTCAATTGAGAGATTGGGTTGCCTCCTTCGAGTTTCTTTTCTGCGTCGTTCCGATGACGCACGGCAGGGGATTGGAGCGAGATGTTCGTGAGCTTTCCAAGGTCCGGAGGAAGAATTGCATATTGAGGTTCATTCCGCAGCCGACTTCCGCCGGTCTTGATGGTCACGTGTACAGATATATGGATTACATAAGGCGAGTATCGATCTCTTAACAGTGCTTCTGGGTCTCTGTTGTTTTCTACTACTAAACCAGTCAATTGCCTTCTTGATAGATGTTCGATTCCAAGTTTGTGAGGGGTTGGGTTTTGTGGCTGACAGGCTCATAATATTGATCCGAGGAATCTGAGCAGATTCATCATTAACGGCACGAGTTATCATTGTTCTCGACGGACAACGTTGAATGATTGGGTCGTGTCTTGACACCCAGCTGTCTTTAGTTTATCTACTCCTACTAGGTATAAACCCCCAATGGCCCAGTTTACATATAATAGCTCCATATCTGCATCACAGCGAAGGTTAACAGCACCAATCGAGTTCTCGTTCTTCTCGATGGCACCAGGAACAGCTAGGCTAGAGCTGTGACGGAGCCTGCTCCGGACGATGAACCCGGGCGTGAGAAGCGAATCTTCTCCTCCCTACTGGCGCGGCGACGCACGTCAGACTGCCAGTGGTGTCGACTTGCAGATATCGAAACCTGGATGGATTTAGTTCCGTGGTTTCGCAAAGCGCACACTAGAAGCATCCATGCCTTCTGTTCGTCTTCTTTCCGTTCCCTGCTCCTATCCTAACCATTTGTTTCTCACCGGTGAGCGAAAGCCCGCGCGATCCCCACTGCGTTTCGTAGCGTCATAGATGGAAGTGCGATGGAGCCGCTTTGGCCTCGTCCAATCTCGTCGTTCTGCAGCCATCTCCAGGTGATTCGGGATGCAGATTCCACGCGGAGCGCCACGAAAGAACCCGAGTAAATATCTCAACACCTATCTCGATCCCGATGATAACCCGTGTGGATGTAGAATTGCCTGCCAGAGCCTGCGGCCTGCCCGTCTGCCTCGCTGCGACCTAAGGAAGGAATGGAGCCCCGCCAAAACCCGACGCTCCCGCAAGTCTGTTACCCACCAAGATTGACCTCATCGACCCCTCTGTGTCCATGAAATAATATCTCGGCCTTGCTTCATGGCTTAATACCTTCGCTTCGCCTCGCTAATTTATCTCTATTATTACCCCTGCTATCGTTCTTTATTCTTTTTCTCATTCCCCAGAGCCGCCTCCCACATCTCCCCTCCTTGCTTCCCCTCCCTCCAGATCCCCAGCTTTGTCAAGGACACTCCCACCCTTTATACTGGTAAGTACTATTTTCCTCCAGCCTTGCTGTCGAGTAATCATGGCCTCTCTCCTGACTCTTCGTCCGCTAACTGTCCTTTTTTGACCTAGTCCATTTCCCGCAATCATGTCTGCCCTTCTGCAAGAGGCTGCGCGCATCGCGAGCGAGTTCGAATACTCGGCCGAGGAAGTCCAGCGAGGAGTGAAGGAGTACATTAGGGAGATAGAAGAAGGCCTGTCTGAGGAAGGCGCAACTTTGAGCCAGATCCCCACATTTGTGACGTCCGTGCCAAATGGAACTGAAAAGGTATTGTGCAATTGAGCAAGGGAAATTGAAACGCGCTGCTGACTTTCGCTGCATAGGGCCTGTACCTGGCTGTAGACCTGGGAGGTACCAACTTCCGAGTGTGTTCTATCGACTTGCACGGCAACAATACCTTCTCCGCCACACAGTCAAAAATCATGATTCCCCGCGAATTGATGACGTCAGGGTCGTCAAAGGAGCTCTTCTTATTTCTGGCACGCCAGATCGAATCCTTCCTGCGCATCCACCACAATGAGCACTTCGAGGCTCACCTGAAACGAAAGATCGCGGCGAAGGAAGAGGATTTGTTCGATTTGGGCTTCACATTCAGTTTTCCAGTACGCCAATTGGGGATCAACAAAGGTACGCTGATTCGCTGGACGAAGGGCTTTGATATCCCCGATGCGGTAGGCCAGGACGTCTGTGCGCTCCTGCAAAATGCCATTGATGAACTGAATCTTCCTGTGCGCGTGGCGGCTCTTGTGAACGACACCGTCGGTACACTGATGGCCCGTTCGTACACATCCCCCGGCGAAACCGGGACGTTCCTCGGCGCTATCTTCGGAACGGGCACAAACGGAGCGTATGTCGAGAAGCTGGAGAGGGTCACTAAGATGGATAAAATCGAGCACTCTGACTATGATAAATCAACGGGCGAGATGATCATCAACGCGGAATGGGGTAGTTTTGACAACCACCTGAGCGTTCTGCCGAATACCAAATACGATCAGCAACTAGATGCGGATAGCAACAACCCCGGAATCCAAATGTTCGAGAAGCGTGTTTCGGGCATGTTCCTGGGCGAGATCCTGCGACTGGTCTTGCTTGATCTGCATAAGAACGAGTCGCTAGGGCTTTTCAAACCCAAGAACGGATCCGATGTCTCTATCCCTGAGTCTTCTTCGTTCTACCGACAGTGGGGTATTGATACTAGCCTCCTGAGCTTGGTCGAGGCCGACAAGACAAAGAACTTTGAGCAGATCAAGGTCGCGTTGAAGGATCACTTGAAGATTGAACGCCCAAGTGACGATGACTGCAAGGCAGTCCAGGCCGTGGTCCACGCTATTGGTAAGCGTGCTGCTCGCCTGAGCGCCGTCCCCCTCGCCGCCATCCTCATTTCCACCGGAAAATTGAAGACCGATGACCTGGTAGATATTGGTGTCGATGGTAGTCTTGTTGAGTTTTACCCCAATTTTGAAGGGTACATGAGAGAAGCCCTTCGCACAGTGCCGGAGGTAGGCGCTCCCGGTGACAAAAAGGTACGGATCGGCATTTCCAAGGATGGCAGCGGGGTTGGTGCGGCCTTGATTGCGCTCGTTGCTAGTAAGGAGGGCACCAAGCGGCCGCTATGATAACGATATATTGTGATGATTTTACCTTCTCTTGTTCCACACGGAGTAATCCGTGCTTCCCCCAATTTTGATCTGCAGCGATAAGGCCTACTATAGCCCTATCGGCGAGAAAGAGCGTCGGTTTTGCCAAAATTGAGTGTATCAATACGACTATCCATAGCGTTTGTAACTAAGTTCATCAACCCATGCTGTGACATACAACACGTCCAACATCGGCGGGTTCGGACATACACAACCGGCCCGGATGTCTTGAGAGCCGAAAGGATACCGCTCATTGCTCGCGATTCGCAGCAAGGACGGCGTTCGGATGGTGCAAGCCCCCGGCGATGGTCGCTGATTGAAGGTCATTATTGGTCGGGTGACACAATATTGGCAAGCCTCTCTAAAACTCAGGAAAAGTTGATTCCATGACTTCCGCAAGAATATCCGGTTCCAGAATTGGTTAACTGTTTTGTGAACAACGGCGAAGTTAGTCCGTCGAAATTAAGTCCAACTCTCCTCACGACCGTCTCCCACATCTTGCTCTCTTCAGAACACCCTGGATCACCCTGCGAGATTCCGCGCAGGATCAGTCAGATTCCCAATTAGGAGAATACGGTCTGCAAGATGCTTCCCCGGCGGATGAACTGCCGGTCGACAAGCATTCACAGCCAACCTATCATTAAGCGTCTTTTGTCCCAGCCCGTCAGAAACGGACTCTTCAACGCCCCCGGACATTCTTTGGCCCGAGTCTAGATGTCTATCAGTGGGCCCTCATGGTTGCTTATTCTGTTCTCGGCGAATCGAATTGCAGATCAGATACCTTCAGGGTAAACCTGAAGGAAAAGCAACAATAACAAAGTTTACAGCGCCCCGAGATATCCAAGCCCTGGAGTTTAATCCTGTCTTTTCCAAGCTGGCGTACGCTCCCATTGGCCCTGCAGGGGAATATGAAGAGCATCACGGCTTCTAATACACCCGATGATGCGATCGATGCGCAGATTGTTCGGAATTAAGTTGAGCTGCCTTGAAGCAAGCAAGCTCTCTCCTGTGGCACTGTGTGGTTGCAAGATTTGCCGTATAACATGGGGGCATGGCCTCCTGGCTCTTCCAGAAGACTGAAAGCTTTGAATCCCCGGCCAGCAGAATACTGTCGTGGTATTTCCACGGCTCCTACACCGATTTTTATTTTTTATTTTTTATTTTTTTTTTTCGGTCACATAGAAAGAGGTGTCTTTGAAGGGTGAGTTCGGTTCTCGACAAGAAGCAGAGAGGCCCGGCTACTGCAACATGGCCTCTCCTGAAGCGGCCCCGGTGCCAGAAGATGTTATCTCTGAAGAGCCTATCAAGCGACTTGAAAGTGGGACACCGTCCTTTGACAAGGACAGCACATTAGCTGGCACTGAACGTATGTTCACCCCATCGCCTGCTCCGCCCAAGATTGAGGCAAGCAGCTTTGCAGACGAGAAGCTTTCGGAAGAGAAGATCGAGCAAGAGGGGGAAGAAGAGTACCAGTACCCGACGTCTTGGAAACTCTATCTTATCACCATAGGGCTATGTCTAGCCGTGTTCTGCTTAGCTTTGGTAAGGGTATCGCACATTTGACCTGCTAACGACTAACAACCCTAGGACAACACTATCTTGACGACGGCCATTCCCAAAATCACAGACGACTTCAACTCACTGGGCGATGTGGGCTGGTACGGAAGCGCATACTTCCTCACGACCTGCGCTCTCACCTTAATATTCGGCAAGCTATACACCTTCTACCCGACCAAATGGACTTTCCTCATTGCGCTTGGGTTCTTTGAGTTAGGATCCTTAATATGTGGAGTGGCACCCAACTCCGTTGCGTTGATCATTGGGCGTGCAATAGCTGGTGTCGGGTCCGCAGGCATGTTCTCCGGGGCTATTCTCATTATCTCGCAATCCGTGCCGCTACGACAGAGGCCTATATATACCGGTGCCCTTTCTGCAATGTACGGTGTCTCGAGTGTGGCTGGGCCCCTCATGGGTGGTGCTTTCACCGACAACGAGTCTCTTACATGGAGATGGTGCTTCTACATCAATTTACCTCTCGGTGGAGTGACTCTGGCATTTATTCTCTTCTTTTTTGAGGCCCCCAAATCCGTCAAAGCAAGGGCAACACCCAAGGAGCAATTTATGAAGATGGATCCTCTCGGCTCGCTCTTCTTCATGCCAGGCATCATTTGCTTGCTTCTCGCACTACAATGGGGAGGGACAGAGTATGAGTGGGACAACGGACGCATAATCGCGCTATTCGTCCTCTTTGGCATCCTGATCATTGGCTTCATTGTAGTTCAATACTACTCTGGCGACAATGCCACCGTTCCAGGACGAGTCTTCAAAAACCGAAACGTCTGGGGTGCCTTTGTTTTCTGCGTCGGGCTTGGCGCTTCTTTCTTTACAATCTTGTACTTCGTAAGTCGAGCGCCGTTTCCTGATGGACAATCCTTGCTAACCGCTCAGATCCCTATCTGGTTCCAAGCTATCAAAGATGCGTCCGCGACCAAATCAGGCATTATGAACCTTCCCATGCTTCTCTCCACAGTCATCGCTGCCATGTTGGCCGGAGGATTGGTTACAACGTTTGGATACTACACCCAATTCCTATTCCTCTCTCCCATTCTCATGGCCATCGGTGCGGGTCTGCTCAGTACATTTGAGGTCGATACTGGTCACCCAGCCTGGATTGGATATCAGGTTATCCTAGGGATGGGCATCGGAATGGGTCAACAGCAGCCCCTAATAGTTGTGCAAGCCGTGCTCCCGCACGAGGATATCCCGACTGGTACAGCACTGATGGTATTCGCGCAAACGCTTGGTGGAGCACTCTTCATCTCCGTTGGAGAGAACGTTTTCCACAACAAGCTGCTCACGAACCTCGCCTCCGAAGCGCCGAGTATTGACCCACATACCGTCGTCGCTGCTGGTGCGACCATGATCCGTGAGGTTGTGCCCGAGTCTGAGCTTCCGGCCGTGTTGGTAGCGTACAATGACGCAATCTGCCAAACCTTCTATGTCGGTCTCGCAATGGCGATTTTCACGATCCTAGGATCATTTCCCATAAAGTGGGTTTCGATCAAGGGCAAGAAGCTTGAGGCGGCTGCTGCTTGAAGGAGGCTTTCTTCCATTCCTGATTCAACATCTGTGGGTGACTTTTGTCTCTCAATTACGAATCGATTAATACATGAAATAATATGATGTCTCTATACCCTTGATGCAGCCAGCCGATACCCCAAACTAGACCCCTACCAATAGAAATACAATCTCTCCCTCGAGTACTCCAGACAAAGGCAATGTAAGAAGAATAGAACGGGAGGAACAAAAGAAACTTTAGCTAGACAGCAGCGTACAGACTCAAGTAAACGCCCCATATCACCCCGCACGCACTCCCAAAGACCACCCTCCTCTCCAGCGGAACAACTGTATACAGCAACGTCGACACAATCGGCCGAAACTTCAGCCGCGCAAGCATAATTGGGATGAAATCCTACTCGCAAGTCTTGTTAATAACCATCTTCTTTCCCTCAGCCAAGCAAGCGGAAAGAACCATGGAAGAAGAGAGAGGGGTAGAGCAAAACATACCTCAAGAACCAACTCCCACGCCCTCTCCAAACTCGCCCCCTTGAGCACATTAATCAACACAACGAACAGAATGATATTCAAGACCCCGCCCGCCGTCTGGTCGAGAAGGAACTTCATCGCGAAGTTGAAGATGCGTTGGTGTTTCGCTGACCCAGAATTTAATCCCCTCGGTCTCCACGACCATCTCCCTGTCGATGGCGCCGCCGCTGATGCCGCAGGAACGAGCTTCTCCTTCACCTCGACAAGCTCCATCGTTTGCCCCTTGGAGTCCGTTACCGTCCCCCCTCGCGGCCGAGCAGCTCGAGACCCCTCAGAAGGAGCACCATTCGCCGCGGGAATCGAAAGCGGTAGTGTTGAAGATGCCGAAGCAGTAGCTGCAGTTGAAGTCGACGAGCTTGAGAATAAGAATCCGGGGTATGTTACCTCCAGCCACCGCTGCCAGGCAACGTTGATGGGCACGATAAGGATGCCGTACGTGATGAATTGGAGGAGATAAGGAATATTGAGGGCGATGAGCGGTTTCTTTTCGGTGTTTTGATCAACTACTACTCACTTTCATGTTTGTGTATTGGGTGACTGGTTGGTAGCGTAGGTAGGTATGTTGTGTTGTTTATGTGTCTACAATGGGGATGCATAAAGAGAACGAAAAGCGATGGGCGGAGAGGGGCTTTAACAACACAATAGAGAAGAAAGGGGGAAGCGTACATCTTTCTTGTACTGGTCTATGAGCTGGGCGAGGATGTTGGACAGGGCATTGAGGAAAGTTGATTGGATGAGGGTCGTTGTTAGAGCGGAAGGGGGCATTGTCGCCTCTGTGTGGTTGAGTTATGTCCAGGCTGCGGGCCTGTAGGACATTGAGTGAGTGAAATGGTACTCAAAATCAAGGAGAGTATTGCTGCTGCATGTGTCTTGTTGACTAGAACTTGCCAATTCAGACACTCACAGAGGGCAGAGTCCACCGTGTCTTTGGAGAGACGGCACGTGACCACTCTCCAACTGACTGCGTGTGTTTTACTTCTGCCGTCTGACGTCCGTCAACAACTTCCAGTCAGTTACTGTATATGAGAGTCGATGATGGAGCTGCTGGCGGAGTAAAGCCTAGACCAGGCAGCTTTTCTTTACTCCTAATAGTCAAGCTCACTTTGTCCCGTCAAAGCTGCTGGCATCGCAACGCCCAGTAGGTTAGCTGAGAGTATGCATGTCCAAACAATATCTCGCCACCGCACTGTGTCATCCCCTCTGCTAGACGACTCTCTATCTCCAGCGGCTGTTTTCCTCCATATTTCACCTCTCAGTGGATCCAATGTTGCAAAAATATTGCAAATACCTGCGCACATGCGAGAAGTATTGTAAGTCATCTGCTTGCCCTGTTGACCAAGCTAACTTTCCATAGCTCTGATCCTGAATCCGCCGATCTTTAATCAGAGTGCGAGCTGATCTGGGCTTTACGCATGTTTCAATGCGTGTATTCAAACTGTTTGCTACGCCTAATGCTCCTCATTTTTTTGTTCTATCCTTTGGCAAAAATCAGTCAAGCACGCTCAACTTCCCTGAACACAAGAGGCCACTCTCTTGGCGGAGCATCGAATCTGTTCTCGCTTTCTCTCTATTTACCTTGAGAATTATGCCACGGGGATTTCTTGTCCGTGGCCGTTTTTCTGCACTTACTGCGAGCAATGATATGTTCTCGAACCAACGGCACATATCAACTCTACCTGGATCGTCACACGTGTGGCCGTACCATTGCCTCTAGCCTTTTCAGATGGCTCTGCCAGTGCAATCAAGTGGATGACCGGGAACACACAGGGAGATGAATCACTAACTAGTCAACCTCAGAGTTGTAATCAGACAAAGAAATCTACGCCCGTAACAGAAAGATATAAGTGTAGAGACTCTACTCACTGGCACTAACATAGAGTATGTGGCAGCTCTTCCCCTCAAGCCTAGAGATTATTCCAAAATTCACTTCCATCCTGCACTCAATAATTACTCCTCATCCCAAAATGCTTTGTGTTTGTAGCCTCGTTGGCCAAATTTTATACTTCATTTTCCTCTCAGTTTTACCCCTATCGTTCTGATGTGGATATTTCCTTACGAGGAGGAGCTCGACGATGTCACACCCGGGGAAACTGCGATTCAGACAGTCTGACGATGTGCCATTGAGGACGGGTCCACGCCAAACCGCGGAGAAGCTACTCGCGGTTGCCAGAGAGTTCATTGAGCTCATACAATCCACAAATGCAATCACATCTCACTTGTATAAAGCGGCACAATGTGCGGTGATTGGAGGGGTTGGAGTCATAAAACACACTAAGCACCGTACGACCGTTGTTAGTATGGCAAATTCAGTTTGACATTAAGATTTTCTAACTGAGATATAGGATCTAGACCTGGCAGTCATGCCATTTGAGTTCATTTGTTATCTCGAGAAATCTATGCTCAGGCATCATCATAAACGGTGCAGGAGAAAATACAATCAATTTGTGTATCCGTCCTCCTCTACTCCCATTGCCATCATTGCCGTACGCCTGTGAAAGCTGCCTTTCGCGCCTACGGGCTTCGTTTCCTTCAGCGAATTACATCCTCATGACTCCCGGTTGTCCCTCCCCATGAGCTTGTTGGCCCTCAAAGCTGCCTGTTGCGGCAACCGAGGCTCACGGACCCCGGCCTTTACGGACGCGCAGGGCGTTTAGAGTCTTCTGTCTGAGATGGGCCCAGACTTGCTGGCGCTCCTGCCAGCGGAGCAACTGAAGGTAAATCCAGTTTGCGATTGGGCGCCTCTCGAAGTCCTTCCCGAACCCGGATCGGTCGCACTTGCTGGACAAGGACGTCTTGGGTCCTTACTTCCATTCTCGTGGACAGTCAGGACGAGAATTCCTCTGCGGAATGAATACTTGAGGTTCAGGATTTTGTGCGTTTTCGGGATGAATTTGCAACGTCTAGTTCGAATTGAGGAAACTAGCAAATAGCCATATTCAACATAAATGAGAACACACAGGCTGCCCTTGTACGACTCTACTCGAAAGCCAAATCAGATTCCGTGTAGGGAATCTTGTGCTTCCTTAGACGATTTTTTAAGCGAGAACAGAGATCTCCTTTCCTTGTGCTCCGGCTCTTCGGCTGGAGGAAGCTGGTTGCGTCTCTTCAAGTCCAGCCACAGCTTGTACTGGTAACCGTACCCCAAATAATCATTCTGCGCCTCGGAATATTCTTCGCTACCGAATCGTCTTGCAAATCCGCGGTACGGCTCCCGAATATCGTCCACTTCCAAGTTCAGGCCAAGAACATGGGTTCGGTCGAGCAGGTAGCTCAGCTCATTATGCCACTGGTTGACACCTACTTTGGCACGGAGGTCGCGGAGAGTTAATAGTATCATGGCCTCTGCATATGGAGCCGGAATGACTATTTTGACGCGATATCTGCCTTCGGGCTGGCGCCCCCGAACAGAAGTGCGGTCGCTTATTTTGATGCGTGGATCGCTGACAAGCATGTAGTAAGGGTCATCCGGCGGCGGAACTCCAATCGGGGGTTTGGGGAACTCCCAAAAGAGGCGCCACTGATTGAAAAAAAAGACAAGGGCCGAATCGGTCTCCTCTAGCGGTGTCCCTGGTTCAGGGATCTCCGGATACCGAAGGTCTGGGTGATAATGAAGGTCCGGTACAGGTGGGCTGAATTTGGGCCAGTAGCAAAAGCACCTTCTGCCCTTGATGCACGGGGGAAGGTTGGCCTTGTCGAGTGCTTCCTTAGCCTTGTCCATGCACTCATCCGGGACGACCCATCCGGAGAACTAGTACTAGGTTTGAAACGTCAGTTTTGTAGATGCCTTCCCACCCGGATACGCCTAGGCGCCTACAAATGCTGCGGTCCTCGACCCTATGATGGCGAGGTACATATCCCCCCACATGAAATTTGGAACCCCTGCATCGTCCAGGACGCGGGCAATACGGGACTCTAGGGCAGAGTCGAAGGTTGCGGGAAACTTGGTAGTCTCCTTGATATGGCTGGGGGCGTTGATGGGGAGCATTGTAACTTGGGATAATATGAACGATTGAGGATGATGATATCATCCGTCGGCGAGGAAAGGCCATCCATTAATGTAATATATTGCATGGAAGGTCAGAGCGAGCGTTGCGGAGGGTCAAGGACAATCCATCTCGAGGCGACCGTGGGCGAGAGTACGTTCTTTGTCGACTATCGCCGGAGAAGGCATCGAGTGATTTTTTTTCTTCGCTCCATACGTCGAGTCTTTGTTCCATCAGCTTCCTGAAGAGGTATAAACGAGGGGTCTATCATCAGTGGAGAAAGCCTCAACCGGCTAGAGTGGTGAGTGCAGACCTTAGTTCTCGGACTCGTAGCCCTATTCACTAGAGCATGTTTAATCTCTTTGTTGCCAGCAGGCTTGACTACAACCTAGTCGCGGGCGGGTCGTTGCCATTATCTGTCAAGTATTTTGTTCCATATCGAGGCTATATTTCGTGCTGCTGAGTAGCCCGTCGGGTATCAATCCTCGACTTGAATACTGTCAGTCGTTCACTGACCGTACCCGTGCAATCCTCCGTTCAAGATCCATTGCTCATTGTCATCGTCATTGTCATCCTGCACCCGTCGCCACGTCTGCTTCCGCTCCTTACTCTCAGCATTTTTTGGGTCCGGAGCCTTCCAAACAGGCCGCATAAGCCCACCGGCCGCAAGGAGGGGATTCCGACTGAAAGCTTCACCACCGCTCCTAGGAGCAGAGGCATCATAGGTGAGATCCTCCGTCTCTTCGTCTTCCTGAGCAGCAGCAGCCGCAGTTTCAACGGGCGCAGCCTGATAGACCCTCTTCACACGCCCGCCCGTGATATCTAAACTCATAATCGTCTTCTTCTTCTCCCACTCGGGCCGTGCCTTTTCCTCCATCTCACGCATGATCCGCTGCTGCTTCTTCAGCGCCAGCGCTCGCTGCGACGGTGTCATCCACAGCGTAGACGCAACATTCGGAGTCTCAAAATCAGCCGCTTCATCTACAACACGCGTCCGCTTCGCGTTCTGCGCCTGGAACGCCAATAATTTGTCCCGGTGTGCCCTTGCCGCGTCCAACTTCCCGAACTGCTGAGGCTGAGCCGGCCCCATTCCCGGTCCACCCTCGCGATGCAAACTTTCGTTGTGCGCGCGCATCTTCTCCTGTCCTCGCTCTGCCCGTAGCTCACGGATCATACTTTGAATCTCTTCGTTGGAAAGCAACGGTGTCCCGCAGAATGAACATGGCTGTAATCCCTCCAGCGAACAGATAATCTTTCCGCAATTCAGACAGTTGGGCGCGGCATCGAAAACGGGATGCAGTGTTGCGTAGCATGTGCATTTCCGCCGTTCGCCGCCTAAGGTCGGATTCGTAGATACCTCCAACGCGGCTATTGCGGCCGTGAGATCGGAGATGTTACTGGTCGTCAATGCTCCCTTCGACGAAGACGGCGTAGCCAATCCGGACCCTGACCCTGACCCTCCTCCCCCAGCACCCCGCGAAGGCTTCGCCGCCTTTGACTTGACATTCGGAAGCAGGTCTGAAATCATCGGCCCAGACGCAGATGGGGGCGCTTTGCCCACAGGCGGCACAGGCGAGTGAGACCCCGATGACGCCGCGGAGCCGCGAGGTGAGGGTAGTCCCAGCGTATTCCCCGCACCCCCTCCTGCTCTCGAAGGCGACCCCGACCCTGAGATATAATCCTCCCCACGCTCACTCTTCATATAACCCCCCACGACATTTCCAAAGTCATCAGGTCTCCGCACAGGGCCCGCGCTATGCAGCGGCGGTTTGCTCTTCTTATTCTTCCGCCCCGGCGGCGGCGTCTGAGCAGGCGATCGTGATGGTGTCGAAGCGACGTTGCTGTTGCTGTTTCGCGCAGACGGCGTGGGGTCATCTCGTCGGGAGTTGAATGCTGAGATGAATTCTAGGGCAGCCGGGGAGTCACCGAGGAGATTCTTCAGGTGGTCGGCGCCTTCTTCCTTGGAGAGGTCGGTTGCGTACGCGAGGATCTGGGTGAGGGATTCGGTGTCTAGGGGAAGGATTTCGGAGAGGCGGGGGAGCGCCCAGTTTATTAGGGTTGAGGGAGGCATGGCGGGTTGGAAGAGGATTATTGTCTGTTCATGGTAGGAGAAGAAGAAAAAGAGGGGAAAGGATATCGTATAAATCGTGGAGAGAATGAATCATGGTGATGCGGAGTGTTGTTTGCCGTGTATTTCAGGCATCACAACTTGATATGCAGGCCCATCACAGAAGCTATCACAGCGATTTAGCTTCGAGCTCTATGGCAATTTGATAAGGTACGGTCGGATTTATCAGCTAAATAAAAAGTAATGCATTATCTGACCTGATCATGCAAGCTATAGTACATTCGTTCAACCACATAATCATCTATTCCCAAAGCGCACAAAATCAGACCCATAAAACCTGAAAATAACAAAAACCACGTCGTGAATGTCCCAGACTTTTAGACATGATGATAGAGCGGGTCCCCGTTGACGCCTGAGATGCCAATATTTACGTCGAGGTCATTAAGGTTGAAGATAATATGTTCAGCCCAAAACAGACACACCTGTATGTCGGCGGAAGGAGAAAATGAAGCAAGATAAAAAAGTTAGGCGTCCCCGTTGGCTTCGGTCTTGATCTCACGTTCTCCAGATGCAACGGCATCATCCGGTGTGATGCCATTCTTCAGCTTACTCGGAGGCGGTGGTTTCTTTCCTGATAACTTTTTCGGGGCGCCGAGCTTCTTCTTCTTCGGTAGCGGTGTCGGGCCGTCATCATCTCCAAGTGGCCGTTTGGCAGGTGCAGAAGTCGGCGTGCCGCTGCCATTTTCCTGTGGAGTCTTGTTTCTGTTGACTTGTCGGCCGGAGAGACCGAGGCAACGATCCAAGTGCTGTGCTACACGGGTAACAACAAAGTATCGGGGACAGTTGGGGCACTTCACCGTCGGGAACGACACTTTCTCCGGTGCTGCTTGCTTGAAGGAGCTATCGGGCGTAGTTGGCGGGCTTGACGCTGGTGTATTTGATGTATTTGTTTGTTTCTTCTTTTTCGGATTCAGTTTGTCGGTTGCAAACGGGTTTCCGTGGACGTCATGCCCAGGTTTGCTGATCATCGGTTGCTTCTGGCAGTATTCTCTGTAAGGATCCGGAGGTGGGCGGGCCCCTACCCCGGTTAATGGGTATAAGAGTCGGGGTAACCGGCAATTAGGGCATATTATCTCCTTTGTTGTGTGAAGCGGATTTCCCTTGAGGTATACCTTGCCATCGTCAAACACAGCCCCATCCGTCTCGACTCGTATGTCCTTCAGATCTTCCGAGTCAGGGTCGCCTGTCTTCAGCGGGTTAGCAGGCTTGGTTCCTGCGTCTTCGCGGCGCCTGGTAGCCTCCTCTTCTGCTTTCTGTCTTGCAACGACAACTGCGGAGCGCATCCGAGCCACCTTTTCGTCCCGATGAACTTTGGCAACGATATCATGAATAATGTTATAGAATGTGTCATTGAGAATGTCGCAAGTCTGCGCAATTAGCGTAATGTTCCAGGAGCTGGCCAGCAAAATCGTGAGCATACCAGTTTCGCAATTGTGCCTGGAGGAAAGGCATTTCCTGCTCCGTTTGATTCACCCATGACTCGGAGTTTCAATAGTCTAGAGGGTATTAGACGCGAGTTCTTGACTCCAGGTTCGAGGGAGGAAGTTGTCCAGGGGAACACGGTAGCCCTGCGCCCATATTACCGGAGTCACCATTCTGGCGGATCTCTCGGACTATGGAGGCTAACGTGACACCTCATGCACAAACCCATAGTAATTCCGACTAACCTCTGTATCGAGAATCTGAATTCCTCCCACCCTGTTCCCGTCGCACCAGGGGTCCGAATGTCAAGTAGAGCAGTACAGCCAGAGGAACTTTTGAACTCAGAATAAGAGCTCCATATACTGTGCGCAATGCCAGTGGATAGCACAGAAAGTGAAAAGCGATAGGTCACGGTAATAGTCGGAGTACGTCGGGGCGCGGCAATATGCTAAGAGCAGCTGTGTATTGAACGTGGATGCGGGAGTCAAGTGAGGACAAAGGAGCGTCGAGTGATCAATGGAAAGGCACGGATTCGGCGAAAAGCACAAGAGACAAGTGTCTGTCGGGGCGCATTGATTTATAAGGTTGTGAATGGAAAAAGTCTATTGTCTTCAACAACACTGGAGCGCCAGCCGAAGGGAGTGTCAGTGGTGGTCCGCACGGCAGGGCAACACGGGGGCATGCTTACCCCGTCCACATCGACCAACCACGCGGAAAGTCGTTGTTATATATATATCAAGAAATTTTCAAGAAGGGCACCAAGACGAGGAGTGCGATATCCGGAGCGGAAGATGCAAGTGCTGTCGGTGCTGAAGCGGAGTAGGCCGAAGAAGTGGTGAAGAGCCGCTGCTGGCAACTGGTGGCCTCAGGTTTCAATCTTATTCATTCTGCCGCCCGATCTTATCTTATCGCCATCTCCGCCTTTCCGCGTCCCTCCACGTCTCTCTCCACTGCCTAATGCCTTGCGGCCTTTCACAATCCCTTCGCTCACCAACTCTTCTTTCGTTCTATTTGTTACCTTGCGAGCTCTATGCTAAATCCAAAATATTTCTCTGCTACTGTGGTACTATCTTTCATGGCCTACCAGTTCTTTGCCAAAGCCCAACAGGCCAAGCGGTCTTCCTCCGCGTCTCCCCCGCTCCCTCAGCACTCCCCGCAATCCTCGCGCAATGCTCATAATCAGCCTCCCAAGTACCCTCCACCGATAGTAGGATCCTTGCAATCGGTAGTATCAGGGCAATCGTCAGTCGATGTAACCTCAAAATTGAAGCCACCGAGCGCGAAAGACCCATCCCTCCACCCTCCTGCGTATCCTCACCCAATCGAACCTGGCTACCCTACTCCGCACGAGCATGTCACAATAGAACCAGTCAGCACAGCTCATATCCCCTCGCTATCTAGAATTACCGGTCTCCTTCTACCCATCCGCTATCATAGCTCTTTCTACACCGCTACAGTCACAGACCCCGTGATCGCATCCGTCTCGCGCGTGGCCATATATCATGATCACCCGGTAGGCGCTGCACCACCGTCAGCGCCTGCTCAAGCACAAACCACAGGAACAGATAAAGTGATTGGTGGGATTCGCTGTCGCTTGGAGCGGCTCCCCGAGTCTGCTCAGGAGAACAAGGTGCCGCAATCAGGCCAGTCTCAGGAACCGACCAACCTGTACATCCAGACACTACACCTGCTCTCGCCATACCGTGGCTGCGGTGTTGCGGCGTCATTGCTCAACTCGCTACTGTTCTCGTCCCCACCTCCCCTCCACTCGTCTTCACGACGCTATGAAGTTTCAGACCTCGTGAAGCATTACAACATTCGTACCGTTACGGCGCACGTCCACGAGGCCAATGATGACGGACTAAAATGGTACATAGCGCGGGGATTCCATGTAGAGAATGGTATCATCGAGAATTACTACCGCCGACTGAAGCCGTCCGGCGCCAGGATCGTCAAGCTAGAGCTGCATTGGAGCAACAGCAATGGCAACAAACCGAAAAAGCCAACCAACGAACCATTTTCCGTATCAGCGCCTCGCGAAAGGAAGGCATCACCAGAAGCTGACGGCGATTGGGAAAAGGTCGAGGCCGAGGACGTGGGCGACATGGACGAATTTGGTGTTCATTCAGTCACCGAATCTAAGCTGTTTGAAGCTGACGAGACCCCGAAAAGGAAGCGGAAGGCCGATGACGAGCCCCAGAGGCATTAATTTCTGTCTCCGGCTGAATTTTTTCTCTTCCCGCTCCCTCAATGTTCTTGTTTTTGTCTATCTTTGCCGGCGTTGTATAGCACCCTACAGGATACCCGTTTTGTTGTTAGATTACAAATACAACCATAGCTAGAGATCATTGCATTGTACATGTCTTGGACAAACAATTGAACTCTTCAAAGAAGTAGAAGTGGGTATAGGAGAGTATATGCTCCGAATATACATTAGGAACTATGTCATTCCTGCGACAAGGCGCAAGCAAGCGGTGGATAAATCATCCCATTAACCAGATATATGTGGAAAACGCCATGGTATCAAGCTCCAAAAAGAAAAAATAACGACAGATACATAACAAGAAGACGGAGGTACACAGTCACGTAAACTCAGCTTAGATATTATAGTTCTCCGCATGCAGGAAAATCTCATCCTTGGACGAATCCGTCATAACCAAATGCTGCAGTCTCGCGACGGCATCCGAGACGTCCATTCGCAGACTCGGAGGGCCGCAAACATAGACGCATGTTCGGCGACCGAAAGTATTCGAGAACTCGTTGAGCATCTTGGGGATATCCGGGCGAGTGTAGTCGATCCGCCAGCCGTTCTTCTTCTGCAGAGGGAGAGATGCAAAGCGCGGGTTTAGACGCGCTGTGTGTACTTGCGAAGGGGATGGGGAGGGGGGAGTTTGTTGAAATTGGGTTTGGATTGTGAGTTGCGGTGGTTGTTGATGTTGTTGTGGTGGGGTTTGTTGATGTTGGCCGAAGCCAAAGTCGAAGGGGACGTTTGAGGGGGTCTGCGGAGACTGATACGGAGACTGTTGGTGGAGGTATGGGGATTGTTGGAGTTGGTAGGGTGAATGTTGATACTGGTGGGGTGACTGGTATGGGGAGAATCCGTAATTCTGCATCGGAGATGTGTGCATAGAGGCTCGGGGTAGATTCGAGGTGTAGATTCGGGGAGGGAGAGCTGTGAGGGTGTCTTCGTTTTCTCGGCGCAACTCTTTCTCGCGCTCCTCGTCTCCTGCGGCCTCTTCGCGGATGTACGCAGAGCTGCGTTTCTCAATGTCCTGAAGTGTGTCGTAAATCTTCTCCTGGACGATATCGCGGTAGAGCTGTTGCTCCTGAACAGCGAATGGCTGACCGCTTGCGTCTTTGGCACCAGTAAGGAAGAAGTAACAGTGCACTGTGTTGAGAGGCGCATGGTCTCGGCAGATGCGCAGCTCCTCTTTGAACCAATCAATCGATTCCGGGTCCCGCAGAGCCCAAATGACTCTGACGGATTTGGTGACAGCCTTGCCTTCGCGCATCTTTTTAATCAGGTCTAAGAGGTGACTGGCAATTGCGGTAATGCCGCTGCCGCCAGCGAAAAAGATCACGTCGTCAAACGCCGCCATTTGACGACGCATACCGCCGTAAGGTCCTTCGAGAAATGCGGTCCAGGTTTTGTACGGTCCATATTCGAGGGCCTTTCGTAATACAGTTCTCGTGAATCCACGGAAAGGACGGAAAACAAGGGCGAGGTCCCTGTAGTCCTCGCCATAATGAGATGGCATATCCCCACTGCATAGTGAGGCAATGGTGAAAGGATGGTTTTGGAAGAATGCAATGCCAGGCATGCGCAGATACACGTATTGCCCGGGTTTCCATCTCATCTGAGTGGGAACCGTCACCTTGATGGCGCCTTGTGGAAGAATCGTGACGGCAGATTCCTCGCCAATCATAAAAGAAAGTCGGGACGGATTAGTCCAGTTGAGATAAACCAGCCGGAAAAGCCACGATAGTACCAGTATAGCTAATGTTGACCACAGGTAAGCCCAGGATGATAGGAAGTCTTTAGTGTGCCAGAAGAGCATCGCAACAAAGACTAATGCTGCGGGTAGGTGAAGCTTCAGAAACAGCTCATACATCCAGTCCCTGATGATCGGCAGTGAGTGGATGCTCAAAAAAGCGAGTGGCACCAAGCATGCCATTCCTGTTCCGTAGACGTAGATGTTCCGGGGGAGATACTGTTGATATACCTCCAGCATACCATGCTCCCAGATGGGTTGAATATAAAACGGAATAGCATGTACCAGGCTCAGGAACAGACAGATATATCCAGCCCACCGGTGAAGTACGTTCAATCTCTCATGGCCAATACCGGTCAACATGCTGATAAAGTTGGCCCGTGTACTCATCGCCACAATCCATGGAACCATGGCGACCGCGATCATACCCGCCCGGATAGCCAACGGTGGAGATCCGATGCGGATAGACGAGTAGTAGAGCGGCTCTGGAAGGAAGCAATAGAGCGTAACAAATGTCAATGCCGCGAAGATAACGGCAGACGCCCCAAGCGAAGGAAAGACAATGCGAAACCTCCCTAGTCGTACTTCGGGGAGTGACCTGTAAAAGATCCATCGTGCAAATGCGACAGCGTTGTTGAGGGGCGCGATAGTAGAAACAGAAGACTGTTGCTTCTGCTTCTCATTGTTCGATCTAGAAAGTGATGCGTGGGCCGGGAAGAATAATGTCGTCGAGCTATCGGTGGCGGCGCTTGGGAGCTCATATTCGTCGCGAGGCGATTGAACTCCTCTTTTTGGGTTCTCCTTGTGTAGAGCGATTCTGACTCGGTCACCCCAGGTGTGATAGAATCGAATAGCCGTCGTTAACGCCAGCAGCACGAGCGAGAAATATACCCAACCCCTTCCATATTTGCCGGCTTCGTTCCATGAATCGCGTTGACGTTCAGCGGCTTCGCTAGGGCTGGTAGCTGCGTCGAGTGTAAGGTCGATACGCTTCACCAGTGAAACAATATAGTTCCAGGAGGGCATGGTTTCGCTTTTTGACGGTTACGCCTTGAATCACGCAATAGATGTTTCAATTGCCGCCAACTGCCAGATTCGAGTCACGTTTGAGAAGACCAGCTTCGAAGCTTAGTATTCGAGAGAGATAGCGAGTGTTGTCTGTCGTTACCTCCAAGCCCTCACTCAACTCATTGAGTAGAGTGTCTGTTGGGGACCATACCAGATAGACAACCCTCTGGTGCGCTCGACGACTTGTCAGACGTTTTGTCGCAAGTTGCGGTCGGGACCTGTAACGCGTAACGAGATGTAGAATATGATCTGCTCCGAAGGAGTGAAATCAAACAACCACAACTCCAGTGGGAGACCACAGGGTGAAAAAGCTCATGTCAGAGGAGGGGAAGACTGGCCGGACTGTGAGCTTCCTCTCAGCTTGCCGTCGGTCAGCCATGATTACGATAAACTCTGTGGCCAAGCAAGATTCATCATGCATGATTGGCTATCACATTCTGTATGCGGGGAGAACAGTGTTCGGCGCTACCTTTGGAAGGGGGATGCTTACTTGGGTGTCACTGGCGGCCACAGAAGGGAGATCTTTAGATTGGAGGCACGGGTTCCTGCTCGGCCCGCAGCCAACCACCGATCGCGCAAGTGTGCCAATCTGCAGCTCGATCCTCCACTAATGCGCAGGCCTGGGCCTTCGTCACCCTCACCAGAAGCTTATGCAGTGTGATTGGGCAGCGGTCTGAAGGGCGGCGGCAAGTCTGGCTTTCTTACTCGCTCTGTCTCTGTGGGAGGCTTTCCTTGGTCAAGAAACAGGTTCGTTCATTCAGAGCGATGAGTGACCGACAGTCACCAACTCCTCTCATTCGACGAGCGGGATTAATTGTCCTTATCCGCGTAATCATCCCACCGGTTCTTTGAGATGAGACAAGGTCGATACTTTTCTGGCCCTGACTCGGAGAGCATTCAAAGTCGACAAACGCGAAGCCGCCAATTATTCATTTCCATCATCTGACTTTAATCTATCGCTTCAACGAAACATACCCCTGCGGTATTGCGTATCAAGAGACAACATCATGGAGGACTCTGTGATCTTCTATTGAGACCCTCCGAGCCCTGCGCAGGCAAAGGCTGAGTACGACATATGCTTCGTTCAAACAGGCATCGTACGTGAAACAGAAACTGAGTATCATTCTCGGTCGTTTAAACCAATCGAGCAATCAACGCTGAGGTGACCGCGTTCCCAAAATATGCCACAATCCCAGCACCACTCTTGCCAGCATACTCCGCCTGTCAGCTGCAAGTCAGCACCTTACTGCGGGGGGCAATAAGACGTTGAGTGAACACCTACATCGCATGTATTTGCATCCTCCTGCTTTCTCTGTGGCAACAAGACAATTAGGGCAGGCTCGGGTCGTTTCCTGAATGGTTCTCTGGCTTAAGAAATCCTCAGATGCAAACTGTCCCCGCCTCGGGCCACCAATTCTGAGTACGGTAGGCAGACCTGATATCAAGTTCTCGGAAATCATATTCGACTGATTCGCCATTTCATACTCTGCACATGAAAAGCCCTCATGCCACGGTATATTGCGGTGAATATAGCATGTCCGCACTCCACATATCGCACAAATAACGACTGGGTCTGCCAGCCCACCAACATGCAATTGTCCATAACCACAACCGGGGTTAATGCACCTCACAAAATCCGCGTCTTCCTCTAGGACTCGCCATGTCCGTGCCACATCATAGGCTTGAAAGGTCGGCCGACTGGCCCATCGCTCGACTTCTTCATCGGATAATCGTGCGTGGCAAAGGGGGCATGTCAAGGCGGCTGTCTGGATGTTCGAAAATTGCACATCCAGGCTGCGGCTGAGACAGATTGTGCATATGTGTGTACCGGGTATCGATGTATGGTCACATTCGGCGGCGATGGATGTTTGCGGATACATGCCAGGTTCGAGAGTCTCAAAGCACACAGAGCACGTTGTGCATGGCGCATTTCGGGCATATTCTTGCCCAGAGGTGCTGGAGGGAGATACCATCGGTTCCTTCTGAAGCAAAGAAAGTACCGCGCTGGCAGTTGTGGCATCGCTCCAGCAGCAGTCCACCGGCTGTGGTTCCTCATCCAGGGGCGAGTTAACATCGACGATTCTCGACAAAACACCTCCCCTCGACGGAGAAGTTGGATGATATCTGCGATCTGTAGAGAACAGAGTGTGAGCTGAAAGCGAAGAGAGCGGGGAGATGACTTCGCCATCGACGAGTGGCGGTGGGCTTAAAGGCACAGACAGATCCAATAGTGTTCCATCCAGCGGAGGATGCCAGCTCCTCCGGTGTCGCTCGCCAGAAACGACCATCATTCCGAGACAAGCCGTCTGTGAATTCTCTCGTCCACCTTCAAAAATGGCCTGACGTCCATCAGATATGGAGACTGGTGTATGTGCCAAATCCTGGTTTTGAACGAAAGCAGTCCCGAGGACAAGAACAACTGAGTTCTTTTATTAGAAAAGCACAGACTGCGATTCGTTTTGACGAACCCAACGAGAAGGATTGCAGGTGGCCAACTACAACACAGTCCATGCACATCTTGCATCTTCCCCAATACGAGCACAGCTCCACTGGCATCGCAAAACCACGCCTCAGGCTGAAGATAGCGAACAAAAGCATCGTCCGAACTACCCAGAGAGGATGGGGTATCGGGATCCGCTCATAGGGAGAGACATTCTTTGGTTGATCTCCCCAGGGTGACCAGTGATATTAGACGTTGATTCCGAGAGTTGGAAGTTTAACGGACTGAAACTCCCCACGCTCCGAGTAAGTCTGACGATCCGCCACAGAACTGGGAAATAACGACTTCACAATGCCCTTGGCAGCCTACAACATCAAGTGTTGGTTAAGCGATAGACAGGTACTACGGAAGATAGCCAGTGGATCAGCATCAACTATGTCCCAAATCAGGAGTTCGTAAAGTTTCACGCATGCTTGGAAGCCCATGAAGTGCGGTGCTGTCGGCATTATCCCTTGATAAGGACGGAAAAAGTGATCTCTTGTCCAGGTTCCTCGAGATCGACGCTTTCTCGTATTTATATATAGATTTGTCAAATACGACGGTTTCTAATCTCAGATTCGCTCTGATGTTTCGAAACTCGGCTTGGTCAAACTGTTATAATTCTTGGCCAGGAGAGAGTTCAGGCTGTCTTCTGGATCTTGTTGGAGATCTTGTTGGAGTTCATTCGTATGCTTCGTCTCCATCTTGTAGCATCCTGCGACAGCGGCAAGAGGATTCCAGGCCTCGACGCAATTCTTCGTAACTCCGAGTGGAAGAGGGCATACCCGGGCCCACATTGAGGTACTCTGATGTCAAGCGCGACTTTCAGAAACTGATCGATTCTGCGAGACAGCGCCGGAACAATTATTGGGTGCGAGTAGCCAACATGCAGGAAGTCGTTGCTACGCTGTTACCTTCAACCGCCCACAAGCAAGCTGAAATCCGCTCTATTGTGCTCAATGAAAGCATCGCACCCGTAGCAATTTCTCGTCGGGGCCGATGTATTTTCTTGTTCAAGCTGACTTGTAGGAGATTTGTGAAGAGAGCTTGGAGCGGTATGCTTGAAGTCATCATTATAGCAAGTCCAACTCACCGCTTTCATACACAACATTATTCTGCCGCCGAAATCTTCGTGCTTAAGCTTCCCAAGACAGCTCATCAGCCATCCCTGCACACGTACGACGGAATATCGACTGAAACCACAGTCGAGTCTCTGGTCGGGAAACAATATGGCATCATCAGCTGCCGCCTCGACCGCACCACCGGCCCTTTCATTACCCCCCTCACAATTCGCCCGACTGCAACCTCACGCCTACCTCCTCGCTCACCTCTCACCCCCCGCATCGAGCCAGCAACCTTCAATCCGAGCCAATGGCCGCGCCCCTTCTCAGTTCCGTGTCACTTCTGCGAATACAGGCTCTCTGACCCACACGAATGGTAGCACCGTGGTGAGGCTCGGCGATACCACGGCCGTCTGCGGCATCAAGGCGGAAATCCTGCACACAGAGGACATAGCCTCATGGAGCGTGTCACACTCATCCTCCTCATCTACGCCAAACAAGCGACGGAAGTTGACGAATCCGACAGGGAAACCGGGCGAGGACCGACAGGATGGTTCGGATCAAGTCGAGGACGATGATTCTTATATCGAAGACTTCAGCTTGCTCGTGCCGAATCTCTCACTGAGCACCGGATGCGCTCCGGGCTTCATCCCCGGTGCACCACCTTCCGCACTCGCGCAGTCTCTTTCAAACCAAATCCTCTCATTACTGCATAGTAGCCGTCTAGTCCGCTCCGAGGACCTGCAAATATGGTATCAGCGACCGAATTTAGGGCCGGAAGAGCTGGAGCGTCATAACGAAGATGAACAAATGGATTTGGACGTTGAACAAAATGGATCGGGTAACGTTGGTGAGACCCGTGAAATCAAGGCATTCTGGGTTCTCTACATAGATATCATGATTATCTCCCTGGCCGGAAACCCATTCGACGCGGCCTGGACAGCTGTTTTGGCCGCACTCCGGGATACGAAGCTCCCCCGTGCATGGTGGGATGCTGATAACGAGACAGTCATCTGCTCCGATCTGGTCTCAGAAGCTCGCAGACTATCCTTGCGCGGGCTCCCTGTGGCTAGTTCCTTCGGTGTCTTTGAGGCCGATGCAGCATCTGGGTGGAGGGCGGTTATTGTTCCCGACGCCGAGGAAGAGAGAAAGATTGCCGAGGGTGATAGAAAAGGTATCCAGCGGAGATGGGTCCTTGCTGACCCTGATGGCTACGAAGAAGGGCTGGCCCAAGAACGAGTGTGTCTCGTTGTTGACAAGGATCAAAGGCAGAACGGCAGGGTCGTAATTGTCAAAATGGAAAAGAATGGCGGATTTGCAGTGGATAAGAAAGAACTGAAGGAATTGGTCGCAGTATCTGCTCAGAGATGGGAAGAAATCAACAAGATTCTGAGCCAGTGTTGAGATGTATTCGGTCAATACGGTGTTAATGGCAATCCCATTCTCTTAGATTCATGATACCATGCTAATATACACACGTCATACCTCCATTCCATTGCTCCTATGTTTGCGTAGAGATCCCCGTAAACACCTTCAAACGCCGGTTGGTATCCAATGTCCTCCGTGCATGACAGAAAAATAAGCCCTATTGAGACGCCGCTGCAGCATTTCTCGGACTGCGTCGACGCCTCTTCGCAGGTGGTTCATTATCCTTCTTGCCGACACCAACGTATGACCAATTTTCTTCTCCATAAATAGTAGGTTTGCCGGTATTCTCTTCGGCGTGTGTTTTGCTCGATTTTGCCCTGCGAGGAACGTAGATAGAAAAGGAGAAAATATCGAGATGCTTAGAATCATCCTTGTCATCCGCTTTTGAGGCCGGCTTGTCTTTGCTCTCGGTTTTCTCTTCGTCAGCCGGATCTTTGGTTTTCTCAGATGATGCCGTATCCCGTTTGGTGTCATTGGAAGCTTTGTCGAGGTTCCCAGATTCTGTGTTTTCGCTGGCCTTGGAAAAGAGACGAGCAAATAGACTACGGCCCTTGTCCGAGGTGGCTGCATTTTCCTGGCCGGTTTTTTCGCTCGTATCTTCCTCGTCTTCTTCGCCCTCGCTAAATTCCCACATTTCGAGTACCTGACCCTTGATCAATGCTGTTCCCCATAGCGATATCAATATTCCTGGAACGAGATACAAGAGAGCCGGTTGCGGATGATCAAATATTTGCATGACGGCAAGCGTTGTGACCATCCCAACAGTGTATCCGACCAAACTGGCCTTGAAGTAGGTCTTTGGAAAAGAACGAGCGGTATCGTATGGAATTTCCAGCTGAGGCTCGGTCGATTTGGCTGATGGCGCCCAGAACCGCTCTCCCCATCCCCCCGTCGCTTGTTGGAATATTGGCTTGACAAATCCGGATGCTTCGCCTTCAGCTTTCGCCTTGAGCATGCCCTTTTGCTTGTAATACAGAAAGAGATCAAATCGAAGAGCCAGTCCAACCATCATGCCGGGCACGATGATGTCACCTAGGCCTAGCATTGCTAGAGAAACTGTGCCAGGAGCCTCCGTCGGGGCGGGCGGCCGAGGGAACAAGAGCTTAATAGGGACGTCGAGGTTCTTTGCAACAGTCACCATTAAGGGAGTGAAGTAAACAAAGTATATGTCGTAAAAGAACAACGAGCCGAGAATCAGAGACCCCGTGACGAACGTAGATGGCGACATTAGTTGTAAAGTACCATAGCAGAAGGAAAAGCCGAGAAAGTTGGTCAACCACCATGGCTTGGAGACAAATGTGAAATAGGCCACTGCTGGTAGGGCCATCAGCACACTCAAGATATCAAGTGTACCTATGGAACAATCCAGGTGGACGATGCGATGGACATGGAAACGAAGCTTTGCTCGCCAGTACAGTACCTCACGGCAGGTCCAAAGAGCGCTAAGAACAGTACCAGGCAACGGAATCAGACCGAAGATTCCTGGTAGAGGCGATTGTTGCGTTTCAAGTTGCTCCGAACCAGCCGAGGTTTGTATAGCAGTGAAGACCCGGTCAGATGGCTTGGGTTTCCAGACCTTCCCACCGCGCTTGTATTTACGCGGGAAGACGAATGATCTCAGAACCGAAAGGGCGTCTTTCACAAAGGCCATGGCAAAGAATATGCCCATTTGAGAGAAGTAAAATCCAAGAATCTTATTCAAGGTGTCGGCTCCCATCCATTTGATGACTAGGTACAGGCCACCAAGTGTTGCACCAGCCGTCAACGGAAACACCAGGGCGTCGCTTGGGGCAAGACCTTCCATTTTCTGATCATCATCATGGGCTTCGTCTTCTTCATCTTCATCCTCCGTTTCGTTCTTAGCTTCCTTCTCGGACGCTTTGGGAGGCTTCGCGGCACAACTGGGCCTTGAAAGCGAGGCATGGGCGCCAATGTATAGTGGGAACAAGGCAGAGAGAATGACATGTCCATAAGTCGGCAAAAGTGGTCTCACAAGGTTGAAATGGTAAATGGCCTGCCCCAAGAGCTCTGCCAGTGGACTGACCTCAGCCATAATGTTGACACCTTGGCTGTAGGACAGAGCACTTGAGACGTGCAGACAGGGAATAGGGGAGGAGTTGAGTATCGCCAACAAATAACAATGGTTATTGGATTTACCGTGAAAGCTCAAACGTATCCCGGAGGGGTTGTAATGTTGGAGGATGAAGAAGCCGCATCATGGTCCAGAACAACATTTGATGCCAAGACCAGCCCCAGCTCCGCCTCGGAGCTCAAACCCAACCGCCACTTTTCGCATCTCAGAGCGCAAAGGACCTAGAACAGCCATTATCAATTCAGTATGTCAACAGACGTGGCGTTTGATACGAGCATGGTGAGAACTACAGATCTAACCACGAAATTACGCACTAACCCTGAATAGGGCTCATTCACAGTAGAGCTCTACAATACCCATGCTCCCAAGGTCAGTCGCAGTTTGCTACCAGAGCCTTTGGCGGAGTTTCACTAACAGAGTGTCATCGATAGACTTGCAAAAACTTTGCGACCCTCGCGCAACGAGGTTACTATAACAATGTCATCTTCCACCGCATCATACCGAATTTCATGGTGCAAACCGGAGACCCTACTGGCACTGGAAGAGGAGGAAGCTCTATCTACGGCGAGAAATTTGAGGACGAAATTCGCTCAGACCTGAAGCACACTGGCGCCGGAATCCTAAGCATGGCAAACAGCGGACCGAATACCAATGGGAGTCAATTCTTCATCACACTTGCTCCGACTCCATGGCTCGATGGTAAACACACAATATTTGGTCGAGTGAAGAGCGGAATGAGAGTCATTCAGCGCATGGGTCTAGTGAAGACAAATAATGAAGACCGGCCAGATGATGAGGTCAAGATCATTCGAGCAAGGATCGTGGAGGAAGGGACCGAAGAGTGAGGAGCTGCAACGCCTTTGCTCCTCAGGTGCCGACGCTTCGAGGCCAGAACTACGATTAGCCAAAATACGCTCCAAGGCGGCATTTGGTGTCTCAGAAGAGACGGGCGCGCCGTGGCGCTTTCATATCATTCCGCGCGTGGAACCGAGACTCAGGGGGTATCTGGTCCAGTTTGGGAGACCATCCGAGGAAGATCCTGCGCGGCAGTTTACGGCGTATATGATGACCAGCATCACCGTCTCCAAGGCAAGAGGCAAGACATAGATAGGTCAAACGTCTGATACTACAAGACATTTAGAATGGAGAGATGTATCACTACAAAACGAACCGCTTCCATCAGATGTTTCCATCCAGAGCAGCAGATACAGAGTGACAAGGTCTATCTACCACCCCTTGAGCGCAAAGCCAGTGAAGGCTTGCGCGAAAAGACAAACTGCTACGGAAACGACGGCAGTCTGGCTGTGCAGAGCACCAGGAGTGGTGTGCAGAAGGAAAGGTTCTTTTGCTGTGGGAGAAAATACTTGAAGTGGGCGGCTCTCATCCTCCTAGCCAGATCTGGATTAGCGTAGTTGAAGCTCGACAGCTCAACCTTTTGGAAGGAGCTTCAGGGCTGCTATTATTTGGAAGCAGCATAGTGCGGTCTGAGACGGTTGTAGAGCTCTCGATAGTACAAGTTACCCATAGTACTTGTTCAGTATGCTGTTTAATTTGCACAGGCATGTTATAGCTTTTTCCACAGAAATCTCGCTTCTGATATGAACCAAGCTAGTGCTTTCACGTGACTTTGTGGTTTCCTCTGTATTTCTTCGGTGATCTTCAGCTTCTCTTCTTTTTTTTCCCCATCAACGTTTCGTCTTCTAGACAGAACATCTTGAGCCTACCACAAATGGGTCTGGGGGTTTCTTCAGATCCTTTACCGCTCGACTAGCCGACGTGATGATAGTTCCGGCTCCATATACAACTTAAGACGCTCCACTAAACAGACAGCTCTGATCCCGGCCAGGCGCCAGTACAATGGAATCACTGACCGAGACGCAATGGGATGTCACAATCTCCGGCACTGGGATTCCCCAGTCGCTTCTGGCTCTGTATGTCTGTTCTCCCTCTCTGCCCTGCAATCACTAAACTTTCGGCAATTAGAGCTCTCTCCCGGTCTGGTAAAAAAGTCCTTCACGTTGACAAGAACTCAGTTTACGGGGGCCCGGATGCTGCCTTGAGTCTTCACGAGGCCGAGGATTGGGTCTCGACAGTTAATCAAGGTGAGATGCCCTTCTACCAGTAATCTCCGCCAGCACCAGCTAACCTGTTTGCCGACAAGTTAGAGTCCACTCATCTTCCATTTGAGGATGCTAGCATCTTTGCGCCAACTGTGTCTGAATCTACATCCGGACTATCGTCTTCTAGGTCATATACACTAGCATTATCACCACAACTTATCTACTCCAGGTCTCGATTGGTGCCTACACTGGTGTCATCCAGGGTCTATCGCCAGCTCGAATTCCAAGCTGTTGGGAGCTGGTGGGTGTACAAGCCAACTACTGGTGAAAGCAAGGGTTTATACCGAGTCCCTAGCAGCCGTGAAGATGTCTTCGCGGATGATTTTATCAGCATGAAGTCTAAAAGGACACTCATGAGATTTCTTCGTCACCTCCAGAGTCAGCTGAAACAAGAGGCAGAGGAAGGGGATGGCTCAGTTGCTGAGGACGAAGACCTGGCCAAGCCTTTCTCAGAGTACCTCACATCTAAGTTCCAGGTTCCCCCTGAACTCTACGATGCTCTTAGCTCTCTTTCCCTATCGCAAGTTGCTCCCCTGGCAACTGCCGCTAGGTATGCTATTCCACGTCTGCAGAGGCATCTCGCTTCTATTGGGGTATTCGGGCCTGGGTTTGGAAGTGTTTTGGTCAAATGGGGTGGAGGGTCCGAAATCTCGCAGGTAGGGTGTCGAGCCCTCGCTGTTGGTGGTGGCGTATATGTATTGAATTCCGGGGTTGAGTCGTTGAAACATGACGAACAACCTGGCGAGGATTCACGCATACAGATGCATTTGACCAGCGGTGAAACAATCACGTCCAAGTATGTGGTTGGTTCCAATTGGGATCTTCCTGCGGAGGCAGGGCTCCCGTGTGACTATGACAGAGTCTCACGGTCAATTACAATTGTGTCATCGTCACTAGACGGCTTGTTTCCTATCACAGCAGAGGGCGGGCCGATCCCTGCTGGGGCCGTTGTGATGTTCCCATCAGCCTCGCTCGGTCTCACGGACGAATCTCCGCCGGTCTATATCACCGTGCACTCCAGCGAAACAGCCGAGTGTCCGTCAGGTCAAAGTAGGTTTGCTCTTCTCCTCCTGCCTTTGAAGCATCCTTTTCCTATGATGATTTATTTCCAAAACTTATCTACATTGCCTGAACTTGCATTGTTGAGAATTCTACAACTGATCATGGACACAATTTCCTCATCAATCGCGCATATCTTCTCCCGTTACATGCTAACGTTTGTGCGACAGGTGTCCTTTACGGCAGTGTCAATATTCCTGGTCAGCAGGGGCAGTCCTTGATTGCAGATGCTATAAATAAACTTCTTTCATCAAATGCGGGGCCGGGCGCTAGAGTCCTATGGTCTTTACGCTACACACAACTCGGGCGGGCCCTTGAAGGCGGTTCACCCGTCAACAGTGTGTCGGGCAATCTCGTGCGATTCCCTCCGCACAGCCTAGACCTTGCTTTTGATGACTCCGTCATCGACCTAGTCAAGGACGCGTGGATTAGGATCATGGGAGACGAGGCTTCTCCAGGTCACTTCATGAAGTTCGAGGATCGGGAATCTTACGATGATGAGGAATAATGTGGCTCCATTGGGTTGATATTGTTGCCCATGGCTCTTTTTTGATACTCCAGCTATTAGATTGCAGGCAGTCGGTGGCAACGAGCTATTTTCCGGTCTTCTATCGGCCAATCTAATCTTATTTGCACATATACTTAACCAAATTTCCAGTTGGGCTGGGCAACGCTCATGGTTCTGCGATGCTCTCTCTTGCAGAGAAGCAAGGTACATATAATGCTAATCAGGGTGCCTGTTGCTTGGCAATCGCATCGTTATATCCACTCTCGCTGATCAATGAACATGTGGATTAATTTACCTGGTGTCATTCTTGAAAAGTGAAGATGCGCGGTGACTACGCCAGGAAGATCCTTCAATTATATATTGTGAGGCCCGCAATGAGCTCTCGACATAGTAGAACCGACATGAGCGGAATAAACCTGACACAAACTTCAAACATGTGAAATTTCCCGGTATTACGCGTAGACTAGTTCTCGGATCTCAGATTCGTCGCCTGGAGAAATGCTCCTCACGGGAAGCGGAGTGCTTATCCAAGCCCCATGAAACGCATCAAGCAAACCCCCAGACGCCATTGGAGTCTTGTTGATGGCGACATATCGCGCCATCGATTATGCTGCCTCCGAAGTAGATACGTACCCCTATTCTCATGCTTGACGAGTTCAGAAAACTTGGAGTTGTTGGGTGATCATCTAGTTTAATTTCCGGTATCAAGTAGAGAAGCCTTCATGCGCTCCCTGGACACTCGAGACGGGGGACATGAATGCTTTGGTCAGCATCCAAGGGTCGTCTTAGTATTCTGAAAGACCGCACTGGCCGTACGTGACATTTTCATGTCAAAATTTCCATCTATGGTTCCTTGCCCTGATTCGATCAGATATTGGCCATTTCAGGGGGGCGGTTAACCTTGACCTGGGCAGCCTGGGCGCATAAGTCTCAAGACTTCAAAAAAGAGGGGGTTTCAGCCCGCATATTGGGGTTCAGTGACAAGACGACAGGCGCTTATTTTGATTAGCTTGATTGGTTCATGACGAGATATTGATAGCGCGCTTGGCTGATTTAAATGAGGAACTGAAGAATCAAAGGCGAGTTCCCCCGCTCTTTTTACAAGATACCAAGGTGCATGTAGGTGAAAGAGAGCCACATCACTAATAAACTTGAATGCTCTTGATTCCTGAAAATTTCGGTTTTTTGACATGATTGGCGAGGTGAAAACGTACAATCTTACGGGCTGGGCGAGAAGCAGGTACAGTCAGCGAAATCAGGGTCCATCTTGGCATCAATAGGACCCTTGTCAGTCATCATTACTAGTGTAACGGTACTGACTCTGACAACATGGCACTTGAGGTACTCCGGAGTACGTTGTACATCGATGTAGAGTGATCGGGGCCGGGCCGCTAGCAAAGGCTCAAGCTCCTGTCGAGGTTGATGCTCATCGTCTTTGGCCTCGAGTTTGCAGGATCTGAGTGGCGCGTAGCGCATTGATCACCAATTGATAATATTACATTGATTCAAAGACTGAGTCTCGCTGTTGCTTTGCCTTGGCGACAGAGCCACGACTGCATAGTACCTGAGGATCTTCGCTGTTCCTCGAGCGACGCATGGAATATGACTTCAAAGGTGTCAGGGTCTTCGAAAAATCCCCGAGGCTGTATGTTATTGTTCGTCAACTCCGAAGAAATCTGGATAATGATATGAAGTTACGTATGTGGCTTTGGTCGGCATAACTGGATCGCTCACGTCAACCTTCTTGCGCGTCGGCTCCAGCTGAGCTGTGCTGATCACGATCCACTGCCGGGGGCAAAACTCGGAAACACTGCCTTCTGAGGCTGACAAGGTGGCAGAAAGGCGAGGAGTGAGCGCGCAAGGTATACCGAGCAAATAAGGTGTCTCGTTGTGAAGGCTGGACCTGTGAACACGAGTATGTGAGATTCGTGGCACAACATCCGATATACTGGCAGAATTCATTTGCACCGCGAACGTGGTCGCGCCGTTTCCAAAAGCCAAGGCAAGAGCTTGGGATCTGCCAGCCGTCCAAGCGGTTCTTTAATCATGTCCATCAAAATGTGAGTCTTGAAGGTGACAAATCCTGGGCAAAAGTGCTTCGTGTTTGCCATCTTTTTGACACCTTCTTGAAGCGAGTCTCAGGAGAGGCGCCATGCATGGGACACGCGGCCCGTGGGGCTCCCAGAAAGAAGCAGCGAGAGGGCGTCTCCAGCCGGCTCACGTTGACTGGCCAGAGCGACGGGAGGCCGCGCTGATCGATTGTTCCTCGCAACAAATTTTCGCTTCAAGGGTTGCACCAACCTGGGGCTTGATGGGCAGCACACGCAGCCCGTATTGCCTGCGTTATTTCTGCTCTTACTTGCTGTGGTTCCTGACGCAGCAGGAAAGAGTCTGGAGTTGCAGGCAAACAAAAATAGAAGACAGCCGCCACTGGAACATTCCGCGAGCCACAATTGCAGGACAAGAATAGCCCTGCCCCACCGCTCGCGAAATTTGTAAAACGGAAGTGCCGGGTTTTGCAAACCGCTTGCAGGTTGGCGCTTGTTTGGGGGAAACGCTGATCAGCAGTTTGAGATTCAAGTGTGAAACATACTCCGTAGAGACGCATGCATGCCTTCCAACGTTTGTATCGTTGATGGGTGGAAAAACATATGTACATAGTGCTCAATGCTCGCATTCGCCCATCTAGCAATAGTCTGGGGTTACATACTTTCCAGATTTCCCTGGGGTTGCTGCCCTCACAACTCCCATATGCTCAACTCGGATATACATCATGATTTTGGGGGGCTAGACTGATCTGCTATTTACCACGGAGTTTCCCTCCAGCCTTCCGTCTTACAATTAGCCGGAGATGGTTGCTCTTCAACGGTTGCTCCGTAAACTATGACACTCCAGAGAGTTGGGCCCTGCGATGCAGGACCCTCTTGCAAACATCATGCTCGATTGAACCAACCACCTTGACAAGGCTCCGGACCACAACGCACAACTTGTTAGCAAGGGTCCAGAGAGCAAATGCCAGGACCCGTCAACCGGGAAGGAGCTTGGATTCACTGTGGGCTTGAGACTTACTGCGCCCACCGGACCGCATTCTTCTGTCCAGGATCGGCACCAAAAACGTATGCAGAGGCCAAATCTTGTTATTTTTCCGGCCACAAGCAAAATCAAAATATAAATAATAAGAATAGTGCCCTTTAAGCAACTGCACGACACCAGTCTATCAAGGCTTTTGCTTCTTTTTTGACCAGGTTCGCATTACGGCTTTAAGAGTCCGGACCAACCCATCACCTCGAAATTCGGAAGCCAAAGTTACACGCAAAGTGTAATTTGCAGATCAACTTACGGGACCCCAGCCCGTGCTCGATTTCCCGCTTTCCACTCGGGATCGCCTTTTCAGCGTCCCCTGGCAGTGTCCTCATCAACCTTCTCTCTTCCGCTTTTCACCTCTCGCTCCCCTTCCCTTTTCCTATCTCCTCTCACCCTCAAGAGACTCGAGACTCCTCGCGCTTTCAGTTCTTGTGTTTCTCTTCCAGCTTACTCCTCTGCAAACGCCCTGGGCGGACGTCCAGTTGTGCTCCTTTCGTCATTTCCCCTGGATTTCCATCTGGTACCGCTCGACTCGTCTTGAGCTCACAGGTACCACCACTTGCTGTGGCTGTAGAGCAAGTCTCGACACAGCAGTCTTTCGTTCATACAATTTTCGGCGACTGACTTCGCCAAATCCCCTCATTTAATCCGTCTCGCCCGGATTTGTCCTCTGTTTTCTGGTCTCGGTTGCGATAACGAATCCCCTGAGTCCTTCCCTTATCCCCGATCGATGTTCCTGCGACACCACGAACTATAACGTTTCTTTTCGACAATTTAATAATTTCAACCTCTTCCATGTTGAAGAATAATTTCAATAATACGAGCAAGATGCCGACTTTCCGTCTGAAAACGGCGTTTCCCCTCATCGCCCTTCTCTCAATAGGGCTTTTCTTCTGGTGCATCGAACGCTACGATCGTGAAGCCCTCCTCCGTTTCAAACATCCCGTCGATCGGGTTACCTCATCTGGTGCTCCTCAAATCCAGCTCCAAACCAGCCCCCCGGTCGCTAAGCAGTGCGACGTGGAGAACGTCACACCGATTCTCCCCTTCAACGAGTGGCTCCTCCGAAAGAACTACACCCGTGCCTACTTCCGCCCTAACTTCCAGCCCCCCAAGACCGATTTCAAATCGCTTGAGGATGTCGATGTTCCGGTCCTTCCTCCCATGACCCGCCTCGAGCGTGGCATGGTCATCTCTCCATCCAACGAGGAGGACGCAATGGCCTGCCCACCGGTTATCGACGTGGATGTTGCGGCCGACCACGATATTGACGAAACCGATAAGCTACTATTTGGATTGGCCACCTCGGCTGACCGGTTGGACCGCCTCCTCCCTTCTCTGCTCTATTCCTATGGAAACACCAAAGCTGGTATCATTGTTCTTGTGCCCAACTCAGAAGACGACATTGCGAAGCAGGAGACCTATTTCCGCAACCGCGGCTTGGATCTGACCCTGATCAAGTCTCCGCTTGAGTTCACCGCTCGTTACTTCGGTTTGGTGGAGGCCTTCGCCAACCATATCCGGACTAAGCGCCCCCAGACTAAGTGGGTCAGCTTCATTGACGACGACACTTTCTTCCTGTCTCTGCCAACAATCGCGCAAGAATTGAAGTTGTTCGATGTGAACAAAAAGCACTACATTGGTGCCCTTTCCGAGGCTAGCTGGCAGGTCGACACCTTTGGCCACATCGCCTTTGGAGGCGCCGGTGTGTTCGTTTCGAAGCCGCTTCTGGACACCCTCGAGAAGCATTACGATGACTGCCAGGCCTGGGGTGAACAACCCGGTGATCAGAAGCTGGGCCAGTGCATTCAACGATATGCTGACACCCCCCTCACTCTCTGGCCATCCCTGTACCAGATGGACATGAAGGGCGAAGTTGACGGTGTCTACGAATCCGGTCGCAAGATTGAGTCCCTGCATCACTGGAACAGTTGGTACACCAAGGATGTCGTTAAGATGACCGCTGTATCAGCTGCTGCTGGCCGTCGCTCCGTCCTCCGCCGCTGGGTCTTTGACCAGGAGGTGATTGTCAACAACTCGACTGGAAAGTCTACCCGCACATTCTGGGTCTTCACCAATGGTTACTCCCTTGTCAAGTACACATACGACGAGAACACTCCCGATGATGCGATTAACTTTGACCACGCCGAAAAGACATGGGAAGAAGATCCCCGCGGTTACGAAGCCCGTTTAGGTCCCCTGCGCCTTCGGGATCAAGAAGGTGTCACCAAGGACCGGTGGCTCTTGCGCGAGGCTTTCGTCGTTGGCGACAACGTACACCAATGGTATGTGCGTGAAGAAGATGAGGGTCACAGTGTCATTGAAATTGTCTGGCTTGGACCCAAGGGTGGCGGCGGCGCTGGTATCAGGGATTATGCTGTCAACATCCACTAAATCTCCTTGCCTTTATGAGACGGACCGAGGCTGGACCTCGTGATCCGCGCGGACTTTTCACTTCTTGCACATTATTTACGTTCAGTGCTCCCTTTTCGCTATCTTGCTCGATATCTTTCCTTTCTATCCTCAACAACGAAGACGGACGACATCTACGAAGTGGCAAAAAATGGATGTCCTCTTTGAACCACTACCGAGGCAGTTCCTTGGACATTCGCTTTCTTTCCCCCAATTGGCTATTACTCGGCGTTGCTCAGGCGAAATGAAGAAGGTGCAGTCAAAGATCGGAACTGGTGCCTTCCAGCGATGCGCATTTCTCGGTTGAGTGTATATCTCTGAATCAACTCCAACTCACGAGCGATCTTTCCGTGCTTCTACCTTTTCCTTGTGACGTTCTGGGGAGGAGTTTTAATTCTGTCGATGCATATGTAAAAATAGAATTTTGCTACTTGGTCATTGGCGCATTTGTCTTTCTCCAAGAGTATGATGAGTTAAGTCTAGATCTTATTCCAGTCAGGATACCGCTGCTACTACAGCTAATATGATAACCAAATCTTCATAAGTTACTGTCCATGGACGTGCTTGACTGTTTCGTAACGTGTTTCATCTTGAGTGCCGGTGATGACTGTCAGCAGGAGAGATTCCATTATCGAAGGAAACTTGAAGTTTGTCTGATTTCCGAACTAGTTAGGGGTGGGGAGGTACAGTCGACAAGAACGCCATCGAGACCATGCAAACATGTTCATCTTCGAGGTTCGAAGACAGTGAGTCTTGACGCCAATCAGGAACCCTTGCTGGACAAACAGCCAAGCTCATCCTCGGAAACTCTTGGTATAGGCCCAGACCCAAACGAATTTAGAAACAGCGCAGCAAACCGGCAACCAAGCTTTGATGGAGAGGGAGAAGGTTGATGCATCACCAGCGAAGGCAAGACTGCACGAGGCACAACCACTGTAAATTACAGCAAGGTCCTTGAGACCTCGACGGCCGTTGCCCAGAATACACAATGGGCTTTATTGGCGCGGATATTGGCATGGCTGGAATTATTGGCACGACTATCACTGTCGATGATCTCTAGTCTGTAGTCTGTACTTTTTAAAGAGTCAATGGTGAAATGTCACCACCCTGATTATCGAAGTCGAGACCTTTGTCGTACACTCCGTACAACCTGTTCGTGTCCACCTCAGCTGAGCTGTTTGGCCTGACTTGACTCGACTCCGACAGTCCAGCTGCCGGGCGAGGGAGGGCTCCTGTCGGTGAACAGCCCCCGAAGCAAGGTACTTCTGTCATCAGCAATAGTAATTAAGTTAACTCGCCGTTGTGAGTAAGATGCGTTGTCCTGCATTCCATATCCACAGATCGCTGTTTCGTGGATTAGGTTCGTGCTGGCGTGCTCTGCTGGGGCTAGTGTGTGTTGACTCGAGGACGAGGTTGGAATGTGACTCGCTCCACTGTCATCATGCTAATTGTGTTGGTATCTCCTCGATGACCTCGAGGGAGACAAGTTGTAATCTGTGGCAACGAGATATCTCACTTCCTTCAGATCGACTTCTCCGGACTCCAAGCTGCCCCCAAAGATCCATGAGTGCAGGACTGGGGGATGAATCCTGTTGGGGGGCCACCAGAATCTGGTAATATTACGGCGTATCGGTGGAGAATGCAGTGACCGTCGAATCACAGTGGCACTCTGTGACTGCAATCTATCCAATAATGAGCTTTGCCAAGTGCAGAGCTGCTCCACTGAATGGTCTGGACAAACTTAGGCCTGGCCGAGATTACAGCCAAGTATTGTGCTGTTGAAGTGATTCAACTTTCTGATCCCGGCGAGGGAAAGGGAGAAAGAGCCTATCTGTGAAGCTGGAGGAAAAGAGGGGAAGCTTAATCCCTGGTTCAAGCTGCGACAGCGGTCATCCATTGAGGAAGGCGTGGCTGCCAAGGCCGAAGTGGTGAGGTATATTACTCGGGCAGTGGGGCCGGTACGGTACGGTAAGGCCCACGTGAGCCACCGCCTTCCTGTCTGCACCGGCACTTTGCCTTCTTCGAACTTCTTCTCCCCCGTTTTTCCCGTTTTCCCTCTTTCCTTCCTGCTGAACCCAAACCCTGCGAAGCCAAAACGCGTTACTCGATTCGGTCATCCTCCCTTCCCCCTCAAAAGCATCATTCCTCTTTGGGCACTCGTGTTCAAGTCCCCCAGATCTTTCTCTCTCCCATTTGACGACGAGTTTTGAGCAATTCTTCTCGTCGCTTCCTGCCTCTAGTACCCATCATGGCCGACATCACCGCCGTCGGTGAGGAGAACCCGTCTCCCACCCAGGACGACCTGCAGCAGGCCGGTAACGGAGCCCCAGACAACCGCGGTACCAAGCGCTCTCGCATGAGTGCTGACGACGATGACGATGACGAGGATAAGCCCGGTCGCGAGCGCAGAAAGATTGAGATCAAGTTCATCCAGGATAAGTCGCGTCGCCACATTACCTTCTCCAAGCGGAAGGCGGGTATCATGAAGAAGGTGCGTGTGCTTCTACCTCTCAACCTTGAGCTTTCAAATACTCTTTGCAGCCATCTTCTGTGTCTATTCTGACGTGCATCGGCATGGCCACTGTGCATTCCCTTTCGTCTCATGCATCTCCTCGAGTTCAATCTCGTCTGACCCCTCGCTAACGTCCACAATGCGGCCGCGTCACAGGCATACGAACTCTCCGTCCTCACAGGCACTCAAGTGCTTCTCCTGGTTGTGTCAGAAACCGGTCTGGTCTATACTTTCACAACCCCCAAGCTGCAGCCACTGGTGACGAAACCCGAAGGAAAGAACCTCATCCAGGTGAGTGCTACCCGAACTCGCTTCTTCCGAGTCGTGGCCGAGGTTGACATTCCCTAAACTATAGGCCTGCCTCAACGCGCCGGATCCAACAACCAACGAGAATGGAGTTGATGCCCCTGAGGTTCCCGCCGAGACACCGGAGGATGTGAACCACGCCAATGTCAATGCTCAACAGTCGAATATCCCTCGTCCCGCTGGAATGCACCCCGGTTACATGACAAATGAGCAGCAACAACAGATGGCATACTATCAAAATCTTCAGCAACAGCAGCAAGCTGGTGGGCAGTATGCTGGAATGCCTGTTGGTAACCGTATGCCGACTCAGCACCAGCCCACTGCCTAAGCGAAAGCATATACACCCGCCCGAAGAAACGGACAAGCCTGTAGTGTCGCCCTGCTTCCTCTTTGGCTTCGTCTTGCGCCGATGCGCGTACTCTCGGCTCTCACTTGATACCCAGCGAATCCGTTCCCATACGACTGTTCTACATACTTCCGGTCTCTGTTGTATACCACTGACCTACGCAAGACAAGATTTCCTTCCCATCACCTGTGTATATCCTGGACCTTTCGGTTCTGAATGTTGCAGAGCATCGAAATGTCTATTTTCGGTGTCGGCAATATCGTTTAACCTGCTATCCCTCCTGTTTAATGACATCGCCTCCCCCCCTCTTCCTCCACAAGAAACCGGCCCAAAAATTCACAAAAAAAAAAAAAAAAAAAAAAAAAAAAAGATGAAAAAGGAAATAGAGAACGAAACCGGGATGGTGATTGATCGATGTAGGCTTTGGACCACATTGACCTGGATTCCGACATTACTAATTGATCTTACTCTCCATCATCTCATAATCATCTCCTAGACGAGGAGAAGTGTGGTGTTTCTGGTGCCCTTTCATCTCCATTTCTTCTCATTACTTACCGGCGAACGTGGTTGTCTGTTTGAATTCATAATCTGCGGTTTATTGTGCCTTGTTAGTTTCCTATACTATTTGTCCTCTCATATCTTGTCGGTTTCCCCTATGCGATGAGTTGGCCACCTCTCCTCCTCACAATCAAGAACGATTGTCTACCTCGAAATCCCATACTGGCTTGCGGGAAAGTAGAAAGTTGCATTCCCAGGAAGCAGGAGACGATGTTTTGGAAGGGGCAGCATGTTCGATTAATATGTTCGCTACTACTACTACTGGAATTCTCCCTTCATCGGGTCGAAATTCGTCTTGTATGGTATGGAGAAAATTGGACTTTCCCTGAACTACTTACTACCATGGAGTATGTTACGACTACGACTACTAGTACTTGGTATCTTTAAACGCAATCTCTCAAGAATTACTAGTATCCTTTCTTAACACTACCTATCGACTAGACTAGATGTGTCTCTCCTCTTCTAGAGCAGCTCGATTAACAGTGTCCAAAAGTATCATGTCCCAAGTACTCCGATTCGTTCTCATCCCAGTTTAGTAAAGTCCTCCGCGAGAAAGGGAAAGTGCGGATCCTAGAAAGCGCAGCCCAGGGTATAACCTGCGAGGTATGATATATACGAATAGCGATGAGAAAAAAAAACAAAAAACAGTCCAGGGTGTATAGATTGCTCTCGTAGTGTACATTTCTTGCCTTGGTAGTATATTAAGGCGGAAGGGAAGGTCCTAGGTAGACGCAGGTGTAGTGCGTTGGGTGAGGCATGGTCCGTTTTGGTATGAATTGAGAAAGGGACCGCCCGAGTTATTTAGACGGAGTATGCAGTCATCGTTATTGTTCTGGACTCTGACTATGTGTAGATGTGACGGGGTCGGCTTCAGGGTCGTGTGGATCGCTCCGCCTGCGGCCCTGGCCGGTGAAACGGGTTAGATAGTTGAGGCCTGTTCTCCAGATCCCAAGGGCGTTCCTCGAGCCTGCGAGGATGCGACCTGGAGCTCCACCGGCCGTAGATTGGCGTCGTTGTTGGTGATCGTTACCTGTTGTTCGTTGATTATGCTGGGTATTTGTGGTGCCGTATCCGGCCAAGGGAGAAGTAGGGCCTATTGTTCGTCGTTTCGGAAGCAAGAGGCGACTCTCGGAGCTAGAGAATGAAGTTATTCGTGCCTTTCTGGTCTCATAATCGCCTTGTTGGAGTCGTCGTGGGCTCCAGCCTTGTGGACCGCGTAGAGCGCTGCTTTTGCTTCGCGGACGGTTTTGTAATTGGTCCACCGGAGATCGAGTGAGGAGGGGTGATCGTCCGCCGCCTGTTGTCTCGACGTCGGAGTCGTCTAGTTCGGCCCATATTGAAGCCGGATCCATATTAGAGGAGGTTGATGCCCGCTTGGACATTGTTGAGTATATAGGAAGACTGGGGGCTCGCTGGCGAGGAGATTCGTGGCGAGGAATTGTTGGACGGAGTAATGGTTCTCGCTCGCCGACCTGGTCTTCCACATCCTCTAGTCCTAGGTCAGAAGTCTCGGTGCGCTCATCGATAGCAGCCATTCCGGGTCCCATTGTCGCCTGAGAGGGACCGACGACCGCCATGGGCGCATGGCTATCAATATCTTCCAATCGCCATGACAAACACAGCACTCCAGCGAGAAGAACAACGGTTCCGAGCGCGACAAGTCCTGCATGTAGGCTCGTCAACTGAGGCATTTGGCGGAAGTAGATTAAACCATCCAAGATAGCGATGATGTTGTAGATGCAGAAAACGAAAGGATAGAGGATGCTCGTGCTGCAAAGCTTCAGGCCGCGATGAAGGTAGTACAGCTGCGAGAGGGCAAGCCCGATCATTGAAAGCAGAATAATCCATGACTGCCAGCGATTAAATTGATTGACACGATCCACAATTGTCCGAACAAGTAACTCCACGGCCGACTTGGCTAGGAGTAGTGTATGCGCGGATAGAATGCCGCTAACCAGCCCATAGCATAGTCCCCGTATAAGACGAACACGCGCATGAGGCACATTCAGGCGCGGCACATACGAGTTTCGTAAGGTAGGATGCTTCCAACGTGCAGTAGTGAAGAATTGTAGGAGCTTCGACCCGATTAAGATAGCCACCGACAGCAGTGCCGTCCCCGCCACCCAGAGAATGAAAGTTCGGCCACGAAGAAGCTCGAGGAGTTGATCGAGGGTATGCGCCGGTTCTCCAATAGCGCCGAAGACTGCTATTAAGACAGCACCGCCACAGACCAAGATGGTCCCTATCAGCGAATATCGAGTGAAAGCCTCTCCAAGAATCAACGTTGCGAATATCGTATTAAAGACAAGCCCCGACTGTTGCAAGATATGTCAGTCGGACCCGGATAGTCAGAGACGTCTAGCAACTCACTGCTTGAAGCGTCGAAAGCACAGGAAGCGGAAGTGTAGTTATTTGGATTGTACTCCCGACGATGTTTGCAAGGACGAACATGAGCATACCCAGCTAGAACACATCAGCACAGTCAAAGACACATTATCTTACGATTATCCATCATACCTGCCATCTTCGTCGTTTGTATGGAGGTCTTCGAAGTTCGTAAGGATGTTTCTCGTCTTCAAGGATATGCGACTTGCGCTGGAGAGTCAGTCCGATCGCCTGGAGGCTAGCCGAGATTAACCCGACAAGAACTCCGATCTAAAATACCAACCGCATTAGACGCTGTGTAGTAGCTCAAATCAGAGAAGAGAAGCGTACCGCGACACTCCCTTGGGGTGACAGGTCACCGAGATTGCCCATCACGGGATACCCTCAGGCATTGGTGGCAGTGTGGGGAGAGCGTAGACACAAACACCGGAGGACGTTCATCAGACGGGGCGGGCGTAGGTATACGGATGTCGGAATGCCATATTCAAGATCTGTAGGGAGGATGTAGTATTGCGTTTGAGAGCAAGAAGTTGGAGGAAGAGCGAGAGATGAAAGGGATGTGGAGTGATCTCATCTGGATGCGGGCGGGAGTTCCCCAGCGAAGCTACCAACCGCCAAGTCATCCCGAGCGACTAAGCATCCAGTGCGAACTGCACGCTTGCCCACCTCTTCCTGCTTCGCTCATCACACTGACAACTCTCCTCTCACACTAGCTCGAGATTATACAAGAGCCGAGAGTAGGTGACTCTACCCCTCCCCTATACCAGATGCCTTCTGACCTCACCACATGCCTGTTGGCACCCGTGCTGCCAATCGCAACGCTAACCTGTCCAACCTCACCCCAGACACCGAGCCTAGCCCGCGCCCCGATATCTTCTTACACCTCATATACCAGACTTAGCTCCGGTATATCGAATCAGGTAAAATGTCGCAAAGCCATGCACTCTCCGACGACCAGGTATGCCGCGATCACCGCTCCGTTATAGCCAAACGTACCCCCCAGCTCATGCAACCCCAATCAATGTCCAGGTGTCGAGCGAGCTCCGCAAGATGACTGCGTTCATCCGGCAGGAGGCTCTCGAGAAAGCCCGCGAAATTCAACTCAAGGCCGACGAGGAGTTCGCCATCGAGAAGTCGAAGCTCGTCCGCCAGGAGACCGCCGCGATCGACACCCTGTATGAGAAGAAGTTCAAACAGGCCTCCATGTCCCAGCAGATTACCCGCTCCACTCTTGCGAACCGCACCCGTCTCCGTGTCCTATCCTCCCGCCAGGAGCTTCTCGACGATCTGTTCCAGGAAGCTCGTGGCCAGATCTCGACCATCGCCGCTAAGGATGCCAAAAAGTATCAGTCTGTGCTGAAGGCACTGATTCTGGAGGGACTGTATGCGCTGAACGAGGGGGAGGTTGAGATCCGCGCGCGGAAGAAGGACAAGAATGCTGTCCAGAAGGCAATTGGGGAGGCGGAGAAAGAGTTCAAGAGTGCTGTTGGGCGGGATGTTAAAGTGACCTTGGATGAGGAGGAGACGTTGCCGGATGACAAGTGAGTTCTGCTCAAGCTTCGCTTTGTTTCTGCCCACTAAACTTCTTCTAGCGCTGGTGGTGTGTCCATTATTGGCGGACAAGGTAAGATCGAGATCAACAACACCTTCGAGGAACGACTGCGGCTGCTTGAAATCGACGCACTTCCTGCTGTCAGAAAGACGCTGTTTGGCAAGAATGTGAACCGGAGGTTCTACGACTAGATTCTGTATTCGAATTCAAGACCAGCGCGCTTCTTTAGTTTTATATTTGGACCTATGTAACCTCCGTATCTATCTGGTTCACCTCATTCTCTGGAGACCAGCTGCTCATGGAAAATTTTGGCAACCTCTGCTTGTTTACTACGAAATACAGTACCGGTACTTAGCGTGGTCTTTGCCAGGTTAGTGGACTTGTACAACAATCAAATCAGCATGTGGGAATAAATCTATTGGGTATCAAAAGAACACTGTATAGTCGCAACGCATGATTGGGGACCAGATTATAAGTATAGATCTTATAATGAAGAAGTCCAGCGATTATCCCGACTCTAGACAAAGGGCGGGCTATTCCGTGGTAAGATAGCCGTAATATAGCAACGGATGCTCAGTATGGCCGGACTGTTTCCTGAGACGTCAATCTGGCTTGACGGTAAGGAATGTATGGGTCACAAATATCCGACATGGCGGTGCAGCTTTGCAGGTTACTGACATGCCAGTGCACCATGCCGACTCAGGGACTAGTGTCCTTGGCCGGTTAGCTCCTCATCCACGTAGGGGTATCCTGTTCATCATTTGAACGCGTATCCAGCCAGCGGCTTCAGGGTCCCCGTTTGTCACTCCGAATAGGCACCTTCTTGTTGATGTACTTGAGAAGATTCTGGGACTTCTTTTCGGGATGATATTGACCGAAGAGGACTTTCTTTGGCCTCGGCTTCGACCTGACCGAGTAGACGATGCGATAATGAAGAGACTCCAGGGCCTCTTTTGCCAGAGTCCGCCTGAGATGAGACGCACCCGAGTCTTCAATAGCAGTGAAAATCTTCTTGACCCGTTCGGCGAGCAAATCGACCTCGCGATTGAATTCGTCTTCTGCGTTCTCGTCACGGAAATTTGTCTCAGACCATCCGGAATCTATGATAATGTTGAGGAAAGTTGTGACAGCTCGGAGCTCCCCGTAGTCGTATTCAGGCTGGCCTTTCCGCTTGTGACGCTTCACGTCGAACCGTGGGTCTCGGAGAATATTAGTGATGCGCTTCACTTCGGAATCACCATTGGCAGGCTGGAGCTCTGCGTGGAGATCGCCCGTCAAGAATATGAGTGCAAGGCGACGCCGTAACGTTGCAATCCAGCTATTCGTTGGTACAATATGCTCTAGCAGGCGGCTCTGTAGTTCTGCATCTTTCAAAGTCGTAGACACAATTTTACAGATACGGGTTGCCTCCTTGACGTTAGAGAAATTCTTCTCGAGAGGACGCATGAAAAAGCTCACCAGGTCACCAGCGTCCTCATCAGGCACACCCTCTAGCACGGCAGTTATGGTTCTCTCGAGTTTGTTGCATATGATAGAATGGCGGGTTAGCGAAGAGTCTAGTGGAAGTCGAAGAAGGATGTCTAATATTCGGTTCCGGGTATCGCTTGAGAAACTGTTCTAGAGTCAGTGTTTCCTACTGTAGTCAAAAACGATGACTAACAGGTCTGCAGCTTCACGGAAGATGTCCAGGACAGATAATAGAGCTGTATGTTGTTGATGCTGGGATTCGGGAAGATCGCCTATCCATGTCAGCCACAGACAAAAAAGTTACAGGGGTTTGTTGAACCGACTTGAAGGATGTGCATCTGGTATAATCGGGTCGGATAAGGCTAAGGCCAGCGGTCTCGCACTCATGTGCCAGAAGAGGGTATCAATGTCTTCTGGCTGTACCAAGCGCTTCATACGCTCCGCCGTGGTACGCTAGTGGGCTGTTACTAGTAGTTCTATGGCTTAGCTGACAGGTTGAGGAAAGAACCAACCTTGATTGCCCCGCAATAGGCATGTCTCAGGCTCTCTCGAGGCTCGGAAGGTACTAGATCATCATCAGCGACAATGCCACTTTAGACAGGATTACAAGAACAAACTCGAATAGAATATCCACCTGACAAGCTCATCAGATAGTAGATTCCTTGAGAGCGCAAAGTCAATGACTCCCGAACTGAGCGCTCGCTCTCGAGACCCTGGCTCTAAGAACTGTTAGAAGTGGAAACGAGGTATTGTGCGCTAGTAGATCACTCACCTCGTAGTACCTCTAAATAAGTTCCGGGGCAAACACAGTCTCGAGGAAAATCTGGCGGCGGAGGCAAGGGTGTTTGAAGGTCAAAAAAGGGCCACGACTTTCCCAATTCGAATGCCTCCGTTCTTCTCACAGCATCGAGGAGACGTTTTATCCCCGTAGAGTCATCGGCACCACTATCTAAAGCTGAGGCAAGAGTTCCCTCGTTTACGCTCTTCTGTTTTGCCGAGTCACTCTCTCGAGCAGATTCAGCCTTGAGGGACGCTCTTAGCCTCGCGATATCCGCCTCGGTCTCTTTGTCATCGACAGCGTGCATTACGAGGCTATCCAAGGTATTTTTGTACTGATGAGGGACAGGCTTAGACGGCAGAGCGCTTCTGGTGTTCGGGGTCTTTCGAGTTCGCAGTGCCCTTCCTGAGGCAGACGAGTCGTGCTCCATTTCGCTATCGTCTGTGAATCGAACCTTCGGAGTTTGAGGCTTCAACAAGGCTAAGAGCTCCTCGGGAGGCTCAAAAGAGGATGTAGAGTCCGACTCTTCGCCGTCTGAGCTGATGACAACCTCCCTTCCGTTCTTGAAAACACGCTGGGATGAACCGAAGGATGATGTTGTTCCAACACTCTGAAAGCTCGATTGCGGACCAGGGTCATTATTAGCTGTCTCTTCAGTGGAGCGTAATAGGGACCGCTTTAACTGCGCCGAAGGCCCACCCGGGGTATCTGGGGTTGTGCCATCTGACAGAGGCAGCTGCGGAAGCTCTGAGCTGGGGGAAGACTGGAGGGCAGGCGTGGGGTCCTCGACCGGAGTTTCTGACCGTGTAGTCTGAGCGCCCAAGGCAAAATCCGGTCGCTTGAAGTAACTGGTTATCTTTCGCGCCGGATTCATGCTGGATATAACGTCAAGGCAGAGTAGACTGTGGTTTGAAGTTGATCCGCCATTTCGAGGTCTGCTCCACGTCCGTTACGCGTTGCTGGATCGCGAAGTCACGTGAGTAATGCCAAGTGCGAGAGTACCGTTTTCTTTGTCTTGCTTACCAGCAATGATACTTCGATGATGGGGGTTGAATTGGACTTTTTTTCCTTTGTTCAAACCTAGAGAATCGATTTCCATTCGTCAATGGTACCCCTGTTGGGGGGAGCCTAGGCTGCAATCGCTGCTGTGCAATTTTGCAGTACTCATCCAGCATCAATCTTCAGTTTGTTCAAGAGGGATTCTCCTGAGGTAACAGTAGTATCTCTCGGTCTTGAATTAGTGAGAGGGAGACTCTGCCGCGCCATGTCCTGGATGCTAAATATACCTCCGTACTGTAGGTTTGATGTACTCAATGTACAGAGGCGGGGGCGGGGTGCTTGCAGAATTATGCTTGGCGGGCTGTGCAGTCGAGGTCGTAACGAATGACCAAGCAAGACAATCTATTCTCAGATGCGATGGCTTCATGATACGTTGTCCTGTGGGCGGGTGAGTTATTGCGCACTAAAACAGCTCTGTGGCCCGATTCTCTTTCCGAGGAGACGAATCGAAGACTACTATGTACAGTATGAGCCTACGAGAGAGAGAAAGAGCCCTTGATTTAAGAGGTTGAACAGCCCTGCGGGAACTCGGCGGCCCCTCCCTGGCGTCGATCCCTCCTTAAGCTCGCACGGCCATGCTCCACCAGAAGTCCATGACCGATCGGAAACAAATCCAACCCGCCCCTCCGCCAATTCTGCACTGGTGCAGTCCCGCTCATGTGTTTGACCGAATCATTCGGCGTGAAGTACTTACAACAAGAGGCAGGCAACGTTCCTCTCAACAAACTGGACACTAAATTATTGAGCTTTGATTTGTTGGCTGCGAAGAGAGGCAGTGTTGCGCTGACGGCGCTATGAGACTTCTTGTGATTGCCGGGCCAAGTGAATCGATAGTTTCAATGAGATTTCGAGATGACAGCCAACGATCTGCGTTAAAATCACGATGGACTGGGTGTACGCGTTGAACGGAGACACCCTTTCCGTGTTGAGTAAAGTTGGTCGGTGCAGATTCAAGAAGCAGCCTTCGAAAAGGAGTAAAAAGGGGATGGAACTCGGGGCACCCGGACCCCGGAGTTGCTGCAGGGATCGAACTGCTCCGGACTTGATCTCACATGCCTTCATGCAACTTTCGTGATCTTTTCTCGAGCCTTGACCCTTCTTCTCTGAGATGAGGCGCCCGAAAGGGATGTCTCTTGCGCCGTCCGTCCAGTGGTTTACGCTGTCAAGGGCAGTGTGTGGTCGAACTGTCCCATGCGATAGGTGGAGCGTTTCGCGTCACCAGCCAGGATAGCCCAGTACTATCCCAAATAAGGTCTAGTCGGTTTCAGGCTGACTGCTCCAGTCTCCAAGCGAATATTGATATGAGGCAAGGTGGTAGTATTTTGTGAGGACAGAGAAGACTTGGAGAGTCCTGACTCCGGGAACGCAGGACGGCCCGGAATCCGATAGCGATTGAGTAGTTATGCCATCCTTCATCGCCCAGGTTCAACTGGTTCGAGCGGCATATTTCGATAGAGGCCGAAGTTCCGAGTTATCTAGGCTCGGGGCAAGAACGGCACCGTTGCTGAGTAAAGTCTTCGGATTTAACTCACTGACATCCTTGGCAATCGCCGTCAAGTGTCCCGGGCTTTGGGTTCCAAACATCCAGCGATGCTGGAACCAGCATTGCAAGGCGTCGCCATCGCCACATTTGCTTAAGAATTTTGCTTGGGGACCGTCAGCTCCCGGGCTGACGCTCCCAGTCTCGAACGAGGCTGGAGGTTCCTCGTGGGAGATCCTGGTATGTCCGGTACAGCTGGATACACCATAAATTACCGGAAGAGCTGGAAGCCATACCAATCTATGCATTAGCCATCAAACCGTCTGGGCGCGAGACGAGGAATGGGACTTAATATTTGTGCTGAAGGCATCGTTGGATATGCTTGAGCAAAAGACTCAGATCTGTAGACAATTAGAAGCCAGCTTCAAGGGCGGGAAACCCCTTCAAGTCGTGACGTGTAGAGAGTCCTCTATTCAAAATACACCCTTGTGATGGATGATTATTGAGGGATGACTGAGATCAATCATCCATTGCTCTGGATGGCAGTAAGATTACCGTCAGTCCGGCGTTGCTGGCCAAGATTCGTTAGCATCAGCCGCGTACCGCATCGGTAAGTAATGATACACGTTCCCTCGCTCCCGCGCTCTCGAGGAGTGATTGTCAGCCGGAGCCCTCCAGAAATGCTGTCCTTAACAGTTCCTGCTCTCTCTCAATCTTTCGACTCTCCCCTCCGGCTCCCCCAAGCGCATGAGGATTGATCCTCAGGATACCTTTGTCTTCTATATAACTCTCATTTAGCATATTGATGGCTCATGGTGTTTAATTCCCTTCGTTTGTTCATCACTTTTTCTCGAGCCGCCATCTCCCGTGCTGTGTCTAGCATCATACACTGACCTTCGCCCTGACGTGCAAATCAATCGCCTTCTAACGTCTACCTGCTGCATCGAGTGCGATACGATTATATATTCTCCTGCGCACTCTCCATTCCCTTCCGACCGTGCGATTTCGCTACATTTCGCTACAAGTCGGTACACTGGCTGCGCTGCCGGGTTCGGCTCGTCGGAGCGGAGGCTCCTCCATATTCATACGATAGTTTCCCTGTTACATGCCCTCCAGGGGCAAGCCGTGATTCGAGATGGCTTCCGTCAACTTTGATTCAGAGGGACCAGAGCCTACACCCGGGGTTCGCCATGTCGATAGCAACATTACGATGCCAACGAAACGCCAACGATGGGCGACCACACGAGCCACGAACGCCGGGGGTATGCGGAAACGCGTTTCCATCATGGATCGATTTCACAAGCGCGCGGAAGCGAGGGATGAGAAGCGAAGGTCTACTGCGGCCAATTCAGCAACCGGGGCGCCGCCAGATCCGCTCCCAGAGGACCCAGGAAACAGGAAGGTCTATGTGAATGTCCCGCTTCCCGAATCCGAAAGGGACGAAGATGGCCATCCCATGGCAAATTATCCTCGAAACAAAGTTCGCACGGCCAAGTACACGCCTATAACTTTTGTCCCAAAGAACCTGTGGTTTCAGTTCCAAAACATTGCGAATATCTACTTCCTCTTCATCATCATTCTCAGTGTAAGTTCAGAAATTTTCTCCTATCGGTATCTTCTAGCTCTAGCAAGTCAAAAGCTAATGCGATTCCCATTACTAGTTCTTCTCTATTTTCGGTGTCGATAATCCCGCTCTGAATGCGGTCCCCTTGATTGTCATCGTTGTCGTGACGGCTGTGAAAGATGCCGTTGAGGACTGGCGTCGGACGGTACTAGACACGGAGTTGAACAACTCCCCCGTCTATCGCTTAGTCGACTGGACCAATGTCAATTCGGCCGAAGATAGTGTTTCATTATGGCGACGCTTCAAGAAAGCCTGCACTCGAGCAACCATCTGGACGTACCGGAGGCTCAGGGATATGATTCAGAAGAACAAGAAGAACCAGACGACTGATGTTGAACGACGCGCATCTTTCCTGACAACTGCCTCACCAAGAGCCTCTATGGAGTCGCAGCACGGCGACCGTGGGATGGACGACGCTATCCAGATGACTCCTGTGCCCTCTCCAGTGCCTGACGCGCGCTCAGATTGGCCACTTCCTTCACCAATTCATAACCAGTTTTTGCATCCAGATAAAGCGGCTCGCGATAGTATGGCCGCGTCTGAGGGATCAGCTGCAGGTCAACCGAGGAAAATCGGCAACGTCGTGGACAAGACAAAACAAGTAGTTGGCAAAGCCCGCTTCAAGCGCGACTACTGGAAAAGCTTACAAGTTGGTGATTTCGTCCGGCTGTACAACGGTGACCCAATTCCTGCGGATATTGTTGTGCTTTCAACATCAGACCCAGATGGTGCCTGCTATGTGGAAACGAAGAGTCTCGATGGCGAGACTAATCTGAAAGTCCGACATGCTCTCAACTGCGGGCGCCAAGTTCGACATGCGCGCGATTGCGAACGGGCAGAGTTTGTTGTTGAGAGCGAGGCCCCTCATCCTAACCTTTACGCTTACAACGGCGCCTTGCGGTGGGACCAGCGCGATCCTGACTACCCAGACGCTCCTCGAAAGGAAATGGTGGAACCAATAACAATCAACAATCTGCTTCTGCGTGGATGCTCTGTTCGCAATACCGAATGGGTTCTTGGCGTTGTCCTGTTCACTGGCGTTGAGACCAAGATCATGCTCAACTCTGGCGAGACGCCCAGTAAGAGACCACAACTTGCAAAGGATCTCAATTGGAATGTCATCTACAATTTCATTATCCTGTTCTTCATGTGTCTCGTTTCCGCCATTGTCAACGGTGTTGCGTGGGATTCTAACACTGGGTCTCTCGTGTACTTTGAAGAAGCCTATGGGAGCAGCCCGGCAGTTACTGGTATCATCACCTTCTGGGTTGCTTTGATTCTTTTCCAGAACTTGGTGCCAATCTCGCTCTACATCTCTCTCGAAATTGTCCGCACGGCTCAGGCTATTTTCATCCATAGTGACGTTTTCATGTATTATGACAAGCTCGGAATCGCTTGTATACCGAAAACTTGGAACATATCTGACGACGTCGGGCAAATCGAATACATATTCTCCGACAAAACTGGCACTTTGACGCAGAATGTCATGGACTTCAAGAAGTGTACTGTCAACGGCGTTTCGTACGGCGAAGCATTCACGGAAGCCCAAATCGGCATGGTTCGTCGTGAAGGAGGCGATGCTGACGCCGAAGCCGCAAGAGCTCGGGCAAAGATAGCTGCGGATAAAACGAGAATGATCCAGATGCTGCGAGCGAAGCACGACAATCCGTATTTACGCGACGAAAACCTTACATTCGTCTCACCGACCTATGTCGCAGATATGAACGGCCAATCTGGCGCAGCCCAAAAACAGGCCACCGAACATTTCATGCTTGCTCTTGCCCTGTGCCACTCGGTCATCACTGAGCACACACCTGGTGATCCTCCGCAAATTGAGTTCAGAGCACAGTCACCGGACGAGGCGGCCTTGGTTGGTACAGCTCGCGATTGCGGATTCACCCTCCTTGGAAGATCCAATGACGACCTCATTTTGAATGTCATGGGCGAGGAGCGTACCTATACCGTTCTGAACACACTCGAGTTCAATTCCACCAGAAAACGGATGAGTGCTATTGTGCGTATGCCTGATGGTAGCATCAGACTGTTCTGCAAGGGCGCGGACAGTATTATCTATTCACGTCTAGCCTCAGGAAAGCAACAGGAACTTCGGAGAGAAACAGCACAGCACCTGGAGATGTTCGCCCGTGAAGGTTTACGAACCCTATGTGTCGCGGACCGAAAGCTCTCCGAGGATGAGTATCGAACTTGGAGCAAGGAGCACGACATTGCAGCAGCGGCAATCACGGATCGCGAAGAGAAACTCGAAAACGTCGCTAGCTCGATTGAGCAAGAACTTATGCTCATCGGCGGCACTGCCATTGAGGACAAATTGCAAGATGGCGTGCCAGATACCATCTCTCTGTTGGCCGAGGCAGGTATCAAGCTGTGGGTCCTCACTGGTGACAAGGTTGAGACGGCCATTAACATTGGCTTCTCATGTAACCTTCTCACTAATGAAATGGAACTGATTGTCTTCAATATACCTGAAGATCAGCCACAGAGAGCGTCCCAGGAATTGGACAAGCACCTACAGACATTTGGACTCACTGGCTCTGACGAAGAGCTTATCGCTGCCCGAAAGGACCACTCACCTCCTGCCGCGACTCATGCTGTTGTGATTGATGGTGACACACTGAAAATAATGCTAACTGATGAAATGAAGCAGAGGTTCTTGCTTCTTTGCAAGCAATGCAAATCCGTCCTCTGCTGCCGAGTCAGCCCGGCTCAGAAGGCGGCCGTGGTGCGACTTGTGAAGGAGGGTCTCAATATCATGGCGCTTTCTATTGGTGATGGTGCAAATGATGTTGCTATGATCCAAGCGGCCGATGTTGGTGTTGGAATCATCGGAGAGGAAGGTAGACAAGCCGCCATGTCGGCAGATTATGCTATTGGACAGTTTCGGTTCTTGCAGCGCCTTGTGCTTGTTCATGGCCGGTACTCGTATAGACGCCTCGGTGAAACGACTGCAAACTTCTTCTACAAGGTAAGTAAACTGCTCTTAGTACTTCTGATTGCCAGGCTGACACTCTGGAAAGAACTTGGTTTGGACTTTCGCACTCTTCTGGTACTCGATCTACAACGACTTTGACGGCTCTTATCTGTTCGACTATACGTACATTGTCTTGGTGAACGTCGCGTTCACTTCGTTACCTGTCATTTTAATGGGTATCTTTGACCAAGATGTCGATGACAAAGTGTCGCTGGCCGTTCCGCAGTTGTACAAAAGAGGCATCGAACGGCTTGAATGGTCTCAGACAAAGTTTTGGTATGCGGCCACTTTGCTTTTCTCCTATCGTTTCACTAATTGGTGGCAGGCTGTATATGCTCGACGGCTTTTATCAGTCCGTCATGTGTTTCTATATGCCATATCTTCTGTATGAGCCAGCCAACTTCGTACATGCCAGCGGAAAAGACGTTAGCGATCGAAACCGCATGGGTATCCTTGTTGCGACCTGCGCTGTGATTGCCAGCAATACCTACATCATCATGAATACCTATAGGTGGGATTGGTTGACGGTATTGATCAATGTGATCAGCTCGTTGCTTATTTTCTTCTGGACCGGAGTTTATTCCTCTGTCATTACGTCAGCACAGTTCTACAAATCTGCTGCTCAGACGTATGGAGCCCTATCTTTCTGGGTGGTTCTTCTTGTGACGGTCATGATGTGTCTCCTCCCTCGGTTCACCGTCAAATCTATCCAAAAGGTGTTTTTCCCTCTCGACGTCGACATTATCCGCGAGCAAGTCACCCAAGGCAAATTCAAATACTTGGACGAACACGAAACATTCGTACCGAAGGCAGGTGGTTCTGCAACCGACTCCGCGGCTTCCTCAGACTTGGGAAAGCCAATTAATGCTGGTACGAAACAAAATCCGTTCTCAGATGATCAGCAGATTTATGCGGAATCCGTTGCCCCGACGGTTCGCACGCATAATCAACGCGGCCAGAATGGTAGTAATGGAACCACCTATGCATCTAGTCTCGACACAACCCAATATCCCCACCCCCAGGCGGTCGACTACGTGCGATCCTCAGCCGAACGAACGCGACATTCTTTTGATAGAGACCGAGCCAGCTATGACAGGGCCCGGCAAAGCTTCGACGCAGCAGAAGGATTCCCCTCAGCGAACAATCTAACGCGCGTGGAGTCGTCACTCACTACCGGTGCTCAACGACCGCAAAGTCCGCATAGTCCGCTAAGCAGCTTGCACGACCCTCCGTCATATCGCTCCTAAACCAATCTTGACTGTTCATATACTAACATCATGTGTTCGACGGCTCCTTGTCGGTTTCTTCCCAAAGCATCCATTCTGATCTGTTTCCTATATTTGTTTGACGAGTAATCGTGAGTTCTGATTCTACCCTTTTGATTCTGGTTTTCTTTTCGCGCCGTTGTCGATTCCCCGATAGAAGGCGTTCGGTATACACATATGGGCGGCTGGGTGCAACTTTACATTTCCTTATACCTATTCTTCCGACACCACAGTTTCCTCTTCTTCTTTCGTTCCCGCTTTCTTTTGATTGTGGCGTACAGCTTGACTTAACTCTTTCCTTCCCTGTACAAAAGCATTTGCGCGTGCATCTTCGCCTTGAGCTTCTACGCTACCGCACTTTCATAATTTCCTATACATAGTTTTTGAATGAGGGCGAGCCTTGTTACGTCGATGTTTTTCATGTTTGGACAAGAGAGGCGTAATTGAGGCGTTTATGTGCTCTGAATACCTACGGTGTCTGTTCGATTGTGGACAATAATACGAGCCTTGAAAGGATCATTGTGACTCCTCAAGTAGTTGCGTAGGCTCTTCTGAAGGCAAACCGCCCACTGGTGTGAGGCCGAGGCGCGTACCCGCGCGTAAAGTAGCTGCGTAGCGCGCCTCACCGCCTTCATCCAAATATCCAAGCCCAGTAGACGGGTCAATCATCAGATTATTTCTTTATTCAGCCACACCTCAACTCTCGATCACCTCTCATCACACTTCTGGAGGTGGACCGCCTCAGGCTCCTTGACGATTGACTAGTCAGCCTACTTTGCCAGCTGCTTCTTTACAATAACCGCACTCTCTACGCGCTGGCGGCGGCTAGTTGGCTCAGCGCCTATCGCATCACTTCCGAGTTACCGCTATGGTCAACTAAGTCTTTCTTTCAGATTCAACTTTGGTCGCTCCTTGCTGGCTTCTCAAGCTCTTCACTTCAACCTCCTGGGCGCACCTTCGTACCTCGTCTTGCCGCCGGAGGAATGTGGTGTGACCTTCTCTCGCCTGTGGAACCCAGGGTTATTACTAGATAACCATGGAATTTATGAACATTGTCGCGTAAGAAGCGCCTCTTTTTCCCATAACCCCCGTTGACCGTCTCATTACCCCATATTGAGCACTAATCACTGTTCTTCTTACAGGGAACTTCAGGCCGTCCCAACCGAAGTCCATATCCTCTGCCCGCGGCAACATGACGACGATTACGGAAGGTATGAAGACGAAAGCGAGCCGAACGACTCAGGCAAAAGTGTTACAGACCTGGTAGTGGAGGCGAAGACCCGCAGAGAAAAGTTTCTCTCTTGCATGCGCATCCTAGCGTACAGCGAGGAAGAAGTCGAGGATATTCAAAAATGGATCTGGCGGAAAATCGATGATACACTGGAAAAATGTGACCTTTGCATCAAGCATTATTACATGGGGAAGATATGGCTTGTCGAACACCTCAAGGAAAACTACGACGATGAGGACATTGAGAAGTTCTCGCGAATGCTGGACGAGTGGGACATCAAACGAATAACAAGGAATCTCGCGACGGCCACAGTGAAATTAAAAGAAGTGCCCCCGGAGCAGATTGGATTACACGTGCTGGACAGAGCCTCGCTGCTATCAATCTTTGAGACGCTGAGCTGTGAAGCTATGCTGCGAAGTGATAGCTTGCTGACGGAGCATTTTGACGAGCCTTTCAGGCTAATCCAGACAAAGCGCACTCTGAAGGTCTCCGATTACATCCCTGCTGTTATCCGCTTCCTTTTTGATTCCAACCAGAATCGCAGTTTCTGGGCTATTCATTCTTGGATGCGATATCAACGGCCCCCAACCACAGCGGAATTTGACTGGGCAATCAAAGAGGGGCTGCTTGATGCTTTACGGACAGCATCACAGCAACCAACGCAGCTTGCTATAATCCAACGTCTTTGGCGCGGCATGCAGCTCGTTGTCAAGCGATTAGATAAGGAGCAAGTGACGCACAACCTAAGGGCCCTAGAGATAGACCCTTGTCGTCTCTCTGTTGAGCATCTCGCAATACAGTCACCAGGCTTACGTTTCACGTTGAATACTATCCAAATCTTTCTCGAGAAGGCTCCAGGTGATTTCTGGGATGCGATGCAAACAATATCTCCCCAGGCTATTGTTGAGCTTGTCTTCTATAATCCCCAGCTTGATGCATTCCTAATGCAGGCCACCGAGGGCGAGCCTTATGAAAAGTCTGCAATGAAGGACATGCTATCCTGGGTTGGCCCATTTATGTTATCCTTGAAAGGAGCCCATCAGCCCACCGCCTGCAGGTCTCTTGTATATCAACTTATTGACAGACTACAGGATGCCCGCTTTCCAAACTTGGCAAGATATCACTGCTTTCATGTTGGCTTGGTTAGCTTACTCCAGACACTTCGCAGTTTCACGGACCATGAATCATCACGAGGCTCGGTTGGCCGTGTTGTTTTATCAGAAACTCTTGGTGTTCTAACAAAGTATATTAGAACACTTCTCAACCCTCCACAGTTCGCCGTGGAAGAAGGCCGGCAACACGATATCAAGTCCCTCTGCATGGACGTTATTCGGAACACATTAGCTCTCGAATGCCAGTCATTGAAAAGTGATTACGAGGTTATCCTAAAGCATAACTCCCTTCAACATGGTGTGAGCACTTACTCCTCTGCCATATGGGATGCGGTTATCTTACATCTCCATGAAGACAACTTGGGTCTCTCGAAATCAGCTTTGCTTGGTATTTTACCCCTAGTTGGTTTAGAGAAGTTTCCTACAAGAGGTGGAGCAAGCCCAGAAAAAACACATTTCAACACTATCTATGGCCACCTCACTCACATTTCCTGCCAAATTATCGAAAGACTTGCAGATTTCAAACCGGAACACCTTGATGCCCTTTTTAAGAGTCAGGATACTGGTAGCGCCCTAATATCTGCTCTTTTCGCGGCCGATCATAACACCTACCAGGCTGCTGTGGATCTTATAAAGAATGTCAGCGGCCAGTCTGCGCGGAGAGATGCAATTTCTCACCTGCTTCAATCGTTCTTTACTACAACGATGTATGGGCTTAGCTGGTCATTCCGACGAATTTCAAACATGAAGACCTTCGCTTCAGCACCAAGGATGATTCACACTGGAACGGACATTGTTGATATCCTCTGTGATAGCCAGACCGGGATGCTAAGGACTCGCAAACTCGCTGATCGCAAGGAGGCCCTCTCCCTCCAAAGACTCTGGGAATTTCTCTGGCAAGCCTTGACAACAATATTTGACCAAACTGAATCCTGGCATCAACGAGGAAATGATAAATCAGTAATGTTGGAGTTTTGCCGTGACAGTATCCAATTCGCCGACCTCCTGTTCAGTCAGTATGGAGTCTTCCTAAGTGCCGTTGTTGATGCAGATCCCACACAAGAAGCTGCTGCTCGTGAAAACTTCATCAAATCCCCAACATCAACGATGAGCGGGATGGTCAAGTGGTTAAGGCTCAAGGACGAATATCTAGCAACAACACTGGTTGGACTTGTTTCCAGAATTCTTCGGCGTCTAGGCGAACTCAGCGTCACAACTGTGAAAGACGACGCTCTAAGCACGATTGAGGGTGTGGCTGTAAAGTCCACCATCAAGACAATCCTTACTCCGCGGGAAAAAGCTGAACTTGTGAGAGCATTAGAGGCTTATTATAAGAAACCAGTTGTAACTGCGTCCACCGCCAGTCTCAAGAAGCAGAGCACAATTACCGCGTTTACTAAACCAGTCGAGTCTTCGGTTTCGCCCAGCCCTTCAAGGGCTACAGACGAGTTTGAGGAAAGCGACGTTGCGGATGATGTCTTGTTACAACTTTCGCGGTCTGTTGAGTTGAACAAGGAGAGAATCGCGGCAATCGATGCAAAGAAACGGGCTGACAGGCCTGTGTCCAAGGCGCTTCCTTCAATTCCCAAGCCAACTCCAGCACCATTGAAACCAAATTTCTCTGTCCAGTCCTTCCGAGAAAGACGTGAAAAGGAGAAGGAGGCCAAAAAGAAGCGTGATCTGGCTGAGCTGGCGCGCTTGAAAAGGGGCGCTCCAGCCCTCGGCGTTGCCGAGCAAACTGCACAGCAAGGTTCAGCGATCCTTGGACTTGGGGTAAAGGGCAAAGATCACTCCCCCGCTGATAGCATGATGGTCTCATCTGGTTCCGAGTCAGAATCCGAAAGTGAAGACGAGCTTGACAGGGAGCTTTTTGGCTCTCGAGGAACTTCAAAACCAGACGCCGTGAAGGCTTATGAGGACAGCAAGAAGAAGTCCCTAAAGATCCAGGGCCCTGTCAAGAAGATCAAGCAGGTGCGGTCCGCGAAAGATATGCGGGCCAGGTTAGCTCCGGATCTATCAACATTACATCGGACTATTCTTGCTTGGGATTTCTTTGCAGGTGGTGACCTGCCTCCCAACTCAGGCCGTACTGATTATAGCCTGGTCTCCAACGCCTTTAGGGATCCTATCGAGTACCAGAGGACATTCGAGCCTCTCCTTATTCTTGAGGCCTGGCAGGGCTTCCAGTCTGCGAAAGAAGAAGGCTCGTTCAGAACCTTTGAGATCAAGGTCGCAACGCGTCTGTCTGTGGATTCGTTCATCGAAGTGAGCACTGTGTTACCAGGTTCTGAAGTCAAAGACCTAGGTATCGGCGAGGCAGACATAGTGCTACTTTCGAAGGCAAATTCCCCTGCCACAAATTCGTCGGCACCTCACTGCCTCGCCCGAGTTGCTAGCATCAACAGGAAGAAGGGCAACGTCGAGATATCATACAGGGTAAACCCCGGCAGTGCCTTCATCAATTCGCTCTCTCCTGGTACAACCATCTGGGGAGCAAAGATCACATCTTTAACTCCTTTAGAGCGTGAATTCGGTGCTCTCATGGCTCTTCAGTACTATGATCTCTGCGAAGAAATCATCAAAGCCAAACCATCCCCAATCCTCAATTACTCAGACGCCAGCCTCAAGCCTATCGCGGATAATTACAATGTGAATCCCGCCCAAGCAAAGGCCATCAAGTCTGCCATGGACAACGATGCTTTCACCCTAATCCAGGGTCCTCCTGGATCTGGAAAGACGAAAACAATCGTTGCACTTGTGGGTGCGCTCCTGACCAACTCCCTTGGCGCAGACCAAGGAGTCTCGATCACACGCCCAACCGCCGGAGGGCGGCCACCAGCAAGGGCTACGACTTCAAAAAAGCTTCTTGTATGTGCGCCAAGTAACGCTGCTGTCGATGAATTGGTTATGCGATTCAAGGAGGGCGTGAGGACGATACACGGCCGCAACGAGAAATTATCAGTCATTCGTTTGGGAAGATCTGATGCCATCAACACGAATGTCCTGGATGTGACTTTGGATGAGCTTGTGAATGCTAGACTAAGCGGATCTTCACGCAAGGAGGGCGAAGTAGATTTACAGAAGATCTACATGGAACACAAGGCGGCCGATACTGCGTTCAAGGAGACCCGATCCAAAATGGATCAATGCAGGGCACAAGGGCTCCCAGTGCCGCAAGAGCTTGAGCGAGAGTTTGATCTACTTAAAAAGACGAAGACGCAATTGAGTCAGCAGATTGACAACGCAAGAGACAAAAATCACTCCGCTGCTCGTGATGCGGACTTGAATCGACGACGCATTCAACAGGAGATTATCAACGGAGCTCATGTTATCTGCGCTACCCTTAGTGGCAGTGGACACGAGATGTTCCAGAACCTCAGCATCGAGTTCGAGACCGTTGTCATTGACGAGGCAGCTCAGTCAATCGAGTTGAGCGCCCTGATTCCTCTCAAATATGGCTGCTCCAAGTGTATCCTCGTTGGGGATCCCAAGCAGTTGCCTCCTACTGTCCTCTCGAAAGTCGCCTCCAAGTATCAATACGAGCAGAGTCTGTTCGTCCGGATGCAAGCAAACCACCCAAGAGACGTCCATCTGCTTGATATCCAGTATCGTATGCACCCGGAAATCAGCATGTTCCCTCGAACAGCGTTCTATGATGGCAGACTACAGGATGGTCCTGACATGGTTAAGCTCCGTACTCGCCCTTGGCACAACAGCGAACTCCTCAGCCCATATCGGTTCTTCGATGTTCAAGGTATGAGCCAAAGCTCCGCCCGCCATTCCTTAGTAAACATAGCGGAACTGGAAGTTGCGATGCAGCTCTACGAGCGCCTCCTCACGGATTTCCGGGAATACGACTTCAGCCGCAAGATTGGTATCATTACGCCGTACAAGGGTCAGCTGCGAGAATTGAAGAGTCGATTTGCTAGCAAATATGGAAACGCCATTTTCAACATGATCGACTTTAACACCACGGACGCTTTCCAGGGTAGAGAAAGCGAAGTTATCATCTTCTCTTGCGTCAGAGCATCCAACAGAGGCATAGGTTTCTTGTCAGATATCCGGCGCATGAACGTTGGTCTGACCCGTGCCAAATCCTCGCTATGGGTTCTCGGTAATTCACAATCTCTAGTCCAGGGAGAATTCTGGAATGGTCTAATAAAGGATGCTCGCCGGAGAAACGTGTATACTGATGGTGAAATTCTCAAAATCCTTCGAAAGCCTCAATTCACTGGTTATAAGAATGTGGAGATGGCAGATGCTGACGCGCCGGAGCCCCCGATGCCATCAAGATCTGCATCCGCGTCAGCCACATCTGTTCCTCGACCGTCCTCGGCATCTACTGCTACCCTGCTGTCTGAATCTTCTCTTCCAGCAAGTGCGTCTGGAAATGAGGCACAGCTTGGACAACAAACCCTACCCAGTGGCCCGTCAGGCGGACCCAATGGCTTGGACGACAGGCGCAATTGCGGGATTTGCGGAAGCTTCGCCCATATGACGCACAATTGTGATAACGAGGAGTCGAAAGAGATGGCGCGAGGCACTTGTTTTAGGTGTGGGGAGGCAGGGCATACAAAGTTCAACTGCAATGCAGAACGCTGCACGGAGTGTGGACAAACTGGGCACGTTGCGAACAGTTGCCAGTCTACAACGGTCTTGTCAAAGCAGGAAAAGAAACAAATTGCGCGCCAGGAACTCATGCACTCCCGAAACATGAAGGAGCGAGCAGAAAAGCAGCGGCAAAGGCAGCTAGGTGGTCATGATCCAAAAGTGCCGGTTATCCAAGTCAGCACGGATACACCCAAGGGTGAAAAGCATGACGGTCCTGGCAAGCGCAAGCGCACCGACTCTCCTGCGTCCGACGGCTCCAAGGCTTCAAGACCGCGCACTTCCGATCAGAACATGCCACCGGCCCCAAAGAATGCACCAACCGGGCCGAAGAATCAACGGCGTAAGATTGATGCCAATGTCCCGCCGCCAAGCTCCGAGGTTAGTCAATATGTTCTGTGTCTATATATGCAGTCCGCATGCAGGTCAACTAACGCCTACTGTCATAGAACCTGGTGAAACCCTCGCGCGATGGGCCAGCGTACGCTCCGATAAACAGCAATAATAAAACCATGGGCGGGCCGCAGGGAAGCTCAGGTCGAGCAAATGTAAGTCCAACAATCACAGTTATTTCAAGTATGCTCTACCACGGGAAGCCTACTCACCGACCTGCTTCTCATAGCCTCATCGCCCACCGAACCGACCAGGCAATGGCCCCCGGCCGCCGCCGCCGATACGGAAAAAGAAAGACGCCGATCCCTTCATTCGTCCAAAGCGCCGATAGACCATAACGTACTTTATTCGATCATCTATACACGAAGCATACATACCTGGCGTTAGGGATTCACTTTTTAGACATGGTTATGGAGGTAGAAAGGGGAGGCGATCTTCATGTGCATATACCCGCTGCTTTGAAAACCAAACCAAGTTCCCACCGCGTAGATACAACACGTAATTGGTATAACTCCGACGCAGCTTGGGCATGGGATAAATCCTTCGAAGACTCAAGAGTCCCCAGAGACGGAGACTGATGACTACTCAGCAGCCTCAGCTGCGACGAGCCCACAGCGAATCGATGAAAAATGCAATCAGCACCATGACTGGGGGAACACGAGAACACAAGAATTATTGCTGCATGATGATGTTGGTGACAATTATTGACATCAGCGATGTATGCATTTTCATCAGCCAGTAGTGATCTGCTGCTCGGAGGAGGCTTGTTCTGCTGGCTCTATTTTCGAGCAGCGCTATCCTCAATTATTGACGGCGCAGTTTAGTCTCAATTTTGGACATGCTGTTTCCTCTTCATTGCAGGGCACCGAACGAAGTGGGTTGGCATCATCATCATCCTTCAGGCAACCAGAGCATATGTATCACAGTACTCTGTGCAGTTTGGACAGCGTGAGGAAACCAGCAGCACTGTACAGCACTCCAGCAGCTCGTCCCACTGGTTCTGTTTGTGCTTATCAGGGCACCAGGTATTCTTGTGCTTGGACAGCTCTATTAGAACCGATAGCGTGGGCGACTGTTGCAGCAGTCGCCATTCCATATTGTTCTAGTGGTCATCTTCTATTATTGTTTCTCCTTTTTGAGCTTATTGAAGATGACATCGAGTCAGTCTGATCATTGAGCCTGTTGACGGTTGAGTTGGAGTGGATGATGTGACTTTGGTGGCTTTGTGACCTGTCAAAAGCCGCATCTCTTTTTCTTTCTCTCTTTCTCCCCCGACCCTCCTCCACCTCCTCATCGCTCCACTCCGCCAGTGTATCCATGATCCTGGGATCCACCCCGCCGGGTTTGCTCTCCTGACTGTGCATCTGTCACATTGATGAGCTTTCCCGCCTGATCTGCAACTATCCCATTGGCGTCAGCGTGGATGTTTGCCCATTTTCCCCTCTGGCAGGCCGGTCTGGTCTCGACTCTCAGCCATTCAGCTTTCTCAATAATGCCCAGCAATCTCAGCTTTTGCCCCTCCTCCTCCCGTACTACTGTTGTCCTCCCTCTTTGGCCTGATCCACTGATGATCCCTCGTCTGCTCGCGCCGTTATTTTCGCTTTGGGGAGATCCTTTCTTTCAGCCTCGAGTTGCCAGAATGAGGCTACTGTGTACCGCGAACGCTAGAGAGGGGGCGAGCCATTGAGAATCCATCGGGTTTCGTCGTCACCTGGTCGCGGATCGAGACAATATCGGTCCTCGTGCCTGACATCCCTTGCCTCAAATCAGCCAGGTCCCAGGAACGCCCATGTCTTTAAGAAATTGCGCTGGGCGAGCTCGAGATAAGAGTTACACCGGTGCTGATCCAGACCTGTGGGTTCAGCATTTGATGGAGAAGTTGCGTCCAATAGGGCTCCTGGTGCATCGGGCGGTTCCAGCTCTTTCTTTGAATCTTGCGTCGGCCGAAGAACGGGGCGTGCCAGGACACTGGCAACAATCTGAGGTGGTGAAGCTTCTTTCCGATATGGATCATGCTGACTCGGGACAGGGTGAATGATGAATTAAGCCGGATGACTGATGTTTGTATTTTAGAATCGGCAATCTTTCTACGATCCTATTCGGCCTATACAAGCAAAGCAATACGATTCGAGCATCCAAAACGCCCAAGACCTCTATCAAATCCCTCCGGGGTATTTGCGACGCCAAAATCCTGGCGACCGCTCACCCGAGACAGGAGTGATCAGAGTCGCCTCCAACGTCTCTTCAGTCCTTTTTTTTTTTTGCACCATGCAAGCTACGAGACTAACTTCCCTTTCAAGAGTTTGATTGACCCACTGGCCGTGCATACTAATGCATTCTTTGGTTAGCTGCACTTTTTTCTTGACTTATGAACTGCTCCGACGGAGGAATAGCTCTGTTTAGGTCCAACTCTATCTTCCAATTATCGAGAACGAGTCGTGGGCCTCATTTGACGCTGCATGCATGCATCAATTTGACGAAAGATATTTCCGAAGAAAAAAAAGACTTTGACAGCTCGCGATTTTCAGGCTGTCCTTCTTAAGCCCGAACGAACCTCGATTTTCTCTCCGAGCGTTTCCTTTCTTTTCCTCTTGGATGGAGTATCAGTTCTCAAAGTTCGGAACCCTATACCCTTTGCTAGCTGTTTGTAGATACCGACGTCCTCAATACGCAATTAGCAACTTGGCCTCGCCTTTTTTTCATGTTCGATACTCTTTTCAGCTGTTTTAGCCGTTTACATGACTTCATGACCTGATCAACTTTTGCAAACGACCCTTCCTTTTCCAAGATTCACGGGAAGCACTTGCATGCGATTGTTTCTGAATTCTCGATTCGAGCAAACGCTAGCCCCCACGGATAGCAGTGAATGCTGAGCTCCTTTCGTCCTCCAGACATCGCAAACGCTGCTGTATTTTACCAGTGGCTCGGGCCCTAGGTGCAAATCCTTATGCAGGAGTTCAGCGAGCTCGACCGCACCCTCGTTGCGGAGGCGCCCACTATCCCAACGTACCGGCCCAGTTCACAATCTTCCAAACGGACATACACCATGTCTGCCTTGGCGCCAAAGTATCAACAATATCTGTCAATGGCAGACGAGGTGCAGGCCACAAATAAGTCCCATGCGCGGCCAAGCAACGAGAATGTCAACGACATCTTTCGATATCTTCAGACTCACGCATCCTCGCAAGGAAATCCACAGACAACGGGAGCTCGAGATATGATCAAAGCCGGACAGAGACGCCTTAAGTTGGCCCTTCGCACTAACAAGAAGGTAACTGATTCGAAAGCCAAATCGGACGATGCTGCTCGCCAGTGGGCGGCACTTCAGCAGGAAGGTGCCTTTCCCAGGTCTCGATACCGGAAACCTGAACAGAAGCCCGAACCGAACAAGAATGCTCCCTCGATAACTTCGAACTCCAAGTCCGTCTCTGACCTCAGCTTCAGGTCGAACTCAAAGCGAGACGTCGAAACTATGGGCCGGCCATGGTTGAACAACCCACTGGAGAGCAGGGATGAACCAGGTTCGAAAGGGAGTAGCAGTCAGTTGTCATCGCTCGATCTTCATGACCTTGCTTCGTTTGTTGAGGCAGCTGTGAATTTCTCTTCCGAGTTCGACGACTCCAACCCTCCTCCCTATCAGCCTTTGACGGAACAACTTTCTAAGGCTACGGACGGTGCCACGCCTCTTCTTGACCTCAATCTACGTTCTGATGCGCCTCATACGTCGAATTCCAGTACCACTACTGCACGGAGCTCGGAGGATGTCAGCCCCAACGGCAGCCATGAGCTACCTAGAACTCAGTTCAATGGTCTGACTCAGTCAAGGACACCGAGCGGTCAGCAAAACGTGAGCTTGAAGCGCCATATGAATAGCATCCGCCTTGCGAAGGTCGCTAATCTCAGACAGTCTGGCAACCAACATCTTGCCGAACTCAGATCATCCGGGGATATGAGCATCCCCTCGAGACCGCCACGAACCAGCTCGTCAACCAGCTCCAAGGGCTCCTCGGCACCGCCAACGCCAGTTTTAAAATTGTTCCCGGACACCATGTCTCCGCGTATGTCGAGCAAAGGGGCTCTGCGTGTTCCAACCGGCCGGTCTCCGACGCCTTCCCAATCGTTTCCGCAACCACCAGTACCTCAGAAGACCAACACCTTAGCTGCTGTCATTGAACCTGGAAACCGGGATTCGATCAACTCATCTAGCAGTCTCTCCAAGATAGAGGAGTATGCTGCAGGCCCGCGCGAGGAGAATCCACGTATCTCTGTTGATCCAGAGAGGCGTCCAGAAAACAATGTTGACAGCGAAGAGGCCCAGGCCAGACAAACGAAACATTCCCGTCGGCATTCAACATTACCTCCGGACGCTATCGATGCCTTTCCCATTCCCGCACCTTTCAGACCATTGCCGACAGTTCCGGAACCATCTTCACGGACTCAAGCACGTGAGACTCAAAGGCCATCAGTTGACCCCTCATCAGATCAGACGGACTCGACACGGCGGGAGCCTGAACTGCAAGCCAAGGCACCTCCGGACATCAGTGTCTCTACGCCAAGTAGTCTCGGAAACATCCAAACTTCGTCGATAGGCCGTGCTTCGCCGTTTCCAAGACTCATGGCAGAGGAGACGGATCCATCGACGGTACAGGATGCTGCCGAAGCAGCTAGACTACTTCAACCTCGACGCAGTTCGCTCGGAAAAGCAGGACGAAGTCGTGAAGAAAAGGTCCGTTCATTAATTTTCAGGGACCTCGCCGCGAGTCGTTACAAGAAGTGCTCGGGGAAGACTCAATTGACCGGGTCGCCACCAAGCGAGGCTCAGGGGCTTCAGGTGTCGTCGTCACATAGAATTGAAGCAACATCCACACTCAGGGCCCATCGACAATACCAGAGAAAGATTTCGCCCGGCCCTTCCTCGCCGCCCCCTAATTCTCCTCCCCCATCAGACCCGCCCCGACATACTCTCCAGGGCCGTCGCTATGGCATAACCGCAACTAGCACAATGGCCGCCACAATTGAGAATTTCGAGAACCTATCGCGCCCTGCCCAGGATCGAAATGGCCGTGTCAGCCGAAAGACCAGTGTACGAGGCGCTGAACCGAAGCCTGGCAGACGATCCATGGAACAGAATACTTACGACGAGCGAGCCGAAACTCCTCTACCATCTTCGGACGATGAAGGCCCAACAGGAGGCTTTTACTGGAAACCACCACAAAAGGCTGCTAAGAGTCGGCGACCAAGGCCAGCACCTATTCTAATTGACGAGCCTTCTCCACCAAGGGGACGAACGTTGAAGAAACGCCATGATTCGGGGCGTTTGAGTCCACCAACGCCGCAAGGCCATAAAAACCGTGCCTCAGAGAGGTCCAACCACGCCCATCCTGCTCCGCTTAACCACCACAGTCATAAGGCCCACAGCTACTACGCCACAGAGCCCAAGCCAAATCCTTCGCTTGAAGGACGCATCGAGCACCTCGAGCGGCAGAACAAGATCCTTCAGGCCGCTCTCCTCGCAGCTCTAGATGTGGGGGTCAAGCAGGATCTATCTAGTTTATTAGGGGCATCAGCAGCCTCAATGTCGACGAACGTCACACCTCCGCTCACAGGCAGGTCTTTTTCAACCACAACAAACACCTCCACCTCTGAAGCCCAGTCAACAGGGCAAGAGAGCCGTGGACATACTGACAAAGCCTCATACCGTCCAGAAAGCTGGGTCACAAGTTCCGATTCATTGAGAAAGGACATTTACGAAAGCGAGGACGGTGCCGATGTCAGGGATCTGGAGGAGATGATGGATGACTTTGACCTTGACTGGCTCTCGGATCAATCCAGCATGATGTGCTAGAAATAACGCGCTCTAACATTCTCTCGCGAGTTTCGGGGATTATTTCACATTCGCTATAGATCTTTTTTTCCTCTGTTCTGCATTATGCATGTTGCATTTGGGATCCCGGCTATGATATCCTTGCCACACATACCATACGATCTAGTCTCCTTCCTGTTTGGTCATCACTCGCTCCGTTCTATCTTTTAATAGTGTTTTCTTATCCTCAATCGATTGGAGACGCTCCCATCCAATTCGGAGTGTCCATTCGCTATGTACATAGATCGTTTGACTCGGCGAAAACGCCGTACGTCCTGGCGCATCGACTTTGTTTTCACCGTAGTCTCATTTTCAATCTCAACTGTCCTCGTATTCTCTGAAAGTAAAGAAGAGTGAAGGAACCAGAAATTGTCGTCCATCCGCGAGAGCATGGCATGCAACAGATGCTTAGTCATCTGTGTTTGTTCATGATGTTTAGTTAGTTAACTAACAAACTTACTAGTTAACTAATTGTTGAGCTTTGTCGACAACAAACAAATACCTTCAATCACAACGCTTCAAATGCTTACCCCGGCTCCTTGCCATACTCGACCCTAAATCACTCCGAGTTCTTGTTCCAGTGTTCTGAGAAGACTCCAATCCGCGTGGCACCACCAGAATAATTCCCGACTCGGCTTCACCTAAGCTCCCCGCAACAGCACAACTCAACATGGCGAGCTCAACAACAGTAAGCTCCCTTCTCCCACTCGCCGCACCCGGCCCTCTCATCGCTGTTGACAGGTACATACTGATGCAATACACCCACTAGTCCCCTCAGATCCCCCAACACGTCTCTGCGCTCCTCTCCCACCTCACCTCCCGGCCCGGCGTGCAATCAACCCTCATCCTCTCGCGTAAAGACGGCTCCATAATCCAGATCACCGGCCTCCTGGCCCCGCCGAAACGTACAAGAAGCGAAACCTCACCGCTGACCGCCGTATCATCTGCCGCAGGCACAGAAGACACCCTCACCACCCCGAGCGCTACACCGACTACATCCTCGCCCTCCGCTGAACCGACGCAACATTCCCCAACACAAACGCAAACACAATCACAGCAGAGACCACCCTACCAGCCCTCCCAACCTGAGGCTCTCGCAGCACATATCTTCGCCTTTGTATCCAGTGCGTCCAATTTGAGTCTGATTCTCTCGAATCCGGTGGGAGAGAGTGGGGGTAAGGGCTCCGAGAGCGGGTTTGCGAAGGTGAACGGCGCTGGGAATGGTGGTGGATTCGCAAGTGCGGGTACGGGGACTGGTCGAGAAGACGCGGAGGCGGATGGTGGGGAGGGCCAGGACGACGACGAGGTGAAGTTACTCCGGCTACGGACGAAGAAGCATGAGATTGTAGTGGTTCCGGATAAGAAGTACTTGCTTTGCGTTGTGCATGATGCTTCAGCTGGGGCGACGGGTGCGGCGATGGCGGCCGGAGGTGGTGGGAGGCTAGGGAGGTAGTATATCACTACTGTATACCCTCGGGGCGCCTTCGGTGCGTGTTCGAGGAGGAGAGTATGACGCCTATGGTTCTTTTCTGCCCCGATCTGGCTATTTGCGCGGGATATACCCGGTTGGAAGGAGGGTTCCTTTTATGTGTTTATAATGATGAGAGGGCTTTTCATAGGGCTCTGCATATAATCTATTGAGCGGATATTCATGTTTGTTGGCCTACAACGAAGCCTTGGGGGGATGAGAAATATCGATATAGGGTGGTTCTACCTACTAGATTTCTCCTACCGAGTACACGAAGGAGCTCCTCAACCGTATTAATCATGAATTTGGAATTATTGTAGAGCTTTCCCAAGCTACCTTGCGGGTTGGATACAGCCGCCGCTCACTTCCAATTCAACCGAAGAGTTTTATGTCGTCTGGAGCCGTTTTGTCCCTGGTAAGACCGAAATATATAGTTGCGTAGCTTCGCAGTTGACAGAGCCAACCGGCGCCAGCTTGCTTCAAAGGGAAAACAGTGTATGATTACTAGATAAGGAATGTACTGAGCAAGTGGATGTCACATATCTAAGAGACTCTGCAAATCAACGAAGTATCGCTCATGTACAGAGTACTGTACAAGTTATACTTAGGGGCATAAATGTTGTAGCCTGAGGCTACCGAAAGAGCCGGAGGTCAAAGTATCACGTGGAATTATGCTAAATTATGGAGGCATCCACTCATCATGGCCTCATAATGCATGGCTAGTCACCTTCCTAATGCGGAGAGCCACTACTCTGCATCCGGTACGTGGTCCGGCAAAAACCTCTTACGAAATCGATTCCTCCCTGGCCGCGTGGATGATGCTCTCACCTCTGTGACTGTCCTCTCCTAGGTAGATGACGAGGCCCTTGATAATGGTGCATGGTTACTGTGTACCTTTGTCTCTCGAATTTTCCGTCGCCGAGAGTTCGAAGCGTACAAGGTTCACAAAGCCTCGCGGGGAAGGCCAGCAGGTGATCCATCACGATTGGGGAAAAGCAGAAATGGGCAACGTCTCATTGGGCAAGTGAGACATGACTCAAAGTACGTGGGGCACGGGTAAAGTAGGGAATTTCTTCAGGTGTTCGCACTGTAAAGGTTTCTCCAACTCCGAGGCCAAGCCCTGTGGCAGTGGCAGAGGGAGTGTGAGTGAAGCCTAAGGCCTTGGGCTATTCTTAGGATATCGCCTGTCCTCAGCTACCTGCGTAGCCTTGCTCCGCCTGGCTCGCGGCTGCGCGACTTTAATTATAGAGAAAGAAAAAGAATTCAGTGATGTTGTGGTGCGATACGAGCTCAAAGTTAGTCGTGAGTTTCATGTTGTTGCCGGTTGAACCGCGACACAACACCGCGCAATAATAATAGGCTCGTGGAAGGGCTACAGTGGCGGTTAGTATGACACTCGTGATTACGAATGGTCAAAGATCGGAGACGGAATGGGAGGATAGACCAAGCGCTGACTCAGGTCAAGCGCCCTGCAAAAGCTCTTTCCAGACAGCCTTCGATTGGATGGAAGCCAAGCCATCTGGAAGATGCTGCCTGCTGGTTCCACAGCCAGTTGTCAGTCATTTGATTTTGTTCTGCGGGCAACCGGGTTCCGAGTCTCGGTGTTGGAGTCTGGCTTCTTGTGATATCCTCGGCGATGGGGACTCTGCGACGGCAAAGATAAGGGCAGAATGGAGTATCAAGGCCGTGACAACGAAACTCGATATCCTCGACTTTCAGACAACCTGCCCAGATGAGCTCAAAGTTCACGGGTAGGTCAAGGTGGCGTGGCTGGCAAATCCATTCGCGGTGGTTGGCTGACCACCGAAATTTTCTTTCGTTTGGGCCGTCACCCATCCACATCACCGGCCAACGCAGTGAATCCAACTGGATGGCCGCTTCCAGGTGCTTGAACGGATTTATGGGTGTTCATGCCATCCGGTCCTCTCATCGAATGACGGACGTTCGGCTGGAGACTGGGTTGCCCTCTTCGGATTTACACACATGCGCGTCCAACCATGATCGCATCTTGCTGTCCATCCCAACTAGCCGATATCGCGCTACTGCTAGTCTGATTAAAGTATGGCAGTGGAAGTCAAGTCGAATGCCCCCAGAACTGATTACGGAGTATAGAGAGTCGAGGCGGGCGTTAAATCTATGACGTTTGGGGTAGGTAGGGGTGTCCAGCCTCAATTGTCTCCTCCGTACAGACTCCATCCCTATCTCTTGATATCTGTCAGGAGCCAACGGTTATCGTGATAGGACTATCTTGACAGCTCAAAAGACCAACTCGGAGACCAGGGACAAAAGCGAGGAACAGAACCAAGGAGCAAAAAACGCCGTGGGGTTGGGTGGCAGGGGTGAGCCGTCCAGGTAGAAAGCAGAAATTAGGTAGCTTGAGGAGGGTATGAGGTTATCGAAAATAATCGCCGAATTATGAGGTATAGCAGGGCATAATTATAGAAAAGAAAAATCGAGAAACTGCCCAAGTCAGGCTGTGTCGAGGCCGGATGGAGGTGAAGACGAAAGAGTCATCGATATCCGCACCCGTCAGAGTGAGTGAGCGACTGCCACTGCCTCGTCTTCCGATCCCAGAGTCCCCTTCTCTTCCCCTTCTTTCCTCAGGGCTGACCCGACTCCTCCCTCTTGCCCTTCTATCCTTTGTCGACTTTAACTTCTATATCGCCTTTCTCATTTCCTCTTGCTACTACTCTCGATGATTTATTTGCTTGTCTAGCCCTCTTGCTTTCCTCTTTTCTTTCGGTGGGTTTTTTTTGCCTTCTTGGTGGTCCCTGCATCCGCGCTCTCCCTTCCAGTTCCGCCACTCTTGCCACTGGCCACACGGTGAGTAACTCTCTGCTCAGGACTGTCTTGCAAATCCTCTCTTCTTATTGTTCCTTCATTTGGTGCTACAAGTTGTCCTTTCCACTTTCTTCTGCCTGACCCAAGCATCATACGTCGTCTTTGGTCTGGGACTGGGCCCCGAAGTTAGTCATTTGGCTTGGACTCCGCCGCTCTCCTCCCAGTATAGTCACCAGACGGCGGACCCTTGGTTTCTCCCCGTTCGCCATTCAAGTGGGAGTCATAAAACAGGCGCCAGAGGATCCATAAAGGCCAGAGCTCTCTTTGCTGACTAGTTCTCTCTCACATCAGCCTACACGAGCCTCATAACGACTGTTTCTCTCCCTCATCATCGTCCCTTGATCTCGTGTTTGCCTCCCGATTAGACCGTTGACTGCCTGGACAAGCGCCGGACGACCTCGTACCTGCCTGCTTGCCCTTGTCGGTCCGCCGTTCTATCGGCCCCCTTCTATACCTTCAGTTCGCCTCTCGGTCTCAAAATGTACCCTGTTGCCTCAAAAACTACTGTTCCGGTCACCTGTATTGCAGAATCCATTACCCCAGATCATCGAGTCCTCGCTGGCATGATTGTTGCCTCTTACTGAGTCATCTCCTATACAACATCTGTCTTTGAAGAGTCACGTCAGCCATACTTGACGTGTGTCTCTGCCCTCTCGACATTCGGCTTGATCTATTTGGACTCTACACCTGGTGACCGGAACATTAGACGGTGACTCTTACCTTTCCTTCCTTTGCCACGTTATCCCCCTTCGTCACTACTTTCCGACTATACCTACCTACCCTAACCGCCTCGACCTCTGTTGGATGACACTACATCCAACTTCCTAACCCATACTACCTCGATACTTTACTTCAAACTGGAGTATCATCGCTCTTAGGCTCGCCGTCGCCTGCGAAATCAAGACGGTTCCTTGTCTTATCGCTTCTCGTTCACGGATAATTGCACAACGGTTTTTTGACAAACTCACGGTTACACTATATCACCACATCGCCTTCTTCTATATTCGAACAAACTGTTGATCATACGGCTACGAAACACATTCGGAATACTCTTGACATAACCACACTTGTTTGAGAGTGTTTTAGGTCGCGAGACGATACAGTACATCGGATATGACAGGGATCGACGTGTTTGGTTTGAGGGACTCAAACCAAGGCATCCCATTTAAGGCGTCTTGTCCGCACCCATATGCCTCATCGATCTCTTCTTCGGCCTCCTCCTCCTCTTCCTCGGTCTTCTCACTAGATGCGGTCTCCACTCAAAGTTCTATCTCGTCGACGTCGACAAGCTCTGTTGATGTGATCTGGGAGAATGAAAGTGAATACCATGCCGGAGGTAGGGGACTAGGTGCCACTGGTGGTGTGCGTGGTTCTCTTAGGGGGACTGCCCCCAAAGCTGCTGATGCCGCTGTTCCGGCGGAGTTGCGTAAGCACCCCCGACGCACAAGCAGTGGTCTGCAGTCCAGCGGCGTATCATGTACGCGCCCTCCGCCATGCCTTCTACGGCAATCTGAGCGGAAGGTCAACTTTGTTGACAATCTTGTCGGTGAGTACGGAATGCAAATAATCCCGGTTTGGAGTTTCGGAGTTTTGTTGCTAAGATGCTTTTTTTCTTTTTCTATCAAGACACTGCGTCCTTGATCGTCGAAATTATTTGGCCTTTGTCCGCGGTATCACTTCGAAGTGATTCGACCACTGGATCCAAGGGTGTGCTACCCCTGCGCACTTTTATCCAAGAAACACTTCGTCGTTCACGGACAAGCTACAGCACGTTGCAGGTAGCCCTCTACTACTTGATTAAGGTCAAGTCGCACGTGCCAAACCCCGATCTCACGCAGGATCAATCAAGGGCGAAGCCGGCTTGCCGGGCCATGCAGTGTGGCCGACGCATGTTCTTGGCAGCTCTGATCCTTGCGTCGAAATATCTTCAGGACCGGAACTACTCGGCTCGCGCGTGGAGCAAGATTTCCGGACTGAACACGACAGAAATCAATCAGAACGAGCTTATGTTCCTCGAAGCTGTTGATTGGCGGCTTCACATCCCCGAGGCCACCTTCCAACGCTGGACGGATATTGTTCTGAAGTACACTCCGGGCGCGGGCAGCATGTTCCCACTTGACGGGCAGTCATGGCGCACTGTCATTCCAAAGCTTACTCCAGAGCTAGATGAAATTGACAATGAGCCCATGACTCCCAGCAGCGTGGGAGGATTCGACGGCGGTTTCGCATGCGATTCTCCATCGCCCCGCAGCACCTGCACAAGAGGATCAATCTACCCTCCGTCGTTGAGTGCTGAGCCTAGCAGCCTCCCTACCATCTCGCAGATCTCGGGGCTGAACAACAGATCAGAGACTACTCTTCCATCCCTCCCTCCAATCCCTCGGCTCGGTATGCTACCCACGCCTCAGATGACTCCCCAGTCGAGCAATGCTTCCACTCCTGCTGTGAGCGGCAGCTACCGCCCGTCTTACCGGCAACAAATGTGTGCTGCCATGTCGCAAAGCATGTGTACAGCGCGGTCGATCTACGACCAGCGCCCGTCACTGTCGCTTTGCTCCAGGGCCAGCTCACTGGACAGTTTCCCAACTTTCATGCGCCGGTCGTCACTTGCTCGCTCGACCTCATCTGCGTCGTCCCCCGAGTCGATGATCTCGGATGTCTCGACACTTTCCTCCCAGTCCTCCCGCTCCTCTTTGTCTAGTTCCTACGGGTCTACCGCGCCTACTTTGCCTAGTCTGGCGATGCAGGCAACCCTGCGATGCACCGGCAAGTCCTTGAAGGAGACACGGAAGCATATGCCTATGGCGTCTCCTATCGATGAAATTTCTTTCAGCGATGCTTCCAACTCTCCTGAGACAATTCTGCAACTTAACGACGTTCCGGATTTCTCCGGCTTTTCTTTAGGCGCACCAGGTGACATCACACACGAGGCTGCTCAGAGTCTTTGCCAACTTTCCGGAGCACTATCGGGTTCAAACCGTCAAGGCTCTCAACATCGGCAAGGCCGCAAGCGAGGCCGAACTGGATCTGAGGATCTCCAGCTACAGCGCCAAGTGCGTCAATTGATGCGCTCGGATGCCGTTAATGAGAAGACAGTGCTTCCGGAAGGCCATCTTGCGGAATTGTTGCGCAACTCAGATCCAGAAAGGCATTCTTCCGCTTCACTTCCGTCGCTTAGCGCCCTCGGCTTTGGTGCTCCGCTCTCGGGCCCTGCAGGCATCAAGCGTGCTTGCTGCGGCAGTGAAGCAAGGAAGGTGGCTCTCCCCCCTGCCTTGCGCGCAGACTGCTGACCGAATCGGACGATCTCTGTCATGAAACGGACTCCCATCCTCCCTACGCTCTTGGTCCTGTTATGAATGCGGCTGCTATTACTTTTCTTGTGTAGAAAGGAAAAGTTGCTATCTTTTACACTGCTTATTGCATAATTTTCTATTGGTACCGGCTCTTCGACTCGTCGACCGAGTCGCTCTCTTTCTGAACTCCTCAACGGCGCAAAGGAAGAGACACATGGGCCGGGAAAAGTTCACCACGAACTTGCCTCGGAAGCCCTTTTTTTCGCGAATGGGAAAAAGCGTGTCTTTTTTTCAGCTCCTCACTGTATATACCCTACCGTTGTTGGGCTTTGGAGATGGGAGTCTGGCCTTGACTTATAGCGTCTGATATTCGGTGAGCTTGGTCCGGCTCGCTGATGTATGATGTATGTCGGAGTGGGACTATTGCATTCATTGATGTTTCTTTGACTTATTTGGTTTGATCTGCTACTTTCATACGAACCGGAGTGGTGGGAAAGGGAATGGAATGGATTGATTTACTTGTCTGCAACCTGGTGTCGCCATCTCAACCACGGAGTAGGGGATATAGGATTGCATACTGCAGTCAGGTGGAGTTCACAGGGGTCCCTCGGAGTCCTCTCAGGTTTTTGTGTTTTTATTTGATTTGATTTGTGACTTTATTTCTACGTCCTCGTGGATGGCATCACCTGAGAGGAAGTTAACGTACAAATAGTTGAACAGGCCTATCATACGAAGCTTTCCAGTCCTACCGTAAGCGAGAACTCAGTCCACTCAACCATGCCATCCAGCCCGCGTGGACGAGATACCTACCACTAGCCCCTCACCGACGCTTCCAACCAGAACGTCCGGCCTAAATCGCACGATAGCAGGGAGGGTGTTCTGCTCAGGTGATGCCCCCCACTTCCATCCAAGTAACATGAGGCAGATTTTGGTGATTGTGAGTCATTGCGCTCAGCTCGCCTCAGCCGGCATCGGGGCGAGAAGACGAGGCTTGGCCACAAGGTTTGGAATTCTTTGGGTTTCAGTGTCTGGAACTATGAGTCAGGGAGGCTGCTGATCAGGTGGCGATAATCGGGCGCCTGAGCTCTGAGGCACAGAGGGCTTGTGCCGTGCCAGGCAACCAGGCACAAAGGAGCTTGGGCCCATCAGGCATCGAGGCATAAAATTCATAAGGCAGCAAGGCAGTAGTAAAGTCTGATTATATAATTTCTACACCTGGATTCACATGACTACTTTTCTAGGCTAGCTACTTCCTGCCTAGCTCGATCTGATAAGATCAGACCACGCGGAACATTGACTAGGCCAAGACCAGCAATTAGCTCAGTCACCTGGGTCATTCCGGGATACAGCTCTTGGTCTTCTTCCCCTCTTTTCTTTCATCCCTTGCCCCGTCCCTCTGTCCTGTTTCGTAGAGGATCATCCGTGGGATCGACCAGGGTCTCTTGCTCTAGTTTCTCTCTTCGAGACAACTCCTTCAGCGTCTTTTGTTTCATCTTCTGGTGCCGTTTCAACGGACTGCTCACCATGACTCCTTCTGTGACTAGGCTCGCCCACGGGCTCCTCATTCTCGGAGCGCTACCTCAGTGTATTACGGCTACCCCTGTAGCGGCTTTCAACGCTGACTCGGAGGTCGCGGGTCAGGTTTTCTTGAGCGAGAGCCAGAACCCGTTGCCGAACACCCCGTTCGAGCAGGCCGTCGAGCACGATGCCGTATTCGTGGACTCCGAGTCCGAGGAAGGCTCGGATGAGTCTATCTTTGCTCCCTCGTGGTGGGTATCAACTCTCATGGCACGACGCCTTCTGGCTCTATCTACCTCCGGCGTAGTTTCAACTGTCTTCCCGGACCCCTTGCCACCCAAGAGCCACGCACCAGCCGAGGTCGCGGGCCAGTCCATTAGTCTCAAGGAGTACTTTGCAGACTGCGACGAAGCACTCCCCACAGATACTGGCAACGGCGGAGATGGCAGCCCCACTTTCCTGGCTCTGTACGTCGCAACGACCTTCCGCAACATAGCGGCAGGCTCAAACCTCAGTCTCTCGATCGACTGGTGGGACCATCTCAACGACACCAAGCCCGTGTTCCCCGGCTTCCCGCTCAGCCCGGCGGGTCTGCCGCGAGTGACTCTATTCGGGTATATTGAGCCCTTTGAGACTCCCGTGCCCAAGCAGACGGAGTCGGCGCTACGCTCGTGCTATACCAGGTCGCATCCCGACTCGCAGGTCTGGCTTCCCGGCCGCCCGGGTTCCCCGCATGGGAGCTTCTGGGCCAAGATGGTGGTTACCCAGGTTTATTGGATTGGCGGGTTCGGTGGGTTCCAGCAGATCGGGTGGATGAACGTCACGGAGTGGAACGGAATTCGTCGCAGGGGCAGTCTGCCGGGTGTTGGCGATGGCCGTGGGTGGGAGGATGTCAGACTTCCGGGGGAGACTGAGTAGAGGGTCAAAGGGCTGAGGACGCGGCGATATGCGATATGCGATAGCGATTGCGGGGGTTGTGGTGTGATTGTGCCGAGCGCGTCGGGCAGATTCTGGGCTGTGGTGGCTGAGGGGAGAAGCATGGATTGGCTGTTGATATTCAGCGACTCCAAGAGACCATCGTATTCCAGCAAAACAAGAATATACTTTGTTCCTGTTCTGATGTCGCCCGAGGATAAGAGATAAGCTGCACCAGAACCCTGGTCTGCGCCCACCAATAAGCGCCTGAATTCACTTATCTCCAGCCTTATCTCCCCAGAATTAGCATGGTGTTGCATATCTCGTCGACCGCCATGTTGTATCCGGTTCCTTTAAAGTTGCTGTGTAACTCCGCATTGAGATCTGCCCTTGTTGCTTTTTCCGCCGATGACAACACCACTGCCTGCCACCCCGACTCCCACTCCTGGTCTCCTGCTGTTGCTGTAGAGTAACCTACTCACATACAATCCAACAACCTTAACACGATGAGGTTCCACCGTCCTCACCTCCGAGTCGATCAGTCGCAATCGGCGTTTGCCGAGGGCAATGCCCGCTGGACGAATCTCGATCTCGACCCTGTTCCTCGTGCAGGGCGACTCTGGGGACCTCTTAGTTTCGTCTGTACGCAATACCCAGATGCATACCCCCACAACTCAGATTACTAACTATATGCACTGTGCAGCATACTGGATCTCCGACGCCTTTAACTCTGCAACATGGCAATTCGCGTCCAGCATTATCGCCGTCGGCCTCTCATGGCGCGAGAGCATCGGAATTGTCGCCTTATCCTTCTTCATTATCTCCTTCGTCATCGCCGCCAACGGTGCCGTCGGCGCAATCTACCATATTCCCTTCCCTGTAATAGCACGCGCAAGCTGGGGGTTCACGGGCTCATACATCGCCATCGTCTCACGCTCCATCCTTGCTATCTTCTGGTTCGCCATTCAAAACGTCAACGGCGCCAATGCCGTCAAGGCGATGATCGGTGCTATCTGGCCGTCCTTCTTGACCATGCGGAATACGATCCCTGAAGACCAGGGAATCGAGACGAATACAATGATTGCGTATTTGATCTTCTTCATTGTGCAGTTCCCGTTCTTGTGCATTCATCCGAACAAGGCAAGGTGGTTGTTTCTGGCCAAGACGGTCATCGTCCCGGCTGCTTGGATTGCAATCCTCATTTGGGCGTTTGTGGCCGAGGGCGCTGGGCCGATCTTTGAGCAGAAGCCTACTGTTTCGGGGTCGCAGTATAGCTGGGTGTTTCTTGCAAGTATGACAAGTGTGCTGGGGAACTATGCGACGTTGAGTGTTAACCAGGTATACTCGCCCCCTTCACCTACTCCTGTTTATGCTCGAATGGCATTGCTAACATACAGCTAATAGTCCGACTTCTCACGCTACTCTCGCGTCTCCCCAAAGTGGCAGATCCTCTACATCCCCCTCCTCCCCATAATCTTCACCTTCATCTCCTTCATCGGCATCGTAGCCTCCTCCGCCGGCTGGTCGCGCTACAACACCGCAACAATCCCCTGGGACCCCATCGTGCTGATAAGTCACTGGTCCAGCCGGGCTTGCCGCTTCTTTGGTGCCTTCTCCTTCGCCCTCGCGTCCCTCGGCGTAAACATCAGCGCAAACTCCATATCCGCCGCAAATGACCTCATGGCTCTGTTTCCCGAGTACGTCAACCTGCGCCGCGGGCAGATTATCTGTGGGATACTGTCTTGGGCCCTCGTCCCTTGGAAGATCCTCGCGTCCGCGGGGAATTTTTTAAACTTCATGTCTGCGTACGCGATCTTCCTCGGGCCTATTGCGGCAATCATGCTCTGGGACTTTTGGGTCATTAAGGATCGGAAGTACGATACGCTTGCGCTGTACCAGCCCTCGAATAGGACATACAGATTCAATGACTGGCTATTCAACTGGCGCGCGATCGTCGCGTTCCTAGTCGGCGTCGTCCCCTCGCTGCCCGGGCTGATTAACTCCGTGAATAGCAACATCGACGTTGGCGTCGGGGTCCACCCGTACCAGTTTGGGTGGATCTTGGGCTTTGTGGGGACGAGTATTGTTTATGTGGCGCTTTCGATGGTCTTTCCGTGTGATGAGAGTCTAGTGCATAGGGCAGTGCTGGCGGATGAAATTTATGACCTCCGCGAGGGGAATATGGTTGTGGGGATTTCAATGGGGGAAGAGCAGGGCGAAGTTGTTAGGGCTGGGAAGGAGAAGGGGTTTAGTTATCCCTAGTTTGGTTGAGTATATACTGTCGTATGAGCGAGGATGGATGGCTAGACTCGGATGGGAGGACGGCGATCAATGCTTTGATACTTGGTTATATAAGAGCCATTATGGTTATGGTATGATACACCACTCTTCGAAGGAGACATCTATATACCACTCATGCTAATCTATGCTCCCGTATGATATCATCTTAAACATCCCCAACCCCAAGAATGCCTACTCCTCCTCCTCAACCCCACCAACAACATTCTCTTCAATCAACTGAAAATCCTCATCAAGATAAAACCACTGCTCAAACCTCTTTAGCTTCTCCGCCGCAGGCTTCTCATCCGACTCGCTCGGGATCCCAAAATCCGTCGCCTTGCATTTCGACACATAGCTCCCCTTGATATCCGGCCGCGAGGTATGGTTGTAGTTGATCTCGTTGCTGTCGACTTCGCCCTTGATCAGGTCCAGCCAATACCCGTGGCTCTGCTCGACGACGGCGGTTGCAAAGGTCGAGTTTACATAGCTGTCGCCGACGATGGGAATCACGTCGTCGCCGCGCGCGACCTTGTAGTAGGTGAACCAGTCACGGTAGGATTGGATCAGACCCGGGCGGTATTTTTCGACGTCGGAGAAGTCTATATTGTTGTTAGATACCGTGTCCTCTATCTGGAGGGGAAAGCAAATGAGCGGGCCGGTGGCTTACTGTTGACAAACTCTGCAATGGGATCATTAACATCAATCCCTAAAACCTTCCAATCCGTCTCCCCACCATCATTCGGCGCCAGCGCACCGAGGATCTTAACCTGCTTCACCTGCCCCGTATACCCTCCATCCTGCCCAATATCAAACAGATCCATGGGATCATTGTCACCGGGCTCGTTCGTGAAATCATGCTCAAAGTTCGGGCTCTCCCACGTCTGCGGGATGGACCCGTACAAAAACGGGTAGGCCTTGTGCGGCCAGACGGACTCGACGTACCGCGGGAGGCCGTCGCGGTCGTCGTGGAAGATCGGGTTCAGGGGCTCGTCGCGCTTGATTTCGATCTTGCCGTCTGTCCAGCGCGGGATCTCGACGACGAAGTTGATTATTTGTTTGTTGGTTTCGTTCGGGTAGAGGGGGACGTCGTGCCAGAAGGAGATTGGGGAGCCGTTTTGTTCGAGCCAGACGCGCCATTCCTAGGCATTCTTAGTATAGGTTTAAAGGTAAGATTCGATTGGGGAGGTAGGTAGGTACCAGAGTGTTGCGACCACCAACGGTCCGCAGGCTGAGAGCATTGTAGTCGAAGCTCGTAGCGGCCGTGAGGGCAGGCAGAAAAGCGAAGGCGAAACTCTTGCTGAACATGTTAAACGATGACAGCAACTACTGTTCAGGTGCAGAGGACAGATCGACAACAGAAGAAAAACAGAGAAGGTTCTTAAAGAACAGGCGTATCAGCCCTACATATAACACAATCTCGCGCCATGGCTGGCAGACAATCTCCCGATGTCCCAGCGGAAACAACACTAGAAGCTTTAGAAGCTGAGTCCAGGAAGTTTCTCCAGAGCAGCTGTTGAATCGAAGGTGTTGCTGGAGCCCACGTGCAGGGTGAAGTAGGATTCCCGCGCTTGGCGTCGCGGAGGGCCAAGACGCCATGTCCAGTTCCCGGCTCCAGTATGTACGCTCGGCGAATGGGGGGCTGGCATCGCTCAACGTGGGCTTCGCAAAGTGCCTGGCTTCCTTGCGCAGGTGCTCCAACTCCGATTTATGTGCTTGTTGCCTTCGGATCATTTCCGTGTGCTGGATCACCTTGCTGATTTGATCGCCAAGGCACGGGGGTGGGGGTGTTGTTCGCTTGGTCTGATAACGCAATTTACGGGATAAGAGCACGTGCGTAGACAGCCAAAGTACAGAACTTATCACTTGCCTCTCAAATTTCATAATCGAATACAGAAGGTGCGATGTTCGCTCTTTCCTTAAGCGTACCTATCTAGCTATATTCCAAGGAAGGTACGACCGATGCAGAGCTTGCTCCAAATATGGCAGGTACTCTTGGTCGCTCCTCCCCTGGTGGACGGTTGTATGAGAGGATGAGGAAGGTGCGATGGAAATATCGAAGTTGACGATGATGCCTTTGGTTCATGAGTATCCGGCTCTGCACATGAGGACCAAGGCGTCGAGGCATCGTAGTGTTTGATGTGCCGGTTTCATTGCTGAGCGCTCATGATGCGAATTCGTTTGCCATGTCATTTGTCAATCGTCTTGTCCAAGCAGGAACATGATATCGTGAGGAAAATCGCCTGTTGGGCTTGCTTCCGATCCGTAGAGGCGGGATGGACGCCCTTCGCGCTGGCAAAATATGCCCATTTAGGCCTCAAGTTCCCATTCCATTCTCTCCTTATTCGTAGATCGCGCGCTGTCGGATCACCCCCTCGCCTCAACCAGCACCTTCCTAACTCCCGCACTCGCCCTGCCAACCTCACCCCCCTCAGCCCGCGCTCCTTCGACGCCCTTCTCAACTGCAGCCAAAAACCTCGCTTCAAACACCCTCCACCGGTCCTCCCGCGTCTCATACATCTCCCCCTCCTCATCCCGCGGCTTGCCAAACAGATTCAGATACGCATACGGCACCGCCGTCTGCGGAATCATCTGCGCGCGAAACTGCCGAACCGGAAACCCCGAATCCATGTCCGAATCCCCATCATCATCCCCAATCGCCTCCGACCCAATCCCCGCATCCAGAAACGCCGCAAGCACAGAAAGCACTTTCACCTGCGGCTTCCCCTTGGCACCCGCCTTGCCGAAACTCGCCGCGGGCTTCGTCTCGCTTGTCGTCCACTTCGACGACGCCTCCGTGTGCCACCCGAGCACCGACAGGAAACAGTTCAGCGTCTTCACCCACCCGCCCGCACAACTCACGACCTCGGACCCCGCAACCTCGACTAACCAGCCTAGCACCTCAACGCTCGACACCCGGATATCCGGCGCGAGATGCGTCATCCCGGCGCGGATGTAGGGGAGGAGTTGGCCAACGTGGTCGGCGACGTCAGACTCCGGCAGTGCGCGCAGGAGCTTGAGGAGGTTTGTCCGCACGCCGGAGTTTGCGTCGAGGGTTAAGGGGAGGAGGTGCGGGAGGAGGAGACTTACGGGTTGCGGGAGAGGGGAATTCACCGGTCGGGATGCGATTGTCGTTGTAAGGTGCGCGAGTGAGTCCCGGCGCTGCGAGTCTGATTTGCTAGATAGGAGAGAGAGGTGGTGGGTGAATTGTGTTGATGCCGAGGGGGCGGATAGTTTTAGAGATTGTTGGTTTAGGACGATTGCTGTAGCAACGTTTAGTATGCATATACCACCGAGAATAGCAGGATTGCATGCAGCCAGCAGGACTTGAAGCATGATGCATCACTCCAGTCAGCCTCTTAGCTTGGATAGGATAAATTCGTACATTTTGACTTGAAGCTGGTATCTGTGAAGTTCTCCGGCTTGGCCTTGGCCTTTCCGACCTTCAACTTGGGTTTCTGTAATTCAGTCAGTACGAGTTGTTCTATTACTTGAGTCAAAAATCGGCGCACCTGGAAATCCTTCTGCTTCTCCTTCTTCCTTTTTGCGCTGGCGCCCATTCTGACTGTCTGATTGGCGTGGGTTCGGCGACGATGATAACAGAGCTTTGCAGTATTGTAGTGAGTATCCAAAAAGCTCAACTGGACGGTATATGTAGCGGTTTTGTGTAGTTTTGAATTGGGTTGATCAAAGGGGAGGTTTTGTTTTCTGGCTGGGTTCAGGAAATTTTATATCATCACGTGACTCACGTGACTTACAGATAGCCCACCGATGCTTCAGGTGCAACACAGATTGCAGATTGCATATTTCCGCGAATTCGAGCTTATAAAGATTGGCTACGAGAAACCCCGGTATATAGGCAGAGTATGGTCTATTATTGACTAATGACAAGAAAGCAAAGAGATGCGCACTTCTGTCCGGCCGTCGACCTCGAATGCAAACAACAGAGAGAAGAATCGGAAGAAAAAGGAAAAAAAAAAAAAAAACAAACAAGACGATGGCCAGGTTCCGGACAGACGCGGTTGTATCAAGCAGAAATCACAATCACAAGCATAGCGGACATGACGATTTCCAGACAGACGTTTTCGTACTGGTGTTGCTCTCCGGCGGGAATTGTCGTCAGCCCAAGGAATTAAGGTAGAAGAAAAGACCCATAGACAAATAACCGAACCGAAATTGCATCACTCGTCAACCATCAATTACCATCGTGAAGCCGTTCTGACTGTCAAGTCCCGCTTCAATCACCAAACGCCTGCTCCTTCTAGCGAGAGTCCCAGCTCAGTAGTCATCAGGTCTATAGTCGTCGCATAAAAAATTCACTGCGGAGTGAAGTGGAAAGGGTAATTCTGAAAGGCGTATCCAGCGTTCAGGTCGAAAGAACGGAAGAGATGAAAAATAAAATCACAGACTCATCGTCAGCCACTCCCACTCTTGGCTCGCGCCCTGGCCAGCTGCGATACTGTGGTTTGCGGGGTTCACTGCCGCGGGAGGCATTGCCGGAGCAAGGGCAACCACCTTGGACCGTCCACCGGAGGAGGTGCTGGATCGACTGGCGTCATCAGCCATATCGACCTCGGACGCCTTCTCTAACCTGCGCTGACGCTTCGGTGCCACCTGCACCGCGCCACGACCGGTCGCTCCTGGAGAAGTGTTTGTTGGGGTAGATTTTGGAGGCGCTGCCGCAATTGGTACGACGCCGGAGCTTCGAGACGATCCACCTGGCATTGCTGGGGGCGACTCGGACGCGGTTCCACTTTGAGCGCGACTGATTGTTAAAGATGCAGACGCCTGCTGAACCGAGTTCTTGCGAGACGACTTCTTGGAGGCACGCGAAGAGCCAACAGCGAGGGTGTTTGCGCTGTTGCGGTTACGCTTCTTGATGACGTCGGTCTTCAGAGAGAGCGGACGCACCACACCATGCAGCTTGAGGAATAGACCACAGGCGTTGCACAGAGGCTGGCCTTCGGGGTTACGCCGCCAGAGTGGGGTAGTTTGTGTGAAGCAGTTAGTGCATGTGGTAGGTCCGTTCTGCTCTCCATTCTTTGTCCCACCTGGGCTGGAAGGCCGAGATGGGGCGGCACTGCTCAAGCCAGACTCGGGAGGCGTGTTGGGAGAGGTGTGAGAAGTAGGAGCCGGGTTCATGCTCTGGCGCAGCAACTGAGCTGTGTTTGGAGTGGATGCCGTACGAGCAATCTTCTGGCGCCGAGGGTCCTGATCCCGGTTGCGAACCTCACTAACGGATGCAGCCGATCCGTGGGTCCGGCCGAGGCTGCCCTGGTTCCACTCGCCTGGAGTTTCCATCATATCTGTAGATCCAATAGTGACATGCTTTCGATGCTGGGCCGCGAATCCAGGCAAAGACTGGTATGAGCCAGGGTATGATGCATCCCACTGCATGCCACCGTTTAGATCACCAAGAGTCTCGTCGCCAAACTCGGCCGGCATCGCCAGTCCACGGCTAGAGAATTGAGTGCCATCATCATCCTCATTGTCAGAGTCAGCACCGAAAGTGAACATGGCGGCATTGTTGCCATTAGTGTAGTCACCGGGGGGTAAGACCTGCGTGGGGTCAACATGTTGTGGAATAGAGAAACCTGGTGAGTGCATAGTAGACGGTGGGTTGCTCATGTGGGCAGCTTGATGCGAGACGTCGTGAGACGAGTTCCCTTGGCCGTAAACGTATCGCGGCTGTAGGGAGGCAGACAGGTTGGACGACCGTTGAGTAACATAGGTGGGAACGATACGCCGTTGGGTCCGCGCGTCGATAGCCATGTCAAAGTATTTGGACTGCTCGCCATCGTATGTGGGCTGCGGGGTCGAGGCAGTCGACTGGTACCCGGAGGGCGGGGGAGAGAAGAAGTCGGTCGAGTTAAGGGACGAGGCGATAGGAGTCTGAGCGTACAGATTGGCGAAGGGGTTGCCAGTAGTCATGGGCGACTCGCTTGGAGAGAATGTAAAATGGGACTGGTAAGGACCGGCGGACGGGAGGATGGGGTCTTCGCCGAGATTGAAGGTGTCCAGAGTGAACGGCATACCGGGAGAAGTGTGGTTATGAACACCGGCGAGATGTTGAGCATTCATCTGGTTGTGCAGAGCAAGGCCAGAGGAAGCGTCCAGAGTATACTCCGGCACGGCACCCGCGAACTCTGGGTCATGGGCCAGCATGCTGTTGGAGACGGGAGGCACGTGGGGAGACGACTCTGCTGGCCGCTTGCGAGACGGAATCTGCAAGTTGAAGAACTGACGTTCGTCAATGCTGGTTTTGCGTACCCTGCGCGGCACGTAGCCAAACTCGCTGTTCCTCCGTTGATCTTGGGGAGGATGGGGGAATGACGCAGGTACGGGGGTGGCTTCGGAAGGCTGTTGGTCCCTGCGGGACTTGATAGCAATGGCGCCCGTGGTTGACTCGGAGTGTTTCGTTGTTGTTGGGGGTGACGGGTTGTCCGAAGGAGAGAAAGGAATAATGAAGTCGTCGAGGTTCATGGGGTCGGGGATCGTATCGGCAGCTGTGGTAGGAGTGTTGTTGGAGGACTGGTCGGTCAAGCGGAGCTGGGCAATGCCACTCATTCCAGGAACGGTCGTGTCCCTGGTGGCGAGGCTAGTAGAGCCATAAGGAATTAGCAAGAGGCAAAAAAAGGGAAAAACAACAAGAGGGACTAGACTAGGGCGAGATGACGTCGTACCGAGCTTGTTGCTCAAGGCGTTCCCTTTCCTTGCGTCTTAGACTCATAGCCATCATTCGCCAAGTCAGATTTTCCAGGCGCTCCTGGTTGGGCAACTGAGCCTTTGTTCTAGAATAAAGCTTCCATATCTGAGTCGCTAGCGGATCCCTCCTCTGCATCTCATCAGGACTGTCGAACCCTCTCGCAGCATCACCAGTCTTCAATTCGGGGAACAGGGAGTCGTGGAGCAGGTTGTCCTGGGCCGAGTCCGAGGGGCTGAGGGGCGAGCCTAAAGAGAAGTCGTCTGAGAACTGAGCGGGCTCAGCGAACTGATGGGAGGAGAAGTTGGAAGGGTGGTTGGCTGCCGAAGAGGCTGAGTGTTGGCCGGGGCCTCTGGCCGGAAAGGACGAGCGATCGAGGTTGGTGAAATCATGGGAAACGGCAAAGCCGGAGGCGGTTTGTGTCGGTCGCACGCGGCCAGGGCCACCGCCGAGAGTCAACCCAGACATGATCTGGGGTTGGTAATCTCGTGGGCTCCTCTAATTGGAAGCCCGTAAGGAAGAAGGAAAAAACAGATAAGAGAGCGCACAGAGACAGAAACGGGAGATAGTCAGGATAGGGAAGGGTTCGAGGTGTAAGGTGTAGATAAGAAGCGACGAGAGGATGAGATCAGTCCGCGAGGGGGGGCGGAAGTAAAGCAGCGGACGGCAGCAATTGGCTCTGCACTCGGAGAACAGTCAGCCTGGAGTCTCCAGAGCAGGACGCAGGAATTCCAGCTTACCCGCCGTTAACGAAGAGTTACAGGGAACAGAGCAAGGTGCAGCACGGCGGAAGCTAGCATCGGGTCAGTGGTGAGATCAACTCAGCAGCAGGACGATTATTGATTCCAGAGCGAATGAGACACATTCCTCTGTTGAATGCATACCCCAGTTTTTTTTTCCTTTCCTTTTCTTTTCTTCTTTTTGGTCCTTGCTCCAGCGCCGACAGATTTGGGAGAGAGCAGACAGGCGATCCAGACGCTGCTGGTTGCTTTTTCTTCCCTTGATCTTCAATACTGCTATAAAAAAAGATTTCGGTAGTCGAACTCTGGCTGCGCTTTTCTGATTTGTGCCTTTTTGCCCTTCTTTAAATTCTTTTCTCTTTGGTGGGGGCAGGTAAGGATTGGCCCCGAGTTAATGGATTGGCGCAGTGGTGAAGGGACCGCGAGTGTAGCTCCTGTAGAAATAGCCCACGGAGCGCATTGGGATTGTGAAAGGGTCGGAAGGGAGAATTGGGTGAGAGGTGGAAGAAGAAGAGAAAAGACGGGAAGAGGGGTAGTATACTACGCGAAGGACGATGAGGTTGTTGGAGGGGAACTGGAACTTTGATGGATGATGCAGGTGGTTGACCAGCCAGAGGAGCGGAAGATGATAAACAGTCAGGATGAATTATGGATTCAGGTAATAGGGAAAATAATAGAAACGGCCCTTCATGTAGGAGGGCATGAATACCCCAGTAGCCTGCATTCTGACTCCGGATTCTTCTCTCGTCCAGACACACGGCCATTTTTGCCCTTTTTCTTTTTGGGTTTCCCGCCGTAAGAAAGCGAAAATCGTCAGTGCTGCGCGGACCGACTCTGGCTGTTCGAGCTAAGATGCTTAACTCTGGTTCCGGGAGAGTAAAATGTATATATGCTATATTGACTCTTATACTCCTAGCTCTCCAAAAAGTATCTTAAGAACGATTCTGCTCTTCATCAATAATTCTTCGAGTCTGACTCTTCAATTCTAGATTGTACGCGTACCGGTGACGCTTGTAATACAAATACCAGCGGTCGGTGGCAAGCCGAGCAAGGCTTTAGAGTTTCATCCCGGGCGGGGAGTTCGAGAAGCCACTGACTGAGTCGATTCGTCGACTTGACTTCGGTAGAAAGTCAGGCTACTGCAAGGATGGCCGCTAGTCGAGAAGAAGACGAGTTTCCACTCTGAATCCGAGCTTAATACTGTCAACCTCAAGATGCTCTCCAATTATAGACCGGACTTTTGAATTCCGTCCGCAGTCGTGGCTGCGTCCTCGCATATGGCACTCCCAATTCCAGCTCAATAAATACGGACCTATGCGGTGGGACGAAAGTACCATGGAAAAGCCCTGTCCCTTTGACGCCCTTCCTAGTGGTGGCCTCATGAGGATAAGTCCGCCAATCGCATTGAAGCAGAAGAAAAGAAAATCGGTGTTCTCAATGCGACTGGCCCACGATCGACTGGAATGCCCCTGCTCTGGAGCCTGGACCAGTGCTTCGACTTTACCTTGCTTGCCCCAGATCTATCCCGTACCACTAATAATGATTCAGATTCGTCTCTCCCAGCCTCAGCTCCTTGGGCTGTTGACTCGTGGCGGCCATCACCCTGGATGAAGCCGTCAATGCTTGTCCAGTTAGATAACCGCGGCTCCCATGCTACAGCACGCTTTGACCCCTGTAAGTGGTAGGCGATTTAGCCGTAAATAGCCTAGACAAATCGGAGACAAGAGCGCTTGTGAAATTGTCTCCATGCCTCAGAAAGACAAAGGTCCTCTGGAGTACATATAGGGATGCCGACAGCGGCCGCTCACCGGAGCGCTGCTGGGCTCGTTGCTGCACCCGATATAGGACCGGCCGAGAAGAGTCGATACTCGAGACGTCAAGACAAGCCTAACTCCGTACGGTGCGGCATGGGAGGAGTATAGCGGGGCGGACGATATCGGGCAGTCCGTCTGGTCCGGAAAAGCCTTGGGAGCCTTGATGCCCGAGTCCTGAAGCGCTGGCTGTGCTGCGGAAGGAGACCTTTCAACTGAGCGCTGATATCCTGCTCAACGGCTTTTGGCCGGAAGAAGGCGAGGCCATGAATGGTCCGAATCGAATCCGCTGTACCATGGTCGACTGCGAGGCATCTCTTCGTGAAGGAGGAACATTGGTGTTGGTTTGAAGAGGTTTGAGATGGTTGAGGCTTCCTAACTTACCCGAGATCTGTACGACCCGGTATCTGGGCTCCGTAACGTCGGTTCCGTCAGCCTCGTTTCAAGCGCGTGAAAGAGCAGCAACTAAGAAGAGGAAGGAGTTAGTGTTCCAAACAACTTGAACCGCCATCAATGAGCTTCAGCCATCGCCTTCTGGATGAATCTGCCCCAGCCTATCCGCTTCAATCGCAGATAAAGTGGCCCACCGAACATCGCGGGGCCCCTTGTCAGCCTGAGGTGGACAGGCAACAAGCATCATCGAGTTCCTCGGTGTTTTTGAGCTCCGTGTCGTCACAGCAGCTCTTGTCCAGCCTCACAATGTCCTATCATGTTACTTCCTTCGGTCGCACAAAGCCGATCGCCCTAACCAGAGTGAGTGATATCACTTGAGAAGGAAGCTGAGCCGGTGATTGGCATGGACCGGGTCAGGATAGAGCCTCTCCATAAACCCGAAGCTGACACCCCTGCTGTGGCAACGAGCTGGGTCGAATGAACACGCGCAGCGATGAGATTGCCAAGGCTGGACAAGGTTGGCCAGGAAGCCGTTAAGCCCATCAGACAGTAACCAGACCACTCGGAGGAAGGCCGTCTTCTCATCCTTGATTATTCTCAAATGGAGCAACATGCATCACTCCATCATGGCGGATGAAGCACAGCAATCCAGGACAAGTTAGTTTCTTCCAAACGAGAAAGACCCGTTGACTCGGATGCCAATCTTGGGAGTCCACTCATACTCCAAAATTGAAGACAGAGGGAAGAGGGCCCGCAGGATAGACAGCCACGAGGGTCCACCGAGAAGACTAGGCTCGTGGCCGGAAAGCGACCGCTTGCGAGGACGCTCGTCGATTCGCCGGAGAAATCGGTTGTACCTTATCCCACGCGGCTGCGATGATGGTTTCCACTCTCATCGCCTGATAAGCTGATAAGAGGCTCGGCGTAATCCTCTTTGGTCATGGAAGTGCGACAATGCGAAGGAAACAATGCATCTCCCGACGGCAACGATGGGTTTCCCGGCATTATTGGCATCTTTGACCACGTCTCGATGCCGAACATACAAAAAGCGGCATCGCAGGTTTCAGAACGAAAGCGCCAATCCTGAAACCTGAATCATGTTGGGTGATTTCCGCGTGGCAAAAGCACGGATTTCGCGTCTTTTAGCCACGGAAGCCCGAAGTGGATAAAGTGGCGGGCTGCGATCGTCCACTCCCAGGCTGAGCACCGTGTCGGGCTAATTCCTCGCAATCAAATGAACCGAAATCTGGTGCTGCAAATAAGATGAATCAGCATCAGTTGATCAATTGTGCAGCATGCGCTCCCTTGTTGAAGGTGACGTCTCGTTGCCGCAGCGGCCACAACAAACGCCACTCTGCCCGCGACTGGAGAAGTCGCTCTTCGCGATCCATCACCTCGTCTGCCAGGACTATCGAACGCTGATCTTGCCTCCTCTAAAATGGGAGAAGCACAACGACAACCAAATGAAGTAGCCTTGTCGCGTGCCTAATTCTCTCCTTCCCGTCCCACTGTCCTGGAGGAAATCCATGGATGCTGTTTGCCTCTCAGACCCCTCTAGGCAGCATGATCGTCGCACCAACAGGCGTCATATTCTTGTCTTTCAACTCCTGACGCGCCGGTAGGAATCCTTCACCAAATGACCAAGACAAGGAAGGATTGTGTCGCCTCGCCAGGTGCCGACTGCAAGCGAGACGAAGAGAACCAATGCTTTGAAAGATGCTGGCCCAGAAATGGAAATACCACAGGCTCCCAGTGATCACAGCTCCAGGGGGGGCTCTTGGCACTATACCCCGCAGGTGATAATGCTTTCTGAGAAGTGAGAACAGAGTCTCTCTGGCTCAAAAAGTCTGTCTGGGGCTCGGAGTGAATGCTCTTTTTTTTTTTTTTGTTTTTGACGGTCTGGGTTCTGGATGCCCTTCCCCAGGATGCGGACATGGTGGAGCTAATGCGGGCTGCGCCGTGACTTGGACGAAGTGTGACCATGGGAAAAAGAAGCAATCGGACGGTCGGTAATCATCAGCGCCGCACGATCGTCCTTCGTCATGACCCACGATGCCAAAAGGTTTCGCATAGTTCGTGCCCATTGTGTCTCAGCGATAAGAGAGATCGTCCCCCACACTATTGCTATGCCTGAATGCGTCGCATTATCGCTGAAGTGTCCCCGGCCACTTTCGATCTTGGTGTTGGGGAGTTTCTTTTTTTTTTCTCTTTTCTGGCGGCTGCGGCGGATATTGGAGAAAAAGCCCCAGGAAGCGGGAACAAATACGATGCGGCACACCCCTGCCACCGGGTCTCGGAGGAGGCCGCAGGACGGTGCAGGGAAACAGCAAATGCGAAGTAAAATAAATAATCACGACTGGCAGGCGCACCTGGCAAAGAACAGACTTGCACTCTCAAGGAGGGGGAGGGAGAGAGAAGGGCGCAAGGCCCAGACTCGAAGGGACAAGTCGTTCGTATTGGTAAGGGCGCGGAAGGGAGCACTGTCTTACAATGCCGTAATTGAAAAGAAAAGCCTCGCAAGTACCGACGAGGGTTGGAGCATTCTTGGAGAGAACACTAGTATGGGGCTCTGGAAAGGGCCGTGGAGATATCAGGTAGCGTACCCCGTATGCGTGACCCCTTTGCGTGCTATAAGAAGGCAGCAGACGACTGCTGGAGTCTTGCTAGCCCAACGATGGTACATCCGAGGAGATGAAGAGAGAAGCGACCAAGGGCTGGAAGGAACGATGGCATCTCTGGACCTGGACCTGAACAGCGGTTTCCAGAGCAGAATAATCGTCGCTCGTTGCTCCCCTCGGTCGAGCGTGTTTATATGCCCCAGACTCTTCACCACCCCGCAGGGAGCTTCGATAAGAGGGTGAAGAATTTTCATCGCAAAAGGCCTCACTTTGGCCCCAGCAGTCCAATGGGAAATGATCCGGGTTTTGTACTGCTAGGGATGCTGCTGGTTGAACAAGGCAACGCTAATCTCTTGCAGAGGAACAGCCAGAGCAAATGATGAGCTCACGCCGACCATCGGCCCTGGCAAGACGTGATAATCGAGATAACCACCAGGGGAGCATCATCATTTGCCAGTCGTTGTGCTCGAGATAAGACACAGCAGACACCGCGTCAGACTCAGACTGGTCTGCTTGACCCGTGCTGTAGGCAACCACCAGGATTCGATTACGTGCATGCTACTGTGGGTTATTTTGCTATGGTTATCAGTCTCTATCGTTGATATCTCAAATACACCAGCCAGATTGAGTTGGGGAACAATAGCCTCTCCACATTCGTCTCTACCCCAGATCAACACCTCAGCTCGGGTCGCTTCCTTACGGATTGCTTGTTGCTCCAGAAAACAACAGTTCTGTCACATCGCGAAAACAGGAGCCACAATGGAGCTCCTGCACGCCCATCCTCACAGTTACTCGCGGTCTTGAAGCCCTTATCATCGACCCCTCGTCCGCGGAGATTTAGGCTCCTCGCGTCCTCCCGCGGGCTGATCCGGCAGCTTAACCCTGAACATAAGATAAGCAGGGATGGAATGCGACCACGCGCGTTTCACAATCATTTCATTGGGCGGTATTTGAAAGAGAGAGCTTTGATGCGGAAGATATCCCCTGTTCTCACTCGCAGCTATCAATGTCTGCTCGGCCGCTTTCGCCACTGCATATATCCTGGCGGGAATTGCGCCATCTCTGAGAAGCCCATACGTCTAATCTCCCTGTCGGACATGGCAATAGCTTTGGTAAGCTCGAGTTGAGCTGGACAGGGTTCGGACGTACTTGGTCCGCTCACCAGCAGCCGGAGAGATTCCACGTTGTCGACTCCGACGCTCGAAAGAAACACCGCCGTGAGGATTGATCTCCAGCGCGCACTAGTTCCGCTCCGCGCCGGCTATGACCTTGATTTTTCCGCCCGTTCAAGCATAGAGAAGCGTCTTCCATGGCACTGCCATGTCCAATGGTACTGAGGTAAAGACTACGCAGGCGCTAAACTGAGCGATAAGAACGAGGCATCCAGAGCAGCTGCGGTAGGCTACCCACTGTCCAGATAAGCACGATCTGGAGATATCAACAAAGTCAGACACTCTCTGTATGACAATATCATCGTTCTGCTTGCTCGGCCTGATAGTTCATGATGCAATTGTTTTGTCTGATTGCTTTAGTTCTTTGTACTCGTCGTTCGTACCTCCTCTATCTTGCCAATCCCGTACTGTTCAGTACTACTATACTATATACTATACTGTCCTCTTGGGCTTCGGGTCTTGATACTCACTACCATCTAGGATTATTACCCCATTCGTTCTGAGTCCCGATGCAGTACCAAGATATATCGATAGCATAGATAACAAAGCTTTTGAGATGAATCATATGCTTGATAGAGATATCAATCCTTAGCCTCCGCCATGCCACCTCTCTCCACCTCATCGCCTCTGATAACTGCATACATAGATAAATAGATCCTTGAGATAAATGGATAGCTGATAAAGGCAAGATAGTCTGATAGGAGTAGACGTTACATAAACCTCATCTCACTGACCTCGTGCGTTGATCAGAAAGATATGCAGTCGGAGAGGGGCGTATATCGAGAACGAAAATAGATATCTGCACCAGCCAGCAACTCTTGAGAGGCATATCTGACCTGGGAAGGACCCTGGATCGGCCATCAATGGCAAGCCGTCATACTCCTAATTGAGATATATATCACACCGTCGCTTCTTGTTCTTTTTTTTTTTGCATCCTCAAGTCTCACCTTGCTTTGAGCTTGATCTGGTCCAGTTTGCGACTCCTCCGCTTCCCCCCATCTTCCTCGGTCAGTCTTGTGTTGGTTGCGCCATTGTTCTCCAAGAGAGAGAGAAAGAGAGAGAAAGAAAGATGGGGTCTCGAGGACCACATTGAGCCTATACCCAATTCAATACCATCATTCCAAACAACCTGCTGACTGACCTCTGAGGCCCATATCTCTGGAACCCTGGGTGGGTAGTGTGCATAGTCGTACTCGGGAGGTGAGAACTGGCCAGATCTTGTGGCGTGCAGGGGAGTGTCGGAGACAGAACCGCCCTAGTTGCCTCCGAGTCCGGTATCGCTTGAGATGCGAGAGCCCCTTCAACTTCCGGACAACAGATGACGGCTATACTATACTCTTTGATAAACAGATCGCAAATCTAACAGAGAAGGCCATTGGAGAAATGTGCTCTGTTCTTTCCGGGTTGATTATATATATAGTATATCTATATATATATAGCTCATGAGATTGAAATCGAATGCAATCCAAACCAAGTATATATGAAAACCTGAGAATGTAGTGGTAGTGGTAGTGCAAATGAGACAGATAAAACAACAATGAAAAGTCTAACCGCGACCTGCATGTACAAAGGAGAAGCTTCTCAGACCCAATTGGAAAAATTCGCAGCTGAAGAGAAAATGCCACCCAAGTCCCGTGCGCCCGCTAATGCCTAGCTGGTATAAGCCAGAAAGAAGAAGAAGAATGATGAGGATGAGAAGAATAAGGAAGAGACGAAGGAGAAGAAGAAGCGAGATGTATGTATGTACGAGGAAGAAACAAAAATGCAACATGACAAATGGGGGTATAAATTAAGAATCGAAATCGTCGCGCTGTGCTGCGCTTTCTAACGAGGGTTGTTGTCTCTTTTCTTTCTTGATGATGTGTGTATTGGTGTAGAGAGGATGTGACTGTGTTATGGCCCCTGGTGTCCTGGACCCGGGTGGCTCATTGGAGGACTTCCGTACGCGGCCTGCTGCTGCGCTGCGTCTCCTGCGTACAAGGGGTACGGAACCATGTTCACCGGCGAGAGCCCGTTCACGTCCTGCCACGAGGGATAGCCCATAGGCGACGGCTGACCAGGGTATGTGACTGCGACAGGCGTGCCCTGAAGGTCGGTTGCAGGGGGACTTTGCGGGTTCAGCGCGCCGGGTGGATAGCCGTGTCCGGGACTCGTCATTCTGCGCTTCAGATCAGGAGGTATCGGCTGGGCGAATCCACCGGGACTCGGGTAGGGCACGGCCATGTTCGGTTGCGCGTGTGCGGGGAACGTCATCGAGCGTGTGGGGGTCATCTGCCACACGGACCCGTCTGCCTGCACTGTGTATGGTGATGTCGGGCTGAGTGGTTGCTGTTGTGAGGGTACCGTTGGCGGACCTGGTAGCGTGGGGTTTCCGGGCATCGGGGCTATCGGTGTTGCAGGTTGGCTCCAGACGTTCGGGTGCATGTTGACCATTTGCGGTTTCCCCGCTGCAGCCATGGTCGCTAGCATCTGCTGCTGATCTTGAGTGATCGTTGTGAACTCGTCCCAGGGCACGGAGGGGTCCATTGGGCCTGTCGCATCTATATCATGCCTCGTTAGTTTTAGAGTTCGGCATTTCGTTTAGCCCTGCAGGAGATCGCGACTTACCTGGCGCAAATGGTGCCATTGGGGTGCCTGGGTAGGCCCCCGCGCTGAAGGCTGGTACCTCTTGGCCGGTGCTCAGTGGGATGGACTGATAAGGATAGAAAGCCTCCGGCTGCTCCCCCGTGATGGTGGGGGGTGACGACGAAGCCGTCGACGGGTCCGCCGAGATGGTCTCTATGCGCGAACTCGGACGAGACTTCTTCTCAATAGGCGGCTGCTGATCCACGGGGAAGAACTGACACTCCTTGCGCAGTCGGATGCAGTTTTCGCATCGCCCTTGCGGGTCGTCCGCCGCAACGAGACACCGGATTTTGCGCCGTCGGCAGTGGACTAATTCGGAGAAATGGATAAGTAACGGGCAACGAAGTAGGTCGTGTGCAGTACGCCTGGGAACAGCGATCGGAGGTAGGTAGGTAGGTAGGAGACTAACCACACGCGACAGAGGTTCGATGATAGCCCAGCTTGTTGCGCTTCTTGTCGGCAGCGGAGGGATCCATGACGGCAGTCTGTGAGATGGTAACCGATGTCATACACTCGACAGCCACGGGCATAGTGTTTCTGGAAGTGGTAAAGAGCAGAGCGACCCGGTCCTAGAAGCGCGGGCGCATGGATTGCACCGGGGGGGTCAAGGAAATGCGGCGGAAAGTGCAATGGCAGCCGGTGAATCGAGGGGCGGTTGTTGCCAGTCTGGCGAAGAGGGAGAAGTCGTGAGGGCGGAGCTATAGCAGGAGGGCCTGCATGAGAAGAGTCCAGAGTCCAGCCAGCACTGTTGCCGTAATCGTCGTACGTCTCTTGAGCGCCCGTTTCAGTGGTGTTACTCCACACTCGTAGGAGGAAAATTGGGGAGGCCTGAATGGATAAAAGGGCCAGATCGAGGGGTAAATAGTCGTTTCAACGCGCAATTAACCCGAGAACCGGCACTAGCAAATGGAAAAAAACGGAGTCTATCTATTTTCGAGATTATGGTCGTGGGTGTCGTGGTCGTCGTCAAGCAGAATGCGCCGCGGGCTGTGAGCAGGCCAGAGCAGACAGCGCAGAGGAGATCAAGGAGTGGAAGAATGAGAAATCAGGGGGGTACGGAGATGAAGGATGGACTAGAAAGTGAGTCGCAACAACACAAAAGAAGAAAGTATGCGTGGGTTGAAGAGACGAGAGAGGAAGCAAGCAACATGGGAGTGAAACAATGACAGGCCTGGCAATAAATCGGAGAAATAATCAAGATAAATTAGGAGCAGGAGCCAAGAAAGGAATGGATGGCAGCAGTTCGGGCAGAGTCAGGTCTCGGGGGGGTTTCTTCCTTCTTGGTGTATTGCATCTTATATTTTAGATTAAGATTAGGTTTTTATTTTGTTTTTGTCTTCAGGGCCTGCAGCTGGTCTTGGGAAAGGGGCACTGGAGTCTGGCACTTGGGGTGGGCATCAGGTAGAAAATAGTAAAAATACACCCTCGCCTAAACTAGAAGATTAAAATACACGCCAGATGACATCAAAAGAGCTGGACAGAGTGGATTGTGGCATCGCAGACCCTGAGCTGCCACCTGATACCCAGTCTATCCAGTCAACCCAGAGGCTGCTTCCGAGTCTATTCCCAGTCTTGCCTGTTGAACATCCTCTGAACTATCGCTGAACCTTGTCAGGCTGTCTTCAAAACTGCGGCAGTTCTAATTGTGGCTAATGTTGGAACAGAATCTGGCTAAGTATAAGATGAAACCGCTAACCTGAGGTAATTTTTCTGTCCTGATTACGGGGCATCGATCAGACAATACTCCGTTCTCGAGACCATTCTTCGTATAGAATACTATAGATCTGGCTCTCTGGATCACATCAAGCTCTCTTCTCAGTTCTCTGCAAGATCTCGACCCTTTGTCACCTCTGTTGGGCTGTGATAGGGTACCAAGTGATCTATCCATCCTCGGGTCCAACCTGATGCCGGAGCCTCTTCAGGTAAATAGTCAAAGCAGTCGTCATCACGCCCTCCTTGCGTGCACCGGACAGACCACTGAGAGGAGGAGCATCGTCTTGAAGACGTGGGTAATATTGCGATTCCCCCTAACCCCCCCCAATCTGGGCTCGCCGTCCAGCACCATCCATGGTACCAGATCTGTGACACAGCATAGAATTAAAATAGGACTAGCGGGGGTGGGGGGTCCCTGAGGAAGGCTAAGAATCGCAGTATGTCATCATCTGGATTCTGCCTTTCGTCTGCTTGGGCGAAGACAAGCCAGGAAATACCGTCCGTGTCCGCGACACTCAAGGTCGTATTCTGCAGGACTTTACGACCCTGGAGTTTGTCGGCTGTGACCTGTCAGGACAGGACTGCTCAGGAGTCGCAAAGGAGGCTTTTTTTTTTTTTTTTCTTCTCTGCTTCTTTTCGCTTGGGAGAGTACACCCCACAGTTGTGATTGGACAGACCCGTGGGTCAGACACCAGCCGGGAAAGCCAATCATGAATTGCGCTGCGAGCAGTGACTTTCCCTTCTCAGCTTCGGACTCCTCGAAACATCCCGATCTGGGCTAGCGCAAACATGAAACAGACCCTCGAAAGTCTGTGGTCCTTCGAGAAGCCTGCACTCGTCAGCTTCTCCACTTGCCTGAATTCAGCCCAACTCTTGTTGCAGGGCCAGAGTTCCCCCGATAGATCTGGAAGATCGAGTCATGGCCGGCAAACGAAAGAAGTCGGAGTCGCCCAGCTCATAGATATACACCAACCGAGCCATGTATGAGCGCTGGTTTCCCTGCATATGTCCGGTGGATTGACAGTCTTCAGATCTGTCAAAAAGGTGGGCCCAGTGGAAGGTTTAATTAAGGATGATACACGCTCTCACTCTCCAAGTCTGCAATTTCTGCGTGCTCCAGTGGGCCTTGGCCAGGACAACTGCATGTGTGTCTGCAAGGGGAAGTTCCAGAGCCAATCTGGAAGGTTACGTCTTCCATCCCAGCTCCCAAGAGCGAATGCAAGCGAGCGATCGTCCAGACGATCTTATCGCCTCATCGCCTTGGTCTGCTCTGTCTCTCGAGGTCATTTATCTCCAGGCTGAGAGCCCTCTAGGTCCCCGATGGCTCCCCGACATTTGGCCATGCTCGCCAATGACGAGTAGTGGTTGCATACAGTGCCTAATTATATCTGCAAATGAGATCCATTGTTCCTTTCTCAGCTCCGGTGTCAATGGGCAGCAGTTCGGATCTCGGAAAAATACCCTGAAAAGAGACATTTCATGGCGACCAGGATCGCTTAGCCTCCAGGGTCTGGGCTAGATCCATCCTAGTCGTGAGACATTTGTGGAAGCCCCGGAACTGTACAAACCTGCAAGCCTGCGACGTCTCCCTCGGTTTATCCGTGGATGTTCCCTCGGTTCGGTCGTCGCGCAAGTCAAGGGTCTTTTCAGGATATTTCGGAAGCAACTGTCACTGTTTGCAAAATCGCCGTCGAATCTGAGTTCCGGAAGCTCAACTCTTAGCGCCCTTTTATGGTTCCTTCATCTTCACTGAGCTTTCTCAGGGAGTGGGTTATCGGTGGACCTGCAAGGCTTCCAATCTCCCCGGCACCCGAGGGCCGACTCCCCAGGAACTTACCAGAAGCATACCATTGCCCCGGAGTTGTCTTTGACGTCTGCACCATCAAAAGTGAAGACCGCTGACGAAATGTTGATTTCTTTCGACCCTCGGAGGGCGAGAACTGACGGTTGAATAATGTCTTCCGCCAAGCTGTTCCCTCGTGTTCTCGAACGACCTAGGATCCATATTTTCAACAGTTCATGCGATCTTCGGAAGCCCGATCTCAAGAAAAGCAAACACCGGGACCGAAAAAGCAAAGTCCGTTGAACCTGGTCGGCAATCTTCAGAGTTCTTGTCACGTTGGTATTTCTGTGGCTCCCTGTCTTCGTGACAGATGCGCCCGAGCGACAGGCGACAAACACGGGGGTTCGAGAAGATCGTCGCTATCATCGTGAGCAGCAATGGATTTCCGAGCTGAGGCGGGAACCAGCCACTGAGTAATCCGTACGATGGGATTTGAGCTTTCCTCGATCGTTCGTTTCGGAGTAGTCGATTCTTGGTATTCGTGGCGTGTTTGGCCTCGGTGCCTTGTCAACGGTTGTGGGCTTGTGGGTCGACAGTCGAACAATTGCAGGAATCTGATAACACGACCAGGCAAGCATAATTTCCCAGGCTCCGAATTGAGCAAATAATCTCCGTTGTCTATCGGAGCAGCAGCAGCAGAGGCGACCTCGCAGCGAACGCTGGCAAATCCTTCATCTCGCAGCCGTTTCCTGTTTCAGGTGCTGTCCGAAATGCCCGCGGCTTTTCTCAGCCAGCAACCGATTCTGCCGCTGTCGTCCGCCCTCGCTTTGCCAACACTTTCCCTTTGTCTCTCCTGTCCGACAACATCCACCGCAGTGACACCTTGCAACTTCCTGGTTCGCTCCCTCAGCCCGGCATCTCCGGCCTGTTTCACCATCGTCGTCTCCATGTGGTGATCCACTCCCTCATGCTGTCATCCAAGAAGCCTTACGCGTCCCTTCCTGCGGTTTGGCCTGCCTAACCTGGTTGCTCTCCGGTTGATAACTGACCTGCCTTGGAGGGTATACAACACGACGTATAGCTGATAGTCCACATTGAAGGCATGTACATTTGCTCTGATGGGATCCACGGGTTTCCCTATTTCGGTGGTCAAGCCGACCAAGGCTAGTCGGTTACCTCTACCGACTGAGTGTGGGTATCCTGGTTCGGGGCCACGATGGGTGACACCGAGATTGTGGGGTAACCTCTTGGTTCGATAAAACTACTCCGGACTATATCCCAGATGCCAAGGTGGCCATGACTCGAACATTGCATGGAAGAATTTCTATGTGAAACTATCCACGGAGTTGTATGCTATAAGCCCCATGAGGGCCGTGACGGATCAGGCTGGATGATTCGTGCCTACTGCTTTCCTATGCAAGACACGCTGGCTCTGCGGTTGACCTTGGAAAACGCATGACCCGGGCTCCCGTCGCCCACTCGGATTACCACCCGGACTTTGACAGCACGGGCTTCCCGGACGCAGCACGCTAAGCAGGTTCTACCCACCCGACCGACGACTGCGTGGTACCCGACTGAGGAGCACCACGCTCTTGCGAACGCTTCCTGATCGGGGCCGCCACGTGCATCGATGACCATGATGTCATGCCAAATAACCGCTCGATGTAGGTCTAGTCTCGCCAATCGGCTCTCGGAACTTGCAAGTTCCGGCAATGAGTCGATGTTGACCATTCTGTAAGTGTATGAACTGTGAAGAGGATGTCCAGGCAGTCGCGGCAAATGCTTGCGCCGGATTGGGCTGGATGAGGCTGAAGAACTCTTCCTCTTTGCGTCTGGCGTCGAGTATAGCATTAGCCTGCTTGGAGGACGACATTCTTGGGATGAAATGAACCGGACGTTGTATACGAGCGGAAATGAAACGGTCTTGAGTGTTCGTCGCTTCCCTGTTCTTATGGTGAACACCATGGTTGCTTTCTGAGCTTTAAGGGGGCGGTTGCCATCCGCCTGCTGTTGCTCGCTCCCATTCTGTTTGACATCAAACATCAGACTATGAAAGTCGACTTTTGCTTTCGATCTTCGGTCTTGGGAATCGTCAAAGGGTAGTGAAAACGCTCCACTGGTGAGGTCTCCCAATCCTAGCGGTGTCGACTTGAGAGAAATCTTCTTCCCCTGCTTGATACGAGGCCCTCCTGGACAGGCTGGAGGGTCTGAAGAAATGACCTCAAACCACATGTCTTTCAGCAACTCCGATGTTTGAGTGTCCTTCGGCAGCACGTCACTCGCTATCCATCCCATGCATGTGTTTGTTCCCTGAAGAGGTGAGAGGACTCGACCAACAACGCACTCCTGGCTCCACCAGCTCCTTTCGCGATACGAAAATCCTCCGTACATGTTGGCAACCCGCCCGAGCTTGGTAATGGCTTCGACGTCGTTCTCTAAGATGCTCGACATGAGCAAATGGTTGATGCTTTCGCCCGGGAGTACGAGACCAGAAAGCCATGCTCGCGTCACCCAGCCATCCAATATGGAATCTTGATCGCCCACGGGAGGCTGAAGTATCAGAGGCCGATATGATGAACTTCTGCTATACATGCTGTTTTCCAACTCCTCTCCGTTACCAAATGGGGCACTTTCCGGTATTGGTCGATTATAGGCGTCTCTTACTGCCCGGGACCTACCCTCTTGACCAATGTCCTGAAAGTGTTCCTTCAGTCCTGTCATATTTGGCCATCCGATGTTATCCGCAAAGAGCAACAATCCCTTGAGTTGCCGGTCGACATGGTCTGGTATCAACTCACATGCCCAGGCCGATTCATGCGCCTTTGTTGTGTCTGATAGTTTATGCGAATTCTTGAAGAAAAAGTGGTGCTGCTTTTCGTTTGGCGTACCCGCTTTGGGTTGCATGGCTGCTTCCCGAGGTTGTACAAGCCTGTAACAGAAGCAGAAGCTGTCCATGAATCGACGCACCGCGACCATGTCCCAGCTGACCTTTGGAGTCTGGAGCCGCCGAAAGTCCTGAATATCTCTTCTTGAGATTTGCAGATCCTCCGAGTCGCCTAGAAGGCCCAACCTGACTGTTGCATCTAAACGCAAGAGTAACTCAGCGGCGAGCACCATTTGAACGAGAAACCACTTGCGTTCCAAGGAAGAAAAAGCCCACGGCTTTTCGCATTTTGTCGGGTCAAGAAAGTCGCCGTCGCCATGCGGTGCCGCTTCCCATATGATTTGTCCAATACGCAGACGCCACTCGGGCAGACTGAAATCGAACCACGCGCCCGGCGTGGCCAATACGATGGCCAGAGCCTTTATTTGCGATTGAATAGAGTGCGGATCTTCGCCCTCTACCGTCATGAAGCGAGGTGGTCGATAGAGGAAGTTGTTGAAGAGTCCGCTGAACAGATCCAGGATTCCTTCCAAGTCAAGGATCGTTTTCGTCGTGTGGCCGTGCAATATTTCATGGCGGAGTTCCTTCAGCGCCTGTAGACGCGTCACCAGCCTTTGCATATCGATGTCCCGAACACCAATCCTCTTCCAGGCAATTGGGCCGTCAAGCAGGAGTTTCTTTCGGTCGTGTACGGTTCCATCCTCGCAGAGAGCATACGGGAGGCTATGGTGCTCCATCAACTCGTATGCTTCCATGGCGGGCATATTTGAGAGTCTCTTGAAGTCGGCCTCTGCACTTGCCCGCGGCGGGCCCGTGAAGCGAATGGCGTCTGCCACCGGAAGCTCGAGGAAATAATGCAAGCCGACCGATCCTGGCTCCTTGCCGTTGCTCGAAAGCATGTTTGGGACCTCAAACATACCCAGGTCCAGGGTCGCTCTTTTCGGTGACTCCCTGTGTGTCCAGCTGTCCAACTGCACTGGTGTGTCCCCTTCAATCATCCAGTCGCCTGGGATCGGAAGATGCGCATGAAGTGTGCTGACGGTGTACGAGGGATATGGGAGGGCGCGCCTGTCCCACAGGCTTTGTATCGTGGGGTCATGGTCGTCGAATGGAAAGATGACGTGCGGATACCAGTATCCCTGCTTTCCTTTCTCTAGGAGAAAGTACGGTGCCCCGGAGAAAATCACCTCGATGTCGTTTCTCGTCAGTTCGTACTCGGCACAACCCTCGCTGCTTGTATCCGAGTCGCGCTTGCGATGTTGTGCGCTATCACGGCGGGTTGGGCTTTGCGAACGGCTTGGTTGGGGTGACCTAGCTGGCGAGACATGTTCCTTTCGAGATCAGATGTGGCTTGGTGGTACCGCGGGATAAGACTCACCGAAGCACTGGAATCCTCCGAAGACCATCGATGCCGACGAAAGAAACTGCGAATCTTCGCCTGAAACCGTCTATCCTGTCCTTGAATACTCGGCGCTGACGACCGCCTGGGTAGCATCCGCGCCGGCAAAGCATCGTCTGCCGCAGGCGACCCCGCCGCAATGGAATGGCGACGCCCGAAAAAAGCCGACATCGTTTCTCAAACACTCTCACCTCGGTAAGATGAATGATATGATTGCGACTAGGTTGTCAGAAGATCTTTGTTTGCTCCGGCTCGAGCTTTTGGCGGCTCAGCTGATGTTGAGGCAGGATTGGTAGGTTTCCCGAGGTGTCATTGACTTGTGGTGACGTCTGCGATTTTGTGGAGGCGAAATGGACATCGGCCTACCCCGGGAGGCCACGATAACAGATTACTTCGGAGTATGCACGGGTTTTCCCCAAGGTTAAGGTTTTAAACGCACGGCACACGCATCCGAACGGTACGGTGCGGAGCGTTGACGTCTCAGTATGCTTTTTTCAACGGTCACCAGGGGCGTGGTTAATGTTGATGCTGACTCCTGGGTTTGTAGCTGAAGTCAACTCGTTGACTTTTTAGTTGACTTTGCGGACAATCGAAGGTCTCATTTCTCGTGAACTATCGAGTATGATAGACCGGTGAAGGGTGGGAGTTTAGACTTCAACTATGCTTTATTATGTAACGTCCTTATTTGAACCTACACATGATAGCTAGGATTTGCCCTCTCGTTGGAAATCATCAATTGAGAAGCTGCTTGTGGTGGAGACGCAACAGTATGTACAGTAGAGCATAGACTCGACTAAAAAGCCACGCGCCTACGCATGCTTCTGCAAAAAGTCCAGCGCAGTGCGATACCCCCGCTCATACTCCTTGCGCACCTTTTCATCCTCCAAGTTCGATCTCGCAGCCATCCACCCATGGATCTGATCCGGGAACGTCTCGACATAGTTGGGCACATTCAGGTTCGCCGCAAAGGCACTAACATCCTCGGGCTTTTCATCCTTGGACGCCAACAGCGCCATGGGCACACTGACCCCAAGCGCATCCTTCGGATCCAGCATGGCCGGGTGACACTGCACAGCCGCCTTAAACGTCGTATTCTGCTCGCCCGCCGAAAGCACCGTAATCTTGCCGCCCCAGCAGTATCCCAGAATGGACCACGACTCGAACTTGGACCCTCCGGGCGCAAGACGATTCGCCTCGGAAACGACGCCCGGGATCTTGGAGAGCGTCGCGGGCGGCGCAGCCTTTGTGTTGAAGAAATTCCCTAGCTTCGCCTTGTGCTCGTCGGTCTTGGGCGGGAACCAGGTGATGTCTGCGGGTTCGCCCTCGAAGAAGTCGGGGATGAAGACGCGGTATTTTTGCGCCGACGAGGAGGAGAGGATGTCGGCGCCTTGCAGGGTCTGGGGGAAGAAGCCGAAGATGTCTGGCCACTCTTATCAGTATGCGAGAATGTGTTTCAGTTGGTCAAGGTGGGTTTGTTTGCACTGGGGAGCTATGCGAGGAGAGAGGAGGAGGAGGAGGAGGAGGAGGAGGAGGAGGAGGAGGAGGAGGAGATATGTACCGTAGATGACGAGGATGGCCTTTGTTGCGTCGGCGGGGCCGGTGACGTCTGGTTTTGTTCTTGTTAGACTGCGTAGACCAGAAACCAACTCTGAAGATGGAGGACGTACATGTCTTCAAGCCATTGATAGTCTTGTACTCGCCCTTGGGCTGATAGTCCTTGGCGATGATGGGGGGAATACTAGACCAACACCAGCGTCAGCGATCTCAGCAATCTCCAGAAAACGCCAAGCGACTCGGTGAAGGTGTCTTACGTGCAACAAGCCTTGCTAACACCAGACATGGCCGCGGACGAGCAGTGAATCTGCCGATGATTAATTCGGAATTGGAGCTGTTGTGTTGTCGATTGGCACGGGGAGCTCGGCAGGCGGGGTTGTCTCAGCGAAAGTACTACAAATCCTGAGCTAAGGACGGCGGACCTACGGAGCGGGTAGGTTAGAAGCTGGCGCGAGAGCATTAGAATTGGAGATGGAAGTGTAAATAGACGTACAATTAACGAGACTAGTTTCGAGAAGAGATGGTTGAGGAATGGTTGGGAGGAGAGGGAGTTGGAGAGTTCAAGCTGGAGTGAGAGGTGGTGAGCCAGCGACCCCGCGCGTCGACGTCATCTCGGCGTCTTCGGTTATGAGGACTGCGACCTGATCCTGGCTGTGTTGCTCACTGAGTGACCGGTTGGCTGCCGAAAGTGTTTCCTACGCATCTGTTTCAGATATCGTGCGACAGTCAGGTATCTGACTGACTGATCACTGGTCGATCGATAGTCTACATATATGACCTGTATCCGGCCGAAATCTATCCTCGGCACAGCCAGGCACTAGTCGTGCTGCCCAGCAAGCAAGGCTCCAACGGGGGCAGTGCCGCATGGGCGCCAGGCGCAGGCGCACGGCGCAGACCCTGACGGCGATGGCGGACGGGGGGAGGCGGCACGACCGTTGTGTGCCGACTTGGGCAGATTGAATCGAGTGAGCCAATGTCGAATAGACTTCCTGGTGCGCGCGAATAGACTACAATAGGAGACGCCACGACAGCGCAGCCACGGGCGCCATCGCTGCTTGATCAACGCTGAAGAATGCAGGAGGTCCGTGGAGTCCAGACTCCAGGCTCGTTGGCGAATTCCGGTGCAAGAGTCTAGACCGCGCAGATGAATGGATCTTGGATATTGGATATTGGATCATGGATGGACCTAGGATTCTATGATCCGTAGGAATGTCTTTGCGTTGGACCAAAAATGGTCCATCTGCCCGAACTGACTTTTGGCAGAAATGAGAGTGAGACTTTTGGAAATGAGAGGTTAATCAAGAGTTCAGAATTCAGAAAGGGACTCTTGTCTTGCCGGCCGGAGTTGACAGCTCCGCATGCCCAAGCGTGGGCTGGCTGAAGACCTCCTTTTCTCCCCTGCGATGCTGCAACACGAATCGAACATCACAATCAAAGACAGCATAATCAATTGAGCCGGAGAAACTTTGAGCTAGCGAGGGGCTGGACTGGTCAGCTTCCTGCTCAGGCTTGGGGTTTTGGCAAGTTTAGGCGTCGGAAGCTCTTTGTTTCTTGGGGGTTGGTTTGCTCCAAGGTGACTGGTCCGATCTCGCTCCAGAGTGTGTTTCTGCCCGTCTGTTTTGAAGCAGAGCTGTCATGGCCGCCACCCACGACCCACCGTACCGACAGGCTGGGCCGGCGGAAGCGAGGGTTTCGAGTGAAGCCTCCAGGCTTGCGGCGGGCGCCTGGTGAACTCGGTCAGATCCCTTGAGCAGCAGGTGAAAAGACTCAATTTGTGAGAGGCCCGCATTTTTCCGACCAAGACACAATAATGCATGAGGACCAATCAGGAAAAGTGAACAAGAAACCAAGTGGGACTGACCAGCTGTTGATTGGCTGTTTCTCGGAGCCGGCGGGCCAGAACACCTGACGGGCTGATTTGGAGGGACTTTTGGCAGGTGACCAGACAAGACCAAGCGCTCCCAACCTCTCGCTTGCTTTGGACAGTGTGGAATGGCCCGGATATTAATGAATGGCATTCGACCTCTGTCCGTGCCACTGGATACGAGCCTGGCAAAAAGGTTCTCGCCAAGGCTGGTGTTGTCTGATCGATCTTGACCTGTTCCCAGACTCAGCGCAGAGCTGTCATGCAGCCGCGCAACGCAAGGGAAGCTGGTTCCAGGTTGCTTTTTTTCGCGTGCCTCTGCGTCGAGGAGTGGGAGGGTTAGTGTTTGCAGTGAATCATCGATCTGGGAAAGATATCTGGGGCGTAGACGATCTCCAACTACGTTGAACGGTGGGACTTGGTCTTCCCTGTCAACCACGTTGCCGAGCTGATCACCGTTGCTCTGGAAAGGGTCTGAACATTCATTCATCAACAGCGGACAGGTGAAGACTAAAACAGTTCTGAAAGGATAATGAGAATAATCACTATTATTATTCCTGTAGGCCGGAATCCAGACTATCGAAGCCGACTCCTTAGCTCGCCTCGTTTCTTTTTCCTTCTTTCGCTCCCTTCCTCCTTTTTCTTCCTGCTTTTTCACCCCCGCGTTGGCCAGGCCTCGACAGACTCTGCTGGAATCTCGAGATATAATCGCGCGCACAGCTGCCTCTCGCCTCGTATTTGCCCGCTTCTGCCTCTTTTGCTCCCGCTCCTCTCTCGCTCCTTCCCTGAGATCATCACCCATGGATGTCTGACTGAGCTCTGAGCAGACGCGAGACCCGCGCTCCCTCACCCCAGGCCATGCCTTTGTCCTGATTCTCCCGACCTCTTTCTTTCAGCCAGCCCAGCCCCTGGTCCACCGACCACACAGTCCAGCCCAAGCCAGTCCTGCACGTCCCTGTACCACTCCCCGCGTGGGATTATGTCTAGTAGTGCCACTGCTTCTCCTCCCGGCCGATCCATTACTGCTCTCAGAGGTCGCGCTCTGCGATCCCCCTCGCGCTGGATCCTCCTGACCTGACTGGCGCCCTGCCTGGGAATCGATACTGGTCGCTGCCGCTGGGAGCCGAGCAGTTTGCGTATCCCCCGACACACCCGACGCTTCCTTCTTCAGCCTTGCCCTTGACCGTCGCTCCGGGACCACCTGCACCGGCCAACGCAAACCTGGCGACTCTTGCCATCACCCCGGGGATGGGGACGGCCCTGGAGCCTCATGCCCCCCAGCCGCTCACTGCCCGTCGTCCTGCTGCCGCCCAGCTGCCCACCTTTGAGCTGCCCCCGCCCATCAAGTACCCGCTCCAGTCGCATCCATTAAATCACCCGCATCTCCCTCCGCCAAATTCCAGTGTCAGCAACCTCATCACGCAGACGACCCAGGGAACCGAGAGTCTCGCGGCGGCCGCGGCGGCGGCATCGACCGCAACGGTGGCCGCTCTCACCGCGACCACGTCCAGCGCGGTAGCAAGCAGTACGCCTGTTTCAGCTTCTCCCGAATTAACTTCATATTGGGCGAACCCAGGTTCATATAGCGGCTCCTCGGGCCGCCAACCGTCGTGGACGCCAGGCCTCGCCTCGTCCTATTCCAATCGAGATCCGTTCTCGCCCTCGTTCAACCCGTCGATCCATCGAAATCCGGCGACCTCGACCCCCGGCGCCGACAACACGATCCCTTCCGCGTACGACATGCACCAGCTGCCTCCCTTTCACCAGCAGTTGGGCGGTTCCGCTCCGCCGGCGCATCCGGCGATGGGACACTCCATGCTGGGCGCTTCCCCCCACCCATCGCATCCGTCGCTCCCCTCGAACGATCCGTACCTGGCCAAGTCCTCGTCTGCACCGGCCTACGGCGCCGTGCAGCAGCTGTCGAGCCCCTCAGGAGGAGCGTACCATCCGTACGGAGCACCACCGCCACCACCGCTCGCAATGCACCACCCACCTTCACGCGTCGCGTCAAATCCACCGCCGCCGCATCTCAACTACCAACGCCCACCGCCGTTCCCCTCATATTCGCTCCCGGCGATGCCCGGGCCCATCATGTCGAATGTCCATAGCCCCGGCGGGCAAATGTCGCTCTTGGGACCGTCTCTGCAGTCGGGGCTCCTCCCAGGCTTCAATAGCGGGCATGTGGCCAGCATGCAGCAGATGTATGGGGGTCACCACCCGCCGCATCCGGGCCACGCGGGCGGACCGACGAATGACCGCCCGTTCAAGTGCGACCAGTGCCCGCAGAGCTTCAACCGGAATCATGATCTCAAGCGACACAGGCGGATCCATCTGTCTGTCAAGCCGTATCCCTGCAGCAACTGTGACAAGAGTTTCTCGCGCAAGGATGCACTCAAGGTATGCGTTTGATTGCTTCTGGTGAAGGGAGGTGTTTCATGCTAACTCGTCGTGCAGCGACATCGACTGGTCAAGGGGTGTGGGAGTGGAGAGCCGGACGAGGCGAGACCGATTAAGGAGGAGGACAAGGGCGACGCAGCGAGCGAGAACTAGTATCCGAAACGGCGCTGCAGCGAGCAAACATGGCCGCTGCCGCCGGCAAGCAAGCACGACCCTCGGGAGGCCGCCGCGAGCCGCCGCGAGGAAACTCCGAAAGCCACTCCGAGACCGCCGAGACCGCGCACGACGACCGCCGCACACGATGACCAAGGTCGCACCACTCCACACGCACTGGATAGACGGGAGGAACGACAGAAAGACGGAGACAAGGGAGAAATTGCACTTGGACGGAAACGAATACCAAGGAGTTTGGATGGAAGAAGGAAAGGGAACAGGAAAGACAGGCAGGACGGGATGGTGTTTCGGCCGCTTCTCATGGCATGTTTGTTCGGCGTTATAGTATTCTTTCTCTGGCACTCGAGACGACGTTGATTGATTGATTGATTCCACACGTGGAACGTCGCGGGATTACAAGATCACCTTTAGGGCTGGTGTTTGCGGTGTCCTCTCGTTCAGAGTTGTATCTGTAGCCGCACTGGCATTTTGGGTTTGTGTCAGTGTCACTGTTGCTGTTTTCTGTATGACTCCTGCGCGACATTGTCTACTCTATTTTGTCTTTTCTGGCGTTGAGCGAGATATATAGCCTGTCATTCATCACTTCACCACCATCTAAACTTCTATTTCCTCCCACAGACAAGCCAAGCAAGCAGCAACCTTGTGGAGTTCTCTTTAGCATGCTCAAATCACTCCTCCTCCTGGCGGCAACCGCCACGCTCTCCAGCGCCCGCTACGCCGTGACCCTCTCCCCAACCCTCCACACCGGCCCCATCACCGCCGACTATCTCACCCCCAGCCCCGACCAATCCGACCTGGATGCGCCCAAACTGTCGCACGCCAACGCCTCCACCTTTGACTGGTGGACCTTTGACGCAATCGCAATCGAAAACCCCAACGTCTCCCTCGCCGTCACCTTTTCCACCGCCGGCCCCGTGGGCTACCCGCTCTCCCTCCCAAACACGACGCACATTGAGCCGGTGCCCGGAAACGGGTCGCAGTCGAACAACGGCGCGCTGTGGGCGCACATCTGGGCGACGTTTGAGGATGGCCGGAGGCTTTCGGTGGCGGTCCCTGTTGAGACGGCGAGGATGAGCGGCAGTGGGGACTCGAGTATTGCCATCTGGCATGGCGGGGGTGGGTGGATGGGGTCCGAGGAAGGGTACGAGGTGGAGATTGAGGTGAATCGCACCGAGGCGAGGGATGGGCTTGAGCCGCTGAGGGTGCTGGGGAGGATCAGTTATGAGAAGGTATCCATCCATCCCGCTGTAATCCCCTCCCTTCCCTCCCCGTCTTGATTTCTTTCTTTTGGATACTGCGTACTGGAGGGATCCATCCACTGGAGGAATGACAATGCTAATCAGCTGGGCAGATTGCACCCTCGCACTCGCACTGCTCGATCCCAAACAACTTTAGCACATCCCTCGGCCTCGGCGAGCAGGGGCTCGGCTGGGTCAGCGTCATGCCCGATGCGATTGCGAGCGTTGATGTCGATGTCAACGGGACGAGGCTGCGGTTTGATGGGTATGGGTCGCATGACAAGGTACTGTACTGTACCTTTCTATTTACCTCTCCTACCCTGCCATATCCTCTACTCTACCTCTTTACCCTGCATATACACAGCGTAGAGTATATACCCTCGCAACCCCGAAGCTAATGTAAACCAGATCTGGAGCAACCGCCCCTTCACGCAGACCACAAAATCCCTGACCCGTGGCCGCGCACACCTCGGCCTGCACTCCATCTCCTGGCTCGCCTACACCCCCCTGCACTCCCCCTCCTCCCCCAACGACATCCCCCCGACCCTCGTCTCCTCCTCCATCGCCCGCGACGGCAAACCCGTAACCGCCGGCTGCGCCTCGAATAGCGTGACCATCGAGCCCTCCCGCGAACAGACCGAGGGCGGGCTCGTCAGCGGGTTCGCGGTGTCGGTCCCCGGGGCGAGGCTGAGTGTTGCGACGGATGTCGAGGAGCGCGGCGGCGGGGGCGGGGCGGGTCGCGAGGGCGGGTATGTGCGCTGGAATGGGAGGGCGCGGGGGACGGTGGGGGAGGGGGAGAGTGCGGTTGATGAGGAGGGGGTTGCGATGTTTGAGAGGTTTGAGTATTGATCAGCCCTATCTGCCTATCTGTTGGGGTTTGGAGGGGAGGGGTGTGGATGGGTGTGCGCTGCTTGGAGCTTACAGGGCTTGAGGTGGATGAATCGATGATGGATGGGTGGGTGAATTCTGTGCTAGGGGATATTAGTTGACGGACTCTTGGTACGCTGTCTGGGATGCGTATGCGTTTGAAGGGTTAACTGGTACCGAGTACCCTATTACTGTGGTTCCTGGACTAGATACGCACAGGCGTTCCGGGTACCGACACGGAACTCCGGCAGGATGATAGGATAGAAGAAATGAGAGTAGATCAGAATGGAATAAGCGAAATAATCGGGTATGACAAACAAGACAAGCACATGGTAGATACTGATTCAGCATCGTAAACAAAACCCCTCCGGCAGTAACATCCATCATCTCGTCCATCAGCCCTATACTGTTGAGTATACCCCATGCCACCTCGACACCCTAGTAAACCCTTTCTTGCCCCAGTTGCAACCCCTCGCTGGCAATCCACTCCCCCAGGACGCCCCTATAATCCTCAACCCCACACGGCTCAACAAACCGCTTCCACCCACTCCCTTCTTTCCTCACGCCACTAACCCCCAAATCCTTCAGCAGAACATCGACATAGGGAATTGCGTCAAAGACGAAATCTGGATTCCGTTTGCCGAGCCCGCCGGGGTATCGGTGCACCCCGAATTGGGTGTGCAGGGCTGTTTCCCAGAGGACGTTTGCTTCTGCTTGTGTAGGGGCGGATTCGCAGGGAGATGTAGATGGCGAGGTGGATGCAGTCGTTTTCTCAAGGAGAGACGCCACGTCCCCGGGACACGTCTCCGTCACCGTGTCGTCGAGCGAGAGGCGGTTCGAGAAGAACGCCGTGACCCAGAGCGCCTGCGTCTGGGCAATCAGAGACGTGTTGATCGTCATGGGCACGCCGACAAACGCGATGCTGCGCTCTTGCGCCAGTTTCCCCACGGGGACGATGAACCGGGTGAGCCGGTACGGATGCAGCGCCTGCGCCTCGCTCTGCGCGTCCTGTGCGAGTGGTGTATACGGCGCCGGACGATCCACGACGGGCCGCGTCTTCAGTCTCGGAAACCGGCGGAGGATCTCCTCGTCTGCCGCTGCCACGAGTGACGCAGGGAGCGGATCCGGCGCGGAGGGGAAGCCCAGTTCGGAGGGCAGCGTCGCGGGCCGGAATTCGATCTCCGGCGTGGGTTTCCAGCCCGAAGCCACGATGAGCGCGTCAATGTTCAGCAGCGGCGGCGAGTTCGCGAGGTGGATGGTCCCGTTCGCATCGAGAGCCGTGATGTGGTCCGTGTGGATGCGCACTTTGTTCGTCTTGGTGACGAGATCAAAGAAATCCGTCGGATAGTTGAGGATACTCAGCCCGCTCGCGACCCAGAACGGCGAAATCCAGGGCTTGAGCTTCTTCGTCTCGGGATGCGCGTCGAACCGATTCAGCGTCTCGACGTCGTTCCTCAACACGCCCCAGAACGCATCCACAATCTTCCGCCCCGCCCACGTCCCGTGCAAGAACCCCCTCACCCGCGCCCCGCCATCCGCAACAGGCTCGTTCCAGATACACGGGCTGAACCACTGCAGAAGCCTCGTCGCAGTCAGCTTCTCAAGCCACCGCTTCAGCGGCGTCACGTACGCGGGACTCATCCACACGGGGCCGTGCCCGTTGTCGCGGATGATCCAGTCGACGGATGCGCCTGCGGTGGCGGCCGCGTACACGGCGTCCCAGGCGGACTTTGTCGCGCCGTAGATGGCGATCCGGCTCGAGGGGTTTGTGACCACGGACTTGTGGTACTGCGGCATCGAGCTGGTGTGTAGGACGGGGGCGCCGAAGGATTCTTGGCCGGGGATGTGCGGGAGGTAGGGTTGCGATGTCAACCCCGTTGCGAGGATGAGTTTGCGGGTGCGCAGTACTTTTGTCTCTGTCGAGGATTCTCCTTCTGGAGAGCTGGAGAGCGTATACGTGATCCGCCACGGAAACTCAACCCCCTCGCCCTCCACATGCTCAACAACCCCCACCCTCGCCCCTAACCGAATCGACTCCCCCAACCCAAAATGCTCTACATACCTCTCCAAATACGCCAGCACAACATGGCCAGGGATATGTTCGCCCTCCTTGACACCAAACGAATCATCCATGGGGAAATCCGAGTACTCGTATGTGCCGCGCATGTTGTTCGCCTTGAGGCCGTCCCACAGCCGGTCGCGCGCCCAGACGCCGCCGACGGACGAGGCGCTTTCGACGAGGCATGTCGAGGCGCTCGGGTGGATTTGCCGATATGTTTTTAGGGCGGCGAGGCCAGACCAGCCTGGGTTTGTTAGTTGACTGGGGGATGGATTGGGGGGAGGTGTGGTGAGTGAGGTGAGGTGGTGGAGGGGTGAGGAGGGGAGGGAAGGGGGAATGTGGATCGGGTTTGGGAAGGGATGCGATGGAGGGAAGTACCAGCGCCAATGACTACAAGATCGAGACTCTCAATCTCGGACTTGTCGGTCATGATGGAGATGTGTGTATGTGCACTTGCAGTGCAGTGCAGTTGGAAACGCAGAGAGAGAAAAGAGAGAGAGAAAGTGATACAGCGACAAGACCAGGCAATATGCGCGAGTATCCGTATGCGTGCTCAATCCCTGTCCTCAAGGAAACAAGCAGTAGGGAACCCCAGACAAAGACTGGATGCAGCGGCCCGTTGGTCGGCCCATGGGAGAATATATATCACCGACAGATCCATCTGCAGCTGCAAGTGGAAGGAATTGTCATGTGCGGAGCTTCGACCCTCGTCGGCGCTGCAGAATGCGTCGCGCGAGGAGTGGAATGGAGGCAACTCAAAGTTAGTGAGCAGGCGGACTGTCGAGTGTCTCCATTATTTCCGCAGGCGAGGCAGCCAACCCGTCGCCCGCTCCACTTGTTTCACCCATTCAACATTCCCCGCCCTCACGGAGATTAGTACGATGATAGTTACTCGAGTTAGACTAGACTAGCCTAGAGATAACGGATAGACCTGCATGATGATCTCGGACAGACTTGCCCAGCGCACTGTTCGTCGCTTTCCCCTTGGCTACAATACTCCTGCCGGTGAGGTGTCATGGGTGATCAATTATAGATCGAGACGGTGTGATATAGATCTGACCGCGCCTTGGCAGGCGCTAGTCGCACAAGGATTCAATGTGATTTGTACGATCGCGCGATTCGGACGATTTGGAATCGCGCGCAGGAATAGAGTTTGCATGGTCCGGCTTGGTTTGCTTTCCTGGCCAGAAGAGGCTGCGGATTTTGCTGGTCGCGGACCCTGTGGACTTTTACCTGTCAACCTGTCAAAAGCACCGCCGATCGCTGCCCACTTTCCCCTCCCACTAACTGCGTTAAGAAACGACCTTCACTGTTAGACTTCTGCACTTGTCTAGTTCACAGGTTAGAATCGGGAACGCAGTGGACTCGAGTCTCAACGGTCGAAACTTCTGTGCAGAATGATGGATCCCATTTGATTATCTCTGGTCTGGTCTGGTCTGGTCAAGCAAGTGATCGTCGATGGGGAACTGATGGATACACCAGATATGGAGCGTTTGCGATGTGTAAATTTCTTCAGGAGACTCATTTCCTACCTGCTACATACGTATGTACCTCCAGTATACATCCCGTTCCGACGCAAGTGCAAGTGCCATGTGGAGAGTGCAGTGGGAAGAGAAGACTACATAACAACGTAAGGGACGGCCTGCCCAGATGTATCTCTGTAAACGCCCATTTCACTTCTTGTGAATTCGACCGTGTGCCACGCTACGCCACCCCGTCCAGTCCGGTCCTGTTTACTCTAGTTCTCCTCTGGAGGGGAGAAATCTACCCTGCCCAAGCAACTCTCCCACCATGTCATCCTTTGAGATCGAAGCATTCACCCTCCTCGCCCTCGCCATCATCGCCATCACAGTCCGCATCGTCGCAAGATGGACCGTCGCGGGGCCCAAGAATTTCCAGCTCGATGATTATCTCATGCCACTGGCCGGGGTACGTCGCTTCCCCGTCTCTGCTCTCCTCACCCTCATCCTCCCAACCCCCAACTAACAAAAGTATGGTATAGGTAGTCTACGGCCTCGAAACCGGCGCCGCCTACAGCGTCGGCGCCTGGTGGCGCGGGCTCGCGAATAACGCCATGAGCGACGCCCAGCGCGCAGAACTCGACCCGCTCTCGCAAGAGTACGCCTGGCGCGTGGGAGGGTCCAAGACGCAGATCGTTGGCTGGTCGCTGTATACGACGCTCCTGTGGTTGCTGAAGGCGTGCATGGCTGTGTTTTACTCGAGGCTTACGTGGGTTCTCGCTTTTCCTTCTCGCATTGATCCTGAATCCTAGATCCTTCTTTGGAGTGGTTATGTAGTCGATAAGCTACGCATACGTCCACGTCCACGCCCTCCCATCCATCCAAAAGTCCAACTCAACTAACCAGTCTATCCAACGATATACAGGGCCGGCCTGATAAACATGCACCTCCGCGTCAAAATCGCATACGCCCTCATCGGCGCCACCTACATCGCCGTCATCTGCTCCATCCTCTTCGGCTGCCACCCGATCCAGAAGAACTGGCAGATCCACCCGGACCCGGGCAATTACTGCCAGCCTGCCGTATCCAAGATCGATGTCTATGTTACAGTCACGTTGAATGTTGCCACGGATGTTTATTTGATTTCGATTCCGACGCCGGTAAGTGGCTTCTCCTATCCTATACTTACTACGCGAATGGGGGATATGGTATGGACTGACGATTATGTGATGTATTGTGGATAGATCCTCTTCAAAGCGCGCCTCCCCTTCCGCGAGAAACTCGAGCTGCTTGTCCTCTTCTCCGGTGGGATCTTCGTCATGGCCGCTGGTATCCTGCGTTGCGTGCTCATCGTCACTGTACGTCTCACACCTTCTCGCTTCCCACATACTCTCTCTCCCCAAAAAAAAACGCAATATTAATAACCGGGCACAGGCCGGCGCAAACGGCGCCCAACAAGCGGGCTCCTGGGCGTGCCGGGAAACCTTCGTCGCCGTGATAATCGGCAACGCGCCCATGATCTACCCATTCTTCCGGCGGCTCGCCAAGCGCGCGGGACTCTACCTTACAACGCGCGCGTCGACGCGCTCGCGGACCCGAACTCGAACTCGCTCGCAGAGCTACCCGCTCTCGGACGGCGAGGACCTGAAAGTACACGGGAAGAGTAAGGATAGTACCCAGGTTTCGAAGAAGAGGCGGTTTCGGCATCCGCTTTCCCTGCCGGAGAGTCAGTGGCGGGATGATGAGGGGACGCTCACGGGGACGGGGACCGGGACGCTGACGAGGGGTGGGAGTGGGAGTGCCAGTAGAGGAAGTGGTCGCAGTGGCAGTGGGAGTGGAGGGAGTCGGGCGGGCGACGAGGTTGGGATTCTCGAGATGCATCCGCTGCCTGTGTCGCCTCTGTCGCCGGGCTCCAGGGACCGGAGTGGGAGTTTGAATGCAAACGGCGGCAGGGTGTTTACGGGGTATAAAGACGACGGCGGCGCCGAGGCCACGGTTACGAGTCTGAGTCGGAGTCGCGGGCGCAGTGCGAGTGATGAGGATGACGAGTTGGAGATGGGGATCAAGGTTGTCAGGGAGACGATTATCGAGAGGGGGTAATACGTCCAGGATCTAATTTCGGTGAAGAGGGAGGGTTGACGGGGTGTTCTTTTCGTTGTATCTATTTTTCTACCTCTTGTTGTGGGATTTCGGACACTGCTATAGCATATTTTCTATGTAGAATGGGGTTATCGGGTTATGTATATAGAGAATTCAGAGACATGAATACCAAGTAGTCTCCTATCTCACCTCCATACAGCAAAAAGCACCACAGCCTCCTCCGTAGACCACAGACCGGCCCGTTCAAGTCAAGCACAAGCATGCCCAGCGGAAACTGCGGCCAAAATGTATACTATACAAGGTTGTGACTTGTGATATGCGATGTGAGATTTGGAATTGAGTACATACATACATTAAATTTGCCCCACAACCCCTTTGAAGGTACCTACGTCCCCTGCTGTAAAGTCCGAGTGGTACAAGAATCCAAAGCTCAAAGGAACTTGGGTACCTACAGGTCCCATCATCCCATGCAAGGGTGATGTTACACCGTCGCACCAACCCTCGGGGATGGAACTTATCTCCCCAAGCTATAATCGCCGAGTGGATCGCGTCTGGATGACGTGGAGCTTCGAGAAAGGGATGAGTTATTCTCCGAGGCAGAAAAAAGCGCGGGGGGCGGTTTGGGGGAGGGGAGGGGGAGATGGAGATTTTGACGGTGTTGTGCGAGGTTGATCAGATTTATAGTTCCCCGGACACCACGACGTTGTCTTTATCTCTTTTTAGATTATTACTAAATCTGACCAGGAGGCACCATAACTTGTCGCCTGCTGACCTGGCTGACCTCCTGAGATCGGACTCAAAATCGGTCCCGGTGAGGGTTGCGGCGACTGCTTCTGGAGAGAGCGGGTTTGTTATGCATGCAGCAACAGATCACTTGCTTGTTGAGGTCTTATTGTTCTCCCATGTTGTGCAGAAGATGGGTTAGTTAATTATCTGTCCCCATGATTGACTATACTACTCTACAAGCAGCCCATCGGGTTGTTCCCAAACCAGTTTGGTGCGAATTTGAGAATGAAAAAGGTTAGATGATGCCTTCTTAGAGGACGATCTGATAAAGGTCCAAGAATACTTGTTAGTTCTCGCCCTGTGTAAGATGGTGATGATCCGTAACTGGGGGAGCTTCTCGCTTCTCTTGTCAGGCACAAAGGACAGGGCGCCTGATGCCTGGTATCTTTGCAGGAACCCAAATCCGTTTCCCCGCTAGGCGATCTCGAGTTAAGAAGCGTTGAATACTTAAACTAGTACGGCCTTTCTTTGCTCCTTCTCCTTCCAACTAACCTACCATGTCCCGGAGCCAGAAACTAGAAATCTTTACCTACGCCGACTTTGACCTTGAAGCATTGTGTCGTCGAGCAAGCAACCTGCGCCAAGATGCTTCATGTGTCTGTGACCCAGACCAACGTCCTGCCTCGGGAAGTTTCAACTGGGCGGTTTTTATTCTTTTTGATGATGGAACAAGGTGGGTATTTAGATCTCCACATAAAAGAAGGTCCATTCTATTAGAAATGCGCAGAAAGATACTAGCGAGCGAGGCAGTAATACTCTTATATCTAAGAGCTCACAGCGATATTCTAGCTCCAGAGTTGTTTGACTATTAGTATGAGGCAGTGCTACCTATACCACTCTGCTCCTAATATACCATAGTACTACATTAAAGAACCACATTGGGATTCCATTTATCCTGATAAGTAAGGCTCGCGGTGTGCCACTTTTAATATTCTAGACACCAGCCCATCCCTCCGAATTGAAGCTATGTGACAAGGCCAAAATTCTGTCTTAATTAGGTGCTATTACTTGGAAACTCTTATAGTTATAATTTAGTAAGATAGGCTCCTATCTTAAAGACTAAGGAGCTTTCTAGATTACGGAATATCTCTCACGTAGTTATGTGTTTAATAAAAGGTTTTCCCTAGATATCCCACGCGGGCCTTTTTACTCTAAGAAGGAATCCTATAATAGCGTTATTTTAACATTCTTAGAGCACACCAAAATACTGAATATATCTTATTACTATTTTATAGCGCCAGTCCCTAAGCAGAACAAATATGACACCTATAGTGAATATGTACAGGCTGTAGACTTATAGAACAACTTTATGACTGTTAGTTATAAAAGTGAATCATTAATAAATAGACTAGACTATATTATTATGGGTAGCACTCTACGCGAGATTATATAACACCTTGGCCTTGTAACAGACAACTCAAACTTATTCCCCCTATATCACGCTGACCTGAGTGTCAGCAACATCTATATAGATAAAGAGTTTAACATCACCTGCATCATTAACTAGGGCTTCGCTTCTTCCGTTCCTGAATTCATGCTGTTAGCCCCCCCCCGGTTTGCCACAGTTCCGAGATGAAATCAGCCAAGAGTTGTATACACCCTTCATTAATAGCTTCCTTTCTGCCATACCCGAATCCTCTGAGAAGACATTGGCTTACTGATATCAAAAGTTACAGGGCTTCAGCCAAGTCTCCTAGAGGCTAACTCGGCTTCTCAGCCTTAACTCTTTAGATGACTACAACCTCTTTGCTACAGCCTGGGACTTTGCTCATGGTCCTTTAAAGGACCTAGAACATTACCTGCTAGCACAGCGGCGTTCGGACCATTTTTCTCAAATTTATCGCAGGATTCAACAAGATGATATGCCAACTTCACAAATCAAGAGGGATGGACAGGAATATTTTAACAACAAAACTCTAAGGTACACAGTCGCCAAAAAATTGACACTCAGGAATGGGGGACGCAACATGACACCACAAATTCGCCAAGATTTCAAAAACGAATGTTTCTTGCGGATTCCAGATTATGGAAGTCAATCATGCGATCCATGCAGGACTGTGAGGATATATCTCGATACATAGTGATTCTAAAGCTATGAGAGGACTGAACAATATGGTAGTATCAATAATAAGACAATCCACGTTGACAGCATTGCCCCCTTGTGCTTTGGCGCGGCATGTGATTGATATGAATTCCTCTGCTATTACCAGCCGCCCACCCTTCTTCTCCTCATTTTCTCCCTCTCTTCTGCGTAAGGATAGAAGGAAGATGCCGCGCGGATACACCCAGTTATACAAACTGTGTCCCCGCTCCTTTCTCTTCGCCATCGTCGCCAATGTCGGCCCCGATGGCGCTAGCCGCTCCCTGGCCGTTGCCTACCGTCAGGGTAACGACGCCAACTCAGCATCATTTCCGTCGCGCGTGAGCCACTTCGTGGCAGACACCCTTGCACTGATCGAGATCCTTTCAGATCCCGCGAACCGCGCGCCGCTCGAGGCAGAGAGGTCCCTCGCTGAAGGCTGGTATCGTGACGAAGTCGAATGTAGTGATCGGCCGAGCGTTCCGGACAGGCCGCAGCCGCCTTTCCTCGTGCCCGAGGGCTACTCTTGGGCTAGGCAGATGCATCCACAGCCTCAGCTGCCGTGGGATGGTGATGCCTCCCGCGAGTTTCCCTTTATAACAACATGCCTTTTGTTGGGGTTGTTGCGCGACAATAGGGACGGCAATGCCAAAACCATGAGAGACAACCGCTCGCGCCTGAGCGACGTTCAGCTGCAGCCACTATCCACTGTATTCCGAGGCGACTGCATTGAGTATGGACTTATCGTTCTCGATATTTCCGACCTCCATAGCGGGATCAAGTACGGTATTACTGCCTTCCCGGTCTGCTATATGGCCGAGGTTCACTACCGCGACTGCTTAGGCCACTGGGATCCCGTCGAAGACCCCCCACCGGCGAAGGAGCCTGATGTTGTACCCGGCCAACGACCTCGAGAGTTGTTGTCCATTCATCAGTGGCGAAGCAGGTACTTCTTCGACAGATTTATGGGCGATGGCCCCAGTATCCGCCGCCTGGATGGAATGCCACTTGCTGGCTCAGCAGCATTGGATTGTAGGTCTGCTTCCACGCCACCTGTCCGCCAGGGGGTCAGGATGCTTTGCATTAACTGACTACATGGTAGATATTTGTCCATTGGAGACCTATAAGCCTGAACCTAAGTTCCAGGCCCAAGAATCTTGGAGAATGAAACGTCTGTGAAATACTCTCGCTTGCCCATGTTAACCCACATCTTCCGCAAATGCTTACCTATTAACCAGTCTTGTGGCCGAACATATACGGCGACCCGCCGAAAGACTGGTCTACGGATAGCGAAGAAGATTATGACAGCACAGGATCATTGAGTGCTACCATCCTAGAGGAGCCGCCGCAAAAGTTTTCAGACGAGATAGCCAGCGGCATTGATGATCTGCTGGATCTCACACAGGAGCCTGCAGAGCGTTCACTCGAGGAAACAGTGATTCATCGAATCCAAAACCTGGCTGAGCATCGAGAGCAGCTGCGGCAACGGCTCGAGGAGGCGTCAGATAGGCTGGGCCCCTCTAAGATCTCAAGCCATCTTTTGCGTGTTGCGTACGCCGGACACAGTCACCTCAACTGGGTCGCGTTTCAGAAGCTCACACTTGGTGCGATCGCTGCTGCCATCACGTCTGAAGAACTCCGTGACGCGTCTGCGCTCAGTCTCCGCATCGATCAGTTTATGCTGGCGAGAGACGAGAAAGAAGGAGGCCTCGATGATCTCGTAGCGGCCTTGGCCCAGTCCACAGCCCTCAAACAGCTATGTTTCTTGCAGCGGCCTGACCGGAAAAGCGTTGACGCCTCCGATCGTTTCTGCTCGCGGCTAGCTGAGAGGCTATCCGGAGGAGATTTGGAATGGCTTCGTTCCAGGACCATGTAACTGACCTCCGCATTTTCGACATCCTTGCGCAGCGGCATATTCTCAACATCGTCCTCAGCTAGCATCCTCAGCTCCGCTCCCTCAATACACCTGTTCACGTTCGTGGGTCGCCCGCGCGAAGATATGCCAGACGCAGGGGGGGACCTTCATCACCAGAGTAGCCAGAGCAACTCTAGTCGCAGTTATAGTAACTACTACGCTATGGATAGGACTCGGCTTGACATCAAGCTCTTTGCCGTTCGATTCCTAGCTTACCTTCGGTCCTTGGGCTCAGGTTCGGATTCCAACAAGGCCATCCTGCGATTCGCATACGGGGGAGTCTTCTCGTCACCCACCACCCCCACCACCAACACCACCGTCGACCTCAGGAACGACCCGCCGCCATCGTGGCCAAGGCCGGACCAACTCGGCACGAGCCCTATTCCCGGCGGAATCTTCGCTACCACGCCCACACCTAACGACCCATCAAGAGTCAGACTCAACGATATACCGCCTGACAGCTGGGTCGTTCTCGTAGACTCTCCGGAACCTACTCAAAAGGGGCCGGAGAGACCACGTCCACGTATTCGTCCACCACCTCCACCTCCACCCCGCTCTCAGCATCCCGCTGACCCCCCCGCGCCTCCTTTATCTAACCCCAAACAGCCCGCTGGCAACATGGATCCTCAAAGCCGCAGCCGCAGCACAAGCGACGGCATCGATGTCTTACAGTACTCTTTTGTCAAGATTGGGCAACCCTCTATCGAGATTGCACCCGCGCAACAGCCACAAACGCCCAGCCTGGTCCGTAACTCCGTCAAGGTGGTTGGCGCGCTCACAGCCTTTCTGCTTGAAACCGGAACTCTCTCAGGCACTGAGATCTCGCTGTGGGAGAAACAGGTCGCGGAGGTAGAGAGTGAGATCCGCACACGGCGGGACTCCATGAAAACCTCGGGAAGACGCTGCTTTGACATTCGCGCTATGCCTGAGAGTACTGCCCAGGCTTTGCTAAACCGGTTGCTATAGTTCTAATAGGGCTGGAGTATTTTTTGGGGGGGGGCGGAGAAGGAAGGGGGGGGGGGTGTTAATCCGAAGGAATCTTTTCCTTGATCGTGTTCTACAGCAGGGGCGCTGTGTCGGGCTTCGTTTCTCACGCCCCTGTCTTTGTGCCAGCAAACCTGTCGAGCTTACTTACAAACGAGCTACCACTCGCCATTAGGGCTAGGGTTAACCATTGAAAGCCGGCCGAAAGTGAGGAAAGCAAAAGAAGATTCCATCTATAGAGGTTCAATCTATCCAAGCTGACTATATCTTCCATCCGGTTCATTCCCACCGTCGCCAATAATCACTAACTACAAGTACACACCTGTTGCAACAAGGCATCTTCTTACACCTCTACCCAATGGCGGTTGCGTTCCTCCAAAGACGGTTGAGTTCCTGCTCACAACGAGGATGAGGAAGCTCATACAACAAAAGCCCCGTATATGACGCCCTGCCACAGTTTCCTGAGCCTTGGTTATCGTCAGTGGAGTCTAGCCGGTGAGGGCTATACTCGTTGCCGTCAATTTCAATCTGGAACCCACATCCGGGGAAGACCTCAGGGCCTTTATTCACAAATGTAAATTCCGTGCCGCAGAAGTCGAAGGATTCGTTGTTGTCGGGCACCTTGCAGATGTCGGGGGTTTGCTCGATACTTCCCAGGATCACGTCGGAGCTGTAATGTAAGCCTAGAAAGGTTAGGTTCTGTTTCTATAACTCTAAGTGTAAGTGCACCTACCAGGCGAATAAACCTCCCAGGCGTAGTAGCCGGGTGTACCTGGTGCAGAGGGGCTCGTAACTGAGCGACTAAAACACACTGCGAAAGTTTCGACTAATGGCTCCGTCGGGGGCTCCTCTTCCTCCGGAGGAGGCTGGCCATGGGGGTTCTCGGGGTCCTTGGGGTCGTAACAGTCCGGGGGGTGAGGGACTTCTGGGTCCGGATCATAATAGTACCCCTTGCAAAGCTCGCCGCCGTAGTTGTTATTGCTGCCGCACTCGGGGGCAGACGGACCCTCTTCCCAGTCTATTGTCTTGCCGGGACGGCGGTTGTTGTCACCGGGGATATATGGGCAGCTACTTCCGCCACCTGCACCGCCATCCTGCCGCCGACGTCTGGCAGGACTGCCGTTCTGGCCAGCGCCGCAAGGGTCCACGGGCTGGCCAGGATTCTCCGGCTCATCTTCGAGATTGTCTTTAATGGACGGGTAGACCTTGGCCCATTCTTCCTCCGACCCGAAGTCGCGCAGACAGCTGTGTTCGCCGACCCGGCCATTCCATATAATCGGCCGCCTTTCTTCAGGCTTTACCTCAGGTGTATTGCCATAGTGGGCAACGGCAAAGCGGCGCGCAAAGAGCTGGATGAGCTTCTTGATGTTAGCCGGCTTGTTCAGCTGAGACTGCCAACGGGACGGCACTGCGCGGAAGTAATTGGCTAGCGCGGCGACCTGGGGGGCGGCTGTAGCAATCAGTCTTAGGCCAGTATGGGTATATTCTAATGGTCTAGATTAACCTACAAAATGAAGTGCTATCACAGCTTTCTATTTCTTTCTCCTTCCCCCGTTCTGGGTCTTTAGGATAGTGGACATCATCCCCTGGAGCAAATGCTGTGATAAAAGGGGAGTAGTTAGAGAAACCAGCCCTTTTAGTCTGCTAGTTAGATGCAGAAACCACCATCATATTCGGAATTATTTTGGTGAATAGGGCAGGATACTGGTAGATAGGCTCCTTATCCTTATTAAGTTTATCTGCATCGTTGCTAGCCACTGCAACCAAGACGACGTTCTCCGTATCAAGCTTCTCTAGAAGTTCCCCTGTAATGAGAAAGCGCTGTTAGTAGATAAGGGCCAGAGACGCTGCTGCTACTTACGGAATTTGTCCAGAAACGCTGGCGGAATGGCATTAGCTAGAAGGACCTAGCTCATGATAACAGCCGATTTGCCCTGCCTTTCTTTCTTCCTAATATCATCCAGCACGTTCTGGAAGTGCGAAAGCATCTCTTCATAGAAGAAACTGATCCAGCCGAAAACCTTTGTATTCGGATACTGGTTTTTAACCATGATCAAGGTACACGTTGGACAAATGCCCACGGATTTTCCCACCACTTGGGCAGCCACTCCAGCTCCATGCCGAAGAGCGACAGCATCCGGACCGATTATGAGATCGGGCATAACGCGCCTCGCGGCAAGGTGCTCAATGTTACTGCCGTCAAGCTCCTACATTCTATTTGTTAGCAGACAGACGGTGGAACAAGATGGAGAACAAACATCGTGACCATCCTCCCAGATGCCGCCTTCAAAAGTCAAGTACACATATGTGTCCTTAGCGTCGACCGAGTCGTAGTGATACGAGTACGCCCCTTGGGCAGTGTTATGCTCCCGCTCTCCTCTGTACGCCAGATACGGTTCTTTGGCATAGACACTTGCGAAGGCCCCCAGTAGGGCGTGTTTCGCGTCAAGTGGAAATTCTCCTGTCGCTTGTCACCCGGCAACTCGACCCGGACGGTGCCGTTCAGTGGACTGGGGTCTGTATTTGGTTCGGAGTTAATCTTATTTAGTAGCTTCTCCGACGCACTACTGGGAGCCTTAGAGCGAGAGAAGAGGTGCCGGTCTTGGGGTTTACGTTTGCCCGCCGCAGTGAAGGGAAGTCCCATTTTGTGGTTCCTCTGCTCGTAGTAGTATGCGTACAGGACATCAGGCTGCGCGTTTATCCGTCTCAGTTAGGCTTGTGTACAAGTTGAGTACAAGTTAAAAAATAGCTAGACTTACCAATCGCCTCAGAGCATCCATGGTATCTTGATCAAGCATGGGAACCCAGTAGAACGACACCTAATCTTCCGTGGTTAGTCCGACCGCAACGTAGTCATCATACCCCTGTAGCAAGCTCGGGATCGAACCCACATTCGCAGAGTCCTTGGGGTAGATAATGGCTGGAGCTGGGCATCCAATTGGGGGCGGCACATATTCGCCCTCGACGGGCGTTGTTGGTAGGGGGCAAGCTGTTGCAGTGGCCATTGTGGATGACTCCGAGCCTGTTGGGGCGCAGCTGTAAACTGTCGCGCAGTATGACAAAGTTGAAGTGACCGTCGACGTGGCTGTCCCGACAAGTATCTCCGATACGTCACCGTCGTGGAGCATAGCTCTGCCAACTCGGTCTCAAAGGGCGGCTTGTCACTGTAGGTGAGCTGGTTGTCACGACCGACGCTGCAAAAGGAGATGATGCTATGTAAGTCCAGGAACCTTGGTGGTCTCAGGCAGGGTAGTTCCTTACGTGAGCTCCGGCCAGGGGGGTAAAGGCGGGTTAACACATGGGTAAAGCTTCTTGGTATTGAAAAAAAAAAGAGTAGAGCGTTCATCCTTGGAATAGTTTTCATCTGCGGAAGCTTACCATCGTCTCCATCCACATATTGTTTCGCCCCTGTTGCTGGTCCTTGCTATCCGTATGCTATGCGGCTAGAGCGCCTACTGTGATTCCCTCGCCGTGCCGGATCGATAATAAGGGTGTCTGAGCATAAACATGTCCGCCATTTCTGGCTGTGGCGTCGATCTCAGCGAGGTACGTAGCACACTCTATCTATCTCGTCAGGCTGCGGCTGAGCATCATGATAACATATGGACGGATAAGTAAGAGCTGGGTAAGCAACTAAGGGCTTTCTGTCCAACTCAATCGCTGCGGCTGCAGTATGCCTCACAGACCTAAACACCATCAAGCAAACTCAACTCAAGTTACCGCCTGTACTCATCATGATCCATCTCCATACAGAGCAATCTGTGCCCAATATAAATCAACAAGGAAAAAAAAGAGTACAAGCTAGCTGAATTTCCCAACAACCCATTTAATCATGCAGCATGGAGAAAACACGCATAAGCAGGGGAAAAAAAAAAAAAAAAAAAAAAAAAAAAAAACTCAGAGTTGCAACAGCTCACAGTGGGCAGGCTCGGTACCTTGTGTTTTGCAGAACCCCGAGCAGCAGCCTTTGTAGTCCGCTCGCTTACAGCATGGTTGAACCATCGGGCACATTCTATGGTGGACAATTATAATCAGTGGGTTGGTACTACACAGGACAAGTTGTGGTGAGATAGGAAAGGAAATGTAGATACGTACGTCCCGCGAAGACGTCGCCTGCAGCCTACACGACGAGGGTTGTTTGCTGGTGGCCACCGCCGCGCCCATGAAGAACACGTTCGTGTTATTGTGCGTTTCCGCCGCGTAGACAACAAGTCCAGCAGTCGCCCTTTGCCATTCAAGTAAGCTGGGGCTAAGTTCGTTGATCGCGCGGGAGGGAGGGCGGAGGCATTTATTAGCAATGGGCGGGCGGGGGGCGTACGATGTATCTCGGGTCCTGTGCGTCGCAAGGGAATGTTATCTATCTTGGTCTCATGACATGACATGGCACAAAGTGCGGGCTGGTTAATGACAGGACACTGCTTGGGTCTGATTAATCGAGTTACCTACCATGTTGCTAGGGCAATTAGGCCTTTCGGGAAAGCATGCACGCTGGCAGGCATCCGAATCATCTACCACTCCTGATTCCATGCGGTGGAAGAGAATGGAGGCCTTTGGCATAGCCAAAGTCAGGGGAACCCAGGCCAAGGCGAGAATGTACACAAGATGCATTTGGTTAGAAGGGGAAGTTCGACCAACAGAAGATCAATGGAGATAGGCGAGATATTTGTGGTAGAATATAGGATGTCAGGCTGCTAGATATGTTGGAGAAACTTGGAGCATAACAACTTTACTTATGTCTTTGCTGCCCGACCAAGAGCCGCAGTCTCTGGAGGAGATCATTTTGATTGGGTATAAAAATTTCAGATTATAGCCTTCAAATAAGGGTACTTGCGAGTTATGGGTGTTCCGAATCTATTCAATGACAGTGCAGTAAGATATGGTTGCTTATTCCATGCCTTCAATTCACTGAGACCTGATTCTATATTATTCGCTCATGTAGAGGTAGTCTCATCCAACTCTTGCAGTTCTAGTAACGGAATATTATGATATGGTGCTATCTGCCGTAATCACCCACGGACCTCTATTTGCTCCCTGGTTTAGCTATTTCTTGAATTCTCAAGGCTTTAACTCGCATTTGCTAAGACCTTTGATGTATCAGACCTGCAGCCTTTCATATCCTTCCTCCAAGTCTTCGTCATTAGACTCTTGCGCTGCTTACAGACTCTTATATCACATCACATCAGCGTCCTGCAATGCATGTCAGCTGCTCATCACACGCAGTTGCTCGATGTTAGACCGGGTTTCTACTGGTCCCCATTTCTTTAAGTGGATTGTGAAACAGACTGTGCTGATGTGAGACAGAGAGCCCCTCCTCCCCATCTTCCCCATCTTCCTGAGGTATGCTGCTTACTTGCCAGGAAGGCTTCCTTTCTCCACGGAGCATATTTGGTTGTTGCACTTGCACTTCCTTAGACCTTGGGCACGTCTGGGCGGGTCGGCTAGTCGAGATTGATCTATGCCCCGTCTCAGCTCTATGGTTACAATTACTCCCGCTCAAAAGCATCTTGGGGCCGAGATGGGAGTATCTGTCCGTCGGCAAGGTAGTACTTGCAGAGTGTGGTAAACAGATTATGGTATCAGCGGCTAGCCGAAGTAGATAGCGAGAGTGCTGGCTGCACACTCTATGAAACATTTAGGGGCAAGGTCGCAAGATAATCGAGCGCAGGCCTGATTGGCGTAGGCTTTTCTACATGCACAGGCCTTATTGTGGTGTCTCCTTGGAGGGTAGGGGTCCACAGTCATGTATGTCCTTTTCTCGACTCGATTACGCTTGCCATTGGGGAAAAGGAGCGACCGGTGTAGCTTCCGTTTTTATAGCCAAGGGCGGTATTGATTGCTCCTTCCCTGAAGCCTACATTTCTCCTGTTTTTATTTTATTTTATTTTCCTTTTTTTTTTTTGCACGCCAACAGTTGAACCCTTCGTGCAGCCAAATAAGATTAGGAAATACAAGCCATCTTCTCTGAAGTGTCATCATTCTGGTAATATTCGCACGCATATCGCATACTTAAACTAGCAAATTAAAAAATAGCTGCGGCAGCATAATCCCCCTTACAACCGTGCAAGACCCGAAAACTCGCCGGGGGCATGATAGTTGGGCACCTCCATCTTCAGCGCATCGCCGCTGTACCCTAGATCCTCGGCAACGAGCTCGGCGCATTTTTCGCCGATGAGGAGGGCGGTCTATACACACCCCATCAGCCTTCTGTTCCTTGTCTATGGAAAAGCAAAGAATAAAGAGGAGAGGTGGACTCACGCTAAAAGTATTGCAGCCCACATTATCCGGGCAGATGGACAAATCGCACACCTTCAGTCCCTTGACGCCGTGGACGTTGAGACGTTCGTCGACGACGCCACCTTGGGGCGCGATATTGCTGCCCTCGCGGGGGGCCATGCTGCAGGTGCCCAGGGAGTGCCAGGTTGTTTCGACGTGGCGTTGAACTAGGAGATGAGTTAGGGCATGAGTTTCAATTCGGAGGTGATAGAAGTCAAGGTGGTGACATACCCCACTTCTCAATATGCGCAATATCTTCCTTGCTATAGTCGAATGGGCTCCGCGACTCGAACCGGTTCGAGTTGAGGTGCGCAGCGTTGACCTGCTTGCCGGGTTCGAGCGGGTGCGACCACGAGCCTACATCCACCATTAGCCTCCATTCATCCTTTCCCCGTGAAACAAAGGTTAAAGCAAGCATACCATGCTGAATCCCCGCCGTAAGATGATTCGGCCCCGCATACGCCTTGGTCGTGACAAGATCCATATCATGCGCGCGGACCGGCGAATTGTAGGCGAAGTGCGGGTGCATGCTCGTCACCTCTCCGGCATACGAGCCCATGCGGCGCGCCGTCTCGCGGGATTTGATGTAGCCCCAGACCATGGCGGCCATGTCGCGCTTGTCGTTCATGAAGCCCGCGTCGAAGTCGGGGGTTGCGTAGGGGTCGGCTGATGTGATGTGGGTTGAGCCGCGGGAAAAGGGGTATTCCTATACTTGTTAGATTGTTCGGAAGGGAATAGGAGGAAGGCGTACCAGGAAGTGGAACATGGTGAAGAATTTGCCTGGGGGCATGAGCATGTGGTCGCCGAACCAACTATACTCGTCAGCAAAACACCCAGTAAGTGGTAAAGGGGAGGCCATACCCTGAAATAACCGAATAATGCATAACAGGCTTATCTGGCTTATTCTTGAAATAAGTCTCCCACCCCTGCACGAACTCGGGCGTGGGCCACTTCTTCATCTCATCCAACTCCTCCTTGGTCGGTCTGATCTTGACTCCGGCATCAATCCCATTCGTCGCGAGCGGTCCCGTCCCCTTGAGATTCCACTCCTCAAACACCTTCTTCTGCACCTCGGGATCGCCCCGGACAAAATCATCGAAACTCTCTACATCCGGTTTGGCGCGATATACCGAAAAGGTCAGGTAATGGTCCTGGAAGTTCCTCCCCACACCGGGCAGATGCACAAGCGGTTTCACGCCCGCGGCGCGAAGCTTCTCGGAATCGCCGATTCCAGAGCGTTGCAGGATGAGTGGCGAGGAGAGGGTTCCGCCGCTGACGATGATTTGCTTGCGGGCACGGAAGATCCGGCGCACGGGTTCTTTGCCGTCGAGGGGTTTCGTGGGCACTGTTACGACGCCGACGGCGCGGCCGTCTTCGATGATCACTTTTTCAACCTTCGTGTTGCATTGCAGGTGCAAGTTAGAGTGCTTTGCGCGTGTGCTGTGGACATACGCGTGGGCGGCGTCGCTGCGGCGGCCTGTACTTGTTAGCTGTCCTCACCGAGTAGAAATGGATATAGTACAAGGGGCATACCAGTATCACGATTAATCCACTTCAACCAATGCTCAGCACCATGCCTTGACCAATGCACATTAGAAAGGCACCCTCTGACTGGTCAAGCAGATACATACCCGGTCTTCAAATCCTGTAAATCATCCGTAACCGGAATCCCCTGGCTCTCAGCAGCCCGCAAGAAATCCTGCGCAATCGGATAGGTGTAGTTCCCAAAGGACACCTTGATGGGCCCGTTGAATCCGTGCAGCTCCGGGTTGTTGCACGCGCGCTGGTACGTCTCGTGCTTGCGCATGAGCGGGAGGAGCTCGTCGGTTGTCCAGCCTTTGGCTTGGAAGTCATCGTAATCGGAGGCTGAGGCGCGGGTGTACATCTGTTTTGATTGTTAGGTTGGGTTTTGGGGATGGGTGTTGGGGGGAGAGGGGGACGTGCCATGAAGTTGATGGAGCTCCCACCACCGAGGATATTCGCGCAGGGTACGATAGCTCGCCGTCCATCGAGGTGCTCGGAGGGCCGGGAATGGTAGAACGAGGCCGTCTTGGAGTCGAGCTTCATGTTTTGTGGGTAGATGCCTGGACGGTAGACCCTGAGATCTTTGTAAGTACAGTGCAGTCCATCAAGTGCTAGGGCAGCCTACCATGGATTATTTAGATTATTCTCGCCGGCTTCAATGAGCAAAACAGAAAGGTTGTGGTCGAGGTTTGCCAGCCGGCCCGCGGGCACACAGCCGGAGCTGCCGCCGCCGCAGATGATGATGTCGACTTCCTCTGGGATCGTCATGTTGCTGTCGAGGGAATCGGTTCCAGATGGCGATGGAGAGAAGAAACAAGGAGTCAAGGGGTGGGTATTCTTCTCGCTCTTATATCTCCTCCCTCCTTCCCCGCTCCTGGCAAACACACATCCATGCCCAGCTCAGCCCGCTCCTCTTCTCTGCGAATCTTACTAGCATCCATTGCCCTAACCAGGCAGCTTCCCCGCACACGGGGCATCGAGCATCAGAACTGGTGAGTGGTGCCCGCACCCGCACCACGAATCTAGACTTTCCCCCCAGATATCTGCCCACGCCCGATCCACGGATTGCCGGACACACAGCGGTGTGAATGGAGGAAGATAGTGCGCCCAGAGACTTATCACAGGTACTAAGACAGCCCTAGCAGGGGTTATGCGGAGACAGCAGCTATTGCGGAGGTACAAGGCAAGTATGGATGAAGCGGACGTTGAATCGCAACTGGTGATTCGACAATTGTTGGTGCTGGGGATGTGGTTCCCCAACGGTGATCTCCCAGCTTTCTCCTCATTTTGATATATCCCCAACTGGGGTGGGGGAGTGTCCGATGCGTGAGGTTTGTACATATTCTGATAGATAGCTGCTTTCTTTCAAGGAAGATAATCACTTTGCTTATGTGGTGACTGTCATGCCCTTGTTACGACTTTGCTGTATCTCTGTAGCGGTTTGGATATCAGCACCTCTCCCTCGATTATCAAGACTCAAGATCATGCCCAAAGGTGAAACAACATACCCAATGTCAAAATAGGAGCTACTCGGATAGCAAAGTGAATTGATTGCTCCTCAATGTGGAGATCCGGCCGAAAGTGCGGGGTTGCGCTATGATCCGTGATGTGCCGGATAAGTCCCGCTGGGATTATTCCGGTGTATTAATAGATTTGCCTTATCCGAGAAGTTGATTGAGTGCTTGCGTGTCAAGTTACCAGGTACTTTCTCTTGTCCCATGAGTGTGCGGTAAAATGCCGTCAAGAGACACTGCGAAGACAGCACGCCTAATCAGCTTCATCCAACATCTCTTCATGGTAAGAAGCATGGATATCAACTACCACGCTGTCCATCAATGACAAGACAACGGCCATAAATGTGGGGTTAAGGTTAAACCACTGACTGCGGACCTAAAACCGCCCCCGGCCGAATACCTGCCCCACAGAGCGGCCCCGGCCATGATTCAGGCCTCCCCAAAGGGGAAACGTCATATAGCAGATGCTCAGCCACTGATGTCTTTCTCCACACGTCCATATCAGGCCACTGGCGCCGCCGAGCTTGTACCCTACCCAATCAGTCGCCTCCATGCAAGGGTAGCAAGTATCTTTGCGGGGAACTGAGCTGGCCTGGTCTAGCTTTCCTGAAACTCGTAATGAATCAGGTATGCAGTACTTAGTGCTGACCTCTGCCTCTGATACGATGCGATGCGCCTCTTGCATTCAATAGGTGGACAAATTTTCGTATCTTATCGAGAGGGTCTGGATTTGGTACGCACTGATGGACATAGCCGTCTTTCGTCGCGTTGCTCGAGTTGAATCGTGATGTGGTTGGCTAGATTCATCTGTGTGAAGAGGGGGGAAGTTTCAAGATGTGGTATCTTCTTCTCCTTCTTCTTCTGGATCCGGGCGTCCGTCGTGCGGGGAGAATATCTCCAACTTTGCGTAGTCTCGTTCTTGCGAATGGTAGAGTCGTTGATTAAGGGGTTGCATGTCCGGACGTTGCTGAACCAGCTCAGCCCCATCAAAACGCAGGCAGATGCTCCTATGATTCTCTGCGCAGGATCCTAACAGTCCAGCAAATCTTGATGTGGCAACTGCCAGCTGGACCCGACTTTCTTCGATTGTCCAAGGGATATATACCAAGAATGTCAAGGTCAGCTACAAGAGAGACTCCATTCGTCTACGTCGAACCTCTAGAAACTAGCTCATCTTGCATTCTCCAGTCGCTACAGCTCCAAAGAACAGATATACATCAGTGCTCATATTATTCTTTTCCCAGGCGGAGCTTCGCATGTCTACCACAGTTAAGATCCCTCCCTTCCTATGCCCTCAACTTCTCTTATGACCATCCTGATCCTCAGACTCATGATGCGTGAAAGCAAGCTTCTTCCCATATTTATCCACTACCAACAAACCCAGTGCCCGGTTCAACTCTCGATGCAGTAACCTGGATATCATAGTTGGGCACATGGTCTGTGTAAGCTTCCCTGGAAATAAGACCTCAACGAAGAACCCATATTCCAGCCAACCAGCCGCGGCAACCGCCACAACTACCATTCCTGCTCCTACAGATCTTGCACCCAACGAGAATACGCAGTGTGGCAAGTACTATCAAGTTCAAGGTAAGAAGAGAATGTTTCCCAATTTATCCCTTAATATGTTTTTTGCCTATATTATTGACCACGTCCTGACCATTTATAGATAGGAAACGACTATTGTCAGGTAATAGCAATGGCAAACGCAATCAAAATAGATAACTTTTATTTCCTCAATCCGGATATCAACAAGAACTGCATCAACTTGTGGCTGGACTACAATTACTGTATGTTTAGTCTCCTAGGAAACAGCATCCCTTAGCTTAGTCTTGAACTTCTAGGGGGATGGGCTTGAGGATATTTTTTACCTAGTGTCTTTAACTATCACATCATCTACTCCCCCAACGCCCACAAGTACGTGCGATAATGCCGTGACGCCCCCGAGACCAACCGCAAAGTGGCATCCCCTGCGCCTGTGCTGAGTATGCACTGCAGGAGGATAGTAAGGCTTTTAATCTTCTGGTCAAATATCGTATCTCAGGTCTAACTCTACATAGGGGTATACTGAGTTATATGATCCAAATCCTGCGTGGAACGGGGACTGTAGTGGCCTTTGGCCTGGGTACGCATATTGTGTGAAGGTCGATCCGTAATAGTCGTGTTCTCATCCTGAAATATGCATACTTTCTGTTCTAGACGACCGCGCACTTAGTTCTCTTACCATGTTTACCTTTGTTTCTGATAGTTATATAGTTATTGCCCTACTTTTGCTTACTTCTTCGTTCTCAGCAACGTAATCAAGACAACACCCCAGTCAAAAGTTACAAACAGCTGAATTGTTAAAGGATAGACAAAGCTCCCGGATAATAATAACATCAGCCTCAATGAAATGCCCACTCCGGTGTTGGAGCTCTCAGAGTGACGCATTTCGCGCTGACTAAGTTCTCGCCAACCCCACACTGTGTTTCAACTCGCCCTCAACATGTTACTTGTTACGTCTCCCCATGTTTGAGTATTCGCGCGACAACCCCCCGTGTAATGCCGAATAGGCTCCCTCTAGAGCTTTGGACGCAGATTGCTGGCTACCTCGAAAAGGATCTTGACTCTTTCCCGAAATATGCCCGAAGATGCCGTCACGCGCAATCAGCGTCCGAGCCACGGATCTACAGCACAGTTCGTGTACGCAGCGAGGATTTTGAAATGCGGAAGGGCATCATGACATTGACTCAATTCAATGATCTTACCTCTGGCACGGCAACTTTGCGACGCGCGCTCATTCGCTGGCTCAATTAAACGATTGTCATACCTAAGAGCTCGAGGACTATCGCGCGGTAAAGCTTGACAACGAGACCTACAGCGAAGAAAATCCAATCCGGGAAGCGAATGACCTGGCTTTTAGAGCGAGCATAGTATCTCTATTCCAGACACTAAGCTCCTGGGGCGAAGAAACTCGCGGGATTACCTTAACCATTAACGTCATTGGCCGCCAACAGGTGCTCGAACCAGGAACCAAAGAAGGTGAAAACCTGATGCAATTGGAATCTGTTCCCAAAGGGGAACAGTGTGTTGTTTCCCCGTACCGTGCTCGTTTTCCAGAAGATGACGCTTCAATGTTGCCCCGGATTTCTTGCGTTGAAGAGCTCACATACGACGAGTATCTCAACTTCTGGCCTGGTGCTGCATTGCAAGTTGCGGCGCACTGCGACTCTCTGAATCACCTGCGCTTGTTCGTCGAAGAACCGGTGAGACCGGATCACCTCACGTACTTACAAAGTCGCCATCAAGGTACTTATTGTCTTTCTGGATTACCATGCAGTACCCAAGCTGATTGTGTCCCTCAGCCATAGCATCGGCGCTCGCAACCCTGCCTCTATCCATCAAGGAGTTCGACCTTTGGGGCTATCGGGATATCCCATGCGCAAACTTCCTTCCCTCTGGCAGTACTGGCGACGAACTCTCACTAAACCTACGGGGCCTCTCATTAAACCTACGAGAGTTGAAGCTCAGCTATACTCCGTGGCATTAGACTTCTTGTTTCCACTTGACGAGAACGCCTCGCCCACACCTCAGGCTTCGTCTCTGCACTGGCCTTATCCAGAAGCTATCAGAATGGATGCCATGCATAACTTCCTTCCCAACGGTAAGGTTTTGCCCCTTTTCTAGCGTTACCATCTCACTATGCCTAAACGAATAACCATTTCAATGAGAGGTGAATGTTTGGGCGCCCTCAGCCCCCGCTTATTCAAGGAAGAAGAAGAAACCCTCCCCGACTGGCAACTCTCTCGCAACAAGCTCCACCATGAGAAATTCCACCGATTGCTCATATCCCTCGGTTTGGCTACACGCCGAATGCCCCGCATTCATGAGATCAGCTTCGTGATTCGTGAATACAGCGAAATGGACTTTGAATTTTGGAATTCGCGAGGTTCCGACGAAACACCATCAATGAGAATGCGGAATGCCGGCGGGTATAAACCTGACGAGCGCGTGGCGGAGGCTTGGGGGTTTGCTTTGGAGGATCTTGAAGTCTTTCAAAATACTGAGGATAGTAATGGCGATCATTTTGTCGAGGCGGATGTTACATGGTCGCGGTTGCCTCGGGATGCCTAGAATGGGTTTGGTGATAGATGGGCGCTTTTGCATTTTGATTTCCTGATAACCAGTAGATACCTGCTGTTGAGTAACCCATAGAATACTTGTGATCCTATCATAGCACGGAGTAACTTCTCAAATTCGCTCTAAAGCTGCTTCAGGAACAACCCAATGGGCTGCTCGTAAGTAGTATGGTCAGTTATGGGGACAGATGACTGACTGACCGACCCCTACGGTAACTACCCAACCCAGCCATTGTAAGCCCTCGTACTTCCTCCTGCCCTGTGTGTTATAGGGAAGGAGTAACCGTCTCCTCGGTTTCATCTTCAACGCCTACAACTCGACCCACAGTTTTCGAATGCAAATCGGGAAATCCTGTCTCGGGAACAAGCCTACTTGAAAAAAAGGCCCGGCCGCACGCTGATGGGCGGCTAACAGTAGACTGGCCGCTATTGACTTCTGACGGAAATGGGGATGGGAATGGCAGATCAGAGGCAGGTCCCGCTCGGCTGTTAATACCGGAACATCACGAGACGCTGGGTACCTGACGGTTCCTTGGTTGATATGAAGCGGAAGCGGATTAAACGAATGGATGTAATGTGATTTCTAGCCATTGGGGTACTATCTAGTCCATAATAACAATTTTGTTACGTCCATTCTGCCTTTGGAACCCCCCACCTCACAGCTTTGTCCCCCGGCACACGGCAATCTGATAGTATAGAGGACAACGAAACCAACTTGGAAAGCACATCTCGCGACTTAATACCCTACCTCAACCCTCTCAGACGACACGCCCTCGATCTGCAGCTCGAAAACCAACGAGTCCGCTTTGGGCATCATGACGAAATCAAAGTGGAAATGGCGGAACTCCTGTCACATGGAGTTCTTCACGATATGGAAGCACTCGCGAGGGGCGGTACTGAAGTTGCCCTCGAGAGTGGCGATTATACAACCATCTTGACTCGGTCAGCAGGCGAGAGAAATAGAGAAAGGGGAGAGGAAAAGGTGTAATTCACCGTCATCTTGGGCATTGTTTGCAGTACATCTCCCATCTAGGCAGGCATCTTCAGCGGCATCACCATCTTCTCTCAAGAGATCGCAATCGCAAGACCAGAGGGGAATCTGGAAGACTAGGTCGTGGTCTAATGAAACATCGCGAGACATGTGCGCCTTGATTGGGACGATTTCCAGGATTTTGTCACCCTTGTTCTTTATCAGCTGCTTCTTTCGCTCTTCAGCCAGACATATGCAGATTGTTGTACATACCTTGCCAATAATCACACGCTTTGCGTCATCGATGTACCAGCGCTGGATGAGGTCGTCAAAGTAGGCTGTCTTCATTACCATCTGCCTTTGCGTCAAATTCGACGGTGGTCTTGAGCCCGTAATTGTGCGGAGAAATTATGGGTTCCTCTGGATGTGCTTCGAGTCCGTGATAGAGTCCACCGCTGCTGGGATTAGTTTTATATGACACTCCAGGGGTTCACAGAGAGCGCACCGTACGACTGCCGTCCATCTGAGAATATAGGTTAGGAGTTACTTGTTCTCCGACAGACACAGCGCAACAACCGTGACCTCCGTGGGCCACACAACAGCGCGGAGAGGGCTGCACCTTCAACCAGCATTGCTCTCCGTAGCGTGATACAGCTGTAAGCCACCAGGTTGCCTGAGCGGCTGGAATACCGAGTCAAGGAACGATCTATCCGTAAGGTTGACGACAGGAAGCCTGACGATATCCAACCACAGCGACGACAAGTAATTCGGCAGCAAGCCCTGGCAAGCCTGTCTCCCGCTACCCACCATTGCAACGAACAGTTTATGATCCATGCTCTTGCTCCGGGTTTGCTCCTCGCCACCGACGACAATAGCCTTCTACCCTGCGATTGGCATGGGCGGGATATACATTAATATATATATATATGATTGAAACATGATTCAAATTGTCACAGGATTGTCAGGGAAAGACATGCCGACTATGATCAATCCTACACCATCCCACTTGCGAGCGATTAGGGACGTGTAGGTCCTAGCAACCCTGATCTCGGCAACCTGATCTCGGGTTGCTGGGGAAGGAGCTACGATGTCGTAGCTGACAGGAAGCGATTGACATGACCGCCTTCCCAATTATGATCTTTTGGCTGCATTTAATACTAATCGGGAAGGCGGTCATGTTAACCAGCCGCTAATTGCCACCGTGAAAATTGCTCCACTATGAAGCCCACCCAGGTGGGCCCGAGTACTTAGATTCTAACACAGAATCGGCTCAATGTAAGCCCTTGTGGCGTAGTGGTAGCGCGTCTCACTCGTACATCGATTTAATGAGAAGGTCCATCGTTCGACCCGGTGCGAGGGCATTACTTTTTCTTCTTCTTTTTTTCTTAATTTTGTTTTTAATTCTCTACCGCCTCGAATTTACCGCCCATATTTTGCCGCTGTCGCATCCACAGCTTCAAGCTGAGACACAGACACAAGTCTCTCTGATTCTCTCAAAACTCTCATTTCACGCCAATTCTTTTCAAACCGGATCGCACAATTCCAATTGACCCAACTACCCCAGATACTCCCGGTCGGACCGCCCACTCCCCCCCAATCCCCCACGGAACAACCCCCGACGGCCCCAGCCTCCGCCGGCCGTCCGCCTCGATCGATCCGATCACCATGCGCACGCACGATGAGTTCATGCGCGATCTCGCGAGCAGCAGCACAACCCCGCAGTTTGACACCAATGCCATGCCCTCAAACCCAGAACCCACGGACGAAGCCGACCTCCGCCGGAAAAAGACCCGCACCGTCCACCCGTCGCAGTCCATCTGCCGCGACTGGATGATCGTCTCGGGCAACTGCCACTACGCACGCGACGCGGCCTCCTTCACAACCTACACGCCCGCACCACCGCACACCCTCATCAAATCCAACATCTTCAGCCCGCACGACGAAACGCTCGTCGCGGGCGTGGGAACTGTCCATCTCTCCATCCCGCGCGGGCGCCACGATCCCACAACACACACGCTCGTCCTCGAGGGCGTGCTACATATCCCCGGGGCGCTGTGTAATGGGTTCAATCCGCTGCTTGTCGGGAGTAGCATGAGCTGCCATGCGGAGTATTGGGAGGGGGCGGACCGGATGGGACGGCCGATGTGGTTTGGGTTGCCGTTTGCGGGGATGGGGAGGTTGGTTTTGGAAGGGGGACAGGTCGGCGAGTCGGATTTGATCGAGGGGAGGGAGTATACGTTGAGTTTGTATGTTAGTCCGGAGGAGAGGAGGGTTATTATGGGGGTGTAGATGTGATGCTTGGGTTGAAACTATGGGTTCGGAATGGGTGTGTACTATGCTGTATGATACGATGGGTCTGGTCTGGTCGGCATATTCTGGAGTTGGGGCGATTTGGTCGTGTATAATACTACAAAAGTTGAATTTAGCCTGATGAGATCAATCCCATTACCACATGGCGTTGCGAATGGGGCTCGCCGGCACTTGCTACTGTCAGTCCAGTTCTATACTAATGCTGAGCGACTGGGCCCAGAACATTGGTTAGCTATGACTGCGACAGTGAAACTCTTCGCAAGAGGCCTAAAGCCTGGAAGCCCTCGACAATGGTACTGGCTTATTTAGTTATTTACTAAGAACCCCGGCGATTCCCTGTCCGACACGGCGATGAAACTGATCCTGCGTGAAGCCTCCAATCCCAACGCTGGCCAAGCCTCCTCCCTCGACGACTCTTTCTTAGTGCCCTAACTAACGTTGGGGGAAAGATTGCTGCTACTGCAGACAAGGCATTCATCGACGCTTCTCCGCTCTTCACTCCACATTGGCACATCTTGTCTGTCACATTGTCGCATGTCATGACCCTGGATTCTTGGAGGCAGCGTTGAAACTCGACGACAAGCAAATTGCAGCACAATTGAACACCAGCCCCAACTCGCAGTTCGTATTACCCATCAGCACCAACAAAGTTCAGCCCCTGCATCGTGGCGTCCAGCCATACCCGTTTAGCGACGGAGAGGCGGCGAGGCGCTCAGGCACGAGGGCCCAAGTCCAGGCTTGTCTCCCACACATGGAAGAATCGAGATTGAACCATGCCATGACTGCCCAGTCAGTGTCCATGCATGCAGGCCAGGCCCTGAAACCCCAATTCTGGCAGGATGCTCTCCTCCTCCGCTTCTCGCTCCGCATCTACCATCCTGGCTAGATGATGCTACTAGTCCGCTTGGAGTCCTGCCCTCATTTCGTCACTCGTGTTTGAATTTTGCCGGGGGTGGCCTGCCTCAGCTGCTGCCTCTTTTATCCTCCGTGTGTCTTCACTTTTTACCCTATATATCCGGTGTCTCTTCTCCCTTGCCCGTCCCGCCCCTCCTGTTCCCTTTCAGCCCTGCTCTCCATCTATTTAGACTCGTCTGGTCTGGTCTGGTGGTAGATTGCGATCGCCATGGCCAAACCCACGCACGTCTTCGAGACGACAATAACCAGCGATGCGGACAAGCGCGTCTTTGGCGTCAGCAATGCAGCCCTACACATCGCCACGCTGCAGGCGAAGCCGCGGCTTCTCACCAAGAGTATGCTAAAGGTACAACCTCCCCAACCTCACCCTCAACCTCACCCTCCATGCCTACCTAGCCTTGTACTAGGTAGGTATTTCTTCGGCGGGGCGCAAATCTAATGACATCGTGACAGCTCTACTGGTGCATCGCCGTCGCCATGCTCAACTCGTGTATCAACGGCTACGACGGCTCGCTGATGGGGTCCATCAACAGCTACAGGCAGTACCGCGAGTACTTTGGTTTTGATCTGGAGGAGGGAACGCCCACGACGGGGATCGTCTACGCCATATACACGATTGGAAATATCGTCGGCTCGTTCTTCGCGGGGCCGTTTACTGATTTTCGAGGTATGCCCCTTCTTCTCCCAGCCCCCAGCACCTCCACCCCACAATCCCGCTCACAGATCGCGTGTAGGCCGCCGCATGGGCATGGCAATCGGCGCCCTCTGGATCATCATTGGAACCCTCGTGCAAGCAACATGCCACAACCTCGGCGGGTTCATGGCCGGCCGATTCCTGCTGGGTTTCGGCGTCGCGACCTGTGCGACCGCCGGGCCGGCGTACGTCTCCGAGATGGCGCACCCGGCGTACCGCGGGGTGATGACGGGGTTGTACAATGTGATGTGGTTCGGTGGAGGCATCCCGGGCACGTTTATCCCTTGGCGCACGAGCATGATTGAGGGGACGCAATCGTGGCGCATTCCCGTGTGGCTGCAGATGGTTTTTTCGGGGTTGGTGCTGCTGTTGTGTTTTACTATTCCGGAGGTAGGTATCACTCGTTTCTATCCTATTGCGATAGTTTTATCAGTTCGAGGTGGAGTTAGATGCTAACGAGAGGTGATGTGTAGAGTCCCCGCTGGCTCATCTCCTGCGACAGACACGCAGAAGCAATCCGCGTGCTGGCCGAGTACCACGGCGAAGGCGACCGGAACTCGCCCCTCGTACAGCTCGAGTACCGCGAGATGCTCGAGGATATATCGAACGTCGGCGCCGACAAGCGCTGGTGGGACTATCGCGAACTCTTCAACAGTCGCGAGACGCGGTATCGGTCTATGCTTGTCCTTTTCATGGGTGGGTCGCTGTCCACACTCTTTTCCCATATCCCCTCGCTATACCTTTCTCCCGCCATAATACTAATAAACGACATGTCCAGCCTTCTTCGGCCAATGGTCCGGCAACGGCCCGGTCTCCTACTACTACCCGCAAATGCTCTCCGGCGCCGGAATCTCCTCGAACAACACCCAACTCCTGCTCCAGGGCGTGCAAAACATCGTGCAATTCATCGGCGCCGTCTTTGGCGCCCTGATAACCGACCGGGTCGGGCGGCGCCCACAACTCCTCACCTCGACGTCGATCATCGTCTTCCTCTTCGTCATCATCACGGCGCTCAACGCGACGAATGTCACCGTTGATGAAGCAGGCGGCGGCGGCGTTGTTGCCAAGAGCGGCGTCACGGCGCGTGCACAGATTGCGATGATTTTCATTTTTGGGTTTGTGTATTCGGCCGGGTGGACGCCGAATCAGGCCATGTATCCTGTGGAGTGTTTGCGGTATGAGAGCCGCGCAAAGGGGATGGCGATGAATAATGTATGTCCGACACGATCAAACCCTCCTCTCCTCTTTTCCCTCCCTCCCCTTACTAACAACTGCTTGTCTCTGTGCCGTTTAGTTCTTCATCAACATCGCCTCCTTCTACAACACCTTTGTCACTGGAATCGCCTTCACGCGCGTCGGCTGGAAGTACTACTTCCTCTTCATCTTCTGGTGCACGTTCGAGGTCGCCGTCATCTACTTCCTCTTTGTGGAAACGAGCAAGCGCACCCTCGAGGAGTTGACCGTCATCTTCCAGCAGAAGCGGCCCGTCCAGGCCAGTCTGGATAAGGAGGAGATTTTCATCTCGGGCGATGATATTGTGGAGATTAGGAGTTGGTAGCCTTGACCTGGGTACGAGGGCTTGCGCTCTTTTGGGATTTTTCTTTTGTGACTTTGGGTAGATATAGGGCTGCGGGGATTTGGTGGGATATTGTCCGTTGGAGATAAAAGATTTTCTCTCGTTTGTTATATCTATAATGGCAGGCAAGCTGGAAGGTGGTAGAATCCCTCCCTGGCTGGGTGTGGAGCTCTATACAGTATACTCTGTACCCTGCCCACTGCAGGGCCCCCGGTCTCCTTGATTTGGATGTCCAGATGGATATGCTGTGCATCAGTAGAGGATAGATGCCTTTATACAATCCTGCAAAGCTGCCAATTCTGACATGAGACGTATTAGGGAATAAAATAGAACAGGGGCTATCTCGCCCGGCCATCGCTATAACCAACAAGAATCTAGTTTATTGTCAATCGATCCAATCTATCAGCTCTAGTAAAAGGGACATAGAGGCCGTATCTATCCATTTCTACCCAACCCGTCACCCTTTCCCCGAATGCTTGCAGAGTTCAGGACCGACCCCAACCGCCACCTTGTGTTCATACGCAGCTGCCTTGATCCCAATCTCATCCGTGCCGAACAACCCATCATCCTGCTGGGTTTGATTGAGCGTGCCTACCAGGCAGCCCCGCTTGGTACTCGAGAAAGCAGCCAGCCCCAGTCTGTGCCCGGGCGGCGCTATGCTGAGCGTATCAAAGACATACATGAGCTAAGCCATCTCTAGTGAGCTTTTAGTCTGCCTGCCGGGCCGGTCAATAACATGTTCGTGGGTGGTGCCGAGGCGAGTGTCTAGTGACGATCCGATTCAATTCGACCGGACTGATGATCGACCGTTCGAGCGTCCTGGATGAAAGGAATACAAGGGAGGCGCCTCGGACGGACTTTGGATTGAGCAAGATGCAGACGGCGTGTTCTCATGGTGGGTGTGTTGAGTGCGCGGTGCAATATCAAGACAGCGTTGTCTGCATCAGGGCTTGGGACTTTGTCACGGTATAAAACCTCATATAGGTACCTGCTTCTGCGGTCCCGTCGCGAGGTAGCCCAACCTACGTTGAGTCCACCCGCAAAGCACCGGCCAGTGCAGCCTCGACATCCCGCAGCCGAAACCCTGGCGACCTCCCGAGGATCACCATATTCTCCGCAAGAGCTGGATAGGTAAGTATCTTCCAGAACGGCCAGAGGATATACTTACCCTGCAGGAACCGATCTAGATCCAGCGACATGGATACACCCACCCCGTCCCCTCTATGCTCGGCACCAAGAACCCCCCGCTCCTCCAAAAACCCCACAACATCATTCGAATCCAACCACACCCCATCCAACCCGGCCATCTCAAGTAGCCTCCCCCGGTCGACAGATCCAACATCTTCCCCTAGCAAACTCGCCACCGTGCTGAGGACCCGTCTCGGAAGCCTCATCTTCTCATTCCAAACCCTTTTCCCCGCCTCAACCCGCGGATAATGCATCCCCGCACCCCCAATACAGTAGAATGGCAAAGCGGGTATATCAAGCCGCTCATTCGTGCCGGACCGCACAAGGCACAGGAGGTATTTACCCATCTTTTCGCGGTACTTGACGCAGGGGACGAGGCGGAAGACGCGGTAGAATTCGCGGGGGTCGGTGCGTGCGTCGCTGAAGAGGCGGTAGGTGTATTCTAGGCAGTAGCGTTGGAGCGTGCGGAGGAGAGAGGGTTCGTTGTGGCTGTATGTATAGTTGATGTTTCCGGGGAGTGGGCGCTCGATTTGATGGAGAGCGCTTGTCTTCCTGCGAAAGGGCTGCATGGGTCCTCGGTCGGCGGCGACGGCGGCATCTTGGAGACAATTGACCATGTATCCAAACGGACCTGCATCTCCAGAACTCACATTTGCGGAGAAAACCACAGGGAGGATGAGCTCCCTGTGCGAATTCTTCTCGGCCCCATTCTCTGTTTCACCCGCCGCCCGCTTCAAATGCGTAACCGTCTCCCTAAGCCGATCGAACAACTGCGGATGCGTAACATGCAGATCCGACTCGATGGCCATGTCAAAAAACTCGGACAATGAATCCGACACACGCCCTATCGTCCCCTCGAGCTCGGCGACGCGGTGCTCCATATGCCGCTGCCGCAGCTCCTTCTTGTGGCGGTATGTGCGCTGCGCGTAGCGGATTTGGGCGCGGCGGTCCTGAGGTATCTATAAGCAGCCACTACAAGGAAATCGGGAAAATGGAGCGCACCATCTGTGTCGTATCCCCCGCCGGCGCCATCCGTGGCCGACCGCGTTTCTTTCCGCCATCGTTCGTCTCTCGCCCTGACTGCAGGGTCTTTGTGGCGCCGGAGCGATTTTGACTAGTTGGGAGGAAGCAGCGGGCGGATAATGTTTGCGAGAGATTGTCGGTCATACTGGGTGCCAGAAGATTCAGATAAGACTACAAGTACGGATGGAATTGACGATGATGAGGGGAGTTGATAATATAGCAGAGGAGATCCTCGGCTCCGGCGATGATATTCTCATCATCCGGTGGGCCTCGGTGAGGCGCGATTCCACCAATCAGCTTAAAGCGTCGAAGAGAGCTTGAGAACTATGATGAGTGATATTCAATCGCATCCACACTTATTATCCTAGTCCAAATGTATACTCTCGTCCGCTCGACGAAAGTAACGCGAGGCCGAGGACCGAATATCGCGGACATTAACAGGCTCAAATATGCTGTCCGGATCCTCCACCTGCGCTTTTAGTGAGATTCGCAAGTTTGTACCATTCCTCGCTGTACGAGTCAAAGCCCCCCGGGATGAGGTTTTTCGCGACGCCGAGGACGGGCCCGATGTAAGTTGGATGTTTCATCGCGGTATGAAAATGCAGGCTGTTCGTTGATATAGTCAGGGCTTGTTGAGGAGATCCGTATGACGGATGAGGTGTCCTCCTACTACTGTGACTTCGTCTCCACTTGTACATTGTCTTCGTCATCAGCGATATATGTCAGTCTAGGCATACACATTCCATCTTCTGTCCCAGAGCTCAAGGACGCCAGCCCGGGTGTACGCTTTGCGATGGCGTCTGTCTATATCTATCTCGACGACAACAGCTCACCCAGGACCATGAAAAGCATACATCGCTCCTCCAAGCGCAGGGACCTGAACCCTGAAAACCGGACTGGGCACAATCTTCTGCGAGACCCTGCTTATTGGTTGGAGTTGCAAGCCTCGCGCCATCCGATTGTGGTTCGATCCGCCGCCGGACCCCTGGTCGCTCGGAAGGCTGCGGCTGAGCCCCATCTTGTACCTTGAAGTGGTAACTGAGCGTCGATCTTCTCGCAAGGAGATCCGCCATGACCCTAGAATCGTTCCTGCGGATGCTGGCTCTTAAATAATCGTCAGCCCAGGCAACAGCCATCGAATGCGCGCCCACCAGTCGCCGCAGAGACTCTACGCCAAAACGCAGAGTCGGGACTCGGCTTCGATCATTGCGCAGGCACCTGCATAACCCTATTGAAAGTGTCACATGATATAAGCATTGAACGCTGGGCAATCGTCATGACTAATTATAGCGTGGAATTGCAGCCTGGCAAAAATCATCCACTAAATACCCACTCGCAAATCGCAAAACCACCGCTCCGTACAGAAGCAGCTTTTTGACAATGGTCAATCGCGGTCCCTCGGGCGCCTGCGTCACCTGCAAAAAACGCCGCGTCAAATGCGATGAAGCACGACCGCATTGTGGGCCGTGTCAGCGCCTCGCGCTACACTGTGGAGGGTACAAGACCAAATTCGCGAATCTGAAATTCAGAGACGAGACGAAGAAAGTCTGCGCTAGGGTTGCTAAGCGCCAGGGGAGTGCGGATACAGACCGGAGCCAGGATCATGATCACAACAAGGGTCATGGTCTCGTCCTGCAGCGACCGCTATCACAGCCCGATACGGCGGTGCCTTTCTACATCCAGCTCTACGTCAGCCCCGGCCGCGAGATCGAATCGGCCCGCGGGTTCTTCGAGATGCTCATCCCAATCTACAACTCGCAGGCGCAGGACTCGGCGCTCACACTAGCCGTGTCCGCCGTCGCGTCGGGGATCCAGTCTCTCTGGCGGCATGGCAGCTTCCAATCCCTATCGTCGCCCGCGGAGAGGTATCATACTCGAGCAGTCAAGTCGCTCCGCAGAGCCCTGCAGGACCGCAACGAATGGGGTCAACCGGCGACGATGCTCGCCGTCTTGGCGCTGCAGTGGTATGAGAATATCGCTGCTGTCTATGGGCTGAGATCGGCGACGCGGATACACCACAATGGTGCCGTGTCTTTGCTCCCGTTTGTCGCTTCCAAGTACGCGCATGTGGATGACAAGGCTAGCACGTACGTCCGAAGATTCATCCTCCACGCCGAGGTCTCCTCGGCCCTACGCCAGGAAAGACCGGTGCAAGGTATCGTCTACTCCTGGATCGCGGGCAAGCACTCGATAGCTGCGCCGGATAACCCCAGCGCCGCACTCGACGCCATCGGCGCGTCGGTGGCCGAGCTGCAGGCCCGGTACAAGCAGCTCTCCCGGCCCCAGTCCCAAACACTATCTGCCGCGCAGGACGCGAGAGACTGGATCGCCGAGGCAAAGCACATCGACGGCCAGCTCATGGCCTGGGCCGAGACTGTGCCGGATCATTGGCGCCCCGTGAAGCTGTTCAGCGGGTCAGACATGGACCCCTCAATCCCGACGTACCAGGCCGTCTGCGAGATCTACCCATCCTGCCAGATCGGCGCGATTTGGAACTTGTACCGCGTGCAACGCCTCTTACTCGCTAGAATCATCATCACCTCGCTGGGCATAATCTCAGAATCCACCTCGACGTTCCTGGGACTCACAATGGAGGATGACGTATGGGGATGGGGATGGGTAGCAGAAGAGTTCGCTGGACATTTGCACACACTGCAAACGCTCGTCGATGAAATCTGCCACTGTGTACCCTTTTACCTGGGAAATCGAACTCGGACGTTGGGTATTAGGGACTTTGCCGACGAGACGATCATCCTTCCTAGCTGCCAACCACAACCGGCACACGTCACAGCGCAAGCCGAGGGCACAAGTCCACATTCGACGCCTGGCCAGTCCCCTTCTTATGCATCGAGAGACCAGCAGCATAAGCGCTCGCTCATCGCCCAGGGCCCCTGGCACCTAATGAGCCCGCTGAGCCGATTACTCACGCTCTTCTCAAAGGACCATGGTCCGCTCCCGGTGTCGCTTCTTAGACCGGGGCAACATGAGTGGATAAGGGGGCAGTTTTTGCGTGTTCTGGGTTTGTTGAGGATTCTGCCGGGTGGGATTGGATATGTAGATGATATCAGCGTTGAGGATTTAGCACAGGCGGTTCGGAAGGGGGCGATTTTTATGAGTGGCCCATAACTACAAATATGCTGTATTAGTAATTTAATAAGCCATGTGCTACTTAAGGTTAGATTTGACCTGTTCACCTTACTAGATTGAGACACTGCCAAGCATGCCAACTGGGCGTGCTATCAACCAATCATAGTCGAGACATGGCTTATCTCTGAGCAACTTCAAACACACGACGAGATCGTCACATCCATTCAGAATCATCAGCAGCAGCAGCCTTGCCCATGGACTGCGTTGTTATCGCCTTCAAGGGATCTTTGAAGAAAGCGATCGTCATCAGCATCCAGCGACATCTCACAATCGCAGTCCAAGTGGAGGTCGACCCTGGCGACTGCACTGATAACAACTCTAACCAGCTCGCTGGCACTGATAAGACAAAATCAGCCAATGAACAAACCCCTTTTGCCTCGATATTGCAGTCAAGGGCAGTGTGCTCCGTGCAGATCTGCGCTGCGTCTTCCCCAGGCTCCCCAGTGGATTGTCGAGTCTGCACAGTATACCGCGGGACTGGACGCGCTGGAGACAGCGACTCCGAACGATTCGAGTCAGTGAGATCGAGGGATTCGGGGCTCACACCAGGAAGGATACTTCTGTTGTTTTATTTTGCACTGAGCTCTACCCCTATAGATTGTCAGTCTCAATCCTCATCAAGTGTATCGAGCAAAGCCATACCAAAACGCCTCGCAGCGGCAAACGAGCTTAATCCTCCTCCCAAGCAAAAGGCGTCCAGTCACCTCGGGAGGCGCCAGCCATCCTCGCACAAGGTATCATCTGCATCACTTGGCCAGCCTATCGTCCCAAAAGAAAAGCTTCTCGTCGACAAGCTTTGCCTCGACGCAGAGTGCAGCAAAAAAGCGGCTACAGCGCGAGCAGGCCCTGGAAAAGCAGGCGCAGATCGTCGGGTCTCAACGAATGGAGAATCTCCAGCTCATATCAGCGATGATCGTCGTTCAATGGCTCCAGTATCATTCCAATGTTGAGTGAAGACGTCGATGTCGAACCCGATCGAGAGGTTCAATTTTGGAGCCCTGGGTTCTGGTGGCTGTCACGCTTATCAGCCCCATTAGTCTTGGGATTGCTTTCTCCGCGGACGCGCGATAAGCACCACCTTGCAACAGCACCCTTTGGGCAGTCCGACGCCGGCCAGGAATTGGCTTCCGATGCATCTGCTGCTGCGATTCGTTCCTTTGGTACTGGTTAGCTTGGCCATGGTGCGATGCTCGCCGAGTTTATATTGACGATCCAGATAAGGGAGCCCTGTCCTCCGATTGGCTGGGAAACCCTATACAGCGACTGGAGGAGGGTTATAAGACTGGTGAGGCTTCTCCGGGGGATGGCAGTTATAGCTCGAAAGCATCATCATTCACATCTCCGAGGAAATCAGCACAATGCTCACCTCCATCGACGCCTACACCCCCGCGGAGGTGACCGAGTTTGTCGCCCGCGCGGGCCTCATCAAGGGCAACATGCGCCTCGACAAGGTCTTCTTCAGCTCCGTCTCTGCTGGATGTCTCTTGGCGCTGGCCTGTGGGACGGTGCTCAGCACAAACAGCAGTCCGTGGTTCCAGGAGAACGCCCCCGGGTTGATCCGCACGATCAGTGCATTGGTCTTTCCTTATGGGTTGGCCTTGATTATCCTTACTGGGGCTGATCTGTGCACTGGGTCGTTTATGGTTTGTCCTCAATGTGTTCTGGTTGATTGTTGAGTGGAGGAAGCTAACTGGTGCGCCTATTCTGTAGTTTACTACCGTCGCGGCCCTTCAACGACAGCTCCCCTGGTACCGCATGCTCCTACATTGGTTCGTCACCTTCTGGGGTAACCTCGCCGGCTCCCTCTTCGTCGTCGCCATCATCTTCGGCTGTACGTACTTCATACACACCTCTTGCCCTTCCACACTCGACACCCACATCCCACCTACCACGAACAACCACTAACATATCTATCCCCCTCTAGACGGCGAAGTCTTCAGCGCCGACCCCTTCCGCTCCGCCGTAATCAGCTTCGCGACCAAGAAACAGGTCACACCGGACTTCCACAACATCTTCCTCCGCGGCATCGGCTGCAACTGGCTGGTGTGTCTGGCATGCTTCCTCGCACTGCAGGGCCGCGACATGGCGTCCAAGATTATTGGCATTTGGTTACCGATCTATGCGTTCGTCTCCCTCGGTTTCGACCACGTCGTTGCGAATATGACTTTTGTCCCCATGGCGATTTGGCTTGAGGCGCCGGGGATTTCGGTCGGGTTGTATGTCTGGAAGGGAATCATTCCGACGCTGCTTGGGAATATTGTGGGGGGTGGGTTGTTTGTTGGTGAGTTCGATATCTACCTGGTTTAAATGTGTCTCTTTGTGGAATGTTGCTAATGAGTGATGTGATTTAGGCACATACTACTGGTACATGTACCTGTTGAAGAACGACCCCGTTACACTGACTGGTCTGCGGAAGAAGACCGAGGACAGCACCGAGGGGACCATCACGCCTCGCCAGGATGACATTGAAGCTTCGGCTGCGGGCGTGCTGCCGAATAGCTCGTCTGCTAAGCTTGCTTGAACATGATACCCGATATACAACTAGACTAGAGAGATAACATATCCTCATACTATAATCATAATACCCATTTCCATATCTTCTCATCACATGCGCATTCAAGGCTTGATCAACAGCCCGCCAACCCCGTAATCCCCCCGGCAGCATACCACTTACAACTCCCCACCACTGTATCCCCATCCGTATCCACAAAGTCCATATCCCGAAACTCAATCCCCGAGCACGGATTCACCGAACTACAGCTGATACTCGCCGTGTTGGAACTCGACCCTAGAGTCCCGGTATAATTCTCAAAGAGCACGTCCGAAATCTGCATCTTGCTCGTGCCTTTGAAGGACCCGTTGTTCCCGTTATCCTGTGTAATGAGCATTCCGCGCGAAGACCCCGTAACGTCGAAGTTGGAGAATGTTATGTTCCGCACAGAGCCCCAGCCGCCCCCGCGAGGCTGGTAGTCGGATTCGTAGTTGTCTTGTGGGACGAGGACGCCCATCCAGGTTTTTATATATGTGCCGAAGCGGGTGTTCAGAGTCTGTCAGCGAATGAGGTTAGCACAGCATATCGTCGTTCTCTCTCTCTATATATCTGCCCACGACGGCCGCAGACAGTCTCTCTGGATAGGCAAAAGAAGGGAAAGAAAAGGAAAGGAGAAAGCCATACCCTCACATCCTCAATAACCACATCCTCCACACTCGAATCCTCCAGATACTGTCCCAGACTCCCAATCGCAACCCCGTTCCCGCCATTACACGTAACATTCGAGATGTGGACCCCGTACGAACGCGGCTTTATCGCAATGCAGTCATCGCCACCGGTGAATGTGAAGCCGTCCAGGCGGATGTTTCGGACATCCATTGTGTCTGCTCGAACCAAGATCCAGCATTAGTACCATGTGGGGAATACCAAGTAAGTAATGAGGGAGGGCTCACCAAACCCATCCGTATTCTGCGCCCAATTCGCACCGGCGGGCGCGGCGGTCTCGTTAACCGTCACACGGATGTCGCGGAAGGTCATGTCAGTCCCGTTCATGATGTTGATCGACCAGAGCTGGGGCTGGTCGATGGCGAAGTTGGAGACCTGGACGTCGGACACGTTCCAGAAGACAAAGGGCTGTCCATCGCAAAAGAAAGCGTATTAGCATCCAACCATCAAGCGACTGGTGTTCAATATCCAGAGAATTGTAAGTGGAACATAACAGAGGCCGCTCGATTACCATCGGCCTCCCGACTTTCGTAACGCCCTTCTCGTCTTCATACCACAGATCTCCGTTCCCGTTGATACTTCCTGTCCCGTGTCCATTAATCGTGATCCCGCTGCCGGAGAGGACGAAGCCAGCCGCGTGGTTCTGGAACGCGATTGGGAACGAGTTCTCGCGCCAGTAGGTGAGGTTGTCGGAGAACTACATTGTCTTCGTCAGCCATTGTGCCCCGTCTCTGTCTCTGTCTCCTCTCTAGCGCTAAGTAAAGGGGGCAAAAAAAAAAAGAGAAACGGAATAGGGACCAGAAACTAGATGGGGGGATACGAACCAACCACGTCCCCTTCCACTCAATCGTCACGTCGCGCACATGCGGATTCAGCCGCTCAGCAATCCAGTACGTCTCGCCCTCTGGAAAGACGATTCGGCCTCCGTTATTGCATTTCCGGAACGCGCGGAGGATGTTGGGGACGTCGTTCTTCTGGTCACCGCGCGGCTTCACGACACAGGTCTTGCGGGTGGCCCTTGGCGAGACATCGACAGCCGCGGCGGCTGTAGACCCTGTTAGGGCTAGGACCAGCGGGAGGACCTTTGCGAGGAAGTGCATGGCAATGATAATCTGCACGATAACAGCCGAGTTGATGTGACGACCGTCCTGTTCCCCGGGCGCTCAGCGTCCTTAAATACATCGATGTCTCGCTTCAAAGGAGAGTAGAACCCCCACTCGTTCTGGAGAATCTCCCAGCGCAACGCGAAGCCTTACCCTACAGCCAAGACGAAATCTGCGTGTGGATACGACGTGTAGGAGGACCGGGGATTTTCCGCCTGTTAGAATTCACCCGATGCGGATCTGCAGAGTATCCCCGATTCCCCGCGCTTCCCCATTTCCCCCACGTTTGGGATTCGGGATAGAGGGGGCCGATTTATTGATTTATATAGGGGCCTCGAATACTTTCAGCTCGAGCAGGGATTGGAGATGTGGTGAGTGCTTGGTAGATATGTACGTGCTTGGGTATACGGAAACAATGTATGATTCCGTTCTCTCCTGTCCGATTAGGCCCACTTGATTGAAAGCACCTATCTAGAAGCATGTGTGTGTCGTGAACCGCCCTGGGCAATTACATAGGCTGGATTTCCCCGCACCAAGGTTCAAGCCGGGAGAATTTGTTCTACTAGGCACCCCATTGTATGGGCCGGCTAAACCCAGGTGTGTATAGACAGCGCATGCTCTGGATTTCGCAGCAGGAAGTCTACCTGTTTGCATTGTCAGCCGTATGTCATGGAATAGCTAATAAGTATAGGTCGGTGAGCTGTGCAACCCAAAGTGGCTCATCCAGCTTGTGTCTCTCTCAAGACATTCAGGCCAATGCTCAAAAGCAAAAGCCAAATATTGAAACCTAGGCTAGGGTGACAGCTACAAGATATGTATATCAGTGTGCGGTAGAAAGGTATTTGGGCCAACCAAGCTGAATCTACCGGTTCAATCCTCGAGCCGCAAACAGTAGAACAGTATGCTGGCGTTCTGGCCGCACCTTCCCTTCATACTAACCTGGGTCGCACCTTCAATGTTCAGGTGCACGCAGTTTCCTTACACAGCAACAGGAAGGCGCAACGAGTCGCTGTGGCTACCAACGCAGGTCGTGCTTTCCTCGGACGGAGTATACTATACTCCACCAATCCATAAGCTCCATCACATCGATAAATCTCGCTAAATCTGCTGCTTACAGATATGTTCCTCAAAATCAGTAATATTAAAAATCGAAATCCCCCTCGGCTTTCTGAGGCGTATAAATCTCATGCTTCTTGCTGAAACCGTAGATGTTCTTGATAGTTCTGACGACTTGGACAACGGTTATAAGAACCTCAACTTGCTACCAGTCTCTTTATTGACAAGCTCCTCTTTACTATCACGCATATCGATACGGCAGCAGTCACATGAAAACGACATCTCTGTCCGTCCCTCAAGTCCTTACCTGGATAATACCTTGTCGAGTTTGCGTTGGTCTTGTGCTGTGATAAAGTTTTTTGTTTGGCTTCCTCCTTTGGCGGATTAGGCACTGTACTGGGATAGTACATGATTTTGGCAAGGTAGTTGCACCTTTATTCGTGTGATTTTGGGATTAAACAGTCAGGGTAGCTCACTGCATAACCTTAATAACTGGGACTTCTGGCCATCAGCGATCAAAAAAAAGAGGCCGGCCGTGGCATCTCGTCAATCAGGAGGTCTGCTGCCGACTTGAAATATATAACTAGAGACAGAGGCCCGTGACTTCAAGTGGATACCGCCTCTACAACCTGGCACCTCATTGCCTATCCACTAACGCTATCCGTGCGGCTGCACACTCTTGACTCAGGACAGCGGTTAAGCCGCATTGGTTTTCCAAGGAACCTGAATAGTTGGAGGCGACAACAAAAGGTCCGAGGCCGCTGACTGGCTGACGGTCGGTAGCCAATCAAGTGTTCCCAATTACTTGACGTCTTGGCAGAACACGTGCAGGACAATAAACCTGATTTTGGCATCCTTGGCGGAGTCAGGATCAACCCTGTCCGGCTGTTCGCGAAAACTCGTTACGAGTTTCATCACTCTTGCCAGGGTACAAGATAGCCATGTAATCATGCCTTCACCTCCAACAACCCCGAGCTTTCTCCCCAAAGCCGATGCGGCGATACTAAGATTCAGCCACCAGCCACCGCCCCAACCGCCTCGGCCCACGACGATTGGTCCGATTCTCGACCCTGAGAATCTTGATCAGCCAATCAGCGTCTTGACGCCCGGGATTGAAGCAGCATCCTATCCCACTCCTGATCCCAACGCACCCACCTCGACCACCTGTGCTAAACCCTCTGGATTCAATGGTCGGTATCTGCGTGCCTTTCTTCCCGGCAATGAGAGGCTTAGACTGTCTATGTTATGGTACTACACCCGCGGTATTCAGGAAGAAGACGAACTCCTTGCCGGGCTTCAAGAGAAAGCGGATCTCGCAAAGGAATGCACCGGGTGGCAGTTTTCCGTCATTGGGATCCTCGATATCGATGTCTATATCCGCCTGGCCACCCATGGTCTACAGCTCGGTATCCTGCCCCGCGGCGAGACACTCTGTGCCCATACCGTCACGCAACCTCCTGGTGTAAGTTGTAGGCTAGAATCTACCATAGGGATATCTGCTGAACATCCCGTCCATATAGAGTGTATTCCTTCTCCCAGAACTCCAGGAAGACTGGCGGTTCCGAACATGTCCGTACCTCGAGCAGGGCGGCCTCTACGCGTACGCCGGTGTGCCGCTCCGTCTGCAGCATGAATCCGGGGTTACTGTTGGACTCGGTTCACTATGCGTAGCGTCTAGTAAAGCCGAGGACCCCCTCACAAAAGACCAACAGCAGGCGCTGGTCCGCTTGGCTGACTGGGTTGTTTCTGATATGGTGCAATGTACTCGTGCGAGACGCCAGCGCGAACGGCAACGAATGTCAGATCTTCTCACCACAGCGCGGATGGAACTAGAAAAGGGCGTCTCGGAGGACCCTGTCTTTGGGATACTAAAGGCTATTTATCCCCAGGCAGTCATCAAATCGCAGCCTACGAAAGCCACCCATGTCGAGATGGAAGCACGCAATCCACTACTCATGTCCGACCTCCAAGGCGGACTCTGGGAAGATATCGAGTACCTCGATGCCCTGATCGCAGAAGCAAATCACCAGCCGCTCCCCACGACAAAGACAATCCGTGTCATGGCCGCCCCCTGCGAGAGCGCCAAAGGCCCCTCCTTGCTCCTCTTGGGAACAAAGGACTTTCAGCACATATTCGACGACGTCGACTCGTGGTTCGTGCAGTCCTGCGCCGGACTGATCTCGGAAATGTGGCGCAAACGGCTCCTGGTAGATGCGATTGATGCAAAGGAGAAATTCCTCCGCGGGTTCTCGCATCAGCTCCGTACGCCCATTCATGGGATTCTGGGCTCAGCGGATCTCCTTGCTGAGGAGCTTCAGGCAGCTTGGGGCTATGGCTCTGCTGATGGTGCTTTCGCAGCATCAACGGTTCAGAAGACGGGGCTTACGAGCTTCTCTGAATACTCCAAATATCTTAACATCATCAAAATGGGCGGCCGCGATCTCGTCTCGATCATTAATAACATGATTACACTGAACAGATGGGTTGACATTGCCCTGACGGACCGACACTACGCCATGTACAGCATCAACAAGCTCGAGTCCGAACTATGCACCGCAATATCAAACCTCACCATTGGCGACATGCGATACAAATGCGCCCTCTTCTTCACGCACGACATTCCCCCCGGCTTCGAGACCTTCTGGATGGACATTGACGTCCTCCGTGAAAGTCTCCTCCCGCTCGTCTACAATGCCATCCAACACACGCCCGATGGAATCGTCTCCGTACACTCATTGGTAGATCCCGAGTTGAAGCAGCTGACCATCGACATTAAGGATACGGGCCAGGGTATTCAGCAGGAGGACCAGCGGCGCATCTTTGAAGCGTATGAGAAGGTTGATATGCATTCTGCGCGAGCAGGACTAGGTCTCACGCTAGCGTCTCGCTTTGCGACGCTCTTGCATGGCTCTGTGGCGTTGATGTCTTCGGCTATTGGTCGGGGTTCGCACTTCCGAGCGACCTTTCGTGATGTCGAGTGTGTTTGCAAAGAGGCCGGAGCTGCGCAGTCGCTAGCCTCGAAGATTCAGAATCTTCCCCGGAATTTTCACACTCTCTCGACTCCTGCTGGATCCAGACCGAATGAGGTCTCTGGCTCTCTGTGCGATCACTTCGCGCCCCTCCTGACACGAAATGGATTCACACCATCAGACTCTCTGGAGGGCTCTTTCGCCATCGTGAATGCGTCTGCAGACACCGAGGAGCACCGCGCGCGTCTCTCCCAGGTTCCGCCAGGCGTGGTAGTCATTTCCCTCGCCCCAGGTCTGCAGGCCGATTCCGAGCCGCCTTCCTCTCTCGACCGAACCGGTGCCAAGAACGTGATTCATGCGACCGGACCCTTCTCAACCCAGACACTAGCCTCAATACTCGAACAGGCAGACGCCGTCGTGGCCGAGATCAAGGCCTCGGAGTTGCGCACCTCACGACCGAGCGCAGCCCTCCCCATGCACCTGAAACGCACCAACGACGACTCCACATCAGATTCAGACTCCCAGCCAGACAGCAGCATCCTAACCCCCGCGGAGTCATCAGAGGAAGAGACAGCACCAACCCGTACTCAAGCTAGCCCTCGTCCGCTACGCACATCGCCGCGCCCGACAACGCTCATCGTCGACGATAACATCGTCAACCTCCGCGTGATGGAAATGTACTGCAAGAAGCGCGGGTTGCCGTACTTAACAGCGCAAGACGGCCTGCAAGCGATCGAGGTCTTTACGAAACGCCAATCCTCCTCCTTATTATTGTCACCACCCACCGGGAACAATACCGGCAATGACAACGAAAACGACCTTCCCCCCATCGAGCTAATCTTCATGGACCTCCAAATGCCCCTCTGCGACGGCGTCGAAGCGACGAAACAAATTCGGTCCCTCGAGCAAGAGAATGGCTGGGCGAGTTCGTTGATCGTCGTCATGACGGGCCAGGATACACTTGCCGATAAGTCGGCTGCGAAGGAGGCTGGTGGCGACGAGTATTTTGTGAAGCCGGTTATACTCCAACAGCTGGATCGGGTCGTTCGGCGGCAATTTCCGGCGTTTGAGGTTGGGATCAAGCCGTAGGTCCGTCTATGGCTATCATGGCGTAGGCGTGGTGGATCGTTGCCATTGAGTGTTGGCTGTTGAAGCACTACTGGCCGTGCCGAATGCTTGCGAATAAATGCACAAGTAAGAAGAACGTTCTAATCGCTTGGCCTGTACCTACACCCATAATCAGTCCCCTAAATGACTAGCCCATCCTCGCAGACAATGCAATGCAATGTAGCGTAGTGTACCTTTGTAGGTATTCCGAGGTCCTTGCCAGAGATAGCGCACCCAAGGCTGGATTCCGTAGCAGAAAGGGCTTGAGTAATTCATCTATCTAGTGCAACATCTTCGCTCCTTCACATCCGCCAACATAATCAAGTATACGCTAGATTTTGAACCTCCAACGGTTAAGCATAACAAAGGGAGCCGCGAGCGAGCCTAGTGGCGGACGCGCAAGTCCTGAATAGCAAGAGCCAGCCTCTCAACATCCTCGCCCTCATCGCCAGAGTCCGCAGAGTCCTCGGTTTTCAACCCAGCCGCCGAATAAAACGGCCATGCCCTGGTATACATGTATCCCGACGTTCGAACCCTCAGGCCGATCCCCGCCTCATCGCATAGCTCCCTCACCCCGCCGAGCTCCACCTCCCATAGATCGGTATTCCACGTCTGAACGACCAGCATCTCCAGATCAGGGCACCGTCTCACCCGGAGCATATCTTCTAGCTGGCCCGGAAGCCACGATAGTTCGTCCTCGGGGCAGTTGGTGAGACAGAGGAATCTGAGCGAGCGCGGGAGGACGGTTGATAACGTCCGTGTCGCTTCCTGCCCCGGCGAGACGTTCTCTATATCGAGGAGGATCGTAGACGGCATGCCGAGGATCTTCAGCGCGGTGTAGTTCTCCAGAGACCCAATCCACATATTGCCCTCGCCGTCGCCGCCATTATCCAGCTCCTCGACCTCTATCCACAGGCGCTCGAGACTTGCCGCGTGCGGTCTGAGTGTGTCGCCAAAGGCGCTGGGGATCAGCTCGTCGTCCCAAGAGATCATGCCTCCGCCGTGGATGTATCGGAAGGATCTCAGCTCGCGGCAGAGGTTGATCCACGCAGACAACCCGTCGGAGACGGAACTGTTGTCTAGGTCAATGTCTGTGACGTTTGAGAAACGGGTGCCTTCACGATTATCAACTGCGCCTCCGCGAACCATACTGCCGCTGACCTTGGCTAGCGAGGGGATTGAGAAGAAAGGGGTGGCTCTGTACGCATCGATGCCGTTCTCGGTGTCGTACCAGGAGATGAACAGCTCCTCGAGGTGGGGAAAGCTATCAACTACGCCGGCGGCTACAAACCCGTTGAAGTACTCGGCGCCGTAGGGATATTCGATCCCCAGCCGCCTAAGGTTCGTGAACCGGGGCATGGAAAGCGCGAGGAATGCATCTGTGATGCATTGGTCCAGCCCCTCGAGCCAGAACTGTGCCTCCTTTGCCCACCGGGGATCCCGTGCCACGATCTCTTTGAAAATGGTGCGATCCCACGCCTCTCGGATCTCCTGAGATTGCTTGTCCGTCCCCCGGTCGAGGTCTGCTTCTGTGTCCCAACTGTCGAGGTGGAGAGAGCGCACGGCCAAGGCGAGCTCCGGTCTGCGGATTACTGTGTTGAAGAAACTGGGATTGCGGATTTCGCTTGGTTTATTGTAACCGCTGTAACCGAGAAAGACATTGGTGTAGACGCGTGGTAGGAGGATGTCATGGTACCGGCGGGAGCAGCGAGCGAATGCTGCACGCGAGGGTGTGTTGAGGAACTGGCTGACCAAGCATATTAGCTCGGTAGGGAGTCGATCCATTTGTTGTGTTTTGTTGGTGATGGATGAGGATAAATGCAGCGAAGAGGGGAAAGCACCGCCGGGAGATGGTCGCTAGGCAGCCCCCACTACCCCTCAAGGCCGGCCACCGGCTGCGTGCGCGGGGGGCCTATCAGCAACAGGCAACTCATTGATGTCAGCACGGAAGCATGGAATAAGGCTTCATATTTTATCCAAGTGCTCAAATAAACTCAAAAATCTCCCCTCACCAGCTTATTTGGAGGCATGGCCGAGTCACTCTGTCTCATGTTGGATTATCGAGTTTGGGGTCTCGAAGAGTGACGAGACTCCGTGTCACCGTCAGATTACTTGTCACCCAGTCGCTTCAGTCTTCGGCAGCACATACGTATTAGATCATGCGCGAGCAAATGTGCCTCTAGTTCTTGTTATACCTGCCAGAAGCACCAATTCAAGTCTCTCCAAAACATCCAAACCGTGCGGCAGCGATCCTACAGAGTATACAACGTAACGTCCCTCCCTTCCGCCTGCGCCTCGGCTAGCAACTTCTCATTCCTCCTCCGAAGCACAACCTTCATCGTAAGCGCACAGGCAATACTAACGCCGGAAAACGCCATCATAAGCAGCATAGCAAGCACATAGCGGGGCTCATCCTGATCACGAAAGAAATAAGGGCTCCAGATGTTCCCAAACTGTGAAAGCAGGTTTATGATTGCTGTACCCGCCGCTCGTTTCTCGGGTGTTTCGTTGAGAACACTCGCGGCCCACGAGTAGACCATTGCATTAGCGGCGAATGCACCGCTGGCATAGAGGAAGGAGGCAAAGTACCGGGCGGGGACATTGAGAGTGGCCACAGAGATGATAAAGCCGACTATTGCAACGAGCATTGGAACTGAGATGTGGAACCCACGCTCGTTGCGCCTGTCAGAGGAGAAGGCGACGAGGAAGGAGACAACAGCACCAAATAGGTAGGGCGGCGCTGTGAGGAGGAGGGTCGTCGTATTGGAGCCTAACTTGAAGCCGCGGACTATGCTGGGATAGAAGTTGTTGAAACCATATGCTGTGTGGTTGCTGCAGAGCATGAGGAACTAGATTTGTTAGCTTGTGGTTCTTCCCATTATACTCAGAAGGGGCGCACATACAAAGATCCAGGTCCGGTAGTCCTTGACTGCGAGCGACACACCGTACCACACCGAGCTCTTGGCCTCTGGAACAGACACCCTGTCCGCAGCGATGCGAGCCGCAGCAATCTCACGTTCGCGCGGTGTGAGAAGCCATCGTCCACTACCTGACTCGGAGTCGACATAGTCCGGCAACAGAGCCAATGCCACGATGGCAGCAACGAAACTCCCAACACCTTCAATGATAAAGAGCCATTGCCAGCCCGTGTGACCGCGAGCGCCGTCGAGACCGGCGAAGATGCCTGCCGCGATCAAGCCAGAAAACGCAGTGGCAACCGTCAGACCAGAGTATAGCACGGCAGTCCGTAGGGCCAGTTCTTTGCGAGTGTACCAGCATGAAAGAAGGTAAAAGGCCTTAGAAATGTCAGATGGGCATGTCTAAATCTCAACGATGTAAATACTCACACCCGGGAAGAATGGAGCTTCAACGAAGCCGAGGAAGAACCGCACGGCGATCAGACCCGAGAAATTCTTGACGCCTGCTGTTGCGGCCGAGACACAGGACCATACCATGACGCAGCATGGAAGATACACACTAGGACGGACGCGAGTAAGGATCATGTTGGATGGAAGCTGCGCAAGCATGTATCTGCGGGCTGTTAGCCAGACTCCTATTATATTACTGGAATAGAGCCGTACCCAACATTCAGAATTGAGACTGCGACGTTAAAGTCCGTTCCCTCAAGCCCGAGATCTCGCTCAAAGTTGTTAAGACGTGCTTGACTGGAAGATTGTTAGAGTCAGGCATCTTCAGGACATAGGAAAATACACACGCAATATTGTTTCGATCGAGGTAGTTGAACATGTACAACACCCAGACGACTGGCATCAGAGTCATATCCAGTTTCCGGACAAGACTCTTCTCCGTCGCCGTCCAGTCCGGCGGCAGGACGTTGTCCTGCTCCGATTTCTCCGCATCAACATGGCCTGTGTCTTCAAGATGCTGTGGTGGCTTTTTTGCGGGGTCTAAGGACATGTTGATTTTTGGGCGAATGAATTTTGTGGACAGGAAGTGGCACATTCATCCCGGGGATGGTATCTCGAACGCACTGGATCCTGGTACATCTCGTAGGTTTTATACCCAGACACGAAGGTAGATCATCACCGCACCGGAGAGTAAGTTCAGGCGGGGCCCCGCAATCCATGGAGAGTTGGAGTAACATCGTCTGAAGGCAATCGAGTCGAGGGACTCCGCTCCGGCGTCTTTGATGGTGGTCGACTGTTGCCGATCGGCGTGGACACCAAGCCCGATCGGACATGAAGGCGCTCCGATCGGAGAACCGCAATAAGCCCAGTGCCTATATAGTACATCGCATTGCGTCTGCTGAACAGGTGTTTGAGCTCACGAAATCTAAATCTAAACAAACCTACGTCAAGACTACAATATGGTCACAAACGGCACAAAAGTTGATCTTCCTCTGCCTGCCGCTACACGCCTCCGTCAGCTCCTCGCTGAAAAGGACATGATAGTCGCACCCGGAGTCTACGATGGGTTCAGCGCCAGGATCGCCCTAGATGTCGGCTTCGACTGTCTATACATGGTAAAGGTTCTTCCAGACAGCGTGTCAAGTGTCATATGCTAACCCATGGCGGTTTAACAGACCGGTGCGGGCACTTGCGCCTCCAAGCTGGGCCAACCTGACCTCGGCTTCGCAACTCTGAATGACATGCGCGAGCATGCCGAAATCCTTGCGAACCTTGATCCTACCACACCCTTGATAGCAGACGCGGACACGGGTTACGGTGGTCCTAACATGGTTGCCCGGACAGTTCAGCAGTACCACCGTAGCGGCGTCGCAGCATTACATATCGAAGACCAGATCCAGACGAAGCGCTGTGGACACCTTGGTGGGAAGCAGGTTGTCCCCGTTGATATTTTCGTATCGAGGATAAGAGCGGCCGTTGCAGCGAGGAAGCAGCTTGGCTCTGACCTTGTGGTGATTGCGCGGACAGATGCGCTTCAGACAGATGGGTTCGACGAGGCAATCGTGAGACTCAAAGCCGCTGTCGAGGCTGGTGCAGACGTCGCATTCTTGGAAGGGGTCACGAGCGCCGACGAGGCCCGCGAGGTCTGCCGTTTGCTTTCTCCGACACCAGTGCTGCTCAATATGGTAGAAAACGGGGCCACGCCGTCTTGGACACCAGAGGAAGCGAGGGAGTTGGGGTTCAAAATCATTATATTCCCTTTTGCGGCACTGGCCCCGGCGTATGAAGCTATCCATGAAACGTACGCGAGGATCAAGAAGAGTGGGAGAACTGGAATCAATCCGGGGTTCACACCGAAGAAGCTGTTCACTCTCGTCGGGTTGAAGGATGCCGCGAAGATTGATGAAGCCGCCGGGGGCAGTTTGTATGGCAAGGTATAAAACCGTGGGGGTATTAATGGTGCATGTGGTCACAGTTTACATTAATATTCGGTTTCTAAGGCTCAATGTGTGATATAACGTTTAGTTGTACAATGGCAAGTTCAGACACTCATCGGGCCAGTCAAATGTAAATGGATCAGCGAGAGCGAATTGGTCGAAATCTATGATGGGCTGGTCTTCGAAGGGTGGAGCTTCCTGTGCAACAACGGAATATGAGCCAGGGAGTTCATGGTCGAGAGAAGCAAACTTATCTGATATATGCGCACTCATATCCTCCTGGCTCATCTGGAAGTATCTGCGCCACTGCCAAAGGGAGTCATAAACGATACTCATGCTCGATCGGTTTCTTACTCGGAGGGACAAATTGTGTGTCGGCTGCCCACTCGGTCCATGACTTGGAAGTGAATAGAGAAACCCCACGACGTCGCTCAGGCGGGCGGGCAGGTCATTGTTTGCAATAGACATTTTGCGTAGCGCGAGGATGGCTGAGTTGATTAGGGACTTTCCAGCGGGTACGTCAATGATCGAGTTGAAGCGGTCGCTCATGAGTATCTTTAGTACGGTCAGTGCCGCAGCTACAAACACTTGGTAGCAGAAGAAAGGCCAGTAATGGAAGAGGCCGCCTTGATTATCGGCTTCGAGACATTGTGACAGAAAGTTGTATGCAGTGTGGTAGAGTGTCGCGACTCGCTCAGTGTAGACGCTAAGGGCTGGGTCATCGTGGAGGTAAAAGGAGTGCAGATGCAGGAGGGCTGCCGAAAGGTATATACGCGTGGTCGCTACTACTGTTAGCTTAGACTAAAACAACTGGTCGCTGAGAGGATACATAATGGAGACATAGCGAGGACTTCGCGTTCAAGGTCACTGTAGACAGTGGTGAGCAGACGGTAAAGGGAAACCCGTCCCTGATTTGCTGGGGGTCGTTGCAACTCGAAACCGTTTGAGGAAAGTGCCACAGACACGCGATGCCGGTATTGCTCGATGCGAAGATGCAAGCGCAGAGCTGGATCCTCAGGGGCACTAGTACTTTTCTCTAACCCAGCGATACTTGGTAACGGCCAGTCCTGCAGTTGTACAGTTGCAGGGAGCCCGCAGCCTACACTGACGCTGAGGCCGTGTTAGTCGGGACGTATGAAGATGGCTCCAGGAACTAACCTGTACGCAACAATATTGCAGGCCTGCCATGTTGCAGTCCACTCGCTATGCTCGTCAGTGTTCAGAGTAAGGGGGACCTTGGTGAAATCCTGAGCATTAGGCGCGCAGTGAAGACCCATCTGAAAGGCAAGTTGGAGCATTATTCCGGCAAGAGTGTAGGTCGGGTCGGCTGTACTGCTGCTCGTTGGGAAAGGCCACGTGCAGAGAATGATGAGGCTTTGCACAGATTGAAGGGTGTAGGGGATTGATCGGACTGTGCTCCATACAAGCTCCGTCACGTTTCTTGCCAACCGCGGTAACAGCGTTGGGTTCGGGGATCGATGAGAGGCTGCTGAAATGATGGACCAAAAGAGTAATTCTGATGATTCGTAGTACGCGTGGGGAGATTTGCCAGTATTAAGGAATGGTAGAAAAGGATGGTAATGGTTGAAGAACCTAGTCACCATTAGCTGATGTGCTGGAAGACCGGGACGAGGATGTGTCAACGTTGCAAATAACTCGTCAATCTCTACAGTAGACAGCTCAAGATCATCCAGCCTTCTCGCCTGTGGGGGCACTACTAATAGAGCAGCCGGGGCCTGTTCAAGGTCGATGACAGGTTGCGTGGTCAAACCAGGCGCCCGGCTTCCGACCCTTGAAGCGAAAGACATCGAGGATTTGGTGGCGCCCAGCTCCCGAAACACAAGATTTCCATGAGGAGAGTGTTCAGACTGTGGTGGACTGGCGGTATTCGAATTGACACTTATTCTTGTCAAAGAGGAATTTGTCTCGTAAGTCGCGAGCTTGCGGCGCAGCTCATTGACCTCATTCTCGAGATCATACGAGCGCCTTCTCTTCCGCGTTCGTCGAAAATTAGACTCTATTTTGCAGTCGAGTCCCAGGCGCTGGCACCGACTGCATACGTTCGAGTCGTCATTCTCGAGTGCTGTGAGGTTGCACCGTAGCTGTTGTCCGTTAGTATCAGGAATTCCCTAGAGAAACGGTTGACTCACTTTCTGTTGTTTGCACTCATTACATGCCCGGCGTCTGGAAGGCTTAGTCAACGCTCCCCCAGAAGGGGTTTCAAGCGGACTATCTGGCATCCTGGACCTGAGATGGGACGCTGCTCGCATCTCGGATGGTCCTTCGTGTTGGAGAAAGGAGGAGCAAACCCAGCCAAACTAGACCTGATCTGGACAAGGCCACTGCGGGGGGTTGGGTTGTCGGTATAAGCGAGATAACCGAGCACGAAGAAAGCTCTAGCCACGACAGGTGTTTCCAGGACAAGAAGGGACCTGTTGGACAGCGGTTGACAGTCTATTTCCCCCCACCCTCGGAACACTCTCGTCTACCCAACAGCCTTTCAATATCGCAGGTCGTGCATGGCAGCTCCTTCTCCACCAAGGCCAACCAGACGGACCACGTTTTATGCCTATCGCCAAAAATTATATCCCCCTTCAATAGGGTCACCGTGCGAACCGACTCTCCAGCGCGGGAGGAGCCCGACCGAGAAGATGCGGAGCGGGTGCCAGATGACCCAGCCAAGCCGCCGATACGGGGGCATCTCCATCAGCGGTGAAACACGTTGCCCAATGTGCCTTGCGAGCAAGCGTTGGTTTTGTTGGAGGGTCAAGACCGTCGCTGTTGGCCGAAAGCAACTTTCTATCCTTTGACAACGGGGGGCGTCGCTATCTGGGGGTAACGGGCTCGCCCAGAGCGGATGCTGAGAGTCGTGCAAGCGACCAGGAAGATGGAGGGACACAAAGAAGGGTATGGATTGTTCCAACTTGTAGTGCCATGCAGCCATGTCCGGCTCCTTTTCGCGTAATTCGGGTCTAGGGTGACCGGGGTATGAAGCGCGCAGGCCCAGATCGGCTAGCACTCCAGCGACTGTCCAGACCTGTTACTAAACATTCTCAATCTCCTGCCACGAGTGATATCTATCAAGAGTGAAAAGTGAGTCTGAAGACCAGTTCCAACGGCTTGTTGCGGCATTCCGAAGGCTCGAGCAGAGTTCAAGGTGCCATAGTGCCTGATACACGCGAAACTCTTCAATCCAGGTGAGAGGCTCGCCTGCCACTTGGGTCGCTTCGGAGCCAAAGACGCCTTCCACCGCCGAGACAAAGTTGCGCTGCATGGTGTATAGGCATGCGCATGCTACACGCTGGATTCGAGCTGCGGTGTGGAGGATGTGGAGGATTTCTCCTTCGGTCGTATGACTGGGAGGGAAGCTATCTAATAGGCTTGGACAGGTGTAGATGTAATCGTCGATATCGGTTGGACGGAACCAATGGCAATGTATCACAGCAATGGTCCGGCATCGCTGTTGAATGCCCGGCATCATCGTCATAGGGTTCTGTGCTAGAAAGTCCCAAATGACGCGAGGGTGGGTGAGGAACACTGCGCGAACTCTCGGTGAGAGTATCAGGAGGCTCTCCAATCCAACAAAGTCAGATGTGTAGGAAGTAATACTCAGAATGAGCTCCACGGGTAAACGCTCGAAGGGGTCGATTGTTGGACTTCTTGTGGGAGCGACAGGAGCCGTGGAAGAGGGAGCTTGAGCTGTGGCAGGGAGCGCGCCATGAACACGAACCTTTCTCTCTCGAGGTTGACCTGGGCGAAACACAGACATTATGATGCTTCTACAACCCACGCTTAGTACTCGTAAGGCTATTTGTGAGACTCGCTACAAGCCGAACGATGTACCGCGAGGCAAAGGTTATTCTAAATAAGAATAAAAGGTCACGAAGATGGGTGCAAGCAGATGGAAGGATTGAGCTCCATTTGAGGGAAGCAGGTGGTGTCCCGCCATCATGTGACTTCTATTTATTTACCAGGCCAGAGACTGTATCTCCAATAAGTCACATATTCTTGATCAGGATGCTTGCCACTCGGCCGTTGTTTCGTCGCATGTTTTCGTCTGCCAGTGGGTTTGGACAGACTTTTGAACAGTATCCGATAAGAGTACAGAGAGCCGTAACAAGATGGCGGAACAAACTCCTAGACCCAATAGGTAAATCACTCTAATAGACGAATTTCACAAATAACAAGACCGAGACACGAACGAAAGGAACGTCCGATATCCACCGTGAAAGACATGATAAAATCCCACAGGCGACAATCCTCCCACCGAGCGACCGTCTCCAAGCACCTCAGGGCCCCTCTTAGCATAGTCTATCCTCCCCAAAACCTGACATCAATCAACTCCATGCCCCACCTCCTAACATACACCTTGAACGTATCCCAAACCAGCGCCCGAAACCCACAGAAGGCGATCGCCCAAGCCAACGACTTCCGCAGCCCCGTCGCCCCATAGTGCGCTACTATCCAGGCGATAGCATAATCCCGCATGGCATACGCAATGACCGTGTTGTCCATTTCCTGACGATGGGGGTCACGAGGGAGATTATGATGATGCTGATGATGCTGATGAGGATTATTAAGACGCTCGTGGGTGGCCTTGACGGTGGCGGTGAAATTGGTGAAATTGGCAAAGCTTGTGGTTGAGGAGTCGAGTGGAAACGGTGGACGGTGGTGGTTGAAGATCCAGCTGGCGAACTGGCCGACGCCGTCAAAGACGTAGCTGCAGAGGACGATGAAGAACATTGCCGCGGCCGTGGTTACGGGTAGTCTGCATCTGCAGGGGATGGCGTCTCGGAAGGCGCACCATTGGTCTCGCTTCCATTGGTCTAGTTCGATGTCCCTGTCAGATTTATCAGTACGTTGTGGTCGGAGGCAGGGGAAGGGAATAAGGCGCTGAGGGATCATGTCTGTTGGAGGAGGATGGGCAATCATACAGGAGTCGGTCACTGATTTCCCGGAATCGGCGGAGCATCGCGACCATGTCGTCCACCAACCGTTCCTCTGGAGGGGTTTCAGGGGGTGTGGAAGACGGGGTTGTCTGCTCGGACGAGGAGGAAAAATCCGATCCTAAAGAAGGGGAAGGAGAGGGAGAAGGAGAAGACATAGCCATCGCTGAGCTGGCGGGTGGTATTGGATGGAAAAGCAGGTGAGAGCAAGTTGAGGCTTTATAACCTGGACACCTGAAATATCTCGAATGCTCCTTTCTCTAGCGAGAGGGAGAGGATTAGCGCAGCGGGAGTCTGCCCTTTCGCAAACGCCTGAATCAGTCTTCCACGTACATCGACGACTAAGCACGCCCTTCAGGCGGCATTTGAAGATGGTCGTCCGTTCATATGCGAAAAAGCCGCAAGTGGGCTGGAGTCAAACAGACTTCCAGTCATTTCTCAATTCCAGCATTCAGTCTCATTTTCCAGCCCGGGTGAATCAAGTTCGTGTCCGTCTTGGGCAGAGCCGGCGTCGCTATCCATTTCCCCGGCAAACGAGTGTCTCGGTCGGATGCAGAGGGCAGAGCAAACCTGCTGCATGGATGATCAAACGCTCATGAAGACTTGGAAAGGGTCCCTGGCAATGGTATGGCATTGGAGGGCCGAGTAAAGGAAGAGGATACCAATCGACCATTTCGACGCATTTCGGGCGTTTGACGGCACGGTCTTATGTCCAAGCCAGCGAGGCTGTGCAAATGTTTTATCCCCCGACTTGGACTGGGTTACACAACCACAATCACGGACCGCTGATGCCTCGGGAACATGTAAAACAGGGTGACGAAAGTACCCTGCTGAAGAACTTTAGACCGCTGGTTCACCGCTATGTCGACGGCTTCAGACACAAAGCAAGGTGGCCACCGTTTGACCAGGAAAGCTCCGCTGCAGTGTCTGGTGTTGATAAGGCGTTGTGAGCTTTGCTAGGTACCCCCGAGACACCTTGTGTGCCTCGTCAAAGCCGTCCTACCGTCCTACTTGGTATTGAATAAAATCAGAGAATAAGAAAAGATTCAACGGCGTGTAGTGACCGTAAGAGTAAAAAGCTAGAGGAGACTAACATATTGGCATATATACGAGTCATGCGAGCGCCATAAATTTTTGCCAAAAAGCCGCCGACGAGAAAGTCGTGTAAAGCCAATGACCCCGAGTCGCCAGTAAATGCCATTAACATCGAGTCCTCGAAATAATCTGGACCGCGCGAAAGGGCTGTGCTGTGCTTGCCAGCGGCAAGATAGATATATATAAGGGCGGATGCCTGGGCAAGAAAATGCAAGCCGCTGAATAACAAATCAAAAAAAAAAACAAACACGAAGCGGGTATAACTTAAACATCCTCGCCGACATTAACATATTTCTTCAACTTCGGGAAAGTTGCCGCCCACTCGCGCGACACTTGCCAGTTCTCGTACGTGTATAGTCCCGTCTCGAAGTTTTGTGTCGGCATCAACTCGCCGTTCTCACAGGTGTAGATGAAATCTTGGTCTTCGGGCCATCGGAAGTGGATCGAGCGCATATACATGATGACTGAATGTCGCGGGTCCTGGATCTGGGAGGAGCGATGGATCAGGCGGTCGCGGAGCCCGGGCCAGGGGAGGAAGTCGATGCAAACGGGGTGAGGGATTGTCTTTTGGATGTCGGTCGGGTAGAGCCACGCCGGGACGTCGCGTTGTGTTTCTTCGTCGGGACAGAGGCGCCACTGCGATATGTTAGTTAGGCTCGACAGGTTCGAGTGCTTGGGGACTTACTCGGAGGAAGCGATACATCACCACGTAGCAGGCGAAGAGGGTGCGGACATTTGCAGGGCGAACCTGGCTAAACACCAGGCCGAGGATCTGGATGACGGGATTATCGGTCGAGGTAGGTCGGAAAACGTGTACGAGGGAAGGTGTGCGAGGGAGACGTGTGCTATTCGAGATACTCTTGTTGAGGCCTTGGTGGGCGCGAAGGAGGATGGAAAAAGTCGAGTACTCGAGGCACTCGTAATAGGAGCGGTGGTCGACTCCGCACCGACAGTCCACGGGAACATTGTTATCGGGCTCACCGAGTGCCGGTCCAGGGACCAGCATCGGTAGTTTATCGGCCGGCAATAGGAGGACATCCTGCGCGCTATGGACAGGCCGCGGCAAGCTGAACGAGGTGGAGGAGTTGTCCGCGGCAGCGACAGGACTCGGAGTCTCCCCCAGGTCAAAGCAAGAGAAATACCGCGTCTGATCCCTGAGTCGCTCGTTCAGGACGCGTACTTGATCGGTCAGCGACTGAACCGCCTGCTGCAGATTCGTGACCTGGGTTTCCAGGTTCTCCATCTGCCGCTTCTGCTGCTCGCGCTTTGCCTTGTGATTGATTCGGTCGGCCTGTCTCTTGCGGGCGAGCTGGGCTTCGGTGCGTCGACGCTTCTTCTGAGTGCCCTCGGTGGGCGTGTTGGGCGAGGATTGAGCAACCTCCATGGTTGGGTGACTCTGGTGACTTGACTCGGAGGGGAGGAAGGAGTTGGAGAGGAGGGAATAATAATGACGGCCCTGGGGTTGCTTCGCCCCGGAGGCACACGGGACTGAGTCTGGGATCCTGCGGAAACCCCGCATTTTGGCCCTGTTTGTGTTTCTGCCCACGGGGGCCGCCACGCCGCACTTGGCCTTTCTGTCATCTTCTCTTATAACACTCCTGCCTTCACAAGGCTACCAAAGACCTCGGATTGTATCTATCACTCATTTTGATCTTCATGCCTCTGTGAGTACGATATCTCCCCATCTTCAAGCTCTACACTAACCCCGCCTTCCCCGGAACTGTTGAGATCAGGTCGTCCTCAATTGCCGGGGTGGAGCCGCGTACTCTGGGGCAATGGTACGATGGATCTCTTTGCCGTCAGCCTGTCATTTGGATCGCGCCCTCTGCGACTGACGCTCGCACCATGTTCCTGACATGAAATACGCGATCCTACCCGCCTCTCCGCCTCTGCGCCTCCTCGCCCGAAAATTCCCTTCCCCGCTCTCCACAAACGCCGTCCTCCAGATTGCAGTTACGAGAAAAGTACCGATGTATGCGAGAATTGGTCATAACAGACGTCAGCGGTTGCACTGTCGGGTGGTTCCGCCGGTACGTAAGTTGGATACCCACATGTCACGATTTATAAGAGAGCTCCGAATGCCTCAAATCTCCGACAAAGCTCTCCGCCAAATCGCGTCGGCGGTGTTGCGGATGGACAAAATGGACACCCTACCCCGTATGGACGACCAAGCTATGATGGTGTGAGACAATGCCCTGTTCAGGGACCTATGGACAGAAATAGCAGCTTGCAGCAAATCTCATCGGTGCGCAAGCCAACACCAAGTAGTCCCATGCTAGCCCGGCCAAGTGCGATAGGCAATAAGTAACCCGGCGCAACTTTTAGGCGACCATTGCCCAAGTCGATGGATGTTACGACCACCTTCTCAGTAGTAATACGCAGAAGTTACGATGTGCTGTTTCTCATGGCAACTCCCATGGCAAAGCCCGCTCAACAGCGACATGAAGCTTCATATACTGAAGTCTGACCTTTGGGTTCAAATGTGCCTCGGCTGATGACAGCATGCGAAGATTTAATTTAGTGGTCGCCGCCGACCACGTCACACTTGGCTTCAAGGCAAGTCACGCGCAACCAATGATACGACTCTCGACACGCTGTGTTGTTTCTTCCCAATGCATCTTATTGGATGTTAGATTCACTTGGCATCTTGTGTGATTCGCTTGTTCAGAGTTGTGTTCCTTGGACGGTCAAGGGGGCGCCTCAGGTGTCAAGACCAATCGAGCAATCAAATTGCGGCACTACACGGATAATGATCCCGCGTCCACACCTTCTCCGACTGGACAGTTCATGATGGCCGTGCTTGCACATGCTTCACCTAATCTGAGGTTATGATTCAATGACTGTCTCTCCAACTCTTCCTTTGCCTCTTGCCACCATGACGCCGACCGTGTCACTACTCCAACCTTGCAAGCCAACCAGGACTTTGAGAGGTACTGTCATGAAATAATACTCATTCTAGACTTTCTATATGCTCCAACCAGCATCAATCGGCTCCTCAATACCGCTTCGTCGAGTAATCCCTTCGCTCTTCCGAAAATAGAAGCGCTCGAGAGGGAAAGAATGACATCTTTCCACTTGGCTTTCGCACGAATTTCTGGGAATCCTGTCTATAGTCGAGCGAGATAGCTGGAAATTGTATGCGTTCCTTCACTTTATCTAGGAACCTGCGACTCCGCGATAACGTGCCTTTGGAACTGTCCCGACAATATGAGGGCGAATCATCGAGGACCGAAACGCGACGGAAGATACGACATGCCGGCTCCCGATAGTAGTTGTTCTCCGGGTTCCGGTGGGGACTGGTAACTGGTGAAAGGAGCGTCTGTCGCGAGGTCCGCGGTGTACTCAATCGCGTGCTTTGCCGCTGGGTCTTGTCAGAGGTCGCAGTGTATGACGCCTGGTCCGACTCCAGAGCTGGCGACTTGCATTCGAAGGTATCGACCTGGCGAGGTTGGAACAGAGCGCGGGGTTAGACTTTGACTTGACACCGGAACTTGGAAGCAAGGCTGCCGGAAGCGTACCAGATTGGTGGGCTGGGATGCACCCGAGGGCACAGCTGCATTATCCTCCGATGCTTCAACTTTATCTGCCTTGTTCATCGTGCAGATGTGGCGAAATGGGGCCTGCCTGGGAGCTCGCTTCCAGATTGTCTGCTCTCCATGCTTGGGCGTTTGATTCAGGTAGGGCTACTCTAAAATACAGTGCCTCTAACATTGTGTTTACGTTGCTGCAACATTCCAGTCGGTTTTCGCGGCAGGCTGGAATTCAACAGTTATGCGAAACAATGCGGGATATGAACATCCGAAAGTTGCACCTCAAATTCCAGTAGAAGTCGAGCGAAAAAGGAGACGCCACAGCGTCACGATCCACACCCTGACGGCCTGGCAGGTAGTGTAGCTCGAGGCTGTACTGCGGAAATCACATATTTCGCAATTTGTCCATGGATATCGAATTCGCGACCTTGGAAAGCTCCCATAGCCAATTGGGTCTATTGCCGGAGGCAGCGAATAACACATTCCAAATAGCGATCGAAGGGATTGCTCGAGGAACAGGTTACAATCCTTAAGAGTCTTGAGATGTCGCCCTTTGCAGTGGTGACGCAGCGAGATGCAGCTACGCTGACGCGTCTAACGATCACTGCCAGGTGGTTGGCGGGGGAGACAGGGGTAATATTTCCCGCCCGAACGGTTGGCTGTGGTTGAGGCTTTATGGAGGAGCCGCGGGCGCCGGATTGGGACAGCTTGCTGATCCGCAGACAAGCTCTCTTCCCTGGATTGGAAGGTCGTGCGGGGCTGGCAGGGTTGAGCTCCTTCAACGGTGCCGTTGCTTGCGATGCATCAAGGTTTGGCCTTGCTTTACGTGAAACGTGGGTCCTCGAACACCCTGACCATGGATTGACTGGCTGGAATTTCCTGCCGACCATCTGGAACTTGCTTGTTAGCGGAACACTAAATGGTGGATATTATCTCACCATAATCGACTTGCACCTGTCATGCCATTCTCGATTGCCCAGTCAGTATCTTTTCCCGTCGTTGATCCCCGACAAACTGGTCCTCGATTTATCGGCTCGTGGCGTTTCTCGCGGCGTTTCTCGTGCTCTGTCGAAACGTGGTGTGAGGAATGCAGCACCTAATTTTTCTCAATGCAACGGCGAGGACGTGAAGATACAAGAGGGACGACAATAATCAACTTCGTACCTTCTTGATCCCCCGACCGGCGACCACAGCTGGGGCAGTTCACCCTGATACATTTTCCGTCGCGTTTGATTGCTTAGGCACCTCAATCTCCACACGGATTCAGATCATATCGTCATCTTTACTCCATGGTACCCACTCGGGAGCTCGACCTGGACGATCATCCAAAACCTCTTATCTGAGCTGAGGACCTTTTGCAACATCGACTTCTTCCATGGTAAACGTCAAGACCTGGCTCAATTCGCTTCCCTGGCTATTCTAGTGGATTCCCCGCTTACTCGAGCCCTGTCATCAGACTTGATATACTGCCCAGTCCACCTGTGCTACCTTTTATGTCTTTATCATCCATGGCGAGATACTGCAATTGAAGCATCACCTTAGCATTGAGAAAGCGTCTGCCAAACAATTCTTCCTATACTTCATCAGTTGTGTGAACCAGCGAGCTTCTGAGCTTGTTGCACTTTGCTACTTCACAAGACATTTGTTCTAATCATAATTGACCCTTCCACAATTTCGAACCACATCTGCACCTCGTTCATTAATTGAACAGCTCTATGGGGGCGACACTTCATCAACCAACACCAGGTAAGCAGGCCACCATGCAATTGATCAGCATCAACTCACATCCACAGTTGCTTTCTAGCACCATTTACCATGTCCGCGCAAACCAGTTTCTACCCCGCAGACTCTGTGGAGAACTCTGCCGTGGCTCCATCCTCCCTGCTCCTGAGCAATGGCTTCAACCAGGAGTTCCTCAACCTCGCCCTCCTTGAGCAACCAACCCACGGCATGCCAATGCAGTTCCAGCCCAACAACCAACAAGCACATATACAGGGTATACCACAGTCATCAATGCAAGGCGACACCACCCCACGGGCACGCCTACGCAACCGCCAACTCCGCCCAGCACCCCGCAGCAACCGCAAACGCTCTCTCGAAGACGAGATGAACCAAGCCCCCCCTCCATATCTGCAATACCCCTCCTACACCAATTTCTCCTCCTTCTCCTCCGCCTCGACCGACCACGCCCACGAAGACAGCCCGGAGCAAGACTTCACCTTTGACGACGCCCGCAGCCACCACTCGTACTCGAGCAGCCCCAAGTCCTCGCCAACAACCCACAGCTTCCGGCACGACGAAGTACAAAAGCGTGAGAAGCACCTGGAGCGCAACCGTGCGGCTGCGAGCAAGAGCCGACAGAAGAAGAAGCGCGAGACGGACCAGCTCAAGACGCGGTTCAACGAGGCCAGCCGCAAGAAGCGGTTGCTTGAGGCGGAGATCAAGGAGCTGCATAGTGCCTTGCTCTTCTTGAAGGATCAGATCCTCATGCACTCGCGGTGTGATGACAATGCTATTCACGTCTATCTTGGAAGGATGGTGAAGCAGGCGACCAAGCATGGTTCGATAAGCTCGGCTTCGGCCGAGGAGGATATGGCGCAGTCTCTGTCGCCGCCCGAGACTGAGATGCAGTCTCGTCCTGAGCAACCCGCCTTCGACATGACCAGCCCTGATTCGGGTCCGGGTCCTGGACCGGGCCAAGCCCCCGGCGGAATATCATGTGGTGTCGACAAGCCGCTGATAGATCCGATGATGTACCAGCCGGCTGGGAATATCTTCGACTACCAGATCAGCATCTCGTAAATGTCGTTTGGTCCCTTCCTTGCCCGACTATCTTTCTGTCATCATATTCTTCCTCTCACGGTGGTTCCTTTCTTTTTTAGCGATGTCTGCCGGCTTGGATTTGCTCATGGTCCTTCCTTTCGTTCTCTTGTCTTCCTCCTCTCTCGTTAGCCCCGGCGTATACGGACGATGGGTGGCTCTTGGTCTTGATTTTAAAAGCGTTTCGTCTAAACTCTTTATATTGTGCTTACAGCTGACGTACCTGTCTGTCTGTACCCACCCCTGCGTCAGTATAAATACCTACAACAAACGCTGTATAACCGCAGCAATATATATCATGCATCTGAATGTCATATCTCCAAGCCCTGCATTTCTCTCCCTGGCAAGATTTATTCCTTTGGATCTTTCTACCTTGGTCCCCAAATGCATCCGATGGATGAGATTTGAGTATTGTCGTTCACATGAAACTCGCCACTGTGTACTGGGTACCTTCCTCGTCGCCACTCCCAGCCCACAAGGAGTTTGTCCTTGTCTCCTTTCTCCAGAATTACCCCCACATAAAGCTTGTTGATCTCGCACTGTGGAATACGTACACGTTATGATGCGCTCATACGTATGTATGTAACCCTGCTACGCCAATCGGGGCCACGAGAACCATCTTCCGAGCACATCATCCTAAGACCCTGCCTACGCTGTATGCCGTTGGGGAAATAAGGCTCAAGTAAGGGAAACGATATTCCGGACGAGGAATTCAAGCTCGGAGTGCATAGGAATAAGTTCCCCACGCCATACCGAATGCCGAATCCCGATGCCGATCGCAGCCTTTAATCTCAGCCCTGTCTTGGCCTGGGCTGGTTCAAACGCCGTGTGATTAGATCTCCTATTTTATATCGTTGTTTTGTTCTCCTGAAGCCCTTTTTTTTTTTAATGAATCCTGGACACCGTCTCCGAAGATATCCTTGCCGGTGAATGTGGGGTCTTGTCGTGTTGGAGAGAGCGCAATTCACACTGGGTCATGGGTGGATTATCAACCATGGAACGGTAGGCTGGCATCTTAGTACCTGGAATTTCCACTTCTTAGATAGTGTAGTGCATGGACAGTCCCTCTACGTTAATAGTTGTAGCCCCTGCTGGGCAAGTTGCATAGAATCAGTGCCCAAGTCTGCTAGGGTTGTGCTTCGATGCTACATTTTCAACAAGTAGGATGGAGAATTAGAGCTACGCTACGTTGTCCCGAATCTCTCCGATTAAGTGGCTCTTACAAAGGCTATCGAATCCATATTAAAAGTATGATCTCCATTGAACCAAGTTATCAACTCCGATAGAACAATTACATGATCTGCACTACCCGAACCCGAACCCGAACCACGATCCAAAGATTCGAATTTGCACATCACAGGCCCACCAACTCCACAACAACGAACCTCCAAACAATCCGTACTACAATTTACTTGGTCGAAGGATTCGGCATCCCTTTCGTATGTGGCCACGAGCGGAACAGATCCGACAGATGATCCAGCGGCGCCGCCAGGAGTCCCGCGACAGTCTCGAAGGGCGGCTTGTCGGGGGCACTCGGGTGCGAGCGCGAGGGAACAAACATCTTGGTGCGGCCGAAGGACTTGGACAGCTTCTCGCTTTCAGCCTCGGAGATGGCGTCTTCGAGTTTGGGGAGGTCGGTCGATTCTTCTTCCTTGATGTGCTGCGAGAGGTCGCTCATTAGGGATTTGAGGGTTGATTCGAAATCCGGGTCGGTGGGTTTCATGTTTTGGAATTTCTTGAGGGCTTCTTTTACCTGTTCTTTTTGTTAGTAATTATGTTTATGGAATAGGGTGGGGATGAGACGCACGGCGAGATGCTCCTTGCGATCCTTATCAGCCATGGCGCGGCCATCGGGGAGCGCCTTTTCGAACACGGGGTAGACGACCAGCTCCTCGCCGATCGAGTGGCGGGCGAGCTCCCAGGTGAATTGGTTCTGCCATTGGGTCTTCTCCTTGTCAGTAGTCGACGCGAGGATCTTGTTGTAGTAGTCCTCGATCTCGCGGTGGTCTTCCTTGATGGCGTCGATGATGCGGGGAGTCATGGCGATGGGTGATTGAGAGATGAGGCGTCTTTGAGCAACTGATACTTGTAAAGGTATAGAAAGGTTGAATTGTTTCAGGGGCAGACGAGTAGAGTTTAGCAAGCGGATGGCCATGTTATAGTTTTCCAGAGCAAGCACAAATGCGTGGGCAGCTATATATGGTTTACGGGCTGGTCATGAGTCTACGACGCTTTTATGCGGGTGGGTGGCTGGACGTCATCGTGAAGTGGACGAAACGGTATGGATGCGTGTCTGGCTAGATGATTCTGAAACCAGGATTATAATAAACGCTAGGGGAGTTGTGATGGTGATGGTGATGCGGTGGTGAGCCTGTTCTGGAGAGGAGCCGCCAATGAGGGTGAAGATTTAGTAACGTCATTATCACAGCCAGAGGGAGAGATGCCGCCAATAGGAAATCAAATATTATTCAGAGCAATGTGAAGATGATCTGCAGATCTAGACTGACAGCTTTGAAATCGAGCTCGATCTGGAGCAGGTTGTGATGTTTCCATCATCGTCGCATCATGGCAGACGAGAAATGATGTCACCACCTCCTCCTCCCAGTAACACAATATAATCATCCCCATGGGCAAGCGACCATTGACTTTCCACACTCCAACCCCAAACCCAATCGTAATTCATCCAGCCAGAATGGCCACCACTGTCGCCGCCGGCCTGCAAAAGGCCCAGAAAGCAGTGCAGGACACTGCCACCAAGAACAAGAAGCTGGTCGACCTCGAGGCCGACACCGTCAACGCTCACACCAAACACCCCCAGTCCACCGACCATGGCGTCGGCATCTCGGACCCTGACCACTGGCTGCGCATCGCCAACGAGCAGCGGTCGGGTCCCAGTCTGCTGGAAGACCAGATTGCCCGCGAGAAGATCCACCGCTTCGACCACGAGCGGATTCCCGAGCGTGTAGTCCACGCGCGTGGAACTGCTGCCTTTGGAAACTTTAAGCTGCATGAGAGTATCGAGGAGCTGACCACTGCCGGGGTCCTGACTGACACGTCGAGGAACACGCCTGTTTTCTTGCGGTTCTCGACGGTGCAGGGGAGTCGGGGCAGTGCGGATACTGTTCGCGATGTTCGCGGATTTGCGGTCAAGATGTATACTGACGAGGGCAACTGGGATATTGTTGGAAATAATATCCCGGTGTTCTTCATTCAGGACGCCATCAAGTTCCCTGATTTCGGTACGTCTGTACAGACCCCGACTCTTTGGAATCTCTCTAACAGTCGCAGTCCACGCGGTCAAGCCTGAACCGCACAATGAAGTCCCTCAAGCACAGACAGCCCACAACAACTTCTGGGACTTTGTCTACTTGCATCCCGAAGCCACGCACATGTTCATGTGGGCCATGTCCGACCGCGCCATCCCCCGCTCCTACCGCATGATGCAGGGCTTCGGCGTCAACACCTACTCCTTGGTGAACAAGGAGGGCAAGCGCCATTTCGTCAAGTTCCACTTCACACCACACCTTGGCGTGCACTCGCTCGTCTGGGACGAGGCCCTCAAACTGGCCGGGCAAGACCCCGACTTCCACCGCAAAGACCTCATGGAAGCCATCGACAACAAGGCCTACCCGAAATGGGACTTTGGCATCCAAGTCATCGCCGAGGAAGACCAGGACAAGTTCGACTTTGACATCCTCGATGCGACAAAGATCTGGCCCGAGGAGCTCGTCCCACTACGAAACATTGGCGAGCTCGAGCTGAACCGCAACATCGACGAGTTCTTCCCGCAGACCGAGCAGGTGGCTTTCTGCACGTCCCACATCGTCCCCGGAATCGACTTCTCCGACGACCCCCTCCTACAGGGCCGCAACTTCTCCTACTTTGATACCCAGATCAGTCGCCTCGGCATCAACTGGGAGGAGCTCCCCATCAACCGGCCTGTCTGCCCATTCCTAAACCACAACCGCGACGGCGCAATGCGCCACCGCATCACCCGGGGCTCCGTCAACTACTGGCCGAACCGCTTCGAGGCTCTCCCGCCCGCCGGCGAAAAGGGCTTCGTCAGCCACCCGCAGCGCATCACAGGCCAGAAGCGCCGTGACCTCTCGCCCAAGTTCAAGGAGTACCACAACCAGGCCCAACTCTTCTACAACTCCATGTCGGAGATTGAAAAGATACACATGAAAAAGGCGTTTTCCTTTGAACTCGACCACTGCGACGACCCGCTTGTCTACGAGAGACTGGCTGGGACCCGCCTCGCGGAACTCGACCTCCCCCTCGCACAAGCCGTCGCGGAGATGGTCGGCGCCCCGATCCCCACGAAGGCCCTCCGCCCCAACCACGGCAAGAAATCCGTCCGCCTCTCCCAGCTCGATTTCATCCCCAAGATCCCCGGAATCGTCAGTCGCCGCGTCGCGATCATTATTGGCGACGGCTACGACAAAATCGCCTTCCAGGGAATCAAGGCCGCCATCCTCGCCTCGCAGGCCCTCCCCTTTGTCATCGGCACAAAGCGTTCGGCCATCTACGCCGCCGGCGAATCAGCTAGCAACTCCAAGGGCGTGATCCCCGATCACCAATACGACGGTCAACGCTCGACCATGTTCGATGCAACCTTTATCCCCGGCGGATCGCACGTGGAAACGCTCAAGAAGAACGGACAGATCAGATACTGGATCGCGGAGACGTTCGGGCACCTCAAGGCGCTGGGCGCTACAGGCGAAGCCGCAATCCTCGTCAAGGACGTTCTGGGCAGTATGCTCGACGTAAAAGTTGCCGGTGCGGGCTCGCCCGAGCCCGTCGAGTGGTACGGAGTTGTTACGGCGAAGGAGCTGAAGACGCCGGAGAGTTTCAGTGAGGGGGTCAAGATCCTCAAGGATGCGAAGGATTTCGTGGGCAAGTTCTTTTATCAGATCTCGCAGCATCGGAATTGGGCGCGTGAGTTGGATGGGTTGGCTGCGACGGTTGCGTTTTAGTTGATATGAATATGTACGTATGGGTTGTATGGTAGGAGTTCTGGGCTGGGTTTGTACGACTATAGGAGTAAATGTAGGCTATAGCAATAAGTTATTGATATCTGTCTTATCCTACTTTGCTCAAGTATTGCAGTATAGAACCATGCATCAATTCATGCTAAACAGTCTGCCTCGCTAAACAATGCATGCTCCAAACCCCCCATGAACCACACACGTCATCTAATCCTCTCTTCTCCTCATCTCAGGCTATCTACTCAATCCTTCTTCGCAAACCCCTCCAACGCCTCCGTAAACTTCTCCCCCCACTTGGCACTAGTATTCGTCGTCACAAACTCCTCCAGCTCCTCATACCGCCTCCTCTTCTCCTCCTTGTCCATCGTCGCAGCCTGATACACCGCATCAGACAGCTGCTGCGTGCTGCTCGGATTAAACGTAATACTCCCCGTACCCATAAACGACGCTGCGCCCGCAAGCTCCGACAGCACCAGCACCCCATGCCGATCCTTCTGGCACGCAACGTACTCGGCCGCAACGAGGTTCATCCCGTCGCGCCGCGACGTAATCATACAGATATCCGCGATGCGGTAGAGAGCCGTCAGGTCTGCAAACGGGACCGAATGGTGCATGTACACGATGGGCGACCCCTCGGGCGTCGAGTGCTCGCCCGTGATCTTCCCAACGAGCTGGCTGATCTCGTTGCTGAGGTCCTGGTACTCCTTGACGTCCTCGCGGCTGGGGATCGCGACCTGGATGAGCACCACGTTGCTCTTGAGGTCCGGGTGGTGCGACAGGAAGTGCTCGTACCCCTGCAGCTTCTGCACGAGGCCCTTGGTGTAATCGAGCCGGTCGACGCCGAGAATCACAATCTTGCGCTTGTACATGTCCTCCAGCTCCTCGACGCGCGATTGCACCTCTTTGTCCAGCAGGCCGTTGGTGAACTTTTGCGGGTCGATCCCCACGATGAATGTCCCCGTGTGGACCTTCCTCCCCTCGTACGAGATGACATTCCCCTCGCCATCATCGACAACCTCAGCCCCAAGTCCGCGCGAACAACACTCGACGAAATTCCGCTTATACTCATCCGTATGGAACCCGACCAGATCACACGCGAGCACCCCCCGTAGTAACTCCTTGTGAACCGGCAGAGCGCGCCAAAAGTCCTCGGCGGGGAACGGGGTATGCAGCGTGAATCCGATCGGGCAGTGTTTCTTCCCGGCCGCGTCGAGGCGTTCGCGGAGGTATGCTGGTAGCAGAAGCAGGTGGTAGTCGTGCACCCAGATGAGGTCGCCGTCTTCGACCGAGGCCGCGATTGTGTCGGCGAAGATGGCGTTCACTGTTTGGTACGCGCGCCAGGCGTCTTCGGAGAAGGAGACGGCGGATTGGTAGTGGAGGATTGGCCAGGCGATGCCGTCTGGATTGTAGTATTAGCTTCCTCCCAAACGAAAGTTACCCTAGGGGAAGCTGGGTGCGTGCGCACGCACTCGAAAACTCATTGTAATGCTTCTGCGCAAGCTCCTCGTCGAGAAAAATCCCAACGGCATCTTGCTCGCCCAGCGCCTTTTGCGCGGTTTCCCGCTCCTCCTCGTTGTCAATGCTTGTCCCCGGCCACCCGAACCAGCGCACGTTTGTTGACGAGCTGATGCCCGAGAGCGCGGTGACGAGGCCGCCGCTTGACAGCGACGACTCGTAGTTGCCTCGGGCGGTCTTTTTGAGACAGAGAGGGAGCCGGTTCGAGACGATGATCAGGCGGCGTTCTGTGTCGGGCATTTTGTGAGATTCTCTTTCTGTTCGGCGTTCGGTTGTGGGTTGTGTTTGTGGTTGTGGGTTGTGTTTGGGTCGCGAGGTTGATGTCTGTGTTGTTGAGGTGATGTTCGACTTACGTCGATTAAATCGCTCAGCTCCCTCTGTCGTTGTCTCTTCTGCTCACTCTCAACCATGCAGTCAGCGGCGCCCGCCTGTATCATCTGCCAGGGTAAGGAGGGCTACGGCACATTTCCAGACGCCCCCGCCACATGTCGTGTCTCAAAGGCAGATAGTAAGATTATCCGCCTATCAGACGCAGTCATGCGATGGAAAATATATGCAGTCGCACGTGTGCTGGGAGGAAGGAACGTGGGCTCTGCTGACGTCGAGATTCGGTGTTTTTATGCCTGAAATGTCGACGATGATGTATGACGTCACCCCTGCGCCGCGCTGCGTTCGGCCGACGCTGCTCAATCCCCAGAGCTTCGAGCTGGATATCCCGAAGCCTATTCCCATATAGACGAGCAATCGAAATGGTCCAGCGAAATGTGACGTTCAAGCAGCCGTGACCGCACCCTGACATCAGCAAGCGAACCATAACGGGCTGGGGTGGATGTATATAGATGAGAATCAATTTGGAAGGATCAAGAGATTACTCCGTAAGCTAGCACAAACTTGTATTGTTTGCAACTTTGATCTATTTCAAGAAGCCACGTCCAAGAAGTCTAAAATTGCAACAATGGCCGAAGATCGCCTCAACGCCATGCGTGGCTACAAGGCGTGAGCCGAATCCCCTCCCCAATGATCAATCTACCCTGGATTCTCTGCCCCAAGGAAGATTCTCGAAGAAAATACTAACGAGCGCGCAGCACAATAAACAACCCCAACGTCTCCAAGGAAGCCAAGGAACACGCCGAGTACATGCTCCAGAACGAAGTCGGCGGCGAGGAGGCGCAGGAGGAGCTGTACAGGCGACGGGGCGACTACGACAAGTCGCCGAATCGGGTTGCGGGCGGGTTGAAGGCGTATGTGGACCGTTGCCCATCGGTTTCGAGTTTGAATGTTTACATCTACTAACCGCATCGCAGCGCCATGCATAACCCCGGCATCCCGGAGAGTGGCAAAAAGAAGGCGCAGCAGAAGCTGGGGAAGGATGCGCCGGCTGAGTAGATTAGGTCTTTACACCTAGTGATGTCTTGTGTAAATAATACTACTCGCAAGTTGAACCGGAATGAATTGGGATGACTACGCTCTCCGCAAAGAGGGGTCGAAACGGTCTAGAGCAATAACACGGAGGTCCTCCGAGGGAGATCGATAGCTGGAGCTCAAGTGGGGAAGACATACATCATGATCTCGTAGCGGCCATTATTACATCACCACCTCGACCTGGAACATCATGCGATTTCATAACACTACAAACCTGTCCAATTCCAATTTCTTCACAGGTTTCTCACACATCCGTCAACCAAACTTCCCTCGTCGATCATCCATCCCACACACACCACCAAACATGTCGTTCACAGCACAGCGCCTCCGCCTCGTCCGCTCACCCCTCGCCCGGCCACAGGCCATCACTCATCCCAAGACGACGACCTATTCTCGCCGCGGATACGCCTCAGCACCAACACCCCCCGGATCCCGAAACTCAAACACAACATGGTCCATATCCCCTCCCTCCAGACCCCCTTCAACAACACTAACGAATCCGCATCCAGGCTCGTAATAACCGCCGCCCTCGGCATCCCCGCCGCCTACTACCTCCTCCAAGGAAACAGCACGCGCGACCAAAGCGGCCTCGGCCCAAGGTCCGGACCGCCAACAGGGCCGCCCTCAAGTAAAGACCCGCCCGCGTCGCAAAAGGCACCTGGGGATCCGAACACGATGAGCTTCAAGCAGGAGGGCCTCGATAATGCGGATACGAAGCATCCGTATGCGAATGCCCCCGGGAAGAGTGTCAAGGGCGAGGGCGAGACGGAGACGGCCAAGCTCAAGGGGACGGTTAGTGTGGATCGGCCGCAGCGGTAGAGGAATTGCAGTCGCGAGGGGTGGTTTATTGAGGGGAGTCCAGGGGACATTGTATAGTATGCGCATGACCTTTCAATTGATGGGGTATTGATTTGGGGTCTCGATGAAAATTTGATCATGTATGACTATTGTCGGACGCCAATTCTCCGAACCAAAGCAAACACATGTCCAGACAGAAATGTACATGTACGACATCTACTCACTCCTCTTGAACCAACCCTCCCAAACGTCTCCAGCGTATGCTCCCACACAATCCCCGCAAACCCCGTCTCCCTAAACCCATCCAGAAGCCCCCTTTTCGTCACATCCCTCCCATCATAATTCAGAATATATCCCCAGACCCGATCACCCCATCAACAAGCGGAACCCCCTCATGCGCCTCATGACACTCCCTGGCCCGAAACCCCGCACTCGTAGCCACAAACAAACTCCACTCCCCACTCTGGTTCAACGGAACCGTAAACGGCCACAGGAGCATACTTACAATTGTCCCGACGATCCCGCCCCAGGCGGACGTGTAGATTGGCGTGGGCACGAAGCCCGGGAAGACGTGCAAGAAGCTTATACTTGGATGCTGTGCTGCGAGGTGCGACAAGGCGAGCGTCGTCATGGTTGTTGCGTAGAAGCCGGCTGTCGTGAACGAGTAGGATTTGCAGAGGTCCAGGTTGTCTGGCGAGATTTGGGTTTCTTTGCCTGCGGCCAGAATGCTCGCCACCCGGGGTGTTCGGGAGAGTTTGAGGGCGGGGAGGAGGTTTGTTATGAAGCGCATGCGCGCGTAGTAGCGGAGGACGTGGTTGCTGTCGAGGCCTTCTTCCGTAACGCATCAGCCAACGGATCCCAACCGCGAGTATGGATTATCATCAGCGCGGTTACATGCAAACCTGGCCGGTCCCCAGATGCCAGGTGGGCATGAACAACAAATCCACAACCCCATTCTCCCTCTTCACCGTCTCACACACCCGATCCACATTCGCCAGCAGCGTCAAATCCGCCCTGATGAAATGGTAGCTCCCGCCGGGGCCGAGGGTCTTCAATTCATTGAGAATGCGCGACCCCGCCGCCTCGTTTCGGCCCACAATGTTGATTTTGGCTCGGTCGATGGAGTGAGCGAGGGCCTTCGCGGCCGCTTCGCCGATTCCGCTTGTCCCGCCAACGAAGACGGCGACGAGGGAGTTGCGGTAGGAGGGCGTTGGAGCGGCGGATTTGGGCGAGGGTTGGCATTTTCTTGTTCCCTCCTCTTTCTGGCTTTAGTCTCTTGTAATCGTGATTATGTTGATTTAATTGTTCAAGTATTATAGTGACTGTCTGTGTTGCAGTATATATGTTGGAGTCGGCCCTGTCGCTACCTAGGCTATCGACTTTGTCAATAGCCTATCCGAGTGGTGGCTCAACCACCGGGTACCAATGGGGATTTTGTCCTTCTGGGTATTTCTCCATGATTGGTCATATGTAATAAACAAGATATCAGATCGTATGAGCTACCGACAAAGTAATGCAGCGCTTACTCAACCTCCTAGTGCGGCTTCCCTGACCAACGCCCGTCTAGGATATCTCTAAGCTCTTGTATAATTAGGCTTTGTGGGAGATCTCTAATTTAACCTAGCTAAAAATAAAATCTTTTTATTTTATTTAATCTTATATGGTAATTTAGAGGTATAGATAGGAAGCTTTATACTAGCTAGTGCCATGTTTTTAAAGACTTTATACTATATTCTTGAATTACATCCTGAAGGGTTCAGTTGCAGAAAACCATTCATCGACCACGCCATGGAGCTCTTTCTCGGTGATGAAGGATTCCCTACCGAGGATCTGGATATAGATCATCGGCAGCTCCCGTTCTATCATTTCCACGGAACGCATTGTATCCCCCAAAATCCGGATCCTGTTGGTAGTTACGAAGCTTGAGTTCGTCCTGGATTCAAGGCGACCCTGCTTGGTCGAATTATATTTACGGTACGAGGGAAAAGTCATATTCAGCCCAGGAAGACCCAGAATTTGGGACTCGCTGTAGTGTTTCGGAGCTCCGATATTTTTGGCGCATGTTTGGCGAGAATAGCTCTACTGCAGGCTTTCTAGAGAGCTCGACTACCGGATTGGATGTCTTTGCGGCTCTTGCATCGATGGAAAACATGGAAGGTCTCTGAACTGAAGCCAGGCACGCTTCTCAAGCGGGGAAAGGCAGATAAAGCAAGGGGTGATAAGGTACAAAAGATAAGGACCCCGCACGCGTTGGACACTCATACAGCTCGAGGTAACACCAGCTGACCCCGAGCGCCCTTTGCTCATCTTGCTCCTTTCATTCTTTCTCTTCAGACTCTCTCACATCCAACGAACTCCATTGCAAAGATGGATCCAGCGATCGACCACCTCCTCAGCCTGCAAGCCGTCCGCGAAAGAGCCCACATCGTCTTCGACCTCGCAAAGCAGGGCCTCCTCAACCATTTCGACTACCATCTTGATCGGCTCGATGCTGTCGTTGAGTATGTTATTGGGATTATTCAGGTATGCTTTCTTTTTCTCCCGATCTAAACCCCTCTGAATTCCATCGAGGACGTCTACAGATTGAGAACTAATACCGCACCAGCGCGACTTCGGCCCAAACAACTTCCACTCCATCCCCCCGCACGGCCGCTGGCAGCACTTTGACGTCGGAAACGTCCCCCGGATCCAAAAACTAATATCGCAATGGGACGCAGCGGGCTACGACGCCGTGGAGAAGGTGCGAAGCCTAGTCGATCTCTTCTTCGTCTCGGTCCTTCTCGATGCGGGCGCTGGTGATCGCTGGAAGTTTACGGAGCCGGGCACGGGGAATGTGTATACGCGGAGTGAGGGGATTGCGGTTGCGTCGTTGTACATGTTTCTTGATGGGGATTTTTCGGTTGTGGGCAAGCGGGAGGAAGGGGGAAGGAGGGATCTTGTTGATGGTATGTATTGTCTCCTTCACCCTGAGAGGGTGTGGTGGCGTTGTTGCTGATAGAGAGATGGTGTAGGTGCGGCGCTGAAGGCTATCACGGTTGAGACGCTGTACAATGGCTTCCAGATCGACGAGGAGAATCCGCTTGTTGGTGCGGAGGCGAGGGTTGAAATACTGCAGAGGCTCGGTCAGTCGCTGCTGGATAACGAGGATATCTTTGGTCCGAGCGGGAGGCCGGGGTTGCTTGTTGGTACGTAGTTGGCCTGCTTGCATTTTGCCAGTCCCATCACTGATCGAGGCCAGACTACCTGAAACGCAGCGGCGGAGGTGTCGACGAGCTCGACTACGCCCTCCTCTGGAGCACACTGCAGAAACTGCTCATTCCAATCTGGCCATCCGATCGGACAAGAGTAGCCGGGAAGCCGGTCGGCGACGCATGGCCGCTGAGCGTCTTAGCAAAGCACAAACACGACACTGCATCTGCATCCGCGTCAAACGAGCCCGCAGAACCAGAACCAGCAACGATCCAACCCTTCCACAAACTCACCCAGTGGCTTGCCTACTCGCTAAAAGTCCCCTTTGAACGTCTCCTCTCGACAACCTGGGCCAACGCCGAGCTCGGCACCGGCCTGCCCGAGTACCGAAACGGAGGACTCTTTGTCGACCTTGGTGTCATCACGCTGAAGCCAAGCGCCTTGGAGAAGGGCCTCCAGACGTCCGGGGGCGAACTGCCCTGCTTCGGGGCGGGAGACGACGAGATTGTCGAGTGGCGCGCGATGACGGTTGCACTGCTCGACGAACTACATCAACGTATTCTGGCGAGTGGAAAGTTCGGAGATGTGAAACTGACGCTGCCGCAGGTGTTGGAGGCCGGGTCATGGAAGGCTGGTCGCGAGATCGCGGCGCAGAAACGGCCAGAAACCAAGTGTAGTCCGATCCTGAATTCGGGTGATGGGACGCTGTTTTAGTTTAGTATCGTCACATATACAAGAGCCATGAGATTGCAATCATGTTTCATCCTCCATCAGAGTGAACTGTAAGGAAAGACCAGCATGGGAACCTAGCTCCATGCACTCGTCTACCCTGTAAGGCGGTCCTTGACCAACAGTATCTGGGTCTACCCAACTCAGCTGCAAATTCAGGCCGCGAAGATGCGGTGTGCAATCGCATGCTTTCAGGTCTTCTATCCATGCACGAAGCACGTTCAAGATTTCGTAGGCCGCCCAGTCCCAGGTGGGCCATTCGGGCACCTTGGCGTCCTCATTCTAGACAGCCAGGTAGAAAGATTATAGCCACACCACTAGTAGATAATAAAAACCAGGTTAATGCCAATGGATGAATCATCCCGGGAGAATTAGAGGTTAGAAACCATCACGCTGGTGCTCAAGGCTCCTCTGCCCTCGGAAGCCATAACATACCAAGATATTCTTATGACCTAGCAGGCAGCCGAGAGATCTTGGTCACATTGGATAAGTCTCATATTTGATGAAGCAGTTTTGGTCCTTCTTTCTGCCAAAGTTTTTTCCTTGCACTATATCAATTTCGCGAGGTTCTGGTACAGAGATGTGAGGATCTCAACCCCCATCAAAAAGGCAAGGGAGCTGAATAGACAGCAAATTTACTGTTCAAAGGGCAGATTATCATGTAGACTAGTGATTGAAGCTGAATTACCGGGCCGGTCTTGCTCTTGAGTTGATTTTGGTTGGTGGATAACTGCAGACGCAAATACGGTGGAGCAGAAGAAATATATAATGGTAGTGATTCTGATCCATTATCAGTCTTTCGCCTAGTTAATCAACCAATCATATCCTCGGCGAATCAGGGCCAAGTCGCGGTGTAAAGTTCGAGAACAAGTCAGACATGTTTGGAGAAAAATCATACGCCGGAGGTTGGGGTGCGTGCGGTGGCGAATAGGCCCTCACTTGGTATATTGGGCTATCGTGGACTGCACTGGATGATTGCTGGAACCGCGCGAGTGACACCGGAGAGTATCCAAGATTATGTATGCAAGGAATCGTAGTGTGATCGCGTGTCTCAAAATGGTCTGTCCCGTCATCGGTATGAGTTGCATCTTCAACAATGTATAACTCGGATTTTACTGCCGAATTGAGCCGAAAACCCGCAGAGATCCTCGTAATGGACGGCCAGTCTTGTATGATTCAGGCCCTGAGACCAGTAATGCTCATCGCCCGCTGGATGCGTATTGCGTATTTCGCTTTGCCATCAACCTGCTGGCAGCTTGCCACGACTTCATATGTACTCCGTACGCTATAATCTAAGAGTCTGCGGAAGGTCCGAAGAGACCCAAGAGTACGAATTCGGGCATCCGGGATGACTCGGTGGAGCCCCATGGGGAAAGGGAGCGAGCATCGAAGGCCTTGAGCGGGTCGTAGAGATGCTCCTGGACCTCTGGCTGGAAGAGAAGAATGTTGGAGAAGGACAAATCCCGGCCGGTAGATGTTGCGTTGTTGAGACCCGGAATCCATCTCCATCGGCCAATTGTGCGCTGGATTGGCGCAGGGATCAACCGCCAGTGTGCGAATGGTTGCAAAAGCTGCTGATCGGTGGAGTTACTTAGCAAGCATTGGACTGGAATGAGACCAAGGAGAACAAACGTGGCCAGGTGACAATTCTCCTTGCGACGACGATCGCGGGCTAAATCCCGATCGACATGCACCTAAGAAGTGCTGAAGAATGCGGTCCACAACGAGGCAGATGGTCGTTCAAGATTCCTGATGGGGAACGTGGTCGACGGCTCCCACTGTGTCCCAGCTCGGGCTCGAGATGGCGGTCTGTGCTCAAGCCAGCGCCATCCCTTGCATTTATATTGGCGGAGGAGATATATTGTTGTGCAGCTGTCTGAAAGGATAAGTCGTGGCCGATCATCCTTCGAGACCTCGCGGGCCGAAAGAAGAGGGACCACTGTTGCAAACAGCAGAATCCTGGATCGACCCTTCCCCAGCGGGGCACGGAATTCCCCCTCCATAGGCTTTGCAGCTCAGGAATCATCCTCGACTCTTGGAGACTTCACAACAAACATCGAGCCCGTATCCAGACGCCCAGAATGACGAGTCTCAGTTTTCAGTCTGATGTGTCTCTCTCGCAACGACTGACCCCTGCATTCTCGATGTGATGAGAAAACCTTAATTGCGCTATTCTTCTTCTGACTGAGGGGCAGCTTATCACTCGGCAATCAATTCCGAGGCTAGACAAGGATGTGTGCAATGAACAAAGCAGACGCGCAGGCAGCGATGCACACGCTGGCGATTGGAGTGCCAATTGTTGGCGGTGGGCGGGCCACGATTGGCCGGGATGCTGCTCCGAGTCGGAGAAAAGCAGCACAAATCTCGGCCTCAGTGAACTTCCCTCCGCGACTGTGTGGAATTCGATCCCACACTCCATGATTGGCGAGCCACTGCTTCATTATTCGGGGTTTGGTGCGCGATACCAAATCCCTGAATCGCCCTGCGATTATATTATCGCTACCACCGACGACATCTCCAGGTGGGACATATTTCCGAAATGCGGCGGGCCCCTTCTCGCTGAAGCGCACCCGACTAACACCACCACCCTGAAAGCTCTTCTCCAACGCGATCCCTGAAATCATTCTTTTCTTCCTCTCTGCCACGCCAAGGTTGCGGTCCTTCCCCCACTCTCTCATATGTCCGATCCCCAGTCGTCCCGGCCGCTCGCTCCTGCACCGGGCCTCCCAGAAACGCAGCATGTCGTGACAGAAGAGGCCAATCCCGGGCGGAAACACAAGACAACTGCGTGCCGGGCATGCAAGCAAAAGAAGCTAAAGGTAGTTTATCCAGTTCCCCAGTTCCCAAGACAATGGCGTAGCTGACCGCGGGGTTGTGTTTAGTGCCGGGGCGACCCGCCGTGTCAGCACTGTGTTGCCAACGGGATCGAATGCCATGTCGACGAAATGGCCGACATGCGCCGGAAAACCGCGATGAAGCGCAAAGTCGATCGTCTCGAACACTCCTCCGATACATTCGATCGCCTCGCTGACGCGCTGCGGGAGACCAAGGACAAACGATTGGCGCAAGTGCTGAGCTTGATCCAGAGCAACGCATCGGTGGAGGAGCTACACGATTACCTGGAGGCGAATTTTACGCGCGCGGAGATGGGCAAAACAGCGGAGCTGCAGGATCTACAACATCATTTACGGCGCTCGTCGGATGAGCCTGAGGAGGAGGATCCCCCGGTATCGCGCCCTCCGCGTCGCATGCTCGACGTTCGGCGGCTGGCCGATAGTCCGATCTACCGAGTACCTGCCAAGCCGTGGACGACGGTCACTGATGATGACGATCTTGTTTCGCATCTCGTCTCGCTATTTTTCACCTGGAGCTTCCCGTACTTTTGCTGGATCGACCGAGATGCTATTATTAGTGCTATGCAAAGCGGCGACTTGCAAAACCCGCATTGCTCGCCGTTCCTGGTGAACGCGATTCTCTCTGAAGCAAGTGTATGTTCTGTATCTATGTCCATGTATACACGCCGGTACAGGGGTTCTAACACGTGGTCCCCTTGTTCAGTACAATTCCGACTACACTGAGGTGTATACGGTCCCGGACGATCCACTATCCCGAGGTGACCAATTCTACGACGAGGCCCGTCGGCTTTTAGAACAAGAGGAACAGGAAGAAAGCCCTGCGAGTATCGCGACTATCCTTGGTCTTATGATCATAGGTGTACGGTCAGTGTTCTTACTTACCCGTTACTTCCTGAAAATGAACGCTGACATGGTCGTAGACTAACATGGGCGGGCAAGGATCGGGTAGGTGTGATGTACATGAACCTGTCAAGTCGCGCGGCGGAGGAGTACGCCAATGCGCACCCTCCCCTACCGGTTTACGACGAACCCACTCGAGCGGCTGGGAACGTTGTGAATTGGACACTCTGGGGTAATTTCTGCTTGGCAGCGTAAGGATTCCCCGCCGTTATCCGTGAGCTTCCAAGCTGACTTTTAAGATCTGCTTCCGCATCGTTCATGAAGCACATGAACGCGCAACCACCGCAACGACCGCGGGTTTCCATATGCCACTCCAACCGCAAGGACGTCTGGTCACCCTATCCCCTAGGTGAGGATCCGGTTCCCGGACACTATAGCTGTGTTTTTGATCGCTGGTGCGATATTTGTTGCATCGCTATTAGCATCACCCGGTCCTTCTATTCAGCTGAGGATAGGCGGCCTCCTTCGGAAACTTCCTCTGTTGTCAGCGATATCTACCAGCAGTTGCAGGGATGGTATGCGAATCTTCCAGACTGTCTGAGGGCGGAGACGACAACGGTACCCCATGTTCTTTCTCTTCAGTACGTGTTTTCCGGCTGTCTATCCATTCCTTTACTAACATCCCAGCCTCTTCTACCACACTACCGTCATTCAGCTCTTTTGGGTCTTCCAATCGTACAATACGCCCGATCTGGATCCGAAAGCGTTCGCCTCAGCTAGGACGACAACATACCTCAACGCACGACGCATTGCTCAATTAATCAGCATTCACCGCATGCGATGGGGAATCGATCGAATGCCTCCTTCCACGCTACAGTGGATCACGATCGGGCTTTTCGCACTCATAGGAGCCCTTGATTCACCCGAGAACCGCACCGCCTTTACCGAGCTGTGTACCCTCTCCCGCGCGTTCTCGAGGCGGTTCCCCTTGGCCAAAGGAATCTTACGCATGCTCCAGCTCACCGCACAACATATGAACATCACGTTTCCCGAAGAGACGGACGCTCTATTCAGCTCCTTTGCTGTTGAGAATTGGACGGACAGAGATCGAGAGTCGTTTAGCAGTTTGTATCCGCACCTGATGTCAGTCATCAAACACGGTCCGGCTCGGCGCGAGGACGGCTCGCTGGATCAATTTCTTCAAAAGTGGGACAACCTGGCCCTGGAAGATGGTGTCCGTCACCCGCGCTCAGGTGTTGCACAGAGCGCGAAGTAGGGAATAGGCGCCGCACATGCACATGAACACGAGGTTCGATAGTCGGATAATCGATGGCTTTGTGACGACGGCCCTTTCCCTTTCATACCACATCAGAGATTGATGACCCACAGAGCGAATGACGCCGCATCCCTCCATTAGCATCGATATAGCGATGTTCTTGGCTTAGTCACGCGGCCGGAGTCCTGCACGATTGTCGCCTGTCGCTAACAGTGGCAAGCGTGAGATACGTTTGCAGGCCAAGGCGTCTGCTAGTCGCTCCCCTTACCCTGGAAACCGTACTAAGGTCATAAAGGGTCATTCTAGACGTACATTTGCATGGCTCCCCAGTGAGCGCTTTGCTGTGCCGGAGCGCTCTCATCACCAAAACACGGGCTTGGCGTAAACTTGGCGTCGACTCGCAATTTCAGCGGGATTGCATGTATCTAGCCCTTCTGAGTATCTAGTCTAGCGTTTTTAACTTGGTCGGATATCTGGACATAATCAATGTATTGCATTTGATCCCTGTCATCGTCACACCCCACTCATGAGGCTCATGCCCCGCCCATCTGGCCAAGAGACGTAAAGCAGGCTAGGACGACCGGGGTTAAGGCAGGCGAGCGTGGATAGGGCAGCACACGACGCGCCGCAGCCACTGCCAGCCTCAGCGCCGGAATACGAGGTCCAACTCATCCTGCCGGAAAGACTGCGCCCGGCGCTTCGCTTCGCCTGTCGTGATCATGGCCTCAGTTCTTTCTTCTGAGATTGTCGTTCGCTTCGACACTGCGTTGCTCTTGAGGTCGACACTGACAACGCAGCTTACAGCGCCCTCTGCACGATGGCCGACGACTGGTACCCCGACATCGTCGTCGGCGTGGATTTCGGCATGACCTGCACAGGTGCGATCGTTCAGAACTCCCCTCTGAGTCTCCCCTCTCCCTCCTTTCCGCAAACCATCCCTAACACTTCCCTGAATTACAGGCGTCGCCTACTCCTACGGTCCCACCTGGCCGACCCCCAAATCGATCCAACACTGGCCCGGCCTCATCGGCAGCCAAGTTGCGACCAAAGTCCCCTCCCACATCCTCTACCACAACAACGCCGTGAAATGGGGTTTCCAATGCGAAGAGAATCTCCCCGACACAAAGGACATTAAACAATACTTCAAGCTGAACCTCGACCCGGCGTTTGTGGATAACAGGCCCAATGCGCCGAGTCGCGAGGACGCGACGCGCTATTTCCAGGACTATATTCGCTGCGTGTATCAGTATGTCTTGAGTTATTTTGCGAAGACGTTTCCACGGTTCGAGGGGATGCGTGTCGAGTGGGTGTTTAGTGTGCCGACGACGTGGAAGGATCCGAGGATGGTCGCCGAGCTCAGGGAGAGGATTGTTTTTGATCGACCGGAACATCGCGCTGTTATTGGGTTGACCGAGGCGGAAGCTGCGGCGGTTTATGTTTCGGGGTTGCATTATCAGGTATGTACCTGCACCTCTCCCTTCACTAGAGGAGCTGGACTCGGCTAACGGTGTAGAAAAACGACGTGATCCTCGTCTGCGACGCCGGCGGCGGCACGACCGACGTGAACGTGCTGAAACTCGCCTCTGCGCCCGGCGAACCAACTGTCTACAACCCTCTGGGTTTCGTCGAAGGTACCCTGGCATCTGCTCTCGCAACCAGACAAACCTCTAACCAAAGCAGGTAAACCCGTCGGCTCCGTCTTCATCGACCTGGGCGTCCACGCGCTCGTCTGCTCAAAGCTCGAGCCCATCCTCCACTCGCTCCCGGGAACAGCCGAAGACATCGCCTGGCAGATTATGATCGGGCGCTTCGAGCGATTCAAGTGCTCCTTTGGTGTCGAGGGCGAGCAGTTGCCTGCGCTGAAGCTGCCGCTTCCTGCTCCGCTGGCGGAGATGAATCTTCCCGAACATGGGATTCATAATGGCCAGCTTTTTGTTTCGAGGTAACCAACCTCCCCTCCCAAAAGCGTATAGAGGCTGTGCTAAGGGGGTTGTGATGATAGCGATGAAGTCCGGGGGATCTTTGATGCGAAGATCGATGACTTGTATGATTTGCTGGATGAGCAGGTTCGGCGGTTGCAGTTGAGTCATCCTCAAGAGAAAATTGTACGGCGCATTCTCAGGTACTCAACTTTCGATACCTTCTCATGATGTATAGTCCTTCCTCGTCCTATCCGGTGGCTTCGGCAGCTGCCCCTACGTCCGACAATGCCTTACGAATCGCTACGAGACACGCTCGCAGCTTCTTCCCAACGGAATCAAGGTACTAACCGTCGATGAGCCGTGCGTCCTCCTTAGCCTCCTCATCCGACCCCCGCTGACTCACAGACAGCCAGCTCGCAGTCGTCCAAGGCCAAGTGATGAACCGCACACAACAACTAACGTCCGGCGGCACAGTCTTCAACCACCTCTACAGCCCCGTCAGCTACGGCGTGATCTGCGACTGGATATACGACCCCAGAAAGCACGCCGGCGAGCCGACGCGCTGGGACGAGCGGAATCAGAAGACGTATGCGATCAATCAGATTGATTGGCTTGTTCTACAGGTACCTCCTCGACCCCGTCATGTACCTCCCCATTCCCAGTACACTGAATATTAATGAAACGACAGGGCGACCTCGTCCCCCGCACCGGCGTAGCCCGCTCCTTCCCCCGAAAAATCTACCCAAAAGACCTCACCAAACCATTCACCGCGCAAATCGTCATGTCGCAACTCCCCACACACCAACTGCCCCGAAGCATGATCCACCCGGGTGCAAAGCTCATCTGCGAACTCGAAGTCGACACCGCCACCGTCGACAAGAAACCCAAGAACCACCGCTGGTACAACCGCGCCCCCGTGTACTTTATGGTCACGGTAATCGTGAAACTGGTCATCGAGCCCGCGGGATTGCAGTTTGAGTTGTGGAATGCGGCCGGGCAGCGCATTACGAGTCTTTCCAGGGTGAATGGGCAGCCGAGTGGCGTGAATGTTGGTGCGGATGGGTACTTTTCGCCACGGCATTCGGTTATCAGTAGCTCGGGGGTGTCGTCGCTCGGTAGCCCTGGTGGGTATGGGAGTTCTGGGAGTCCGACGAGCGGAAGTGGGAGCAGCGCAACGGGACCCATTACGATTCGGTGGGAGGCGCTTGCGGAGAAGATGCAGGATGAGGGCCATTCGCAGCGCATGGCGAGCGCGTTCGAGCCACGGGGGGATCGGGTTATTTCTGAAATGCTGGATCCGAGTACCGTGCCGTTTGAATTGCCTGGAGATAACGTGCAACCGCATGTTGGCGGAACGGGCACTGGGACAGGGATAAGTCGCGGCGGGAGCACGAGGAAGTTTGCGTCGCTGAGGAATTAGCTCATGGGCCTGCTTGCTTGCAAATTCAGTCGTTCGAGGTTGGTTTGATTTGGTTTGATACCTTCGTCTGCTAATATATATGCGAGCGTTGATACCATGACTTGCATCTTTTGAAATCCATTCTCTTGCCCCCGTCTCTTCTGAAGTCTCCAACCAGAGACAACCCGAGTCACAGGTTTCCGACGACAAGCACCGATCACCAACATATCGCCCGTGCTCGGTACCTCCAACCAAGTACCTCAAGGTGCCCACCCCCACCNGAACCACGGGGAGGGCGCCGGTTGCACCTTCCTCGACTTCCAAAACCTCTATTGTCTCCATGAGGAAGGCGCGATACAGTCCCGCCGGTCTCTAGGCAACGCAACCGTTGCCCCTTCCTCGTTTGTGGTTGCTGGCCCAAGGGCCAGTCGCACCTTCCCCAATAGACGGAAGGTACGGGCCGAGAGACTCCGCCGCACTTTCCTTCTCCGTCGTTGGGACCCCTATAGCTTATAGTACCTTGCGCAGTGTCTCATGAATTCCGCCTGGTCTCCCATGTTGTCCCAGCACTGCTATCCCTAAACGTTCCCTCCTCCATGTAGCGTACCTCTATCCAGCAAGCGGCTACAAGGTATTTCTACAATACCCTATCCCAGCTTTCATACCCCAAGAGCGATATTACACCCCACCTTGTGGTAGTAGGTATCCTCGGTAGTTTGGTGCACTCTTATCCACAAGGTGTTGGGAGATGCGGGCCAGTGAGGCCTCGCCTCGGTTCCCCGTGACGGAGGCTCTGAAACGCGGAGTCTTGACTCCGTCTTGGTTCCCGCGTGGAGACATACGAGCCACTACTGTCTTGGTACTCCGTACCCTGCTAGCCCTATAGCCCGCACGGATTAGCCTGTGGGGGATTGTGGGAAGTGTGGGAATTGTGGAGATCTAAATAGGCCGTCCCTTCGGACTAGTCTTGAGGCAATGGCCCCTCTGCTAGCTTTTTGAGAGGTCTTATCTGAATTGACAAGAAGATCTGTTCTGATATACTCGACTGGTCTGCCCAATAGGGCTTGCGAGAATGGTCGCCGGTGAAGAGTCGGAGGTGCTATAAAGCTATAAGCGCTCAGCAGCATTACGCATTCCTCAATGGTCTCGACACTAAACAGACTGCGCAGTGCGAAGGATTCTGCACCACCAGGAACCCGAATAGCGTCTCACAGTCCCCTTTGTAAAATGCGCAGTATCATTGGATCTACCTTGACCTTTCACGCAGATCATCAACAAGACTGTCATGGCGTGAAGAATCATCAATGACAGCGGGAGCGAGGACCGTAGGGCCAGTCAACTCTCCACCAGTCCTATCGCCGCGTGAGATTGAGGGTATTCGTCATCGACTGACGACTCACTTGTGCTTGGCGTCTCGTCCCAGAGCTTGAGCGCATATTGGCTTCTCTTGGCGCCTGAGCTTGTATGCGTAATGCTTCATCCTTCGCAGATACCCTGTTGCAGAATCTCTGACTCGAAGGGAACTCGGAGGGAGGGCCGTGATTGTAGGGGTATCTTGACAAGGTATAAAAGGGTGATGAAAGTCGATGGTTCTTGATACTATTCAGCAAGCACAGCTCCCTCTCTCTGTTCCCCGGGTTGTACCGACTCAATCGATCAATATGCAAGTCAAGCACCTCCTCCAAGCCCCTCTCCTCTTCGCGGCCTTGGTCTCCGCCCACCCCGGCCACGAGGAGAAGCTCGCAACGCGCGACCTTCTCGAATACAAAGCGCACCTGCGCCGTGGTCTATCCAACTGCGCCGCAACCTTTGACGAAACCGGCTTGACAGCCCGCGCCATCGCCCGGCGCGCCCAAATCACCGCCGACTACCGCCTCAAACACGCCTCCGCCAAAGCCAAAGCCAAGCGCGACACCGACGACGTCCTCGACACCTCGCACCTCTCCTCGGAGAACTACACGCTGTCCACCGCTGAGTCCGAAATCTTCGGAACCTCGACCAGCACCTGCGTCCTGAACCCCGAGGGCGAAACGGGTCCCTTTTGGGTAAACGGCGAGTTAATCCGCACCGACATCCTCGAATCCCAGCCTGGCGTCCCCGTCGTCCTGGAATACCAATTCGTCGACGTAAGCACGTGCCAACCTCTCGTCGGCATCTACGCTGATACCTGGTCCTGCAACGCGACGGGCGTGTACTCGGGCGTGCAGGGCAACGGAAACGGCGATAGTAGTGACGACTCCATCCTCTCCGAAACATTCCTCCGCGGCGTGGGCAAGACGGACGACGAGGGCGTCGTCACCTTCAACACGCTTTTCCCGGGCCATTACTCTGGCCGCACGACGCATCACCACATCATCGTCCATCTGAATGCGACGCTGCTGAGCAACAATACGTTGACGGGTGGCTCGGTCCCGCATATCGGGCAGCTTTTCTGGGATCAGGAGTTGATTTACAAGGTGGAGGAGACGGAGCCGTATAACACGAATACAGTGGATATCACGACCAACGAGGCGGATCGAGTCTTTGGCGACGAGACGAGCGGGACGACCTCGGACCCGGTCCTGAACTATGTCTATCTCGGCGAGAGCCTTGAAGATGGCCTCCTTGCTTGGGTCACCGTGGCAGTCGATCTCTCGGCCGAGTATGATCCCGCATACAGCTACATCTGGACCGAAGACGGGAGCGAGGCCGTCTCGGGCCACAGCGATGATACCGTGAATGGTGGCGGCGGTGGTGATTTCCCCGGTGGCTCCGAGGGACCTGGTGGGTTTGGCGCCCCGACTGGTGCTCCGACTGGTATACCCACTGATGCTGCGAGTAGTACGGCGACTGTGACTGCGAGTGCGAGTGTGAGCTCAGAGACTGGGTCGGGGACCTCGGATGCCGAATCCGAGACGCCGACTGCCACAGGCGGTGCGTGTCGGGCGTGACTATATGGACCCCAGATTCGTGATATCGTGCTGGTCCTCTCGGTGCCTCTTGTGGTGGTGTATATGCTCGTGAGATTCTAGTTCTGGTGCCAGGCCTGGATTCTGATTCTGCTTGCGCTACTTCCGGTTCTGGTCCTTGTGGACTGTTATGTGTGTACATGATTTCATTCGGGACTTTCGTTCAAATCAGTAGTTATGGAATATATATTTAGCAGTGAGTTGCGGCATTTATTGCTCTCATCCTTGAGGTAATCCAAAGGCGTGTCGATAGCGGCGGCACTGAACAAGATACGTGGGTATAGGATTGTATGTACGCGTCTCTAAAGATGGCAGTCATGCAGGACATACAGAATGTATGTGATGAAGTAGAATAACATACCTTGCATGTTAGATCTGTGGCCCTCCAGCTGCGCCCGACGACGTAGCAGACATTCGTTTCCTTTGGACATTCAGCCACAATATCACAAATAAGCAGATGAATTCAGTACACGAACCAATACTCCTCGTGATACCCAACTACCTACTCAGATACCGTGGTGAAGTGCACGGCCAGACGAGGGCTGGACGGGCACAATAATTGAACTCAGACCGTAAGCCTGAGGGGAGAACCTTTCGAACATCCACCATGGAGTGGAGGTCAGCGGGCGGAAAATCGACGGATTTCCGCCCCGGCAGAGAATGGGAGATCCAAGAGAGATTGCGGGCCTCGGCTTTATCTATTGTATCGACGGCTGTCAATTTTATTGAACCATTGAAGTAGACAGGACGTTGCCCAGTTTGGGAAGCGCTACCACCTCGCATCTCATCATGCATACCACAACCACATATCGTGAATCTATGGCAAGCATCCAGAAACTGGCTTGCAGGATTCTGGCGGGACCGCTTGTCCGGAGGAAACTGGATTCCTTCATGGGACGAGGCTGTCCCTGTGAATTTCGGCCCTCGGGACTTGTGCGGCACAATCGCCTGAGCATCACCCAATTGACTTGACAGGCGGAACTTAAAAGCAAAGGGGATTCCCTCAGCGCTCTTCCTTTCACTGCACATCTCGGAACACCTTCTTCTCTTCCAGGAAGACAGTTCCGAGCAGCGTAGTGGGCAATTGGTCAACTCCGTTCGTATCGGCCCACCTGAGACGTGCTACTATCGTGTTGATCATGCCACTATCGCCGTTGCTGAGTCTCACATGGGCACGTCGACCATTCCAATTTTAGACTAACAAAAACAAAGTTCTGGACTCTAACATCTGTCAGACTGTGGGTGCCCTGCTCATATTCCCTGAGGCTCGATTGGTCCTGGACTCGCTCTCCACTTGATGTGATACTATGAGCCACTAGAAAAGTCACCATTATTGCGCGCAATCCAATGGAAACAATTAAAAACGCGTCCGCTCATTTCCCCCGCAAAGTTAGTTTATAACTTCACAACCTACCCTGAGGGGTCCTTTACGTTGCATTGGTCCAAGTGACCTTCACGTCTTCCACTCTCGCCACTGAACTTTGCAGGATAGATACCCCAGTTCTCCCAAGTCACAGCGCCCATGTACTGAAATCCAACCTGCGAAAATGTCCCACGCCGCCAGCGCCATCGGCAACCCGGATACTGTCCCTGCCCTTGCAGCGCCAGAGGGACAGGTCAGCAACCTCGACAACCCCTACTCTCTTAAAAGCTACATCTACGGCACTGCAGCAGTGACCATCACCTTGTCAACCGTCGCCGTCGCCCTCCGAGTCTACGTCAAAGCCCGAGTTCTGCGCCGCGCCCAGATCGAGGAATACATTCTCATACTGTCCCTGATCGGATTCTACTTCTTCAGCGGATTTATGATCTACGCCGCACACCTCGGGCAGGGAACGCATCAGTGGAACGTCTCCGTCGCCAACTTCCAAGAAGTCGTCCAATGGGCAAATATCATCGAAATCGTCTACTGCCCGACGATCCTCGGCGCAAAAGTCGCGATGCTCTTGCAGCTGAAGCGGATCTTCCTCGGCGTTACGCGCGGGAAGCTCTACTGGTTACATGAAGTCCTCCTGTGGACGAATATCCCCTGCTACCTCGCCATCATGTTCAGCTTCGCCTTTGCCTGCGTGCCACGTGAGAAGATCTGGGAACCACACTTGCCGGGCCGCTGTATATCGGTTAATGGCTTGCTGATCGGTTCGTCGGTCCTCAATGTTGTCTCCGATATCACTATCCTCTTGCTTCCTTTGGTCGTCATCATTCGCCTTCAGCTTCCGGCTCGGTCCAAGATGATTCTGGCGGCGGTCTTTGGGACTGGAATACTGTATGAAAGAAGACCCCAATCTCCATTTCTTTATTCTCTTGCCGCTCGAACTCGAGACCTCACCGGGAACCGCGAGCGCCAACGCTAACGTTGAAACCAGGGGCTGCATCGCAAGCATATTCCGACTCGTCTACGGGATCCTCCTCACGCAAACGCACGATTTCACCTGGGGGATTGCCCCCATTGGACTATGGGCGTACGTTATCCCCTCCCTCCCTACCCAAGTCTACCGGAATTTCCTTTCCCAGTCCCTTCATCCACGACACCAGGCCCTGAGGATACAGCTAGCTAACTTGCACCTCCTATATATGCAGCCTCGGCGAAATCTGCTCCGCAATCCTATCCGGCGCGATCCCCATGCTCCCCGGCTTCGTCAAATTCGTGCGCGACCGCAATGCATCCTCGAACCGCGACGGGTCATCCGCCAACAACGCGTCTGGCTCGCGAAGGGCGAAGCGGAGTCGGAATACCAACACGAAGAATACAGAGTCGGAAGCACAGATTATTACGCTCCCCGGGCGGGATAATGAGGATAATAAAGGGATGCATGAGCATTATTATGAGATGGGCGTTATGGATGATGCGCATGGGAGCGTTTCGGCGCTTATTGACCATGATGGGGGGGATCATGGGCGTGGGGGTGGGGATGGGAATGGGAATGGGATTATGCGGACTGTTCATATACGGACGGAGTATGTTAAGGCTTGAATGGAGGATATCATGTTTTACTTGTTGCCTGCTTTCTATATACCCAAGGGATGGTCCAGAGCCCGCCAGTGAGATTTTTGAAAGATTCCAGTAGCTTGGAGATACTCCAGGAACATCTGGCGGCTCCATTCGAATGGAGGGCATGGGCGGTCGAGAATCATTAGTCGCGCAAGCGTAGCTGTAGATATGGAGGCTCGCACTAGCATGAAGCTAGATCGCGGATGTTCGTATTCCACATGTATCCCACTTGTTAAACCGACTGTATACCTCCTGTTCAATTGCTGGACTCGTGCTTGCGCGGTTCCTCAAGGTTATTGGTTTATTCAAGCTCCTGCTGAAGCCCGTCTAGCAGATCAAAAGTGAAGCTATTTATGTCTATCCTAGAGCTCCATCTACCACTACTTAGTAAATTTAACCACTCGCAGAACCTTTGGGTCATTGATCTTACCACGCGGGAGGGCACCTGTTCAACGAGGATGCCCAGGTACCTGGGAGAACTATGAGCTCAGCATGATAAAGGTTCCACACAGTACAGTAGTGAATGGCAAACAAGAGTAGATAAATAAAGCGAGGAAACCCTCATTGTTCTTTGTAATTATCACATTAATTAACGATCCATGATTAGGTGGTGTCCTGCCCATTTCAGCTCTACACTGTAAGTATGGACAAGTGAGTGTTTATGCGCTCCGATTATTTATATCATGATGAGCTATGTTCCCAAGCTAGTGATAGATAAATAGCGATCAAATAAGCAAGCACTCTTCCCATCTCAATTACCGCTGACTACTATAACGGAAAATTATGAGGCTATGAATAATAGGCACAATACAAACGGATGCAGTCACATCAAGTCTACCCTTGTGTACTCTCATTTGGATTATACCTATCGACTGCACTATCCGAATCTTCCAACATCGCCTACTCGCCGAATCATGACCCAGACTATCCACCCGAGACCCTACACTCGATCTAACCTAGCCCACCCGCTACCTAGCCACTACACCCGAAGGACAGACTCAACCCTCTCGCACACGCATAGGTGTGAGTCCCGCAGTCCCTCCACGTACTACACGTGATCCAAGAGCCGATCCCGCCCTTGGTCGCCGTCCAGCACCACTCGCCCTGTTTCCCGCACGTCTTCCAGCAATACCCGCTACCAGGGCACCCGTACTCTGCTTTCCATTCACATGCCGCTTGCTCGCGAGTGCCAACGTTGAGGTTAACCTCAGGGTCGAGATCGAGGTCAAGGTCCGAGCGAGTCTCCACGGGGGTGGTGTCCCTGTTAGTGTCCGTCTCCGCCTCCGCCTCCGTGTCCGTGTCGCTCGTACTGTTATAAAGCGAGCCCTTTATCGCAGCGGGCGGCGCCAGAGACCCACTCTCGAGGCTCCTGTTCCTGCCTAGCGGGTGGTCACGGCATTTGCGGACGTCGCTCGGCAAGACGCCGTCGGGGAGGTCGGCGGGGTCAAAGGTCATGACGCCGAGGGCACCGCATTCGGCGACGGGGTCGCCGCCGCCTTCCGCAGCTCGGCTGGAGACGGACAGCGCGGAGGAGAGGGCGAGCATAAGCATGCTGATGAGGGCGATACGAAACGTCATCGTGGAATGGGTATGGGTATGTGCTATAGATGTCAGAAAGGTAAATATGCATAACATGTATACTGGGATGTGGAGGAGAAGAGGAGAGAGAGGACGACGATGGGCCTACTAGCCAATTGTAGATGGCCTTCGTGCGTTCCTGGGTAAGGCAATTGGGAGGATTTGATGGAATGGATATCCAACTGTGTTGTCCGAAGAATAGACGTTGCTGGATGGATACCTTGGATGGAGGAGAATGGTCGTGAATTTATATTCCCATCCCATTCCACCTCGTAAGGAGATGAGTATCTAAATGCTAGAGACACTATACTACTATCCGCGCCCCTTGGGCTCCAGTGGGCTAATCGCCGTATCTGGCCCCCATCCCGATGGGCAGGATTTCAACGGGAAAGAGCGGTTGGCCCCTGCTTTCATCTTATCAACATCAATACCTGGCCTCTCGGTGGTGCGATCTTTGTAGGTTTGGACTCGTATAGTTTGGACTTGCAGTTTGGAATTTGTATAGGCTGGACTCGTGTGCTGTGCAACTTGTGTAGTTTGGAGCTGGTGTAGTTTCGAACTCGTCTCGTCTGGAACGAGCGCAACGCAGCTAGGGAATGCTCGCATATGTTTTAGAGTAGAAAGATAGAAGGGAGGGGCTTCCTGGTCATTATAGTCTCTGGGTCCAAGGGTCTAAGGTTGGAGCTTGGTTTCGAACCGCGTTTCTTTAGAGTTCACAGGTCACAACACCATGCTAAAACCTCACCTTACATTGGTGTCCGTGCGGCTTACAGTGAGCGGACACACTATCCCAAGCTTGCAGCCAATAAGACAGACCCCAGTGTCTTCCTCCGTCCAAAAGCGCTTGGGGGCCATTTTGATAGCCGCTAGCCAATCAAGTTTGCTATCTTCTGTTGGGTCCATCGTCTTTGAACTGAGACATGCGCGTTATGACACTTGTTCACAACAGGAAGGGCGCTCTCCTCAGTGATTAAGAGGCTCGGTTTTAAAGTCTATCATTGGCCCCAAAGAGAGCGAGGGAAGTTGATGAGGGCGGAAACTTCGGGAGAGGAAGCATGCCACGAAGCTCAACAGTCTGTCAAGCATCTCTATCTCCGGGATGGTACCATGCCTATCAAACCGTATGCCTGGAGGCTCATTCGTTTGGGAAAGACGGTGACTTCCCCAGTGCAGGTTGGCACTGCCTCCATCGACTGTTTTTGCTCATCGAGTTCTAGCCCAGCTTACAACGTTGTACATGCAAACGGGAATGATGTACGTACCTTTGTATTTGTAGGCCGTGTCATAGGGGGGCGAGGTCCTGTGAGCCTGGGCAGAGAACCCTTTGTCCATCCAAGTTGCCCTGTGACTAGGCAGCAATTGGGGGCGACTTTGACCACGTCGCCTGTTCGCTGCATAAAGAAGCAGGCGGGCCCCTACCCACCAGGTTGAGACTAGAATCCAGCACCAGTATTCCCACGCCACTGCTCACCACCCAAGCCATCTATCCTTGCCCTTGAGCAGTCGGGCTCAAGCTTGCTGCTTTCCAACCGATCCATCTCTCATTTCCTAGGAATAATACCCCTCCGGTTCTTACCGCGTGAGTTGCAAGAGTACGAAATCGCCTCTCCTTCCCGAATCTTTCCTATCCGCCCCCTTTGCTCTTTTCTTTCTTTCTTTTTTCGTCTTTCTTTATCTGGGCTAACCCACCTTAAAGATCTTAAACCAACTACCAACATGAAACCCCTCACCTACGCCTCCCTCCTCCTCGGCATCTACGCAACGACCGCCCTCGCCGGCCTCCGCCCCGATGCCACCCCCGAAGAAATCGCCGCCGCCGAAGCCGAGTGCGGCTCCCTGGGCGTGATGTGGGTCGCCCCAGAAGATCTGCCCGAGGGCATTACCTACGACGACGTCCGCCTGTGCGCGGGCCATCCCCTCGGCCCAAATGCAGGCCCGGGTCCGGGTCCTGGGATTGGCTCTAGGCTCCGTGAGCTCTTGCCGGGCTGGATGTTTTGAGAGGGACGGTGTCAGTTTCCAGACCTGGTTGCCTGCGGCGTAGTGTGCGAGCAGGCAGTGGGCAGTCGTTTGGAGTTGAGCTGGGTCTCTGGGATTGCGGAGGGTGTTGTTTGATGTTGATTTTGGGACAGGCCTGATCGATATGCGTCTGGCATGGGGATAGTATTCACATATGACATGGCTTATAATTTGGCGATAATGGCGTTCTAGCATTTCTTAGAATGTAGATGCTATCACAGCCTCGTAATCACTCGCCCACGTAGCGTATATAGAACGGTAGGTGTCCTGTTCCAGGTAACAGATACTCAACTCAAGATCCATGATTGTTATTGCTGTTTTATCGCCGAACGCCTGGGGCTCGTCGAGCTGTGCAGAAAAACACTGACCTCTCTAGGGATATAGGGGTATACCGAGCTAGCTATTCAGATACCATGTAAAGTCACGGGTCAGAGGGCAATTATATGCCTGAAGGCTATGAGACAGTAACGCCCGATATGTGCTTGTCGTCCGGACGTGTGAAGGATCCGTTATACATGTACACAAATCCCACAGTAACCCGACGTGAATATCTTACTTCCTTCCAACGGCCAGTATTGCCGCTCTTGGTGGATTGCGGGATACCCAGCCATGACCACAGCGCAGCCATGGCGTCTGGGTGAACACCAATTCGCGGGCCGGTTTCCACTAATTTAGGATAGGAAATGTATTGGCTCGCAGGATATGGGCTGCGTTAGAATGTTGGTTGGCCCATGGTGAAAGGTTCGTGTTTGAGTAGTCGCTCAGATGGTTGGCTGCTGCAGGGGTCACAACTGGTAATATAGCCGCCCTCCCTGCGCCAGGCCGCTCATGGTATTCTTGATCATATATATCTTTTTATACACTTTCTTGATTTCACCGCACTGGCAGTAACTCCCATTCTCTTCATTCCTCTTCCTGCTCCCAGTTCCTCCAACACCAACATGGATCCCGAAGCAGGCTTGACAATTGCGAGTCTCACGAGAGAGACTGCTGCCGTGCTCATCAAACGGCACGGTTCGGAAGCTGTCATCGCAGCACTACGAGCATGGGTGCAATACAAGAGCGGACGGTCGTCGAATTTGGGACACGAGGAGGCCATGAGGAGAGCAAAAAGCGCAATACCAGGCTTCCTGAACGACATACAGTCAAATAACCTTCGGGTCATCCCAGGCGCGTTTAATTCCGCCCCAGAGTTCATCGCCATGTTCCAAGCCGAAGCTCTCGTCGCGATCCCGGTAGCCCTGCTCTTGGCCGGGCAGGCGATTGAACGGGTAGGGTCTAGTCTCCAGGGCATCCAACGCGAGCTTACGACTATCAACATGGCAAAGATCCAGGGTTGGGAACAGGAGGGCTTCGGGGCACACGTATACCGCTTTGTGGAGTACGAGATGCTCCAAGTTGCGAACGCGCGCGCGAAGAGCGGCGATCAAAGGCGGCACTACTTCTATGTCTGGAATCGCGATACAGACTGGTATCCGGTCTTCGAGGCGAAGAACCGAGCGTTCCCTCTCGGTTCCGAGTTCGGCGGGTATCATCATGAGCTCGATGCGATTTGTATGCGGATGAGAGCGGACAGGAGGACGCTCATTCAGACTACATCTCATGGACGCACGGCGCAATTCCATCTCCTCGTTCCAACCCATGAGCCTTATGTTCTTGACCGCCCGGTTATATTCCACGAGAGCCTTCTCCCGCTTATCATCACCGGCCAGCGGCATCACAGTGTGGACCTCGTCTGGTTCAATCTTCGCTGGCAGGCAAACGAGCTACAACTGCAATGTATCGGAGTCTTGGAAGAGAAGACAAACGCCATCGCAAAAGCTGGATTTCTTAGCTCCGTTGGCTGCTTTGCAGGTTTTTTGGCGGCTAGCTGTGCTGTTGCTGTTTTTCCCCCCTGTGCTCCTATTGCAGAGGCCGCCATTTTGCCGCTTTGCTCGGGATACATGGCCTCTTGTGGTACTTTAGCCGGTGCCATTATCTACGAGGATCTTACTACGAGTGACGAAACCTATGTCCTAGGAGATGATTCCATATTAGCCGCGCAAAAGGAATAGTTTGCGTTGGCAGCCGAAGTACGTCTTCGTGCCCTTGCCTTTGTCCTATTTTTATTTTTTTTTAGCAAGCCTGTTCCTAATTTCTCCAGGGCGTGTATTTTGATAATTATTTGCTACCTGTTATGTTGTTCACATTAAGTACTCTATGCTACATTATGTTCCTTTAATGTTTGTCGCCTTATTTATCCAATAGGGAATTAACTAAGACCAAGCGTAGGTAGTTAGCATTCCTGTTATACTCCTGCAGACATTTCCTGGTACAACAAAGTAGTACTCAGATATATGAGTCTAGATAACTATAAAACTTGTGGAGTCTGTGCTGAATAATCATGGTATCTGCCAACAATATTTCCGTATTTGTGCGTCCTGGGTGCCAACATTTTTGCAGAAGAGGAAACCTCTGCGGCCCTGATTTAAATAGTTTAAAAAATAATAGAAGGCCTTATGTGTGCTCTGCCCGCCACGAAGGTTCTCCCCAGGAAAAACAGGTCTCGTAGCCAACTCTGCCTGAAATGAAGCCAATTGCTTTGCACGCAAACATCACGAGTGGCGATTCTGAAAACATTTTGTTTTCCCTATCTGCCTAGTTCTGATACATCGGTTGAGTCGAATGCCTCTCCCGAAACTCCAGTAGGAGTGCTTCGGCGACAAGACCCGAAAGCCAGCCTCTTAAACATGGAACGGGTTCTCCCCATAAGTGATTTATTAGTGGTTATGAAATAGTCCTGGTTGTTTCATTTGACGCCAGCCTCTGCAGCAGCCAACGAAACGCTATATATGTATGGCAGAGATATGATATACTCGACCGTCGCCGCGTCGGCGGCTAACCCCATGCACCTCTTGTCCAAGGGGCAGCCTCGTCCAGTGACTTTCACCCACCCAGCTACTCGGATTTGGCGGGGAAAAGATGTCGGAATTTTCGCCAAGGATGCGTTTGATGCCAGTCGAAAGATTCCATGAGAGACAACCTCGTCCACACCGTGGAGATCCCTGAACCGGGCGCTTAGAGGTAGCACCTCCATGACTAAAGTATAAGTCGGAGCGGATTTACTGAATCTCTAAGGTGCAAATCAAGACCGGAGAAATATGAGAGTGTCTGAGAGTAGTAAACTAGACGTGTTTCCATGTGACATGTAACTCCATAGATGCCAGCGATTGCACCCAGGGGTTTATCAAAGGGCGAAAATAGGCTAACGGTCATGGCACAGCACCTTCTGAATTAGCCTTGCTGGTACGAACTATTGGTTCAAAGCGAGAAGTGTGTACCGCCAATCACGCACGTCGTTGCCGCTGCGGCTTCGCGACTGAAACACTGGTTCAAGGAAAGGCTGTGCTGGTTCGGAATAAGGAATGAGATTACTTTATATATAGGGACTTTCCCACTGCCGCCCAATGCGCTGATGCTACCGCCAGAATTCAAGTCCCTTCTTTTGCTGCAGGTTGGTTTATACCATACTTGGTATTACGATATCCATGGCGTCCAAAGCCCTACGAACTAAAGAGTGTCTCACAGAGCTGGAGGCCCACTTCAGGTCAGTTTTCTGTCTACTGCCGACTCTTATACGCTGCTAACCTGACCGGGAGCAGAGAGACCAAGACCCCTTCCGACGTACTGATCATTCTCGGACGAACCGGGTCCGGCAAATCATCCCTCCTCGAAGACTTATCCGGCCTCATCGGCTACTCTCAGCAGAACCTTGACTCTGGCAGGTTCATCCTCTCCAAATACCCTTCTCCCTCGAGCTAAGAGTCCGCAGTCACAAAGACCATCGAGCTCTGCAAAGCTGTCATCAACGAAAAACCATACTTCATCATGGATACACCCGGCTTCGACCCGAACACCGAAGAGAACACGTTCCGGGAAATCGTCCGTGGGGTAAAATCCATCCGGCCTTTCGCCCGCATCACCGGCCTCCTATACCTCACCTGCATCCCCCAAGAACGGTTCGATGGTTTTGACCGCAAGTTAATCCAGTTCATCCGCGTCCTGAGTGGGCCGCAGTACATCCCCCGTGTCACGTTTATCACAACGTTCTGGACCGCGACCACCGGACAGGCGGCAGCTTATAGCCAGCGCCTTGCCGATCTTTGCCGCAGGTGGGAGGATGGCGTTGGTGTACGGCGGTTGCAGACGTATCAGCATGGATGGGAGTATGATGGCGCTGGTGAGTATAAAGGCGTAATTATCGATTGGTTTGTCAACCGGGAGCAGATTGCGCGACATGCGGGGGAGATGGTGGCGAGGAATTATGGCAGTCCGACAGTCGTCGCTTCGAGGATCGAGGAGGAACTAGATGCTAATATGCCCATTCATAAAACGGAAGCCGGGAGGTTGCTTGGGCTGTCTGCTCCGTCGCGATTCTCCACAAGCGCTCATGCAGCGGGAAAACGGGATCACGATGACCTCCCTCAGACGGGAACCTCTATCCCGGAACCCCCTCTGGCCGGACAAACATCTAGCACTCCAAATCAACAGCCAACATCCACCCCGCCGCATGGCATTTCGCTTGGCCAAGTGGTTCTCGAGGGACTCAGCTGGTTTTTCCGCAACGTTAATCCTGGCAGTGGGGCTGGAGGTGCCGGACCAAAACCGACCATGGTTAGCGGCGATCCATTCAGAGGGGGTGGAGGTGAGCCCCCAGCTTCTGCTTCCGTAAAATGTAATGATAGGATAGATATTTTGCTGACCCATGACCTGCTAGATCCCCTGTCTCATGTCGACTTGATGAAATCCAGAGGCCTCGACTGGAGCAGAGAGGGAAGGTTGGCATATGCTCAGCAGCATGGAATTGGAGGCGTGCCTTTTTCTGCGTCCTGGGGTGATGCCATGTTGAAACATCTTCAAAGGAACAGGTGATACATGTTGGCCCATGCGGCTAAGGTCCGGTTTGGAGGATACATGTGGTCTGAAATCAAGATTATTGTTTAGGTAGCTATGCCGTATTGTGAGCCAACATCTCTTCGTTCTGGAAGCCAACTCGTTCCGACCGCGAAACCCGCCCCGTGGGCAACGCACCTGAGGTGCTCGAGTTCTCGAGCTGTCATCTACACTCTTGTCCAGATTCATTTATTTCTCCCACTCCCCATTTCCATAAAAATACCGAATGCGTTGGCGTTGCTGAGAAACTGCCAAACACCACAGAGGAGGAAGGCAGCATCCGCCGGAAAATAAATCTATATCTCCCGCATGTCATACCTTGACCGGGCGAACAGTGACCAGAAGCCCTTTGCTAAGCATAAGTCTACCAGGCTAATAACCACCAGAGCGGAACGCATTGGCCATGCGTGATGAGAGTCTGGCTTTTCGGTAGACGGCCTAGGGCATGGGGCTTCAGATGAGGTGACAGGAGATGAACTCTATCTCAGAAAACATTATCACAATCTTAATCTCAGTCTCAATTACGGATGGGTATTGTATATAACTAAGTAGCCAGGCTGAGAGAACCATTTCTGTATCGATAATAGCAAAGTTACATATACAGTCCTGATTACATTCTATCCATACCGACTATCAAGCTGCACACGTCCGGCTTCTCTCCCCGGCTCCGTGAGTCCGGGGACCAAATGTTCCCTCGAGCCCGCGGAGCCCCAGGCATCGCCATTGCCACCGCCGTACCGAGCCCGGTGCTTCGGCCACGTAGCTGGATGGCGAAGCAAGGTATCTCGCAGAGTATGCAGTTCCCGCCCGGGATTATCACTCTCAGTACCGACGGAGGCAGGTGGTTCCTCGAATTGCAGTTCGATACGCTTCGTCTCAGCTGACCCCGCATTGCGAATAGTCCTGATCCGCGCGACATGCGAGTACGTCTTCGAGTGCTGTATCCCCGCGCCCGTATTGGCGAGAGCTTCATAAGCGGGTGGAGAGTTCTGCGCGAGCGCAATAAGCTCGCCGACTGTACTCCAGCTTCCGGACGTGTGCCGCTTGACGAGCAGGAAGATGATGTGGATGGTCGCCATGACCATGTGTACTAAAAGGACAGACATGGAGAGGTAGGTGGAGAGAGAGCTCTGCATTGAGAAGCCGCTGATTTTCATGGTGGCTTGGAGGGTTATATACTCCTCTGGGTTGTTTGATGGCGGTTGGAGGGCAGGTTTGCTGTCGAGGACTAGGCTGTTGAATTTATGGAGCGGGGTGTAGTTTGCTATGGGCCAGTCGGGGGATGGACCTGAGGTATCGAAGACTCGGTGGCTTCCTGTCCGGCTGAGTCCGTCGACGACGACGCTGCAGATAATGGACTCGACGAGGGAGACCATTTGCCAGCTTGAGGTGTCTTCCGCGAGCCAGGCGTCTGATGGCGTGCTCTCTGTTGAGTTGTCAGATTGCGTGTTATTGGCCAAGCCCGCATTCACGAAGATGCTCTCAATAGTCGATGGGTGCCAGTCTGAGGCATTAGGCGTCGTGATAGGAGCGGGTGGAGTCAAAAGACCAAGCCAGTCGCCTCCGAACGCAACCCGGCCGTTTGTCGACTCGCTGGAACCCTGATTGTACGCCGGGGTTCGATCCCCAAAAAGAATATTCCACGGGTACCAGCCGGTCCAAAAGGTGTACTTGTCCGTGTATACTGTTGCTGGAACCCATCCAGCCTGTACCGTACAGCCCATTACCGCCCGTGAAGCGCTACCTTCCCACTGACTCCCCCAGGGCGACTCAAACACCGCTCCGATGCTGGCCGCGCCGAACCGTGCGGGGAGATGGACCCATTGAAAGCGCAGGTGGTCCGTCCGGTTAGGGCTGAGGGTATCAACTTCGAGGGGCAGGTTGTTGGCATAGTTGAAGCGGCCGTTGATCGAAGGGAAGTGGACGGTGCTTCTGTCAGCGCTCAGTTTCTCCGGTGGCCCACAGCGGGCCACGGTGATGGCATTCTTGAACGTGGCCGCAGCGACACGGTCATCAACTTGATTTGCCGCCAGCCCTTTCTGCACGCTAAGAGCCTCCCACCAGTCCTTGGAAACCTGCTGGAGGACCGTGGCCGGGGCAGCATGTGGCTGAACAAGCGTAGTCTTCCCATTTGGCCCCGGCTGAACATCGCCCAGAGCGTAAAGAGGTGCAACCATGGACGATGGGCTGGAGACTCGCCAGTAAAATTGCGAGCCCGATAGCTCTTTTGCGTAGGGCCGGATACTTTCGCTCTGATATGTGCTGCTGTTCAGAGTTCCCCAGTGACTCCAAAGTGACTGGTAGCCGCCTCCTGGACATACTCCGAGATGCGTTGAACGACCGTTGCCGCATAATTGCTGCGCTTCAGACAAGTCTCCTGCTAGACTGCTGGGCCAAAAAACGTCCTCTGTACCAGAGAGGTAAAAAGGTGTCCCACCCGCACTCCAGTCTTGTGACTTGGGAACCAGCAGGACAGCACTCGCGGGTCCAGCTAGCGTTGCGATAATCCCGGCGATGATGATAACGACTATCAGCGCGACCTTGCGGGACTTGAGCCCAGCGGCCGGAACATATCGTAAACTACCGTAGAACTCCTTCGAGAAGAAATATTCGAGATGGTTGAACGCAAGTCCCGAGCCCAGAAGACCAAGCGGCAAACCATCACCCCACAGCAGTTCTTGTCGGACAAACTGCAGGACGATGATGCCCAGGCTAGCAACGATGGTGATTTCATGTGCTTTGGCGGCTAGTTGGAAGAGCATGAGATTGATCGTCTCAGATCGCACTGGGGACATTAAGTCCGCTCCTAGATATGTTCCCCTGATGTTCAGTGCGATTATCGTAGACGACACTGCGATGGGGAGGAGGTGAATGGCGCAAGACCATAGTGCTGCACCGAGGGACCGCGAAACGGCAACTTTGTGCGATTCTTCGTCATGAGAGGAGTTTGTGCTAACCACCGACGCGATGCTCGTGGTCCTGGCTTTTCGTGATGCATTTTTGTTGAAGATTCGCATTGCCGTGACTCTTCATCTCACATCTGTCGAGACGTTGACCTTGAGGGCTGCACATTAAGGCCGGAAGGCAATAATGGAAACGGGAAGACCACAACCCTTGTGAGAACCCCCTTTTAGATATGGCGGCTAAAGAGCTCTGCCGGGGTAATAATGTTGAAACAGGGCAGACGACCATGTTGGATCGCGCCGGCAGGCTGGGCCAACATGAACATGCCTTGTCAGCCAGTTGAATTGGTTACAGCTCCAACTCATCAATCGCACGGCCCGTCCCTCTCATGGTCTATCTTTAGCAGGGAAAAGATTGGCCCGCGGTGGATGGTGAAACGAGATGGCTTGCACTTATGCGACCTGGCTGCACATGGCGGCGCTTAGGGCTGGGCTATCATTGGTTGATACCTGAGGCAGCACGATCTAACCCGAAATGGTCCGAGATTCACAACCTCATCGATCGCGTCTCCTGAACCTGCGTCTTCTCTCCATCCTCTTGCTCATCGACATTGCGCGCGCCCTATTATCTTTTCATTCAGCGAATGTATATTTAGCGCCTATATATTTACAGCGACCTGTAATATTCGAGATTTCGACGAGCAGCGACCCAATATCCCGTTCCCACGATTCGGCCCACGAGCAGGCGACACCCGCTCTCTGTCCACGCCTGTGGGCAAACCAGGCATGACCGACGTCTCGCGGTATCTTCGATTCGGCAGATTCTCCGTCTCCGCGACCGGCGCCATTTTCCTTACCTACTTCGTCCTCTACCTCCTTTCCTTCCGCTACTACCACGGCCTCAGCTATCGCGATCCAACATCGTTCTTCTTCGACGCGGACCGCGCCTACGAACGACGATATTCTGCAAAGAGGGTTGAGGAGGCAAATACATTTATCGCCAATGCGGCCCACGTGAAGCCTCCAACGAGGGAACCCAGTGAGCAGCCTTCATTATGTGTGGGCATAGTCTCGGTCCGTCGGAGGGGGGATCAATATGTCGGGTTGACGGTAGGGTCGCTATTGGAGGGTCTTAGCGAGTCCGAACGGCGCAAGATGCTTCTATACCTACGCATCGGCAACACGGATCCGACCGACCACCCGATATACTCTGAAAAATGGGTAGAAACGCTCCCGGACCGCCTCTTGACCTATTCGAAAGATGATCCCGACTTTGAGCAGCTACAACAATGGGAGGAAGACGGCTGGTATCGAAACAAGACTATTTACGACTTTACGACACTGATGAGCGAATGTTATAAGAGTGGTGCGGACTACGTTGCGATGCTTGAAGATGACACCCTAGCAGTCAAGGGCTGGTTCCCATCTGCCATGCGTGCTCTTAGCACAGTGCAACAGCGGACCGCTGGAAGAGATTGGATTTATCTCCGTTTGTTCTATATCGACGGTCTTCTCGGGTGGAATAGCGAAGATTGGCCAAAATACTTGGCTTGGTCTTTTATTGTTTGGGCAGTTCTCACAGCCGGAATGACTGCCTCCAAGCGCAAATTCCATCGCGAACTCAGATCGATCCCGAACAGCGCGATCTGGATGACATCGTGTATCTTCATCCCCGCCGCGATCGGCCTCCATTTCATGGCAGGTCGGCAAACGATGTGGCCGCTGTCTCCCGGTGTCCACGAGATGAACAAGTATGGCTGCTGCTCGCAGGGACTCGTCTTCCCGCGCGCGATTATCCCGCGGTTCCTAGAGCAGACTGACCTCACGACTGACTGGTTGGTTGATATGATGGTCGAGAAAATCGCAGATAGCCAGCGCTGGGCACGGTTCGCAGTGGTTCCGCCGTTACTCCAGCATATAGGGTCGACTAGCTCGAAGGGGTATGGGTTTGACAATTCGGCGAGCACGATTTGGAATTTTAGATTTGAGGAGTATCCTACATGACTGCTATAATGACCATATAATATATATATTGTGTTTTCAAGACACCTCGTCGACTATCCAATCGATGGAGAGCCAGCACCGAGGTCAATTACTCGTAGTTGATGACCAGAGCAGATGGCGAGAAGATAGCCGGCCATACTGCAGTAGATATATTTGCCGTGCGGATTCTGTTGTTGACTAGATAAGTCGAGTTCTCTTATCTATTGTCTGGTCTAGGCCTCTCCGCAACAAAGACCTGGATGGATGCATTATTTAGTGCAGAGGCTGGACTGTCTATTGAAGGTGTCCGTCTATGCATGATACACTCCGCGGTACTACACCACAGGTGAGAGATTCATGTGTAATCATAAATAACAAACTCAAACTCAGGTAAAGATTGAGATCCTGGTTTACATCTTGAAGATACCCATACTGTACCCCTCTAGACAGGCTGTCCCCACAGTCCCGAAACCTACACTGCCCGACACTCCGTCTTGAACGAACTAATATCATTATCCCACCTCCCCGGAATATCGCTCCAGACCTCATCATGGCACGACCGCTGCGGGGTCCAATCGGCCTTCTTCGTCTTGCACCCGGGGCTATCGTACAGCGTGACGCAGCACCGCGTCGATCGGTCCGAGTTGTACGCGTAGTACTTGATAGATGAGACCTTGTTGTTCAACGGATCGATGTTCGAGAAACATTTGCTGCCTGTTTTGCCGGGGCCGCTGTAGGTCACCTGTCGGCCTTTGTAGTTTATGTTTTCGTAGAGGCGGATGCGCCACGCGTCACCGGGGCTGGCGAGGAGGAGGAGGGTTGTTGTTAGGGTTAGGAGGGAGAGCTTCATTTTGTTTTGTTGTCTAGAGGGGTGTTAGCTGGTACTAGGGTTTGGGTCACGATATGAAGGGGAGGAAAGGGTTTGCAAACAAGGTCTAACAGAATATGTACTTGTGATCTGAAGCAGATATGAGTTCTACCCGAAAGCTACAATGGCAGTTACTTGGTCGGTCTTTTATACTGCTCCCGTCCGAAGGAAGGAACGCCAGCATAGTTTACTCTGCCTCCTCGCCAACGACATGTGCAAGCACTGAAACGAGATATTGATGAATACGAGTTCTCAGGCGCGCATTTCGGAGTTCTCGGCCCTCCTTGAGGTTGAATTCTAGTTGCTTGTCCTGAATACGAGCGCAAGCGTTAAATGAATACGAGACCGCTCAGGTATCCCTGGACAACGTGCTCGAGTTCCGTCCCTTGATTGGAACGGACACATCGTAATATGCGCTGAGGCTGAATCTGTCATTTCGGCTCGGCGGGGACAGGAGATCCTTTTGCGCTTTTGCAAGCTGCGTCTGGGGAAATATTGGAAATCGGGGGCTGGGACAACCTGTTATCATGAAAGGCACGTGCAAAATCTCGAAGCTACAGAGATGTAAGACGAGAAGGAACCAAGGTGAGGAGAAAGAAATTGAAGGTCTTGTCATTCTAATTGTGTAGCGAGACAGCGAGATATTTAAGCACAGGAATAAAAGGAGGGATTAAAGCGAAACAGGAAAAAGGATCTAGTAGACTTTTTGGTAGCAAATGGCTCCAATTACTACACCTTCTTTCTTACTAAGTGGCTAGTAGAGTGGCGAGTAATCTGCTTAGCCAAGTCAAATTAACTAGATTACTAGTTGAACCGACGCTGATCCGACCTCGCCGCTAACACCTCCTAATACTATTACCCCTCATAAATAGGTTTAGAGGGTAAATGTACTAAAGTTTTTAAGGTTATAGGGACTGAGGTATATGTATATGCTAGTATAATAGGAAATAATAGCCTAATAAAAAAAAAGATAAAGGCTATTCATATATATCTCTCTATATATAGAAGAGTATAATACTAAGGCGTAAATATTTGCAGCTTACAAGGGAGATATCTTTATGGGCTTAGGTAGCCTATAGGCTCACTAAGGCCCGCGTAGACTATGTACAGATTCTGGCGCCTTACACCAGCCAGAGAGCTGATGAAACCCACACTACGCCACCACGAGGCTCAAAAGTGAGGCAAAACTGATAACAGGGAAGGCAGAGGTATTATATTGACGGCGAGAGTCCCGGCACTTTTTACCTACTCAGATCCTACCACTACGGGCCTATACGACGCCAGGAAGGAGAGCCCCTTCCCCGAAAAGCAAAAACAAGGCCCTACACCCTCTCAGCCCAAACGCGAAACTTGCGAGGGGAAACTCGCTCTCGGTAAGCACAGTCGATCTCCTCAACTGACAGACCCGTAGTATCCGGAACCAGAAACCAAGATACGACGAAAAGACATGCGCTCAGCCCGGCAAAGACAAACCCCGTTTTGGCCCCCAGGTTGGCCGAGTCAGTATTATACAGGTAGGGCACGATCATGTGGAAGATGTAGTTCGACACAGCCTGCACAAAGTAGCTGAGTGATTGCGTGTACTGCCGGAGACGGTAGGAGGAGATCTCGGGAGCAATAGTCCAGGCTGTACCAGTGCAGGTATATAGTTGCCAGGGGATGAGGAGGTTCCTGTCGCAAGCGTCAGTCTCTCGGGCTTCGAACTGGAGGGCGGGGTGGTCTTTTTCTAGGTTTCCTACATGAGCACAGCAACGGACCACAGACCGGCGTTGTTGTGGACAAACCCTAGCCCTCCGACGACAGACATTCCGACGATATTGCCCATCAGACCGGTAAGCCATAGTCTCCGGCGACCGATCTGGTCGTTGAAGAACCATCCGCCGGCAATAACCAGACACGCGAGGAAAAACCCACCGATTCCGATATCGAAGGCATGCACCGCGGGAAGGCCAAGGGTGAGGAGGAAGTAAGTGTTCTGGTTGAGAAACGCAACCCCAGTCATTCCGATTCCAAAAAGCATCATGCATACCGTCATTGTGCGCCTCAGATTGTGCGCGCGGAAACACTCCAGGAACGACGCTTCGGTGTCGCCGGTCCTGCTATTATCTTCCATTTCGAGAGTTTGTCGTAGGAGCTCAAGGCGGATATCGATACTGTTGTCTTTGCCATAGAGGCGAACCAGGGACTCCCTGGCATCCCCAATTTTACCCTTTGACAGCAGCCATACAGGCGACCTGCCGCTCATATTAGCATATAATCAGCCGGGGGATGACTGGGTGATGAACGAAACATACTCGGGGATCAGAAGCACAAGAAGCGGAAGACCGGCGACGATCCACTGTATTGCAAACACCATCTTCCAGGCTTTCGGCGCCATATCAGGAACGAAGCCTCTGATCACCCCAAGGGCAGTACCCTGCATGAGGACGGTGAAGAACACCAGTCCCTGTAAGATTGGCCCGCGCAGCCGGATAGGAGCAATCTAGCCAAAATCAGCGCAGGAGGACAAAAGAAAAGAAGAATGGATAGAAAGGGTTGAGTGCTTACGTCGGAGGCATAGGTCGTACCCACAGCCAGTAAACCGCCGATGGTGAATCCGCCTATAATCTTGCCAACTAGGAGGGCCCATCGTGTGCTTGCAGTGTATTGTACAGCGACCCCCGCAGAAGAGATGAGGCAGCAGCACATAATAGCATACCGCCGCCCAATGCGTTGGGCAACGAACCCCATCGCGAAGGAGCCGATTGCCTGCCCCAGATTCGTTAAAGCTGTCCACAACGCGCTCCAAAGGGAGGGTACGTAGAGCGAGTTCGTGGCGGGATTGGTTGCGCCGAATGACAGTAAGAAGGCCGGCATGGCCATCGTCGCGCTGCTCGCCACTGTATCATATCCATATGTCATGCCGCACAGGAATGGTACGAGAGCTGGTTCGGTTAGCGCCGTCGGTAGATTATAGAGGGCATTCGTACAGAAGAGGAGGACACGCCTGTATACCTTCGCCGCTTGGCGGGTAGACATTAGTTTCTCATTCTCGGTGAACCGGGTTATAGCGGACTGGGGAACTTTGTCATTGCCATGGTCGAGCTGGCTGTGCTCTAGATGTGCCACAGCAACTGGGTCTTCGCTCGATTTTGTTGGCTCGGACATTATCGCCTGGAGAAGCGGGGTATTGAGGCTAGAATGCAGGGTTCGAGGTTGCGACCTGACGGGGGAGTACATACTGAGCCATGATTCATCTTCCACCTCCATTTTATAATCGCAACTTTGCTAGGTTTACGCGTTCGAGCGGATATTCCGGGGTAATTCCCACAGACTGTGGGGATCGGCATTTGAGATCACGCAGCTTAAGTTGCCGTCGGCTATCTCCCGGTGCTCTTATTGGTTGTATCAATAGCCCTACATGACCTGGAAACGTGATATCCTGCCTGGAAATACCGAGCCCATGTTTGAATCGTTTCCGGTAGACTTTTTACTTCTTTCACGGTTCCTTACGGACTCTCATGGATTGCTGACTGTATTGGAGAAGGAAATATGGGATCGTGGAACTGATAGCGAGAACCGTGGGCGAAGTCTCATTGGTCGATACCACGGTTGAAGGGATTAATCACGGCAGTCTGGCGAATCTCGGCATATCCGAGCGGCCCGCAACGCTGAATAACCTGAGATGCAAGCTGTGGGAGCCCAACTTTTATCAAGAGATAAATAGGTCTATGGAACCGGGACAATCTCGCTAGTCAGAGGAAGAAGCAACTGTCCAGGGTTCAGCCACAAGGGAGCGTAGTTCCTTCCTGGATTTCCATTTCTCAGCTATCACATTACGGAATGCTCAGACCACAAGCCAACACTCACCGTGACCTCCTGTCACTAGATGGGATGTGGAGCTTCGCCCTCGAACCCGGCGACATTGAGGAGCAACGAGCGTGGACGAAGCCTCTGCCACCGCAATTGCAGATTCCCGTCCCTTCTAGCTACAACGACATTTTCATTGACAGCCACGTTCACAATCATGTTGGCTGGGTCTATTATCAACGCCAGGTTCCGGTACCCCGAGGATGGAGTAGAAATAGGATCTACCTCCGTGTAGATGCCGCGACACATCGTGGCCGCATTTATGTCGATGAGCACTTTGTCACAGAGCACATTGGGGGATACACGCCGTTCCAGGCGGACATTACCCACTTGGTCGAAGCCGGAAAGGAGTTTCGACTGACTATCGCGGTGAACAACGAGCTGTCAAACGAGACAATTCCCCCCGGCCGGATTGAAACCCTGCCCAACGGCACTCGGAAACAGCACTACCAGCATGACTTTTACAACTATGCCGGTCTTGCTCGCTCAGTGTGGCTTTACTCGGTTCCCGACACATTTATACAGGACATTACCGTGAACACCGATGTCAACGAGGATGCTTCGAGCGGCCTCGTCAAGTACTCAGTCGCAGCCAACCGCCCCCTCCCTCCGGGCGCAATCCATATTTCCATCATCGACGAGGAAAACAACACCGTTGTCGGAGGGCAAGGAGCGCAGGGCACCCTGTCAATCAGCTCGCCTCGGCTTTGGCAGCCTGGGTCGGCCTACCTCTACCGGCTTAGGGTGGCATTGGTGGATGTTGGCAAGGGCCAGACTCGAGACCTGTACATGCTGCCAGTTGGAATCCGCAAAATCGAAGTACGCGAGGCTGAATTTCTAATCAATCACAAACCATTTTACTTCAAGGGCTTTGGCAAGCACGAGGATCTCGCTATCCGCGGCAAGGGATTTGATCCCGTCTCCATGGTGCATGACTTCCAGCTTATGCACTGGATAGGGGCAAATTCCTTCCGGACAGCCCACTATCCGCATGCCGAAGAGGTCTTGGACTACGCTGATAGGCACGGGATAGTGGTGATCGACGAGACCCCTGCTGTAGGGCTAAATCTGGCCATGGTGGCTGGGCTGCATGGGACAAACGTGCCAAGTACCTTTTCCCCAGACTCTATCAATGAATCTACACGGGAGATGCATGCACATGCAATTCGTGAGCTCGTCGCACGCGATAAGAACCATCCATGCGTGGTCTTGTGGGCGATCGCCAACGAACCGGCGTCCTCGGAGCCGGGGGCCAGAGAATATTTCGACCCGCTTGTCACTCTAACCCGCCAGCTTGATCCATCTCGACCAATCTGCTACGCCAACTTCATGTTCTGTACCAATGCAACGGACAAAATCGCCGACCTCTTTGACGTTCTCTGCCTGAACCGCTACTATGGTTGGTACAAAAACACCGGCGACTTACAGGGTGCTGAGGCCGCACTTGAAAAGGACCTGCGGGCGTGGCAGACCGCGTACAGTGACAAGCCAATTATTATATCGGAATACGGTGCTGATACCCAGGCGGGCCTTCACGCGATCCAAGACGTACCATGGAGCGAGGAGTACCAAGTCCGATTCCTGGAGATGTACCATGGCGTGTTCGACCGGCTCGATGCGGTGGTTGGTGAGCATGTTTGGAGCTTTGCGGATTTCCAAACCAGTCTTCAGGTCTTTCGGGTTGACGGGAATAAGAAAGGGGTTTTTACCCGGGACCGGAGGCCGAAAGCTGCTGCTTTTGCCTTGCGGAGGAGGTGGACTGGAATGGATATGTAATTACACAGAGAAACCGAGTCGTATTCCAAGCTCCGTGGTGCTGCGTTATGAGTAAGGGTGATTATGGCGTCTGAGAGAATGAACCAAGTGGCTTAGGTCTAGGCATTGTATAGAGAATGCAAGGTTATTATGGCATAAAGGGCTTAGAGCGGCAACATGCAAAAGACGACCAGATACAGTATCCCCGACCCTGCAGGGCTTCTCCAAGATATATCATTCGTGGGCCGATCGGTCTCGCCTTGAGATGGGATTGGAAAAAGCAACGACCGGCATGATTGGTGCTTACTCGCGCCAGCAAAAATGCCTGTGCGACAATCTCCAACATCAGCTGGAGATGCATCCAAATGGACAAGGACCTTTTGGTATTGAATCAGACAAGGCTGTGAACGGAGTCTCCTGATGAACTGCCTGATGGACGGCGCCCAAAATACGCCAATCTAGACAACTCAAATGATGTCGAGTTGTCAGCCAGGCGAGAAAAGAGACATGGTGATGGTGGTTGTTTATTCTTCTAACCGGCATCAAGAAGGCAGGAGCAGGCACATGATCGCTCGCCTCAGGCATGACTTGGCGCGCCTCTCGCCCACCGTCACCGTCAACCTGGAGATTCCTTTGTTTTTCATCACACGGAGCTCGAATGAAGGACGCCTGACAGCCCTTTCGCTGCTCTTGGTACGCGTCAAGACCCCTGATTGTTCAGCTTTGCCGAAGCTGAATACGGCTTCCACAGCGTGGCTGACGAGATCCAGGTCTTGGCAAATGCAGCCCTTGCAAGATGACGACCCAAGCATCGAGTGCTTGTCGGGAGTCGAGATCTAGATTCCAACCGAAAGAGGGCCGACCGCTCTTTTTACTCTTGCTTACTTTCTATACGCCCGTTGGAACCAGGATTGTGTCTGCGACACGCAAGCTTCGCACGGTGAATCGCACCGTCGACGGTGTTACGCGGGGATATGGAGGTGCTGCGCCTGACCTACCACCGTCTCACTGTGTGATGGCCAGATCAGGGTCTACAGGGTAGGCAGTAACTTTCTGCAGCCAGTTCCCTGTAGCGGACTCCGGTCGGCATTGTAAAGGGATATTTATCGCTGCATCATCTTCGATTAAAGCGCTGCATGGCAACGAGTACTCTGTTTGATTCCGCCATGTTTGGTCCTCTACTCTTTCCCTACACTTCGAATCAATGAGCTTCGAGATCATTATTCATTATACTAATCGGTCTATAGTTCGACTCGTCTATCTTTATGAAGGCTGAGAGGGCTAGTTTGGCACTTCAGCCACCACCCGCGCCTCTATCCCCATTAAGCCAGTGCGCCTTGCAATCCCGCCATCCCTTCCGCAATGCGATACCACACTAAGCGCGGACATGCTTACTGACGGCGAGCATGTGTATCGCCCGAGAAGACAACGCGCGCAGGCACTGGCGAATATCGTCTTCCAAGTGGAAGAGACTCGAACATGATAGGGGTGAAGTTGAAGCTTTCTGAAGCACCGAGGCGCCACTCTGGCCAGCTGTGCTGAGTGCATCGGGCGGGTGATTCGATGAGTCGCATGTCCGCAGCCGACTTGATTCCAACCGCAACGAAACCAGGTTGACCATGTGTTGAAAGCGGTGCAAGTCATTGAGTACAAATCGCTCTTCCATGGAACTTTGATTGCCTCCCTCAACAACATGTCCCTGTACCGTTGGTGGAAAATGCATTATCTGATCTTTGGAGGGCTTTTCCCCGGGTTGGTCGCTTGGGGTTCTCAGCCCGCTCGGCATTCTGTCTCCGGCGTTGGGAGCTTCTACCGCGGTAACATAACAGCTCATCGCCTTTAAGACGGCGAGTGACGCGATTGATAGGACGTACCCATTCTCCGAGCACGGGCAATGCAGCACATTGCTAATTAACTCCATCGCGTTTCTGATTTCGGAGACGTTGGAGCTGCTTGGACGTTGCTGGCTGTACACAGATCCAGGATCGAGTTGGTGGCACCCTGTGGGCTCATCCGCAGACAGGTGGGATAAAACCCCTAGAATCATTGCTGTACAAGACGTTGAATGTTGCAGAGGGGCGCTGGGAATGATCACCGAACTTTCAGCCGATGATGCCGGTGTTGGTAACGTCGGCGGCTCGTTGACTGACGCTAGATCGCTCATTCCTTGAGAGTCTAGGAAGTTGATCTGGTCCTCGTTCAATCCTGGTGTCGACATGCCAGATGCCAAGGGATCTCCAAAATCTGACCGCATCGGTATCAACGACGAGAAATCTGCGACATCGCCCCCCAATATGTCCGTTGCCAAAAATGTCCTCCAGAAATCAGCATTTTCGGGAACGCCCTGTGCCAACGCTGATTCCGAGCCCGAAAGTATCTGGCTCTGACTTGATACTGCAGGAGGAGATGATGTGGGTATTGATGAGCCAAAGTTCGAGCAGCTGCATGCTGAATCAACGGGCGGCGAGGTGCCTGGTTTGTCTTCAGAATTTCCACACACTTCGCCCCCCGCGCGAGAGGTACGGCCAGTGCGACGAGACACCTTGTACTCGCAAACTAAGTGCCGGTTCGTACAGCGAGCACAACTTGGCTTTTCCTTAGTACACCTAACCTTAGAATGGGCGCAATGAGAACAGCTTTCTCGCAGCTTTCGTGGTTGCTGCACATTCGATGAGCGAGCTGCTGTCGGCCCCCTCGTACCGACCGGCGCAATCCCGGAGCCCATCATCATAAATCGGTATATTGGAGAGTAGGCCGCTTGAAGATGCTAGGTAATCAACTGTGTATGCTGTTGTGCCCCGATTGACTGACAGGATTCGCGGCACTTGAAGTCGCTTTCCGTGCTGGATTGTGTTTGGCTTGGTGACGGTTGACCGATATCTGTCCAACAAGGGTGTCTTACGTCTTATTTCAATGGCGGCGCCCTGGGTACTTTTGCTTTTGTTCCAGCAGGAGGGGCTTACCCAGCCCTATCTCTAATCATCGCCAACTCTCGGTCAAACAACGGCGTGCTATCATTGGCCTTTGGCCTGTCAATCAAAAGACACAGATTCAAGGCGTGCATCAACCTGTCTTTTCTTGGACATGCCGACCTCAGCCCGCGATTAGCATAGATACCACTTAGTTGGCGTCAGCCATCACTGATTAACCCGAACAGCCCCAACCGACTATCTGGCATCATGATCCTTTGATACGACCTCTCCTTGTCAGCTTAGTCCAACGCAGGGCGGAGCTCTAGACCGGTCGTCAAACTACTGAAGCCGCTTCTCGATTCCACTTCCGCCACGGGTTTGGCCGCACTGTTGCACATTCAGCCTGTCCTCAGTGCTATGCGCCTCGTACTGGAGCTGGAGCCGCAAGCTGCATGGCCTACAGGGCCCTTCACCTCCCCAGGGAGCCCTTTGCCAATGCGATGATCACTGAAGACCCGATTCCGCGGCGCGAACGGCACGTCTCTTGTCACCGCCGACCGTCCATCAAACTGTCTTGCACGAGATCCATCGGCCAGGTCCCAAAGCCAATGAAAGTTCAAGCTGCCTGACCACGTCATATTTGCTATTATCCAATCCTTGATATTTTATGCGGTGGGGTCAAAATCTGACAATCGCTAGGCTCTGGCAAAGATGGACAGCATGGATTGGATGGCTCGTCACACTCATTGCCACAATACACTTGACTAACAACAGTAAGCCAACAGCAGCTGGCTGCGAGGGGATTGTACGCCGCACGCCGTATTGGGGAAATGATCTGAGAACAATGACCTTGCGAGAGCTTTGTTCTGCATCCATCTCGGCGCCCGCCTAATCAGGTAGCGCCGGGACGCCGCCACACTCGGCCACGATTGGCTGGCAACCCTCGGACCCCTGCAGTTGACTTCAAAATCGCCCCTCTCTGCGAAACAGACTTCGCCTTGCAGCACTCTCCGTAAAAGGCCTGCCCGGTACCGCATTGTTAATCATCTGTTCCTTGAATCGAAGTGATACCGCCCTAATGCTGAATAGTGGAGTGTAGAGACTATACGTTTACGGCGTACACCTGGGGGTTGCATCGACCGGGCTCGCTCCATCATTCCGTCCCCGTCTGACATGCATTCTTCACGACCTCGCGCGAATCCTCTTGCAGGTGCGGCTGCAGTGCAGATGCCGGCGATCTGGATTGGCGCCAAGTGAAGCAAACGTTACCCACTATCCGGAGTTCGGGATTGTCCAAGAGAGTCAAGCTTGAATCCACCACTTCTGGATAAACTCTGCGCTCATGCGCGAAATATAGATGATTCTCTGTGCTATCCACTCACTTCTAGATTACTCCGGATGCTTCTTCGGCCCATCTCGATACGATATGGCGTTCGATAAGGGCCATTCAATTTCCCCCCGATTGCCCAAGCGTGAGGTTGTCATCGCTAAAAAAAGCAAACAGTCTTTCAGCTCCTGCAAAAGGAAATAATCATTTGTTCAGGCTTTTCCAGCGTGCAGATTACTCTCCCTGGGGCCCCACCTCCATGTCGCCCTTCCTCCTTTTCGATATATACAGCTGGGGCCGGCAAGGCCGACCTTGTTGGCTTCGCTGTTTCATGCTCTGGGCGAGTGGAGGGAAAGCGACAATTATCAGATCTATTGGCTCAATCAGGAACATGGCGTTTGGAGGAAGGACCAAGGTCCAACTGAACTTTCCCACGATCCAAACGCCCAAACTCACGCAAGATGTCCTCCCGCAATCTCGCAATATCGCAATCTCTTAGCCTAATCAATTGCGAATCGATGCTCTGTTCCCTATCGGCCCGGGGAATCAACCACAGCAGACATGTCGATCCGCGCCAGTCCCCCGTGTTGCACCCACAAATTCCAATGAGACACCACGATCCCGACTCGAAACTTTCGAAGAGCCTCAGTTGTTTAAAGAGGTGATCGACCGCTGGATCATTTCTCGAAGAGCCACTTCGCACCGCCCCAACAATGTCAATCTCGCTAAATAAGTACCTGCACTAGGTCCACCATATCTCGTATTCCACGAGATATGCCCCAATCAGACGGCGCGGATCCTCATCTCGCGAGATGCGCCCCTTCTTGAATCCTCTTCTTCGAGGACACTGAAGTGTCGATGCGAGAGCAATTGCTTGGGTTTGAATTGAATTCAACAGTCAAGGCGGCGCAGAGTGTCCTCACGGCCCTGGTCAAGGCAGTTCACAAGGATCCGACAAGCCGCGAACAATGAGACGGCCAAGTCTCTTAGGGCTCGTATCCTTCTCGTCGATAGTGGAACGAAGACGGATCGCGTCCAGTCACACGATGAGACCAAGGCGATCAGAGCGTTGGCTGGAAAGATGGGTGGGCGGATCCGCTGGTGAAATGTGACTGACCCTGAATACGAGCTTCATAAGAGGCGAGGCGTCGCCCAACCCGGTTGTCTGTTCCCTCCCTTTCGCTCTTTTTCGTGTCCGCCATCGCCCAAAGCTGCGCCATGCGAGTCGTCTTGATCCTATCTGTCGCCTCCTCGGTCTCTGCGTGGAGCTTTACATGGACAAACTCAGATGGAAAGTCTTACGTCGAAAACGATAACAGCCCAGTGAGTTGTCAGACGATAAATCACGCCGAAGGCGAGACCTTTCGATGGGCGCCTGGAAACGACGGGTACTCCCTTTGGCTATGGGAAAACGATAACTGTTCTGGATCCAAGGCAGGATACTCGCCACCCTCGCCATGGACGAAGGCTGCCAGTAGGGACCTGCGCTCCTTTCGTGTTGCCGATGAGGATGCGGAGGATGAGCATGAGACTTCGACGACCACTGCGACTACAACCACGACGACGATTAGACCTAGTACTACAACTTCAAAACCGTCTACCGTCACGGTAACACAGTCGGCGGAGACTACTGAATCAACGGAAGAGGCAGAGCCAACAACAACAGAGCCAACCAGATCTTCAGAGTCCTCGGACTCGAGTACGGAGTCAACCCAGTCAATGGAGCCCGCGACGTCGGACGAGGCAACAGAGACCTCCACTGCGTCAGCAGCAACATCAACATCAAGTACAGACTCAACACCTGCACCCGCCTCCTCCACCGACGAACCTCCAAGTAGCGAAGCATCCGATTCAGATCCATCCTCAACCCCCGTCGCCGCAATTGCAGGCGGAGTCATCGGCGGTGCCGCCGCAATCGCCGCTATAGGCGCCCTCTTCTTTTTCCTAGGCCGTCGGCGCCGCGCAGCCCGCGACGACCCCCAACCTCCAGGCTACGGGGGCGCATTCGGACCCGGCGATAAATCCGACACTACAACCACAAAAACTCCATTATCCGTGCCGCCAACGCCGATGTATGGCGCTGCAGCTTACAACCCTGCGTGGACTGAGGGCAAGACCGAACTTGACTCTGCGCCCGTGTACCAGGTCATGGAGCCTGAGCCGCCGCGGGCGCCGGTTAAGCAGGCGTATTCGCCCCTTGATGGCGCTGCCACGGTACCTCATCACCCGCCTGCGACGGTGGTCGCGGAACTTCCTGGGGATATGGTGATGGTTGAGATGAGTGATGCGCATCGGTTGAATGAGTTGGATGGGAGTGGGAGGTTGAGCAAGTGGTAATGGTGGTTTATTTTTGTGCATTTCATGATGTCTTCTCGTTTTGCTTCTTGCATATAATTTCGTGCGAGACGGGCTAGTACGTCCCGTTTGAACATTAGCTACACATACTGTACCTATACCCTAGAATTTTCATTTTTCTGTCGCGGACCACCGCAAAAAGGTCCTTCATACGTTCTTGGTATGTCTGATTTTGGGCAGGCATTGCACATTGTCTATTCTCCGAGGAGTTACCTAATCTTCCAGCTTGATCTCAGGAGGACAACGGTCGTTGCCAAGGATGTTAAATACGTGGCTACAAAACTGAAATCCAATCGCTCAAGTCTCAACCACAGCCAACGATAAGAGAAGAGATTCCCACGCCTGAGGGAGGACCGGGCCCCGTTAGTCCAGGCCTTCCAGGCCTCTAGGCCTCCCGAGGTCGAATAATCGCCTTACCCTAAAGGGAAGGGCCCGGTCTCGCCGCGTCTCGGGGTGGCTTATCGCTCAGCCCGTCTGTTGTACTTTGTATCGACCAGGCCCAAAAGGCGTCCAACATTGGACTAGTAATCCACTCGGCCCGCTGGGGCTGACGACCTCCGGGCCGGGCTCCAGCTGGGATGAGCTAGCGGGCCCGGTTACTCGATCAGGGCCAGATTCCACATGTTCAATTGTCAGAAGAATGCAGGCTGGGTGGGGTGGGCCTGGTGTAGGCCTTGCGTGAGATGGCTTTGGATGGCGGGGGATGTAAGAATCAGGCTAGACTGATAATGATATCGAGTGTGAGGGAACATGGATAGTTGAAGATAACTCTGCCACGGTTCTTTCGCCTAGATAAGAGTATGCTTCCTGGTGGGCTGGCTATCTGTCTTTACTTGCCTGTTCGACTTGGGCTTGTGACATTGTGTCATTGCACCTTATCCTCCCTCGTATGAACCAGGGGCCATCCGCAATCTTACTCTGTCTCCCCCTCCCCGAATCCAATGTACGATTTCGATAATCTGTCGCGCACATACTATGCACATACCTACCTCATTAGCCCCCGTCGTTATCTGACAGTCTTACCATCTTATCATCTCTTTACTATACCCAAAGAGTGAAGAGAAGAGAACTTACCTGACCAGCCTTAACAGCTTCCCTCGCACCCTCCCCACTCTCAGGGACACACGTAGGCAGAACCTCCACCGTAGCATCATAATTCACACCGAAGAAAAACGGCACCGAGTACCGATTTTCGCCCGTCAGGTTCGTGACACGGTGGACGGTGGAGCGGAATTTCCCACCCGTCCTGTTGCTGGTTAGTTTCACTTTTCCGTGTACAAGCCTGATAATGGCTAGCGCATGCGAGGTTGGGAAAAGCAGACCAGAACGACATGAAATCCCCGACATTCACGACCAGTGTATCCGGTATCGGCGCTGCGGTGACCCACTGGTTACTCGAGTTGAGGACCTGGAGCGCGGGCACGGAGTCTTGGGAAAGGATAGTGAAGCATTCAAAGTCCTACAAAAGTCAGCAAGCATCTTCTTGGGCACCATGTATCTGACATTATCAAATCAATGCAGAGAGAGACGCACAGTATGAGCCTCAATGCCCGCCCTTTCCTCCCCCTGCACGGCCTGCGGCGGATAATGCAGAAGCCTCGACATACACCCTGGGAACGTAACAAACCCATCGAAATACCCCTCGTCCAAATCCAGCGCGAGCGCAAAGGTCCTCAGTAATTTCCTACTCAGCGCGAGGCAGGCCCGGAAATAGGCCAGATACGTCGTGCGGAATCCAGGGAGGACGCTGTCGTCGGGCCACTGGTTTCCGCCGTACAGCTCGAAGGGGTCGGAGGGGAGGATATCGGTGGATAGGGATTTCGACGGGTCCCCTGCGATCTCGTAGCCGATGTCGAAGGATTCGGAGAGGTTCGTTTGCGAGCCGAAGAGATCTTTGTCGCTGTGTTCGCCGGAGAGCGGGCTGTAGCCGTGGTAGCGCTGTCATTTCCATCAGTTTATGTGGCTGGAGGAGTGTGGATGGATGGATTAGGGAATTGACGTTGGATTTCCCAAGATAATACTCCATCTTCTTCTCATGCGAGAGCGCGAAGAACGCCTGGGCTGCCTCGTGCATGGCCCTTACGTTCTCGGGTGGGATGCCGTGGTTCTATGACTTATTCATAAGTCTCTCACTCACACTTTTAGTATATAGACAAAGAAGTATACCTTGATATAGAAAAACCCCACCCTCGTACACGCGTCATAAATCTCATCCGCGAGTGCGCGCCTACTCGCCAAGTCCGGGCTATCGAGGTTTGACAGGTCGATAATGGGGATGTTGGTGAAGTCGCCCGGGACAATCCCTTCTTGGACGGTGAGTTCACCGAAGTGTGTTTTAACTTTTGTCATTGTGTCAGTGTTACAGTTGACTGAATTGGTAGATGGCAGAAGTGATAAAGGGTGGTGGTGCGGTGGAGAAGTTGAAGTTGGGAGTTGGAGGTGTTTTGGATATCTTGTGACACCAAAGCCCCCGCATCTTATCAGGTTATCTTATCTTGAATACAGTATTGCCCGATATCCATCGGCTGACCAGATACGTGGGTTAGTGTACTGTTTTGTTAATTTCGAAATCTTTCCCTATTTGGAGGAATGGCATTGTCTCTACCTGGCTGAGCCGCTCCCTACCCTCGATGTGTCTGAGTCACATTGTGCCAGTTAGGCTAGGAACGTGGAGGCGTAGATTTGATGCTGGCGTTTGAATCTACGATGATGTGTAAATGCTCCGGTAGACAGCTGCTCTAGTACCTAATACAGCCGTCCTATCACAATCCGCGGTGTGGATCGCCCAGCCTACTAGAAAAAGGGGCACAACACGAGGCTCAACTGTCCCCTACTTGCCCAGCCACTTTCACCGAATCCCACCATGAAGCGACCCAAAAAGCTGACCGTCACGAAAATAGGCTGGAACAACCTACCCTGGGACATCCAAGTGTTGATATTCGGGGAGCTCACCGAACTCCCACCAGTACCTGAGTACTGGACGACATGTGACTGGTATTATGCGTGGAGACGGAGAGTCCGGCGGAAGCTGGACTGTTGGCCTCTACTACTGGTGTCGCGTGAGTCATTGTCTGTTGCCTGTGTAGCTGCTAAGCTAACATATCTAGGGTCATGGAACCAGGGTCTCCGACAGGCCATACTGGAGAAGAATCTGGCGGAGCGGATCGTCTACTGGATGGGTGAATCCCTCGCATTGGAAGCGATTCAACGCGTGATCAAGAAGGGCGGAATAGTCCGACAGGAGTGCCGACAGACGAAGTCGCTACAGAATGTTCCCTTCAATCAAGACGTTCAACCGATCGCCAGCACCTGCATCGTCGACACCTTATTGCTGGTAGCAACGATGCGAGCTCACGTCGTATGCATGAGACTTCTATTCGCCTACGGCGGCAATCCCTGTATTACACCGTCCGGAAGGGCCGAAAATCTCCTCAGCGTCGCCATATTCGCTCGAAGCATCGACGCCGTCAAACTGCTCATCGACGCTGGAGCGGACATTGATCGCGCGCCGCTTCAGAGCGAGTACCTCGAACAACGCACCAACACGCCGCTGGCCATCGCCATCCTCGAAGAACATATCCCGTCGGTAGAGTTATTGCTTCAACGCGGTGCCAATCCGAATGTCGCGATCTATGACGGCAATTTTGACGAGATTGTGGATGATCCATGGGAATTCGCGACACGGCATGAAGATCGCGGGAGGCCGCGACTGCTGGAGGTTTTCCTGCGCCATGGGTTGTTCCCTGATCGCTCACAGTATGAGCAAGGTCGTCATCCTGTTTTGCTTGCCTTGAGGGCGTTCAATGTTGAGTGTGCTGCGATTCTTGTGCGTACGGGCGCGGTTCCTGAGGATTACGAGGAGTATATCCAGTCGGACACTGATAGTCGGTTTCTGTGGGCGGCTGAAGAGGTTAGGAAGATGTTGAATGAATGGGAGCGTCAGGAAGCTCAAGCATCAAGAGCAAAGGGGAAATTCGGAGCCGTTGGTGATTGGATGCGGCGTATTCGCTTGAAGGCTGCACAGGAATGAGGGGCGGAAATACGGCACGGCGCGTGGACATCAGATCTTGGCATCGGCTTCGGTCCACCCCGCGTCTGACATCGGGCGATCGCGAATTCAATCCTCAGACCTGTTCTCAACTTTCTCAAAACACTCAAACCATGTCGCAAGAATCGCCCGCCAATCGGCCATTCCGAATTGGCACCCGCCGATCAAAGCTCGCTGTCGTACAAGCCGAAGGCATCCGCGACGCCTTGCAGAAGCTCGCCCCGCACCGAACGTTCGAAATCGAAGCGCTCCGCACGCTCGGCGACAAGGACAAGTCGACGGCACTCTACAGCTTCGGAGCGAAGAATCTATGGACAACTGAGCTCGAGGAGAAGCTCACATCCCGCGAAATCGATGTCGTCGTCCACTGCCTCAAAGGTGAGTACAGTCCCGCGACTCCGCCCGTTTGTCTCTTCCAACCTGAACTGATCGCTGATCGCCAGACATGCCAACCAGGCTCCCGGACACCTGCGACATCGCCGCTATCCCCCTCCGTGATGACCCGCGCGATGCCCTCGTCGTGAAATCCGGCCTGCCCTACACGAGTCTCCAAAGCCTCCCCGAAGGCGCCGTCGTGGGCACATCCTCCGTCCGCCGCTCCGCGCAGCTCCGCAACCTCTACCCACACCTCCGCTTCGCGAACCTCCGCGGGAACGTCGAGACACGATTAGCCAAGATCGATGACCCCAATAGCGAGTATACATGTATGGTCATGTCGGCTTGTGGGATGGAGCGGATCGGATTGCAGGGCCGGATCACGCAGTATATGGGATCGAAGGATGGAGGGATTCTACATGCTGTTGGACAAGGCGCGCTTGGACTCGAGATCCGGAAGGACGATCAGGAGACGAGGGAATTTATTAATCGGCTTGGTGATCGGGGTTCTACGCTTGCGTGCCTTGCTGAGCGCGCTCTTATGCGGGCGCTTGATGGCGGATGCAGTGTTCCAATTGGCGTGGAGACAGAATGGGTTGGGACGGACCTATTGCAGATTACAGGAATCGTCGTAAGTCTTGATGGAACACACACCGCGCACAGTGAGCTACGAAAAGAGGTCAAAACGGAGGAGGATGCCGTGTCTCTTGGGACAACACTAGCCGAGAAACTGGTGGAGGCTGGGGCGGATAAGATTTTGGATGAGATCAACGCGACCCGGCCGCCGAAGGAGTAGACGCTTCATTTTTGTACATACTTGATAGAACGAACATAGCATGATCGCGGGGGCTCAGGGGAATAGAAGCCTATCTGGATACGTCGGGACACTCCAGCTTTCGACCTGGAATTGGCCCCTAAGCGGGCGGTATCCCAGGACTTCCCTAGTGGTATGACGACACAAACCATTAATGATATCCAGCTGCTCCAACAGATGTAAACCAAACGCCTATCCCCCTCGGAGATATGCATATACAAAATCTCAACCCCAAATTCAATCCAACCCACTGCAGCCTCAATATGCCTTCACCGCTCCCCACAACCAGCTGCGTCTTCCGCCGCACAGACAACCACACCCCAGGCACCCCCAAAGTAACCCTGACCACAGAGCCCATCCCCTAACTAACCCCAACATCCCATCCAGAGTACGTCTTGTATCTAGATGTCTAACTTTCTCTGCTCCTCACCCTATACTGCAGTTCTGCCCTACGGTGGAAGAAAGGACGTGGGAATGAACCAAGGGACCGGCGGCGTCGCCGTCGCCCTCTTCGCCCTGCACCTCGCACGCGCCTCCCGGCTCAAAGTAATACTAAGCTCTTTAAGCGACGAGAAACTCGCCCGCATTTCCGCACAGTGTACCTCGCTTCAACTCCTCACCGTAAGTTACAAGACGAACCCCGACTGGCACGACGATGTCCTCCGTCTTACGGACGGCGACAGGGTTAAGTTATTTAAGTCGAGGGATCAGGCACACTTGTGCAGAGTATGTTGTGTACACGCCGTGGAGGGATTGTTTCCCCGGTTAGATACCTGGGCAGACAGGATCCAGGCAAGTTTGATGTTAAGAAGTTGTTGGGGTTTTAAATTAATTAGTAGGTTATTTTATAGTAATATTTCCTAGCTTAATATTTATACTATTAGCAAAGAGGTCCCTGGGCCATGACTAGCTAGTATTTAGGGGTATAAACATACGCTTAAAATAAAATCTAGAAAATCTATATATAGCCCTTAAGGCCACCTAGATACTAGTAATAGATATTATTAATTTAGCTAAGCTATTTAAGAAGGTAGAGGAGGCAATTAAATAAATTTAGCAGGGGAAACAGGTTGGGAAGGTTGTTTTGCGGATTTGAGTTTGGAATATCATGGTAGATAGATGTAATGCACGCAGGATATGAACAATCTTCGTAGGTGAAACGGCACTACACGCATCTTGAGAAGAAGAGGATTTGCAGTTGCAACATTGCTGCTCTACACCAGAGCAGTGAGGTCATGAGCGAATGTATCTAACAATGGAAGAGATCATTGTTTCCTACTAATGGGTAAGCGACTGGCTTTTATTCAGCCGACATGAATAAGCGCGCCTTGATCGACACATTGTGGATATGGTTGCTGACTTTACTCTAGGTTTCTTCTAGCTTGATACTAAAAAAAGAACCTATTTTTTGAATTGTGATGTTGAACAACTAGTAAGTCCTGTCCTATATGGTATCACAATTTTCCATACGACCGAAAATGTGTTATAACAACCAATCTAGTAACGCATTGTATGATGGCTCCAGAATAGGCATATTTCGGCTAGACATATAGACTTTGCTGTAAAAAGAAAAAAGCTATAAGATCTCACTCGGCGCGAAACTTTGCAATGGCGCCTAAAAGACTAACAGGTAGTCGAGAGATCCAAGACATATAGATTGTACTCCAAGTGGGACAATCTAGAGAACTCGTCTAAGCCCATCCCGAAGGCGCGAAAGCCATATGCCTCCCAACACCAGTATACCCAGCCTGAAAGCAAACATTGATCCTATCGCGCGTAGCGACCTCAATCCGTCCCCTCCAGCTAGAACCCAGCTTACCGTTGTATGCGGCCCACAATCTCGGCAGAATCCTGACATCCTGCGCACAGTACAGTATAATTTCCTCCGACAGGGGTCGGGCATTAAACACCTCATACGACCCACCGTGTTCTGGTGCAAAGAGGCCGCGTCCTTTTTCCTTGATATCTCTCCATGTTCTCGCCTCGGACCCGGACAAGACCGCATCCCTCTCGATGCACCGCGCAAGACCATTGATAAATCTTCGCGAGCCACTGCGAGTGGCAAGCTCGAGGAGCTGGATATCCTGAATGCCTGCGAGGTGGATACCGAAGTGACTATACAATGCATCGGAGTCGTTGCGGACGTCGAAAAAGGCTTTCTGAATAGTTTCATCCTCGAGAATAGTCTTTAGAGTTGTGCCGCTCGCGGAGAGGGTGGAGAAGGCAGAGGATCCGAGCGTGTGGATGTCGACTAGGTAGATCTCGTTCTTTGGTAGGAGGAAGATCTGCATTATGGAGATCGAGCCGTGGCGGGAGAGGATCATGCCTTCAAGGTCTATGTACAGCGATGGAGAGATGTTTGGGAGGTTTTCGAGGAGCTCGACGAGTTCGCTGATGCCAGCGGTGGTGTCGACGATCTTCGGAGGCAGGTCGGGCGGGCATATTGGGGGCTGAGCTGAGATTATAGCAGGAAGAATAAGTAAGGATTTCGAATCTTAGACGCTTCATACTGGCATGTACTGAGATCAAGACGGAGCTACATTTATACCCTCGACTTCCGATCCCATTCAAAAACACATAGCAAAGAGGGGAAAGTGGCAGCAGGCATTGCAGGAGCTCTTTAGGATAGAGAAAGACCATCACTGCTCACTTTGCAGCCCGAAATGCATAATGGAGCCGGAAACCCATAAGATCGGCCATAATTGAGGCCTACTATGCGCATAGCGACCAAAGTGCCGATTGGAGATAGACCTATTCTGCCCTTTGAGGGCTTTGAGGCGTCGTATACATCCAGTCAGATAGCACCATAGTCACTCAAAATCCACTTTGGAGGCCTACCACTGCGGTGTCCGTGCATTCGACCAATAATATATGCATATCCTCCGACTGTTCCATCGCGATGCAGGTGGAGCCTATTACAATCTAGCTCAAAGAGGAAAATTGAGGCCTACCATTTTTGCCAAGAAGCTATTCCCCCACATACCTCACAGCGACGCCGAGCCATAATCAACAAAGTTACTTAAGACGAGAAGTGTTCCCCGGGCAAGAGGATTCTTTGTTTCTTTCCTCCCACCAGCGGCGCCTCTCGCCAGAGGCTGCCTGCGCGCTCTTTACCACCACCAACTGCTGCTCAACCTGTTCTTTCATTCTTGCTTTGGTCTTGTCACTCTTTCTCCCCTTCAATTCCTTTATCTCATTCGAAAGGAAGCCGGCTCATCGGGCTAAGAGACTCGGGCCTCAGTAGCCCTACTATCACCGCCTCCACCCAGGATACCGAATTCGAATCACAGCTTCGTTAGCAGTCATCCAAACGAACATCATCATCAGCCGTTACTCGACTGCATTAACCCTGCGTGGTTAGTCATTGGGCATCGTGGACCCGACTGCGGATCTCCAGCATCTTTTCGATCTCTACAAACCTCCTCTCTCCCTCCGTATCCAAGGGGTCATTCCTTATCGCAATCATCTATCTCAGCGAATGGAACTTCGCTACCTAGACTTGGAGACGATGGCGAAGATCCTCTTTTCTCTTCTCCGACAGATCTCGAATTACCCCCGCAGCCTGGACCCTTACGCCCTTTCCCGTGCGATGCGTGTGAGCTCACCTTCTCCAAGCGCCATGAGCTCAAGTAAGTGGTCCTTAGCAAACTGGCTTAGATGTTGGGGCTACTAGGGAGAACTCCATAGCTAACTACCTCGCAGCCGGCACAAGAAGAGCCACGACAAGCCTTTCAAGTGCACGATCGACGGCTGCCCAGCAGCATTTGGGCTCCGCAAAGATCTCACACGGCATTGCAATACCATGCACGCGGACAAGCTCGAAGAGCCTACGCTCTACTTTTGTCATGTTCATGGTTGCAAGTTCGGCGTCCAGGCTGGACGCGGGTTCCCCAGGAAGGACAATCGCGATAGGCATCTTGCGAGCCATGCGCGGAAGGGTGAGCTTTAAATCACATAGTATCATGTCAGCTATACATTCCTTAGCAATATCAAACTCGCATATACACACGCCCTGCCACCACCCCCCCGCCCATGGTGGGAGTTTGTAAAAATACGCTGTGAGCTACTGATCGTCTAGCGATATGGAGTAGGACTGCTCAGGGGCATCCGTTTGATCCATCATAAGGTAAATAGCATCCAGCCCCAGGGTAGAGACTGCCTTCTGCGCCTCTTCGTTTACGCCGGAACGCGTGCGGCAAGTTGTCAAACGGGCTATCTTTCAAAGGCCTATGTCTATAAGTTCGGTAAGACAAGCACATCTTTACCTCTTCCTACGTACCTCTCAGGCAGCTTTAGCCACTTCAAACGACTAGTCGGACTACCTACATACCTACCACCCACCGACTAATATCATGTCCCTCCTCACCCTCCCACCGAACTCTTTCTCCGATCGGCACCGCCTGCTACACAATCGGAACCCACCAAGGCGCCTGAAGCACTCTGAACCACACAAACCACCACCTCCACGCGATCCTAAACCCGCCCCTCTACATCCACAACACAAACCACCACCGCAGCAACGCACTAATCTGGGCCTCTTAAGCTGGCCACGCAAGCATGGCATCAAATTCCCTAACCGGCGGCGACAGACCCCAACATCCTCGCCAAAATGGGGGGCTCGCCGCTGTACTGGGCAGGGAATCCAGGTCGATGGGGCGTTTGGTCCCGGGGCAGATACGACGCCGCCGCTTGTGCTGGCTGCGAGGCGGGAAATGGGCATGTGGATGTTGCTAGGCAGTTACTTGCGACGGGGCGCGTTGGGTCGGAAGACAAGAATGCGGCGCTGGCGGCTGAGCAATTGGCACCCATAGCTGCTTCGGGAGTTGTTAGCTGATTTGTCTGCGCTTCGATGATGCGGAGGGGCCTCTTCCTCTTGCGTGATGGGGCTTCCTGGACCATTTCGTCCGCACTGTAATTATGAGCGTGACATTAGGCCGGGATGTTGTCTCGTGGATTTCTGGCGCGGGGTGGGAGGTGATGAGAAAGTGAAGGATATGTTGTCTTCAGACTGGGACTTTGCCCTGAAGTAGACAAAGATAGTTGACACTGCACTGGCGTTTTTTTCTGCGCACTAAGATCTCAAACATATCGCAGGTTGGCCAACACCCCTGTGCAAGCCGCAGAAGCCTATTACTTATGTAGAGGGATCCAGGACCTTACCCATGGTCTCACAACACTTCGACCTCAGTATACTAACAATAGGTTCTTCTGTGTAAAGAAACTTGTGGACTCAGATCTGCTAGAGAACTTCAAAGGTATCAATCTATCGTACATCCTTGCCTCTATTTCGAGAGCAGGTATTAGCTGTGATAGGATTCTAATTAAGCAAGTCTTACATCTTGTACTGTATACCATAATAGCCACTCCACAATCCAGCAATAGCCCTTGTTTCAAACTAACCGATTTTAGTACAGAATCTTTGCTTTGTGTCCTTGCCAAGAATAATGTATAGTGAAACAATATACCTTTATATTTGGCAGCTTCCAAGGCCATGCCCCATTGTTGCCAATTCCTTATAACGAAACGTAAATGATAAGAACAAAAGTCAGCAACAACAACAACATTAACAACAACAAGGTATCAAAGACTCGAATAAAACAGCATTTGTTGCACAATCTCTTTGACAATCACTTCTTTATCCCGTTTTCTATATAAACCCCTCAAAAGTCCATCCTATCTGGAATCTCCAGGATAGGCTTGAGCAATCAAATCAACAAACATCCACCTCACCCACCTCGGCCTATTCATCCACCCTGTTCAAGCAATCCACCATCACCTCAACAAAAACATATCAACCATACATCTCCTCAGTTCTATCGAAATGGATCCCCGACCCACTCAAGTTCCCCAGGTCACTGCTCCCAACACGGCCGCAAAGGGAGGCGTGCCCCAGCCCATCACGACACGGCACTGTGGGAAATGCGGCCTGCCATTCACGGGAGCACCGAAGACTTGCCAGTGCTACAAGGAGTAGACTTGGCCACCTAATATCAGGTTTTGACAGATTTTAGGACCGGATTGGTCTTGTAGTGGAGACATTTTGAAGGCTATCTGGATTTATAGCTGAGTGTGCTTGATGTTGGTTGTTTTGCTGACTTTGTCCTTGGTTTCATAGATTTACGCAATCAGAATCTGTTTTCTCTGCTTTGACGATTGGAATTTTAGTATTAGTGGAAGTGATAGCTCTTCATCGTAGGGGGTAAAAAGGTATACCTGAGCTTCTACTCTAGATCGGCCTTCATTGGCTCTCAGAAATGGCTCCCTGCTTATTTTGCGTCCCAGCATGAGCGGCACGGGGCTGAACACGTCTATCTTAATATGCCAAACTACTATGTTGCCTCCATGCTAGCAAATGACCTGCGCCAATCGCCATTTCTTTGGTAGAAAAAATTCAACTCCTAACTGCGCGTGTTTGGGAGCAGGATTGACTACTATGGGATTATGTATGAGTATGCATAGAAAATGCCTACCAGAATTATACTGAACTTCTTGAGGAACGTATCAACATTGAGAAATTTCAAGATTCACTATAGCAGCAGATTACCAGTCCGGCATCTGCACATCAGGCCCAACAATTCCAGTCCTCTTCAAAAACTCAAACACCTCCGGACGACCCCTGACATGCTGTATCGCATCCGCTCGAATACGATGCGCCGACTCCAGATCCAAATTCCCCACATCAATCAATCTCTGGGCAATTCCCAACTTCCCCAACCACACTGCTTGCATGAACGCGGATCGCCGGGCCGTGCGATCGAATTCCTCGCGCACAACAAGCTTCTCGAACATCTCGTCTTGCCCCTTTTGGACGGCAGCTGCAAGTAATGAGGTATAATCCTCAATCCACCTTCCGAGCGGCACACCCGGCTTGCCGAAGAAGTAGTCGAACATGGGCATATCCCCTTTGCATATGCTGGTAAGCACACAACCGTGGTAGATGATCTCCAGCTCTGTCTCGCTTGCCACTCTTCCCTTGGTATCCAAGAGCTTGATTATATCTAATCTGGCGAGAGAGGCTGCTATTGAAAGAGGACTGTCAAGCGCGTTCGCCGCCGTGATGACAGTCTCCGGCTGCGCCAGCAGGAACTCAATAATCTCTATATTTTGGGCTTCGACCGCGTAATATATCGCATTCTTGCCTCCTCCTCCGCGTACACCACCGCCGCCTGTCTTGCATGTTTGCGGTAGCCGAAAGAGGTACTTGACCAGGTCGACGTGGCCAGCCGATGCTGCAATGTCTAGCGGCGTCATACCGCGCTTCGTGGGGGTCCGCGTCGTGGCATTTGCGTTGACGCCGTCCACACGCGATACGAACAGCTCGACGAGTGGAATGCTCCCCGTGCGGGCGGCCTCGTGGACCGGGTACTCGCCTTGGACGCCCGGCGTGTCGGGGCAATCAACATCGCTGTGGGAATCCCATCGGGCGAGCAGCCGATTGACTGCGCAAGTGTGCTGGCCGCGGATCGCCAGGGCCAGTGGACTGGGAAGAACAGCGCCTACCAGCCCCGGCGGCGGGTCTAAGCGGGCCTGCGAAAGCAGAAGCTGGAGCATGGCGACGTCGCCTTGGCCCGCGGCGGCTAGGACGGCCAGGGCGTGGGACTCGTTTTGCGACAGGGTGGCCTTGTATCGGGCACGAGTGGCACGGTTCTGAACGGTGCCAGCGACGAAGTCTGCGTAATACATGTCGACGTCGTGCAGGAGGACTCCGGCGATGGCACGCGTGTACTGTCTACGTGTGGATTGTGTAACTTGCTCAGTCGTATTCGGCAAATTGCACTTGGCTTCGACCGCATAGTCGGTCGCCTTATTAACCGCAAGCACCATGAGCTTCCCATCTGCGCTGTCTCTATTCAGTACTTGGTGGAGGAACTGCAACCTCATGATCCCGTAGCGTAGTCCCCAATCCCAGGGGCCGAGAGGAAAACGGAGTATTTCCTGCGTGACGCAGCGATTCAATTGTCCTGATTTCGCATATCTTAGTGAACCGACCACTCATTGGTCCCGAGGGTCGGGGCTTGGGATGAGCTGCACTCACGGCAGACGCATCGTAACGCCAGGAACTGCTTTGTAAGGACGCCGCCCCAGACTTCATCGAAAATGGCCCGGATTATGCTATGGAGAAGCTCGGGGGGTAAATTCCCGAACTGAGCCATGGAGAGTGCTCTATTGCTTTCTCGAACTATTCTCAAAAGTCTGGGACGGTCGCACCTGCCTACTTTTCGAAATTTATCTCTTTCGCAGTGTGGGGCGTTTCTGTCCAGGCATCCGCCGCTTGTTGCCTGCCGTTAGTTGGGAATATGCTATTTGATTGGGAAAATCCTCTAGTACCAACCATGCATCGATATAATTTCCTCAGATAGGAAAGTCTATGAGCCTCCTAGCTGAGAGTTCTCAACTTTCCAGGACAAGCCGCAAAATTACTTGTTTTCCACTTTTATAAGGAGTTTTTTTTTTTCCCATGCGGCAAGCATCAATTTTGTTCTGAGTGAGGAGTTTTCATCAAGATGGAATAGTCTACATGTAGTATATAGTTGCACTACTGATCCAACGCCTGCGCCTGGCACTGCACGAAGTTAGCAAACAACCCGACCACCACAACACAAGACACAGAAAAGGAAACGAAAGAACATACCATCTGCCAGTACGCCCCCCTCAATCTCAACAACTCCGCATGCGTCCCCTTCTCCAAAATCCTAGAGCCCATCCCCGGCCCCCCCTCCCCAAAAACAAAAATAACATCCGCCTTCTGCACCGTCGCCAGCCGATGCGCAACAGCCACAATCGTCAGCTCGCGCCGTCCCGCCAACCGTTCCATCGCCTGTTGGACAAGCTTCTCACTCTGCGAGTCCAGACTCGACGTTGCTTCGTCGAGGAGGAGGAGGCGCGGGTTACGGAGGAGGGCGCGCGCGATGCATAGGCGCTGTTTCTGCCCGCCGCTTAGTGACGCCGAGGCGTTTGTGCCGAGTTCCGTGGCGTAGCCGTCCGGGAGGGAGGTGATGAATGTGTGGATCTCGGCGGAGCGGCAGGCGGAGATCATGCGTTCTTCCAGATCTTTGGTGTCCGCGGCATCGGTGGAGGTGGGTTCGATGCCTAGCAAAAGGTTTTCGCGGATTGTCCCGTTAAACACCTTTGGTTCCTGCGCGACGAGAGAGATACTACGGCGGTATGCCGCTAGGTCAATTGTGTCGATGGGTTGTCCGCCGAAGAGGATTGTTCCTTGTGTAGGTTCGTAGAACCGCTCGAGCAGCGAGACGACGGTTGATTTGCCGCAGCCCGAAGGTCCCACCAGAGCAACGAATTGGCCGCTTTCGATCTTGAGGTTCAAGTCTTGGAACACAGGCGCCGAGCGCGTCGCGTAGTTGAAGGAGACGTTGCGGAATTCAATGTCTGTTGATGTGGGTGTGAGTTCGCCAGACGGCGTTACGTCCTTGGGGGCATCTTCTGCAGGGGGGGAGGGTGAGTTGGGCGTTTTCCTCGCCTGGAAGATGCGGTTCGCAGACGCTTTCGCCTGCGCGATATTCGGTCCAAAGCTAAAGAACTGACCAGCGGTCTGCCCACCTTGGATGATTGCAATGTATACGACGAAGAACTGGACCATGTCGTACTCCCTCGATGCGAGGAGTTGACCGCCGTACCTAGCTCAAATCAGCACTCCATGACGCCACTTCAGATACGCAGCAAGGACAGCCACTTACCAAAACGTCAAAGCCATCGCGCAAAAGTCCACACTATCCGAAAACGCAAAGATAAGCGTCGCATACCACGCCTTGCGCATCGACTTGGCCCTCTGTTCTGCCAGTAACCGCCCATACCTACCCAGGATATACTCCTCCATCGTAAGGGCAGTGACCGTCCGGAAGGCGCGAATCGCCTCCGCAGCAAACTGCGAACTCTCCGCATACACCTGCGCATTCATATTCTCAAACTGGATCTCGTACCGGATCCGCATAAACGCTGCAAGGAAGATAAACGGGAGAGCCGCGAAGAATGCAACCGCTGCGAGTTTCCAGCCGAAGGAAAAGGAGACTGCCACGCAGCCTACGACTGTGAAGATTGAGACCAGTGGGAAGACTCCGTTGGGGCCGAAGAGTTCTTGCAACTGTTTGAGGTCGCTGGATAACCGGCCGATGAGGCTGCCAGAAGCGTTGTTGCCTTCGTCGAAGAAGGGGATTGGTTGGCGGAGGATGCTGCGGAAGTAGTCTTTTCGGTAGAAGGTTGTTATAAACTTGGAATTGTTAGCCGGCGGCTTGGAGTAATCGGTAGTGGTCATTGGAAAGGAAGAAGGGACGTACTTGTGAGATCACAACAGCGCTGAATCCGAGGGTAAAGTAGCAGACCGCGACACAGAGCGCAAGGACGAAAAACATAAGAGCCCAAAAGTCCGCGGCATCTGCGAGCTTCTGGCCTGTGAATTGAAATACCTCGATGAGTTTCGCGAAGAGGTAACTTTGAACGGCATACGCGGCTTCTCAAGGTCAGTGTGGGCATCTTTTTTGGAGGGAGTTCGTCTTACCGCCGGCCCCCATGGCCGCAACCATGATGATGCCATATATCCACCAGTGACCCCGCTGCTCGCGAGCGAGAACGCCAAGGGCTTTCAGGATACCCATGTCTTTGGTCTTTGTAGTCTTCTCTTGGGCGTCGTCGTCTACCTTAACTTCGTCCTCAACAATGGCAGATGCGTTAAGGGTCTGAGGATGCGCCTCGTCCACTGCAATCCCATCGCCAACCTCCGACAGCGGGTCAAGCTGTTGAGCATGAACAAGGCCATGATACACGCTCTGAAGTGCGAGGAGCGACTCATGCGTGCCTTCTTCAACGTTCGTGCCATCCTTGAGTACAATAATATGATCCGCCTTCCGAACAGTAGACAGCCGATGCGCAATCATGATCGTCGTTCGATCTTTCGAAACACGCTCTAACGCAGCTTGTACAACTTTCTCACCACGGACATCAATCGAGCTCGTTGCTTCGTCTAGCACGAGGATCGGAGGCTGGCTAACGATTCCTCGGGCAATCGCAAGTCTCTGGCGCTGCCCGCCGCTGAGTGTAATCCCGCCTTCGCCGACAATGGTCGAGTAGCCCTAACCAAACCATGTTAGCAGAGACACATTGTAAACTTCTAGGCAACGTCATACCAAAGGCAAGCGCTGCACAAACTCGTCCGCAAACGCCTCCTCGCAAGCCTGAACAACGAGCTTCTTCTTCACCTCCTCAGTCCCCGCCTCCCACTGTGATCCAATAAGCCCATAGGCAACATTATTATATATCGTGTCGTTAAACAAGAACGGCTCCTGCTGCACGAGCCCGATTTGTCCTCGCCACCATTTCAGGTCCAGGGAGTTGATGTCGCGGTTGTCGACTGTAATCTTCCCCGCCGTCGGGGCTTCGCTTTTCTCCGAGTCCTCGGAGGATGATGGGGGTTCAAGCTGATACCACCTCTCGACAAGGGCAACAATCGTACTCTTCCCCGACCCCGACGGCCCAACGAGCGCCGTCGTTTTCCCCTGCGCGAAGCGCGCGTTGAAGGCCCTTAGCACGGGGACTTCGGCGCGGGTGGGGTAGGCGAAGGTGACGTCTTCGAAGACGATGTCCGTGTGCGCGGAGACGTCGGGGTCCTTCAGTCCGGCGGACGATGGCCGTTCCGAGTCGATGACGGAGAAGAAGGACCCCGAGGCGCTGACGGCTTTTGTGATTGCCATTAGCGGGCTGGCGATGTTGCCCATGATCGTTACGACGATTAGGACGGAGAAGAAGACGCTGTTTAGTGAGATTAGTTGATTAGCCATATTGCCGACACATTCAAAACGCATGATGCGAGGGAGTAGAAAATCTGGAGGAAATGGACATACGTAATAACAGTCCCCACATCCGGAATGTGCCCATCACGGTACAGTTTCAACCCGAACCAAAACGCCAGCGCGAAGCTCGCGTACATGCTGAAGAACAGGAGAGCAAGATGGATTCCCGTGACGAGGGCCATCCTCGTCCCGCGGCGCCGAGCCTCCTCAACCCATTCGGCATATCTCTGGGATAAAGAGGCTTCGGCACCAAGCGAGAAGACCGTCCGGATCGAACTAAACACGTCCGCAGCGATACTCGCATGCTTCTCATCGGCAAGATCAACGTCCCGTTGACCGCGAACGAGAATCGGGACTGTCAAGCTGAACCCCAGTACGACGAATAATATCGCCGAACTAACGACAAGCGTCAGTGCCCACGAGTATCGGAAGGCAATCGCGTACGCGGAGATGAGGAGGGCGATCGCTTGGAAGAGGATGGCCAGTCTGTCGGAGACGCTCTGCTGCATTGTGTTTGACAGGCCGGTTATGGTGTTTGTTACGGTTCCGACGGAGATTTCGTCGAGTTTGCTGACGGGTTGGGCGAAGAGAGCTTGCATGTATTGGAGGCGGAGGGCAGATGAGGCTTTTAGGCTTATCATCCGGAAGGAGAACTGGGTTTATTGTTGTGAGGGGTTGTTCGGTTACAGGTTGGGAGGGGAAGGATGGCTTACCATGGAGACGTAGGTAAGGACGAATCGACCGATGAAGAGGTATACGATAAACAAGCTATGTCCAGGTCAGATCAACTAAACTCATATGTCGCTGTCTGATGCTCACCTGCTCCTACTAACGGCATCCTTGAACTCCTCCTCGGTGGTATCCGAGCCGGGAATAAAGTACTCATTGAAATCGCCAACGAGGTCGCCAAAGATAATATTCATAAGCGGTAGAGTCTAGACAAGAGTCAGAACAAACCCTAGTCTCAGGATCTATCACGGTCGTCGTACAGTTCCAGACGCCATCGCGCATCCAAGCGCCACGATCATAAGCAGCCAGCCATAGTTGCCGGTGCCGTAGGCGAGGATTCTCTGCAGAGAAAGTCAGAAATTCGAAGGAAAAAAAACCTATACTACTTGTGATGAGCCTACCATATAGCTCGCGAAAAACGGAGTCTTGACTTGATCCTCCGCCGCAGCGGCCTTGTTGTCCTCCTCCCCATCGGCGGGTGGATCCGCCGGCGGCTCAGGGCGATCAGCAGCCTCCGACACCTCAGGCTCAATCTTCGACGGCGTGGACGACTCAGCCATAACGTATACTTGCAACAGGGTCCTGGTAGGGCACTGTACAACGGAGATTCAATAAGCGAGTGGATGAAGCGCAGTTCCAGTTCGACACAGCCACACCGAGGCGGCGCGATGCGATCTGGCCCCTTTTATTGCAACCTGTGCCAAAGCCACGCAATCGAGGCTGACACCCCCTTGGCACCCATCATCTCCAGACTCAATCAAGGGGCAAGGCAGACACCGTTACCTAAGCTGACACTTACGCATCCTCCAATCGTGGAGATGGAATTTGCTCGGATGGAAGCGAGGCCCCGGTCTGGCGCCTTGGCTCTCGTATCGCCCTGGCTGGCAGTACGAGTAAACTCCAGTGCCTACAGAGCTATAAATATGGCTCGGCGCTTTGACCATACACAGACTGAGCTGGATGAAACATTGGCACGCAAAAAGGTCGCGAAATCCAAAGGCTATTCCCGAAATGCACTTGGTATATGCAATACCCCGCGCTAAGCAGGAAATGGTGTAATATTTGTAAACGAGGTACTGTATTATTACCCATGTCCCTATTTGTATCTATGCAGCGCCAGTGGATTACGAGCCCGAGGCAGATTTCACTATAGGAGGTGGAGTAGGTGACGACCTGCGAGAGAGTGTTGGATGGCTGGCTGGTTTCATTAGTTTGCGCGATTTTGCATTATCGGGCTCACTGTTCCTTTGGGTGTCAATTAGGACAGGGTTCCGAGCAGGTCACTATATCGTTGCGGAGACGAGACACGTGCCAACGACGGGCAACAAGTGTCAGTAGGCGCCGATCGAGGTGTATACTTTTTTTGTTCCGCGTATGCTGAGCCCCAAACTGACCGGGTCTTTTGTTGGACGCATTGAGCCCAACTGGTGATCCATACTGGGTGAGGGGGAGGGCATGCGCGGCCCTCAACGAGAGTATTCGAGTCTATCCAAGTGAGGAGATTGCCAGACAATAATACCGCAACACTAGTCTCAGGGGCTGTTCGATTACTACTCGCATTCTCGCCATGTACCAGACAGGTCTCACCTGGCGTGCTTCTTTTTCCCTTTCAAGAAAAGCCGCATCTATCATTATCCACCAATGTAGCCAGAACCAAGTGCCGTTAGCGCCTCTCAAGACCCACGGTTCAGCCTTACAAGGCCGATTTCCAATACACCTGCTTTAAAGACCTTGTATCACGTAGAAAGGTCCTAATAGTGCTAAAAGGTCAATTCTTAACACTGAAGCGATATCCGAACGTCTCCTTTCGAGGTGTAATCGATTTCTGCAGGTTAGGTTTCGTTTTTAGCTAGTAGAATCACAAATATATACATATATATATGTTTTTTATGTGGGTGGTTGATCAAAATCGATATAAGCAAACCCTTGCTTTCAGCAACGGGAAGACCAGTTTTATTTAGTTGCTTATAAGCGAGTTTCACTGTACTATTGGTTCCCTCGCTCTGGGAAAGAAAAATCTATTCTCGATCTCCAGTACCACGCAGCCTAATCATCACATGTACCTATTTCGCACTGGGAAGGATGCGTTGGTTATGGGGAGTTCGTATTGGGTACGGGTTGTTAGAAATGAAGAGGAGGAGGGGGAGGGGGAGTTTTGGAGGGTTCAGCATCGCACGCTCCAGTCGATGTGGGTGGATGGCGAGTGGTGGATTCTAAAGGGTTGACGTGCAAGGCTGGAGAGGGGGAATCTCGCTTGGCTCCAGGGAGGATTGGGTGAACTCAAACATGGACCAATTTATTGTTCCCACTTTGCGTGCCTATCTGACCATCACACCGTGAACCCTGCCCAACTCCAGCTTAGTAGTAATCAAGCGAGTTCCATTATGTACTGTCACAGTGGGCAGTGAAAGCGCTTTGCATGTGTGGGGATATGCACCCGCCCGAGTATTTAGTGGGAGGAAAATGCTCGATCATAAGAAGGTTACGGCCAAAGATTTATATCTATAGTCAAAGGTACCAAGTACAGAAAGTTATCTAAGCGTGCATCTCCAATTGGAGGCGCCAAGCGCCGCGTCGGCTAAAAACGCATCATATCCCACCACACCCCTTGACAGATTCAACCCATCACGTCTAGCTAAACCATCTCAGCAAACAGCTGCGCCGTGTAAAATCGCCATCCAATGCCTGCCAAGCGCAAGTCAAGGGACGATGAGGCGGCAAATTTGGCCCCCAAAGTGGCCGTCAAGGAGCATCGTGAGCCGCTCGGCGACATTGAGAAAAAGGCCGAGCTCCTCGCGGAGCAGATCAGGGGAAGCAAGCATTTCATCATATTCACCGGAGCTGGTATCTCGACCTCGGCAGGTAGATGCACTAGTGACATTAGCTCTTAAAGACAACAGTTTGAGTCGCTAACCAGGCCTCTGCAGGAATCCCCGACTTTCGTGGACCAGACGGGAACTGGACGCTCAGGGCGCAGGGCAGGCCTCGCACCACGCACGCGAATACACTAAGCGCTGTTCCTACGCGAGCGCATATGGCGCTCGTCGAGCTGCAGAATCGCGGAGTTCTAAAGTACCTCGTTAGCCAGAACTGCGATGGGCTCCATCGACGAAGCGGGATTGAAGCTGTACGTGTTTTCAATTTCTCTGGTGGCCGAGTCTGACAGGTCTAGCACAACATATCTGAGCTACACGGAAATAATACCCGCGAAGTATGCAAGTCGTGTGGCAAGGAATACATTCGAGGTATTTTCCGTATATTTAGTTCTCGATGGTTGGTCGTCTTATCACTTGCATAGACTACCGCGTCTCGGGCTCGCAGCCAGACCACAACGATCATCGAACAGGCCGCCGGTGCCTCTGCGGCGGGATTCTCCACGACACAATCATTAACTTTGGCGAAGGCCTACCCGAGAAGGATCTTGGACTCGCCCTTGAGCACGCCAACAAGGCCGACCTGTGCCTCGTCCTGGGCTCATCAGTCAGCGTGACGCCGGCCTGCACGATCCCCGAGACCGTCGCGTCGAGGAAAAACGCAAAGCTGGCTATATGCAATCTCCAACCAACGCCACTAGACGACGACTGCGACCTGCGTATATTCGCCGAAGCAGACATACTCATGACGAAGGTCATGGAGAAGCTCAACTACACTATCCCACCCTTCGAGCTTCGGCGCAACCTCCTCGTGAAAATCGAAACCCCCGTCGAGGATATGCACAACATCACACTGAAGGGCATCGACGCAGATGGAACGACGCCCATGTCGTTCATCAAAGCAGCCGGCGTGGAAGGTTGTAGGCGGTTCGCGCGCGCGGAGCCGTTCTCCCTGAACCTTCGTCGGCATTTGCAGCCGGGGCATGCAGAGTTGAAATTGACGATAGAGCTGTTTGGGCACTATGATGAGCCATACTTGGAGATCACGCATGATTATGCTGGTGATGAAATGGTGATGTACAGCCTGAGGTATAATCCGTTGGTTAAAGAGTGGATTGCGAAGCAGGAGGAGCTTGGCCCTGGTATGGAAAAGTTGTTTGATAGGTAGCTGTGAGTATTCTACCTAGGCCCCTTGGATTGAGAGCACAACCAGCGCTTTTCCACCAACTATACCAGCAGCTCAACTCCCATGGGATACGAGCTGGCTGTCCGTAAGCAGTATAGGGTTCTTGGCACCGCTTCCATCGTTCGCTGGTGCGTCCTTTAACCAGCGCCTAACTCCGTTTATCTCCTGGCCTCAGCCGCACCTCAAATTTCGACCATCCCAGATCCCCCCTTTAACATCCCCCACAACTCCATCTTGCAGACATTCAAAACCCAATCTCCAACGCCCCGCCAGAATGAAAATAATAATCGCCGGCGCAACCGGCTACATCGGCCAAGAACTCCTCACGCAGTCCCTCGCCCACCCCTCCATAACATCAGTCGTCGCGCTCTCGCGCCGCGACCTCGACATCACGCACAACAAGCTGCGCGTCGTGCACATGAAAGACGCCGACTTCCTCTCATATTCCGACCCCCAAATCACCGAGGAATTGAAAGGCGCTTTCGCGTGTCTTTGGGCGATTGGAATCCGCCCTTCGCAGGCGCGGGATGAAGTTAGTGCGAAGAGGGTCTGCGTTGAGTTTACGGCTGCGGCGGCGAGGGCGTTTCAGCGCGCGTATGCGGACTCGGCGTCTGTGGTCGAGACCAAAGCGGGGGCTGGGGCTGGGGCTGAAACTCGCGAGGCCGCGACAACATCGAACTCGGGCGGCAAGCCGCCGTTTCGGTTTGTGTATATCAGCGGTGCCGCGATCGAGAGGGATCAGAGTAAGAGTCTGTGGTATTTGGGGAATTATCGACGGATGAGGGTGAGTTCTAACACGACATTGCCACTATATCTCAGCTTCCCAACCCCAACATGTGTGATATGTTCTAACCGGCACAGGGCGAGGCCGAAAACGTCCTCTTCGCACACGCCGAGGCGAATCCCGGGGTCTTCGAAGCGTACGCCATGCGTCCCGGTTTGGTCCCGTCGCTCGACGGGACGATCCGAGACCGAATCTGGAGTTTGTTTCCGTCTGCGAGGAAGGATTTGCTGGCCAAGGCGATGATTGATATTGCGCTCAAGGGGCACAAGAACAGTACATTTTCCAACCAGGCGATTAGTGAGTGGGGGAGTGAGCGTTCCTGAGGGGTGAATGGAATGTAACCGATCTAGCCTAGTGGCGCTCTCATTACTCGATATGGGCACTCTGTGGGATGAGACGGATCAATGGGTTGGATTTAGTATTTGTGGCTTAATTATGACTGATCACCTATTACTAGTAGAGCGTTTGATTTAGTCTCCCAATGAAATGGCATCAATCAGACCGTTGGGCAGTGAAAGCCCGGAGCAGAAGGCTGGGTGCCTATTTGGTCAAGGTCTTTGCGAATTTTCCTAGTACAGAAAAGCCTAGGAAGACGATTGGTGGAGTACGTTCTAGACCAAATTGCTTGTTCTCCTGCATGTGTCTCATGTTACTCTGCACTGTATGCTGGACCACTGCGATATGCGCGGCGCTAAGGACCTAAAAGCCGGGTTGGAAATCTACACAGGGCCGGTCGCTATCTGGACACAACAGCTGCACTAGCGATGAGTGCCACTACCCTGTAAGTATAGCGCTATATACAGGGCTATACTCCGGTCTTAAGCCGCACGCGTGGGAAAATTAACGCAAGAACCATGCTTCGCTGGAATCGGTACAAGAGCCTCTGCAGGATAAATAGCACTGGTACTGTCCACAGTCCGTCTGCCAGGATCATAATTTCCCATCATCATCATTTCCCATCATCATCATCATCATCATCATCCCCGCCTCCCGCCTTAGACAACAAAAGGCAACCCTAACGGCCAACATAATGACGGCGAACACAATGAAAGAAGCCCTCGTCCACCGCGACCTATCCGTGACAATCCACAACGCCCCCATCCCAACCCCGGGTCCCTCCCAGCTCCTCATCCGCGTGGTCACCTGCGGCCTGAACCCCAAGGACTGGAAGACCCCCGTCGAGATGCTTGCCGACGGCGCCCCGCCCACAAACCAGGGCGACGATATTGCCGGGTATGTTGAAGCAGTCGGCAGCGATGTGATGGGGTTCCATAAGGGTGATAAAGTCGCTGCGTTTCACCGGTTCATGGCGCCGCACGGCGGGTATGCGGAGTTTGCGGTTGTGGATGATTTTGCAACGTTTCATATTGCCGAGAAGACGAGTTTCGAGGGTGAGTGGATGTTTCTAGTCTATCCATGCGTTTGAGAGACTCGGGAGGCTGACAAGATGGCCCGGAAAGAAGCAGCAACAATCCCCCTCGCCGCAATGACCGCCGCCCTCGGTCTCTACCAGCACCTCCGCCTCCCCCTCCCCTGGAACCCAACGACCGAGCCGGCGCCACTGATAATCTACGGCGGCGCAACAGCCGTCGGCGCATTCGCACTCAAATTCGCGCGCCTCTCCAACATCCACCCGCTCATCGTCGTCGCAGGAAAAGGCATCCCCTACGTCGAAACCCTGATCGACCGAGCAAAAGGCGATATGATAATCGACTACCGCGAGTCCCCCTCCACACTCTCCACTCGGATCCGCGAAGCGGCCGACGGCAAGCCGATTCGGTATGCGTACGACGCCGTCGGCGAACACGGAAGCCACGCGCATATTGGCGGAGCCATGACCGCTCCCGGCCACGTCACGACGATGGATCCGAACACGGAGTACGTGCTTCCGCAGGGGATTACGATGAGCTGGACGATTGGCGGATCCGTGCACCTCCCGCCGAAGGAGGGGATGGCGGTTGGCGATGGGGAGTTTGCAAAGGCCATGTTGCAGTTTATGGGGAGGGGACTTGCAAAGGGGTGGTTTTCGGGACACCCGGTTGAGGTTCGGCCTGGGGGGCTAGCTGGGATTGAGGGCGGATTGAAGGATTTGAAGACCGGCAAGGCTTCGGCGGTCAAGTATGTTGTTAGGATCGGAGAGACGGAGGGGGTTGTGCAGAGAGATTGAGGCTGGAGAATTGGATGGGAAAGAGGAGGTCTGTCGCTGGACCCTGGCCTATTTGTCTGCCGAGTTTCCGAGCACCAATGTAGGTGCTGCTTCTGCATAGCTCAATTTGTAGTTGAAAACTTGAAATCGACCTACTCTTTCAAAAGAGACCCGCTTTTCGCAGCATTGACTGGTTCCCGAGGGTCATCGGTCAATCTGATGGCCATTTCCCGTATCATCGTCGTTGAATATCACAAGTGAGTCCAGCTGCCTATTACACTCTTCTGTCTTGTCCCAAGAAGCCTCTTTTAAATTTAAAACTGCCATGCTACGATATCCCATTTGGGCGATCCCGCACTCATGCTATATTAGACTAAGTCTAAAACTACTACTAGCTAGCTCAAGTACCAAGGGATGTAAAAGAGTCTATCTCACAACGTTTTATAAATATTACAATCAACGATATGCATCTCCGGTGTGAACGCGCACCTTGCCTTCTTGCACTTATCACCGAAAGGACAGCGGTGTCCATGGATGCAGTTTGGCTTTCGGCAGTCGAATCCCAAAGCACAACATCTTAACCGAGAGATGTATAACATGTCAAGCTTCTGCTGTCGGGTCCACGCAACGTCGCGGTGGATGTACCGGCATCGGTCAGTCTCTTTAGCTTGACAGACTCCCAGAAGAATGAACTCATTGCACAGCTTCCTGCCCCTCAGCAGAGAAAGCGTCTCTTTCTCCGAGTGAGGAATTATGCTATCAACGCGCTGGTCCTGGCCATTTAGGTGCACACGGAAATGCTCCTCCACCTTTTCGACTGTGGAGTAGCGGTTAAGCGAGGATGGCTGTGGTGCTCGATCCGGAGAGACACTGCTCAGGGGTGCTGCTTCATTCGAGGTCTGGGGTACAGGTGACATGGAGACGTTGTTCAACTTGGTGGTGACAAAGGCGCCCGCAACAGTACGCATCCCTGGGGGAAACGATTGCCCTTCGACTGGGGGGGAGGGGTTAAGTGAGGATGGCTGTGGTGCTCGACCCGAAGAGACACTGTCCAGGGGTGCAGCTTCATTCGAGGTCTGGGGTACAGGTGTCATGAAGACGTCGTTGAACTTGGTGGTGTCAAAGATGTTCGCAACAACACGCATCCCTGGGGGAAAGAATTTTCCTTCGACCAGAGTGATGGCTGGGTCTCCTCTGAATCGAAAGAGGATACCGGCATGCTTATCATTCCCGGATCCGCAAAACACAACGTGACGGCAGTGCTTGTTATTATAGTCATGGCGTAAAACGGCTGCATGTAGGGAGAACAACAGTTAGCACGTCAGATACTGGCGGCAGACCGAGGGTACATCATACTATGTAACTTGTCCTCGACCTTTTCGTGCCCGCCACCCACATCGACAAAGTTGGCCAGGCGATTACTGTTGAAGCCTCGTATGAACTCTGTCAGGAGAGAAGCACCGTACAGTGGTTGTAGTTCATCCTCATTCGCACACACGAGTATCCTGCAAGTGGTTTCATTGCCTAAGGAGGGGTCTTTGGCTCTCAGGTATTTGAGAGTCTCCCGGGCGAGGAGATAGACAGCTTGATTACCGCCATCAAAGCCTTTCCACAGTAGCTCGTTCAGGAACTAAGTACATTAGACAAAAAAAGGTGCGCACAAGACAGCCCACCACAATCACCAGGTGTACTTACATGCATACAGGTCCCATCGACGAGGACAGACACGTAGCAGAACTCACGCTCCTGGGCGAATTATTAGAGCCCTATGGTTGTACAGCGGGGCTGTAACCGCGTACCTTGGTGTGGCCCATCCGGTCGAGCTGCCTTTGCTTCTCCTCCAGCGCCCTTTCGAGCTGATGAATCCGCACTGTTTGGCCTAAGATTCTCGCGGCGGATGCATTGATCTTGCCTTGCTGGTCGTGCAACCCCTCGAACATGTCCTTTGTGAGACGCACATTAGAAACCGACCGGATTCTGGTCACTGGCTTTGTACTCACCTCGACAATGGGATACGGGTTGCGTGCGTTTTGGAGTCTCCATCGAAGCTCGCGCACATAATTCGGGAAACTTGGTCTAGACATTATGAAATAGTGGTGATAAAATGACGGGACGGTAAAATAATAGTGAAAAGAGCGACGAATAGATTTGATTAGCGTGGAAATGAGGATGCGAGAGAAGAAAGATGCAATTGACATGGTAGAGAGACGCGGCTGAAAACGAGCATCTTGAGTCTGTGCAAGGAAGCTGCGCTGCTACTACTGTTGGGGAAGGAGCGATGATTGTTCTCGAAGCCTCGTACGCTACCTCCAGTATACATCTGATCCTCTCTCTGCCCCACGATCAAGATCTGCTTCTCGTCAACGCCCGCTCCTCCAGCCATATCACAGCTGTGATACCCACGTACACCTACAACTTCGCCGCTCCCGCCTCCCCAAACACGCCCGCAACAAACCCTCTAGTCTCACGCACAACCTCCTCCGCCCCCTGGACTCGCCTCACCAATCCAATCGCCGCCCCCGCATACGTCGCCGTCCGCCCCTCCGGCCCCCAGGCCTCATCGCCTCTCTTAACAGCCTCATCATGCGCCTCTTTCAACTCCTCAAAGCTCCGTCCAGCCTGAAACTCCACAAACGACCGATTGATGATTGTCCGCGGACTATACTCCTCCGGCCAGCCAAACGTCCCCCGGAGATGGTTATACAGCTGCGTTCGCGTGGTCGATGCCCCGCCCTCTGAAGCACGGATAATTTCGGCCTGGTACCCGTGTGCGATGCGCGCTTCGTGTGTCGCCAGGAACCGCGTGCCCATCGCAACCCCCGAAGCACCGAGCGCGATCGCTGCAGCTGCACCGCGCCCATCTGCAATCCCGCCTGCGGCCACGAGTGGAATGTCCACGCCCCTCGCAGCGAGTACATCTGCAATCTCCGGAAGGAGTGAGATGAGTCCCATCCCATCATGTGCCCGACCATGTCCACCCGCCTCTGCGCCCTGTACGACTATAACATCCGGCTTTTCACTGCTCTCCGCGATACTCCGCGCCTCAGCAACCGTCCCGATCTGCACCCAGATCCTGGTCTGTGGCGATGCCTCTCGGAATCGGCGAGACCATGTATCGAGATCTGTTTGGCCGTTTCGTGGCGCAAAGAGCCATGCTGCGCAGGGTTTGAATCGTCTAATGGCGGATGACGCGATGTTGATATCGTCGGCCCAGAGCTGGAAGCCGATGCCAACGGGGAAAGTTTGAGAATGCGAGGATGATCTGTCAGTGTTGAGTGTGGGCGAAGTTCGGATTAGATTCGATGCTTCCTCAAGATCCTTGATGACATTCTGCGTTTTCAGACCCGGTCCGATGAACCCGAGGCCTCCGGCGCGGGAGACTGCGACTGCGAGGGCGGGGCCGGACATTACGCGCATCGGGGCGCTGATAATCAAGGGGCTTGATGTCCATGGGTAGCTTGATGATAGCTTTTTCGCGAGATGGAGTAGTTGAGGCATTGCGCTGTGTGGGAGGAGGAGGAGGAAGTTGCGGAGGGAGAGGGTCGTCTCCACAGTTATAATCGTGGAGTCATTCGGTGGGGCCGCAGCGGAGCGGGTGTTGCGGAATCGGCGCCACTGGACTAGTACATCGTATGCTCGGTATGCTGGAGAAACAAATGCTAGCCTCTGATACCAGTGCCTGATATCTCATACCCATACTCTAGCAAGCAACTCTGATTGACTACTTCGGGTAGAGCGAACAACCAAAATTCCTCATTGGGTACAAACAGCGAGGCAGATGGACGCCCTTCGCCTTCTCCCATTCACAGCAGACCCAAGATGTATACGGACTCGGTTGCTCAGTACTCCACAAGACAAAACCGCAACTCAAGCCCCGGCACGCTACCACCCAATTGCCCAAAAAACTGCTCAAACGATGACCCATCACACTTGTGTGGCGTCAAAACGTAGTCACGGCCCCATACATCACGCGATCTCGTAAACCAAGTCGGCGACCGAATCGACGATATCTTCTGCACAAGCTGCGTGTAGCTCAGGCCGGGGAAGGGAGCCACGCGCATCGGCGCAGAAGAAAGACCAGTTCTATGCAGCTCTTTCGTCAGGCTGCCGTACATGATGGAGCTGCACTCGAAGCCACATTCGCCGTCGGTCCTGAGGAGCGAGGCCTGGGTTTTGTCAACGAGCCGCAACGCTTGCTCGATTGCATGTTGTCGGTGGTAGTCCATGTTGTCTGCACGCCAGTCAATCCCCAGTATCCTAGTAGGATATTCCCTACGATGGGGGAGGAGGGGAGGNGGGGGGTGGTGGGGAAGGGGGCCGGACATACCGAGGAGTTCAGAAGGGAATGGAAGACCCAGACTGTCAATGGGTCCATCACCCAACGACAGGACAGCCGAACTAATCTTGCTGAATGCGTCGTCGAGGCCAAAGAAGAACGCAACCCACAACCACAGCATCAAGTCTCGAGACAGTTTCGTTGTATCGGGTTCCGGTAGAGCCTTGATCCATATCTCCGTCAGTATCCCTATCGTATCCTTGCACTGGTAATGGTCCGCGAGCTTGGCAACCTCGGCGAGCGTATCGAGAGAGAGCGCTCGTGGCAACTTTGAGTTTTGGCAATGGATGATCTGTAGGAGGATGAAGAATGGTAAGGTGCCCCAACCGCGTGCGTGGATTTCGTTCTTCAAGCTATCACGCAGCTCCTGTTTGAAGACTGGTGAGGCAAGTGCTAGGTGTTTTGCAGAAACTTGGATGCGAAGGACCTGCCCCCTAGGTTCTGGGGTAGGCTCGGGGGCAGGAGCGTCCTCGGGCTCTAGAGCAGGCTCATCAGGGACTTCTGGGACGGGGTCTTCCGGAGCAGGGGTAGGGGGGTAGTAGGCCCGTCAGCAGGCCAGCAGGCCTCTGCAGGCTCCGCCGGGGGAGCCTGTTCGACCCATTCTGGTTCGTGCACTACAGCAGGCTCGAGCCCATCGAAACTCCCCTCGGTCGCAGGCTCTGGAGGTGGTCCCAGTGCAGGCACTGACTCCGTCTCTGGCTCCGGTGGCATCTCGAGGTGAAAACCCCAGGCAGAATCTGGAACTGGCTCTAGTTCCGGTGCGGGCTCAGGTTCAGCGGGATGGTCATCGAAGGACGCGGATCGATTCGTCCTATGCTTCTTCTTCTTCCCTTTCTTGGATTTCCGAGAGACCGGCTGGGTCCCGCGAACAGGGGAGACGGCTCTTTCAAATATTCCATTTCCTTCCGGCTCCGGGGGTGATGGTGCTGGTGGTGGGTCGGCGTCGTCATCGGCTTTCGTGACTTGTGCAATGTAAGGGTCGGTGGTGCGGAGGACGATGATCGCCTCGCCGTCAGGGTCGATTATGTGTGTTGGTTTCTCCATCGTGGCTTCTTGGCCGCTGCCGAGCTATGCTGGAGCGGAGGATTTCGTGGAGCATGAAATTGGACAAAGGCCTGGAAAGGACGGAATCCGAATAGGGATACAGAGGAGGAGGACCCGGGAGGATAGCAAAGGGTTTGGATGGAGAGATGAAGAAAGCAAAACCGGCTGGGCCTGAGGTATTAGCCTTATCGCTCATTCCCTCCCTTCGCCAGGGCCGGGAATCCTGGGAAAGATGAAAGGTTATCGTCGAGTGGAGGTTTGTTTGCTTCCGTATTTTTTTTTTCCTTTTTTTTTTTTTTTTTTTATGCTGGACGTGGTGATTACTTATTGGGGTAGAGGCTGCCGTTGGTCGCTCGAATGGTTGTCTCCATCTGCGAAGCCTTACTTGCTGTACACGTGGTCCACTAGCACGCTGCGGTTCATTGTGGTCGATGAGTGTTGCGTTCATGCACTTGTCGTTGAGTCACCCAGTACTCAAATGATATCGGCCGCTTCCGTATCCGCTGCGATCGGATCAGACGTCAATGCTGGATGGATACGATCTCAGGATAGGGATATCCTGGGCAGTTCCGTAGCGCGATAGAAGCGGGAATGAACCTGCGCTGTCGACGTTCAGCCTGCTTTATAGCCCGATAGCATAGCGAGTATTTCTAGGTACAGTCATGGGGAGACTCAAGTTGCTAATCACAAACGAGACGTCCTTCGGACTGTATCATACGCAGAGTGAGGGCAGGGCATTTACCAAAAAGGCACGGCAGTATACATTCACTAGTCTCACGCACTGTCATCATGTCTGTAGGCAAAACGTACTTAGATCGGACATATCCTAGTAGCCTACAAGAAGAAATCATAGATCGGTACTAAAGTCCATCCCCTGGGCAAGGCCCGCCATATCCGCATTCAAAAATTGCTCAAAATCAAACCCCTGCAATGTCGGTATATCCGAAATCAACTCCTCCAAGAACGGGACCTCCAGATTGGGGTGGACATCTTGGGGCTCAGTACTTGTCCTACCAGAATCGGTCTCTAATCTGGACAGCAGATTGCCCAGCACCTGCGCGTCGTGGAAGCGTCGTTGTTGATACAGGTATACGAGTAGTCTCGCGGTCGCGTAGGCTTCGCGCATCGTAGGCGTGTTGTACGCCGATGCAACGAGTTTCAATGTTTCCATTGCGTCCGGGAGCTGCTCAAGCGCCGCGTAGGTGTCTAGCTCGAGGAGGATGGTGATGATGTTGAAGGGGACGTTGGGCATGTGTTGCCATGGCGAGCAGTCTTCTACCATGGTCCGTGCGGACTCCAGTGCGCGTTTGAATTGCTGTAAGATGCGCGTTGTCAGGGTGGGAGAGGTGTTGATATTCAGCAGATGGAGGCGGCGGAGGATGCATAGGACAACATTTGTCTGTGCCATTATTGACGGTGGCTGGGTGTGTTCTCGGTCGAGGATTTGGACCAGGGTCGTCTGGAGGTCATGGTCGTCGTGATCTTGCTCGGGATCTAGATTGACAGATACTGGCAGCAGGCCCAAAAGCTCTTCCGTGAAATCACGTTGCGCCACATTTGCGTCGAGGGCCTGCGAGGGAATATCCGTCTTCAACCGGACGGGTGACAGGCCGAGGTCATAGGACGTCCACATATTCTGATGCTGGGCCACGCCGAGTAAGCGTCGACGAAGTACCGGCTCGAGCTTTAGGCTGGATCCTTCCATGCCATCGCCGGCTTCGCGGTGAAGGCCGGCTGCTTCGATAAGGTGTATCAGCTTGCAGCTCGCGAGCCAAGTCGCGTACGGAGGTGCAGTCATCCTCATATAAATAACACGTAACAACCAGCCCGTAATGAGATCTAGCGGAGGCGCGCTTGATCCGTCGTAGCTCTCAAGCGTAGACTTTGCCGACTCTATCAGAAGGATCTCAGTGACTTTGACCGTCCGCTCGGAGAACAGCAAGCCGAGGGCAGCAATCCCGGCGAGGACGCTATCAAACATCGAGCCAGAGCTCCCAGGCTCCCACCTTGCCTCCAAACGTTGTGACAGGTCCACCTGATTGATGAAGCCATAACAGGTGTGTACCTTGCGCATGTACACGTCGGCAAGCTTCCTCATATCTTCGCGACTCAGAATAGCCCCGATCGGAAGACCAGAAGGGATCGGAGCTGCGGAAGCCAAGTCGCGCGCACCAATATTCCAGCCAAAGAGATTCAGCCGAGGCGCATTCGCGGGATCGAGCTTCAGGCCCATCCTCCGCACAAAGGCAGCTCCCGAGTTCGCTGTCAGAGACCGGACTGCAGTGTGTGCGCTAGGGGCGGTGCGGGATACTTCAGGTGGCGTAGCAATGCTACTCGTACCCTCGGGGGTATTCAGAGTCGTGCCGATCGGACCACCCGCAGAGACTGTTGAAGCAGCAGCCCCTGCCTGTGCGCCCGACGGTGGCAGAGTGGTAGGCGCTGGATAGTGGTCGCCGTTGACATAGCAGTCGTAGCCCCATTCGGTGCAAGTGTCGCAAGGAAAGTTCCCTCGGCATTTTCGCTTTCGCTGTCTGCACGTATCGCACGCTCTTGCAATGCGCATTCGTCTGTTTCCGACGCTTGATGCCATTTGCGATGCTGGTGGAGTGGAGTGACTCGGAGTGAGCGGGGTTGTGGAAGTTGCGGAAGCTGCGGCAATTGCGGATTACGTTATCAAAGAGAGGGTTGCCACGTGACTTGCTATGACGCCTTATCTCAAGACACCCTACCCACGACTGCAGGAAACACTGTTCGAGTTTAGGATCTCAATTTGATCATATTGCCTGTCTATCCTAGGCCTATGAGAATGTAAGTGTTTTACGTTGTGATAAAGTATAGAGCATCGGTTAGAGTTTCGACATCGATCATGTATATTTATCCGCATCCCCACGCAATTCAGCCAATGCCCATTTGGCGTTCTTCTTCGTCACAACCATAAAACTTTGCAGTGTCCATTCTATAGCAAAATAAATACACAACTATTCTATTCTTCCTCTATTTATTTCTACTTTTCCCCTCACGTTGCCAACCGACTCCTCCCTCTCAACCGCCCTCCAAACCTCCGAAACGCAAAGGGAATCGGAATCATAACCGCAGCCAAACACCCCAGCAACGTAGCCGCCCATTGAACACCGAGATTCGCAAACATTTGTTTGGAGAAGAGCGGGAATGCGGCTGCTACTGCGGAGCGGAGGATGATGTTTGCTGCGACGGCGGATGCTGCTCTTTATTTGGATCGTCGTTAGCGAGCTTGATCGTGGTGGATGATGTATGTGAGGGTCGGGAAAGTGGTGGGGACTTACAGAGGGAGGTAGGCGTCAATAAGGTAGTTGAAGCATGGGAGGAAGATGCATAGGATTCCGAAGCCGATTAAGACGCTTGCGGCTATGGGAGACATCCAGTGGATTGAGGATGTGAAGCCGGTCCAGCCGAACCTGATTTCCAGAATTAGCCCTGCCACTATCGTCTTGGTCATTCCCCTTACCAGAAGATTCCGATGGTGAAGGTTGGTGCACCGATAGTTGGGGGAAACAGGCGCCATTCCGGAGCAGGGCCCTTTCCATCCGCCGCCGATCTCCTCACATGTATCGCATGGGCCACAATGAATCCGCAGGCCAGTAGTTGACCCAGAATGAGTCCTATAAAGGCAAGGCCAGCTACCCCGGGAGTCATCCCGTAAATCGTTTCGAAGACGAAGGGGTACGCCCCGAGCAAGCCGTAGACGATGCCATAGATGAACGACATATACATCGTGATGAGCAAAAGGATTGGCTCCGTGACGAGCATACGCAGCGGGCGCGTAAAGTATTTCATCACTATCTCGCCAAAGTCCACTTCTATCTCCTCGTGCTGCGCGTGAATTGCCCAGTTTCCGGTCTCACGGCGGATCCTCGCAGCCTTTGAGACCAGTAGCACCGGCGCGTATGTTTCTTTCAGAGTGAAGAGGAGAGATATCCCGCTTGCGAAACCCATAATTGCTGGGATGTATAGCGTCCATCTCCACCCGAGCGAGCTGCTTGCGATGAATCCGCCGATGAAGGGTGCACTGAACGGACCGACAAACACTGTCAGTGCGTACAGCGAGATGGCAATGCCGCGACGTGTATCGTCATAGAGATCTGCCAGAACGCCGGGTACAACGGAGAGCTGGCTTGCGCCGAAGACTCCCGCAAAAAACCGACAGATGATCAGTGTCTGAATATCCTTGCTAGCAGCCGAGGCGATGGTAAAAATGGCGTCTCCAAGTATGCCTATCGTGAGCGGCCAACGCCGTCCTATCAACTCGGAAGCTGGCGCCCATATCAAGGGGCCAAAGGCGAATCCGAGAACGTATAGGGCTGTACCAAGGGTGCCGACTTCGCGGCCGACGTCGAAGGCTTTGCTTGCGCCGGTGGTGCCGGGGGCAAATACTGCACTGGTGAACGAGACGACAAGGGTGCCGAGACAGGCGATTGTTGAGTTGTAGAGTCTGGACCGTTAGGATCGCAAAGTGGTGCAAGATTGTAGGACAGCGAGGCTTACTTGATGCCCAATGCCCAGTTGAGAGGATGGATCGGATCGTCAGGACCGTCGAAATCAACGACATACTGGTTTGAATTCGGTAACGAGGGTGGAATGGTCTTTCCTGCTCCCATTGATGGTTTTTGGTGGGATTTCTCGGGGCTCCCCTGGTCTCGCTCCAGTTTTGACGGGTCCATCATGTTGGATTTAGGGGTGCACAGCGTGATGGAATAGTCGGTAGTAAGGCTGAATACGAAAGGATCGTGTGCCCTTTCTATATGAAATGACCATGACTCACGAGCGTTCTGGTTTTTCGCGTTGCAAGGGTATTGCGGGTATTGCGGAACGCCACACCGTGTGCAAAGGCAATGGCGTAATTTGTGATGTGGAGGTCCAACGCTTCCTTGTTTCTTTCCAAGGCTGAAATTATGCATAAAGCTCTAGTGAGGCATCACCATGATTCGCATGTTGAAGGCTGAAAGCCGGAAGAGAACTTCTGCATTTAATGCCCCTGAAAACAAGATACGCATCAACACCCATCAAATGTACGGAGATCATCGACCAATGGTTTGATAATGAAATGAAACATGGCATCTTGAAACTCCATGCTATCAATCTCGATATCCTCGGTCTCTGACCAGTACAGGCACTTCTTCACAACCTTCGCATAATTCATTCCACTTTCACTGCGCACAAAGGGAAGGTTTCTCGATGCTGTCTTGAGCTTTGTGATACTCTATAGGACCATTGTCAGCCGCGATGCGCAAATAGTCTAGTGTTTGGCATAAGGCCAGCTCGACAAGAGCGATCCGGAGGGGGAACAAGATCCGATTCTGAATCAGGCCGCTTTCGCCATCGTAGTAAGGCGTGCTGCTTGCACTGATGAGAGCGATGGCGATTCTGAAAACATTCCGGAGATTCAAGAGATCTACCAAGGACTGGTGGAGACGATAACCTGTTTATACCAGCTGTCCATGGCCATTCGACGTCCTACACAGCACCATCGGATTCTGGGAACACGGAAAGAGGACAGCCATGCCTTTGAGTTCTTCGGACAGGGAGCATGTTGCGAACATATGTCCCCATGCTGAAATCGCTCTTGTTGATCGACTGGGCGCCGCCATCTCCAGACGCCGGGCAACGCTCCGATATGGAGAACGACACCACGAAAAAATGCCCCAGGGCCTTGGTAACCATTATCCAGAGCGCGCGCCGACCGAGTTCTCTGCGACGATCGCCACGGAATTTACCAATGACGATTTTAATATACGAGATGACGGCCAGATGCTGGGCTTTCGCAAACATCATATGCACCAACTCTGTTTAATAGTGGCTCCCGCCTGATGATCCCTGTGCACAAGGATTCGGTATTTGACCACCCGTTCGGGTGTCCTTACTGGTACTACATGATTACCGTGCTTGACCACAACGCATGGGCTCGACATGTCTTCCAGGACATCTCGCCATACATCTTTCCGTTCGTTCACTGCCCAACGGCAAACAGACTCTACTGGCGACAGCGAGAGTGGTACTTCCACATTCAGCCTTCCTATTCAGATCTATTGGAGAAGCGTTGACATAGAGCGTCCATTATGCCAAGGGGTACTGCAGTTGACTCATCTATAGCGGCATCTATCAAGGCACCTGGAGGAGTTGACGTTATTCGCAATACTTCGAAACATGGGTCCACACATGACCTACAGGGACGGGCAAAGGCTCCAGAGGGAGAGAGACAGGGTACTTTGAAAACTCGAGTCTGGGAGCGACCCATATCCTCGTGTTGTTCGTAGAGGATCGTTTTGAGATGGTACGTCAGGTATAGTCAACGGATTGCTAGAAAGACATCTCCTGCCAGACATTCATGACCCTCCCATTCAAGCAGAAATCTCGGAAAACCTCTCAACAGAAAATTTCGGCGCCCGCTTTTCGAGCAAGCCATCCTTCCCCAAAATCCTGTTCACATCATTCCTAATACTGCACACGAGCTCAACGTCCGCCGGAGAAACGGTCGAGTCTGTACCAGACTCCGGTACCTGGTCCCCCCCTGCGGGTACCTTGACCCCGGTCTGAACCCCTCTGCGGGTATAAGAGCCATTGAACTGTTTCAAGAGCGTCTCCATAGATGAATCATGGATCAGTCCAATGCTCTTCAGTTGCACGTCGTGTTCTACTTCGTACAGACGGCCGTAGTGGATTCGCGCGGTGCTGGGTAGCGTCTTGGACGGGTGGTCTGCCTTCAGGCGGACGGGCATCATCATGCGCATGCCAGCTTCTTTGTGTAGTGGTGGTGGAATCTCTTTTGATGAGTGCAGGATTCCAAAGAGGGATTGGTCGGGCTGGTAGGCGCAGCCGGTTCCGGCATATCTAAATATTGAATGGTCAGACCAATGATTTATAAATGCTCAAAACGAGACCAAAATCTTACGTATGAATACCTAAACAAAGGCTGGAACACGTGCCCTGTCGGACGACGACAAAGCGGCGGATCATGATGACACCCGTCCAGGGGCTATATGCATTGCTTGGTGGGTCGCCATCAGGATCCAGGCTCTGAACGATTTCCTTGTCTGAGAAGATTGGTTCAGGCTTTTTGATATTATCCAAGGACAAAGGTATCCTCTCGGTTGTGCTGCTGTGGCTATTGTGGTCACCTGCGGTCGTTGTCGTTGCCAGCGCCTGATATGTCTGGAAATGGCACATCCGAAAGTGTTCAGCCACCCACTCCTCCTTTCCATACTTACGGTCTTCGTGGCGCTGATCCCTGCAAATATTGCACCTCACCTGCTGGCCATCAGCCTCGAGGGCGGCGTACTTGAATATCCCAGCCAGCGGCAGTTGGAGAATCTGCTCCAATCGCTCCTGCCGTCGACGATCGCGCAAGCGCTGCCTCTCCCTGAAATCAGATGCGGAACCCAATGGCAAATCGAGCCACGGAACCGGCTGGGTTGATGACTCGCTGTCCTTGTCGAGACGCGTCGTGATCCTGACGGAGAAGACCTGGCCCGGGCGGAAGAATTCCGCCGGCTGTGATGCCGTTTTGAAGTCTATACAGAAAAAAGGAGAAATAGTTAGCTCCCGGACCTATCGTATTGGTCCCGTCCCTCTAGCATCCGCGGAGCAATAGGGCGCCTCGACACCTACCTGGGCTCCTAGTGCGTGCCATCTCGGCGCTGATCAAGGCGTTGGTATTTATGTCGGGAAACCCAGTGGCTTGGCCATGGGGGGCGCATGGCTGGAGTGTTGCAGATAGTCCGGAATCATATCCCGTGCTAGATAGAACCGGAGTTATTATTGATGCACCTCATTTCTAGGCCCTTCCTTCCTGGAGTGGAGTCATACTTGAAGTAGCAAGCAAGTTGGACAAGAATACTCAACGAGATCAGATTCGTTTGAAGCGTCGTGTGCAGCTTGTCAGCCTATTCGTGTGGCCAGCGAACGTAATGTTAGTACAGTACCTCTATCCATGATTTCCAAGGCCAAAGTAGAGCGCACCTCATCAGGCATCCTAATAGTCCATTTCCCCTTGTAGAATGTATCCTTAAGCAAGCTCCTCGATCCACCTTTCATTGCCAGACTCTCCCGATACCGGTCGAGCTCGAGCATGAAACTCTCCATGGCTTCGTTGATCCCCGTCGTGAGAAACAGGACCCCGTTCAGCGTTGACTGCGCGAGCTGATTCGACACCTGAAGCTCACCGACCTGTAGTAAGACTTTATGGACAACGAGAAGGTCCGTCGAAAGCCGTTGGTACGCTTTTGATGCGCCCTTTGTCTCGGAGAGGGCTTCGTAGATCCTGTATGCCAAGCCTGCGCCGGCTAGGATGTCGCCGACGCTGAAGCCGAAGGACATGTTTTGCACCGCGAGACAGGTCTTCGCTCTACCTGGAATTAGGAGGTTATCGTTACGGAGACCTCGGCTCTAAAAGGATTGTTCAAGAAAGCCAGGTCCGACGGAGTTGAAGCGCCTTTCAGTTGAAAGCTGCAGTGCCACGTTTGCCTGGTTCTGATGGTCAAGGTTGCTCTAATTGGCTCCTTACGCACGTGGCTGAGCGAGTCACATTTCCCGGCTGTGACCGCGGCAATGAGTTAAAGAGAACAGCAAGTCGGTGGTTTATTTATTGAGAGGCCTTCGTCTCAGGATCAGAACACACGAAAGAGAAGAGTGGGGGAAAACCTGGTAGTATTTGACAACATTTAGCCTGGTCATTTCAAGACCAATGACAGCTGGATTTATCAGCTTACCAATTCTACTAGCCTAGTCTGGCTAGGATAAATCTATCCTTTGATAATAACTACTCTCTGGAAAGAAAGTTTCAATAACTTCAAAAGAAGACCCGGAGCCCTACCCGAGACTTCAATGAGGCCGCTGTGGCTAGCATCCTTGCATCCTTCATCTGCTAGCATGAGGTTATGCTCTTAGTATATAGCTATATGAGAGATTAGTAGGAAGGAAGCTTACCTTGAGTTTAGGCTAGTCTTCTAGGAATTAGGGTAGGAGAGGCATGTCTATATACATATAAGATAGGATCTTATATTAACCGTTCCCTTATCTACCGCGGGCTTGAATATTATACTAGCTGTCATGAGCATGGGCATCCCCGTATGTGTCATGTTATTCCCCTGAATCGGCTACTGCAGGAACAGAGTCTCAGAAATGCGCCCCACAGCCACGTCAACCAGACAGGATTGTACACACTCTACATAGGCTCAAAGGCAAGATAACCTCCAGTAAATGCATTGACCCGAGAGCTTTCGTGCCAATATGGAGTCCTGAAGCTGAGTCAATCTCCAACTGTGTTAGATATCTAGGCCCTGATCCGACAGAGGTTTGCGGCCCCCGATTGTATATAAAGAAACTCAATCCGACCTCGAGGGAGGCTTAGGAATATGAAGCTGGACGAGCATGTGCCGTAACGGAATATAAAGACCAAGGCACACCGCGCAATGCTATGTTATTGAGGGGATGGACAGTGCGCTGCCCGTCACGGCTATTGCTTTGTTTTACTCGTACTTGTCGATTGGCTGGATTCGTCAAAAACATTTTGGTCAAGCCGATCACAAGTCTCCTAGATATCACCACTTGGCACACTTCGAATTCAAAACGAAAACACACTAAATATCGCCATCGATGTTCCCCGCACATAAGAAAAAGGAGAGCTAAAAAAGGTATCCAACCGCAGTATTCCCAGAAACCTGGGTAATAATAGAAGCTAAACAATCTCCCTAACAATCCTCGTGTCAACCCCATGCATCTCCTCCGAAAATCGACAATCTTTCCAGTTGCAATTCTCCCAAGGACACCGATGTCCATAAATACATTTCGGATCCTCACAGAAGAGGCCGCTCGAACAGACACACAAACGGGCAATGGACATTAGATCTACTCTTTCCTGTGCAGAAAGAGCCGGACCGTGCTTATGCGAACAAGTGCTGTAATTGCTATACGGGCATGACCCGAGAATATGGAACGCGTTGCATAGCTTCCTCCGCTTCAGAGCGTTGACGGAGTCTTTTGATGAGGTCCTCAGGGGCCTATCGACGCGGTGTCCCTGGGCGTTAATGCAAACGGCCAGCGATCGTATTGCCGTATTCGTTGTCGGAGCTGTAGCCGGTGCAGCAGACTGTGCTGGCAGTGTCTTTGCTGCCGAGGCATAGTTTGGGGTCGGTGTTGTCGGAGGCGTGATAGAACTCGTATCGCCGAATGATACTTTCCTCGTGGGCTTGAGTTTCTTGGACATAAACACAGTGTCAAAGGTAGTGGTTGCAAAGCCTTTTGCCAGCTGCCTCATCTCATTAGCGAATGGCGGACCTTCGACGAGAGATATACGATCTGAACCACGATGTCGACCGAGTGAGTCAGGACGAGCGTAACCGTTGTCGGCGGATGCACAGAAGATGACGCGCTGACAGTGGATATCGACCATGTCTTGGGCTAAATGGGCTGCCAAATGTAAATAACTTGATGAGCAAACTTGGAGGCCGTTCTAACCTTGGAGTTTTGCATCAGCACATTCCTTTCCATTGCCTGCGTCCACAAAATCACACAAGGTACGCTCCATGTTAAACCCTTGGATAAATGGGCCGAGGTCCTGGTCTTCCCTGAGGATGTTTGCGTCACGATATACCTTCGTCAACCCCTGCACGTTTGCATACACGCGTATCTTGTAGGAAGCATTCGGATCGGTTTTCGGGTCAACCTTCTGAACATGTCCTTCAACGGACTGGATTAGGCGCCGGGCAGCTTCGCGACCCCCGTTGCTTGCATCTCGGATAAGTTCTTCGAGAAACTATCAAGAGAAAGGTCTATTAGCACGCGGCGCACAGGCAGATCGAACAGGGACTCACATTCATACCATCCCCATCAACCAGAACAGACACATAGTTCAGCTTACGCTGGCGGCCAACTTAGCGGGCCCTCAGTGCACCATGTGGCAAGTAGAGGACATACCTGTGCGCGTTGAAACCCCTCAATTTCTTTTCTGGCAATGCTCAGGTCTTCCTTGAATGCAGCGACGAGTCGCTTCTCGTTCTCTACCTCGCCCCGCTCCGTTGCGAGATTGTCACTGAGGTCCGTGAGGTGGCTGATAAGATCCTGCATTTGATAATAAGTCCTTGAACTCACTCCCAGATCTCTGAACGGGCAGCCTTACCGCAATAAACTTGTCTTTGCTGTCCTCCATGGTACACAACCAGGAACGCCGCTGTTGGAGGGCTGCAATGTCTACCACCATGGTCACGAGTCGATGTGATCAAGGAGGATTGTTGATGGGAAGTCACAATCCTTGAGATTATTGCAGATTGGCGATAGACAGTGCAGAGTAATAAGTGAGTCTCCCCAAGCCAGGCGCTTCTGGGAACAGCCTTGTCACGAAGCGCCGACTGCGCCGCATCCTTGCAAGAAGCGTTACGAGCCAACCATTATTTTAGCCACAACCTTGACTCGACATTAACCGCTGGCAGAATCTTCTCCAAAAGCAATATTGTTTCATTGTTTCATAGAGCACCAATCATTCATCTTTTGATGTCGGTGGCTCTGTTGCCGCCGGCAGACTGAGTACTGCGGCACGGACCACAGCCTCATCGGGAAATGCGCGGAATATCGTTGGTCTGGAATCGAAGTTGGTTCAAGAATCAGAGGTTGAGACCGAACTCTGTCGGACTCAGCATGCCACCCACCAGTGTAAGGAAAGAGCGCAGGAGGCTGTCACTGCAACGGAGTGCACGACTCCTTGTCAAATAGCCGGATCATCATCACCTTCGACTCCTTCATCATCCTCGACGCTCCTGAAGACAAGCTTCTTCATATCAGACACAGCTCTGATGGTTTTGAAGGCGTTAGATCTTATGAAGCTGCTTCTCTTGGCTGTGTTTGGCCGCCAGGACTTCGCCTTTCGGATCCTGGTCCCATAACTTGGCTTTCGAGACCCTCGCCGTAGACTGCGCTCAGCTTTTGACTTTTCTCTGATTGCACATGCTGAAATCTGTTTCTCCGCACAGATCACATCCTCAGGCCCGAGGCCGAGTCGTATTTCATCCGGGAAGGCCTCCCTCCGATCTACCGACTCCACCAGATGCGCTGCCGTCACGATCAGCTATACTAGTCCATCAAGACCATCGACATCCAGACAATCGGCAGATATGATGGGCACCACAGCCGATACAATTTACCCCAGACTGCGCTATACAGATCGACGAACCATACCTCTCCGGCACCTGCAGCCCCCTCGGCTCGGCACTCTGTGAAGATCTGAAACGCCGAGGCCGTAGTGCGACACCATTGGGATAAAAGGCCAACAACTCCTCCGCTGTACTCGCATTCCCCAGCATTCACCGCAGTCTTGAGCGAAGAACAGGAGTTTCTCAGAGGTTTGTCGGGACAACATGAAATTTTCAACCTTGGTCACCAGCCTCGCCCTCGCGGCCGTCGCACCAAGTACGGTGTCAGCTGCAATTCTGCGCCGCGTGAGGAACTTTGGCAGTAATCCGGGCAACAATGAGATGTATATTTACGTTCCGAACAATGTGGCTTCTAATCCAGCAGTTATCGTTGCGGTACCTTCTTCTCTCGTCCCCTTCCCCTTCCCCTCCCTTCAAACCACAAAGCTAACTCCACCAGCTTCACGGCTGTCTCGGCTCTGCAACCAGCTACTACCGCGACGTCGAAGACCTGCCCCCAGCCGCAGATGAGCACGGCTTCATCGTGATCTACCCCGGCTCGCGCGACGACTTTCGCTGTTGGGACGTCAACACCGAGGCGTCGCTCACCCACAACGGCGGCAGCGACTCACTCTCCATTGTCAACATGGTGCGGTACGTGCTGGACACGTACAACGGTGACCCAACACGTGTCTTTGCAACTGGTTCTTCCTCTGGCGCAATGATGTCGCAGGTCCTTGCCGCCGCGTACCCGGATGTCTTCTCGGCTATTGCAGCGTACTCTGGTCTTCCTTATGCTTGTCTCCGTGGTTCACCCGGCGCGTCGCCATTTACGGCTGATCAAGCGTGTGCAAATGGCGAGGTTGTCAAATCGGGGGCTGAGTGGGCGGCGGAAGTAGACAAGGCCTGGCCGGGGTATAATGGGACGTATCCGAAGATTCAGGTGTGGCATGGCACGAGTGATAGTGTCATCTCGGATGTGAACTTTGGCGAGGTCGTGAAGCAGTGGAGTACAGTGTTTGGAATACAACGGACGAGGGTGAACACTGATACACCAATTCGAGGGTATACCCAGAGCATCTATGGCAATGCAGGACAGCTGGAGGCGTATCTCGCAGAAGGCGTTGGACACGTTGTGCCGACGCAGGTGGACAGTACGTTGAGGTGGTTCGGGTTGATATAAGTTGAAAGTGAAGTCATCAGTCATTATAGGTGTACAATCTATTTCAAAACCCAATGTGGCGTCGTGCAGCTCCCCAGCGTATTCGCCGTCGCATCGATGCGATCCAGCATCCAGCCAGACTTGAAGCCCTGCCTCTTATCCCCGAGCCTCGCATCCCGGCCAATCGCACACATCCCATCAGGCTTGAGCACAAACTGCAAGCAATGCGTATCCTCCTCACATATCTGCTGACAATCTTCAAGACTGCCCACAACCTCCTTCTCCTCTCCCGCCTGATTATCCCAATTCTCCGCGGGCTCCTCGGTCATCTTTGGCCTGGCCAGCTGCCAAAACACATCGCGGTACAGCAACGGCGCCCCCTCGACACTCCACATGCGATCCAACCAATTCAGCTCGCGGATCTCGCGCGGCTTCAGGTGATGAAACGAGACGGCCGGATAACACCACGGCGTGCGCCCATAGTTGCTCCCGAAATTATCCAGCTCCTTTGGCGGCGCAATCTGCAGCATCGGCCACGCCCAGGTGAGCGGGATGCCGGCCTCCTTGAGTAGGATCCCCAACACGCAGTCTCCCGCCCACTCCTGCTTCGTGATCGAGTCCCAGTACTCGCGCTTCTCGGACAAAAGCCTCGTCGCAGCTTCCATGGCCGGCCGCGAAATTACGAACCCACTCCCGCCATGCCCGAAAATCACATCGCGGATCTGCATCTGGTTCCCCAAGTACCACGGCTTCGTCGCGTCGAGCTTCGACAGCCACGAGAGCATATTCGGCCACATGATGTACGTGTCGGCCTCCATAAACACATACCACTTCGCATTCGGATTCTTGGCGAAGGTATGCTCGATCATCGGGATGAACTTCCACTTATCCAACTTCCAACCCGGATTACTCTTCCCAAACGGCGTACTCGTCTCATCGCTCAACTCCGTCTGTGTGAGCGCATCGCGCCCATGCGCCTGGACCTTCGTATACAGCCTGAAATCCGGTAATTGGTGGAGCGTCGAGGATTCATTGTACAGCACGTCGTGCACGGGGATATCGGCAATCGACTCTTCATAGTCGGACCACACGATGTAATTCGGGATACAGCGCAGGGTTGTGTTTCGGTGGATGGGGAGCTTCGAGTGGGATTCTGTCACGCCCGTTTTGAGGACGAGCATGATTTCCGACAGGCCGGGAAGGTTCGGGCAATCGGATGGGATTTGCCCATTTATTGAATACGTCAGGCCATTGTCGCGAGTGTAGTAGCGCGTGTAGAGGGCGTAGAAGTCGAGGAGGAGGAGGGTTGCGGCGAGGATGTATAGCCGGCGGGCGGCGCGGGGGGAGAGCGAGGGGAGCATCGCATCGATTACATGTATAGATGAATCGAGTCGGATATTTTTTTGCTGTTCCTGTTGCAGTGAATCTGGGGATTACGGAGAATTCTACGATGAATCAGGGAGAAGGAGATTTATGAAGATTGCGCAGGGAATTAATGAGGATGGACCAGATCAGCGTCGTCGTCATCCTTGGCGTCATCCAACCGTTCGAACCCACGGCTCGTCGATAGTTACTCCTAATTCACTGCACAGCCAGAACACCCCGATACCGCATCGTCCCACCCTCGAGTGCCTCGAAACAATCCTTGATCCCCTGTTCCGTCATTGGGAAACGCACAACCATCGGCTTGATCCCGTGAAATGCCGCAAAATCGAGCATGTTGCGATGGACCAGCCTGGAGGCCACGATGCTGCCCTGCACACGCAAGCCCCGCGCTATCATTTGCTGGTGCGGGAGGCTAAACAGCTTGTCCGACACGGTCAGCGGCGAGATCGTCGCCCGACTCTCCAGGACATTCAAATACAGCGACCAGTCCACCAGCGCGCTCGTCGTCACGATCAAATGGTTCAGTTTCTGCTGGATCTTGAGCTCCTTGGCGCCCTTTGTCGCGTGGAACTCGTGCGCACCCAACTTGATCGCCTCCTCCTTTTTACTGTCGGTCCCACTGAACACGACAACGCGACACCCCATCTTGTTCGCGAATTGGATCGCCAAATGGCCCAGTCCACCGATTCCCACGATCCCCACGACAGCAGCTGGTTTGACGTCCGCGACAACCATCGCGTTGTAGACCGTCGACCCGCCGCACATAAGCGGCGCCGCAGCCTCGTTATCTAGACTGTCGGGGATAGAAAAGACAAACGCCTCGCGCCACACGGCGTACTGCCCAAACGAGCCCTGGTCTGTATCCGCCGACCCGTACATTTGCCGCTCCGGGCAGAAGGTTTCCCAGCCCGAGAGGCAGTGCGTGCAGCGCCCGCAGCAGTCATGTTCGTACCCCCATCCGACGCGGTCGCCCTTTTTCAGGCTCTGCACGGCCGGTCCGACTTCTTCGACGACACCAACGCCCTCATGGCCCAGGACGATGTCGGCGGTTTTGAAGTGCACGTCTGTGCCGCAGACGCCCGAGTGCGAGACTTTTATGAGAACTTGATCGCCGGAGAGCGAGCGCTTCTTGGCAGTTGCTTGTTTGATGGAGCCCGAGGGGGTGCCTTTGAAGACGGTGAAGGACATCTTGCTTGATTTGATTTGTTCTCTTTTTTTTAATTGATGGATAAGTGGATTGACATGTGCAATAGATTCCCCCCGGGTCCTCGCGACCGCGACCGCGAGCGAGCGCTTCTTGTATCTGTTCTTCTTCCGCGAGTTGGGTTGGTCTCTGGTGTCTTTGTGATGTCACGACTTGTCCATCCTATCATGACCTCATGTGGACCGCGATACCATCTCCAGGGATTCTCCAGCGATCCAGTCCACCGGTATCGATAACCTGCATTCTCCGAGTCAGACTATGCGGATCTGTGTCCTTGAGCATGTGCTGCAGACACGCGGTCGGAGTCCAGATCGGATCGACGTAACCGCTCCGTCAATCTGCGACTTGCTTGCCGATGCTTTGATTGGTCTCCACCACCACCACCACCACCAGCAGCAGGGGAAGAAGCAGCGACAGAGCCGTTGAATCCACAGGCGCAAACTCCCCCGCGGTCTCCTCCGTGAGTCGCATTACCCGCCGAATTATCCCCGACATGACTCGCGCACACACCCTCCTCCCCATCCCCATCCTCATCCTCATCTTCATCACCCTCAACCCGATCCAGCAATTCCTCAACAAGCGCATCCCCCAACCCCTCCAAAACCCCCTCAAACTCCACATAATCCTGCGCATCCCACCTCACCCCATTCGGCCCAGGAACCGCGCGTCCCCCCTTAAACGCAAGATAAAGCACATCCGCCGCATCCCAGCCATTGGACCCACTAACCCTGTTCCCAAAACACGCCGTCGCAAGCGCAAGGCTCGCCTCCCCCACAAGCGGGATCCCATCGTCGCCGTTGACGTCGCCCCAGACTCCGTAGACGAGCTTGTTGCCGCACAGGACGGCGACGACCGAGAGCGGGTATATGTCCGCGGTGCGCGGGTCGAAGGTGCGGTACCAGGGCCGGTTCCCGATGTTGCCGAGCACGACGTACGGGTGGATGTAGGTGTTTAGATCGGGGATCCCGTAGCCGGCTTGCAGGATGGAGCGGAATGCGGTCTGTGCTTGGGTATCTGGGAGCCCTGTGCATCGCCCATCGCCGGACCCGGTACTGTTCTGGATACCGTCGCAGTCGACGTCCATATTTGCCAGTAGGTTGCCGGGGCCCTTGAGGTAGATTGCGGAGTGGCGTGTGTGGCGCTGGCAGTAGGACCAGAGGGGTGGGGAGCCGTCGTTCTGGTCGAAGAAGCCGGTTTTCAAGAGGTCGGGGCCGGTGCAGGGGCCTGAGGTGCGGATCTTGTTGTAGAGATTGCGGAGGGGAGGGCGGATTTCTTCGGAGGTTGAGAGGTTCGTGAAGGTGAGGAGGGGGAGGAGGATTGCGAGGAGGATCTTGAGATGCATCCTCGGAGCTGTTTGCAGAGAGTTGCGGTTGACGAGAGATGTGTTGACAGAAGAAATTGCTTAAAGAAGTGTTGTGGTGAAGCTAACGAATGTAGAATTGGAAGATGGCTATCTAACTAGCAACTGTCGACTAACACAAAAGATCTAGCTACGCAATGGCGAACTCTAAACCCCTCAATTGATCTGGTCACCACGATCCCAGCTAACCAATTCTCCCATTCACTGCAGCATCAACACACTGCTTGAGAGTCCCAAAATGCACCCCGCGTCGAGCCCCAAGCCCGGAAAAGGAAGCATACCGGGTCGAGTTTGTCATGATGTTACCAGCATCTTTTTGAAGCCAGATATTCGGAAGATCATATTTGTCATTCTCGTGGTTGAACGACGCTCCAAAATGAGCGATTGTCTGAGCATATCTAGGCCAGCTGGCATCATGGAATATCTCTTTGGTTGTGGTGATGAGAAAGTAGACCTGGAAATGTTTCCTACGCCCAGCGCAATGCCGCGCCAGTATGCGCAACGCGTCCAGCGACATGTTGGGATCGCCCAACAGGACAAACTTGACCGATGGATCTTCGGCGGTGCTCAACATTGTTTTTGCCAACTCGAACCCTTCTCGTTTCAGTGTGTAGTCCGGCACCGACGTTATATCCGGCAGCGTCCCTCTCACCATCCACGATCTTGGGTAGTAGTCCTTCCAGCGGTGAGTAGCTCCCCTAAAATGGAACAAGGGGGCTGATGAAGTGGCAACAAAACCGGCGGTAAACTTGTGCATGGCAGACTCGTCGGGTGTTCGGGTGTAGTCTACAAAGGGGATACGGGCACCGGCAATGTATCCGACTGCGAAGCCCAGTACAGAGTAAAAGGTGTCCACATCCTCATCAGCCAAGGGGTCGACCAGCACATTCACCTGCACCCTTGCAGCACGATCAGCCTCCGTCTTCAATGGCAAGGCGGGAGCCCAGCCGACCAGGGCAACACAAAGGTCAATCATTTCTGGTAAGACTGGCCTGCTTTCACCTGACATGCTATTGAGGTATACACGGTGTCGCCGCTCAGGCAACGTGGCTTTGCTGGTCGGCATGATCGTTGCCCCCATTCTTTTATAATCCGCTGTGATGGCGTCGAGCCGCCGCAAGGGACGTTCCTCGGCACCAAGCTCTTGCCAACGCACTCGGCTCATTGGGATCCCGGTTGCGATGACTTTGATTGGGAACGAGGAGATGAGCCTTTCGAAGGAATCGACGATATGGGTGGCTGCCCGACCAGTGTAGATACACGCGTCAATCCGGGCCCTGTCAACTTGCTCGAGACTTGATACACCCCTGACCGTAGCAAATCGGGCAACAATATCTAGTGCACCACAGGCAGCGCGGTTGGCAATGCTGCTTCGAATTTTTTGGCATTCATCGTAAAACCCCGGCGAATGATACAATGGCTGTGGATCACGGGCCGGGCGTTGTAGGACCCCGTGTTGGGCGTAAAGTCTGCTGCCGGAGATGGCCGCATGAGTTTGCGTGCAGATAGACTGGAAGCGGACGGGATTGATCTTCAGCACGGGAATAGACTTTTTGAGGAACAAATGGGCGATTATCACACCAGCTATGATAGTCTCCTCGTCTTCTGCAACGACAATTCCGGCGGGCGCACAGCCATTCTGGAGCAACTCGTATATGGCAAGAGCCCCTCCATACGATCCACGACTCGCGGGCAAGGCGAATATGCGGTTGGCGACAGTCTCATCATGGAGCGGATGGCGTCGGTCGACGATTTTACCGGTCGTGTAATCAATTCCAGTCCAGAAGTTGAGGGGAGTATCGGTCCATAGCAACTCGGCCGTGGCAACCCCGTTGATAAGACATTTACCCTCTGCAGCGAGGTTGAGTACCGAGTCTAAAGACATTTAGATATAGATAACGATGAATAAGAGGTGAAATATCAGAGTAGATAGTTATGATTAAGAGAAGTTGTAATAGAAATCCGCTCTCCCACTCCATCCCCGAGAACAGCCTGCGACAGTCGTCCATAATGAAGAAGGAGCGGCCCGGGGGGTCTCATCACCCAGTTGAGAGGAAACTGTTGGACTGTCGGAGAAAGCAGGCAATTGACACGAAAGCATAATGCCGTTGTAGAATCGGTGCAGAGGCCGCCATTGAGTAGGATAAAGCTTTTGTGAATTTCACAAACTTCATCTTGAATATTGATGGAAAGTGATTGTCCCAATTTGGAAGACAGGCACTGTTGATATAAGTCACGTGGCTCTCCTTAGCGCTTGTTAGCGCCGGGATGTTGCACACGTGACGCCGTCCACCGCCATCGGAGGCGGACTTTCGCGCCCGATGCTTGCCAGGCCACTGACGAAGTGCCCCTCTCGGTATAGCAGGCTGTTTATCTGCATGACTGAGTGCGGCGCTTCAGACTCCACTGCTCTATGTTCCCCCGACCACCATGAGCCAGATCCTAACCGCCGGCCAAGCAGGTGAGCTGTAAGTGTTCAATGGCTGTTCCTCTCGCGATTCAATCCATTCCCACTCCATTCCCCGCGGGGGGGCTAATGCAAACAGGCACAAGTCGATGGTCGCATACCTTTCATCAATAGGCGCAACACAGAGTTCAAACACGCTCCGCGAGGAATTGGAAATCGGCGAAGGCTTTGATGAGGCCACGCGAAAGAAATACGAGGGGTTGCTGGAGAAGAAGTGGACGGGGATCGCTCGTCTGCAGAGGAAGGTAAGGGGTTCGGATGATCTGCGGGGAGGAATTGCTCGCTCACAACTTTCAGATCTTAGATCTCGAAGCTCGCCTTTCCAGTCTCCAGGCCGAACTCGATTCGACGCCGTCCGCTGCCCGCGCGAAACAGAATAAAAATCCAGAGAATTGGCTCCCCGGGTCGCTGTCGACGTACACGCTAGAGTCGCATCGTGACGCCATTACCTCCATCGCATTCCACCCGGTATTCACGTCGGTCGCGTCCGGTTCGGAAGATTGCACGATAAAAATATGGGATTGGGAATTGGGAGAGTTGGAACAAACGCTGAAAGGACATACGAGAGCTGTTTCGGGGCTGGATTTCGGTGGACAAAAGGGGCAGACACTGCTGGCGTCATGTTCGGGCGACCTTACGATTAAGATCTGGGATCCAAGCAAGGACTACGCGAATACTCGAACACTTCACGGTCACGACCACTCCGTCTCTGCGGTACACTTCCTCACACCGACGAGCAATCTGCTCGTCTCCGCCAGTCGAGACGCGTCGCTTCGGATTTGGGACGTGACAACGGGGTTCTGTGTGAAAACAATTCAGGCGAATGACTGGCTTCGGACAGTGTCGCCTTCAATTGACGGAAAATGGCTGGTATCCGGCGGTCGCGACCAAGCCGTAACAGTCTGGGATGCCTCAACCGCCGAACCAAAGGCCGCATTATTAGGCCACGAAAATGATATCCAATGCTGCGTCTTCGCTCCTCCGTCGAGCTACAAGTACATGGCCACTCTCGCCGGACACAAAGCACCACCTCCCGCCGACAGCACGGGCGAATTCATCGCAACCGGCTCAAGAGACAAGACCATCAAACTGTGGGAATCGCGTGGGCGACTCATCAAGACATTAACCGGCCACGACAATTGGGTCCGAGGCCTAGTATTTCACCCCGGCGGCAAATACCTAATCAGCGTCTCAGACGACAAAACAATGCGGTGCTGGGATCTGTCACAGGAAGCACGGTGCGTGAAAACAATAGACTCGGCTCACGAGCGGTTCGTCACTTGCGTCCGATGGGCGCCGCTCCCGAATAGTGATGCCGCGGCATCAGAGACAAACGGGGCTGCCGCAAAGACAGCGGCGAAACCAACTTTCCAGTGCGCAATTGCGACGGGGAGTGCAGATTCATGTGTACGCGTCTTTAAATAAATAGCGGATCATTTTCTTTTTAAGCTTAGTTTGGAATCATACAGTACCCTGGTGGCACTATTTCACTTGAGGAATCCGGTTTCTGCAAATTGCATTTCGCTTCGACTTTTCTTCCTAAGCAATTTGTATGTACATTTACGATGAGCTGCTGGTGGGCAGTGATTTACGGCTTATAATTGCTACTTTGTTCTATTCTTTGGGACCAATTCATTGTAGATAAGCTTAAATTTTCGGTTCGGACGTATCTCAAAACTATATATTCGGACGGTTCCCTCCGGAAAGTGCCCCAGACTTCGCATCTGAACAGGAGAAGAACTAAAAAGGCGCATTGCGTTTCAATTGGAGACTTCAACTATCACTGAATCAATGCAGCATAGGCGAACGACACTCGACTTCAATTCTGCACTCGGAAGTTGGTATGTCTTTCTGAATTCGACGACGGTGTAGCCCCGGGACCCCCAGTACGATCGTTGGCACTCCCGACGGTCGACCCACTCCGGGGCTAGTTTTATAGATCTGCTTGGCGACAGGGGTAGACGACCGTCAATGACGACAACTACTCCTATAGCTTCAATCATACAGCACACATGGACCACGACTTAAAAGGTAGAAGTTCCTTGAACCCATAGACATTCCTCGAGCATTTAGATTTTCTTATTAACAGGAAATGACCCAAGGCAGCCAGCGTATGACAAAGATCCTAAGCTTCCAAGCTTCCAACTACCAAACGTCCAAACGTATCCTTCTTTCGACAACCAAAACAACATGAAACAACATAAGAAAGTCATTTAAGGGTTCTCTGATCCGTTCTTTCTTTCTTCTTCTAACAGCAAAAATTCGAGCGCACCCCTCCAGAATGATGTCCAGATCATTATGAGCACATCGGCCGTTCAGTTCGCAATTCGCTTTCAGCGCAAGGTAAAGTGGTATCTCGGTCTGGGAAGGGTCTGTCAGCTTTCGTGAGTCGGAGAAAAGGAAGAAAACTTGGAGCCGTACAGTAAAAGAGGTATAGACCGTCGCGGCGTAAAGCAGAGAGACAGGGGAAAGAAAGAGTGTGAGAAGAGGTAGCGCAGCTACAACTCCATCGGAAACATCATCTGTTCCTCAAATTTATCCAGCTCCTTGAGCGGCGTGGGATCAACTTTCTCGCCATCCAGCTTCGGATCCACAGGCACAGGCCCCTCAAGCTCCTCAACAATCGCCTCGAAGATATTAATCGTATACGCCTCCAGAACCCCCGTTTCAACAAGCTTGCGCAAGAACCGCATCATAAAGTACGGCGGATGCTGCGGCGGCGTCGCATGGAAGCACTTCTCAAACAGATCGAACTTCTCCATCGGAAACATCCCACAGGCGATCACTCGCTCGCAGTACGTGTTATTCTCGTACCGGTCCTCGTTTATCACATGGTGCCAGTAGTCGTTGAAGCCGCCGTGGTGGTCATTCTCATCGAACTCCACGCCCATGCAGTGGTACCACGTTCGCTCCGTGGGCTGCATGTCGGGCTTGCGGATCATGACGATGTAGGCGGCGGGTTTGGGCAGCTCGCGGAGGTGGTTGACGTCGAAGTTTGCGCCCTTTTGGAGCGCTTCGTCGGCTTTGATCCCGATCCAGACGAAGACGTTTTTGGGGAGGGGGATCTGGGTTCCGGTGCTGGACGCGGAGGAGGAGGAGTTGGACGGTGGAGGGAGGAAGGACATTGTGATGGACAGGTTCTGATCTGGTCTGATTTGAGCTGCTCTGTTGTGTTGTGTTGCGTTCTCGCTGTGTTGCGATGTGGATTCGGCGCTCGACTTGGAGGCTGGATGTGGATTGAAGTGGTAATTTGATGCAATGGTAATGATGAGAGATGCATCCAGACCAGATCGAGTATACCTTAAGTAGTACCCATCGTGCAGCAGTTCGGACCGAGTCTTTGTGGGAGACGGAGAAGAAAGAATTGTTGTTGTGCTGAGAAAGGTTGGGTCAAAGGCGGCTTTGTGATTCCACTGCACCGACACAAAGATTGTTTGGCTATTGGCCTTTGTGTCTGCCCGCGCGTGGTCACCAGAGGGAAGAGTATCAAAGGTGTGTATCATCTTCCATAAAGAGTCTTGCTTCTGATGCTCCTTGAGGGTTCGGGAGGGGGACTTCGAGGTATGGAAATGTGTCTCGAGGGTTCCCAGAATAGGTACTCTCTGTTTCAACCATCACCACCAGGGCAAAGGCCTTGGTTTGGAGCTTGAAGCCTGGTAGCCATGATTGATCTGGATATACTCCCAACACGCACTAGCCAGGCACGTGTCTCGCGCTGGGAGCTGCTCGCGGCATGCCGGGGGTTCGAATCCGCGAGTCGGCAGTCTCAGTTGAGGATTTCCTGTTCATCTTGATTTTTCTCAAGTAGCAAGTATCCATGAAGATCATATTAGAAAAACCACGAGCTACAAACAATATCGAGCTTGGTCGAGCTTGCTATACTAAACTCAACGAATGACATTCCAGACCAAAGACGATCCCCCTCGAAACCTCCAATCAGACTCTCGAAAAGCGGATCCCAAAAAGCAAGAGTCTCACCAGCGCGGTATATTTCTTTCAGCGCTTCGCAGCGAATGATCAGCTCGGATTTGACGCCACAAGGGAAGAAGGATGGAATACGAGGCGGATCCTTGGACCAATCTGACGGCGGATCGCCCAAAATAGCAACGTGAGATTCCGTGGAACGCCTGAACTTTCGATCAACCGTGACCTGGCATGGATCCCCCGCAGCGTTCTTGACTTTGATCGATCGCGGAGTACGTACCCACTGCATTTCTGCAGGCTTTACAATATCCCGAGACAGTACAATCTCTTATAACTCTTAACTGGCTGCTCCTGTTCGGCCTTTGGTGTCTCTATCTCGCCCAAAATGAACCGCCGCACAACCAATACGCGCACCGTCTCCTTCGACGTCCCCGCGGGCATCAACCCCAGCGCCATAATCAGGCTCTTGCACAACCACGTCGGCTTCATCAAACTGAACCCAGTCGTAATAAACGTGACAAAAGTCGCAACGGACCCAATCGAGTACGAAGACAAATGGTTCCTCGCGTCGGCAACGCAGCCGCCCATCGAGACATACAGACTCAGCAGCGCAATCACGATACTACCGCTGATCGGGCGCAAGGGCCAGAAACTTATTGAGTTCGAGACGTCGTTGCAGAGTACGGAGAATGGGTTGAGGTCCAAGGCCGATGCTGCGATGGATGTGTCTGTTTGGAGTCACTGGTGGGTTGACACTTCAGATGACGGGAGTAAGTATCGTCCTCTTTTTCTTTTGGTCTTTCCTGTTAAGGCTACGGATACTTTGAGAATTTAGCTGATGAAATTCTAGTCTCTACGCTCTCGGTGGAGAGAACAGTCGAGTGTTCGTGGTGGGTTATGCCTTTTGTGACGTCGACATATGATGGAGTGCATGCGAGCGTTGGGAAGCAGTTGATAGAAGGGGCTCGATGATTGGTCTAGTGTCTAGCTGATGTATACTAGTATGGAGCTGATACGGTAGAGTGCATATCGCAACTATTTTTTCGTTCTATGACAGCATCTCTTTTTCTGCGTTACCGAAATCCACCAAATTCGTTCCGATCCATAGTTCAAAGCCCTATATCTGCTATAAAGAACCAATGGTCTTCAGTGGGTCATGAGATAGGGAGGACGCTTACTCCGTTCGACTAATACCGATCGTAGCCGCCCAGGTCAATGGCGTTGGTAAAGTTACTTATATGCAATCATCCATCCTTCGCGCCGCGAGACATTCCTTCAAATCTGGTGTGGTACTCTAGGTGTAGGCAAGCGCGGACGCCATGGGATTAAACAAATTGTGTCAACACATCCCCGGCGAGGCGAGCAGATACGACGTGCATTATAGAAACTAAACCTTGTTATATCGATAACACCTTGCCGAGCTCGCACGATTGCCATATCCTGTTTTAAGCATAATGCTGTACAGAGCGCCCCAGCGCATAGCCCTTCTACGGCAAAAGTCAATTCACACAAGCATCGCACTATTACTGGCGCTGGCAGAGTAGATGGTCCGCTTAATCTCAGTATTCAGCCGTCACGTCAGTTTTCTGATATTGTCTGTGCCTGTTGAGCAGTAGCTGGACGACCTGTGCACTCGATTTGACCGAGTGTGGGAGACGATCGACTCGCCAGACAACAGGTGCGGCGATATTGCCTATACATATATTTCAGACCAGCTACGATTTCATAGATGCCGGCGTCTTGGACTTTTGTTATAACTTGCATGGCTGGTTTAGACCTTCTGCGTTGTTGCACGGAAGTTATGGCCATGTGTCTTAGAATGAAAATACAGGTATTTCCACATTGATAATAAATACAACCAGCCGCCTAGACATGAACATTGAGAGCCGCGACAAATATAATGCGGAAAAAGAAAAGTTTAGATTATCGACTCCAATAACATACCAAACTGTCGAAGAGCTCCCAGGGCTCTTTTCCCTGCGGTAATTCACCGTCGAAGCGCCATTCTAGGTACCTCATGGCGGCGGCATTTAGATACTGGCTTTCTTCGCTCTGCGGACCGAGCGTCTTTGCGAGCCACCACTGGAGCCTCGCAGTGAGAACTCCGGAGACTGAGTTTCCGGTATTTGCAGGAAGCTGTGTGATTCTGAGCGCCTGACGAAAGCAACGTCTGTTGCGTAGACTATGGTTAGCGTGTAACTTGATAATTTAGGAATGAGATAAAGAACAGGCGGGAATACTCAGCCTCAGCGCGATCTTTCCGCGCAAAGTCCGCGATGGAGAAGATACACCCCAGCTTGTACCATGAGTCAGCCGTGATTAAATGGTCTGGTCCCAGCTCTTTAAAATAGATTTCGAGCACCTTCTGATGCTTCTCGAGGGCCTCATCATACCGCTTCAAGCTCAACAACAAATTGCCCATCGTGTACATCGCCCCCTCGGGGTTCTTATTCGGTTGCGTCAGTGCACGGCGAAGCGTCTCCTCCGCACGGTCCAGCTCCCCCCACCACAGGTAGCAGGAGCCCAGGTTCTGCGTCAAGTTGCCGAGACTGCATGTCTCCTCCAGTTTGTGTTCTACGCACGCGGCTATTGCCTCGAGATGGAACTTCTCGGCCTCGGCGAACTTTTTCACCGCTGTGTGTGTGACACCCTGGTTGCTGATGATGCGGATGTACAGTGGGGACTTCCGCTTCGCTGGGTCATATATTGCCGCTTTGTTGGCGTGGAGTCGCGAGAGCTGGATTGCTTCTACTGCCTTCTCCAGCTTTCCGTCCTCGGTCGTCATCCGCGTATAATGGAAGTACATCTCTGAAAGCAGGTTGTGGTCCGGGTTGGAAATGTGCTCGATGAGGCTTGTCGCTTTTTGATAGGCCGATTCTCCCAATCTGTACTGCCCTGTTTGGTAGCCGTAACTGCGGGATTAAGCTGTTAGTTGATTATAACCTAGAGGATGTGGAATAGGTGGGTAATGTACTTGATAAGATGCGCTAGTAAGTCCAACAGCGCATTCGCTCGATCCTCGGATTCGGCCCCCTCGGTTCTTTTGTATAAGGACAGGATATGGTCCGCCGCCCTCTGCACTTGGTTCCAGCCACTAGGCTCCCGCACTGCCGTAAAGTCGTCTTGCGGGAGGAAGTTACGCACAAGGCCAGCAGCGAGACTAATCACAGCGCGCAGCCGCTGGGGATCCTTGCTCAGCCGCCGGAACGTTGCACGCTGGAAAAACCGGTGAATGTTCAGCGTGCTCTCGGCCTGGTTAATCTCAACGAGTGACTGCATCGTCAGACCTTCGAACGCATCAAGAAGCTTCATTTCGTCCGTCATGAACAACCCGCTGCTGTGCGCAACCTCGGTCTGAGTGAACATCTCCTTTGGGATGGAGTCCGGGTCGAGAAGCGATGTGATATCGAGAACCATGCGGCTATCCTCCGTCAGCGTGCTGAGCGACATGTTCCACACAGTCACCAGCGTCTTTGAGTAATTCGGCAGCTGCAGCGAGTCTATCTCGGCAAAGTTCTTTTCGTACATTCGCGAGAACTGCGTTGGCGTGCACCCCTTGTTGCGCATAAACGACGCCGCCTGTCGAAGCGCGAGCGGGAGCCCCCCGTACTGGCGCGCGAGGGCTTGTGTGGCAGCCTTTTCTTCCGGCGTGTGTATTTTCTTCGTGATGGAGGAGCCACCGAGCAACGAGACGAGGAAGTCCGAGCCCTTGTCGTCGCTGAACTCGCGGAGAGCAATCCCATTCTGGGCGTAGCCTTCTTCGCCATTCCTTGGGTCGTTGCTAGTGATGATGATCGAGCCCTTCGAGGCCTTGGGCCAGTAGTCGGTGAGGATATTCGGCTCGTCTGCGTTGTCGAAGACGACGAGGATTGTTCCAGCTGTCTCTCGGGGTCAGTTTTCTATTTACCTTCCCTATACGAGCATTACAAGAGCTACACCAGACCAAGGATTATACATACTTAGATGGGCTATCCACTGGGAAACAACCCCCACGGCCTGGGCCTCGGGTACATTCATCCCAAGCCTACTCGCTAGCGCAATAAACTGGCTGTCGAGCTTCGCCTTGCTATCAGCGTACAGCCATATCACAACATCATACTGATCCCTCTGGCGATACATATACTCCTTGGCGACAGTGGACTTGCCACATCCGCCCAGTCCAGAAATAACCACACTGCGCATACCAGTGCCAGGACCAGGAATTGGACTGGAACCAGAGCCAGCACCACCAGCGGTCCCTGAAGCCTGTGGCGTTGTCAGATATGCATGCAACTGGTCCAGAACTGCCTCGCGATCGAAAAACTGGTCGTTCCGGATGCAGTTCTGTAGGAAGAGAAAGGGGAAGGAAACTTTGACAGCGGTCGTTTGCTGTGTTGGAGTTTGCTCTAGCAACTGAGTGATTTGCTTATTGCGCTTCTGGTTGTCCTGCAAGCCGGCAGTGGCGAGTTGTAGCTTGACGAAGCTTGTGTGCAGCTTGATCTGGCTCTGGCAGTTGTCAAACGTGTCTTGGAGGCTGGGGACAAAGAGGACGCGGAGGAGGTTTCCTTTCAGCAGTTCAATATTACGTGGTGTTAGTTTGCTCTGGGAAGGGAGTAGTTGAGACTTGGGGGGGGGGGGTGGGTTCCGTACCAAATGAAGACCGGCCAAAATATCGAATTCCTGCGACCAGAAACGCAACGAAAGCAAAACATGTGTTCTTGATACTCTCCGCGAGCTCTGGATAATCTGCTGCCACAAACAGGGTCGTCCATTTTTCAAACAAGGACAGGTATGTGCACAATGTCTCGAGCATGGTCATGATGTTGTCGTGTAGTCGCGCCGCGGCCGCCGACACCTGCAACAGAGGACTCAATGTTAGCGTCCTGATCAGCGAGATACGAACCCACTACCTTTACTTGTTTAATAAAGAGATAATTAAAAGGAGGCAAAGCATACCTCAAGCAAGAAGCGAATTCCTCCCCAAATCCACGCCGCAGCAGCCGGTCCCCCTCCCACGGCAACGTCAACCGCTTTAGCAAACCTGATACAATGGTCGGCGAGCATGCCCATCTTTTTCAAAAACGAGGTACCCCTGCGCGCCTCATACTGCACCTGCAGCGACTTTAGCGAGTCTGTGAGGCCCGCCTGGTCGAAGGTGATATTTGTTGTCATTGTCCGCAGGCGTTCGCGATGCTTGGGCTTGAGCTTCATGAGATGGGTGTTAAAGGCGTCTTCCCAGTAGCCTGCTGCTACAGGGGGTGGTGAGCCCTTGGGACCGTTACCACTGCCGCTGCCGCTGCCAACGGCGGGTGTATCGAGGTTGTGTTTGACGGCAGCGGCGTTGTTGGTTGTTTGCGTCATGTTAATGAAGAATGTCGAGGCATCGATATATCGTTGTTTTGGTGGTATGAGTCTGCAGTGGGTGAGTCTAGGGCTGCACTGCACTTCGGGCTTACCGGGACGGTCCGGTTATATGCGCGCTGAGATGTGTGTCTATATTAGGAAGACCTCTGACGGCGATGGCAGTGCCCGGCGCTTCGTCCTCTGATGTAAGCAAAGACGATCAGTCTCGTATGGGCAGCATGGCTGGCAAGTCTGGCATAAAATGGGAGGGCAGCATCCTATCGAATTCTTAACCGCTCGGCTCCCTGTCCTCCCTACCCTACGCACAGCAGAGACCCATGAAGTGGTCTCCTTTACCGCGAGGCTGTGACTGGAAGCCATCAGGGTCTCTGAGACAACACAAGGAATCCACCTGGGGGCAAACCACCCTCTCTCAGACCGAGCGACAAGTGGATTGTTTTCAGCCTCATCGGCCATATTCGAGTTCCAGCAAGTTTTATCAAGTCACGGTCCAAACTCATGGCTCACATGTTCAGCCAGCCTCTCATTAAACATTGCACCAATAAGCTCATCTCCAGACCCTCCGTATGCCAGTGGACAGTCCCTTCGGCAGTAGCCCTGCTTCCTATGGCGAATCATGGGACAGTCACCCTCCTCACCCCAGTTCGAGTCACATCTTACCCCGCTCGAGACAGTAAATAGGAGACAAGTGCACAGCACGTTCCGGTGCTCCGGGTTTCTGAGAAGGGTTGATTCGTCAGGGCATATATCGATCTCTGCCCAGAGTCCGATGAGTATTGTCTAGCTGCATACGCAGTTCATGTGCGAAGAGCCAGCCTTGTTACCTACACATACACATGCACAAAACCGGGAAACCACAGGGGATTATGATGTGAGCGTGCAAGCACTGATGGATATCATTTGAGCAGATCATGAATGAGTTCTGAATCAGACGGACTTCGGACCGTCAGGCGCTGCCCACCATGTTTCAGACAGATGCTGTGTGTTGTCTAACGGCATACTACCCCGCTTCAGACGAGGTTCATACTTGCACCTTATCGATGACAAATGACCTTACCTTGTAGACAGCAATAGAACTACGAGGAGGAAGCCTTACCGGCTTCAGATAACAGTACGTCACAACAGGCTCTGATACATAATGCCACTTGGAGGCGGGGTGAGAGGGCGGATACACTTGCTACACTACATATTTAGGGTCCACGGCCCCTCCCGCTGCCACACTCGGTCCACCAGGTCCTTCTTCTACGCCACAGATCACTCAATATCAGTGTATGAGAACTGTTCTTGGATCTATCTTCAGAAAGACAGCATCGTCCGTCTATAAAGGAATACTCTCTCGATCTTCACCCATCATGTCGGCCATCCTGCCCATCGCAACCTCTGCCCTCCACGCAGCCAAGTAAGCTATCAAGTGTCCTCGTGTCTTACTTTATTTTCTCCTTCTCAGCCACAACTCGCGCCATATAACCCGAATCCCCCGCCCCTCGATCACAAAGCTAACAACCCAGAACCCCTACCGCCACCCTCCTCCACGCAACGGCCTCCGCAGCCCAACAGACCCCGAAGCCCACCGCCAGCACCAAGAACCAACCATGGAAAGCGTTCTGGCCACTCGACCCGGCCAAGTACACCGAGGTGCAGCGCCAGCAGATGCCGTGGCTCACGTACAAGTATGACCCGACACGGCCGAACGAGCGGCCGTGGCGCAAGTGGATGCTGCAGAACCAGAGTACGGTTGTGAGAAGGGGGGCTTGGTAGTTTATTCTTTGGACTCCTTCCTTGTGTCCCTGACTTGGATGTGGGCTGTGGTTCTGGGAGTAAGGCAACGATGTTTTTGTTGTAGTGGGAGGAAGGGAGGGGTTGGTTGGATATGGACAGGGGTTAGGGGAGGGAGATTTAGTTTCAGATGTGTGGAGGCTGATAGTATGAATGGAATATTCAGAATCAAGCCGTGTTGTTATTTTCTCTGCTACTGCAATTCAGACACTCGGTGATTGTTTCGTGAGGCTCTATTGCGTTTACTAGTAAACGAGGAAGTGTATTGTAGGAGTAAGGTTACAACCACGTATTTACTCGGACAGGCAGTGTTATGCTCGGAAATTAGTGTTCCGTTATATTGAAGGATTGGAAAAGCAAAACCGCATCCCTCCCGTCAGATTAGTCCAGACTGATATAACCCTGAGCAACCAATCGAACCCCAGATCAGCCCTCCACAATTCTTCGTAACTTACCTCAGGTACTTGTGCCAGTCAACTGACTCCCCACGCGTTAACCCCCTGTCAATGTTTGCTACCGACACCTCCGCGTCATCTTTACATGGAATATGTCGGCATTCAAGAATTAAAAAATCACAGCCTTCCCAACCGCTCATTCTCCAGCCCAAAGTCGCCCGCCGGAACTGACGTCTCGAGTCCCAGCAGCAACTCGCTCATCAGCTTCCCACTCCCGGGTCCAAGCGTCACCCCGTCGCTATTATGCGCAGTGTTGATATACAGCCCGCCAATGACAGGCGATACGGGGCCGTCGACCACGCTGATTCGGTCCCTGTCACCACCACCATCATGATTATCATCCCTCTTCCTCTCCTCGCCCAGCAACCCCCACGGCACCCTCGTAATAACCGGCCTATTCGGCTCCGCCAACGGCCGATAACACCTCCCCGCACTAACAATCTCAATCTCACCCCTCTGCTCTGCTGACCCCAGATCCAGCACCCGCGTAGCAACCTCAATCATCGCCTCAATCTCGCCCGGCTGCGGCCCAATATCATCCGCCTCGCTCGGCAATTCCTCCGGCACGGCGCCCCACCCACCGAGATACAGATACCCACCGAGGAACGAGGTGACGTCGAGGCGGGTACCGCCGGGGAGGACGTTGTTGAAGAAGACCTGCGTGACGCCACTTTCGTCTTCTTCTTCTCCGCAATCCGGCTTCCAGTGTGGGTTGCGGATCAGCAAGTGGTTTCCGGCGGTGCGGTTGCTTGTCTTGTTCATGCGGAGTTTGACGGAGCTGTTGGGGAAGAGCGTGGAGAGGACGCGCGGGGTCCAGGGGCCTGCGGCGACGACGAGGGCGTTGCAGGGGAGGACTTCGGGTTGTGTGTTTGTTGTTGATGTACTTGTTTCCTGTGCTGCTGCGCTTGGATCATCTGTATAGGATGGCGACGGATCGCTGGGTGTCGTTGTTTGCTCGATTGTTACGCTGGTGAATTGCTCGCTGGTTGGTGAGCGAGCGAGGGATGTTGCGTGTGCGTTGAAGCGGAACTGGACGCCCAACTCCCTGCATCGGTCGCGGAGGAAGTGGCAGAAGCGACGGGGGTCCCTGTATCATGGTCAACCCGAGAGTGTATGTGTATCTGTGTTGCAGTGACAGGGTATCGAAGAAGCAAAACAGAAGAAAGGAAAACAAAACGTATCAGAAAGAATAAAAAGAAAAAAGCAAGCAAATAGATTATAGAATAATAGCGTAAACAAATACGAGTAGCACAAAAAAAAAAACCAAAGAACGACACATACAAATGTGCAGCATTCGGCGCCTCAGCCATCAAATCAACGACCCAATCATCGCCCGGTTTCACCCAGTCTGGCAGATCGGCGCGACTTTTCCTGACGGGCGCCGCAGGCCCCCAAGAGTCCGGCGGCGAATACTTTCCCCCAAAGCCCTCCGGCGACAGCCGGTAGATGGCCAAGTCGCTGATCCCGTACTGCTGTGTGCCCCCATACGCGGCTGCTAGAGCCTTGTGCAGGGAGTAGGACAGCTGGCCTAGCGGTGAGGTTTGGTCGCTGAAGCCAAAGTCGCCGAGGCCGCCGGTCGCTTCGCCTGATGCAGCTGGGCAGACGTCGTGGGAGGGCTCGATGACGACGATCGGGGGTTTGGGTGTTGATGATGATGTTGCGTTCAGGGCCAAGGCGAGGTAGTAGGCTGTTGAGAGGCCGATGACGCCTGCCCCGAGGATCACGGTACTGGGCGGCTCCGCGGGGGATACTTGGGCGACTACAGAAGGCGAGAGGAGGGTCGGTTGGGCGGCCAGCCTGCCCAGCCCCAGCGGGACGAGCGGTGATGGCAGGTAGGAGAGCAGCCCGGTGAGAAAGCGGTAGAGCTCCATTAGATTGTCCGGTTAAGCTATGCTGGAGCTGAAAGAGCAGCGGAATGAGGCGAGTTAAATCAGGCAAATTTCGCTCTGTGACGCAGCAGACATGGCCAGATGAGCGAAGGGAGTGTGCGGTGGCATGTTTGACGAGGTTTTGGTGGGACAAGGATTTGGCCAGGCTGTGGAAATAAGTAATCTAGTGTTCCTCTGCCCCTTGCATGTGTTACCGTCAGTAAACATGCTCATACAAGCCCTGTACTACTACGCTGCAATATGACTGCGCATGTCGCTCCCAGACGGCTCGCGATAGCTATCTATCGATAATGGTTCAAGCAATCCCATCAATCTATCATGAAGACAATATCAGCGCATCTCCACCGAATCCAACCAAGACCAACACCCCGACCCCAACTACGCCTTCCCATCCCGTTTCAAAGCCCTAGATCAAACATGTCCCTTTCTACACCTCATCCCAAAGATCCCCCCGAACTAACAACCACCGAGTCTGTCCACGAATACCTCCATTCCCTCTCCCTTTCCAGCTCGACAAACCCCTTCTCAAGCAGCCTCACCCCCTTCCTAACCCCTCACGCAATCCGCCGCATAACCCTCGGCTCAACAAACTACACCTACCGCCTCTTCCTGCCTCCCAATTCCGCCGCCAACAATGCGCAAACAAACGACGCAACCACCGCAATCCTAAAATATGCCTCCGCCTACACCGCCGGTGAGCCGCGCGTGCGCTTCGATCCTGCGCGCCAGGCCTTCGAGGTGCGCGCGATGGACGAAATTCCGTGGCCGGAGATCATCCCTGTTCAAAGTCAGGGTCTGCCCCAGGTGAAGATTCCGCGGGTATACTTTGCGGACCCCGCGAGGCGGGTGATTATCATGGAGGATGGGACGCCGAGGACGAGGAGGAAGGAGAGGGAAGACGCGGCGGGTGTTACGATGAATAGCGGGAGCGGCGAGGTTGATGGCGACGATGGGGTCTGGGAGGAACTGTCGCACTCGTCGCGGATCTTTCTTGAAGAGGTGCCTGCGTCGCCGGAGAAGTATGCGACTGCGAGTGTGCTTGGGAGAACGCTGGGGATGTTTCTGGCGAGGATGCATAACTGGGGAAGGGGAGGGAGAGAAGGGGAGGGAGAAGGGGCGACGCCATGGGTGCGTGAGGCGTTTGGTGGGAACACTTATGCGAGGGATCTGACTATCCAAGAAGCGATTGAGGATTTCTGGACGGGTGTTGGATGTTGTGATACTGAGGGAGACAAGAATCGTGTATTAGCGGGGCCACGAGAGGAAGAGGTACGGGAGCGACTGGAGGAAATGCGGAGGAGAATTCTGAGTGATTACGAGACCTTGGTTATGGGCGATTTCTGGTGTGATTCCTTTTCCCCAGACTGGTACCTAAGCTTTTCCTAACATTGTTCCAAGGCCAGGGAACGTCCTCTTACCCTTCTCGAACACCCCCTCCACCTGTCCCTCGCTCTTCCCTATTACCTTGAATATCGCGCAGTCGCTCACCCTCGAAACACTCAGCATAATCGACTGGGAGTTCGCCATGGCCGGCCCGGCCTTCCTGGACGTTGGAAACTTCATTGGCGAGGTCTTCCTAATCAACTACTTCGAACGCAACGACGAGGTTTACACGCGACTACTTGAAGCATTCATCGCAGAGTATGAGACCCATACACCACCGGAAAGGCTGGACATTGGCATGATTCTGCCGTACGCAGGCGCCCATATCGTGCAGGCGCTGCCGCGGAGGATAAATTCGCCCCGGAGTAGGGCGACGCGGGAGAATGCGCAGGGATGCTTGGGGCATGCGCTTGATTTTATTTTGAATGCTAGTTCTAGACCTACTGCTGATCGAGGAGGAGGAGGCACGATAGATTTGCATGGATTATTGGAGATAATGCGGGGGCTACCAGCCCCCTTCAGCGGTCTGAGAGACTATTCTGGACGGGTTGATTCAGAGGGGAGGACCTGAGTACAAAGTCAGTCCTTGCTGTTCAGACTTAAAGAGCAGGACATCCATATATACCTCATCATACGAATTCCCCTCCATTGACCCCTCCGGATAGATGACGACGGCCTGGCACTCAAAACTCTCTCGTGGCCGCGCATTCCTGGGTGCAAGCGGGTCCTCGAACGCAGCATGCGGACATACTGCCGTTGCATAAAAGTTAGCACACGCCTTCGCTTAATGGTCCCCCATTTAGAGAGAGGGAATCTCATAAGTTGTGGTTGTACCTCTCGCATTCCCCTTCGTCGCGCGCGAGTCAAACGTCTTGAACAAGAGCACCTCGTCCGGCTGCTGGTTCTCCAGGTAGTACCAGCGATGCTTCTCATTGTGGATCACGTTGTACGTCTCGCGGATGACGTGCGTGTAGACGTTATCTGAGGCGATGAGGTCGCGCTCGTTGTCGAGCGAGGTATAATCTAGCAGGGCGAGCGGCCAGTCTTGCAGGGGGCCGAATAGTGGCTTCCATGTACTGGGTACATTCATTATTAGCACTACAGTAGCAGCGAAGCAAACCTGACAAAGTAAAGGGGAGGGAGAGACGTGCCTGATTACCTGCCACCGCCGGCCTTTCAGTGTGGTATACCCTCTTTCAACGAGGGCGCCGCCGATTTCGGATTGCGCGCAGTCTGGGGTGAAATCTTGCTATGCCTTTAGTTACCTGCGACACAGACTGCAAGTTGTAATTTTGGGATAGGAAGACGAACCAACGTGAACCCCCTGCACGGGCTGAGGTTTCGACGCATCGCTGCCACGGGGGAGAGCAGGGAACTGCGGATCTCGACGACGGATCTAACACAATGGCACGTCAAAGTTACCTTTACAGCAGAGTGAAATCTCGAAGGGAAAAAAAGATAAAAGAGGGGAGAGCGTACCTGATTCGAAAACGCAACCACATCCTCAACCCCCTCCATCTTCCTCCTGAGGAACGACTCCACCGCGCCAAAAAGCCTCTTCTGATGCCTCTGATGCTCCATATACTCCTCATACGCAAGACAATCATACAACGAGTCGGGACCCCTTTTATCCTCAACCGCAACCGCGAAACCATTCCGATCGAGCGTAAACGCGTCTAGCTGCCCGCGCAGACCCTGCACGGGAATATTGGAGTGGGGAACCGAGACCTCGTTGCATTGCTGGCCGGGTGGGAGGCTCCAGGCGGGGATGTTGATGTGGTAAGGCTTGGTGTGCTGGTATTCGGGGCGGTTTTCGAGGTATTGGAATGTGGCGTAGGTTGTTAGGGGTTTGGCGTGGGTGTTGGTTCTGATGTGTCGGAGGAGGTCGGTCGGGGGGCGGAGGGGGAGGGTTCGGGACTACGAGAACCACAAGGCTGTTAGCTCTTCATGGTAGGTATATTGGAGCGCAGGTATGAACCGTTGACTGTAGAAACTTGTGCATTGTCAAGGTTCCGTATGAGTTGCGTGTAGGAATGGCGGGATGAGCGACGGGTCTGCAGCTCGAGTCCAAAGAGGGTTGGGCAATCGACAGCCTTAAGTATGTACACCAGAAAAGAGGGGTTAGCTAATTCTGATAGGTCTAATTAAGATTCGTGCGTGCACCAACTCTAGCTCTGTGTTTGCCTATCGTTGGTCTTGCCTACCAGGTGGTTGAAAACTATCAATTTATGCTGGAGTTGCTATAATCTAGACCCAAATTTACCATCTCCCGCCCTCAGCTTCAATCCCCTAATTATCATCATCATCATCATCCTCGCCCGAAAGCAGAGGCTCCTGCGACTCATCTACTTCTTCCTCCCCGTCTCCACCTCCCAGCATAACAGGCTTCTCCGTCAGCGCACAGGAGATCAAAAACGCGACGAAGAATATACCCTACGCATTCGATTAGTAACCTGCAATCACCTAACAGTTGAATAAATCGTTTGGACATACCGTGAGGACCAAAAACGGTAGGACGATCCACCTCCCTCCCAATTTCAGAGCACGGCTCCACACAGACTGCAGCAACGGGCTCGCGATCATATGCGCAATGGCATCGGTTGTCGCGACCAGGGTGTACAGCTGGCCTGTGTCACGGGCCGAGTTGACGAACGAGGTCAGGACGGCTAGAATGGAGAGTCTTACACCGAAGCCCGCGGCGTAGACGATCAACGCTATAGACGTAAGATATGGTTGTTAGTATGATATAAAAGGAGTTCAAGGCACGTTTAGAGCCCTTACCGAGAATAACGAAGCCTAGCGTCGACGCAGCCGAGAGAATCACCGCTCCGGAAACGAGAAGTGCGCTGCTTACTCTGGCCACATATATGTTGATGGTTGTCGTGGACCAGCCCGCGCGTTTCTTCAGTACAGAAGTAGCTGCAGGTAGGATCACCAGGAACACTACTAGATTCACCGCCGAGACGAGGGAGAGGAGAGTTGCAGACTATACAAAAGTTAGCATTCACGAGCGCGAGTTTCAGTAGCATCATCACATACCTCGCCAATCTCGAGACCAAAGCGGACAGACGTGTACGGTAGGAGAATTTCAATCGTGTTGCTCCGGAACTGCACCAGAAAGACTGTCGCAACGCCGACTAGAATCCTGAGATCCTTCAAAAACCGAATGTATTTCTTCACACCCACGGCCTCGAACGGGGTCTCTTCCTCGTCGTCCTCGGGCCTTACTAGTAGGGTCTCTGGCATGTATTGCACGATTGGCCCCGTAAGAAGCAGTGCAAGTGCGCAGACAAGGTACGGAAGCCACAGCGAGTGCTTCAGGGTGCTGTACGTGATAAGAGGCCCGATGAGGTCCGTGACAAGGACTGCCGAGTAGACTCGATAGAATGAGTTGCTCCTGGTCATGGTTCAGTAGGTCGCCCTGTGCAGTCTTTTTTTTCATTCTCACCTGTTAGCCTCGCTCGACAGATCGGAAACCATGGTCAGACACATTGCGATGGCTATCGCGGGGCCGCCTCCGATTATGCGGAATAGCGACGAGACCCAGACGACCTCGACGGGGATATGCTTCCAAGAAGCGCCTGAGAGGTATGTTATTAGATCGCATCCACTGGATCAGGATAAATTACTCACAGGTCATGTAAATCCATCCTAACGAACAAAGCAGTCCAAAAACAGCCAAGGCAAAAGCAGGACGACGACCGCGTTTGTCTGCAATCTTCCCAAATGCAGGGCCAAAAATCAATACTATCAACAGATCAGCCAGCCTATCCCAACAGGAACAACATAAAAAAAAGGTCATGGGATAATGAAGTGAAGAAAGGCGGTCACTTACGCGGCAGGCTATCAAAAAAGCTCAACAAGCCGCGGACGTGAGCAAGTTTGACCTGAATCGAGTCTTCCTTGCACATAAACTCGTCTACGGGCCCGTCGAGCTGCTTATCGCGATAGTAGCGTTGGCAGATGGCATTCTCGAGGAGGCGGATGGTCGGCGCGCGCTGCACGCTTTCCTCCAGCTCTAGCAGAGTAACGAGGCAAAAGATGAATAGAAGAGTCGGAGGGTTTCTGATGAACGACCAGACGCGCTGGAAGATCTCTTGCCGTTGGATCATGATGCGATGATGGCGGGTTAGATGGAGGTAGTGGGGTGGCATGCTAAGGGATGGGGCGGAAACTCTGGGAAGAGACAGAGACAGAAACAGAGCCTCAATCTGGCAAGGGATAGATAGTCACATGTCTGCCAGGTCAGACGTTCTTGACACAAAAGCGTGGAATTACGAGGGTTTCCAAAAGCAACACACTGCGCCAATCAGCCTCCAACTTAAAATGCGACCGATCAAGGGGCCGGGATCCAGCAGGAGTCGGTCAATAAATGGCGCATTTACAAGACGAGCTTGTTGTTCAATACAGTAAGACGTCGTCAGTTTCATGATTTCATTTCAATTCAGGCGGTCGATACTCTCAAACCCGGCTATCCTAATGCATAATTATTGGCATGGACAGCTCCTAAAGATGGGAAAGGTCGCGTCAGCAAGTCCATGTGCGACTTTGACAGCGCGTTTGCGAAAAGGGAGAGCGGCATGGGCGCTAGCCCCAAAAAAACAAATAGATAAGCGGACAGAAAGCCTTGTCTCTCATCTTGCGGTCAGTCAGTTATGTGTGGCCAGGAACCTGGCCGTCTCATAGCTGTAGGACACCTGAATGCTAAGTACCAGGGAATTATTACCTTGTAAATGCGGAGACCCTCCCTGTTTCCTAAACCCTGGTCTGTGGAGAAATAATAATCCGATATTCCTGAAGAAAATACCTACTAGTGGTTGGAACCCGTAGGAAGCTAGGATATTGAAGCGCTTTCACTCTGTTTTGCATTATTAAATGTTGATACTGTTCACCATGAGAGCTTACTATTCTTAGTGGTATAGTGATGCTCGAAATCAGTCTAACCTTCAAACACTTATTGATTGTTTGTTGACCCCACCATCAAGTTCTTGGCAGAAGTGACTTATTGAGCTATTTTCGGCGTCCATGGTATATACCATCATTATGCAAGCATTCGCGCATACTGTCAAGTAGTTAACAACAGCTTCGATAACGACAACAGCCCTGCTGGGTGGCAAATTTCCCTTATTCCTTTAGTTTCGAGCAACGCATCCACCAAGAACGAAATGCGTGTTAATTCTACCCTTGTTTCAAGCCGTTGAGCCTCTATTGCGTCTCAAATAATGAATTTGGATGTTCGTCCATCCGTTGTCTGATACAGAAGAAGTCAAAACTAGTGTCACTCCCCAACATACTTTATTTGTCCCAGAAACTCTAATTTGTACATAAACGGTAAAGTGCCAACTTAACGGCTTGGCAACTCCATCTACTTATCTTTATTTTGCAATCCTACCATTCACATATAGTCTAGTGTACACCTAATCAGAGAAGGAGAAGACCCGGGAGGGGTGACACTGATTTCGGCTTCCTCTGTACAGTATATGCTTCAGGGCAAAGCTCAAACGCGGGAGCAAAAACAACTCTATCCAAATAGATCTTAGCTTCATTGAGGATACGATCCATCGCTCAACTACTCACGTCGAGGTACAGTATCACTAAGTTCAACAAACCCAGAGTATATCGACCTACAGGGTTTCTCGAAATCGGCCTGACCTATAAACACACGTTTCTGCTTTCTATCCCCACTGCCAACGCTGCAAATATATTTGACACTCAAACAATTTGTGACCAATCACCAGTTCATGATGATTATTTAACACTATGAAGACCCAAATTTTCCTATTTCACGGAAATCGGGAAGTGGGTCAATCAGAACTCTCTTCATTTGTTTAAAGGTCAAACCGATTTCGAGCATCACTGTACAGAAACGGAGTCGAGATGCCTGCCATCACCATGGATGAGGTAGAGCGGCAGCTGTTCGCAGCAAAATCATGGAAGGCACCTGGAGAAGACGGCCTACTGGCGATAGTTTAGAAGATGACCTGGCCCGTGGTCAAACACAGGGTTCTTGACCTGTTCCAAGCGTTGCTAGAAGAGGGCCCGTTACTAAGCTCGTGGAGACATGTAAAGATCATCCCACTTAAAAAGCTAAATAAAGAGAACTACATTATTATAAAAGCCTAGCGGCCGATTTCACTTCTAGCAACACTAGGAAAGGTAGTAGAATTAGTAATGGTAGAAAGGATCTCACACATAATAGAGATATACAGCTTGCTCCTAACTAGTCACTTTATGGCCTAAAAATAGTGATTCGTAGAACAGGCACTCCTGCTCCTATAGGAACAAATCTACACGGCCTAGCATGGCTGATGATCGTGAGCTTGATTAGCTTCAATGTTAAAGGAGCCTACAATAGGGTCTGTAAAGAAAGACTACTTTAGAGGATGAAAGCGCAAGGCATACTAGAAGTGCTACTCTAGTGGGTCAAGGCCTTCTGCCTAGAATAAATAGCGACTATCTAAATTAATAGACAAGGGTCTAAGGTACAAAGCCTCCCATAGGCAGGACTACTAAAGGGGTCTCCCCTATTGCTAATTCTATACCTTTTCTTCAACGTAGACCTCATGCAACGACAGATTAATAGCCAAGGGGGAGTAATTACCTTCGTGGATGAGTTCACTATATAGGTGACCAGGCCAACTGCGCAGAGCAACTAGGAAGGTATTAATGTAATTATTAATAAAGCTCTTGACTAGGAGAGGAGGAGTAGAGTAATATTTAGAGTAGAGAAAACGGCTATTATACACTTTACCCCTAAAGCACATAAATTAGAACAGGAGCCTTTCACTATTAAGGGGCAAGCTATTAAACCTAAAGGATTAAGTCTATCCTTAGGCAAGCGGATTCCGTTGTGGTTTTTTGATATATCGCTCCACAGTATAGTCAGAAAGACGTCCTCCAACCAAGCTTTCAAGATTAAAGCCGACCCCCGCCCTCAAGCTCCACACAGGCCGGCCCGCCCAATACACTCCAAGTGGCAACGCCGTACATCGCGAGGGTTCAAATCTGGCCAGAGATCCCATCGGCCGTTGCAAAAGGATGGATCGTGGGGCGGAATGTCGTTTACGATGGACGGGTCGGTTGCTGATATACTCACCTTGAGATCCCGGGTTTCGTATGCACTGTCTCGGGGTGGGCGAGGGTCCAGGTCCGATACTGCGTCGTTTGATGATTTGAGGGCGCGGATTCGGGCGCCTGCTGATTGGAGTTCTTGAGGTACTGCCGAGTAAGAACTGTTTCTTTGCAAGGCCATTTGACGATACTCGATGCAGTGGTGAAGAACTGTTGGGAATTCCAGAGTGATGCCGGTCATTAAGCTTTCGGCGAGTGGCGTGAGTTCATCTGACAAAGACGCCTACTGGTTATATTAGAGCTCAATGCACAAAAACGTGGCAGAGAGTTGCAAAGTCCCAACTCACAATGTACATCTTCCGTTCTGGCGACAGACTGAGTAGAAGTACTAGATGTCCTGGTCCGTCAGGAAAAACATAGTCTGGAGAGATATACTCGCCGTACGACAGGGTAGACATATGCAAACCATAAAACGCTCTATGCAGCCATTTGTGGTAGTGCAGAAACAGACCTTGACTCGCCAACTCGACGATCTGGAGCTCCTCCTGAGCCAGACCAGGTGCAAGTTGATCTTGATATCATACGGGATTAGAACTGCGCTCAGAGGGCTTAGTTGAGATCCTGTTTTAGTTGCGTGTAACTCCGTACTTTGGCCTTTAAAACCAAGCTAGAAGCTGCCGTATGTTCACACGTCGGGGCAGTGCTGAGCGTTCCAAACCTTGAACGGCAAAGAGCCTTAGCAACGGGGTTCTATCGCCAACGCCTCGGTAAAAGCAGAACTTTGTATACAATGACGCACGCTTCGCAGGTATAAAAGTCTCGAGTTTGCCTCGCGTCTCTCTCATTTGACCATCCAGCGCATTTCATCCGACACAATCAAACCACAATCACCCTTCTCAAAAGCCGACTTTCTTATATTCCCATCTTCAAATTTTAACAATCTCGATCCAACACCATGGGCTCTGTCGAAAACACCAAGTCCCGCAAGGCCATCAAGGTCCGCGTGCCAGTCTCCGTCTGGGTATCGATCTCCTCAAGCTGGACCGCGACTTGAACCAGCGAGCCCCCTCCGCCAGCGTCCAAATCGAAGAAGAAGGCGGCCGCATCCGCAGATTCCTCAGGGAAACCGCCGTGAAGTGCTGACTAAAACACCCACGTCTCATGAAGGGCATTCTTATTTTCTTCGGCGGACCCATGGTCATCGTCGCTGGGGCGGCGCTTGATGTTGGTGGTTTGGTTGTCGCTGTGCCGTTTGCGCTTGTTTGCAGAAGGGCTGAGATGGTTCTTGGGCCTGTCGTTGCTGGTGCGGTGCTAATTGGTTGTTGCCGATGTGGCCGTCCTCTTTCCTAGATGTTTTGGTGGGCGTTTGTTCTTTGGCGTTTGAGACTTGATGCTTCTCATTCCTGAGGCTGTTTTCTGTTTGCTTTATTGGGGTTTTGTTCTTGGGTGTGTGATTCCCGGGCCTTGAATGTAGCAGATTCTTTTTTTCTTTTTTGTTTTCCCAAAGCTCTCGGATTGTATTTTTAATCCCCTGGTGGTTGCGTGAGTTTAAATATATCCTCCATCAAGTTGAACGAGATATCACCTTCAAATAGAGGCGGTTAGCAGGCTGGACAAGATATTGCTTGATATGCGCGCAAGTTACCACTAGCTATGTCATTGTCTATTCCAGTTCAGCTCCCGCTTCGAATACATAACTAGGTATTGATGGATATCTAAGAGTCGTGTGCCATTACCGGAGTGCGGCGCAAATTATGATAGTTTCAGTCACCACATTTATTGAAGGCTAGAAGAGAGGCTAGAATGTAGTTGGACTGACAGTAGCACGAAGAATGCTGATTGCCGATAGACAGGTTCGTCATACTGACAAGTCGAGTCCCTAAGCCTTTGGCAGATCTTGGCCTGACTTACAAAGAGAGAAGTAGATCAACAAAGCCAGACTAACGGCCAAGTCAACCCTGAAAAATCACTCCAATGCCTGAAACAGAATTAAGCTTCATCAGGCCTTATTCCCTTTAGAGTATGTCTACTAGTTGCATGCTCCTTTATCTAATGGCTTCTCTGCAAAGGATCCCAGGGCAAAGGATTTGGCCATACTATGGACATGAGAACCCTTGTTACCTTTGTCGCAAGGCTCCATGGCTTATCATCTGCGCTTGTTAATTGTTCCATAGTTTCTTTACCCTCATGTACACTTTCCCTGAAACCGTTGTCTCTAAGTTTTACCTCAAACCTCTGAGTAAAGAACTGTATAGACAACGACGCAGGATTGCCCGGGTATAAAAGCTGCCATCCCCACCTCCCCTAACGAGTCTCTCATTCATCCCGGCCCATCTCGCACTCCCAGCAGCACAGCCACCCATCTCAACCTCTTAGCAACATTTTAACTCCCCAATTCACTAATCCAAAACACAAAAAACCATGCCTTTCATCAAGACAATCCGCCCCTTTAAGGCCCGCAAGGCCACCGCAGCCCAATCCCCGATCCCCGTCGAGACAACGACCTCGACCGCGAACGCAACCACGAGTCCCTTCTCGCCCCTCGAAGTCGAAGAACCCAAGCTCCGCAAGCGCGACCGGGTCCGCAAGACTCTGAAGAAAACCAGCAAGACTTGCCGTCTGGTTCTGCGCACAATCAAGAAAGTGATTCTGGTGGTTGCCACCGCTATCGCCGGCGTTCTTGGTGCGGTATGTGCCATCTGCCTTGATATTATTGCTATAGCTCTCCTGTTCGCTTGGTGGATCATCAAGTTTGTCTGTGGAGCGCTGGTTGTGCTTGTTGCTTGTCCTTTTATTGCGTTGCGAGTATTTTGGGGTGGGTCTGAGTTACTGTAGTGATCTAGTACGGAGTACTTTATCTCCCTCTTTTTTTTTTTTTGTCTTTGGGTTGTGTAGTTTCATTATGTTAGTTTTTGTGGTGCATGCTGGGGGGATGAGTTGGATATCTGTTTTATGCCTTTTTTCACTACATTCTTTAGAAAGACACCAAAAAGATAGGTCCTGGGATTGGGCTGAGCTCTATTTTATCTGTTTTCAATATCTAGTACTTCAACATGGACCACAGTAATGTAAAATAGACATCTACCCTTTAGAGCGTATTACCAAAACGTGGTGAAGAAGTTTAGTGATCAAACCCCTTGACATACAAAGAGAAGAGCCGAGGACAAAGTCAGACCAGGTAAAACCAGATCCGATCCACGCATTGACAATGTCCGCAAAAAAAGCAAGCTTTGTTATTATTCTTCCTTGAGAGAACGCCACTACCCGTTTTGGGTACTCTTTGTCATGGCCCGCCTACAAAGTATTACAAGTCACCGGTTCATACGTTCCTAGTGTAATGGTAGCCCCATGGATATATCCTCCAGCGAGAGTACCTAGTGCAGCACCAGATCAAAAGGCTACGTCAAGTAGCCTCCGACTGAGAAACCCCGTTTATCCTAACTTCGCAAACTTGGGCACTCGGCATACGCCCGAAGATTTGACCTGATTGGCGACGTATTGTTTGGAGTTCGTAAAGTAGGCCATGTAGCATGGACATACTATCTCGGCAGTATCAGATTAACTCTCAGGCAAGCTATAGACAAACAAAAGAAAAGATACTGTACAGAATTCGGCAAATCCAGATTCCACCCCCTCGATCCTTCCAGTTACCATACCACTTAATGAAACAAACGGCTCAATCAGTGAGACCCCCATCCCAGCCTCGCCTTGGAAGACTTCATATTCGCCTTTGACGCATCCACAATGGCCGAGATCCACTGCTTCTCTCCACCACCCTCACCCTCTTTCTGTCCTCCAGTTTGCGCGATAGGGAACCGCGCTGACGCTGGACGATCATCAAAAGTCAGCAATCGCTCTTCTCATCCCCAAATCACAAAAAGAAAAGAAAGAAAAGAAGAAACATACCCAACCCCATCGGCCTATAATTCAAATAAACATTCTCCCACCGCCCCGCATCCGCCTCGTACACCTCATGACAGATGCTGATCTCCGGATGTTCCTTGCTGTTCCGGCTCCACCAATCCCAGCCCTTGCGGTGGATGGGCCCGTGCGCGAACTTGTGCACGCCCTCCAGCGAGCGGAAGTAGAAGATGGTCATTATCTCGCGCGATGCATTGATGGCGGGGTCGGTGTTGGAGACCCAGCGCGTGCTTGTTAGGTCTTTTCGTGGGGTTAGTTAGCTTGGTTGCTTGCGATTTTGGGGAATGAGCAGTGATGAGGGCATTTGAAGTGGGAGGGGATGGGAGCGGAGACGTACAGGAGTACTCGTCGCGATTCGCCTCGAGGTCAGCGACCATGTCGGCGTAGAGCTGGGCGACCTTCTGGTATCCCGGGCTGAAGATTCCGAGGGGGCTGTACCGTCCCAATTCGTCAGCACTAGTCCAAGGCCCCTCCGTAGCCATGAGGAGTTTGCGACTTACTGATTCGATTTACTGCCCAACATGATCACAGCGACCTTGTCGCGACTGGGCCGGTCCCCAAAGCTCCCATCCGCAAAGGGGATCTGCGCCGAGAACTTTTCGCGAATCACGCCGTCCATGGCCGGGTTCCGTTTCACGCCGTACATCATCAGGAACACGTCGGTGGCGCGGTAGAGCAAGATCAGCAGTGCCGATATCACTGTGAATCGGAATGCGCTTGGGAAGAGCCATGTCAATGTCCCTTGGAGGGCGGCGGCGGCGAGGAGCCAGGTGGAGGGTTGGAAGTTGTTGAATAGGAGCTTGTGTTTCGTTAGTCTTTTCTTCTCTTTTTCTTCTAGGGGTGGGGAGGGGGAGGGCGTACGGTTTGGCGGGGGATGCTGGTGCTTTGGTCGAGCGAGGTTGGTGGTCTGGTGGTCGTTGGGTCGAGGAGGGGGTTGAGGGGTGCCATTTCGATTGGATTTGAGCTGTATTCCTGCGATGGGAGCCGATGTTTGAATGTCTGAATGTGTTTAACAAATTCAACGGCGCGGAAATCCTTATATAGTTGATACCAGTATGTTTCTGCCTGACTCACAACACTGCTGGGCAGATCCACCGCGCTCAAAAGCTTGACGAAGCGAAGCCGACGCGGAGGGATCAATCGCCCATCGGTCTGTGGGGAGAAACCCAGACCGACCGCCCCTTCGAATCAGGGAACAGGATTAGCGAAGGACCGATGGTTAAGGCCACCAAAGCCAAGCCGGAAAGCGCGGCGAGCTGGAGAGCGCGCGGTCTTTGTTCGTCCGTTGAGCATGGGCTGCCGATCGATGGACGAATGATATGCTGGGACTTTGCGGTGGTCGGAGTTGGACTCGTGGCTGTTTAGGGGCTGTGGCGCTTACGGCCGTAAGACTGTGGAGGCGAGATGGGAGGAAGAAGATTGTGGAGTCACAGAGTGAAGTCCGACTCTACGTCGGATTATTTTCTGCCTAATACAGGATAGAGTATTTGACTCATCGCCATGGTCATGCCATGCCTGATTACATTCGTTGGGGATCTGTAGCCCGTGTCCGTGTCCATGTCCGTGTCCGTGTCCCTCGCCAACACCAAAGGTAAAAGAAACACATGTGATCCCAATAAATCCCAAACGCCGAAGAAACCGTACCAGTATCCCCCCCTAGACGCCAATCAAGATCGCGCACCGCAGTTGCATAGGTCAAAAGCACCAAAGAGCACCACCAACTCCAAAGCTAAACAGACCAGAAAGAAAACGATTCCCAAAAATGAAGTCATCACACGAGGGTTCTCTAAAAAGAGCGGGCACGGAGAGCTAATCGTCAACACCTGCAGCAACAACAACAACATCAACAACAACATCAACAACAACATCAACAACAACATCGTCTATCGCCGACGGAGAGGATAAGGAATCAAAGACCTGAAACACGCACCGAGCAAGTCCTTCGTCGCCGTATACGCCTTCCTCGCCTTCCCGACAACACTCCGCTCATATCTCTCGCGATCCTTGGCTTCCTGCTCCGCCATGATGATGCCCACACTCTTGCACTTGTCCTCCTGCAGCCTCGCCCGCATTTTGTCGAGCCAGACGAAGCGCATCATGGTTTCCCTGGTGGCGCCGAAGCGGTATTGCATGTACCGCCAGTCGTCTCTGTCGACGAGGATCTTTGCGCGCTCGACTTTCGAGTGCAGGAGGAAGGCGTCTTGGAGGGTTCCCGGGTTTCCGCTGATGGTTGCGCCGCATTGCACGAGTTCGATTGTGTGGTTCTTGAGCTCGACGGCGAAGATGAGGGTTGGGATTATGTGTTCGCCGGGTGCGTACTTGAAGCCCACGTATTTGATGAACTTTTGAACGGTCATGAGATAGCCGACGTCCAGCTGCTTCAACTTGAGGGTGAGAAAAGGTGTTAGCTGAGGAAGGTTAAGACTCGGTCGGAAGCAAGGCACTTACCTGAGCTGGAAGACGAAGCCGCTCCAGTGCCTTGGCCGCTACCCTCTCCGGAGTGGGTTCAGTCCGCTCACGTCTTTCGGACACGATGACAGAGTATGGAGCAAAGGAGACTGATTTCTTTGCCATGACGACGGTTGGGCGATGTTGTTTGAGATATGATGTGGATTGTCCTGTTCCAACGAAAGGATTGGTCAACAGAGTGTGAGATGACAGACGCAGACCGGCTGGAGTCGAAGAAGGAGTGTCAAGCAATAGCCTCGAAGTGGTGATCCGAGTTGTGTGTGGAAGAGGAGAAGTAGGATCGAGGACTGTGGAATGGGTTCGAGAACGTCGTTCAAGACGAGCTTGGGATAGAGTTGAAAAGGTTGGTTGAGTGATCTTGAGGCGGTAACGACAGATAAGCTCAAGTTTATGAAGGTGTCACTCCGGAATGGTCGTCGAAGGTGGCAGAAAGATGGTGAAGAGGAATTAGAGTGTGGTATGAAGAGCTGGCGAGTTGTGGTGAAGCGCGTGTTCAAAGTACTTGGAGTGTTTTGAACCGTTGGTTGAGTCAACCTTGGTGAATGCCTTCACACGAGAACAACAGAAGACCGAAGAAACTGAGAAACCTGCCGACACGAGAGCACAGAGCTTGACAGGAAGAAATTACAGACAGGTTTAACGACAGAAGGGCTTTCGCGAACACGTTTGTGGAATGGTTGAAAGCTGGTTGACAGAGTCGTTCACAGGGAAGTTGAGGCAGACAGAAGCCGGAGAGAGCAGAGGCAGAACTTTGAGGATCGATCGCACGAACTGATGAGATATAATCTCTGCAGGAGAGAGGAGAAAGCAGTTGAGAAGAGACTGGAGACCAGAGATAGCAAGGAGACGTGGCGGGGTGACTGGGAGAAAATGTGAAGAGGAAATCTGGGCAGATCCCTGGACAGAACTGCGCAACACGCTCTCGCAGAAACAGAGATAAACAGGCAAGAAAATACAGGCGGGGCAGAATGTATGTGAGTATCCTCAGATGGCTTCGATTCCTCGCAGCTTGAGAGATGGAACTGATCAACAGGGCCTCGGACGCAGAGTTGGAAAGAAAGCTTCAAAACGAACGAACAAAAGTCCACGAAGACGTGAGAAAGAAGAATACAGACATGCGCTCAGAGATCGAGGAAACTACCCCATTTATACCCTCGAGCGTGATCTCGACAACCAAATCAAGCTCATTCACATCTTCCAGTCTAACATCACAGCTCAGTGAAGCTCTTGATCTGGCGTGTGGAATTGACCAATAATCGTTGTCCAGCCACAGTCCCTGCAGGTCCCTGATTTGACGCTAACGCCTATTGGCGATAATGAATGCAGGCGGTTCCACTGCTGCCTAGAGCTGTGAATGAACGCAGCTTATCCGGGGACGGAGACTCTTGTTTTTCCATACCTTTGTTTGCCAGCCTCGCCCCACTCATGCAGACTCTGCGAGTCCAGCTGAGGGGCGCGTCTGCTGGAAGATTTACCGGGGGAAGCAGGGAAAACATGTGATCAGCTGGCAGTTGACGTCAGTCAACGAAGGGGAAAAGTCTTCTACGAGGTGTTTTGGTTATTGGAGACCTGAAGTGGAAGAGCCACAATCTTCAAGAAGTGTGGCTTGAGAGGGCGCCAGGGTCTAAAGCTTGTTATTTTCTGACAGACGCACATTGGAAATAACCCCTGGTCTAGTATGATCCAAGATCTCAGCCTAGTGACAGTTCCCAGGCCCGCCACGAGTCGTCCCTGAGCAGCGCTGCCTCGACCCCGACCACGGATTCCGCATCTCTCCATCAGCAGCAGACCAAGCCCGATCCCCCGCCACTTTTTAGAGCCTTATCCGCGGAATCAATTCCTCTTGATTACGTCCAAAGCCCATGCCCGAGAGAACGAAGCTCTATGGAAGTCGGCATCGATGCCTCCCTCTGATTGGCTCGTTGGATACCCGGACCGGGTATTGAGCTTCAGCCCGCGCCCGGTTGTGCCACCATCTACACCCATGTATAGCCTACCCGATTAAATGTTGAGCTCAGAATGTTGAGTTTGTATGACGCTGCCAATGGCTATAAAGACGGGCAAGAAGGAGCAATGCTTGAGTCGAAACAACCAAGAACAATTCGAATCTGAATCCGAAACAGCAAAATGTCCGCCTCGCACGTTCCCGTCTCTGACATTAAAGTCGTCCCGACTGCCCCTGGCTGGGCTGTTGAAGGGTATACCTCCTCGCCCAGTGTTCACGTTCAGTTTATATGCTAATACCAAAGTGTAGCCGCCCCCGCGAAACATTCCGCATAATCCAAGTCTTCCACCCCTCCAACCTGCCCGGCAAACAAATGATCCTCGGAAAAGTGTACATGCCTCCCGGGGCTGCCTCCCCACCCCATACACACGGCGGCGCCGCTATTATCGCCGTGACCCTGGAAGGCGAGGTGCTGAACCAGATGAACTGCGGCGAACCGGAGATTGCGAAGCGGGGTGAGCACTGGTATGAGGCGCCCGGGTGCCATCATCAGCGGTCGGAGAATAATACGGAGCGCCATGCGGAGTTTATTGCCGTGCTTGTTGTTGATGATGAGGTTGTCAAGGATGGGTATCAGAATATTTTTGTGTTGGATGCGGAGAGGGATGCGGCCAAGGAGAAGGCAGGGGACAACAAGGCTTAGCTGGTGGTTGCAAGGAGCGGGTTTAGCTGGATCTTTTAGTTCGGTCCGTGATAGGAATTAACTTGGCTTTTATCGCTTCCAAAATGATGAACTGGACTCTTGACCCGATATTACAACCGGCCCAAACGTCAATGTCATGGCGCTCTCCTCAAATATACTTCAGAGAAACCACTTTCCCCGGAGTTGTCCCTCACATGCCGTAGCAGTGTTGGCTCTACTCTCATTGAATCGGGCCTAGGGGCTTGCAGCTGAGCATATATGCAGATAATTAAAACCAAATGTCCCTAACAGCCCTTGGATCAAGCTACGATTCTTTTTGCCGTTTCATCAATGGCGTTAAGTCGCCAAGAAAGAGACCGCTTTTCTGGGTCTCACTGCTAGTGCCCCTTCTGCGCTACGGAGGAATATATACATCTCCGTGATAAGGAGGAAGCCCCTGAGACTCTTCTTTATTCAGTGCTATCGTTAGATACATAAAAAACAGCACATCAACCCAATCCCTTCCCGGGAAAGATTACTGCCTATTCAAATCGAAATCAATAATAACCTTCCCCCTCGCCTTCCCACTCGCCACGCGATCAAACGCCTCCTTGAACTGCGTCACAGGCCACACACTATCCACCGTGCCCCTAACCTTGCCCTCCTCAACAAGCTTCGTAATCGCTTCGAGATGCTCGCGCACAGGCCCCATGATAAAGAACCTCCCCTTCACATTGCCACTATAGCCCTCGGGAACAGCCGTCTCGGGCGGCTGGAAGATACTAAGCAGCACGCCGTCGTCCTTGATCGTCCACCAGGCATCTTCCAGGGATTTCCGCCCGATGCAGTCGATCACGACGTCGACCTGCCCGGCAGACTCGACCCACTTCTTGAGGGTGGTCGTCTTGTAATCAACAACATCGTCCGCCCCGAGAGACTTGACAAAGTCGACATTATCCGTCCCGCAGGTGCCAATGACAGTCGCGCCAGCGACCTTGGCAAGCTGGACAACCCAGCTCCCAACACTCCCGCTGGCAGCGGTAACAAGCACCCGCTTCCCCTTCCAATTTCCACTCTCGATACTACCCAGCCCCGCCTGCACAAAAAGCGCCTGCCACGCCGTCTGTGCAGACAGCGGGATCGCCGCCGTGGCAGCCCACGAGAGGCCCCGGGGCCGTTTGGCGATTTCCTCGGTGACGCCGATGGTATACTCGCTGCCGGCGCCATTGCGGAGATAGTTTGCGCGCGCGTAGACCTCGTCGCCGGGTTTGAAGGGGGAGTTTTCCGGTGCGACGACCACCGTGCCGGCCATGTCGGGGCAGGGGATCCAGAGGTCGCGGCCGCCCTCGGGCGGGAAGTTTGCCGGCCAGAGGAGTTCGCCGGCGCAGGGGGATACCGTGTGGATGCGGATGAGGTGCTCGGAGGTGTTTGGGGTGGGCTTGGGGGTTGGGACGGTGGCGAGGGTGAGGTTGGTGGATTTGGGATCTGGTTGGGTGATTGCGAGCATGGTTGCGGGGATGTTGGTGGACATTTTGGTGGTGGTCGTTGGTTTTGTTGCGAAGTGCCGGGTGAGAGATGCGATTCGGGTCGAAAGGGACATGGAGGATTGTCTAGACAAGCCGAGGAATTGCTGAGGAGGAAAGTCTCTCGGAAAGCGACGAGCAGACCTCTTTTATATCCGAGTCTCAGTATATAGATCGATGATGCTCTGATCTCGAGAGCGGCAGGCACAGCCGGATAGGCGATAGGCTATTGAAAGTGCCCGACCCATGGATTCCGGGACAATGGGAATTGTGGGACCACTGCCACAGTTCTGGACCAGGCTCAGGCCCAGGGCCGGTTCTAGCCTAATGGTCTTAGCGTCGCTTAGCATCTCCAACGCTATCGAATTTCGAGACCAGAGCCAAGAGGTTTTGACTCACTTTGGCTTCAGGACAGGTGGAGTTTGCGACTTTGCTACCGCCGCGATTGGCGTCCGGGAGGAGGACTTGTAAAGCAGGACTTGAACTGTCTCAGAGCGCCAGTCTTTCAAGCGGCGTGGAGGGGTGAGATCTGTCCTCTCGAATCGCGCAGAATCATCGTGGGACCATCGAACAATCATCGAAGAGGACACGCAGGACATATCCATTCAAGCCATAAATTGACAGCAACTGCCATCTTTTTCTTGCCGCATGCCCAATCGTCTCTCAGTTCTCTGCGCAGCAGACCTCGCACAAATGCGCCGAACACGAACACGAACACACCGGTCCAACCGGATCTCAACGCATCCCTCCCTCCTCAGCATCATCTTCCTCACATTCCTATTCGCGTTCAGTGCACGCGCATGTCTAGGGAATCCCCCAGACGAGTCTTCCGAGAAGAGTAGGCTACCATTCTTCAATCCCTGTCTTCTCTGCCAGTGTCCACCACCTGCTCAAGTGCTGACGAACCACCACAGTAATCGGAATCCACCTCGGGCGCACCGAGTCGCGCGTCGGGGGCGTGAAAGATGGTCGGATTGTTGTCTTTCCAGAGGAAGAAGGCGGGTATGATCCCGGTAGGATTCCCTCTGTTGTCAGTCTTACGGAGAAAGGGTTGGTGGTGGGCGAGGAGGGGAGAAGGGCGGGCGGTCCGGATCTGTTCAAGGCTGTGCTTGAGATCGGGTATGATATCCCCAAGGATCTATCTATCTATCGAGGGATGATAACAAGGGTTGGGTGGATATTGACGGTGACAGCGACTACTTCCCGACCCCTGAGAATCCAAATCCATCACCAAAACGAACACCACAACCTGGAATCGAATACGTCCTGGACAAAACCAGCCATCCCGAAATCCAAGTCACGCTCAACAATGCCACACACACAATATCCCCACCTGACATCTACGCCCCCCTCCTCACGTCTCTCCGCTCCATCGCCGAAGACTCACTCGGCGCGGGCATCACGGGCGCAGTGATAACCCTGCCCCGCGGCGCAACAGACCGCGACCGCTCCTTCATCGAGCGCGCAGGCGCTCTGATCGAGCTACCCATCATCCGCCAGCAGAATGAGACGACGAGCACCATTTTAGCACTGGGACTTGACGAAGAGTCCTATGGAACCGACCGGTACGCGCTCATGTTCGATCTGGACAGGGACGCCGAGGAAATGCATCTGCGTCTCGTGGAAATCGACATGGGCGTGGTCGACACGATCGCGGCGCATTCTGTCGCGGAGATTGCAGGCAATATTGGCGATGCAGAGTATATGGACGACGCGGTCGTGGAGGATCTCTCGGCCATCTTGAAGACGGAGGCGATGGGGTCCGTCGGTTCTTTGGTAAATGCCGCTCTCGCGAGAAGTGGGCAGAGGGCGATCGATGAGCTCCTGCGAAAAGCAAACTTCACCCGTAACGAAATCACAGATCTCATCTTCACGGGCGACGCCGCGTTCTATCCGGAAATACAAGACAGCATCGAAGCCTACCTCACCCGGGCCCACGTCCAGTCCGCGGCTGGAGACGGAACCAGCACCGGCGCGAGGAACGAAATCAACGTAGCGAATGGCATGACGCTCTCCGCCGCCCCAATATGGGGCGCAGCATTGACAGCGTACAGGATGATGGTTGAAGACTGGGTACCCTGCTGCTGCAGCACGCGACGGCCGCCGATTGGGGTTTCCGTTGTTGGTGGTGGTGATTTTGTGGAGGTTATTCCAGCTTGTCAGGATGTTCCGATACTGCTGTCGAAGGTCGTCGAGGGGAAATGTGACGACAGTGGGCAGATGAGGATCCAGGTGGTCATGCGCGATGTCCCGAGTGTCGACTATCATGCGCAGTTTGAGCTGGGCGATGCGTATGTGGCCAATGAAACGATAACCGACATCCTCGTCACGGAATTCGAACTCCCGACAGCCTGCGAACCGGATACGCCTGTCGCAATCGAAATTGAAATGCTGCTCAGTCGCCAAATGGAACTGCGCGTGAAAGCGACAGACCGGGAAAGTAACGAACCAAGACTACTTACGGTCCCCTATCTGAATTCCGAGTGTGGTGCAAAGGACCGCGATGCGCCGAGGCAGTATTCGCTTGAGATTGATTCTGCGGCTGGGAGCTCTCTCGAGGCCGAGTACCAGAGGGAGCTCAGACGGCTTGTCGGGGGTTCGAGCGGGCAGAAGACGGTTCTTGCGGTAGGCTCCCCTCCCCTTTCTTGACCTGGATCTTCATGAGGATGGAGGGCAGATGCTAATGAAATGTGGTTTAGAGACGGGCTGAGTAGACACTGCGGTATTGAGAGTATGCTTGGTATATAGGACTGTCGAATATGGATAGAATCCAATCTAATATACTTTTCTCTAGAGCGGAGATGCTAACAATACACAAACAAGTCACCGACTCTTACTCCCCTCACCACTATCTCCCTCCCCAACCGCCTTTTCTGCAGCGCCAACGTCAAAGCCCTCATGCATAAACTCGCCCACATCAACCTCAACATCAATCCCCAACCCCTCAAACCCGCCCAACCCATTCCCACTGTCGTTCCCATTATTCCCGTCCCCATTCGACCCTTCAGCCGCACCCCCAAGAATATCCCTCGCAACCACAACAACCTCGCGATACGTCCGCCGTCCCAGCGGCCAAATGTCACTAATCCTCTTGAGCACCGCAACAACAAGTCTAATACGTTCCCTCTCAATACTCAGTCTCGGCCCCGCATACACCCACTTGTACGCGCTCAAATGCGCAATCGCCGTGTTCGCAATCATACAGATGATAAACGGGCTATGCGTCGCCAACTGCGTTGTCGGGAGGGTCAGGGTGAGGAGGGCGTTCATCTTCTCGATTGCGGTTAGCACTTTTGTCGTGTGGAGGTGGATTGCTGTTGGGCCTGGTTGGGACGAGTGCGAGGACCAGGGGTTTGCGGTGGATGAGGAGGACGGGCCTGGGGTTGTTGAGGAGGACCAGGACAGGTCACGGGATAATGGCGGCGCGCGCGGGGTTCGGCGCGAGATGGATTCGATGGATGTGTGCAGGAGCGAGGAGAGTTCGCGGTTCAGGTCGACGATGTATCTGGCCCAGGTGGACTGTTAGCTTCTAGTTCTCGCTGTCTCGTTCTGGACGAGTAGGTAGGGAAAGTAAAGTTGGGAGCCCGAGTAAGGACATACGTGTAAACCAACATGTGCGCCCTGAACAACAACTGGTCCACAGACCCATCCCCTCGAACAAGACTGTGCTTCTGCGGCGGGAGGAGAAGAAGCCACGCGAGGATGGTCGTGTCCGCATTCGCGCAGACGCGATTCGCAGCCTCGGTGCCCGTCTGCCAGCGCTCGGAGAGCACAAAGTCGAGACTGCGCGCTATCCCAATTAATTCGGCAAAGGAGGAGAAGGATGTGCTGTTGGGGTGGAATTCGCGGTTTTCGTATTCTGGTATTGATGGTGGGTTTGGGATGTTCTGTCGAACTGTCAGCCTCACTCTCAATAACGGGATGGGTGTCAGAGTCAAGGGATCAGGGAAAGAAAAGAACACACCCCCGCCTCGTAAACCTCCTCCTCACACGGCAGTCGCACACTAACAAAGATCCCATCTACCTTACTCGGAAAACTATGTGTGCTCCCCGCAACATGGGTCGCAGTAAGATAAAGCACCCACCACGTGCGCCTCCAACTCTCCTCGAGAATCGGATCGCCTTCGCCATGGCTGCTGTCGAACCCGGCACGGTTCATACCGATCTTCACGGCATTCGCGATGACTTCATCGAGCAGATCGAGAGACCGCGATATCTCATCGTTCCAGTATACTACTACCGCATATAAAAGGAGGGCTTGGATGTCAAAGGGGGAGAAGCTGTTACCGGAGCAGCGGAGGGAAGAAAGTGTGTCGAGGATCTTGGTCTCGAGGGGGGCGGAGTCGATACTGGGTGTGTAGAGGGAGCCGATGTATTGCAGGACGGGCATGAGCAACTCCAGGGATTCCGGTTGGAGCGCTGCGCGAAGACGGAGGGACCATTGCGGGAGGACGCAGGGGTGTGCGCCGTGGAAGTATGTAAAGTATAGACTGAGCAGCTCGTTGTCTGTTGCGTCGGCGGTGCTTTCTTCGTAGAGCGAGTGGGGGTGCGGTTGGATATTTGGGTATGTTGGCGCTTGCGTCTGCGTCTCGCGGTTTAGGGAGCTGTGTGAGGAAAGCGAGGTCGGTGTTGTCGTTCCGGTTGGGAGACGCAGCTGGAGGCTGTGGTGTAGTTGTTGCTGTGGGTTTTGCTGGGGCAGGGCCTGCGGGTGTGGGTGTGGCTGATGCTGAGATTGTGGATGGGAGGGTCCAGGTACAGCTCCAGGTACAGGTACAGTCTGCCCTGGGCTTCGACGTACACCACCACGCCTCGACTTGATGTATACACACCGCGAACCCTCTGCCTGGCACCGCGAACAAACAGGGGTCGCCGAGTCACATCGCATGTGCCGTGAGCGACACGGGATACAGGCGTTTGAGACGCGTTTTGCGGGGCGGGACTTTTGCTCGCTCATAGTATTGGTAACAATAAACACAAGGAGTATAAAGCAAGAAAATGAGCTAATCAAGCCAAAAGGGTCTCGTATTGCGTGTGCTGGCTGGTGTTGGGTCGATAGCCGCAGCCCTGGATATGGGGGTTTTACATGGGCTCAATACCCGATTAGCCTATGTGGGGCAACGGGCCCTTTGCCACCGACTATACATTGACACGAGATCGGCGTTTGCAGTCTTTGTATGACGGCATTTGTCTCTCGTCGAGTTTGACTACTTTATGTGAGTGAAGCCGTTTATCCGATTTAAATGGAACAGACAAGTCGAGCCTGAGGCAGAAGAGGTGCATTACCTACATGTGCTGATCACAGAACCGGAATAGACGCCATGCTCATATCAAACAGTCCGCAGAAATCAAAACTCGTCTCCAGCAGCTGAAAGTCCTCCAGAGAGGGCTGGTCCATGTACATCGGTATTTCGTGCATCTCTTGTTGAGGAAAAGACACAGGGACCTGCTGGGTCGGAGGAACATACTCTGGAACCACGGGTGGCACCGTAATCTCCCGCGTGCTAACCTCGACAACATTCTTCTGCTGCTGATCTTTCAAGCCTAGAATCTCTCTCGCTACGATGCCTACCTCCTTATACGTCCGCAGCCCCATCGGCCAGTACTCTCCGAGAACCTTTAGCGCGCCCATACTCAGCCGGATCCGTTCGCGAGCGAGCTTCAGCTGGTGACCCTGGTAGTGGAAGCGGCATGCCGAGAGATGGGCGATGACCGTGTTGGCGATCATGCAAATGATAAAGGGGGTGTGCGTGGCGATGTTGGTGGGGAGCGTGAGGAGTTCGTCGAACTGGTCGATGGCGCGGAGTACCTTGGCTGTGTGCAGCTGGCACTCGGTCGAGTTGCAGCCTCGGAGGCTCTCTGGTGGAGCGTTGGGAGCGCAGTGTGCGATTGCTTCGATGGGGCTGTACGCGAGTGTCGATAGTTGCCGGTGGAGATCAACGACATATCTGCAAGTGTTAGCGCGTGGGACAACCAGCACTAGGAGCGCGAAACCGAGGAACGTTACGTGTGGATGATGATGTTGGCTTTGAAGAGAAGCTCATCAACGGAGCCGTCCCCCCGAACGAGATCTCGCTTGGAGTGAGGAAGGAGCGACCGCCAGGCCGTCACGCTGGCATCGGTGTTGGCGCAGACGGCCGGTGCGGTGGCGCTGGTCATGTTCTGGCGGGCAGCAAGCGCAAGATCGAGACTGCGCGTCAACCCGACGAGCTCCGCAAAGGAGGAGAAGACCCGGTCCTCCTCGTCGAGGAACTCACGCATATCGTAGTCTTGCAGGGTGCGCACTCGGGGAATGTTCTACTCGGTCAGTCGAGAAGGACAATTGTTTCGGCGGTGCTTACCCCTGACTCATAAAACTCCTCATCGCACGGCAAGTCAACATCCATCTCGACGTTGCTGGTTCGGAAAGGAAATGTGCTGGTGCTCCCAGCGATATGTGCATCCGTGATGTACAGTTGCCACCACGTCCGCCGCCAGCACTCCTCGAGCATCGGATCTTTCTGCCCATGAGCGTACGCAAATCCCCGCCTATTCATTCCCAGTTCAAGCGCCAACGCAATTGACCTATCTAGCATGTTGAGCGCTTTCTCCGGCTCGTTGGCCCAATAGACCGCGATCGAAAGAAGAACAAGAGCTTGCACATCGAACCCCGTCGCAGGCCCATTCATTCCGATCGACGCCACAGCCTGCTCTGCCTCCACCTTCATCGACGCCGAGATGACCGACTTTGCAAACACGGAGCCAATGTACTGCACGACGGATACCAGCGTCTGGAGCGGCCGCCCGTCGGTCGCCATCCGCTGCTTCAACGCCCACAACGGCAGCATACACGGCTGCGCGGCATGAAAATACGAATAATACTGCGAGAAAAACTGTTCGCTCAAAGATGAGTCGCTCATATTTTCGCTGTGCATCGAGACGGTGACGCTGGTCGCCCGGTCAGAGTGGCTCCGGTCGTCTTCCGACGAGGTGGATCGGGCGGGGTTGGGGTTGCTCAGTGGATCGTCGGCTGGAGCAGGGAGCTGCTGCTGCGATGGTAGACCTGGGGAAATTTGAGATACCTGACAAGTGTCTGTCGAGATGTGAGTAGATGGCTGTCGCGGTCGACGGCCTCCGCGGCGAGACTTGAGATAGACGCATTGCAGACCTTCGCTGCGACACCGGGTGCACACGGGCGTCGTCGCGTCACAGCGGAGGTGCTTGGAGCGACAGGGGACACATGCGAGCGACACTCGGCGGTTGTTGTTAGGAGCCTGAGGTTGCTGCGACATTGTTAGATAGTTACTCTGTATCGACGAAAGCGAGCTTGAGATGTGCTTCTGTTGAAGAAATCGCCAGCGAGCTCGAGCTGGGGGCCCAGATTTGAACCCTGGACGGCTGTTCTTGGCCGTTTCACCCGATTGTCAGGCCCTGCATCGCCCTGTCCAATTCGTGGAGCCTCTGCACGCTAACCAGAACAAAACACTTAGCGATGCCCTTTGGTGTGTCAGCCCCTCTTCCCGGTGGTTTATCAGATCGCAGCGGGGTCTAGAACCGCCAACTTGACATCAGACTTTCTGGGGTGCCATGGTTCTTTTCCAGCGTCAGCGTGCCATTCATTCTCGCTTCGCACCGAGATTATTGATCATTGGAGCTTTGTGGGATGCCACAGTGCGAAGTGCTATTATCGGGTTAGTGTAGGATCGCCCGCCCAGATTTATCAGCGTCTCGTAAGCATGCATCAAAGGATGCACTAGCGTGTATTTAAACATCTGAGACTCTGTGATCTCCGCGGCGTGGCCCAGATGATATTTATGCAGAGTAAGCTGCACGGCGCGATGACTCCACGAGTTCCCCGCAGACATGCTTCGATAGAACTAGTAGTAGTAGAGACTGCTAGAGCCCGACGTCATTCTTGACTTCTGCAGGTCGGTACGAGTGATTCATCTGCAGAGAAGAGGTGCATCCCTGCCCTGCTTTGGACATACTCATGTCAGTGGAATCGGCCGAGTGAGGATAAACTCATGGCCACTCTGTTCAACGAGTCTATATTATCGATATCAGTGTTTTTATATAGCCCCTTGTTGTCCGAAAATAGATTATCAAACTATATGGCTGGCCACTAAGCCTTCTACTGTAGGACTACTAGTATAAGCGTGACTATTATGATATTTATGTTCTCCAAGTTAAGCAAGCGGAGAGGAAGGCCGAGGACGAAATCGAGTCTATCGTCGCAGGACTTGAATTCCGTACTACTTCTTGAGTTCGATGACGATGGAAACATACGTATGATAGGAACCTCATCCACTTCAAAATAAGCCACTCCTGAATTCTTGGCTGAACACAACCTATGGAATAAAATGACTTGAAATACTGCAAATACACATCCACCACAACCACATAAACCATCAACCTACCACCCACCCCTCAATACAAACTCAACTCAACTCAGACTCACTTACATCCCCTCAGCAACAACCACCAAAACCGCCCAGACAACAACCCCCGTCTCCTTGACAATCTCACAAATAACTAACCCAGCACGCCCCGCAAACTTGATCACTTTCCCCGAATACCGCACAACAGACCGCGCCCGCGCCCGCGCTTTTGTGAGGATCTGCCGCACACAGTCGCGCTTGCGCGGGCGCGGCGTGAGCCCCAGTGCCACGGTTTGGCCGTCGCCGTCCACGAGGACGTAGCCCTCGGGGATCGGCATGTACCCGGTGCCGGTGTCGGTGTCGGGGTGCGGATCCGGGTAGGGGGTCAGGCGCCTGCAGAGGCTGGGTCGCCTGTAGACCATGGCTCCGGATTGGAATGGGGAGGGGTGCAGGGGGGTCGGAGGGGTTTGGAATGATACCATGGCTGGTTGGAGGGGTGGAAGGGAAGGGTGGATTGAACTGTGGGGTGTTTGGGATGCGTGTACTAGTGCAAAGACCAGAGACTCTGGTTGAGTGGAGGATGCTAGATGGAATCATAACAAGTTGGTAGAGGGAGGATCTATATATCTGGGAACGTCGTGGCATTCATTGTTTGTGTGGTGTTTGTATAGAAGGGTAAGGAGAAAGCGTTTGCAGAACAAAGGACAAACAAGATTAAAACATTCCATGCGTCAAGTATAACGTATTGACCTTTGTCCTTGAAGCCTTTGTTCATCTCATGTCTACTCAGAAAGAGAGCGCAACACACATAAGGGCAATACTTCTTTTAGTGAAGGCGTAACTAAAAAGAAAGCCTGAGCTCCTAAATCATAGACAATGCTCCTTTCTGCCCAAAGAACGAAGGTTCTCTTGGTTGCACTGCGAAACCTGTTTATTATCAAGTGAAATAATCCTATCTTTGTCCCTGGATTCTGCACAGCACGGACTTGATAATGAAGTTGTCCAATCCAGCGCCAAGTGATCGGTTTGTTGTCGGGGATTATCTATAGAGAACCGGTTATGGTAGCAAGAAGCATTCGCATTAATTAGCTAAACACGGACCATTGGGTATCAAGAATAGCAATAATAAAGACCAAACTCATATCATCCAGTGCAGTTTCCCCGGTTGCCAAAGAGGATAAGCAGATAATAAAGAAGAATCCAAAAGCCAAGGATCATCTCCCCTGTATCTATCCCTCATAAGAAGAAAAGCAGAGAGACAAAGTAGGTAGAAAAGGATAGAGTGAACATGATCCGAATAGAGCGCAGCAAGAGCAAAAACAACAGGACTAAGGAGAGGCTCGAAAAACCTTGTCATGGACTGAATCATCGGCGTGCCAAAAGCCAGAGGGCACATAAGCAGCGCGGCGCCACAAACAGCGGATATAGGTCTGTCGGCTTGTTCAACATGGTTTCTGAGTCCGTGGACGAGCGTACGGCATTTTTGCACGGCGTTATTGAAGACTTCGCGGGTGTGATCACGATTACGGGTCTGAGCTCCTGGATTTGAACGAGTACAAGAGTGGATTCGCTGGATTCGAGGGCGACGGAGGTGGTCTCGCTGGAGTTTGCGGTCCGGGCTATTGTAATCGAGATTGGGATCGAGATCGTGGTTGCCGTTGTTGCTGGGACTCGGACCATGATTGTCTTAAGGGGCTGGAAGTCCTTGCCAGTGCCCATAGTTTTGGGATATTGGCTTGTGTGGTCGTGAATATAAGTGAGAGCCGGGTGACTGTGTTGCGAGGAGCGTCTGATGAACTCCGGTGGATGGGGTGGATGAAAGAAGATAAATATTTGCTCCCAGGCTTGAGCCATTTTCTATAAAGCTTTCTAACCTGGACGTTAGGAGTATAACCTTTGTAGCTATGTTCTAGTCTTCAAAGTTTTTGAGATCCAACCGTCGGCATATAGCCATATATCCCCTTGCCTCTTCCCCGAACCGATCTTTCTAGAATCATGATACAAGACGACTTCTCTAGTAGGTCTGGTGTCAGCCTTGCGATCGCAAACTGATTCTGTGTCTTTGTACACTTCTCCCAGGGACGTGTAGCGGGGTCTAGATGATAGGTAGGTAATAGCCCTCAGTCTAACTCACCCAACGTTTCTAGGTATTTGACTGATCAACTTTCTCAGTGTCAGCCCCCCAGCTTGTTTGCCAATGTAGAATCAGAACTTCATCTCATTGTAGGACCTAGGAAGTCGGCAAGGAGCAGTCCTAAGCCTTCCCGGAACAAAATATGAGGTCGCCTGTTTTACGCTCCTGTCCTCACAGGCAAGAAAGTTCCTTTTTCATACTGCCCACAGCTACAACGGTCCATTGGAATTGCTAATTAGTTCTTATTTCTAGTGTTTCCCAGGCCCCCTGGAGAACATACGCACTAGTAAGGCGTGACTATACCCAAAGAGTGCTGTCTTACCTCCTACAAATTAAGGAAGTTTATCTACAACAAACTAGAACCTATCATATTCTTGATATTGTAGAGCACAATTTCGAGATATAACTTGTTTCTGCTACTCTGCCTAGGAACAGAGGAGCCCTCTCATTGAGCCCGTTGTAGTAGAATCCATCGGGGTTGGTTCCTAGCATCTGAACATCCTATAACTGGCGTGCATAGTTTGAAATTATTAATATTTTCGAAGGTATACTCATCCTACTATATCAGCAATCTAGATATATCCTTGGCATGTTATAGGCCGGGTGAATGGTTTATCCGCCTCTGTCTTGCCAAGTGCTCCCACATCCAGCTGACATCCTCGGCTGACATCCATCACCTCCACGAACCCGTGGGACAAGGTCTCCATGTAACGATGCTGCTAGATCTAGTACGGGTCATCAGGGCCTATTTCGAGGTTATCTCTTTCATTTTGGTCCTGACCGTGTATGGCCTCTACACGAACGCGCGACTCGTCCCCTACATCTTGAGACGGAAGATCGCCAACACCATTCAAATATCCCGGGCGCGGAAGCTCAAGCGGGGCATCTCGCGACCGATCCTCGATAATATAAAGAGCACAAGCCCGCTATCGTGCGATCCAGTAGGCTTCCATCACCTCCCACTCGAGATCCAACAGCAGATCTTCGACCTCGTCCTCCCCCAACGCCTCATCATCCAGCCAGAGTTTCGGGAAAACCGACTCGTGTGCCGAATCGGCACATTCCCAGACTATTATTGGAACAGATGGAGTCCGAAAAAACACATCCGCGACGACTCCGATCGCACAAGCGACCATTTCGCTCACGTCCTCGACCAGGGCGGGTGGTATCTAGACCAGACGCCCGAGCCACTGGATCCGAGCGCGCGACGACCGGAGAGGTACCTTATCTGCGGGTTCGCGGAGGCTCTGAGCCCAGAGCGCAGACGGGAGATTGTTCCGACGGGGTATGTCGATCTTCTCCGCGCTGATCGGAGGTGTTATGCGAGCTTTTTGGGTGATTTGTATGCGCGCCATACGATTTCGTTCTTTGGGGCCGAGATGGTTACCTTGTTTATGGACAATGCCTCTCTCGAAGGGATGCAGAGGATACGATATGTCCATTTGGGAATCCCATTGCCCAAGCCGGGTTCCAGAGCATATCGGGATGCGCGAAACTCCGTAACAGCTGCCATTAGCCAGATGACGAGGGTGTTCTCGGGACTTGAGGAGCTGGATGTGGAGATTGCGCTGCTCTGGAGTGAGAAACTTGGGGATTTGCAAGACCTTTCGAGGTGGCTGCTGTATGAGGCGTTTGAGGCACTGGGCGGGTTGAAGAAGTTTGTGCTCAAGGTTTCGGTGCTGCAGCGGATCGTGGAGATGCGTATAGCTGGGGATGTCCTCAAGCCTGTACTGCTGCCAGTGAAAGTGTTAAACAGTCGCCAATATTCCGAGTTGAAGAAAAGGCTGACAAGACATTTGAAGAAATGAGGGCAGTTCGAGCATTATTTCTTGGTCAGATACAGGCCTTTGGATAGATATTAACGGAGCAACTTGCAGAGAACTGATCCATGCGGACTTAGGAGTAGCAGTTTCACCACGGCATAATATCAGTCCCTAATTTGGATACACATGTCATAGGCTTTTTCCTCACCCTGGCCTTTAACTGGTGATAAAGCGGCCTTTATGAGCCGGCGGACAAGTATATCTCGTCTGGCCCGTCTGCTTCATACATATCCCAACGTACATTCCCTATTAATAGCACCTTCACTGGTTATACCCTCCCTGTGATCGTTCATTCCCTCCAAGTGGTTCATTCTGTCTGGGTCGTACCTTCCCACTTGGATACAGTATAATTTCATCTGGATTGTCCCTCTCCTCAGGGTCGTATCTTCCAAGCTATACTCATGGCTTCACGCTTTTGGCTCCAAACAGCAGGAGCGCTCCTCTTCCCACCGTCTCGGTGCATTTCATTCGTGGGAACACGAGATACCCCAAGATCTAAACTGAGACCAGCAATTCCAGCTATGTAGGAGCGCCGTAACCGCAAACAGGGCGGTTTTATTCAAAACCTCTTCAACGACTTCTGTGGTTGCCAGCCTACTATTAGTACGCAAGCTGGGCTGCATTTCTACCAGAAGGCTAGCATTTTTATTCCGATATCGATATGAATGCAAGGCCAGACTCAACTCAATGCCGGACAGTAGGCACTAGAGGCCATGAATACGTCTCAAAAGACGCACCAACCGGGTTTTCGAATCCTCGTGGCATTATCGCGAGTCTAGAAACATGCCCATCTCTCGCAATGTCTCGAAGTGCATCGCTGTCGAGTAGTCCCCAACTATATCGTGATGCTTCCAGATCATCGCGCAGTATCGCACACAGCGCCTAGTTTCTCTGGTTAACTTCGCCCCATGTCGTATCAAAGTCTAACTGTTACTTGGCCTCTGCGCCCTCCTCATAGATCCGGGCGTTCAAATTGGCGGACCAACTCCTAGCTACGACGTCTCTGAGCAGCTGGGAATATTCCATCTCGAGATAGCCCTAACTTCAGTGTCCAAACAGGAAGGCATGCGCCACGCCTGCGACTATCTGTGTCTATTAACCAACTTGAACAAACCTCTGCTATGGCCTGGGACACCTGTGGAAACTCATCCTTAGGCCAGTGTGGTCTTCAGCAGTCTTATCAAGGCAGGCCAAACTAAGGGGTTAGTCAGTGATTCATGTGCCAGCAAAAGCGCCCTATTCCTGCGGCAAATAGAGATATCTATCCATGTCCGGTAGCGGGAGCCACGTATGAGCGTATGCATGATAGGACCTGACTTGGGTATACTGTAGCTGGCAGACAGAGGTTTGTGAGGGCGCCAAAGGAGGTACAGCGTCCTGTCTAGATTACAATAAGGACACAGAAACATATTTGAAATTAATCTTCTGTTCGGCTCAAGAGCTAGGTGGCTGAGCACATCGAATATTCTTAGGATAGCTTCAGAAACAGGCTAACCTGAGTATAGTATTCTCAATCTTAAGTGACCTAAGCTACCCGCCTTTACCGTAGGGATGCGACATCGATTACTAGGCCTTTATCTGCTAAGACCCAGGCCAAGCCTAGGAATTCCCAGACTAACGACTTCGAAGATATATAGAACTATCAAGTATAAGACACCATCTAATGTCGCATTAGGTAGTAAATCTATACTACTATACTATGTAGTCTGTTCTATTACCTAGTATAAGGGTAGAACCTGGAATAGACATAGCTCGGCCCTCACGAAGCAAGCCTACTACCCCTCAACTAAACAGAGCATTACTCTGCTTTCCAAGCGGCTGCTCCAAAATAATGTACCAACTGTGTTCCCCGCAGGGATGTCATTCTCACCCCGCAGCCTTCTCACAACAATCACACACCTAGAACCACAGCAGTGATTCTAGTAGACCCTGCTATGTCCCTCGGATCTTTCTATTAGAATCCAAGAATGTTCTTGGATAGAAAAAATAAATCGGTCTCTCACGTGGTCCTTTTCTTTTCACCTGCATGATATTCATCATAGTCATAGGACCCCTCATCCAACCCCCTCTAGCCCCAGCCTTCCCTACCCCCCATATTTACAGGAGGTGTACTACCGCAGATAAGCCGCTGGATGGGGCCAAAACGCCCTTTGCCCTTCCCGCTCACGCACGAACCCCAGCCTATCGCGAAGCTGTGAGAGCCGCACCTAGTCTTAACCTCCATGCAGAATAAGCACACTACTGGTACCCCAGTTCTCATAGAGAATGCAAGGCTGGCTAAGGCAACCGGCAGACCTGTGTCCATGTGAGAAGGCCGTATTACCCCACGAGGACGGCTTATATATCTACGAGGCTCTAAGGCATCTTTGTCAGATCATTCAGCTCGGCTCAATTCGGTCGCTCTGCGGCACATTTACGTTATCTAGCCGATGACACAAGGCAAAGAGCACCTGCGGCATCAGCACCATCACCCCGCGAAACACGGGCTTCCGCAGAGCCTCAGGTATGCTAACATTAGGCGGCACTATTACATACATAGCTAGGGAGGCTGACGCTGACGCTGACGCAGACCCCGGGGCACCGTACCGAGCAACGGGCACCCAGCAACGAGCGGGTTACCCGATCTGGGCATTCCCACGGATCAGCGGCGCAGGCGCGTGTGCGTGCTTGCATAACTGCGGAGAAGGGCTGCGCTGACGGATGCCTAGGACCGAGCCGCAAAGCCTTGCCGACCATGCGTAACCCTAACTTGATGACAGGTGCAGAGCGGATTTAGCGGAGAAGGTGCTGTCTGAGCAGTATGTCCACGGCATAAGCTGATTATATTGTAATACGTGTCGTACAAATTGGCTTGATTAGCCAAAACTTGCCATTGTATGTTTCGCTTGCCGTTGCCTGCTGCTTGACTCACCTGAGAGCCGGGGGCCCACTTGGCTGTCATTGCCCTACCCTAACTAACGCCTGGGCGTTCGCTACGAGGCTGTGTCGCTAGTACGCGCGTGGATGACAACGGGAGAGAAAGAGAGAATGGTAACGGTAAAATTACCTTGGCCAGGCCAAATACTAGCAAAATTACAGACAGAAAAAAAGAGGATGGATGACCACTAAAACTTCCAAGCCTTCCCACCAGGCAGAAAAGCGCCATCCCCATGTTGACTGTCGCCACATATCCTACGCCGCTATAAATTGAAAATTCCGTTCAGTGGCATCCAAGGCACTTTGGTGGAGTGGTTAACGATGCCCTGCTATACTATATAACCAGTTAGCTTGACTAGGCATTTCCTCGGGAGCGTGATAGAATCTCACAGGTGTCGATTCCTTTTTTTTTTTTTTTTTTTTGTTCCTTTTGGGCTCATTTTCTCGGTTGACTGCACGGGTCGGCTGTGAGAGACAGGTTTTATTTTTGCTTGTTTAATTGCGATGGTGAGTGAGATTGTACGTCAGTCATTGCCTGTATTCTAGCTCGTGTTTTCATGGTTTGATTGAGTTCTGCATCCGTAGGCTCTGTGTGTGTGATATATATCGCGGGGTAGACGCGGCAATCAAGACTCAGCGACAAATCACAAAAAGCATAATTCCTCCTTGGATACACTCTCAATTCAATATGTTTTTACCTAAAAATTTGATGTTCCACAGCGCTTTCACCCTACGCTCACCCTCCCGGTCCTAGAAGTATAGTCCTAGCGGACGATAGATAGCCAGCCTTATTCAAATCTGCTTTCGCGGTCTGAGAATTATTAGACACCTCGAAAGGCTGTTCCATTATTAGTATCACAGAATAGTATAGAGCCTAATGTGGATCGAAATCCAGAACCAGATATGTCATCCCATAGCCACTCAAACGGTATTCCTGCATTCGGAATTACTGCATCATGCAGACACAGGCGTCATCTTCGCCCACGAATGCGGACCCACGTACTTAGGCAAGAAGCAGTCCCGCCACTCGAGTTCTTTGGGTCTATTACACCTGAGCGTTAGCATAATCTCCTTGCCACGCAATATACAGTACAAGTGAACGACGAGGGACAGCACAGACCTCGATGGCTCAACCTCAATATCGAATTTCCGATACACATGCCCGTAGCAAAGGTATAGCTCTGCCCAGGCAAGACTACATCAATCCCTCTCATTACCACAGACAAAACAAAAGCCCATGGTAAGGTAAGGCAAGGCAAAGTGAAACAAAATCCCCCGAAAAAGCAAAAGTACGAAACGCGGGGTAATCAAACGTACTGCAGACCCCAGACAACTTCTCGGCCCCCGCGAGAAACTCAGCAGCCATTTATCCAGAGCGCGCCCTCGGAATTTGTTGGGGTTAGCAAAGATTTCGGGGTTCCGGTGAATGAAGTGACTTGCGTTCATGATGAGGGTCTATCGAATTACTTGGCTAGTTTGGGAGGCTTGATAAGGATGGGAGAGAGCGGAAAGAAGGGCAAGGGCAGCCTACACCTCCGGGGATAGGTGTATTCGCAATGTCGGCTCCTTCATCGGGAACGACGGTGGGAGGGGTGAGGCGACGCCCGGGCTGATGCAGAGGGATCCCTTCATGACGGCCGTCTACGTATCAGCGTTAGCATACACACAGTCATACTCATACTCATACTCACAATCTCAAGCCTGATATATTGCACGCACAAGATACGGGAACCTCTCCAACTCCTCCCACCTCGGCGGCTTCTCAATCTCCGCCCAAATCGAACGAATCTCCTCCTTAATCTTCCGATAGACCTCCGGCGAGCGCAGGAACAAAAAGACCCATGCATGAGCGTCGCGCCCGTTGTATCCGCTCCACCAAACACGGGCGCCTGCGACTCCTCATATAGACTGCCGCTATCCGGCGTAGTCCCGGTCTTGTATGCCTCGGGCCGCAGCAGCTCGTGGTAGATTGCTGTGTTATGGGGGAGTTTTGCGAGTGCGCTGGGGCCTGTGTAGAGGTCGTTGATTTGTTTCTTTAGAAGCTGCGCATAAATCAGGAAAGCAATATTGAACAGAATTGAGTGTTTGGAATATAGGCTTTTAGCGAACAGTCTGGTCAAGAAGCCCCGCCGTCGCCGGACTGATTATTTCGAGAGTTTGGGCGGGCAGTTCATCATCATGTTTTTGTACCAGGTTGCGTGCTTGAAGCGCACAAAAGCAACCATTGAGGCGTCCATGGCGAGGATGATGGGGGCTTCATAGTTGGACGCGTACACTGCGTCTACCGAGTTTGCGAAGCAGAGGTCTGAAATGTCAATGTTCGCGCCAGGACTGAAAAGAAGAAAGAAGGAAGAAGCGGCGTACAGGTGATAATATCGATAGCCTTGCAGCGACACGCATAGAAAAGGTCAACCGGCTTGGACCCATTCTCCTCGAACGTCTTGCGAAGATCGAGGACCTGTCGCGATTAGCTCTAGAGCACGATAAATGGATCTAATACGAAGTGTACATACAATCCCTCCACAATTTTCTCGCTCTCAGTTACAGCCCTCTTCGAAAACCTCGCGACAGGATATCCTTCCGTTCCTTTGCCTCACGGTACGTTCGTCAGGTACCCAAACGAAGAGCGATCCTCGCCCATGAGATGGTAGAGCGACCTTTCCTTTTCCCATGGCTTATTCGGGTTGAAGATCTCGAGATACGCAGCTGGAGAGAAGAAGTGAAGCTACAATGTAGATAGTGCGAGTCAGTGATCGTCGTCAGCCATGGAGTCTAAACTGAGAACTTGGGAGTGCGTGGGTTAGACAGCAGGGGCCGTCCGCCCCAACGAGGCGAGGCGGCGACGCGGCGTACCCCATTCGGGCCGATGCGGACGATATCCCCTGTGGCACCGTCAACGACGATCGCCAAGGACAAGGATCGGAACAACGACGATCATACCATATTTCTGACGCAAGTCGCCGAGCGTATGGACGAAGGATTTGCTCGGTGAGGAATCGATGTATGCTCGATAGAAGCGTGTCAGCGCGGCCACTGGTGGACCAGAGAGTCGCGCCAAGGGGTGCCAATAGAAGGTGTAGAGGATATGGTACAAATAATAGGCGATGAGAGCAGAATAAAGCAAAGAAAGCTGGAGATCCTAGTTGCCCAGGATGCACTATTGCCGGATGCCAGAAGTAGAGGCGGATGGATGCTAGACGTTAAAGCGAGTAAGCACTTAGCAACCCCACTCCTGATCACTTCAATGGTCAATCAGCGTGGTTGGGGACTGGAATGGGTGGCCTGACAGAAGTGGAGACAGGTACAGGTACGCCCTTATTTATCCAAAGACGCCAGTGGACCGTTGAATGCCATTGTCTAGAGTGGCGGGTGCTCTACCTACTTTGGCTCTTGGTGCATGGCTAGTGAGTGACACAACGGAAAAGCAAAATCTTCCTATTGGATGATAAAACCCTCGTGGAAATGTGGCAGGATCAACGCCCAATCCAGGAAAAGTCACGCTGTCAGCGTCTGAGTCCACTCCCCATTCTTTGGCAATCATCTGGAGTTGTTCCTTGGGTTTTCCCCGTCATCGACCCCCGCGGCATCCATTCCCATCACTTCTCTGATTTTCACACCTTGTTACGACAGACAATCCTGCCTTGACAAACGAAGAAGAGAAGATGGCAGAAGACCAGAGCCTCTCAATCGATCCCGTACGCTGAGTCTCTACCTACTTCAAGTCTCCAACAGCCCAAAGACCAGCCCTTGCGCGAGTCTTTACCCTCGTCTCGCTAACCGCTAAACATGCAGAAACCCAACAATGCAGATTCAGTCTTGAGCGAAGATTATCAGTCGTTAGTCACATCTCCGTCCCACAATGAAGCCCGAACCCAAAGTCCTACCAAGATCAGGGATCCAGACCCAAAACCAATTCCTTCGCGTGCGGTCAAAAGGAAAGAGACTGATTAGCTGATAAACTGCGAGCTTTCACCGTCTAGAGACCTGACCTCACTACGAAGCAGCATTGTCGACTATCGGTATGAGAACGGGCGGCGGTACCATGCGTTTCGAGCTGGGGCATACTGGTGCGGAGACTCCAGAATCAGAACTGGAATCATGATCTGGTTCTGACGTGGTTAGGGGACCGAATGATGAAAAGGCGCAGGACCATTTGGATATTGGGTGAGATAAGTCGAGAGTTTGGGTTCGAAGCAGTGGGCTAATTCCTGGATCGGCACCATGTTTATAACCTCGTACTCCAGGGGAAGCTATATATCGCGCCTATAAAGGATGATGTGCAGGTGTGTGGCCCGTGGGCGCATTGTCCGAGAAATTCCACTAACCGGACCAGAAAGTCCTCGATATCGGCACGGGGACGGGGATCTGGGCGATGTACGCGACGAACACCCTTGCTCAGCGTCAAAGCACTAAAGTTCGCGACAGGGAATTCGCAGACCTGCACCCAGCGTCCTCAGTCATCGGCACCGACCTCTCCCCAATCCAACCGAGTTGGGTGCCGCCAAACGTCCGTTTCGAGGTCGACGACTGCTGCGATGAGTGGATATACGGAAAAGACACTTTCGATTTCATACACATCCGGGGTCTATACGGGAGCGTGGCGGATTGGGACGCATTGTATAGGCAGGCATACACGTACGTAAACTGCGCCGCAGACGATTGTAGAAGCTAAGCCATGCAGACACATAAAGCCCGGCGGCTACATCGAGCAGGTCGAACAATCCGTCGTACCAAAATCCGACGACGGAAGCACAGAGGGCACAGTCTTTGAGGAATGGGGCAGAATCTCACTACAGGCCGGGGACGCCTTTGGGAAATCACTGCGGATCGTCGACGAGTCCCGGGATAGAATGGTCAAGGCTGGATTCGTCGATGTCGTTGAGCGACGGTTCAAAGTGCCGATTGGCGGGTGGCCTGCTGATCCTCGTCTGCAGCAGCTGGGGCTGTATAATCGGCTCCAATGGGCGGAGGGGATTGAGGGCTGGTCTATGTACCTTCTCACCAATGTCCTTGGGGTAAGTCGATCGATCGGTGGTGGTGATCATCGAAGAATGGCTGATAAACAGCTGTGTCAACAGTGGACTCGCGAGGAAGTGGATGTCTACCTCGCGAAGATGCGCAAGGGCCTCCAAGATCCAACAATCCACGCATATCAGGAATGGTAGGTCTCACGAATCTTCCAGAATGTTGGCTGTGGCTAACTGTGGCAAAGCACTGTGGTATACGGCAGAAAGCCTGGCAAAGCAGAGCAGGCAGAACCCTAGCTGAAGGGTGAGGCGCTGTGGCAAGCGTAATCAGGGAGATCTGCTGGGCGGATTCCTGGGAGTTTCTAAACTTGTGTGTAGATCAGATCCACCGATATATTGTAATGAAGCCTATCCAACGGCTGGGGCTGAAGATTTAGGTAGATCTCAAAACTTTTTTCAGCTGGTGGCGACGGGGGCACGGCAGGAGATCACCTTTTATACATTTGCCGTAGGGCCCGATGGGGCTGTGTGACGAAATTGAATGGTGGCCTTGGCCTTGGCCGCCTTGATAGTGCAAGTCTGCACGTGCTACCTGACCTATCAGGATATGCATGAAATCATTACATGCATCACCATGTATCGAAGGCTTATCCAATTGGCTGTCAAGGACTCCAATAGGCTCCTGACGTGAGCCTCGCTCAGCGCAAACCGTGGCAAAGCACCTAATCAGACGCTAGAAGCTGAAACCGAAGCCAGCTATGTGTGCGATCAACTATCCAGCGAGGCGTCCGAGTAGAGACGGCTGATATTCCTCAGCGGAAACGGCAAACAATGTCGTGGTCGCGCTCGCTGATCGAGGACGCGTTCGAGCCTTCGACTCCGAGCTGACGTCGGGTCGATTGTCCGCACAGCTCTCGGAAGGTTTCAGGGTCAGCGAATCTTACCTGGCCGCATCATGATATAGCATGTTTGGCTCAGCTGACAAAAGTGGTTGCTCTGGAAACGAATACCGAGTGGTTGATACTGACTGCTTCGTTCGGGAGGAATGGTCGTAGAGGTGCTGTCAAGTCTGGAAGGGCGTGTCTGGGCTTTGTTGTTTGTGTCCATAATGGGGGGCCAAGGTATTTATGATGCCCAGCCATGCCTGAAGAGGGACAAACCAGAAGAGATGCATGAGACTCATCAAATTGGGTATATCCAATGCCTTCCAGAAGCATGCAGATAGCAGCGCCTAAATGGTCAATGCACTCCTGTTGGCGGACGCCATCACACAGCAACAGGGCTTAGGAATATCTTGCCTTGTCGTTGTGGTTCTCGTCTCATCGAAGACAATAGTGTTGAGCTGTGATTGGAAGGCCGATTCCGGTAACAAAGCACAAGAGAAGTCCGCATCCGCTTATATCAGTCCGTATAATAATGGGCTTATTGATGATGACAAACACTTAATTGCAATTCGCACGGATGAGATGTCCTGCCCTGTGTGAGGTGGTATATAAGAGGTATGATGAGGCTCGAAACAGTCAATATATCCGTGTTTCAGCCAGCAGATGACGCCATGTACGACCTAGTAGCCGTCTAAAAACAGAAAGAGCTGTGTTTGTGCACCTGGGAGTAACATGGCAAAGCTATGTGTCCAGGAACGGGCCGAAACATTATTGGTAACTGCGTCACCTGGGGGAGGCTCGTTGGAAATGAGGTTGAAAAGGGCCCCAGGACACGTGAAGGCGGACGGTGCCCTCTACCCTAGCCTCCTCTCTGCAGCATCATGCCGTCGGGGGTGTTCCGCTATAACAGGGACCGGGAGGATGAGGGTTCCAGGAAGGCTACTAGGCATGAGTAGAGAAAACAGGACACAACAGACTCCGTGCAACCACCACGTCCATGAGTTGTAGGCAGCTTTTGACAGAAGTACCACAACAATTTCGAGAAGGGGGTCTCACGAGGAAGCAAGACAGTTTATTTGGCCTATAGAACCACGTTGATTCGGACAGCGCCCGATGGCGGGGGTAAATGAGGGGCGATATGAAGAAGACACAAATGATCTGTTGGCACTTGCTGTGCCAGGTGTGTGTGGGACGTCAAGGCCTGAATTCCGGGCCTAGGCACGGTCATTATGAGATGGAGCCCTCTCGACAACAATAGGATGAAATAAGTATCTGGCGAAGGACATAGAAAGGCGTAGATAGCAGGTTTATCTGGAATTCGTTGGTACTGCCATGCATATTTAGTCCTGAGACCAAGGGCAGGGGCTTTGGGTGCCACTATGCATTAAGGGTGGGCTTTTGGGAGATAGCTGCGAAGGGGAGTAGCGGAGGGAACACCCCAAGGCAGAGATGACTTCCTTTGTTTAGAGGCCTGCGGCACAAAATACGACCTATTATTGAGTAGTTGGAGTGCAGGTGTTGCAGGTTGCCGAGCCCTCGTTTGATTGGACAGCCGCGATGAGCCTTTTTCACCCTTCTTCACCCACGCTAAAATTCGTCTGGGCAGGGTTGCTTCACGTTCGCAGGCTACAACGTGTCGGGTGATAATTGGGAAAGCTCCTTTGTAGATGGAATGTACATGCTGGGGATATCAAGGCATCTGTGTAATCTGTAGGGAAATAGTACTAGAAGTGAGAAAGGAATGCTGATTAGAACCGGGAGTTAAGAGCGTGGGAACTCAAGGCATTTAAATTTGGAAGAGGCTCAGATTAAACTAGCGAGGACTACTAGTGGGCCATAGTTGCCCAGTACGAAAGGTATGGGGGGGAAGAAACTTTGCTTCTTCCAGGGTTGAGGAAGGAACGGTGCTTGAGCCTCTTCTCTATGGTAGGCGTAGATCGCAAAGATAGACTTCAATAACTGGGCATGCCTACCCAGTGTATGACTAGCTTCACCCAAGCCGTTCAGTCTGGAACGAGCATGCCCTATGGCGTCCCAACCAACCCTGAGCCCGATAGCTTTTACTATCTCCTCGCGTCTGGAAAAAGCAACGACCGCTTGCGAGCCTAGAGCCTTGGGCTAGTATAACTTACGGGAAAGCCAGTAAGCCGCGCCTAAGCATATCAGCCCCATCTTCCGAGTCATCTATAAAAACGCACTTTTCGTTCCTCATCCTGCTCCTCAGACATACGTTCTTCCCTAGAGTCCTCTACTATCAAGTTTGTGCAATATCAGTCGTGACTTGCCATACGCTTTGTTAACAATGCCTGGTTTCATATACGTCCATTGCCCTGCAGAACAGATCTCATTTCCTTTTCAACCCAGCATTTCCCAGAGACAATCTCTACCTTTATTCCATAAAAATTCTACCCCAAGATATCTTTACAGACTCGTTGCTCCTCAAGCTCCAGGAACAAGCCCACCTTCCAATTCTGCACCCTTTGCTGTATGTCGACATCCTCCCGACCTATTCCAGTTCCCACCCAAGAAAGCCGCCAACCTCTTACTCAACCATCTCCTCTGGCAACGAGGGGCCGAAGATGGATGCAACCTCTTGAGCTGGACGAGTTCCCTGCTCTTCGCCCTGCAATATGCTCTCTACCGACACCGCAAGGACGGCGATGACCTCAGACATATCACTCTAATCATCATAGACACCAGCCTCTTCCCGCAGGGAACTTTCATACAGGATATGGAAGTTATGAAGTTATTCGAGCACGCTGATACCCGCCTCCACAAGTTCGTCGAATACCGAGAGACGGAGTATTACTTCGGCGAGTACCTTACGCAAGGCCCACTAAACATCCAAGGACGCTGTGTCTTTGCATCTGTCCAGCAAATGATCGATCTCGGGCTTTTCACTCTGCAGCCTGGCCTGGCCGACGTAGAGCAGTGGCAGTGCTGGCCCAAGAGAGTTCTCGACTACCGCCAGCTCTTTGCGGACAAGAAGCAGGTGGCGACGAGAAAGGGAGACGTCACAACGGCATTTGATATTGCGAGACACTGCTTTGGGGGTCCCTGGACGGTCCCTGGTGCGATTATGCTCCTTTCTTTGCAGCCACGATACAAGGATGACAGAGTCATCGCGGACGGATTTAAGGCGCAGTTTACAGGTACGTTTCTCTTTCTCCTGTTTGATCTCCCACTCCTTCCCCTTGAAACGGTTACGGCCTGACCAGTGAGCTGTAGCCGCGGAAATCAAGGAGGCAGCTTTGCACAAGGTGGAGACGCACACGACGCGGCTCCCTGAGGTTGGGCAGTTTCGCGATCTTGTGGAGTTTATCAAACGCAGCTACGGGCTTTCCGAATACGATACGGTGGTGAACGGCGTAAAGGACCTCTCTGTCAGTGAGCAGAGCGACTGATGCCTTAAGACGCCATATGATTACCCGACGTGGAGATATGGAGGCTTTTGCCCTTTTCCTTTTCCATACGAGGTGTGGAGAGGGTGGTGGAAATAGTTTCCTTGGAGTTCTTGCTTTTTCCGCGCTTTCGGTTCTTGCATTGGAGGATTTTACGCCTAATGGGCCAGTAGAATGTCTTGAGACAAAGGATATTTCGGGATTCTTATGTGGAAACGATTAAATATGTACTGTATACTCAATAATCCCTTGAGTTTCGTACTGCCTTGTCTTTTCTTTACTGAGGATATTCGTATACCCGACGTATCCGGCTGACATGGTCAAGGCTTCCATCGCTGACGTTGCGCCGCGTGACCTTCTAACTCCGAGTTCAGCTCCCTGATCAAAGGTCTTACCACACTTGCATTTATTCTTCTCTTTCCTTCTGTTACTCTCACCCGCGAAACCACGTTGTTCCTGGCTCCCCGGGTGTCAGGAGACCATGACTCAAGCTTAGGGCTCACTCTCGAGGTAGCGAGGAACTGCAACCCTCGCCGAAGTCCCCCTCAATTCAACCACGACCTCAAACGGCGAGACCCTTGGGCAGTGGTAATGTTAGGCAGCCGCGGGTGTGCTGGCAAGACTTGACTTCCAGATGCGCGCAGCGTATCGCTTATTGCTACTTACCCCACTGCATCAGTGTCGAACGGTACGAACCCGTGGGGTGAGACATCATCCAACTGTGACTTGGTCTATTTCACCCTCTCATTCACCCTTGGAGTATCTCGAAACTTTCAAAGGCATATTTCCCCACGGCTTTTACACCGCAGCGGAAATCGGCGCCCACTGTGGGGTTCGGAGGAGAGAGATGCGAGAGTCCTGGGTGCCCAGAGTGGGCGGTGGCTGTGTCGGAAACCCAAGATTGGGAGACCGAATGGGTGACTGACGGCTTTTGGAAACATGTGTCCTTTTCCTGGTGAGAAATATCGTGAGATCAACATTCAGCTCGCTTGTGCGCACTCGAGATTATGTTCTTGGATTATGCGGCATTTCCTGATGCTCAATCACGGCGTGTCCGGGCATCTTGCCACTAAGCTGACCGGGCAATGCTACCGCAATCGCCACAGCAACACACAAGAATCAACAGCCTGGAGTCGCCGACCACAGACGACGACCTCAATTTCGGCTCCACGGATGCCTACGCTTATTAGAACCTGCTTGCTCAGCGGGACGGCGCCCGGAAGTCCCCGTGGCATGGCATCATGTGTGCATGCCACACTCTGTACTCTGTCCCGGACCAGGAAGGGGTTTGTACGGAATACAACCCCAGAAGTCTCTTGCAAATTATTTCTCTACCTGATGATGATGAGCTGACCGGCCATGCGTTCCTAGTCCGCGGGTATCCGGCGACCCCCTTGCCTGCGCTCTACACCGCTACCTCTCCGGTCACCGGGATCATGCATTAGTCCGCAGCTTCCATCGCGAGCCTCCGACCAATTCTAGAGAGCCCAGATAAATGCACAGGAATGCTGGAAATGGGGCTCAGTGCTTCATAGGCTGCTTGGAATCCGTGCTGGACTAAGGAAGACTGGAAACACCGGATGCATTCCATGTGGATGGTTGCCAAAAAGCCAACGATGTGGGACGATTGCCCGCTTGCGCTATAATATGAGTTCTCATCGAAGCTGAATCGGTCTTGCGTTACTGTTGTCTTGGTTACGGCACCAGGATGGTTCACCCTCGTCCGCCGTGTCACATGCCCCAGGTTGACTAGAGCCTGGTATTGATCACGGTAACAAAGCCGGACTGCCCGCCCCTAGAACTTTCTACAGTCTATCCGTGGCTGCGAAGCTTTGAAGGTCGGGATTGAATGTATTTTCGATTCGGTCGTGGTCTGACTTTCTTTCGCCACAAAGGCTGTGTTCACGGCGTAACCTAGAAGCGCGCAGTCTCATAACAGATGAAAGTCTAGGTAGCATGGTCCGACAACCCCTTCAAGAGAAAGGAATGCACCTATTTTGCGCCTTTTTCGTGGATCAATGTGTGAGGGCACATTAGAGCAATGACGCCGAGTCCAGCTGGACAACCTAAGATTCCCTGCTTAGGTTTTTCTAGTTTTCGAAGACAGGGTATTCTTGCCTAGTTCATGAATGAGAGGGGATCAACGCCATTCGTGTTTATATGGAATGGCTTAGGTACTACAGAACCTCATCTTCAAGAAGAAAGGGGCTATGAAGCTTGCTTTAGTTTCTGCGTACGCAGAAACACATGGAGGAATTCCCATGTTGCTTTACTATAGTTCCTGCAGAGTCGAGTTGAAAGCGTCCTGCCTGGATTCTATAGGCTTTACTAACTTCAGAACCGCCTATGATGGTATTTTGTGGTCTCGTCAATCCGCCCGGCAGCGACCGTAAGTGCCCGCTCTATCTAGGCCTCACTGTCTACGGCATTGTTATTATAAATTACCATGTGCCTGCAGTAGTCCCACAAGCCATTTCCACATGGAGAACGATCCGCATATCTTCTTCATCTTGTGGTTCAGGGCGGCATAGAGCAAGAGAGAGCGCAACCAAATGGGATGCTCGATTCCCAAATCAAGGCTACCCCGCCTACGCTGCAGCGGTAAAGTTGTCCTAAAAGTCGATTATAAACTCACGGATTCCGAGTGCGCGCTGTCACCGATCTTATATCCAGGTATCCCGGCGAGGCCAGGACTGAATCGCCCCTCTAGCATGGCCGTGGAGCTAGTCAAGTACCGAGGACGAATTGACACTAGTATAAAAGCCACGAGGACTACTCTGACTTGAGAGTCTGGCTACGGACCCTTGCTGATAGTTCCTGACTGCTCTGTCTTCAAACAGCGCTGCCCTTCATATAGAAGTCGGGTGCGGGGGCGAGGTATGGCCGCCTCGAGTCGAATGGGCATTGATTGAACCAGTGGCATTTTCTAGTCCTGGTCCAGACAACGAGGAAATGACAGAAACGCTAGATATAGATATTTCATCTTCCGCTATCCAGCAGCCGATATCAGCCTAGCCCTCGCTTCGATCGTTGATCAACAGAATAGAGTGGCTATGAATCCTATAGCTCTAGTCGTAAACTTGGCCACGCGAACCGGAACTTATTAGAAAATCTCTTCAAGCGGAATTTCCTCCTGGGCGCCGTGGTAGAAGTCCATCGAAACACGGGTTTCCGGTGCTTATGGGCAACACATGGGCAGTCTTTGTTTGTCAGAGGCGGTCTCCTTCGAAGCTGAATTTGGTTCGGCTCTACTAGGGCTTAAGCATGAGAACCAACCCCTTCTTTTCTCCTACAAAAGCCAATTCCTCCAAACTCAAACGCCTTCCTACGCTTATTATCGGGGTACAGGTATGCCATAGGAGTTATATGAATAGCCCTGAGACGGCGGAGGAGATCGCCTTCGCGACGGAAGTTAGTCGGGCCTCGCCAGCCTGTAGATCAAAGACGGTGAGCTGAGTTATGCTTGGAAAGGAGGCCCAGGGACGGAGGTCACGGCGGCTGACTTGTACTAGCGAGCGGGCGTTTTCGTGCGTGTGTCGGTTCGCTCGTAGGAGGGCGTGGGAAGGGCCTGCTGCATGCGAATAGATCAGCACTAGCACGGGTAGTAGGCATCCATTTCTAAGACATACCCGCACACCATGTTGCCTGGGTAGGAGCAGAGGATTGCTAGGTAGGTACGGTGACTCAGACCTCGCGAGTTCGGATAATTGCGACAGGAACTATCGTGAGGTAAGGCAGTCGAGGTCAAGAATACACGGCCCGTAGCGTACTTCTGGACGGCAAAAGCCCTTCGAACATTTAGTAGGGAGTGAAAGACACGAGACACACAATAAATGAGAGCTGGTGAGCCCGTGTCTCACTGGCTACCCAAAAATGACACGTCTCCAAGTCCACGCGCCGTCTTCGCCCGAAGAGAGTGCTGCCTAGCGATTGGGCCCTCACACAAAGTGTCTTGTGTCTGTTATGGAGGGGATGGCCAGTGATCTTGCTCACATTGGCTGGGTCGTTAGAAGCATGCATTGAGGTGCTTCTTGATACCTTTGGTACGCGGAAGCCTACTTTCCGCGGAATCCTTAGGCCAAAGATACCCGGCGTCTTAGCTCTCATCCTCAACAATGTAAAGTGAGGCCATATAAGCATCGACGTGGACAGTGACGTTGTTGGACGGGCGGATAACCTCTCAGTGGCTGCCCCATCCCAAACGACCCGTCCTGCAGTTCCTAGATGAAACATTGACTTGTTTCAGAGCACTATCTAGGCTCTTCAATTGTACCCTGAATTGAATAGGGCACGATACGTGTGTAATAAATATCGGGATACTATGTTGTTTAATACCGCGTGGTTCAACGCCATTGGGCAGTAACACAGTACTGGAACCTGCCTTGCCGTCAATAAAGCCTGCTTGCCACACGAGAAAGTTGTAAGCGCCATTTGACTCAGCGACTCTAAGCGTCGATGTCGCCGCAGTAGGTCATGTCGCTTGGGCAAAGCCCGCTTAGCCTTCACTCGACTTTGCCAGGCAGACTGCACCATGAGGACACGAGGTGGAGATCCCTTGAATTCTGCCCTACGTTTCGGGGCTGCAGCAATTTGGGTAATTGTTTACCCGTCCTGGCCCTGTACTCGCCAGTTGCGAATGGCTTGCATGGCCTCGTCATGCTACGCGGTACCCCGACTACCTCGCTACACCCACTGGTTTGCTTGATCTCTGTCCTTATACCACGTGAGAGAGATGCTAATGCTGGAGTGTGGCCATATAGAACCTATAGACAACACTCAATGGAGCGCGAACCCTTCCATAACCGAAACCCGCCCCCACCAACCTGGCTCCTAATCCAACCCATAACCCTACGGCACAGCATCAAAAACCCGATCCCCCACCCGCGGCGGCCGCAAAAAATCCCCCGGCGTCTTCTCGGGCAACTGATTCCTCTCCGCCCAGATTCTGACATCCTCGAAATTCTTACACCGGTGCTCCGTGTTGAAGTCGACGAATGGAGACGGGTGGTCGGGGTACAGCCATACCTGGCCGAGGACGCCTGTGTCGATCGTGCACATTAGTTGTTGGCGGATGATGTCAAGGCAGTGGGCTGGATAATGGTCAGATGTGTATTCGGCATTTGGGATTGTCATGGGAATGACGAAAGGGGAGAGGTACGTACAAACATGCTTCTTCACGATGAAATCGTCATTCCTGAAAGCGCCTTTACCCTGGGTATGGTAGTACTCGTAGTTGTAGTATAGCGACTGGCGGAGGAGGTTCTGCGCGCCATGTCAGCAATACTCAGCCTATGGTAGGGTTGACGCTTTCTTGCTGACCAGGCAGTGGAGATGATGCAGTCCTTCAACATTGGCAGGATATCCACCGCCGTAGGCCTCTCTTATCTGAACTTGGTCGTGGGCAATTCCGGAGCGTGCCGCTTCGTGTGCGGGGACGCGAATTGGTCGATCTGGACATCAAGTTAGCAAAGATGTGGTCTTGGAGAAAGCCAATTGGGTATACGAGAAGATGATTAGCGCACAGTTCACACCAAGCGCCTCCCACGCCGCATCGACCTCTGGTCCAGCCTCTCGCCGGAACACGTTCTCCTTCAGGAGAGACCCGTTGAATCGCTGCGTGTGGTATTTTACCGGGACGTGGGAGAGAACGGGGGCTGGCCAAGTCAGTTCGGTCGCTGCAAGAATAATTGTGAGAATGCAACATGCAATCATGCGAAACATGTCGCGAACAGACTTCATCGAGATCGCGCGATCTGTATCCGACGAACATGCCCGGCAGGCCTGACAACACGATCGTCAGGAGGAGGGCGATTGTCCACCACAGTCCGTATCTTTGGCGAGGCTTATCGTCTCGATGTGCCCAGTCAGCATCCTCTTCGACTAAGAGACTTTCACTGACTTCTTCCGTGTCTGTTGGCGTGACGCTCCGCATTTTCTCATCGAAGCCTTCCTCGTCGCGTAGCGACTCCATCACCCAAGAACACAATGTGGTCGTCAAATCCTTGCTAGCCAGGTTGCTCTTCAATTTGGTTCGATTCTAAGAGGCTCGGTTGCAAGGCACCCCTCGATAAAGAAGAAAGGGGGAGGGGAAAGAAAGGGGTCTGGACTCCGGCGCGGGAGCCGTTTGGCCTCGCCTTCGCGCTGAGGATTGGAAATGAAGCTGTTGCTGCAGTCATGCGGAGGGCCGTAGCATCGCAGACAAGGCGCTGGAGAGACTTTTCGGGCGGAGATGAAATTGAGAAAGGCGCCTGCAAGGTGTAACCTCGGCATGTTTCGGCCCTGGGCAGATCTGGGCTTCATGCGGGCTGCCAGAGCCCAGAGCGGCTTGTTGCCGAGCTGTGAGACAGGTGTTTACAGGCATCACTCGTACTCAGCCAGGCGAGTTTGGTAGAGTGGGTGGGAGGTTGAGGGTGGACGGGCTCAGGGCAAAGAGCAGGTCGCGGGTGTGCCGAGCGAGGTGGGCGGGGTATTTCGACGCAAGGGGGCCACCAGGAATGCGCTAAAAGGAGTCAAGAGATCGAGAGAGACGCTTAGCCATCCAAGGCGCATTGAGGAAAGCAGGGGAACCTGGTCTTTGATCCGCTCAGAGGCTAGAACCCGTTTGCTTGTGCCAGCGTCGAGGTGACACTGCATCCGCAATCCATCTGGATCATTTCAGAGCAACAGCCTAAGAGTCCAATGCCAAATTCTCCTTGACCAAGGACCGATGGGAGAATGTCGGCTGACGATACTATGGGGAATGACAGGAAGAAGCAGAAGAAATGCCCGTCGAAGAGCGACTTTCGAATATAAATAACACAAATATCTGCTGAGATACGCAGGACAAGCCAGAGAGGTCTCTGTGATTTCTCCCCCTCAAGCCCTTCCACCACATAGGTTGGCCTAGACCACAAACAATCCACCATGCATCTCCCCCCTGCCGGACTCTGGTTCCTCACCCCCGCCCTCGGGCTGGGCATGGCCCTTCCGATGGAGGACGCCTTGGCCCCCTCGATGGGCATAGAGATGCCTATCGAAATGAACGAGCAAATGGAAAACAAGATTCACATTCATCACGTCGAATATATGCATGACGAGATTCCAGAGAGAGCGATGCAAACCGGCCCCGCTTTCAATATAGACATGGCCCCCGGGATCGAAATGGACGATAAGCACAAGATGGGAGAACAGATGCACAGTTACCATGAGCACGACTACTACGCGCAGAAGGAGAAACGACACGACGACAACCCAACCGATGAACCGACTCTGACCAAGTCTCCGATACCAACGACTACAAGGGAGACTGCGACTGACACTTACACTGACACTGAAACTACAACTACAACGAGCGACGACAACCAGCCAACCAAACCGCCGGGACACTATGATGAGTACGGGAAGTATGGGGATTACGGAAAGTACGGGCATTATGGTGACTATGATGATGCAACTCGGCGGGAGACAGACCTTCCACGACAGAGCTGGCGAGAGTAGAAAAATTGGGTGAACGGCGATGGACTTGAATGTGTGCCTTTCTTACTTGTTACACAGATTGACGGGGCGGGAGTCATAAGAGGCACGTTCTGCAGCGCGCAGTGGCTATCATAGACTGTAGGGACAAGAAATAGTGATAGCGCCTGATTTCTAAAAGGTTGATTAATCCCTGATACGCTTCTGTCTCGAAGTTGGTGCATGAGCTGCAAGGGCCCGGCAGATCGACGACTAAATCGGTCCATCAGTTCCTGCTATTAGACGGCAAGGCACCTACAAGCGGACTGGAATGTCAAGATCAAGACTATGCGAGTCAGAACTGTTCTAGAACCGTGATAACGGCTTAACCTCATCAAGGCCGACAGTGCAGCAAGCAAGGTGTCGATCACAAGGCCCGTTGGATCGACTCAAAAGCCCAGTGCGACCATGAGCTGCCCACCATCAATGGCGATCAGCAAGGAGAGATACTAGTATTCCCCCTCCGTCCAGCAAGATTGGTGAGAGTGTCCGCTGCGCGGTAATAAAGAACAACATATATAATGCCCGCCACGGCCATCCCGGCTAAGATCGAACAAACACCGGTCTTTCACCTGATACACTGTACATCTTGCACTGTCGTTTCACGTTGCAATGGGGGTATCCAGTACGGCCTCCTATTTGATCCGCTCTCACTCGCCTTGCGTAACGCTGACATGTCCACAGACGATAAACGGCTCGAAGATTCCGAGCTCGCGCTCACGCCAATAAACGAGCGGAAGCTCATGATCAAGATCGATTTCCGGCTACTGCCGTGTCTCTGTGTCATGTACATGATTACCTTTCTGGATCGGTACGAGCTTATCACCTTCACCTTCACCAACCTCCTACTCCTCTGTGGATCGAGACTGATATTGTCCGTCAAGAGTAAACATCGGCAACGCCGCTGTCCTCGGCATGCGAGAAGATCTCAACATCGAGTCCGGGACAAAGTACAATGCGGCACTGATGATTTTCTTCATCCCGTATATTCTGTTTGAAATTCCGTCGAATATTCTTCTTAAGAAACTTAGTCCGCATGTTTGGTGTGCGTTGGCTTGCCCAAACTCCGCTGTGGCCGAGTCCGACTGTGTTGACGCGTCCAGTATCTTTCTGCACCTTTGGCTTCGGCCTAATCCTCATCCTGCAAGGCCTCGTCGAGAGCTGGACTACGCTCATGGTCACCCGCTGGTTCCTGGGCATGTTTGAGACCGGCATGCTTCCTGGCTGTTTGTCCACCTCCCACACACACTCTCTCTCCGCTCTACTCCGCTAACACCCCATTTACAGGCGTCTACCTCCTCGGCATGTGGTACGCGCGCACCGAAGCCCAAAAGCGCTATTCGATCTTCGCAACGTCTACCATCCTCGCCGGCGCATTCGGCGGCCTCCTCGCAAGTGCAATCGGGAAGATGGATGGAATCCGCGGGTACAGCGGTTGGCGGTGGGTGTTTATCCTCGAGGGCTGCGCGACGATTGTTATGGCGGTTGTCGTGTGGTGTCTTGTTCCGGATTTCCCGGAGGATTGTAAGTGGTTAAAGGAGAGGGAGTTTGAGTTCCTCAGAGAGAAGTTGGCCAAGGAGACTGGGAGGTTGGAGGAATGTGTCAAACTTGGATTCAAGGAGATTGCGGGTGTTTTTAAAGATTGTGAGCCTTTTTTCTTTTCCTATTGAGATTGAGGAGGAAAGAAGGAGGGGGTGCTGATGCTGATCGTCTACAGGGAAGATATTTGCGGGAGCGTTTATGCTCCTTGGGCAGGCCGTTGCTGGGTATAGTAAGTCTCTCACTCTGTTCAAGTCGTAAGCTCAGCTAATCTGACCAGGCTACGCCTACTTTGCCCCGACAATCATCCATACATACGGCTATGGGGGTAAGCTCAACCGCCAACGAGACGAAACGGGGATACTGACGAACAGAAATCAAAACCCAACTCTACTCGATCCCCCCCTGGGCCGCAGCATACGGGTGTACGCTGATAGTTGCCTGTCTCTCCGACTACTTTCGCAACCGGTACATCTTCACCATCGTCCCGCTGCTCGTGGGGATGAGCGGGTTCGGCATCCTGCTCAACGTGCACGACACGAACCACAATCACCTGCAGTACGGCGCCCTCTTTTTATTGACGTGCGGCTGCTTCAGTACGAGCCCGGTGTTTCTTTGCTGGTTTGGGATGAATCTTGGTGGACATCGACGGAGACTCGTCGGGACGGCCTTTCAGATTGGGGTTGGGAATAGTATGTCCCTTTTTACTCCAAATCCCCCTCCTCATCTCTGTTTCCAGGAGGGAGGAAAGTATAATAAATAAAGTGGCGTTCGCTAACAAGTCCAGTCGGCGGCATAATCGCAACATACGCGTTCCTGGAAAAAGACGCCCCACTCTATCGCAACGGATACATCATCGGGCTCTCGTTCTGCTGCTTCTCAGCCGCCATGTCGACCCTATACCTTGTCGGATGCTGGTACGAGAATACCAAGCGCGACCGCATCATGGCGGAGGGGGGTCCTGACGCCGAGGTCACGCCGGAGGAAGAGGAGGAGCTGGGCGATTTGGCGGTTACGTATCGCTATGCGTATTGAGGTTTGGGGTTTCGTCCGCCCGTCAGAGTGCCATTCGAATTCTAGAATGTGTCCTGCATACAAATCTACCCGCGACTGCCGGCCTGCAGTGACGCACATTGACAATGACCCCCCTCTCATTCGGCGGAGCACCCGCCAAGGCTTGGCAGGTACTGTGATCGACACTGGGCTCGGCGCCAATCAGGGGCGGATGCATTGACACGGGGCGTAGAGGCGTTGAAGAAGACGTGCTTAATGCGCCATCCGGCCTGGCATATCTTGATTCTCTTCTCCAAGCGGCGTTCTTGGCTGCCAGTCCGCGCTCCTCTTCCCCGCTGCAATACCGGGTAGTTTCTGTCCATCGCAATGTCCCTGCTTTGCAATCGCTGGCTCTCCAATTGCTGGATATCCTCAGTGCACGCGGCAAGACATGTGTGGGAGATTCTGTTCGTTATTGGTGTTTACGGGGAGCGTAGCTAGGAAGCGAGCTTGGAGGCGTTGCACGACGCGGGTAGAGATGAGAATATACGATGCGAGGATAGCAATATAAATGCCTCTTTTTAGTCGCCTGTGTAACATACCCCTGACTCTGAGCTCAGGAACAAAAATATCTTTTTCCTGGATCTGAGCAGCCGAGCCCTGCCGCAGCTCGACCTGTTCAATTCAAAACCCCCGTAGCCAAAATGGTCTACGCATCGACCCTGCTCTCCCTCCTGGCCCTGTTCTCAGGCGCCCTCGCCAGCTACAATGGCAACCTCAACTACCGCAGCCCCTCGCTCAACGGCGACCACATCAACATGGGCATCGACACGGCGGCCATCCACCGCCGCAGCCTCGCAAAACGCGACGAGACACCCTACTCCGCCTCGCAGCTCAACTTCACCCACAGCGTCGCGTCAGGAGACCCCTACGCAAACAGCGTAATCCTCTGGACGCGCATCGCGCCCTCCCTCGAGGCAAGTGACAGCAACGTGACCGTCTCCGGCGACGTTCCGCTCTACGACCACGAGAACGAGCGGTATGCGAAAGCCAGCGCGCACCCGATTTGCGTCGAGTATCGCGTGTTCCGCGATCAGGAGGGACGCCGCGTTGTTGATAGCGGCCGCGCGTATACGAGCAGCGATATCGATTTCACCGTCAAGGTTGAGGCGAAAAAGCTCAGGCCGTTTACGAGCTATTGGTACCAGTTCAATGTTTGTGGGTCCGACGTGAAGAGTCCGCTTGGACGGACCAAGACTGCGCCGGCGAAGCGGGATAAGGTTGAGGAGGTCAAGCTTGCGGTGCATTCTTGCAGCAACTACCGTATGTCCCTACTCCCTTTCTGCTACTCCTGTTACTTTGACTGGACGTGGTTGACTGATTTGAATAGCGAACGGCTACTTCAACGCCTACGGCAACGTCGCCCGCAAGGACAACGTCGACTTCGTCGTGCATCTCGGAGACTACATCTACGAGTACGAGAAGGGTGTCCCCGGCGTGGATGAGCGTGCTGTTGTGCCTCAGCGCGAGATCTTCTCGCTGTACGACTACCGCACTCGTCTCGGACAGGTAGGCACATGCTCTCTCCAAATGCGCTTATGGAGAGCTAACAGGTGTAGTACCGCACCGACCTCGACCTCGTTGCCTCTCACCAGAACTTTCCTTGGATTACCGTCTGGGATGACCATGGTATGTCCCCCCTCCTTGGCCATTTTCACCTGCCTGACAAAGGCCGCAGAGATCGCAAACAACGGCTACCGCGACGGCTACAGCGGCCTGCGCAACACGGAAGACTCATTCCTAAACTACGGGCCCCAGATCAGCGTCGACCAGCGCAAGATGAATGCCGTCCGTGCGTACTTTGAGTGGATGCCGATTCGGTACGGACGCCTCCTTTTCTTCCCCTTTCCCGCTCCTCTTCTTCTTTTTCTCTCGCCGTGCGCAATTTATGAAGTGGATGTAGCCATGTGCTAACCAACACAAAGCCAAGTCGACATGGACGACGGCCTGCGCATCTGGCGAAACTTCCAGATGGGAGACCTCCTTGACCTCATCATGATCGATACCCGGAACTACGACCGATCAATCACGGATATCAGTTAGACATCCCCCTCCCTCTCCCCTCCCCTCCCCGAATCCAAACAAACAAACAAACAATACTAACGCAAAGACCCAGGCGACAACTCGCACTACATCGAACTAATCCACGACGATGCCGGCCGCAGCATCATGGGCGCCCGGCAGGAAAACTGGTTCTACCGCCAACTGTCCGAATCGAACGAGCGCGGCGCGAAATGGCGCGTCATCGGCAACCAGCTCGTCTTTGCGCATATCCAGCAGCAGAATGCGGACGGCACGCTCTCGTTCTCCACGGATAGCTGGACCGCCTACCGCGCGAACCAGAATCGGACCCTCAAGCACATGTATGAGAATGATATTCGGAATAATATTAATATCGCGGGGGATACGCATGTTAACTGGGTATGCCCGCGCCTTTCACCTGCGTTGCTTATCGGCCTCGAGAAGGCTGGAATGTAGGAAGTGGGCAATGTGCGCTAACAATGATAACGTCTAGGTCTCCGACATGATCTGGGAAGGAACAAAAGACTACAACGAACAAACCGGCGCAGGCGCCGTGGGCGTCGAATTCGCCGGAACGGCCGTATCCAGCGGCGGCTTCAGCGGCGACTCCCTGGCGGCCGCCGAAGAGACCGCAAACACGTACAGCGTCAACCCCGAACTCAAGTGGGTCGAGGGCTTCTACCGCGGCTACTTCGAGCTGCACCTGCGGCAGGACGAGGCCGAGGCGCGGTACTTTGGGTGCCCGACTGTTGCGACGCGGAACAGCTGGGAGTTGCCGTTGGCGAATTGGACTGTCAAGCATAGTGAGTCTCACCTCCAGCGGCCGTTGGCTGGGGGTGAGGTGGAGGCGGGGTATTTGCAGGTCGGGGAGTTGAGGCATAGTAATGTTTCGCTGAATACCGAGACTGGGGAGTGGAAGGTTGTTGGGTTTGATCAGATGTTTATTCAGCATTAGATGCGGGATGGTCGGTAGATGAGGTAGATAGGTTAGAGAATAGAGCTGAATAGGTTTCGCTACGATCTCACCGGCGTGTTGAGAGTGGCCCTTTCATCCGTTCTGTGGACTCTCTGTGGGTTGAGAAAGAACGTCTCACCAGACTCTTTCACGAGTACACGACCATAGAATCTAGATCCTTGAAAATTTCTCTGGACAATTCCTCTTCTTTGTGAGTGTTTTCACTGACAGGGACCTTCTATTGCCACATTAATATTACTTGATGCAAGTAGCTGCATGGAGTAGCTTTTAACTCTTATAAGGCCCCTGGGTGGGCTGGCTGTACGAAATACGGGCTTTCATTCTTTTCGAGAACCACAGGGTGAAAATAGGCCCGCCTAGTGATGACAAAGAGACAAGGCTGAGAATATATATCAATAAGCACATTCTCTCGCCCTAACGCTTGTGACCTTTCCGGTTACTGTGCCACATGTTATTCATAACATGGTTCTTCACCTTCTCAGTGGCTTCCAAAGGCGACGTTTCCCTTTCCAGCATGGGGCATTTCCATACGCAGCAGATACTAACTCATGAGACAGAGCACCTTTGCACCCGCCACATCATCTTCATCCCATGGTCCCACACCCGCTAAACAGGCGTGATTCCAAACCTCCGTACGATGTACGCCGAGGGCTGACTATCCAGAAGGTGATACGACCGTCGATCGGGACCAAACGACAATAGAGCGCCAGCCAGCCGAATCCCACCTAAGAAGAATCATCGTAGCATGTCAGAATGATGTAACTAGCACTAGCCCTGTCTCCAAAGCACGCGGGCGCAATGCCCAACGACTTACCACAGAACAAAAGCGATGATCCAAATCTCACGGATGTGGCAAGGAGCCCTAGCTACGGAGACGGAGAAGGAGGCGGAAACCGGGTGACGGCACACAATCACGCAGGCAGCTGGCACGCTTGCACCTGCTTAGGGTGGGAACAGCAGATATATAGGCAGGACGCCTTATGAAGGGGTTGGCCTGTCATTCCGCTCAGACAGACGCAGCTGGTCCACTTGGACGGGTTACCAAAGAGAGGCAGGCCGCAGGTAGTCCGTCCCACCAGTCGGTTTAAGTTATTCGACGACGATCGTTCACACGAGGAGCCCGGCTGTCGCGCTAGTTTCAAACCAGGGCTGATCTCGGCACATGTGTCTGGGCAAATAGGATTTCAGGAATGCGAAACGTTGAAGAACATACCCAGGCCCTGTCATGAAGATACACAGTGACCCAGGGTCTGAAGAGACTAGAGGCAGGTCTACGAGTATATGGCGGGTGTCTCTGGTTGGTGATGGAAGGACACTGGAGGAGCTACTCCGTACAGCCAACAAGGCAGGAGAGACCCGCACTGGAAATCCCTCGGAGAGGGATGAGCAGCTGCCGTGTTGTCACTAGCAATGGTCCCTAGCCAACTGGACACAGACTAGCCTTAGCGATACTGGCCTAGCCTGCCGATCCCACCTTTGGTGCGGTTGAGACAAGCTTCGCGCATGTTGTAGGGCAGGATACCGGAACAAAGGCTGCCATGGGGAGCGTAGCTGCGGAACTGCCATCAGTCTCAATGGCATCCTCCCGGTTGCTGGCCGATCTGCAGGCAGTGAATGAAGTCTGGGCTTGACTGCTGGAGATGACTCCTTTGCCGTATGATGTTTAACAACGATAATCGTTAGACACTACATTATTCGGGTTACCCGCTGAATGCGCAAGGTCTTAGTATTGCGCATTAAGGCACAAAGGCTAAATTTGTTATCAAGCGCGACTCCCTCGGCACAAGGGTAGCGGCTGGCGTTGATATCTCGATTATTCTATTTGCCGCGGCGCGTAGGCGGTGCATTTGTAATCCTGCATCTCAGCTTTGAATGGCTGTATCTGCAGGTTCTGACTCGGGAATATTTGGCTAGCACCAATTAAGGCGATAATTCTTATGGCGGCAAAAACGCGACGTGTCGTCTTGCGCGGCTGAAGTGTATAAATTGTTGTTTCCGTTGAATTCTCTCCATTTCCTCGGTGGCCGCTTGCAAATTGCCCAAGTGCGGCAGCAAATCACAATGGCTGCTAAGCCAGCTCGGGGTTCCTGAATCGGGAGCATTCTGGCGAGCAGTCTGCCCAGTGAGTTGTACTTGATCGAAAAACAAGGCTTCCTTGGCTCGCTGGGCGGACACAGGCGTTAATATCGTTATCGAGCGCCGGGATTTGCACGGGCTTTGCTCTGTTTGCCACTGGTCCGGGGCTGAATGACTCGGGAGTTGTGTCTTTATTGATTTGTCCAGGATCTGGATCGCTTCCAGGCCGCGGACCCGATCGAAAAAAAACCCGCGCTAAGGGGGTTTGTCAGCGGGGCTTCGGCTGCCTTCGCAAAGTGACGATTTTCCCGATTCCCAACTTTCGAGGCACGATGGAGTGAGTAACAAGGCCTCTAGAAATACCTCTATTGCCAGTTCTCCTGATTCATGCATTCGGCACAGACACTGACCCGGACCGGGCGACCCCAGCGACGACAATGTTTGTCCACTATGACGGACCATCGAGCAAGAGGAGCACAAAGACGCGGAGAGCCGTCAACGCGTTCAAAGCGGCGAGGGGGGCTTCTCGCTCCCACGGTAAACATGACCCGGCGAGAGGGACCTTTCAGTGGATGCATATCCCCGAGGATGAGTCGACAGGCGGGAAGGATGCCTCGTCACCAACAAAAGCCCCTCACTCCGCTCAGTCGCAGTCACAGGCGCTTGTTAGGCCAGCGGCAGCGGCGCCGCTGACAAAATATCTGCTGGGAAGCGACAAGTTCTACCCCATCCTGGAGAAGCGTGGAAAGGGCCCTCTGACAGCAGCGGCACTGAGCCACTGTGCGTGTCGCCGAATTCTTCTTCCTGGACTGGAACTAGTCGCTAATACACGGCGCCAGATTTCGATATCCTCCTTCCGCATGATGCGAACGCGCTCGGCCTCGGCGATGCACGCAAGACGACGTATGGAGCCGGACTCCTCAACTGGTTAGCCAACAATGACGGAGTTCTTCACGGATTGGCTGCCTTTGCTCTCTGTAGTATGGACAATGTTGGAAAGACAGACGAGATCTATCGAGCAATTCTCCACCACCGCCAGAAGACCCTAGAAGACGTCCACCGGCGCTTGGAGCGGAACCAAGTGGATGATGTTCTCATTCAAGAGATATGCTTGTTGATTCCGATAGACGATTATCTGGGGTACGTCGAGTATGGGCCTGTGCAACAGAAAGGAATGTCGGATGTCATTCGGGCCCGTGGTGGTTTCGACAAGGTGGGCAGTTCAGACGTCGTCGCGTATGGGGAGAATCTGCAAAGAAGCATCCTCACAGTAATGAGCATGATTGAGTTTCATATTCGGACCAGAATCACATCCGAGCCTTCGCACGTCCGACACTCAATACCGCTTACACGAAGCCTGTCGCTGGAAACGCAGCAGCAGATTTCGGCTCTGCCACCCGGATTGCAGGACCTCTTCCAAGCAGGCATCCTTTCCTTGCCCGTCTTGCCAATTTTGAACAGCTTCCAGGCATGGCTCGCGCAGTTCAAAGGTATCAAGGACCAAGAACGGGACTCGTGGCGATCGCCTGTCCCACCAGACCTCAATAATATCGAAAACTGCCTCGTCGTGACTCTCGTATGCTTAGCCGACGACACAAGCTCCATGGGTCTGCATCCTGCCGCGGCCATCTTCCGCAAAGCCAAGCAGCGTACTGAAGCACTCACGGGCGTACCGGAGCTATGGTCTGACCCAGCGCTGGTCGACTGCGCAATCTGGATGTCAACCGTGACGTCCATACCACGGAATAGCGAGATCATCGAGCCGAATATTCAAAAGGAGATACTGAAGAGGTCGATTGGCGGTCGGGTCTTTGCGCTCGAGTGGGGAGAGATTCAGCGCAAGCTTAGACGGTTCTATTACGCTGACTCGCGCGCGGGCGATTGGGAGAGGGCGTGGAACATAGCGCTAGATGAATTATAGTTGTTGTCAGAGTATAATGAACATTGATGATCTCAAGACCTGGATGGCAATTAGTTTGTTCGGATATAACTCACAGCCTTTCCTAATCAACTGGTCGACTACTCTGATGTGCTCACATCGTAGTCGTGCATTTCTGCATCTTGCTGGTGGTGATCCGATGCCCCCTAGATCAAACACCTGCAGTCCTCCCTGGGGGAATCAATCGATGAGCAGACGAAAGGAATCATCGACAGAGAGCAAGAAAAACGAGCGGAGGACGGAGGAGCTTAAAAAGGCTGAGATCGCACCAAAGCCAACTTTGGGGAAGGAATGTCATGGGCGAGGAAAAAACTGACGACCCTTTGTTGATATGTCAGAGAAATAAGGACTGCTGGGGTCTGGGGCCCAGCCTCTCCGATGGGGTAATCCGTCCGAATCCGGAAAGAGGTCTCCCAGAAGCAGGATAGCGCCAAATGCTGCCTCCAGTCTGCATGGTCTGCAGGGATCCACTCATCGTGATCTAGATTGGCTGCGAGTTTCGAGGAGACGACTAAAAAGGAATGAACATTTCTCGATTCCAAGTCGGGGGTTCCTGATTTATATGGATTCAAGGGAAATTTAAGTCAGCTGAGTCGTATTGCATCCACAGCTCCTTCCTATTGAGACCTCCATTTCTTCAGGGATAGCATAAAGGCGTCCTTTATTACCAATTATCAGAGCCAAAGTACGGCTGACATATACAACAAAGATAAGAAGTGCGCTTGCATTAAGTGAGGTTTGGATACTCTTCCAGACCTACGCATGTTTGACTCTAGAACCGTGCCTTTCCCTCCTGCCGAGAGGATTCTGAGAGGGGCGAATGAACAAACCACATCGCGGACAATGCGAGCGTGGAACGGCGATGATCCTGCAGGAGGTTGCAATGGGTGTGACTCAAGGCTCGCTGACTGCATCCGAGTCCTCAATTCGTTCGTAGTAATCCTTCAAGCTACGCCTGCTTCGTGCCATGGGCAGCAAGACCAATCCGCGCTGGGCGAGACAGCAGTCACGAGCGGACTCCTGGGCACCTTTGGTGTCCGAAGACCCCATTTGCTACTGCTTGAATCTACTATGTCGAGGTCTGGCGTTTTTAGGTCACCTTTACCTGCACGGAAAGCGTCTATAGCGCACATTGAGTTACCGAGAGAATATCCATGCTGTATATAGGGTTTTCACACACTCTGCTGCGTCCGTGCCGCCTGGCATTCTGGCTACTTTCCCCAAGGACATGGCCACGGTATTTTCTCGGACATCAAACCAAAGATGTTGCCCGCCAAGCTCGAAAGACTGAACAGTTATCTTACAACCACAGACTTGTTCCCGCATCGAGGGACCTTTGCGCAAAAGGAGCCCTCTCCTCCACGCGCTAGCGGCATATAGCCCGCGTATCATGCTACACCTGGCACTTGGCCGAATCAAGCGCTGTTACCCCGGGTCTGCTGTTCCTGAAAGATATGGCATAATGGCATGGAAGGTCTGGAGCATTAGCGCTATCGTACATTGGACGCCGGACGCCGGACGCCGGACGCCGCTAGGGCCTCTGGGCCACGAAATCTCTAATATGCCCATGATGCGCCGAGGCCGGATATTCCATGCCAAGTGATTACTTTGTAACTGCAACCACCTCACGCTCTTAGCCATCAACAGTCCCACCACGAACGCCCGTAACTCTAATATTCCCAAGGATAAGCCTCCACATGGCCACTTGACATAGGACTCGAAAGATCAAGCGGAACCTGGTGTCCCCTTGTTTAGTATCGTTAGACTATCTGTGACTAGTATACGAAAGAGGCCAGTGGGACCATCAGTCCAGGCATCTGCAGGGCGCTCCTCCATCTTAGTCGTTTCATCCGGTACCTGGAATATATATAGATTGCGCAGAGGTTCACCTGGGTACTGGGCGCCTCTTTCTTTGGGCGGGGTCTAGAACGATATCAGCCAGCTTATCATTATATGGCTACTAATGCTGTATCCTCGCAGCTCGATACCTTCGACTTTCGCGACCGGGTGGTTTAGAGTGCTCAGCCTGGGCTGCCATCGCATTTGTGGATGCAGAGCGTGCCTGTCTTGGTTTTGGTGATTGGGTATGCCGGGGATGTGACCGCAGGGCTCGTGGGCTTCTGTCGTGGTTCAATGTTCGAGTTCTGTGACAGGTAATGGATGATTGGTCTTTTGAGTCCGGTACTGGCGTGGCACTTCAGCTATGAATTCAGCTATCATCGGTGTCTAGACTGCCAGGCCAGCTAAGCTGGCTTTGCAGGACAGGAGCTCCATGAAGAAATATCCTCGGTATGAGTGTTGGGCTCTACAGGCCATTTGACGTATACAGACCGACCATATTTTCTTGTTGAATCATGGCGCGTCAATTTCGTGGCAGACTGTGGGGGAGTCCCTAAAATTTATTGCGCTTGTAGATACTGGAGTTAGCAACCCCGACCTCCTCCCTTAATGTGATGAACCAATTTCTAAGGTAGAAATAGGACTAGACAATAACTGGCCTTATCGACCACGATCTAATCTGATTGTCCCGGCGTGAACTATTATTGATCCTTTATCGAAAGAGGCACAGACACAGAATTGGGCATATAATGCGCCGGCTAGCATAGGGGCCTGTATTTTGTGATTACTCAACGAGCTCCTCCGGCGGCAAAAGCAACTTCTAGCATGCTGAGCCGCTGCTTATAAATTCTTTGCTTGGTAATTACAGTCGATTTGCGATTAATCAACATTATAGTGGACCATGTTGATGTCATTCGAATGTCTGCGGCGTGCGTTGGCGATTGATGTTTACTCTTCGCGTTTACTAACCATCTTTACTCAACAGCTGGATGGCGCAATGCTTGTCCTGAAGAGCTACCATATATATAGACCGGGAAAGTGCCATGGCCTTCTACTGAAACACAGTTCAAACAAGTATCCCCAGTTGAATGGGACTATCCCCCTTCAAGCCTCTCTCTAGACTTCCTTTCGCAATTGCCGGTCCACAAGCCCGCAGAATGGCATCCAACATGATCGAGTATTCAATCGCTGGAAAGTCGGGCTCAATCAAGGCGACTCGGCGCGTTGTGCCCATTCCGTAAGTCCTGTTGCCAAGGGCTCCTTCCATCCGGCCGGTGGTATAGACTAGACACTCATCCATTGCGGCGACAGCACGCCCGGCCAAAACGAAGTCCTGATCCGACTCATCGCCACAGACTCGAATCCCAAGGACTGGAAGGTATCTTTGTCCCACACCTAGCACAACCGCGAGCACTCACTAAAATCTGCGTAGGCCTCCCGCAACCACCCACAGGGCCAGGGCATAAACCAAGGCGACGACATATCCGGGATCGTCGAAGCAGTCGGGCCCTCTGTCCACGAATACGTCCCCGGTGACCGCGTCGCCGCATTCCACCGCATGTTCCAGCCTCATGGCTCCTACGCGCAGTACGCCATCGCCCCTGCCTCGACGACATTCCGACTCCCACCGAATATCTCCTTCGAAGCCGGCGCGACGCTTCCGCTAGCGAGTATGACGTCTGCGCTTGCGCTGTATCAGAATCTGGGTCTCCCACTCCCCTGGAATCCCGCGAGGACCGAGACGCCTGTTCTGATCTACGGCGGCGCGTCCGCCGTGGGTGCGTACGCGCTGAAATTCGCGAAACTGAGCGGTCTCTCGCCGATCATCACCGTTGCCGGGAACGGGGTTGAGTTTGTCAAGTCGCTCGATGCCGCGGATCACATTATCGACTATCGGAATGGGAATGTCGTCGAGGGGATCCTGAAGGCACTCGACGGCCGCAAACTCCACCACGCCTTTGACGCCGTCTCGTATAACCGCAGCTACGAGGATATCGTCGCCGTCCTGCAAGCTTCGGGCGGCGGTCAGATCGACATGGTTGATCCGCCCAGCGACGATAGTGCGAATCCCGAGCGTGCGGCGTGGGTGTGGCCTGAGGGGATCAAGTTCACGCGGACGTTCGTGTCGAGTGCATACGGGGCTCCACACAAGTATCGGAATGAGAAGGAGGCCGCGGAGGACGGCGAGTTCGCGTATGTCTTTTATCGATATATCAGCCGGCTACTTGCGGAGGGCAAACTGGAGCCGCATCCGTACGAGGTGAGGCCGAATGGGTTGGAGGGTGTCGCGGAGGGGATCCAGTTGCTCTTTGATCGTAAGGTTTCGGCGAAGAAGCTGGTTTATCGGTGAGTTTTATGCTATGGCTGCTTCTTCTGTGTTGTTGCTGATGGTTTGACAGGATCGCGGATACCCCGGATCTGCTCTGAGAGTTCTGTCGAGGCTCTCTTGTGAGATTATAGCGTGTGTAGTCCGCTCTCTGGTGACATAGGCCTAGCTAGACTCTTAGTACGTAGTAATAAGTACAAACCTTTGAGATTTAGCCATCTTTGATAATGACCACACTGTATACTTCGTGTTACGTCGCCTAGGTGCCTGACCTCTCGCGCATAACGGATTATCAGGTGTCAGCCTGGCGCTACCGTGCTGGCACTCCTGATTCAGTCAAGGCACAGGCCTTACTTCGTGGGAGAATAAAGAATTTCCAGCTCTGTCTAGCGTAGCCTACTTCATTAGCCTCAGATCGCAACACCATCCCACCCAAACTTTAAGGCGTTCACTCCGCATAAGCATCGCAACTCCCGACCGACCGTCTTCCTCACGCCGTTGGCCCGTTCGTTAACGTTCGGAGCACTGTGGAGATTAATGAAGGTCCAATCTCGCCTCTGCCCACTCACAGTGACCCAGTCCCGCAGCTGAACCAGCTCCTCCAAGGCGAGTGGGGCAGATTTGGCCCCGAAACAAGCGAAACTAATCAAACGTTTCGAGTTTCAACGACGCTAACCGTAGCTAACGGTCTTCGCGAGAATTTACGGTCCGTTCATTGGAGGCTAATCCACGCCCTGCATCGTGAAGACACAGGCGGGGCACTAGCGGGCTTGAGCACAGCCGAGCTGGGCTGGGCTGGGCTGTCAGCTCACAGGTCATCGTTTTGCTCAGCTCCTCGAATTCCCTCGAGTGCTGACTTTTGTTCTGTTTCTGTTGTCTCTCTCGAGGTACGATTCTTTGAGCCGATGGGTTCTCTCACGACAATGTTGTTGGCCTTTGCTCTTCTCGCGTTGCACCTCAGCGCTCCCACCAATGGACAACATTTGTTGCCTGGCGAGCTATCGGCCGCAGTTGCGAATGCGACAATCGGGAACTGTCAGCACGCTGTAAGTTGAGAATTCCAATTCACCAAGAACTCGCTGATCCTCACACCCAAATACAGTGCGCACAACTGCAAGCCCCCACCGACCTCCCGGCGGATTTCGCAAAGGGATACTTTGCAACCCAACAACAAGAGATCAGGCCACTATGCGTCGTGCAACCAGAATCGCCCGAGGACGTATCGCGCGCCGTCCAAGTCGTGCGCGAACACCAGTGCCGGTTTGCGGTCAAGGGTGGAGGACATGGGAACCATGCTGGCGCATCGAGTATTCAGGATGGGCTGCTGATTGACATGAGTCGGTTCAGCGGCGTGACGCTCTCTGCCGATGAGTCGATTGCGGGGCTTGGTGCTGGCGCGCGCTGGATAGATGTTTATAAGGTCCTCGAGGAGAAGGGGCTTACCGTGGTCGGCGGGCGCTCTTCTACGGTTGGTGTGGGAGGGTTTACGCTTGGAGGTACTTGCATCGTCCCCACCTATCACACTCCCAGAGTACGTTGTCTGATTGCTTCCCAGGCGGCATATCCTTCCTCTCCCGCCGCTACGGCTGGGCCGTCGACAACGTCGCAAACTACGAGCTCGTCCTCGCAAACGGAACAATCACAAACGTGAACCAATCTTCGCATCCGGACCTCTATTTCGCGCTCCGCGGCGGCGGCAACAACTTTGGAATCGTCACCCGCTTCGACTTTGAGACGCGCCGTCACAGCCTCGTCTCTGGCGGGACAACCGTCTTCCTCATGCAGGATCTCGAGGAACGCAGGGCCGCGCTGGGCTTAGAGGACCGGTGGGAGTTGTCGAAGAATTCGATTCTCAACCAGGTTAACAAGCACCTTTTCCGGGCAATTGGGAGGTTCGGTCTTTCGGTTCATTCGAGAGATGTGATTCGGGCATTCGTCGCGCTCGCCGATGAGAGCCAGACGGATGCGGGTGCCCACGCTTACTTGTTCTTGTCGTGGGTGCCGAGCTATCATGCGTATTTCTACGGCATGACGACGCTGTATAGCGGTCCTGAAGCAAGCCCGGCTGTATTCCAGAACATCAGCTCCATGAAGAGGCTATACACGACGCAGAGGACGACAAATATCAGCGACTTTGCGAATGAGATCGATGCGCAGAATATGGATTTGGTCAACCGGCGGTAAGTCGGGCTGTTACCATAATATTTGTCGTATGGTCGGGACCATGGCTAACTGCATTCACGTCCATAGGAACATCTGGAGAACCGTCACCCTCAAAGTCGACGCCGATCTCATGTCGGACATCTTGGACATCTTTCTCTCCGCCGTGCATCCGTACACCTCTATCCCGGACACAATCATGTCGTGCAACATGCAGATGCTCACGAAGCATGAGATTGAGATCTTCGCCAAGAATGGAGGCAACGCTTTGGGAATTCGTCCGGAGGATGGGCCATTGTTTGGTAAGTTCTCCAAGCTCCTCCATTATAATCACGAGTGCCCACTCTACGCGCGAAATCTGGCTGAATCTAACCGCAACGAACAGTCTTCACCCTTACGCCTGGTCATTCGATTGCGGCACACGATGCGCGGTTCGAAGCGTTGAACGATGAAATTATGGGTAAGGTCATCTCTATAGCGAAGGAGCGTGGTCTGTATCATCCGTTCATCTACCAGAACTATGCTGGCCCGGGGCAGGATGTTTTTGCTGGATATGGAGCAGAGAATCGCGCGAGGCTGTCGGAGATTCAAAAGAGGTATGACCCAGAGGGGGTCTTTTGGAAATTGCAGCCGGGGTATTTCAAGGTGTAATGTTCAGGTGCAAATTATTCATCTTTATCAAGTTCAATACAGACAGATTAGATGGGTCTATGGTACTTGACGTTCAACTAGCCAATATTGTTCTATTTTCTACTCAACACAAGGCTTCAAAGACGCCCTGGATTGCCAAACTCACTCATCTCTCAGCTATTGCCGTCTATGCTCCATAATCCGCGAAACCTCCCCCCTAAACCCCCTCTCCAGCGCCAAACACTCGGCGTCATTATACGGCAGAAGCTGCGTCGCAAAGATCGTCGCAGCGCCCGACTCCCGATTCGCAGACCACATCACATTCGGCAGTCCTCCCCAAGCCAGCGTCCCCGCTTTGATATGCCCAACATCCTCCTCGAAAAAGACACCCCCAAGCCCCCAATTGATACCCGTTGCGGAATTACTTTGGTCCGTCCCTGTCATCGCAGAGATCATACCCATAGACTCGACCATTGCACTTTGCGATTCGGAATCTGCAGCAAATTGTGCCGCGAACATGTATCGTTCCACCGTTTCCTTCTTCAAAACGGTGGGTTCATCCCGAATTAGATCAGCAAGGAGTGTCATAAAGTCCGGAACGTTGCTGTAGAGACCTGCGCCCGCGCAGTCTGCGATGGGTTCGGTGGGCCATGGGTCCTGCGAGGGGATGAGGACTCCATCCTCTTGCCGCGCGAACATTGGATACATGCGCTTTTTGATGTCCGGGTGGTTTCGCAGACGGAATGTAGTTGAGGCCATGTCCAGTGGCTGGAAGATGTGTTTTTGTAAGTACGCTTCTAGTGTTGTGTTGTTTAGGCGCGCGACCAGCTCGCCGGCCCACTGTTTGCCTCGATATTAGTACATCAGAGAACCAGCCGAGCAGCCAACCCCCCTTTTCCGGATAGTAGATGAAGGAACGAAAATGGTACACTCACGTCAATCCCACCCCCGTACACAAACCCTTTCCCAGGCTCAAACATCAGCGGCACACTATGCGTGCGCGCCACATCCCCCGAGAGCGACAGAACGCCCTCGCCCCTCCCCGCCCGCCACGCCTGCAGCTTGGACTCGAAGAAATCATACGCCAGGCCGCTCGTATGGGACAGGAGATGGCGCAGAGTGATGCGCCGCGATGCAGGGACTGTACTCAGGTCGGGACCCTTCGGATCCGTGAAGACGAGCGGGTTCACGAGTTCGGGGAGGACATGTGCAATTGCGTCGGCATCGTCGAGGGAGATCTGACCGCGTTCGACGCATTGTAGGGCGGCGATTGTTCCGATCAGTTTGCCGCATGAGGCCATCCAGAAGGTGCTCTCGGGGTCGATGGGGGTTGTGGGAGAAGTTAGGGTTGTGGAACCGGAGGTTTCGTGGCGGATGTATTGGCCTGGATTGTGTTAATGTTAGGAGTGTGTTTCCTGGGTTAGTGAGGGGGTTAGGAGTATTCTATTCTGCTGACCATCTCTGTCCACCGCTGCAAGGATACATCCGGGAACCTTGTTGGAGCCCAGTGCTGTGCTTTGGGATAGTGTTTGTTTGAAATCAGGTGACACGGACTGTGCCATTTTGACTTTGATTCCAACAGCTTGGAACTTGTGATGTGAGTGCGCGAGTGCAACTGTCCAGGGTATATCTCAATTCTCGGTTTGAGAGGCCCTTGTTCGCTCGAGTTCTCCTTACATCTACGGCCTCACCTTAGTGATGTCCAGTATAGTGGTCTTTATAATATCACTAATCATCACTAATCAGAGCTGAGCTGCGGCCACCCAACCGCGCAGCTAGCGACAGAGTTCGTAAAATCTTGTCTGTTACTTCTTTGTATTATCGCTGCAACTACGCCCCTCACTTTCACCGTCCTGTCCAAGTTACACATCTCATATTTGTCTGGGAATGACGCTTCCAGGCCTCCTCTCCTGATGCTCATACTGAGCACCAGCCAAGATTACGCATGCACCTGCGCGCTATGCACATACCTCTGCGGTCTCCCTCTCCTTGATACCTAATCTGCATCCGCTTCGTCAACAGGACATCGCCACTGCATCCAGGTGCCCAGCATGAAGGAGCGGTTCACTATTCGAGCTTAGATGTTCCTAATCCACTGCAAGAGGAATGTGTCCGTCGAGTCCCACCGGAACTTCTGTCTGCGCCTCTAGCGGCCCGTGATTAGTGATCTCGTCGGTTCTCAGCTGCTTCATAGACTCTGTAGCCTAGACCCTGCGAATAAGATAACTTAAGGTCATCTCGCTAGCCAAATTACTTATATCGATGCCCGAAGCCGAGTGTAGTACCGTTCGCAGAAAACAAGAAAGAATTCTTCTCACGCGCTGTCCCGTGGTGACAGTCCTCCTCGCAGTGCGCAACGCTCCGTTCAGTCTGCTGTTTATTCTAGAGAATTCTATTAAGAAGGCTCTATGGTGCATGTTGATCGCGACGCCGTCTTGTGTTACACAAATGGGCTGGGGGTTTTGAGTTTTGTCGAAGCTTGAGAGAAAGGGTTGAATGTCGCTGTGCGGGGACTTCTGTGTTGAACCTTTCTTGGGCTTGAACACCATGGCGCGTATGGCACAGGGATGAGAGAAGTAGATGCTGGGGAGTAAATTGAGTTACACTGGCTTGAACCCTGGAAGGCCTCGAAATACGTCCGGCCTATGGGTTCTGGTGAGTTGGAGGGTAGATTCCGTTCCTTGACGCAACGTGTATCGACACGAAGAGAAAGGCTATTCGCTTTCTACCCTATTCTTCCGTACTGTCTATGACCCTCATTAGTCCGGATTTGAAGTCGAGAACAGTGCGTTGGACTGAGACCAGAGAGGATTACAGATAAATGAGGTCGTTGACACCCTCTTCCTGAGTGCGAAGACTTTTATGAAGAGAGTGAGAGCCTCTCAGAATTTTGCTATCCAATTGCCAAGAGTTCCTCTTCTTTCGTTTCTGGGGCTGTGGCCCGAACACGAGCTTGTGGCGATCTCAATTTGGCAATTTGGCGGACCCAGTGCAGCGGCAGGGGTCCGGGAGATTTCCGAGCAATGGGCTGGGCAACGGCATAACGGTGGTCGAACTCGTTGGGGAAGCAGTTTGTGAACCTCGTCTCGATCTCAATCCTCGACTGGAGGTACAGTCGTCTGACCACACATCACCCAACGACAATTGCTGGTTACACAAAATGTCGACTGCCCTGAATGGTCAGGAGCAGTGGCAGAATGTCCAAGGTTGGGCAACGTCTTGGCAAAGTCTTGATTGAGCTTTTCGAGCCGACACGACTCTCCTGAGGCTGATCAGTGATCATCACATCGGACCTGCTGCAAAGTCTCGGCGATCGTATTCCCCATCGGGCCACTGCTGCCTCTGCCAGACGCGAGAGTAACCTGGCAGGCAGAAACCACCACGCCTCTGCCTCCAATTCTCCGACCCTGCAGCAACCCTCGACGCCTCCTCTCCCCATCACCAGGCCTTATCCGCCCGTTCCAGGACCCATTCAGCCCCATCCGAACCATGGATCTGCAAAAGAAGGACCCTGAAATACGAGATCCGAACCAATCCCTGGGGCCCACTGCAGGCTAGCCCTGAGGCTGAATACGAGAGCAGGACATTCGCAATTTTGGCAGGCGTTCATTCGGCATGTCGCAGATTGTTGAAGGGGGAACTAGCGGCTTAGACTGAACTTTGTATTTGTTGTGGAGGCTGAAGATGGTCAGGGTCGGTCTGTGTCGGGATGAAAATTTGCTTCGTGATGGGGGTTTTAAGGGGCTGGTTACCCTTTGTGTTTGGAAAGGGTTCGATCTGAATTTCTGTTTCGAGTGTTGGATTCTCTGTTCATTTCTTGTCGCTCTTTTATCAATCTACTTCCGAAGGCTCGCTATAGTCGTTTCTACATACCTATCTTTAACATACCAACAAGATGCACGCAAAGCTCCTCACCCTCCTGGCCATTGCGCCTCTGGCCCTGGGCCAGGACTGGCTCGACGATGCCATGGACGCTCTCGAGTCAACCACGTAAGTTGCCCTCCCTTCACCTGGTAGCCTAAACCAGACAGCTTACAGTTACTCTGTAGTGACTACCCCGTCCCAACCGGCTCAGCCGACGCCCCAACACTAGACGACTACCTCGACAACAGCGACATCTTCGACGACATCGAGACAACCAACGACTTCGGCTCCAACTCCGACTCCCAGGATAGCAGCTCATCTTCCTCTTCCTCGAGCTCAGATTTCTCGTCATCCTCGGATGACACCTCCTCCAGCGACAGCAGCAGCGGCAGCAGCAGCGACTTTGAAAACATCTTTGCCAGCATCCCCAGCTCCATCATCTCCGAGCTCGCAACCGCGATCCCGCCCTCCGTCCTTCAGGAACTTGCGACGCCGGCCTCGCTTTCGTCCATTATGAGTGAGATTGCTGATGGGAATTACCCGGCTTGGGTTACGGATTTGCCGGATGATGTTTCGAACTATCTGGAGAGTGCGGGCGCAGCTTTCCCGACTGGGTCGTCTTCGGGTGATGAGAGCAGCAGCAACAGCAACAATAACAATGACAACAACAGCAGCGGTGGTGGTGATGACGATGCTGCAGGCATGTTGAGTCCGTCTGTGCTTGCGAGTGTTGTTGGGGCTGTTGGTGTGCTCGGTGTTGCCCTTGCGTTGTAGGCTGAGGGCATCGCCCTTGTCGGGGGATAGGGACGTGGGAAACGAGGTTGAGTGTGGACTGTGTTCTGCGTTGCTCTTATGCTTTCCAATGTTCACTCTTCAATATAGCATGACCGACTGCTAGCTATTTTAGTTACTTGAATTAATACCTGACCACTAACACTTTTGAAGTGATACTGGTGTTTTAGTTGACTGGATGTGTAGACAGAGAGTATATAAAAGACCCACGAGATCTATAACCTTGAAGGGAATGCTACTGCGGAGGTTTATGTCAGTCTTGTCGTGTTTCCGAGGTTGAGTTGAGTTGGGTAATCTTCTCGACCATATGTTGCAGGTTAAATCATTAATTCATCCAATATCATAATGGACGTGACGGAAAAGGGTACATACTACGAGGATAGGAGTGTACAAGCTGACTGCATGTCCAATCTGTTTTTGTAACGGAACCCTACACATAGCAAACACCCTCATTTTCAAATTGTTGGCTTAATCATAACAAATTCGTGTACACCAAGTAAAAAATTCGTCAAAGAGATTCTCCGCGCGAGCACTCATTGGAGCAAGAGCCGCAAGACCAAGCTGGTCCCTACAGCCTCGACACCGTACTAGGAGCTCGCGTGGATCCATTACTGGATTGATGGTGGGGCAGGCCGACCCCAGGTCTGATGCCAACCTGGTGGTTAATGTCGCGAATGATCTCCCTAGCAAGCCGGATGTACTGGCTCCTACGAACCCTCGCCCCATTCCCCATGCGATCCTCCCCCGCATCGACGTCCGGTCCGCGACAGCCAAGAATCACTTGATTGTGCGCCGCAGGAGTCTCATATCCATCAGGGTGCAATGAGATCCATTTATGGCAAAAGTAGCACGCTGGCTTGCTACATCCCACGTACCTGTCGTTGTCGACAAACTTGAGCTTCTTCCGGCTGAAGAAGTCCACAATAAGTAGCTCGGCGTGGACACGAGTGAGTACGTCTTTAAGCTGCTCGAATTTGTTTGACAAGGCATAATCTTCTGCGATATCTCTACTGCACAGGTGTATATTGAGGCTCTGGCCTTGATGTGGTGGGAGACATTGGTTCTTGCAAATAAGCTTGCAGGTCTTGTAGAAGTTCGCCGCTTCCGGTGGGAGAATAACCGGTCGGGCATCAGCAGAGGGGAGGAATACGGCCCGTACTATCCGCCGCAGAACTGGCACCTGTATGCACGCCGTGATAATCATCGAGACGGCATACCGATGTGCCCCGAGCCTTCCGATATAGTGCGCGACCTGAGCCATCGGTACATTGCCTATCGCTTTGCTCCTCACCTCCTCGAGTTCTCTCTCGCGGCCATCGTAGCATATTGTAGACAGGCGATAAGGATCGGTTTCGCCTTCGATATCTCGGATCCAGGTAAGGACTCCGTGGTCTTGAACAAGGAGAGATATTAGCGAGAGTTGAGGAAACGCGTCACAAGGGCAAACTTGCCTTTGAAAATCACATCCATATCCCTTTTACATTCAGCGAGGTGAGATCGCATCTTGGTATGATAGGATTCCATCCTCTGGCTAGCCAGCTCCAGTGCTTGCCGCAAAATCCCTGTTTCCTTTTCCTCGCGATTATCCGGGGTCACATCGTTCAGATCCCGCAAGACCCTGTTCACAAAACTGCAGACTTCGGGCAACATTGTTTCATTTGCCGCGAGGTATGAAACAGCCCCAATCTCCTCGTTCCGAGGACGGCGTGAGCCCGGTCTGAGGTAGTATTGCCGCAGCCCGGCTGCCGTCACGGTGCCTCCCTTTCTGTTGATGTCGCAAAGATAGCAGATCGCGTCAAGGAAGGACCGACGAAGGTGCTTCGTCGAGTGTTGCTCGCCGCTGCACTTTTAATCCTCTCGATGAATGGGCCCTTCTCCCTGGAATTCATCCATGCAATGCAGCATGTTCATAAGTGAGTATACGTTGATTTCCTCATCTTTCAAACCATCGGAGCCCCGTATCATGGCTCTTGGAGCGGTAGGAGCCCATTCCCCCTGGACCTGTGACTGAACCGGCATTGCTGCTCCCTCGTGATTTTTCTCGCCGCGCGTCTCTCCCCGTTTCTCCTTCCACAACAGACCCCGTTCTTCGAACTCGCAACAAACGAGACAGGTTTTGAAGACCACGCCATGGTATTAGCCAAAGATCGCTCTTTGTGAGTCATTCTCTTTTTTCTTTTCCTGAAGAAGAAGGGAAGGGAAGAGAAGAGAATGGAATGCAATGGGCATAGAACAACTCACACATGCATACTCACGTGAGGACTGGACTGGGATCTTGCTTGGCAATATTACGAATGCTATAAGTTCTCATCATTGTTATTGTATGTTCTAGATGTTGACTTCCTTGATACTCTCAGCCGCCGCTGAACTGGCCATGTCGAAGATTAAGCCGCCAGTGTCAATCGTAAAAGAGGAGTTTGCGAATCAGTCTATGCAAAGTATGCGTCGGGCTCCCGAGTCCTATCGATCAGTCACCCGGTCCTTGCGAGGCTCCGAAATGCTCGCAAGCACGGGCACGTGATATCTTGGGCGATGATTTCGATGAAGCTGTGAGCGGAGGTTTCTCGCAAGCCCGACTCGGGAACGCTTTTTCTGGAAGGACAAATAGTAACAATTCTCAGCATTGACCAATTCAGCTCTGATGCATCTTGCTGATGCCACAGCTACCTGAGAATCCTACAAAACAATCTTGGGAATGTGATTGTCAGTTCTACGAGGAAGATCCTACGGGCTACTAGTTATATCTAGTAACCAGGATAAGCATAGAGACTTCAGTATCGTTTTACCATCGGACGACATTTTACTACATAACAAGACGTAGTTAAAGGTTCATGAATATGCATCACCAGGTGGTCTTGAGAAGCACGCCTTCTCCTGTGTATTTTGACTTAGGCTATCATATTCCGTCGCAATTTAAAGTGACCGGACGTGACATCAAGATTCGTCCACGCATCCTGCCACAGCCTTTCGGTAAAGCCAGCATCCGGGCGTTGGGGGCCTTAAAGCATCAGATGACAAAATATGTGGTAAGAGGAAGTAGTCTCAGACGCGTACCCGCTGTCATCTTGAGGCAGAAGAATTTATTCTGTCATCATTAAGATTCTTTTACACCTTGATCTACCTACGACGGCGAAGTGGTGGATACCGACTGTGGGTTGATATCGTTGGGAGCCCCGGCGACGCAGGGACAGACGCCCACATTTCGAGACGCGGGTTTACTGTATAATCCGACAGATGTTCTAGTATCAGGCTCTCTGCAGCAGGGCCATGGGATAGAGAAACTCCGATACATCACCGCCGGTCGGGGTAACCAGGGTTCAGGCAGCTGAAACCCTCGCATATGAGACACTCAGCGGTCTGTCTTTCCTTCAGAACCTGTCACTGCAACTTGTTTTATACATAACAAATGTAAATTGTAGGTGTGGCTTATACTCTGGGTTCTCCGTGCATACCGCAGTGGCTCTCCAAGAACCTAAGGCAAACCATCATGAAGATCCACGATCTTGGCAGGAGGGTGCGATTCCTTTGGATTGGGGTTGGTAGGGATCTTTGCAGTTTGCTGGGGTACTGGGAAATCGCACTGGGCTGAGGAGAGACATTTTCCTCCGGGTAGATTGAATCCGGTAGCATGCTGCGCTGGCTGTGTTGGACGTGAGAATGATCCAGGGCTGCCATTGGCGATGTTTGGGGCTCGCAGTGCAGATCGCTTGGAAGGTGCATCGGCTGCAGGCTACTCAGTGATTCACCCGTAAGCTTGGTGGAGTGTCTATTTATGGGCATATAGAGTATACAAGCTACACGTTGACTTTAGTCGGGGTTGAATCTATATAAACCTCCATCTCTCTGTTGTTTTTGGTTCCTCATCACAGCTAACCAATTCAATCACGATCGCATCACATCAACATTCTTTCAGCCTCCTGCTCTTCAGAAACAATTAACAAGTTTAACAATCAAAATGTCCTGTGTCCTGACCCAAAACCCCGGCTTCGAAGCCGGCATGACCGGATACTACCCGTCCGAAAACACCATCGCCTACGTCGCAACCAATCACGAGGTCGCCTACGCCGGGAACAACTTTCTGTACATCCCCAATTCCCCTATTTGCCCATTCTGCCTAGCCCAGCTCAGCTAACAATTTCCAGCGACATCGCCGTAACCAGCATCGCCCCCAGCGGCACCGTCTCTCAAAACCTCGTCAACCTCGACACCACAACCCCACACAACCTCACCCTCTACGTGCGCATCGACCAACCCATCCCGAGCGCGCTGCAATGCACCGTGAGTGCCTCTGTGGCTTCCGCGCCGCAGGACCCCATCACTTCCGACCTGATTTGGAATGCGGGCGAGTGGCTTCGGCTCACGGGGCTGTTTACGCCCAGCCAGGCTGACGATGTGCTGGATATTACGGGCGAATGTGCGTTCCATGCCGATTTCCCGGAGTACACGTTCAATCATGTTTTTATTGATGAGGTTGTGCTTTCGGATTGTGATACTGAGTAGAGGTGTTTGGACACTGGTTCATCGTGGAGGGGGTTGGGTGTGGTGTGTTGGTTGCATTAGGTGATTCAGGCATTTGAGGGGCACAGGGGGAGGGGGATGGGGGTGTTGAGATCTGGTAGTAGATACATAGCGGATCGTCGTTCCTTGAATCCTACCATCCGCTGCGAGTTGTGTCTCTTTCTCCAGAGTTCCTTGTCCCTAGCAACCCCTCGTATAGTTCAGGTGGTAGACGATTGTCGATAGGAAGCTGTTGCCAACCGGTCGCGTCGCCTTCTGCTGAATATGAAGATCGCTAAGCAAAGTAAGAGTTGTCGTTCATGCGCTTCTGGGCGCGGTGCTCAATTAGATTATTAATGTTAAAGCCAAAATAGAGGTGCGGTCAATAAGGAGTTATGATACGAGAGACCATCTAGCTAGGGTGGTTCCAAAACCTACTACAGGCTACACTCTATCCCCAGCTGAGGGAGGTAGGACCTTCCTTCTGTCCTCAATGCCAGAGATCTAGTGAGACATGGCCACTTTCGAGCCATGACAGGATTCCCCCAGCTGGTAGTCCCCCGGGTCCCTGCGCAGCTTTGGACCCCTAGCAAGGGGTGGCTGGATACTACAATTGAGGGCCATTAGTGTAGACTCTTTGTAGGAATATATGCCAGAGGCGAGGAGCCTGACTGCGGAAGCAGTAAGCCTGCTTCTGTTGCCCTCTTGTTCAGCCTTCCGCAGCTCTCTTTAGTTAGCATTTGTGGTGAATTGCCCACGTGGCTAAAGATACGTTACCGGTCTCGAGATATCCACATGAACTGCTTATGAACAGTACAGACATCCTTGTATTACATCAGGGAAGCCTGCGCAGAATATCCGGGATGATACAATCCGATGACAACCCGGTTTTTCCCTTTATTATATGAAGAAGCGTCTCCATTTTCCTCCAAAGCAGCACACTGGGACTTGGAAATTTTCTTCTCTAAACAGCCTCCACGACACTTGCTCAGCACTTCGCGTGTATACCAGATAGCTTTGGCACTGCTACTAGCATTGTGAAAGATGGACCGGTCACAATCATCCAACCAATCACCACGGGAGACCTCACCCCAAATCAAATACAAACCCTCTGTCAAAACGGGCTGAGAGTCTCCGTCACAACCCTGACCTCCGGCCCATCCCAGACCGAATCCCGCGTCGACACGGCCTTCGCCGTCCCTGCCAGGATCGCCTTCGCCCGACGCGAGGAGAAGCGCGGAGCGCAAGCACTCGTCATCGACTGCATGGCTTCTACCCGCCTCCTACAGGACGGCCCGTTTGAAAATACCATAATGACACGTGCCCTTTCGGAACCCGTACTGCTATACCAACCGACTGTTCGGCCTGGCCAAGATGGCACGAATTCTCGCGGTCGAGGTGGGGTGCGGCTGGCGGGTATGAGAACCCGACAGCTCACCCGAAGACACCCTTGACAAGATCCATGCGCGAGGTTCCTCCTACTAGGTACGCAGGGTGCGCGCCCCCTTTGGCTGGAAGCAATGACTAGCCCTTATCGGATAGATTGGATAGGCTCCCAAATCTCCAGCAAAGCTCTCATAATCTATACATTGGAAAACGACCAGGGGTTCGATCAGCCTCGCGAATTGCTTATAGTCTGTAGTCTGCGGCTTTTTCACCCCAAGCATTAGGCTAGTTCTGATATACTATCTTGAATTCAATATTCCTAACCCTAAAGTCCTAGCAAATCTGCGCTGCTAAGAATAACTAGCAGCAAACCTTACTAGAAGCAGTAATCCCCGCGTCCTCTAGTTACAAAACAGAGAGATATATATCATTGAAGGCTCGAGTGGATCCTGCGAGAACGCTCGAAGGGCTAGATAACTGGGTCGGCTTGATGCTGTATATAACAAAGGTTAAATACAAGAGTGGCAAAAGATTTCAGGAAGCCTGCCAGACCCTCCTGCAACTAATGATGTACCAGTCTTGTCTGCCATGAGTGTTGCGAAAAAATGTTGGTGATGATTGGTTAGTCAGCACCCACGAGCCAGGGGCAGAGTTTTCCGCGCGCCGCTGGTGATTTTCAGGAACAAATCCACTACCACCAGCAACGATGAGGCAAAAAGTCATTGTTGAAAAGCAAAAAGGAATTGGGGCGAGCCGGGATTGAACCGGCGACCTCACGATTTCAGTGGACTAAAGTAGACTTCAGTCGTGCGCTACTCCCAACTGAGCTATCACCCCTTTTTGATGGAGATGAGCGGGCCAATTTGCGCTGAAGAGCGGAAATTACCGGAGCCCTGTGTCGGACCCACTTTCGTGCTACGTACTGTAAAGAAGACTTGTCGAGAGAGTGTGGAAGAATTGACTTCAGAGAACTAAGCCCGTGGACGATACAACCATCATAAGAACGAGGGCACTCGGAGCGAGATGGGAGATTATATATAAAGGTTGGTTGTTCTCGGCCCTGCCCGCCTTCCCTAGCACTACTCAGTACGCAGTGGTCATTGTATATATTGTACGTAGTGCTCAGTGCAAGCTCCCAAAGGCTCACAAATATCCATAATGCCCAGTCCCCAGGCATAGCATCCTGATTGGTGGAAACAAACCATGCCCTCTCCAGACGACAGGAATCAGCCCATTCAAAAACTCCTCAGGATTGGACGCCATCGCCCTTCTCAAGCTGATTCCCCACATTCCATTGGTGGAAACCTTCTCGCAGGAATTCTCCGGACTCTCCGCAAAGGATTCAGAATTCCCCAGTATAAAACCGGATCACCGTTCGATTGTCTGTGGGAAAACCCGCTCGATCTCTGCAATTAGGCACAGGGTAAACCGGCAAAAGATAATAGCCAGTGTTGCGGTCGAAATGAGGCTAAACTTGGGCACTTTTGTGGGGGTTGGTCTTGTGGGGGAGTCATGGAGACTCGCTGGGGATGAGTATAAGGAAGCTGGATGATAGTGGCACTGGATGACGACAAATCAACACCCAAGCGGATTGCAGCAATGACGTCCTTTTCATGGCTCTTCTTGTTGGCTTCCTGCCTTCTGTCGGCGGCCTGGAGCCATCCTTTGGACGGCGTCGACAATCTCCTTGACAGAGGTTTAGGGCACTCATTCCCAGAAGCTTGTCAAGCCTCAACCAGGAACCCCCTGCAAGGCTGTCCAAAGGATACAATCCTCGTCTCAGCAACCCACAAAAAGGCCTCCTTCCGCAGCATCCAATCCGCAATCAACTCTCTCCCGCACGACGATTCAGCCCACACAATCCTCATCCTCTCCGGAAACTACACCGAACAACTCAACATCACCCGCCCCGGCCCCATAACACTCCTCGGCGAAACAAATCACCCACATGACGCGAACAAAAACACAGTCAATATCCTCTGGGCCGCCGCCTCCAGCCAAGGGATATACACGGATAACGTCTACACGAGCGTTCTCATCGTCGCGCCAACACTGAACGCCAGCCTAACCGGATACGGACCAAGCGGTCTCCCCGTCCCCGAGGGGACGCCCTTTGGGTGTCGCGATTTCAGGACGTATAACCTCGATTTCAGGAACGTGTACGCGGAGCAATCGGCCGGACCCGCACACGCGCTCTCCTTCTCCCGCGCGAATGGCGGGTTCTATTATTCGGGTTTCTACAGCTTCCAGGATACAGTGTATGTCGGGAAACTGGGGAACGCATTCTTCTACTCGTCCATCATCGCGGGACAGACGGATTTCCTCTACGGATTCGGGACGGCATGGGTTGAGAAATCCTCGCTCCTCCTCCGCGGGTGCGGCGGCGGAATCACAGCGTGGAAGGGGTCGAACACAACCTACGGGAATAAATTCGGCATCTACATCCACGACTCGACCATCCACGCAGCAAACGCCTCCGTCGCTGAAAACAACGAAGGGAACTGCGCCCTCGGCCGGCCATGGAATAGCGGGCACAGAAGTATCTTTGCGCGGAGCTACCTCGACGCGACGATTCGGGGGAGCGGCTATGTACTCTGGTCCGCACCGATTACGGAGCAGACGCTTATGGCGGAGTTTGAGAACTATGGGCCGGGTTTCGATGTTGAGGCGAGACGTGAGTGGAATTATAGTGTTTTGTTGGATGCAGAGGAGTGGAGGGGCTATAGTAGTCCCAGAAAGGTGTTTTTAAGCGAGAATGGGGAGCAGGGGAATATTGGGTGGATTGATAGGCGATATAGATGGTAGATTGTACTACAGTGAATGCGTGCCTATCTAGGAATCAAAAAATGTACAAGCTACATGGTTGTACCTAGAGCATCCAATAACGTTGTATATATAGGAAGCGCCCAGCTAACTTGCGTCAAAGCAGTGAACAGTGGGTCCTGACAGCTTAAGGGCTGGGTTAGGATAGTTTAGTATCTTATTTATGGACCCTTGTGAATTTTTGTAAATGGATACAAATGCTGTACGGAGTAGAATAGGAGATGTTGTAAAGTAATGCATATAATATTAGTCATGGTAATATCAAGAATTCTAGCAGCTCTAAACCATGATAAGTCTGGAACCTGGAAGTCAGCCAATTGGTTACGTAGCCACTGAACACAATCACGTGGGTAAGGCACCCCCTGGACCTTGCTAGGCTGATCCGCATCGATCACTCGTAGATTACGAAACCACCTGGCACAGCCTTCTCTGATCTCTCAAGAGATGCCAAGATATTCAGTGGGCTTTAGAGTTTCTCCCTCAGCCCCCCGCGGTGGAATCGAGCGGATAGCGGACCGAAGATAAAAAGGATCTCCTCGAGAAATGGGTGGGGAAGGCTTCCAAACAATGGGGATGCAGTAATATTTCATAGGAGCGTATTCAGAGATCATCGACTGCATTTGGAGCACTTACGTGTCTCTTTAAATAGTGACGACCCGTTATGGATTAGTCCATCTGACACCTGGCCCAATGGAAGATCAGATCATCACGCCCAGACTCAGGTGTTGTTTGCTTTTTTTTTTTTTGCGGCGGAAAATATGATCCCAAGTCAGCCTCGGGCTGAGGCTGTTCTGCCTCTCCTGGGTCGTGTCCAGACCTGGCTTGAACCTAGAGATTCTTGCCCATTTCATAGTGTTTGGCCTGCTTGATTTGCTCTCAACAGAAGATCTCCCTTTACCTGTGCCAGAAAACAAGAGAACACGACATACTCGCCCCTGGAAAGAAAATGTCGAGTGAGATTAATCTCCAGGCCGACGTCGGCCAGCTTACGCTGCAAGGCCTTAGCGCGTTCAACACACTCCTTGCGACGCTGACTGCCGATGATGTCAACCCGATGGCAATGATCCAGATGGAGAACCTCGGAGCAGCATTTCCAATCAACGGTAAATATGCGGCAAAGGTGAGCCTTCTGTTCCTGGCTACTGGACTTGGCGAGCAGGATTTGACAGGCAAAAAAGGTTCCGGATATGCTCCAACGCTGCAGCTCCTCGCGCCTCGACCGCCTCGGTCTCGTCGTGGGCTGGCGTAAGGGAGATGCAGCTTCGCTCATGGCAAAGTCGGCAGGTGGTCAGGCTATTGCGCTGCTGGCAACTGCATTGATGGGAATCTCAGGAGACCGTGGAGATGTGTTTTTTGGGCTGTCTCGGAAACTCCTCCCTGCATCTATTGCATTATCAAGTATCAGCCAACTGGAGGATGTTGCACGTCTCCTATCTAAAAAACTGGCACCGTTGGGATCTGGCAACCTCGTCGCTGAGCAGGTATCCCTGATCCACGACGTTTACACGCAGCTGCAAAAGCCAGTGCCCACCGATCTCCTGGAGGTCATGAGCACAGAATCGGCAGTCGACTTATTATATGCTGTATCCCGTGCACTTCGCGAGGACGGTGCCCTCGTCCGAATTTCGGGAACTCAAGCAATGGGTTATATATACTCGCTTGTTACAATGATGTTCCCCCATGATTGCCTTGTGACGGTCGACAATTTTGTCGTCTTTGAAGGCGAAAACAGAAAGGTTCTCGTCGAGTTTGAAACTGCATCGGCCGAGCGCCCGACAGAGATTAAAATTGAGACCATATTGAGGATCTCTCACGCAGTGCCTTTGCCCATTGTTATTGAGCCTCGAGAGCGCAAGGTGTTGGAGTGCGCAGGCCACTTCACCTGGGAAGGGTTTTTGGCCGATCAGCTGCAGCTTAACCTGCTGGATCATGGGATTAAATGCACTGAAGAACTTCGCGTAGCTATTGCCGGCGTGCTGGTTCTTATTCCTGCAGAACTAAAGGGAATGGCAATGTTTCCGGAAAGCCATCCACTCCCACGCTCAGGGCTTGTTTCCCTTTTGGGAGATCACCCTAACTACCGAATCTCCCAGGTTTGCCAGACAATCCTTCGAATCCCGCCAACGGAGCGTCCGCAAAATATTGAAGAGGCATTGGCACAGCTCATGCACGTGTTTCAGTCAGATACCAAATCCCGAGTCTCCTGCTCTTGTGGCCTCATTCTGAACAAATGCAATCCTTTGCAGGGATGGCCAGACCTGCGGTATCGAGACAAGGAAGAGGACTGTAGACTTCGACATATATGGAACATCGTTGGCCGTGCCTTGGACAAAGCGTTGGTAGCCTTGTTTGTCGAGGCAGGGATAAACGCCACAGTCTGGGGCAACGGGTGGAAGTGGTACGGTACTAGACTGGCCACGCAATTTCTGACATACAAGTACTCTCAGGACACCTTCGATGCCAGTTGCCAGAAAATCCATAGCGAGATCATGTCATTGGCAGGCTACATTTCGGAGACCAAAGACCGAGTTATCGGCCAACTAGCCTGCTCAGATTCAAGTACAATTTATTCCGGTGTCCTTCGAACCATGTCTATAACCCCGGACCGTGGGGTGCTCTACTATCTGGTTGATGGACGACTTCAACTCAATGGCCGATATCACTCATCTCTCCGCACTCTTCCAGTTCCCGAAAGACCAAAGGCAACACGATCTCTTTACATGCACAAAGGCGTGGTTAAGCCCTCTTCCTTTGGCGAACATCTAGACCTTCTGCTCACTGTACATGAGCGGTCAGCCTTCTTGGAACTTACCTGCGCCGTACGATTTTCTGGAAATACCGTGCGTCTGCAACTAGCCCGCGTACTTATTGCGTCTTATGGTCTTGAGGAAAGCGAACCTTGTGAACACTCTCCAACAGAAGAATTGAGCGCAGACAGGATGGAAAATATAATGACCACGTCTGTGGCGGCTCCGAGGGCACAGGAGAAGAAGATTGCCATTGTTCAGACAGCAGGAAATGCAACCGCGCAGCTCCTCAGCTGCGAGTTGGCTGTGCCTACAATCATACAAAGACGATCCTGTCTGAACTGTACGTATGATGAGGCGGATGGGAAGTTTAAAATGATTATTGTTGGCTAATAACGAGGATTATTGAACTTCGGTTGATTCTAGGGGCTTGGACGCAAAGTAGTTAGAGGATTAGCGATCATAAACTTTAGTCTGCTAGGATTCAGTTCCGTCAGAATCTGTATGTAAACAATGATAATGTGTAGTGCGAAGCGTGGTATTTGCTGTCTATTTTGTCTTTTTTTTTTTTTTCATCCGTCGCAAACACGCATAGTCAGACCACTCCACATACTGGGCACAACTTGAAGCTGAGAAAGAAAATCTACATTGAAAAGGGAGCCTTGGAAGGGGCGAGCAATGGCCTGCTGGCTCTATCCTCGTATGCAAAATGACATTGGATTCTGAGAAAGAAGGCGCGGTTAATCGCAGCTTCCCAACCGTTTGGCATAGAGCCAGCCTATCGAGGAAGCAGCGGTTAGGGGTCCTCTTTCCACGTCTCGGAATCGCATTCAGCAATGTGCCCTGTGTAGGTATCCGTCAAAGATCTTGCGCTGGTGGAACAACGGTACCCTTTACATGACCTCTCAAGAATGTCTCGAATACGCGTAAAGCAGCGGGGTAAGCATCTCGCATGATAACTCCAACGGCCAAGAACTTGGAGTAACGCCCGCTACCGCATCCCGGCCTCGGCCTCGGCTCGGCTCTGAATCAAGACCAATAAGCGGGCCTCAATCCGGGGAGGCCAAGCGTCAAAGCTTCTCCAAAACTCGCTTAGACGTGCTAGGCTGCGACCTGGATCCTTGGGCCTTCCCCAGGATTCGAGTCATTCGACAGCGTGCCTGCCCATTTAGCCTATTCAGCCGGTACTCAGCGGAGGGTTCTGGGTAAAGTCGGCGCCACCCTGGTTGGAATGGCCAGTCGTTTTCTATTCCCCAGCGTCTGAGGCTCCCACCATACTGGTAGGTTTTTGATTCCGGGGTGTTCTTTCAGGCTGATTCGCTATTTTCTTTCTTTCCTGGGGAATCATTGGTGGTTTTGACATATCGAAAGTCCTCCAATCGATTGTTGCCGAGAGAGTCGAAGCTCTGGATGCAGCTCTGGGCAAAGAATTGCACCAGACATCACACGGGGTCGCTGAAGGTACTCCAGCTCTGGACTTAGATAAAAGCGAGCCTCCTCCCTCAGGTCGATCCCAGACATCTCCAAGGGACAAGTCCACATCAGACAACGCGACAAGATGGTTCACAAGACTCGAATTTACAATTGGTACGCACGGCGACCTATACGGGCTTTCAAGCTTCTGACTTTCGCAGGTACATCTGCCTGGTGGCAGCCGGGTGCATGGTGTTGATGGGCTACGATGCGTCCGTCTTCAACTCGGTGCAAAACTCCGACAACTGGCATGCCTACTTTGATAATCCTGTACGTCCTTTTCACCACCACGTCTGCCGCTCGCGATTGCAACATCTCTAACACCGCGCAGGACAGCTACATGCTCGGCCTCATGAATACAGTCTACACCGTGGGAGGAATCATCACCGGCTGGTTCTTCGCTGGGCCTTTGGTAGGCTCCCTGCTTCTCGACCTTGTAAAACGATCTAGCTAACGGCAGAAACAGGCTGATTACGCCGGTCGTCGCTGGGCGATGGGCACCGGGTGCTTCATTACAATTGTTGCGACTTTCCTGCAGTGCTTCCCGCCAGCGAGCAACCCGGTCCCGGCGTTTATGGCTGGCCGCGTTCTTATTGGAATGGGGCAGGCCCTTGCTATCGGTTTGTCACACGAATTACTACTTTGGAGTTTTTGACTGACGCTTGTAGCTGCTGGTCCCATCTACATTGGTGAAGTGACGCCCTCGTACATTCGTGGTCTCGTCATGGCTTTTTGGCAGATGTTCTACTCTGTCGGCTCCTTCGTTGGTAGGCCGCCGCTCCTTTCTCAGTATTACGCACCAGCAACCTCTTGTCTAACACCAAATGTTTCATTCTAGCATACTGGGTAAACTACGCCGCCGGCCAACACCGCAGCAAACTTGGCGAATGGGACTGGAAGATGGTCGTGATCTTCCAACTCCTCCTCCCGCTAATAATCATCTCGCAACTTCCCTTCATGCCTGAATCTCCTCGCTGGCTCGTCCAACGGAAAAACGACATCGAGGGCGCCCGCAAAGTCCTCGCGCAGGTCCGCGATACCGACGAGGAAATCGACGCCGAACTCCTCACCATCCGCGAAGCGATCCAGTTCGAGAAGGAAGCGCTGGATAACGGGAAACGCGCATACATGACGCTCATCAAGGATGCGAGTGTGCGGAAGCGGTTACTTTTGACGTTCGTGCTGAACATCGGGCAGCAGCTTACGGGACAGGGGACCTTCAACTCGTACAGCTCGACGATCTACAAGAAGATCTGGAAGAACGGGGATACGATCAACCTGATTAATGCGCTGAACGCGACCTTTGGTATTCTCTTCACGCTCAACGCAACCTGGACGGTTGACCGGTTCGGGCGCAAGTTCTTGCTCGTCCTCGGTGCGTGCGGTATGGCGGTTTGTATGCTGATTACGGCGCTTGTCGGGCTCGAGACGCCGGATACCCCCGAGGGCGCAAAGACGCAGCCAGTGGGCATTGCGATTGTGTTTCTCATGTTCCTCTTTGCCTTCTTCTACAAGCCGTCTTGGGGCGCGACGGTTTGGATTTATACCGCCGAGGTGTTTCCGATGAATGTGCGCGCGCAAGGTATGTTTGACATGACATCTATTCGAGGATAATCAGATGGGGATTGGGAAATGCTAACACATTGGATGCAGCCGTGGGAATGTGCTCGCAAATGCAAGGCGTTGCGAATACAATCTTCCAACAATTCTTCCCCAAGTTCTACGAGAATGAAGGATTGTAAGTCTTCCCTTCCTTCCAATGAAACTTACCCAAAAACTAACGGGCTCTAGAAAATCCTTCTTCTTCTTCATGACCTGCAACATGTTCCTCGCCGTCTTCGTCTGGTTCATGATCCCCGAGACCAAGAAAGTCCCTCTCGAGGAAATGGACTCGCTGTTTGGCGGCACCAGCCACGTGCAGAATGGAGCGATCTTGCTGCAGCAGTCCAAGGAGGGCGCGCTGGATATTGAGCAGAGTCGCGGGGAGAAGGAGGAGGTTGAGGTTGCTAGTGTCCCTGCCGGTGTGGCTGCGGGCGGAGAAGGAACTGAGAGGAAGTGATAGACAGATGCATTTTTCCAGTGTGTCTGAATAATGGGATGGACCGGGATTGCCTGGATACCTGAGGTGTGGGTGCGTTGTCTGTGCAGTAGATACCAGATGCTGAGCGATAGATCGGAAATTGAGTGAAATCTACCTTGGTGAACATATGCCAGGGACACGAATACCTTTGCGTGTAGAATACATACGGCTGATAGGGAAGCTACCTAGTATGAGCTCCTCATTGACTCTCGGATATAGCGTCTCAGGGATGCACAGAGCTTAGCCCGAAAGCACCAAAGAATCCAGGGCATGGGTAGAGAATTGAATCATAAGCTCATGTACCATATACACTACTAGTACTTTCGCGATCTTGGTACCCCAGGAAAAAGCTGCGTTGCAACTCGTCGACGGCCTCATAGCCCGCTATGAATGCGGGCCACGATGTTCCCGGCCCCAGTGAGTAGTTCGTGTTAATGGACGCCCTGAATCTCTCTAAAGTGATGATCACGTTCGCTACGTGGCCTTTCAAGATCCATAGGTTAACCTGTTAGACCTGGTAGTAGAAGTATATTACTAGGGCATCGTTTAGGGCTAATACTAGGTAGTAGATAGCCATGTGCTTTTATCGTATTTAATATGCTATTAAGAGATTTAAGCGGTGCTACTCAATGCTTAGAAACACCTTTCCCCAGCTTTCCTTGTTGTTATGGCTGCTAGGGAAAGCACAACCATGTTTCTTACAGCTTTAGGCACACGTGACCAAAAAGCGACCTATATAGCATGAGGCGATGTGTATACCATAAAGTAAATAATGTGCATAAGGCGCACGAGCTGCATGAAATCGAGGTAGCTACGTCCTGTCTGCAGTGTCTACTACTAACTCGCGTTTAGTGTAGTTAGAATGATCAGTAATCTCAGTTTCTCCTCATTACTTGATGTTGTAATAAAGAAGTCTCGATACTGATTGTGGAAATATATATTCCACCATGCCTGCAGTTGGTAGACAGCATTAGGTGTACCCATCTGTTTCTAGGACAAGTAATTAACCACGACTCCCATCTTAAAGGTGCCGCAAGAGAGAAAAGCATCACTCACAATAATATTCCAGTGGCCCATCTCGTCGGAGTTCCCACGTTGGTCGGCGGCCGAAAACGTGGCGGTGGACTTCTGACGCGAGGGGCTTGAAATCGGACCAACTGGGTCGAGTCCCAACACGAGAAAAGCCCGCTATGACAGCAGGGATGGGTCCGAAGCATCGGATGGGCCGTGGTGCTGAAATACGTTCATTGGCACATTTCTAGAGTTAAGGGAACAATTTTGTTCATATGTATCAAGTGGTGATGGTTCATTCTATGTGGGTATTGTAACTGTAGCGTGAATAGTACATATACATAAATAAGATCGTAACTCATATTGTAGAAAAGTATCATCGTGAACCGAGGAAGAAAGTCTCCACGTGGTCACCTTTCAAGGCTGAAAAAGCGAGCCCAAGGCAATACCAAGCCATACGTCCTAGATATTCGAGAACCTCAATATCGCTCGAATGCAAACCCAGGGGTCGACCCAGCCTGAGGGCCAAGATTGTAGAGAGGCACCTCATGATCCAAGCCAGGCATCGGAGAGTCAGCATCATCAGGCTCCCCTCCAAGGTAGTTGGCGTTCACCTTGTCCAAGACTGAAAATTGTAGTTCCAATTCAAAGGGTGGCACGCCAGTAATCTCTCCATTAGACGGCGCCTGAGAGGATGGTGCTGTCGCGTGCGCACTGCTTGCCCCAAAGGCAGAAAACTCCGACGCGGGATGATAGCCCGTGGAGGGCGTGGTGGATGGAGGAAATACTGAAAGCGACACAGTGTCGTCAAACGGTGCGGCGAGCATGGTCTGGTCACTGGCGCCGTATATGGTACTTCCGAATGAAGCAGCAAATGTGCCTGTAGGATCTGAACCAGGACTGGGGTCATCAGGTGCCACCTTGAATAACCGGCTGACATACTCGTGCAGAAACTCAAAGTTCTGCTCAAGGAGGGTGAGCTGTCGCTCGAGGGTTCCAACCCGGGATTCCATGTCCTGTATTGCTGCAGACGGCGTGGTCGGCCGACTACCTCCATGATCGGCATTGGGTGACAGCATCTGCGTGCCCGGAGAGGGGCTGTTGAAGGTGAAAGTTGGCAGACTTGGTAGGGGTGACGGCGAGGGTAGATCTTGGCCAGGACGTGAGCCTCCGGCCTCCGGGTTTATCGTGAGCTGTGGAACTTCGTATGGGGGACTGAAATCTAAAATAGATATCAGTAGGGCAAGAATGGAGTGTCAAATATGGGATCTCGTACACGGATTCTCAGGGAGCGGTGTATCAGGGAATCGAACCAGCCACAATTTTTCCCACTTTTCTTCCCGTGTACCCCTGAGATGAAGGCTGCATTGGCTGAAGTGAGCATCGCACTCTTCAGGTGCGCTAAAGTACAGGTAGCATCTTCCGCAGCTATGCTCGCCATGTTTTCGTTGCAGGTGGCGACTGCAATATTAGAACAGGATCTCACAAAGGGGTTTGCTGTTGTACTTACAGTAGATCTGCAGGATGTTTCCACCCGTCGAGAGCACAAGCTCGGTAGTCCTGAGAATCCAGGCCATATGTCTGCGGATCCATCTTCCGGTACACGCATGCAAGCTTAGGCTTGCCAACCGTTCGGTCGGATACGTCGAGGCGTGGCTTTTTTCTGCCCCCATGCCCGTCACCAGCGCCCCCGGGCTCGGTCTGTTGGGGAGGCTCAAAACCCCCTTGGCCAGCTGGAGACGAGCTCTGGGCCAGGTTGGAATTGCCTAAGGTTTCCACGGGCGAGGCTGAGTAGCTCACAGGTCCAGTGCCATTGCATGCTGTATGGCTCTTGTTTTTAGATCGAGAGACGCTTGTTGGATCGATTATCTCCAGGCATCCATTCTTCGCAGCACGGTCGCTCAGTCCTACGAATGTTGTGGCTGGTTGTAAAGCATGGACTGATGATGGTGAGGAGAAAAGAGTGTGCTGGTTGTCAGCTGTTGGGATGCTGGTTGTGCGGGCCACGCCTGCCGCGTCAAGCCCTTTGTCCGTCGTGAGCTCGATCGGATGGAGAGACGAGAGTCGAGGCGAGCACCACGAAAGTCCTGCAGTCGAAGCTCCCGAGTCTGCGACCGCGAGTTTCCACTTGACGTGGCCCCTTTTGCTGATCTTTCGCTTGCGGGTCTCAATGACAGCCTCGAATGCTCGATTGCGAGGCAGCACCGAAGCGACAATCTCCTGCCAGCCAGGATCCTGATTTGTACGACACCACTCATTTGTGCGAATCAATTGTTTGCAAATGTCATCGGCGTACAAGGCACACGAGGGGTTATTGGAGAAGGTAGTCTTGATGAGCGATGCATAATCCGGCGGCTGCTGCGGTAGGGCGGGGGATGTAGTAGTGTGTCTCGAGGAGTTACTTTCGTCACGTTGCTTTGATAGCAAGCGCCGCCACTTGCGGATAACCTCGCGAATAATATCTGTCTTTGACTGCTATTACCATCGAGGTAAGCTGCGTTCATAAAGGTAGACGGCGAAAGGAATAGGCATAGGGGTATACCTCGTGCTGACCAGGGGCGTGGTCTGTGGAGCGAGTCGACTTGCGCGACGCTCGACTCGACCAACTCAGGATAGAGTGGACAGTGCTCGCAGAAAGAATACTAATATTAGTGAATCGTTTTTGGCGGGCTTTTATCTCCTTGTCAAAGGTGAACTCGGGGTAGGAGGGCGGCCGCTCTGGGCCAAAGTGGACGACACTCATGCCCAGGGGACATGAAGCGGGGAAGATTCAAGAGTTGCAATGGCTCGCAGAGAGTCTGAGGATTGCTGCAGGGAGCTGGGTTGGTTTTGTGTTCGGTCGTGGGTTTGCTTTTTATTTCAGAACCGAAGGGCTATAGCCTTGCGGACGCTGCCTCACTCCTGTCAACTCGCTCATCGTCTTGTCAACTTGTCAAAAGACAACTAGAACGACTCCTGCCGAGTTGACAATTACCAAGAGGCAAAAGAAAGGGTACTTGTCAAATGCCAAATTGACAAGAGATTGCTTGCAACAACTTGTCTGTTAGCTTGACGAGCCCGTGAGAAGCATAAATACCGAGTCTGACGGCGCAGCCTTTCGGACAAAACCCCCAAAGTTCCACAGCCTCCCTCCAGAATCACTCTCCAACCCTTACAGTCCACCATGTCCCACAACGTCATGTATTATTTCCCTGCCAGCCCGGCTTCACAGCCTCTCCCTCATTTCGAGCCTTCCCCTCAATCAGACGGTTTCCCAGAAGACGTCCTGCTCTGGCCAAGTCCTCTCAGTTGTTCCACGCCAGACAATAATTGCACAGCAAATGCTGCAGACCAACACTGGCCCAGTCCTACAAACCATCAGTCACTTTACCATATCCAAGATCCTTTTATAACCGCATTCAACCAGCAATCCCCCGTTGAAGCCCAACAAGGCCACCAAAGGCTCTCGACAGTCCTAGGCACCAGCCGCCAAGCCCCCTTTGCTCCTCAGGCTCAGGTAGCGACAGCTTTGTCCTCAACCTTCCCAACCGCACAGCCACCGGCCAACCACAGCTGGAGCTCCAAGCCACCTTTGCAATGCAAATGGGAAGGTTGCACATACTCTGGGTACTTTACACGCGAATCAGTCCTCCTACGTCATATTCGTTTGATCCACCTCAATCCCCGCCAGTTTGTGTGCCCGTATGACTCGCGCTGCAAACCGTTTAACAGGAAAGATAATTTGATGGCTCATATGCGCAAGATTCACGGGGTTCAGGGATAGCTGTTTGAGGATTGAGCACCGCCACATTCTGTGTTTTTTTCTCTTACACAATTTCGTGTCGGATTTGTCCTATTATTTATTGTATAGGCGATCGACGACTACTTTCTTGATACCATTGGCCAGCGATCGAAGGATTCATTTTGCTAGTTTAGCTGTCTATATTGCTTGTGCCACCTTGGAATCCTTGGAGAATCCTGCTGGGCGAACCAAGGCTAACCTCAATGTCCTTCTATTGTAGATTAGCCTTGTCTTCAACTTCCCAAAAACAAATATATCATTACCCACTCATCGTCTTGAGGCAATGACGGTTTGTAAGAACTAGAGTATCGGCTAGCAATCATAGCAGCCAACCAAGAAGCCAACGTAGCACGGCCCCGATCGACCGAACCCCCCTCCTTCCCGCCCATTCTTTGCGGAGAACGGCCACCCAGTATCTTCTAGGGCGGGGCGGGGGTTGGCTGACAAAAGCCAAGTTTAGGTAGGGTCGGAGCCTTGAGAGCTGCGAGAACAGGGTAAGGATATCATCACCTACTTAAACAAGTCAAGGGTGAGAAAAGTAAAATCTAGACCACTACTATAATCCCCTTGAGCTTAAGATAAATAAAGGCGCCTGGTCGATAACCATGACAAGGACTGGGAGACTATAGCTGCTTATAATTGTTTATATGTGAAAAAAAAGAGGTAAGAATATTAAGATAGCATGGATATGCTAGTCCTTATCTGTCATCTTCTATTGTTCATAGGCTATAGCCCCTGCTGCTGTGCCTTGGGACATACCCTGCGTCTAGCACATAGTCAGAAGTAGTTATAACTCTATTATTGCAGCCTCAGCTTAAATCATTTACCAATATCCTTATCTATAGTAATTAGAGGATAGAACCGGGAATTACTGTCCAAATAAGTAAAGGATATAAAAAGGTTCGACTCCTCTCTCCCTCCAGCAAACGGTTATTGCATTCGCACAACATCTTCCGCCGGCAAGTCGAAGTCGATAATCCACCTAAAGAAAAAGTCCCGTCAATCAATTTCAAAACCTCAACCTAGCAGCAGCGCGCTCTCTAAGAACCGCGCCAAACCGATAAAATCCAACCGGCACAGGAACAAGCAGCAGCGCCACAAGCCCCAGCAGTGTATTCCCCCACCCATACCCGAGCGCACGGTACATATCGGTCCCAGCAAGCGGGAGTAATGCGCCAAACAGCGAGCGGGTGACCGTAATTGCCGCAATGCCCGACGCCGCATGCCGTGGATAACTGTCGATGATGTAGGTCTGCAGCGTACTGAAGATCCCGATCATGCCGACGCCGAAGGGGGCCAGGCCGATGATGGGCACGATCCAGTGCGTGGGTTTCTGGACGGACCAGCCGTACCAGAAGAAGGAGATTGGGACCAGGGGGGCGAAGATTATGGCGGGGGGGAGACGCATTTCGGGGTTGTTGTTGTTGTTGCTGTCTTTGTTCCGGGATTTGAGGCGTTTCAGGACTTTGTCGCTTGTGAGGCCGAAGATTATCTGGCCTGTGAGGAAGCCAAGGCCAAGGCCGATGTTGGCGAGGCCGCTGGTGGAGAGGGGCCAGTGGTATGTGTCCTTGAAGACGGTTGTGACTGTGGTGAAAAGAAGGTAGAGGCAGCCGTAGAGCACAGCGATGTAGAGGGCGATGAGGGTGACGATGGGGGAGTAAATGAGGAGTTGAATCGGGGTTGTTAGGCGGTTGAGTAGGAAGCTGACGGCGGCCGTGTTGGTTTTAATCCGCGGTTGGTCTTTGTTTTCATAGCAGCTCCGCAGCTCAGGTCTGCCCAGCTCCTTTTGCAGCTTGCGTGTCTTGCGCTCCATTAGGATTACTGGGTTAGTTTCGCGGTTGAAAATGACAACAAAAGTCGTAAAGGTGCCGCCTGTGATGGCGAGCACCCAAAAGATCTATATGAGTGTTTAGTATTTTTCTCCAATAGTGCTTACCAAGTCTCTAAAATATTATACTAACCCACTGCCATCCAACATCCTGGGCGATAAAGGCACCGCAAATAGGACCAATGACAGGCCCAAGTAGGGGCCCCGACGAGAAAATCGACATGGCCAGCCCTCGTTGCTCGGGGGCGAAGAGATCAGATATGACACCGCCACCAATTGTGAGACAAGCAGACCCGCCCATTCCGGTAATGGTTCTGAAGACAATGAGCGAGGCGATGTTTGGGGCAAGGGCACATCCAATCTGGAATAAAACGAACAGCGTGGTTGCCACGTTCAAAACAATTCTGCGGCCGTATAGCTCGCTTAGCGGTGATAGGAAGAGAGGTCCCACCTAGAGCAACGTATCAATAAGACACTGGAGCACGACGAAAAGCGTGGCGGACCTACGGCGTAGCCGAATAGATAAGCTGTGACCGCTAGGGTACCCAGTACAGACGAGGCGTTGCCGAATTCTTGCGCGGCGTATTCAGCTGCAGGAGCAAAGAGGGTAGACGCAAATGGGCTGGAACAGTCATTATCGTGTGCCGCTCCAGTTGTATGTAGAGATTTATCTACCTAATCAAGGTGACGATACTGACGATACCTAGAAGAAACCATTTCCGAGAAGGAGGGTAATTCCTTGAAATAGGTCAATGACGGTTGTCCGGTATCAAGTCATTCTCATTTACCTTGGATTCTGAGGATCCTTGCCATCTTCCCAGCCGACTATTCCTCTTGACAGGTCCATCAAGAACGATTGCTAATCATGTCAGAGAGTTCTTAACCAAATAGGTTGCAATATACCTCGTTGTTCACTTCATGGTTCTGGACAGCCATATCGGTCAAAAAAATTCGATCAAGAGAAGAGAGATATTGCTGGAGTTGGAGAGTAGGCTTCTGGCTGGAGCATTTGTATAGAAATATCGGGGGTGGGGCTGCATATACTCCGTCAACTCGGTTAGCGTTGGCCACTATCATTGGTCGACTCGCCGCTCGGAGGATGTGAATCCGCAGTTACGGTTAGCGCAGTATCTATCTTGGCATCGAGATATTGTATTTGTACTCGGAGTAGGAAATTAGTGATGATTCCGCAAGACTCTCGAAATAAACGTATTAGAGCCAGTTCTGGAGATTCAGGAATTCGTCAAGATCCCCAAAGTCCACTTCTCCCGCATCCACCGGCATACCCACCGACCCATGGCTGCCTCCAGGTGCACTGCTCGCCAGAAAGTAGTCCCCAATGTCATTGTTATCAAGTTGAGGTAAATCAGTAGAGCCTTGTATGATATCCCGAGTCAAATCCAGAGCCTGTCTACACGACGAGGACCGAAGCTCTTCCTGTTCATGGCAGCCAAGGCCAAGGGCCTCGAGGTGATGAGGCGCTAGCCACTTGATTTTATCAGCCGTTGAGCTGTCGCTGCCTAGGAGATTCAGTACTGATGCCCCCAAAGAGGTCGTGTAGGCATCATCCGGTATACAAGATTTAGCTTGGTACAAAGCCAGCTCCGGAAGCTTGTTTTCCAAACTCAGGAGCTCCTCTTGGATATGCCGAGCACTGCTTGGGAGGGTTGCGATCATGACCTATATCGAGGAATCAATAGCGCGAAACCAAGAAAAACGATGCGACAAACATACCGTCATCATAACCTTCCACCGATGGGCAAGGCCGCTGCGCTTCGCAAGGCTGTCTGATATCTTTCTTCCCAGTGCCAAACGGGTACAGATGGACTGTGTCTGGGGAGACGCAGGGTCCCTGGACGTTAGAACGACGTAGAAGAGAGTCAAAGTCGAGCTGAACAATGCACGAGTTATTAACCAATTCCCACCGCGCAACAGGCCCCGTTTATACATGTCTTCGCACAAGATGATGATGTTCTCGCATGCCTGAATGCATACTGTTGCGAGCCACTTCGAGGTTGTGCTATCTGGCTGATCTAGACTGCCCGTCTGCATCATGAACTGCCGGAGAAAAGGCCGGTATATGTAGAGCTGAGTGTGTGCATATAATATGCAGAGGGTAAACCGGGCTCTAGATTTTCATTTTTCTGTTAGGTCTCACTCTCTCCCCGTCCAGTAATCTGTTAGAGGACTTACGTTGTAAGTTTGGGGGTCTCGGGGCCATTTCCTAGGACAAGGTGGACGGGTAACTCTCGAACCCAATGGTGAAGGTGTCCTTCGATTTCTTTCAGTTTGCTCATAATCACAGGATAGCTTCCCATACTTCCCGACTGGAGCAGGTCGGACTGGTTCTCAGAGTAAATATGCTTACCGGCCTTTTGGAAAACGTGGTGGAGTCGTCGATAGATAGCTGCGATGCTCGTGAGACAGACTTCGCCTTCCGGCTGCTGGTAAATTTGTCGCGCCTCAATGTACGAGTCGTTAATTTCGATTGGGGTTTCTTGGTCAATCTCTTCATTGCTGAGGAGTACTGGAAGCCCACAGGTAGCAGCAACTTCATTGGTGAGCGTCCAAACAGCCCAAAAGACTCGTTTGCCGGTCTCCCGCTGTATCAGATCTTGATGGGCTGTGGATGATCCCACTCGATGGAGGCCCATTCGTACAGCCACTGACAGCACGGTGCTCACGTAGGTGTAGCAGGTAAAAACTCGGGTCGTTGAGAGGAGGTACAGGATCTTGAAAAAGATGGCCTGGAGAGATACGAGATCTTTGCATTCGGCAACGTTTTGCAGCTGTAAGCTTTTCTCGTAGTAAAGGGCCGACTTTGAAAGCACATCGTGGTCCTGATACTCAGCCGAGTCGACAAACAGACCGCCGTAAGCGAGAATGGCGTATAAAAGAGCTAGGAACCGCCATTCCTCTGCGCTGTAATGAGACCGATCAAGCGAATAGACAAGCGTAAACAGATTATCGAACGACGGGCGATGGATGATGCCAAACAGTATCTGAGCATCCAATGCCGCGTCAACCAACCTTCTCGCCACATGCTTGGGTGGAAGCTCGACATCGACCGGTGGTCCCCGGGATGTGTCGAAGAGCCCTGGGACCGCAAAGACAGCGGGGACGCGTTTATGCGTGGCGTCGAGCACCCAATCTCCGAGTTTATGCTTGAAGCCTCTATAAAGGCGCGATCTGCTGAGCGGCCCGTGAACTCAAGGTCTCCTTTCTTACTGGGGTGATAGATTTCTGCGCTGGGCCGGGCTACCTGCGCCTGCGGTAGGCCTCTCAATATAGGTGATGATGACCTTGTACTACTAGGCAAGACTAAAGCAACAGCCGCATTCTGGGCCGATGCTTCTTCCATAGCCTTTATTCGGCCCTCGAGCAGTTCGATCTTCTCATCAGTTGCCGTCTTCCGCTTCTTGCGGGCTGGCTCGGAAAAGGTGCAATCTGCCAAAATCAGGACCGGCATTCTCCCTTCCATGTAGTAGATTTTAGGATACTGTACCGTAGAACGAGGCTGTGCACCGGCTGCATGGTTGGTTTCTGTCGCATTTGACTTTCCGCCGGCGGCACGCATCGCAGGAGGCCCGCTTGGGGAGGTCACTCTGTGGCTTGGGGTTCTCCGGAGAGGTTGTTACAACAAACTGGACTTCTTCTGGCATACTGAGATGGGCTGAGGTGAAGTAAGTTTTTAGTGGATGCACTGACTCGGGAGTAGTGGGCTGTGATTACTGGCCATTGGTTCCAGGTCTCTTATGTAGGTAGTTAAGCCAGACTCTCCCAAAGCCTTAGTAGGAAGAAAGCAGAGCGAGGCCAGCTTGTAGTAAGCCGCGCGAAGGCAGGAGGGAGGGGAGAGGAAAGAAAGCCTAGTTCGGTGATTGCAGGTGACCGGGGTTGTTAAATTCGGTCGGTTAATTACTTGTCCCTCCCGGCGGTCAAAAGTACCTAAAGTGGAATAGACGGTACTGGCTGACCACAGGGTGTGGAGTAGAGTTGCCTGACCCAACCCATAAACCCGCCCTAAACCTGACCTAACCCACCAAGAAATAGGTTAGGTTAGAAAAATAATAATCTATAAACCTATAGATTAGTCCACAGGTTACCAAGAAATAAATTACTATATTGAATACTATAATTTATTTAGAGATATAGATTATTACCTGATTAAGGATCTATATTCTTAGGTTAGATAGGGCCCTATAGGTGATTTATATATATTTTAACCAAAATGGAGCCTATAGTGAACGAACTGGAAAGCACAATTCCTTTAGGAGGGTCAGATTAGGTTGGAACGACGTGTGACTTGCAAAAGTAAGCCCCGCCTGGGGGTTTGGGGCGAAACAGTAAAATCGTCCCTTCAAGGAGCGGTGGAGCGGAAGCGTGTGCGTGTTTTATCATCAATAATACCTGTTAAGAGTCACAGGGAAGAGGCCAGGTGGAGTATAGAGATTTGAAGGTATAGGTTCTCAAGGTGCGCACATGGAAGCGAGCTCTGTGTAGTATAAACTAAACACCGACTGGAAATCGAGCTCACAGAAAGTAGAAAAATGGATATATTAAAGGTATTTAAGATAGAGTGGCAAAAGCAATCTAACGGTCAGGAGCAAGCCCCTGCATGTCCTTCCAAGGCTTTTGTTACAATTATTAGCGCCCACTGCGCCTAGACCCAGGAGTAATTTTTTGAGTAGGCGCTAGATTCATCAACCCACAATATTTTGCCCAAAATTGAACATGGAAGGGACTGAGGGCCCAATTTGATCCATGCACCTTACAACTGTCGCACATGGCTGAACCAAGGTGGACCCTGCGTTGCGACTCAGCGATCTCACCTCTAAGCTTACATAGAAGGGTTGCTAGCGCACAAGGGGACGCCCATGCGCTGATGTGGTTCACGTTGCCATGCACTGTGGTTTGACATGGTGCGATTCGACAAGACTTATAGCCTGTGATGGCTTGATCATCCCCATCTGGCAGCCGCTCTCTTTGGGCCGTAGGAGTAATTACTGCCGTAGGGCTATATGAAGCAGAATAAGAGGATCACATTGCGCGCTTACGATACTAGCTGAACTAATCGACCCTTCAGTCCGTCCCGCATCCTGAGCGCGACAGACACATCAACATCGTGGTTTCAGCGGTGATAATGGGCGTAACTATTATATCGCTCCCAGACTAGGCCAAATCTATAACGATACGTCCACTAATTAGACCTTTGTCCATATCCTCAAAAACCTCCTTCAGTTTCTCCATTTTCTCTGTCCGGACATGAGGCTTTATGATGCCACGGGCAACAAGGTCTAGGACCTCAAGCGCATCTCGCCGATTTCCAACAGCGGACCCTTGAATCGAAAGCTGCTTGAAGATCATGGGAGCCGGGCTAGCTGTTGCAATAGGCACAAGGTCGCCCTCAGGTATACCCACGCAGACCAGCGAGCCATTGAAGCGTAGCATGGGAACTGCTTGCGCGTAGGCACCGTTGGATGCCGCACAAACAATGACGGCATGGGCGCCATGTCCCCCAGTGAGGCCCTTGACATGTTCAGTGATGGCAGCGCCATCATCATCCCTTGGGAAACGGGTGATATCCACAAACACTTCAGCACCATTATCTTTCACAAGGGCCTCTTTGCTCCCATGGTCAACTCCAATTATGCGCAACCCGAGGCCGCGGCTGCCGATTGATGTTACGAGATGGCCAAGGCCACCTCCTGCGCCTGAAATCACGACAAAGTCACCAGGCTGCGCGCGGCTGCGCTTTAGGGCGGCATAGACAGTCACACCAGCGCAAAGCATAGGAGCCGCCAGCTCAGAAGGAACACTATCCGGGATCGGCGTCACGTAATCTGCAGGCCCGAGGACGTATTGCTGAAAGGTACCCGGGGTATAATAGCCCGATATCTTTCCATTCAGGCATAGGCCGTCGGATCCGGAAAGACAAGGCACTTCGTTCATCAGTCAGTGCTTCAAGCGCAGGGCAATAACATTGTGAAGGGGCCAACGCACAGCATGTTCCACACACACCAGCCACCCATTTGACTCCAACTCGGTCCCCTTCCTTGATCCCAACGTTGTCGCATCCTGGTCCGATCTTCACTACCGCGCCAACACCCTCGTGTCCGCCAACCTGGCCTTTCGGAGTTGGAAATGGCAGCGCCCGCCACTGCGATCCGGTAGTCAGTTAAGAAATTTGTAGTAGTGGTAAACAGGGCTATGCATCAAACTGACCGAATTCGTCATTACACCGAAGTCCGAGTGACAGACACCTGAATGAGTCCTGATCCCGTGATTGTGCGTGAGCAAGTGTTTCTGCTAAGAAGGAATAGAGGAAGCTTGGGGACCCACAGGTTGATGAGGACCTGGCCGAATCCAGGCTCTGGGGTTTCGACCATTGTCTTTCTAGGCCTTTTACTACCTATTGCGGCCTCAAGCTGGTCGAGCTTGCGCAGCGGTTTTTCCCACCAGGCGTTGTTCAAGCCCTGAGTGGATGTGACGAACTCGGCCCTTGGATGACTTCTCATCCCAAAATCGATAAAATCAGCTTCACAGGTTCCACAGCTACCGGAAAGCGAGTTATGCAAAGTGCAAGTGCTACCTTGAAGCGACTTACGCTTGAGTTGTCCGTTTTCCCGAAGCTGGAACCCCTTGATGATAATGAAATTCATGACACTAACTCTTCACTAGGGGAGGAAATGACCCTGCGATTGTCTGCAGGAGCGTAAATATCAAGGATGTGGCACCAAATGTTGCTACCTTTGCATTCTTCAATTCTGGACAGGTCAGTGAGCGTTTCTGTGCCCATCCTGTCTTTTGAGATGAGATGATGGTCAACTCACTGGTATAACTAGGTTTGTATAGCAATAAAGCGGATATATGTACACGAATCCATCTACGAGGAGTTCCGAGATGCCGTGGTTGAATACACAAAATCCCTCAAAGTGGGCAATGGCCTTGAGGAGGGGAATTTCCTCGGCCCCATACAGAATTCAAGCCAATATGATCGTGTTCAAGGTTTCTTTGACGATGTTGAGCAACAGGACATGAAGGTTGCCTTTGGTGGGGCGCCAGGTGACTCGAAGGGTTACTTTATCAACCCCACAATTATCGATAGACCCAAGGACGATTCTCGACTGGTGACCGAGGAACAGTTCGGTAAGCCTTCAGATGGTGATCCCAAGTCTGAGTGCACGTAGGTGACTAATTAATTATCCTCCATATAGGCCCTGTTGTTCCCCTTCTTGCCTGGTCGGACGAGGAAGACGTTATTGAACGTGCCAATAATACGGCCATGGGCCTTGGAGCATCAGTGTGGTCCTCTGATCTGCAAGAGGCTGATCGCATCGCTAAGCGACTTCAAGCGGGCAATGTATGGATTAACACACATCTGGATCTCAACCCCACGGTTCCATTTGGTGGACACAAGCAAAGTGGCATTGGAAGTGAATGGGGCAGCGCGGGGCTGAAAAGTTACTGCAATATCCAGACCTTGCACTTGAAGCTGTAGGTGATATGCAGCTGCAAACACGATTTAGACGATGAATGCTGTTGCACCATACACGGGTTTTCCACTATCCTGGCAGCAGGTATGAAGGGAGAGGCAAGTAATACCAGAAGATTGGACGCATGGGCAAACAGCGTGTCCTCAGCTACTCCTAGGCGGGCTTCGGTAGTTCTGGTAAATCCTAGCTTTTAAATGAAACCAAAGAACTTTGTGACTTTGTCTTTCTACCATAGTAGTGCTAGCAATCCATGGCTAGATCTACGAAGAGAATAGGGACTTTCCAAGATTGAAAACGTATGTATAGGTCGAGGTAGAGCTTTGCATAATTATATGGTGTCTACATTCTATTAAATAATAAAGCTGGATATGGGAATGCATAAGTCATAATATGAGAGGAGAGAACCTCTTTGCATTATGATGGAGAAACCAAGGCGTGGAACCACTGGGCGGCCACATGGATAGGTACTCGGTGGGCTATCGTGTGTCCCTGAGCGGGCCTGACATGCAAGAGCGGTACTGACGAAGGAGTGAAGGCCACGGAGGGCTACATGCTGACCGCCCTCGTAACCCCATGTTTTCCAGAATTTTACTTTACGGGTATGGGGCGCCCACGGCATATTGGCAGTCATGCTAGTTAGCAAGCTATTAGGCCTTTGATGTGATCAAACATTGGCCTCAAGTAATCTATAGGCCCTACATTCGTTGTAGTGCGGGCATCGACGCGTCAAGTGCTTATACAGGAGCCGATGGGCAATACTGGAAAGTCGGTCTAACAACGAAACAAGGCCTTATTCGCTCATTATCCCGAAGCGCTTTGCTCTGGGGCAGAAATGCCGAAGTGCGGATTGATGATGGTTTGGACGAATCCTCCTCATTGGATAAACCAGCCAGACCCACCACGTGCATCAATATTGGAGTTTCCCTCAATGAGTGTAGTCTAGTATCTCAGACCACGTCGCTAGCCCCTGCTTTGGAAGGGAAGTTAATTGGGGTTTAGGTTTCCGCTTGCTAACCGGATGATCTACTAAACAACAGAAGTGGTCCTCTCCAGACTCTCTGTCCGGGTGTATATACGACTAACATGCAGGGTATAACTAGCGATCCCTTGCGGATCCCAACCACCCTCGAAAGATGCCCTCTAGCAGCCCAAAAGCCGACTGGGGTTGATTACTATATATCCTATTAGTAAAATTAGATTCTATCACAATACAATCCCCTTTAATTTAGTATAAAGTAAAGTAAGGCCTAATTTATTTATAGTCTCTTAAAAAGTAGTATAAAAGGACTTTTTAACTTTATAATAAAGTTCTATATCGGTATAAATCGAATATTTACTTAAATACTTTTTCATATTTTTCATCTTTTATAAGTATCCTGGGTCTTTTATTTCTAACAAGTAAACGTTAGTTAGTATAACTCAAAGACCTAGTATTTTTACTACTATTATTAGGATATATTTATTAATTACCTTTTATTATATACTAATATGTTCTGCCAGCTGCTATTAACATCTGATCCTCACCATGCGCGCTTTTTATTCCTAGAAATCGCTATTGGTTCCCCCATGGTGCTCTGCCAGTGGTTCAACTGTCATTAAGAGTTGACGGAGTAGATATGTTGACCTAATAGTTTCGTAATAGTTATCTCTACGGCGCATAAGCCGGCGGCGGCGTCCTCGGCCTGGCTTGCCGACCAGAGCCCGCTCCATTCGACTCCAACCCCACCAGCTCGGTCGTACTATCCACACCGTCAACCCCATCATGACCAGCACGGCGGCCGGCCTCCCTACGAGCCTTGATTAATTTCTCCCTGCTCTGCCGCCTTCTTCGCCAAAGAAACCACACACCGAGACCTACACACGCTACACCAGCTGCTATCCCAACGCCCATGCCGATCCGCTCTCTATTGCTTAGGTTTTGGGGGATTGGGCAGGTGACGTCCGTTAGGGAGTCGGAGTCGTCGCACTCGTAGGTTGAGTTGAGGGAGAGGGGTGTGTTTGCCGAGAGGTTGGGGAGGTGGACGCTGCGCATATTAGACTTGGATGAGGCAGGAGTGCGGTCCGAGGGGCTGGGGTGTTGAAGACGTGAGAGAAAGATAGGTACCTAGTAATGCGCCCTTGCAGATCAATCGAATTCGCACTCTCGAGCGGGAGATTGATGTCGAGTGGATACTGGGCGTTGATGTGGATATCTGCATCCGTGGCTTTGAGTGCAGGGAGAGAGATGCTATCAGGATACAAAGAGAGCGGTAAGCAACATATCACCATAACCACGGGCCAGTGCAGATCCATGAATTCACGTGGCGTTTCTCCGGATCCGAGGGGATCAACACGCACCGGCCAATGAGCCCGGCTATCTTCAAATAACCCATCGAAGCAAGCAAAGGCAAGGTGACCGACAGGTGATCGTCCGGATCAGGGCGATCGATATTACCAGGCGAACATCCATCGCAGCTTTCGATAATCACATCATTGTCGACCGTCTCCAGCGAGTCGAAATGGACCCTGACGTAGACAAGAATCAGTCGACATCACCAAGACGGGAGGAGAAGAGGAGAGTCGTACGAAGAAAAGGTCCCCTTCAGCGTCACCGAGTCCGCACGCGTCAAATTCCCAAACTCAAGCCTCGCCCCGGACTCGGGGCTCTGGATATAAACCGCCCCCGAAACATCTTTCACCTGCCCAAACCCAAAGTAATCCATGTAGATGCAGGCGCGAACGTCCACCCCGCCCACGAATCGCAGGTTGGGCATATTGATGCCCCGCAGGCGCTCGGTTGGGGCGCGGACACCGGAGGCGGTGATTGTGCCGGTGATGTTGACGATGTCGGGGAGATCCAGGAACCCGCGTAGGCCGTCCAGGAGGATTTCGGCGGCGATGATTGTGGTGCAGCCGTCAAGGCGCGAGTGGAGGTCGTCGAAGCTGTTGAAGGTGCTTTTGTCGGGCGAGAGGTAACAATCCATCGCGCCGGCGCCTGAGGCGATTCATTAGCTGATTTGCATCGCTTAGAGTGCAGAGTATGCCGTGTCTGTAGGTGCACTACCCATCGCTAGGAACATCCATCCCCAGATAGTTTGGACCTTCATGCTCTCAAGACATCGATGTTTGAACGTCGAAGAGACGAGCAATGAGCAATCCAGGGGCAAAAGCGTCGCGCGCGAAAATAGCGCGACGAGCTGGGATTATAAGTTTGTCCAGGTACATGGCGGCTAGTCGCAAGAGGAGGTCTCTGGTGAGTGCCGAGGCGTGCTAGAGGCTGGGCGTTGGGCAGCCATTGGTAGGGCTGGTCTCGAATCTCAGACACCGCCACACGAAAGCTCACACCAGGCCCTTGGCGGAGGGCATCGTTCCTGATCTCTCCGGAGCAGTGAGGCGGTGCAGGCTGCAGTCAAGATCTATGGTCTGATGGTCACAAGCCGCAACTTCCCCGGACGATTGCTTGAGAGGCGAAGCACTGAGCAGCTGATATTGGATACTGGGTCAATTTTCGCTCTTCCAGATACGATTTTCGGTCTTGAATCCGTTGTTAGGCCTGCAAATGAGCCCGTGCAAGAGTAGATCAGTGATGCATGAAGAAGGATAGATGACATTTTACAAGGAGACTATTCACTCTTCCATGCCACCTTGCCAACAATCCCTTCCTTTGCCGAGTAATAGTGAGCAGTTCAACACTACTACCTAAGTTTATTGTATAATTTTAGCAAATTAGACCAAGTTTCAAACCTTTGTGATTCGGGATGAAAAGCCATTTCACGTGGGATTGATCCTGCGCCATCCCATGCCACAGTATCTAATAGTAGCGCTTTATATTGGCCACAAAATCTATGACCACTGTTTTGGAGCCATAGTAGTTTGCGCTTGGTTCCATGGTACGGAGTATACCAGCCCATTTAGTCTTGGAATGGTATTGGCGAACCAGTAACTCCCGGGCGCTTATGCCTGCCGTAAGATAGACGGAGAAAAAGCCCACTCTGTAATGTTGACGTGTGTACTAGATCTAGCCCCACGAATTGTATAGTTGTCAGGTAAGATGTCCCCCGGTTCCACAGCTCGCGCGCTTCATTTAACCTATAATCTTACGCAGCCTTCCATCTGCCCCAGAGCGTAACAGCAGGCATGATAAGCGCGCAACCCCGCACTCGTGACGCTTACTTGTTTGTCCTTTCAATTCAGTAACCTCCTCATCATCATCCTGCCGACTTCCACCAATCTTCACCACCAATCGATCATCTCTCTGAAACCTGGGGATCGAGCAGTATAGAAGAAGATGGACGACTATTTCTTCGGCGCCGACTCCTCCGAGGAGGACCAAGTCTATACCCCATCGGCAACGGCAACACGCACCAGCTCCCACGAGACCGTCCCTCCCCACCCGGAGCCCGACCTTCTCCCCACCTACGCCAGCATCTCGCGCGGCCCCAGCGCAGCAGTCCCCCCACACAAAGACGCAACATTCCTCATCCGCGACCGGGCCACGGGCCTCGTGATCGCGCTCGAAGACGGCGAACTCGGACTCCACCCCGACGAAAAGTCCCCCACCAGCAGCAACACGGGGGGAACCGACACCGACACGGACACTGGGCGCCAGAGCGGCTACCAACACAGCCGCGGCAGCCACTGGCGGTGCATTGAGAATGACGAGCTCTGGCTCGGGTTCAGGAACTCGGTCTCGCGCGAGTATATCGGACACAATGGGGACGTGAAGGGCCACTGGCGGTTCATCGCGGAGAAGAAGCACCACGAGTCGTGGGAGTGGTTCTGTGCGAGGGAGCAGCATCCGGATGGGGGGCATGTGCTTTTGGTCAAGCATAAAAGTGGGTTTCGGGCTATGAGGGCTGGTGGGGAGGGGGGGAGGGAGTTGGTTGTTGCGGGGAAGGGGGAGGCGGGGACCGCTTGGGATTTTATCAAGGTGCGGTAGGAGACCTCATTCGTGGTGGGGCTCTTATTTCGTTTGCTGGATGTAGGGTCAAAGGCCCGAGAAGCTCTATTATATCGGCTTTCTACAGGGACTGGGCATCCGCAAGGGATATCTGGACCTAACGCAATCCATATTCAAGGACTCAAATCAAACGACCTACAGCTATATCAAAGGCAATATCTAAGTACTTACGCAGCTACTACTTGCCGACAAACAATCCCTCCGAGAAAACCACGTATAGCCTGCATAATACGTGACTGAGACACACACCCACGATGACCGTTTGGTATACCACGGCATGGAGCCCAAGGTGCTAAACGAATGGACTCCAGCTGACCGAGATGGACACTTAGTGAACGTACATCCCATCAACCCCACTAATCTTCTCAGCCGGCGGCAACGCAGCCCAGCGCGCCTTGCGGGTCTTGTTCCGCCAGATATAGAAGAGCTTCATCCCGGCGAAGAGCGCGATATTCGCCGAGCAGAGGCCGACGAGGGCTTTGTTCGCCGTATGATCTATAACACACAATGAGTCAGTTAGGAAGCGCTTAAAGAAAATATACAAGGTATAAGGAAATGGGGAGAGTGAAACGCACAATATGGTTTATCCTCCTCACGATAAACATTGACCGCAACAATACTCCCAATCTGATAACACATATTGTAAATCGCCGTTGAGACCGCACGCATGCCCACGTTCTTCGCGTTGGCAGAAGTCATTCCAACGAGAATACTATGCGTATACGGGATCCCATTGATCCCCGTGAGCATCGCGTAGCGCACCCAGGGGGAAGACGAGTCGGGGATGCAGACGAGCGCGATGAAGAAGGGAAGCATCCAAACGTTGCTGAGGGAGGCGACGAGGGAGCGTTCTTTGAATTTCTCCGACAGCCAGCCGGCCACCAGGACGTTTATGGCGAAGAGCGCGTAGCCGGGGATTGCGAGGAGGTTGGATTCGAGGACGGTGTAGTCCATTCCGCGGAGGATTAGGCTGAGGTAGTTTGCGACGGGTTGGAAGGGGATCCAGGCTGTTATGCCGAGCTAACATGGATTATCAGTATAGAGTCTAGTATTGGAGGGTTACTGTGAAGGCTTACGATGTAGATCGGCCAAACATCGACATTGGAGATGGCCCTCCAGAGATCTTTCAAACCGACGGGCTGGCGATTGTTCATGTCACCCTTGGTCGGATCGTCGCGGAGGAGTCTGTTGACGAGAACCTTTTCTTCTTCTTCGGTCCACCACTTGTTTGAACCATCCTTGCGGCGGAAGAAGAGGGCTGGCTGGATGATCGAGGTGGACATGACACCGGCGCTGATGAAGCCTACCACGATGCAAATGAGGCCTTCGATAAGGAACCTAGTCTTATTAGCAGAGCATCGATAGGAGGATGAGGTGCGACACGTACAGCCACTGCCACCCAGCCCACCCCCGAATCCCCCTCATGGTAAGTAGTCCACTAGCAAGCAGTGCACCATAGATCTGCGTCAAGGGAATCGCAGTATAGAAGACCGACAGCCGAATTGGAAGCTCATTGCTCTTGTAAAAGTACGAGAGATAGAGAACCATCTCCGGGATGAATCCACCCTGCAGTGTCCCGATGATTGCGCGCATGGCGAGGAATGACCCTCGACCGGTCATGGCCGACTGAGCGCAGCATGCGACGCCCCAGAGGACGATGCAGATTGGAATGATCCGGTCGGGCCCGAACTTCTTACTGATTAGGTTTCCAGGGAGTTCCGCGCCGAGGAAGCAGATGAAGAAGACGGTTTGGCCGGTGTTGTAGTCGCTGTTGTCGTTAGAGGAGGTGGTAAGGGTAGGGTATAAGGGGCGTACTTGGTGTTGATGCCCAGGTCGTCGAGCTAGGTCGGTCAGCATATTGACACCTTCAATGAGGAGAGCACTAACCATATTATCCGAAACAGCCCGATTGATATTCCTCCTCACAAGATCCAGAGACGAAAACATCACCCAGACCCAGAGCATAATCCTCAGATCCAACTGCAGTGGAGATGATCAGCTCAATGCACCAAACAGACAAACCCAAACCACCTCGAAGAGAATACGGCCTCTCCAGCATCAATGCCAGAGCAGGTCAACCACACAAATAAAAAGGAATTACTTTCATTTTCAAACGTCGCTCGGTCTCGGCAGTCCAGGTCAACGCAGGGTCGAACCTGGCCCTGCCTTCATACTTGGATTTCTCGTACAGCTGCCTCCAGTACGCCGCGCGCGCGGGGTCCGAGAAGATGTGAGGCTCCGCGGACCCGAGGCCATCTTGCGGGGCAAGGCCTTCGGTGCTGTAGTCTTCGGTCGTGGCGATGTTGATCGAGGGTTGGGTGGAGGGGGTTGTGTAGCTCTCTTGAGCGCGTTTCTCGTCGGTTGAGTGGGCCATCTTGGTGCTCCTTCGACTATGGAGATTGTGCAAGTTGGGTGACTGGAAAGAGAGGCAGATCCTGCCGTCCAGGATGATAAGACCATTTATACCCCTAGGCAAGACCCAGGTAAGCGTGCTCCAAGCTCGCCATGCTTCCTCTATCGCACGGAATCGTCCACCTCTCGGCTGCATAGTCTCATTGAGACGGCGGACCATATTTCAGACGAGCATGGGCCAATCAGGACAGTAAATTATATCGGAAAAACTTCCTGACATTGTGGAGGCGCAGATTAGCGGCATGGGGTGGATATTGGAGCCAAATGACGTTTGATAACGGGGCAGCCACGAGGTAGAGTGCTCTATATACCGGGTCATTGGTCGATAAGAGTCCATGGACTCTTCCAGGGTTGAGAAACACCTTCCTGTAGCTGGTGTACATTGCAGCTACCAGTTTTCCTATCTCAATGCAATAGTTCTCTTTAGAACCGAAAAGGCCATGAGCGTGGAATTGCGCCGCAAGAAGCGACTCAGCGCTGGTGCCAGAGAAGCATATGAGCTCATCCTCGCGCGCAATCGCATCATCCGCAACCCCTTGTGATGGGTCGAGAAACGCACGTTGGAGCTACTGTCGGGCTGAATTGATAGATCCATCAAAGTCAATTAGGAGCGATGGGCTGATTCGAGAACAAGAGCGATTGCGAGTTCTCTTATCTCAATCACGACAGCGCGGGATGTCAGGCTGCAAGCACACCCAGGCGCATGGTACCAGGAACGACGCTGCATTTAACCTTATCTTAGTTCGCAGCACAGGCGTTTCTGCTTGACATGGGTCCTTATTTATTTCGCTCAATTACCATTGCATAGTCTCTCGAACAAACAACAATTTACGTACAAAGCTTAACGAGAAAGAGGTTTCAGGAGCAGTGAGTACCAGGAAACACCCCACACTGGAATCCAAACGACGAGAATCCCGCGGACTGAAAGACTGGCCTGGGCGAGTCGGGGACCGTATTAGGAAAAGACTGCTCACGAGCGTTGATGGCATCATCTCTAGCGCGAATGGTGAAGATAAGATGCGTCCGGACAGAGTGCGGGGAAACTTGGCATCCTTCAACCTCAAGAATTCAAAATGCAAGACGTGCAGTACTCCGAGTATGCCAATTATCGCGACCCAATAATAGTTGATATAACTCTTAGTCCCTTCTCTCCTTCAACATCCTCTCCCCAAATCTCAGGGTGGCCCGATCAAACCTGACCCTAAAAACCGGCCACACCAGACTCCCCACAACCCCCAACACCCAATCGCGCAGCGGCGCATCGCGCGGACTCGGGCCACGCATGTTATTCAACAGTAGTGCCGTCTCGGTATCCATCGTGATAAAGTATTTTCCTTTCCTCAAGCCCTCGAGTATCATCTCCACTACACGCCCCGTGCTCTTCGCCCCCGACCCACCATCCTCTCCTCCTTCGATTTCTTTCAGCAGCGCGGGCTTCCGTGCCTGCTCCGCGTAGAATGCATCCGTGTAGAAGTTTCCCGGGAAGCTGCAGTGGATGCTGATTTCCACCTGCGAGGCGTACAGCAAGACTTCGTGCCGGAGTGTATCGGCGAGTGCGCGCGTCGCGGCCTTGCTGGGTGTGTAGGCGGCGTAGCCTGGGAGACCGAGGAATGCGGCGGTGGAGGCTGTAAATACGATGTGTCGTCTCTGCCTTGTACTTCCTTCTATCGGCGATGAGCCCGTTCCCGCTGGTATATTCCTAATCCACCGCCGAAGGACCGCATGCGCTATATACGCAGCGGCAAAGTAATTCCTTGCCATGCACGCTTCAATATCCCGCGCCGTGATATCCGCGAAAAAGCCGATTTCGTCGACTGTCCCGCCGGCTACGCAGAAGAGGATGGATGGTGCGGTGGGGAGGGCGGAGATGTATTCCTCGACCTCGGTTGCGTTTGTTAGGTCTATTGCTGCGCTATCGACGGTTTGAGCTGGGTCAACAATGTGCTTGACGAGTTCTTGGTGCGTTTCTTCGAGGGGACCGGGAGTTCGAGCGAGGACTGTCACGTTTGCGCCTGTGTTGGTCTCTGTTAGCTGGGAAGGTCAGCAAAAGCTTAAGTGTGGATTCCGTACCCTGTGTGGTCAGTTGGATTGCGAGCTCGCGGCCTAAGCCTTTAGAGCCGCCCGCTATAAGGACGGACTAGACAGTCAGCTGCACCTGCATACAGGAAAGGTGGTGCAAATTCACCTGGCCCTTGACCTCGAACTGCTCCTTTCGCGTCATTGTCTTGCACACACGTCCCGAGCGACAACTGTCTTATGCTCAGATAGGGATGTCTCCTTTGTATCCTTTGCAGGAGGCGACTCTACTACCTCGTACACTGCGAGGCACGCATTGGCACCGGAGGCCCAGTATATATAGCAGCAGACTGAGGAACTGAAACATGCTGAGATGCTGGGTACAGCTACCCCCTTTTTGGATTACTCATTCGGCTGTTGAGCACGCGTGGACGCGGAGACTACCACAGGAAAACCCGGGCATCCTACTACTAATACTACTACTGTACTCCGCACCAATGTCCTGGAACGAACTTTCGGCCACCGCTAGTCCGCCCCGTGCCAGCTTATCAGTCTGTACCCGTCGGCAGCGTGTCCGCCACTGTCGAAGCCACCTCCCCGTCACCTGCCCGATCGGGGCCGTCTGCAAAGTGTCTCGTTTTGGACGAAGATGGCACGTTGAGCCCAAGGGCATGTTTAGTGTATCGGCCGGCCCTGAAGCTCCGCTCAGTGGCCTACCTTCTCCGGTCCCTTTGGAGCTTCCTTCGAGCATCAGCTCAGGGGCCATCAAAATCCAGATGTCAAGCCTTTGACCCACTGTATAAGAGGCCACTAAGGAGGCGAATTTTCATCATCTCAGGGGCTTGGCTGAGCTTGGGGTCTTCAGATCCTGATTTATAATCTTATGAAGCACTCGCTGTCCGTGTCATTGTTCCTTATTAATCATATAACTTGAGAGATAGGAAGGATGGATATTACATAAGCCTCTTGTCATGATAAAAAACAAACAATACTAAAGCATGGTTATTATAGTACGAGAGATTGACCAACTCGGCAAAAGACACAAAGCAGAACACAACATGGCAAGAGCCCTTCCCACCTTTTATACTAGTATATGATCAAGACACCTACATGCGCGAGACGATCTCATGCACATATAGACATAGTCGCTGCCAACACATCCATTGGACCGTGTAAATCATATTCGTTCACCCATCCATGGAAAGCCCCGCAAGCCCCAGCATCTCCGGAATGCGTTCAACCTTCCCGAACGGCCCCGAAATAAACGACTCCTCCCAGTAGCGCTCGGTAATCCTCCACCTTTCCTCCGTCCTCTCAAGCAAATCGGTATCAGTCCCGTGCGTCTGGAACATCATCGTCTCACCAGCGCCACTTTCCCTACCATTGCTATTCCTCGCAACAAACGTTTGTGATGCGGGGTGTGCTTGGCTTCTATTGGCTTAACCTGTGAGGATCTTTGTATCCTAACCGCCTGGATACAAAACCGGGGGTAACTTCAAGTTGGCAACGGGCAAGGTCGAATCTTGAATGTTGTGAGCAAAACTTAACGAATCGTGATTGAGTTTCGGTACAACTGAAATCTGGCGAGAAGATCAATGACGCGGACCTTGACTCAACTGTGATTCGCGCGGCCAGGGAGAACCCTCATACCCTGCCGAGGTGGATATCGGGTTTAGGCTGCGAGGCTGCGGCCTAGAAGATCCCCCAGTTTTATGGCTCATCATATCTTGGCATTAGGGCTCCGGAGGACTGGAATGGCAAAGATTGTACGAGTACGATGATTCTCGTTTCTGCAACTTCACCCAGTACAGTGTATTGTACTGTGGACATGCGGAGCTTCTGCCCAGTGCTTACTGGTTAGGTTCGGAATTCGGAATTGCAAGACTGGAACATTGGAACGGGCGCGTCTAGATGACCCACTAGAGGGCTGCCACAACTTTCTTTAAAGGGTCACGGGTGTGGAGGCAGCTGTCTGACTCGGGGTGTTGCTGTCGCTGTCCCTCGAGGAGCGCCAGAGCGGCATTCTAATACCCGAGGTAAAGGTGATAGATAGCCTTTCAGACAATAGGATGGAATATGACTAGAGTTTATATGTGCCCAGTCTACAGACAGACACCCTGAATGAAGAGGAGTGCTTGCATTAATCATAAGTATATACCGATAAATCATGATATAAACGTCGCCTCAGCGAAGAAAGTCCCCTTCTCCTCAACCGTCTGATCCCCGTTCTTGACAGAAAGAACAAGTGAGTCATTCGGCGCGTTGGCAAACTGGTAGATATACGGTTTCGTGCCGACAACACCACCAACCAAGGACTTGATGACCCCCGGAATATGGTGTAGGACGTCGACACGGTCCAGCCGGTCTCCGAGGGGCCCCTTCAGTGTAGCAGAGAACGCGCCGTCCTTGCTCTGCCATGTGTACTCGGCACTGGTGGGTTCAGGCCACTGTGTTTCGGGATCCTCTTTCGTCTCGGGGTACGTGACGACGTTGTCTCCTCCAGCATATAAGATCTCAGTGTCGGTGACGATTCCGCCGACATTCACCCGCGTCGACGCGTACGACGGCGGCGTAGTAAACTCCATCATGATCGCCGAGTACGACGGCGTCTGGAAGGTGACGAAATTCCACCGCGCCGCCGCATGATGCGGCTTCATCCCCTGGATCGCATGGATGAAGACACCCCTCCCCAACGAACTCGCCTCACTTCCTTCACTCCCAAAATTATATTCCTTCTCGGTCGTTCTAATCGTCCCTGTAACCGCACACCGTGCCCAAAACCGATGCCGCATCTCGCCCCACGGATTCGCCTGGTCCGTCCCGTAATACGTTGTCCCGTCGCTTCCGATCTGGAATCCCGGGGCCGTGCGTTTGACGACGAGGTCGATGAGGGCGGAGTCGTTGCGCGCGGACTTGATCTCGTAAGCGTCGCCGGCGGCGTTTAAAGCGATCGAGAGGTTATCCGCGAACAGGGTATTCATGTCCTCGGTGAAGCAGTGGTTCTCGAGCGGGTCGGAGGTCCAGAGGTGTGATGTGCCGGCGTGGTTCCAGATTTTCACGTTCAGTTGGCATGTTACCATCAGGCCACTTTTGCTCGTATGTTAGCGCTCGGCTCCACAGGACAAACCGCACGACGCACGACAAGAGAAGGTTCAGGGAACGCACGCGACATTGTTATAAATAATCTGTATAGACGCAATCTCCCCCTTGGGCGTAATCAGGTAAAAAATCTGCGTCTCGACATTTGTCGACTGCATCGCCTTCCACTTCAGGTCGTCCTTTGTGAGCACCGAGTACGGCTGCGCCTGAGCGGTGACCGGGTGGATGGCGCCGGGGCCATATTCGGGCTCGGCGGTGCCAACGGTGTATGAGAGTCTGTCATGTTTAGTATGAAGCACGGTGGTGCAGCGAGAGAGACAAACGTCGATTTGAGCCAGTTCATTGTTGCGGGCGGTTGGGTTGGGGACTTGCGGAGAGGAAAGATTGGGTGGGGAGACGCGCCTTATCAGTTCGGTGGTCACGTGGGATTGCTCTCATGGTCACGTAAGCGGACAGTGTTGCATGACACCAAGCTTAGTATGAGCTCAATCATGGTGGGAAGTACGAGGTTCGATATCATATCGCTTGTTGAAGGCTGAGGTTATATTATCTTCTATATATATGGGAGTTCTGGTTATTATCATGACAAACAACATCATTTGGCGTCGACCGATCTCGATCTCGAAATATATTGTGGCTTAGCGCACCTCAGGCCTCCCGCAACTCTAGGGCGCTATATATCGTAGATATTTAAACCAAAGACATATTTAAGAGGGTAGGTATCCAGGAAGAAGCGTCACCATAAGTAGAGGAAGGCGAAAGAATCCGGGGTTTGTCCAGTCAGCATAGAGCTAGACGCAAAAGACAAGGTTGCTCTACAGGACCATGAGAAATGGGTTCGTCGAGAGTATGAGCGGGAGGTGGTATATCTGCTTTCGTTCATATGTTGCTATGTCAAGGTGAGGTGGCCATGGGTAGCAGATTCTGGTGCGGGATGACAGAGATGACCTGCTATATGGCGAGATTTCCACGACATAGTTTATGGACGAGAATAGCTGAGGGACTACGGCGAAGACTGAGAGACTATATCCAGAAATTACGCAGGGTATCAAAGTTCGTCTATTCTATCAGGTTACATAACATAACATATTGCGGTCCAAACATATTTCCGGGTTTATCACAGCTTCACAGGATACTTCTCTCGGATCAACTTCCCATACTTGGTCAGAAGCATACCAATAGGGACGAATGATACCGCAACAAACCCAAGCAAAGAGTTACCCCAACCCAGACCAAGCGTCTGAAACATCTTAGGGCCAGCTAGGGGAAGCAGAGCGCCGACCAGTGATCTCGACGCGGTGAGGGCAGCGTTGGCCGAGGCCGCATAGGCAGGATAGCAGTCAATGGTGTAGATCTGAATGGGCATCCAGACACCCATCATGGCGAGGCCAAACGGTGCCATACCGATAATAGGTACGATCCAATGTACCTGTTTATCGGCAGACCAGCCATACCAGAAGAAGCTAACGGGAAGCAAGGCGGCCCAGAAAACGAGCAGCGGGAGGCGCATTTCTGGTTCAAGCTTTCCACCACTCCGCGCAGCCAGCTTCATCAGAATCTTGTCGCTGGTCGTCGCAGTAATAACTAGACCAAAGATAAAACCGAGCCCGAGCCCGATATAAGCAAGTCCAGTAATGCCGGGCGAGAATCCGTACTGGTTCTCGAATACGGAAGGGATCGTGGTGAAGAAGAGGTAGAGCAAACCGTAGCAGATGGACATGTAGGTGGCGAGAAAGCTGATGATTGGTGACTTGAACAAAAGCAGGATGGGTCGTTTGAGGCCTTGTTTGAGAATGGTCGCTGGGGAGATGCCTTCTTCAGGGTCATAAGCACTGCGCAGGTCATTCCGCCCCAACTCTTTCGCAAGCTTCGCTGTCTTTCGGCGTATAATGACCGGCGCGTAGGTCTCTTTGATGAAAAGCTCGACTCCAAAAGCAAAGGTGCCGCCAATGATCAAAAGTATCCAATATACCCAACGCCAGCCCAGCGACTGGCCGATGAAGCCACCAGCGATTGGGCCAACTACCGGTCCCAATAGCGGTCCTATACTCCAAATCGACGTGGCCAGCCCGCGCTTCTCAATGGGAAACAGGTCTGCGATAACTCCAGCTCCTAGTGTCAAGCATCCACAGCCTCCTATTCCCGCCAAGAATCGAAACACGATCAACGAAGCGATATCGGGAGCGAGCGCGCACCCAATCTGCCAGGCGACGAAGAACCAGTTGGCACCACTTAGAACGGGCCTGCGGCCATAAATCTCGCTAAGGGGCGCAAGGAGTAACGGACCGAACTGCAGTCGCGTTAGAGAAGCATACACCTGATTGCGCGTCACATACCGTATATCCCAAGAGGAAGATGCTGACAGTAAACGAGAGTATCGTCTGATCATGTTCGTCAAAATCTTCTGACAGCGATCTCAGCGCCGGCGAAAACATACTCGACGCCAGTGGCGAGATAAACGAAATGGTGCTCACGACGGCCAGCAGCGCCCATTTCCGACCGCTGGCGAAGTTCTGCGGGTGTGCCGGGTCATCCTGGCCGTCCCATCCGATGATCCCTCGATCGAGGTCGGTCTCTGGGAAGGTAGGTTTCGTTGAGGGCTGGGGGACGACGGGTTCGCCTGTCGTGGGGACTTTCTCCAGGTCGATGTCGACGTCTGGCGGGGCGTTTTTCTCGGTTGCGGGGTCTGGGGAAGAGGTTCGGGTGGAGTTCGGCATGGCGACGGTCGCAGCGATTTGATCGAGGACTCGAAATCGAAATCGCAGACTGGGGAGGCGGAGTTGGGCGAGGAAGCTGCAGAGGAAACAACGCCAGTGACATTGGAAAGGAGGGGCGAGGACTGATCTTTTTTTGTAGTATAGACCCCCAAACAGACTCTCGGGTAAGTGAGCCGGCCAGATTGCGGATGCCACCCGCTCAGCACTGTCTGGCCTCCTTATGCACTAAGAACGAGTGATAAGCTCTCTCTATGCAAAATTAGTGCCGATTTCGTCAATCTCGGGCTGACCTGTCAGCTCTGCATCTGCCGTTGGCGCGTCAAACCCGGACTTGTTGCCGAGCCTCTAGTTTTGGGCGAGCAGGTCGGGATCCCGCTGCCTGCAGGTTTCCTTTTGCTGTTTGAACTATGCAATCACCAAGAGTACCTAGACGTGCCCAGAAACCGGCATGTTGCTCGAGCTGGAACCTGGGGAACGGGGAAGAGAAAGCAGTGATTCCTCGTATCGCCGGCTCCAAGAAAATTGTTGGGGCTCGAGCTCCTCATTTGCCATCAATTGAAAAGACGTTAGTCCGAGATTGGAAAGGATGCCCGCCTCCAGCGAAATTTGTGATTCTGTGTGGGCGATTCCGCCAATAACCACCCATATCAAGATTCCTCTGATTCAATTCATCTGCCGGAGTGACGGAGTCTGGAGACAGCGAGATTGTTATCTCCGGTTCAGCACCAGCCTTGCTGACAACTTGCTGAATTTGTCAGCTGGGGACATGGATGAGAAATGAGAGAGGTCAGCGATTCATATCTCACTCAGCAAGACCTTATGATGTTGTGGTTTGCGTCCGCGTGCGGATGTCAAAAGCCGCATAATTCCTGCCAAAATTGATCGCATATCACGCCAAACACACAAGCCAGGCGCCTCTGTTTGTTTATCCTATGGTAGGCTGTGTTCTAGGCAAATGCAAAGTGTGATTGCGTCTCGTGGTTTGCCGCAGACGCAGCCACGTTCTGAATCAGTCTGGATGTAGCGGGTTTGTCGTTCAACTGCGAAAATGTTTTCAGGCGGAACCCTTTGGGAATCTGAGCAGAATGGGATGGCCACCTCTTTTATTGGAAATCAGTAACGGTCGCCGAGACCTTGTTCTCCGTCCCGAGGTGCGAGTCGGCCCGTCGCGACGCACAATGCATCGTGCCACACGCCTTGGCTACGGGGGGAAAATGCCCAGACGGAATGGTCAGAAGTCTTTGGTTTTTCTTTCCTCTGCCATCGAGTAAATATTCCGGTCGGAGGAACTGTTGGAGCGATGTGTGCTATGTATATCTATTGAATCGAAATCAGGGGCAAAGGGTTTGCCACGCGACATTTGATCTTAATAGAGGCGTAAGATCCACCGATATTGAGGCATCGAAGTCATTCAGGGAGCTGGTCACGATTGCTGCCCAGCTTCAATTTAGCCTGAAGTGCCCCAGCGGCCAAATTGAGGCCGAGGCTGAGACGCGGTGGAACCGTACTCAGATTGGCTAGTCCAAGATCAACCTTCTTCGCTAACAAGGCCGTTCAAGGCAAAATCGCTATATCCTGAGGTGTGTATAGGTACTGCTACGGGGCAGCAGAAATATCATGATATCAGTGTCGCTGGTACCTCTTATCCAATCATCAGTTCCGCTAAGTTTATCCATAAAAATACGACTTGTAATCTTCATGCCCCAGTTCATTTCGAATCGAGTCAAGGGGACACCGGCCATTATCGTCCCTGGCGCGCACGTCGGCACCATGTTGAATAAGTTGCAGCACCATCTGCCCTGCTGGCGACTGTAGGTCATATTTTTGTAAGATATAGAACAGTGGCGTGCCACCCGCAGTGCCTCGTCTGTCAACCGCCGCTCCATGGTCTAGCAACGTGGCAACGAGACAAATTTCGTCGCTGCAGTCCATATGATGTTGTTCTGCCACGAAGTTGAGCGGGGCTAGGCCTCGTGATCCCACGGCGTTTGGGTCCGCCCCGTGTTTCAGGAGGGTCAGGACTCGGTCTATGTAGGGGTCTTCGAGCTCGAGTGCAACGTGGAGTGGATAATCACCCTGGTTGTTGGGTTGGTTTGGGTCCGCGCCGGCTTCAAGAAGGTACAGAAACACCCCTCTCCCGCGCTGCCGCTCGCGATACGGTAATCTGCAGACTAGGTGGAGAGGTGTATTCCCTAAATTGTCACACGCATTGACATCGGCGCCACGGGAGATCAGAGTGGTTGCGATGTCTGGCAGGATGTACGGCTCTAGAGCGCAGTGCAAAGGGGTCCATCCGCGGTTGTCCTTTCTATTGATGTCCGCACCGCGATCAAGCAAGAGGGCAACGGATTCACCGTTGACCCAGTCGGCGCCGTACTGCTCTTTTAGGTGGAGTGGGCCACGGCCATCCCCATCTTGAATGTCGACCCGCGCTCCATGGTCGAGGAGGACCTTGACCAAGTCAAATACCGACTTGCCGCCCTTCCACCACATGACCGCTGATAGTGGGGTGAGTCCCGTTATATTGGGGGTATTAATGTCGGCTCCGGCTTCCACGAGAATTTTGATCACGCCGAAGGAGTGAATAGCAGCTTCCCGGCAGGCTACCAGCAAGGGAGTGTTTCCGCTCAGGTCTGGTGTATTCACATCACCACCGAGGTCTACCAAGTACTGCATCAGAGCCGGGCTGGTCATGATACGCCTTGCTGCGATCCATATGGTAGATTGACCGTCCGCATTCTGGCAGTTGATGGGGTATCCCTGGGAGAGGTACAGCTCAGCGAGCGCTTTGAACCCCCGAAAGGCAGCGTAGTGAAAGGGCGTTTCGTCGGGTCTGGTACGATTTATCTCCTCTGGATCATGGTCGGTAAGATATGGATCAGCGCCCCTGTCTAGTAACACCTCTGTTATGGCGATTCTGCCCCGAATCGCAGCAAGATGCAGTGCCGTGCGGTTGGCGGCAATGCAAGCATTTGGATCCAATCCCTCGTCCAGTATAAATTTGACGGAGGCTATGTCGTCGCGGCGAATAGCAGCATGCATAAGGGCCTTTCGCGCCTCGTCCAGTCTCTCAGTCGAGGGTTTGGCCCTCTTGACGGCACAATACCATAGCGATGTCTTTAGGTCGGAGCAGCGCCGAACGACCCTTCGATGGAGATGAGAGTCCCTCACTGCTTGAATAGCCTTGGGGTTTGTAGAGGTGTGACCGTGAACAATCGGGCGCGCCCAATCTTCATTGTGCAGGATCATCAGCCAGCTGGTCTGCCCTCCCCTGCTTCTCAGCAGATCAGCAACTTCATGGGCGTTGTGATCCAGCGCGACGGCCAGGGGTGTCCTCCCCTTGTCATCAGCAGCGTTGACGTAGGCTCCGTTATCCAGAAGCAGCTCCGCTGTCACGACCTGATTCTTCCTCGCCGCATAATGGAGAGCAGTTTGCCGACGGTGTCCTGCGCGGAGATTAACCCGATCGAGCAACAAGGCAACGAGTTTGGTCTGCCCATAGCCTGCGGCCCAGTGGAGCGCTGTAGAAAAGCGATCTTTGTCGCACTTGGTGATTGCGTAGCTCTTGGCGACGTTGTATTGTACCTGGTGGTACGACCGACCGAGTGCATTGTACCTCGCGATGTAGTCTAAAACTAAAAATGGGCGCCCTCTCTCGATGAGAATTTCCATCGGCTTCCGCCTGAGGCCTTTAACCATGCCTTTCAGCCGCGCATCATCTTCGGAAATGCGGTCGAGATACTCGGCTTTGGTAAAGCGGGAATAGGCGGCGCGAACGGCGTCGGTGAGGGGGCGAGATCCAGCTAGCTTGATGTTATAGTAATCGAGCACTAGGACGTCGCTGAGGATTATGTCGATGATCTCGAAGGGTACTGCTTCAAACACATCGCGGGGCATTTTGCCACTTTGATAAGAAGTGACTACTCGGGGTGTGTTCCAGGCATCGAGCTTTCAAGTGAAGAAAGAGGCGCTTCCCCAAGGTAGTGCAGGTGTTGGCTGTCACTCAAGCCTCGCTGATCGGCCTGATTTGGTGGTTATTACACAAAAGGTGAGCGGCGGATGCCTGACGCAGGGCCTCGCCGCCTCAGGCTGCCAGAAATGCCAAGACCCCCAAATAGACGAGTTTTCTCAGCTCGAGGCAGTGGGTCCCCGTAGTCCCCCGCGTTTGGCCCAACCATCTTCTTCTCCCACATGGACACATGCCACTCTCTTTCATACTCTAGGCCAACCTTTGCACCATCATGGCAACATCATCACAACCAGACTCATCGGGTCTAAATACCGCCCAAAACCTCACATCCATCTACGCGCGCGCAGGCAGCGCCGAAAACGCGGAACGCATCTACCGCAACGCCGTCCTCCTCGGCGAACGAGATTATGGCGTCGAGGATCCCCGCACCCTAACAGCAGCAGAGGACCTCGCGTCCCTATTTCGCATGCAGGGTCGATACCAGGAGGCGATTGAGCTGCAGGAACAAGTGCTCGCCATCCGGGAAAGAGTTCTCTTCCCCGACCACGCAGACACACAGCGGGCGCTGAATGATCTTGCCTGCGCGTATTCGGAGCAGGGATTACTTGGTAAGGCTGAGGATGCGTTTCTGAAGAACTTGGCTGTCCGCGAGAGGGTTTTCGGGGTAGAAGATTCGGCGACAATCAATACTGTCAATAACCTTGCTGTTGTGTATGCCGAGCAGGGGAAGCTTGATCAGGCAAAGGAGATGTATGAGCGCGCCCTGAATGCAAGGACGAAGACGCTATCCGAAGACCATCCGCTTGTGTTGGAGATCGTGGATAATATTGGGGGCGTGTACTTTCGACAGAATAACCTTGAAGAGTCCGAACGGATGCGGCAGACTGCGCTTGCCGGGTTTGAGAAAGCCTTGGGACCGGATCACTTTTCGACTGTTATGGTGGTTAATAACCTCGGCAGTGTCTACTCAGGTTTGGGGAGGCTTGAGGAGGCGGAGAAGATGCTCAAGCGAGCGATCGATGGATTCCTTAACGTCGTCGGCCATGATCATCCTGCGACGATGACGGCGCATAATAATCTCGGCGAGGTTTATTTTCGACAACACAAGCTCGCCGAGGCGCAGCGGTCCTATATGAGGGCTCTCGACGGGAGAGAAAAACAGTTGGGCGCGCATCATCTTTCGACACTGCAGACGTTGCACGACCTTGGAACCCTGTATCGAGAGCAGGGAAAACCTTTTGAGAGTAGGAATATGCTTGAGCGGGCGTTCCAGGGTCGCGAGAAGGTTTTGGGACTAACTCACTCAACTACGCTGCAGACCGCCCGAGACTTGGGATCTGCGTATGAGACAACGGGACTTATGGCGAAGGCTTTAAGCTTGTATGAACGAGCTGCAACGGGGACGGAGAGGGTGCTGGGTGAAACACACATCTGCAGCCTCGCCGCCCTGAGCGATCTTGCCATGTTTTATCGGAGACAAGGAACACTAAAGGACGCCACCGCGACCTTGCGACGGGCCGTGGAGCGCCATGAAGCAGGTCTCGGCCCGGAGCACCCTGCTACACTTCAATGCCTGAGCAACTTTGGGGTTGTCCTCGGCATTGGTCAGGACTACCAAGCTGCCGAGGCTCTATACAAGCAGAGTCTAGAGATCAATAAGGGAAAACTAGAACAGCAAGACCCGTTTATGCTTGAAATCGCGAACAACTTCGGCCTGATCCTCGAGCTTCAGGGGAAACTTCCGGAGGCAGAGAAAATGTACAGGCGAGCGTTTGACGGGAGAAACGAAGCTCTGGGGCCGCAACATCGGGAGACAATCGAAACGATGAAACACATAGGACGTGTGCTGTTTGACATGCGCAAGGCGCAAGACGCCGAGATCCTGTACCGCGAATTGGTAGACCGACAGAAAGAAGCGCTTGGGGCGAATCATTTGGATACCCTGGCAAGCATCAACAACGTCGGCCTGACACTAAAAGATCAGAGAAAGTACACGGAGTCGGAGAACTTTCATCGTGAGGCTGCTGAGGGATACGAACGGCTATACGGCGCAGATCATCCAGAAACTCTCCTCGGCGTTAACAATCTTGCTCTGGTATTACACCAGGCTGGAAAGCTTCCGGAGGCCGAGTCCCTGCATCGACGCGTCGTTGATGGGCGGAAGACAGCACTTGGGGCACAACACCCGGACACACTCGTCAGTCTTGTCAACCTAGGACTAGTGTTGGGCGATCAAGAAAAGTACGCCGAGGAGGAGCAAGTTTACCGACAAGCATTCGAGGGCCAGGAAAAGGTCTTGGGTGCTGAACATCCGAATACGTTGACGACCCTGCATAATCTTTGGACGAACTTGCTCGCGCAAGGGAAAAATGACGAGGCGGAGGAAATCAGTCGAAGAATCGCGGAGATATCACAACAATGACACTCATAGATGGTGATAGCCCAGGATTTAGCACGGTATCTTGAAGGCTGCATTAGCACGGGGATGTTCATCGTGAGAGGGGGACTTGTGACGATCAGGGGTTCTTCCCTTCCGAAGGTCCCAACGCTCCTTCCCGAACACGATCTAGTTCTGTTATGGAAGGCGCAAACGGCCTTTGGGAAAGGCTTCACCAGGCTTCAAGTTCGACCCTCTCCATCACCCGACTTCCTCCTTTCGGTATCGATGCAACGATAGGTCAATCAACCTCATTTCTCCTGGAATTGTCCGAATCCTCCTACAGCATTTCAGAAGCTAGTGGATCGGCAGCCACGCGTTTCGATTGATTGGAATGGAGAGCCTAGGGCAGTGTAAGGCCTGGATCCCTGTCCCTCCTCCATTGTGCTACCTTTATCTGCATCACGCCCAGAAAGGTGTTCGAGACCTAGCGAGTACTTTTTGATTCCGGCAAGTCCGAGCCGCAAGCTCGACGAAAAAGAGAGCATGGCCCCCTTAGCCTGCCATCCATTCCTACGTGCCCGCAGCCATCCTGTGATTGAAATAGAACTGATTCCAGGACCTGTTGCAGTGACTTGGAGCGTGCAAGGCAGACACATCGTGTGTCAAGAGTCAAGGCTGAATTACACCCATTAGCCTTCTTACTGTCGATGTCTCACAAGCAGCGCTGGGCGCGCCGCCTTCTGCTATTTCAAGGGTCGCCTGTCCTTCCTCCTTCGCTGTTTGCTAGCACACCTCGATTTACACACAACTCCCTTCGTACCCGCCTCCCAGAGCGATGGCGGCTGGGCTTTCATTACCCGCTGCCAATCGGCCCGACTCTAACGACAGTCACCAAGGCAGCCAGGACAACGACAACCACGCGTCCTCGGCTTCGACTCTTCATACGATACCGATCAAAACGCAACGCAACAAGTACAACTGGCACAGACTCCTACAAGATACGTGGCTCTGGGAATTCACCTCGGCCCTATTCAGTACCTGCTGCTTTATCTCAATATGCGCCGTCCTATTCGCGTATGATGGTCGAGTGCGACCGACCTGGAAGCTCGGTCTGTCACTTAATCCGATAATCTCCACCCTAGCGACAGGATGCAGGTCGTCTCTCACTCTGGTCGTGAGTGAAGCCATCAGCCAGTTGAAGTGGCTCTGGGTCAGAGACGGAGAACCAAAGCAACTGCTTGGAATGCAAGTCTTCGACAATGCTAGCCGTGGTCCGCTGGGTGCCTTGACCATGTTGTTCTATCACAGTGAGAGGCCTCTCGTATCTCTAGGGGCAGCCCTTACCATCCTCATGCTGGCATTCGAACCCTTCGTCCAGCAAATCCTGAGTTATCCACTGCAGTATATAGAGGATGCAAGCATGCCTGCAGTGACATACCAATCCAGAGCGGGCCCGCTGTACTTTGCGCACTTTCTCTGTTGACAGAGTGCTCTTTACACGGCTCTTTGGAGTAGTAACCGTGAAACACAGCCATTTTGTCCATCGGGCTACTGTAGTTGGGAGCCCTTCCCATCACTTGGGTACTGCAGCCAGTGTGAGGATGTGACGTTGGATTTGCGGCTAATATGCGAGCAGCCATCGGTCAATGAAACCCGCACGCCCAGCGATCTATTCGCCTGGTGTAATATCACACTGCCATCGAGCAACTTGGAGGTTTTCGAGCTGGGCTTTGGGATATCAACCAATGAGGGTGATCTCTGGCAGTCCGTGCATCTCCCGCATAGCTTTATATGGGAAACAGTTTATCGACAGCCAAATTCTTTGAGCACTATGAATAGAACAGTCCAGGATCCACTTTGGTCACCGGGGTCAGCCGAGTGGGATTTCGACCCCGAGGCTATCGACGCTCCCGGGGAAAAGTCTCGGACCACCAAATGTAACGCAAGGAATGATACTCAAGGAAGCATCCGAGTGTACGCTCAAACTCTGTCTGAGTGAATATAACATGAGCGTCGTCAATCATACCGTTTCCGTGGACACCGTTTCTGTCGATTATGGCGAACTCTTCTTCATCGACGAGGAAGCCATCTTGTATGCGAACAAAACGGTCTGCTGGAAACCAACATCTGCACCGGCTGATCCAACCCTAAAGAAGTTGTATATAGACATTTTCGATTTCCTCGGCTATGGACGCAACGTCTTCATGAACACGGCCGAGTTTGGAATCTGCAATTTCTTCCCTTTGCTACCAAGCAACTAGTATTGGTTTGATCGCGCGACCCCCGTCACTTCACCGACTCCGAGATATTCACTGGCATCTCACGTGCCCAGTATTACTACCAAGTGTAAGACCGAGAGTTCATCTGGGGCGGAGACCCTCGAATTGAAACCCCCTTTGCGACACACGAGCGGATCATAGACATGACTCTGCAAGGCACCTTCGCCAACATTGTCGCCGCACTGAACCAGTACTCCCTCGAAACAAACAACAACACCATCAACGGCACAGCATATAGCCTGCAGGTCCATGTGCGAGTCCAATGGCTTTGGCTACTCCTACCCGGTCTCTTGGTTCTCTTAGGCGACACGTTCTTCCTCCTAACCCTTCAAGGAAATCGACAACAAAAAGGGTCCCTGTGGAAATCGTCGCTTCTGGCACATCCTTACCATGGCTTAGATAACGTGGTCAGCGCTGGAGGGATTAACAACTACGCCACTGCTAGCGAGATGGAGAGTGCTGCTGAGGGAGTCAAGGTCCGCTTGGAGCATTCTTCACTGCATCGACGGGATGTATTGCATCAAAAATAGTGGTCATCTAGTGTAAAAGGGAGAGGCGCGGACGAACCAACGGCAAACGATATGCTAGGGAGGCCCAGATTCGAAGACTTTGTTCCTACTAGGTATCCATGCCTATCCACCTCGAATTCAAATCCCCTGCCAAAGCGCGCCTAATGAGCTTGGTATGTGGTCGAACTAGGGGCCACCAACAGACCGGTAGGATCTGTCCGTGCTCTCAGACGTTTCCCGCTTACCATGGCTCAGCTGAAATGGCCAAATCCAGAACAACGTCACATTCGCCATCTCAAACTTTATATAAACCCCGCCCACGCTCAAACCAGCTGCTTGCATTTCATCTCCAATCAAGCACAAAACACGCGAACTACAAAACATCTTGAACTACAACTACAACTACCATCACAATGTTCCAAATGATCCTCGGCCGCAGCGGCCAGCATGCCAACGTCGTCAGACACCGTCTGCGCTCTGTACGTCCCTACCTCCCCTTCCTTCTCACCACCACCGAGTGACATTTCCAATCGCTAATACGTGTAGAAACCCACTCCCGACGGCCACATCCCACTGAACTCGCTCTACCGCCAGGGTGCGGCATGGAGTGCAGGTGGCGTTGGAGTTGGCTCGACGCTGTTTGGCGTCTATAGGACGTTTCAATCCATGAGGGCTTTTAAGTATCTGAAATAGGGCTGGTTTGAAGGGATGATTTGGTGTTGGAGTCATGTTGGGCCTTCTGTATATTTTGTTTCATTAGCTATATTCTATACACTCTCTACCTACGAATTATACCGACGGGAAATCCACTCTTCAACTTCGATGGGGTAGAATCGATTGAGACAATGTAGCTGTCAGCAAGATGTCAGGTGGACCTGTCTCCCCACATGGTGGCGAAGCTGCTCCTCGATACGAACCATGGGTCGCCACTCGGCTCCGATAGCTTCCCCAGACACTTGGACTAGCCCGTGTGATCCAGTGACAGCATTCATCGACACTATAACATCAGTGGGAGGATACGACGCATACTATCTGCCTGATTACCCTCCGCCAACTCGAGTAAAGTAGTATATCGCCATTCAGAATCGAGTATTGAACATCGAGTGTCGAGATCTCACCATCTCTCGGCAGAGTACGAAGTGACGTCAAGACCACAGCTACCATGGGCGAGCACCTCCATCCCCATGAAATAAAAACCACATGCCCCTCTCTCGTTTGAGATCGTGAAGTGCTGAGCTGAGGCACCACGATAACTACAAAGATCAAGCCAAAGCCAAAGCTATACTCATCAAGAAACCAACCAACATGGCGCTCCGCATCAAACCCACACTTTTCACAACGATTACCAAAGCACGCCCTCTACGAACCCTCGATCCGCTCTACCCGCTCCAATCCCACCTCCTCCGCCCCATCACAACCTCAACCCACAAGGCCCCCAAACGCGACCCGCGCAACCAAGAATCCCAGCTCCTCACCGAGCTCGACCGCACAACCCTCTCCCCCGAACGCGCCGAAACCGCCTACTCCGGCACGGACAACGAAGTCGGCGCCGACACGTACGCCTACGACCCGAGCGTGACATCCCCCGAGGTCGAATTCCAGTCGTTCGAGGAGGAGATCCGGCTCGAGGGTGAGGTCGATCCGCTCTTTATCTCACCAGCGAATCGGGATTTCAGCCAGGCGATTGATCGCGATTTGGATGGGAGGGCGATTGTCCGTGATAAGGGGGATCGGTGTGGGGCGGCGGGGAGTGTGAGGGGGTGGGTGAATAAGCATGGGACTGTGAAGCTTCGGAAGGGGGAGAAGGGGGATGGGGAGGCTGGGGGGGAGTATGAGAGGTTGTTGAGGGGGTTGAGGAGGGTGCAGATGAATCGGTGAGTCTTTCTTTTTTCCTGCTGGGGGTTGCGTGCGGTTTGTTGGATCTGGATAACACGTATAGAGTTTCCGCGATGGGGAAGGAGCAGAGGAAGGAAGGTTAAGGTTGAGATTGATAGGATCGCTATCTGCAGGGAGATTGGCATCAGTGAGGCATGGCGAATGTGACCGCTGTCAGATGTACATCACGACTGGCCTATCGATTCTGCATGCCAAGATCGCTCGTTTCAGCTATTAGAACTGATTTCAAAATGGACATATACCGCACTCAACCAGGAATACCATGTCAGTCGAGGTTATGCTCCCTCCGAGCATCAATATCACAGATCGACGGCCGCATCCTCGTAGCAAGACTAATTGTTCTCCTCCTTCCACTGCCTGGCACACTCTGCGAACGTCACAAACTCAACCCCCTCCCATTCCTTCAACCACACAATGACCCTCTCAATCATCCCAATAACGTGCGCCATCCCACTCGTATCCGGATGCAGCACCAGCGGAAACACAAAGTCCTGTTTCTCCCCATCGATGTCCTCATTGTACAGGTACTCGAACCTCGCCTTCCAGTTCCGCTCAATCGTCTCGGGACTCACGAAGCCGTGCGAGTTTGCCGCTGCAGGTAGGAACTGCATTGGTGTCATGTCCTCCATGTACCAGTTACACGGGATCTCGACGAGTGTGCTCGGTGTTCGCGGGGCGGGCGGAGGGAGCGGGTGCATCCAGGAGGAGGCGGAGACGGAGGGGGAGAAGTCGATTGGTTTCGGTGTCTGCGTGGACTGGAGGAAGTAGGGAGCGGAGTCGTGGTGTGTTAGCGATGTGTCTGCTCCGTTAGCTGTTGCCAGTCCACCGAACAATTGCGCCATGTCGTACCATATAGAAACCCAAGCTCCTCCAACACCTTTACCGTATGCTCCCTCAACTGATAAAGCGGCGCCCTCCACCCCACAGGCCTCTTCCCCGAAATCTCCGTCGCAAGCTGCACACACCGCTCAATCACATCCCTCTCCTGCGTCTCCGTCAACTGCGTCGCCCCCTCATGCGCATACCCATGACACCCAATCTCCGCGCCAGAATCCACAATCGCCTTAGTCTGCTCCGGGAAAGACTCCATCGAGTGGCCCGGCACGAACCAGGTCACGCGCGAGGAGATGTCGTGTTTCTTGAAGAGGCGGAGGAGTCGCGGGACGCCGACCTGCGCCGCGAAGTAGCCGCTACTGAAATCGGCGAGGCCATTTGTTGGCGAGGCGCCGGTGCCGAGAAAGCCGGAGACGGCGTCGAAGTCGACGGAGAGGAGGATTTGGATGTGGCGGGGCATTTGTTGGGTTGTGTGTGTTGTGTGTGCGGAGAGGGAGAGAGTGGGAGTTTTTGGAGTTGGAGTGAGGGGTGAAGGGGTAAAAAAGGTGGAGTGCGGAATTCCTGCGCTATTTTGCTCCACAGCTTTGTGGAACTTCACCCATGCGCCAATCATCAAACTTCAATGAGGAGATACTGTACCAGTACCTTTCCCAAACAACGTTATAACAATATATTTATTGGGGAAGTATATGTTTCATTCTGATACGGACATAGAGGGTGACAAAGCAGAGCCTAGAGGTTCTCTCAAACCCGTTCTGCAAATATACATTGAGCGAAAGCGGCGAATCGAAAGAGAAATTAACAGCGAAAGGCTAAAACCAGGAAAAAAGAAAGCGAAGGATCCTCAACTTGAGTTGGAACTACGAGGCCAGCTAACGCTAATGATGTTCCTAATGGTGGCCGTTGTTGGCGAGCAGCCTGGGCAGTCCTTCGCTCCCTCTGGAGCCTCAATACATCCATCCATTCATAGCGTTCACATAACACTTCATCGAGGCGGCTGCGCCAAGGCACCATCGAGAAGGGATCCCTTCTAAGCCATTGGTGATAGAACCGTCAATGCCACTAGTCAGTCGACAGCCTTGTCCGACGGCCAGGCTGGTTCGAATCCTTTTCAGACCGCAAGGCTAATCTGAGCTTGATGCGGCGCAAGTTTTCCTGGGTGCCACCGGTCAGTACGCATGAGGCACCGCCAACTTTAGGCACCTACAAGGCGGTCTCACCGTCTGCGCCTCCTATGAATGTTGGAATGTTCAAGAACGAGTCACCAGGGCTCTTTTCTATTCCCTGCCGACGTGGCGGTCTGATAGTCCCCGCGTGGTACATAAATAGGTCTCTTGTCCTTGACTTTTTCCTAAATGAACTCTTCTATCTATTAAGCTACGACATACTACTTCAAAGTGATCAAAACCACTTCAGCTAATCAATAATCAAACGATGGACGCCGACGCCCTAACACGAGCTATGCAAAGCACACACTTGGACGACACACCAACAACGGATGAGCCTGGTCATTTGCTTTTCAACCCTTCGGAGGATAGTAGGCTTCCGACCGGAGCCCTTGACAACACCCCCCGGTATCTCTTCCGCGTCGTCTCTCCTCTTTCCGATGGCCACACTGATTCAACATGGGTCCGGTCCAAGGCAGCGTGCCAGAACCTGCGTTCCAGCCAGGAAGATATCTTCGACAACCTTGATTCCCAGAAGCGTCATGCTGTTGCGCATGCACTTAACCTGCACCTACGGTGGTGGTCGGAGGATGGCGTCGCGGACAATTTTGTCTCATGGACCAGCTCACTCCTCTTTGCACTGCAGTACATCTACTACCGGCACCATCATAAGTGGGATGGGTCCAGCTTAGAGGATATCAATCTATATGTCGTGGACACCACGAGCTTTCCTCGTGGGACATTCCTTCGTGACCTGGATTTGATGCAAGCGTTCTTTGACCCCAACGACGAATCACGGGAGGGGTTGAATAGCTTCCGAAAGCTCCGAGAGGGGAGCTACTATTTCGGCGAGTACCTGACGCAGGGATCGTTGAGGATCACGGATAAGCACCAGGTAGTCAGCGCCTCGTCACTGTTCCAGGGAGATCTCCTGCAGCGTTTACAACCTGTTCTGCCTGATATCAGGGACTCTCCTGGCGAGGAACCTCCCTTAGCAAACGGAGTGCGCGATCTTCGCGGGCAGATATGGCCTGTCGGTACCTTTGATCCGGCATCTGCGGAGGAGATGAGACGACGTCTGCTGGCAGTTGGGGAAATTACGAAGCTATTCGACGACGAGTGGAGGTTCCCTCTGGCCGTGTACTTTGCAGGCCTAATCGGGCCGGAGGGAGAAGGTTGGAGCGCCGGATATATTGTTTCCAACGCCCTTCAATCCGTATACTCTGGTAAGCTCAAAACTTCCCGACTACCTAGAACGCGGTTGACCACGAGTGGGCGTTGTAGACGAGATCGGCAAGCTTGAACGATCGGATTTCCGCATCATCGCGCCGGAGACAATGCCCGAGCTCGGCCGGGTGCAGGAGCTGATTAGCGATATATACATGGACTTTTTGGCTAGACGGTCTACAGGTTCAGTCATCCTCTTTTTTATTCTTCTGTCCCCGTCTGGACCACTATAACCTCGGGTCTGCTAATCCGTAGTAGAGATCTTGGCGAATGCCAAAATGCTCGTTCTCCATCTAAGTCCTCGGAATGTTTCGACTCTCGAAGATGCGTTCCCCGCTACTGAAGGGGCGACTATGTATACCCGCCTTGTTTGGACGCAGCTAGCACAATTTGCAAATATTCGTGCAGCATGTGAACAGATTGTTGCAGTACTTGACGACTAGGATGAAAAACAGATTCCCCGAACCGGGGAAGGGTATGGAGCAACGGCGTGTTCTGAGCCAGGGCTTTATCCATATTGTGTCATAGGACGGAATGGACGATTCTTGGTAGCCTTGACAGACTCGGGCTCACAGGTAGATACTAGAACAAAATGTGAGAGGATATATATGGCCCCAGATGTTGACCCTCATGATGCCATCTTAATGGAGCTTTGAGTGATGTATTGTTCAGCGAGACATATTCATATCTTTAAGTGGCTGAAGACCCTAGCCTATTGAGTAACCTTGTCAGATCTTGTAATCTACAATAGTGTTGATTGAAAAGAGCTCTTGTGTGCTGGTTTACTTGACCAAAATGTTCTAGTTGTAGCTATGATAAGAAACAGTAGAGACTGTTAAGTTTACCTTTGATGTCGTATGGTGATACACCAACCGGATGATTAATTTTACCTTGCTAGTATCTGCAACTCCTAGTGGCAACTGTGTATCCGGCGCATGCGAACCCAACAACGGCGCCACGACCAACGGTACCTGCGGCCCAGACTGGGGATATACAACGTGCAGTAATCCAAACTTTGGCTCGTAAGCAAAGCTTCTCTCCCCTTTTTCCTGGTTCCATTTTCCACTCGATTTTCCTTTCCGCGTCCTGCTCACCCGGTCGCAAGCTCGCTGGCGCTTTCTTTCTTTGTACGTACCAGGTGCTGCTCAATCAACGGGTACTGCGGCAACGGCAATACTTTTGTGGGCCAGGACTATGCTACTCCTGGGACTGTGATCCTGATATTGGAGGCGCGATCATTAATGGAGAGTGTGGCCCTGGTTTTGCGGGGAACAAGACTTGTACTGGTCAGTTTGGAGACAGTTGCCTGGTAAATGGGCACTGTTGGAGCTCTGACGACTACTGTAGTGCTGGTAATTGTTACTCTGGTGCTTGCAAGTCTTGACTCTAGGGGTAGTTATAGTTGTCTGTACATTTCCACCTCGAGTTTGGATGGACGAGAACTTGACTACTCCGTAAGAGTGTTTGTAGAGACATAATAGTATTGAAGACGAAAATTTGGAGTCTATATGGAAAGCAGACAGATGGAAGATCGATTGATTCGGGTAGCTAGTGATAATGAAAGAAAGCTAGATACACAAGCAGACACGGGGCGGCTGGCCCGATAGCAGGCAAATGACTGGTCAGGAGTAAAGGAGTAGGACAGGCAGTTCCAATAAATATCCTCAGATCCACGTCCGTGAGTCATGGCCAAAATTTCTACTAAGCCACGTGATTTCCAGGGATATCTCCACGTAGCGACTTGCCTTGCCAAAGATCCCTGAATTTTATCACCATTCTTTGTACTAGTTTCCACATCTTACCTACCTACAATTCATATCAAACCAGCTCGGATACTCATCCGCTCCATCTCGATGGCCACCTCCGAGCATAACCAGTCCTCGTCAACCCCAGCTCGTGCCCTCCCTGGTGGGTGACCGCGCATAACTGAATTCAGTCCGGTTCGTGACCTCAGCCCTGGTACTATGGATTACGAGCGCTGTGCAGCACTCCACAACCAGCTCCTAACCAGGGCCGTTCAAGGCCGTGGGGTAGAGATGCCCTCCAAACCCCTAACCTGGTGGGAGGCCAGGGCGCCTTCTGAGGAAGTTGCCAATAGTCTCCACCCGTCCTTGATCGAGTTTCTGAAGCGTGCTTGGGATGAGGCCGTGCTGCCTCCTTGGTCTGTACTTTTCCTCTATCTTGGAGCGCTGAAGAACCCGGATGGCTTGCGGGATGGTATGGATATGTATGAGGATGAGGATGAGGATGGAAGGTTTATCAAACTGTATTAGTCTAGTCACTTTCGACTTGGAGATGATGAGGGTATTCTGTATGGGTTTCTTCCTCCCTGATGAAGCAAGCCAATGACCTGCAGGCGAGGCGCGCTGATTTTCGAGTTATTAGGTTTGACCAGACGACTCTAAAAGCATGCTTTATCACCGATTATAATGACAGCCCGACCGTCACCAGCCGCGAATGGAGCTGGATGCCTCTGGAAGTGATTCTTGATTCATATCTTCAAATGATCGATGACGAAAAGGTACAGACGATTTCCGAAGATCAGGCAAAACTCGTCAAAAGCGACCCTAGTTGTTCAGTAGTGGACCAGTGGATAATTCACCATTACACGAATACAGACCTAGAACGTGCAACCAATGCTTTCAAGCGTCTGGTGCAAGCGATTGGATCTCGAATCCCGCACGAAGCCGACTCGACTCCCATGAACTTGCCGTGGCATGATCCAGCAACATTTTTAAACCAGGACATCCTCCCGCCTTTCTCATTTGCGTACAAGTTCCTCAAGGCCATTTCCAACTGCAAAGTTCGATTCCGGTACATCGCACCGGGCATCCGATTCCCTACCGTCGCCGAATTTCAGGACCAGCCCATCATGGACTTTGTTACATCGCCATACAACCATCACGGACAGTTCCCTGGCAATTGCCCTCTGCGGATCTTCCAGATCGGCGATGCCGAGCACCAGCAGCAGCTAGTACCGCATGATGAGGCTTTCGGCCTCCGCAATATCGCCGCCGGACTCTACTTCCGTCCTGTTGCGCAGCGATGGCCACTCTTCTGGACCAACGGATGTCGACTTATACTACCTTATGAAATTGGGGGCTCTGGATGGGCTCGACAGTCAAATGGAGAACCGTTCGGGTTGGAATGGTATTGGGGCGGAGACGACGTGAAGCCTCGTGATACCCATGGGGACTTGTATCAGGGCGGGACTATAAACGGGATTACGAACGATCATTTGGTGCAGATAGATAAGGTGCTGAACAACTGGGCAGATCGGGTTGAGAGGGGCGATTGGGAGGTGGATGAGAATGGGGTCGCCGGGGGGATTGACAAGTTTCGAGAGGCCGATACGGAGGCGCATTGGCATAAGTATTGGATTCCACCGTCGTGGTGAGGGTTGCATGTAGGGATGAACGGATATATATAGCACTAGATATAGATATATAGATCTCCTCCGCATTTGTGCTTGGATAATCCAGGTAGATATTAGTTCCAGAGCTTGAGAACAAAGTATGCCTTCCTCTCTACTCATCGCCGTTCCTATATCAACACACTGATTTCATCAAGTCCCTCTTAGGAAGAAGCTACCTAATATGTGGACGAGACCCATTCCTGTAACATATTAAACGCGCCACTCCTTCAAATACAAGGACAGCACGTGAATCCTGTCCTTGCCCTCAGGTATCCCACCCTACAATGGTGTATGATGGACAAGGTGATGCGTCCTGTTTTACTTGGATAAGCAGTCTCTAATGTCGTAAATGTAGCTATGATAGGGAACAAAATACAGATCTTGAAGACTCGAGTACCTCCGATGGGTGTAGAAAAAGGAAGAAGAAAAAAAAAAAAAAAAACAATGATTGTCCCTTTGGTAACGCACTAAACGCGCCACTCCTTCTTCAACTGATCCTTCCACGCGTCAAACTCCATCACCTCACCATCAACAAGCATCTGCCCCTTGCCAAACTCCTTTGTCCGCTCCGGGATATACAAAAACTCCTTGACATGCTTCTGATTACACTTCTGAATGCCCATTGTCCCTCCCTCCAACAGCTTGAGACACTCTGCACAGAACCCTGTATCCATGCAGATCGGACAAAGCGACATTCCATCGATTTTGGTCACTGACCTCCGGCACGGTCCATCACACGTCCATGCCGTGTTATCCTCGGGATCCTCCTTTTCGAAGTTGGAAATTGCCTGCGCGAGCGCGGTTACATTCTTCGAGTCACCAGCTGCGACCAGCGCGGTCATCAAGTCCCAAAGGCCGGCAACATCGTTCTCCGGGTCATCATCGGAGAGAATCTGAATTCCCCGTTTTATCGATGGTCGGAACTGCGCCTGCGCTTTTTCGATTTGTCCACTCAACCGGTAGTACACGCCGAGACAAATCGCACGGGCACTGACAATGGTCCAGATCACCGAATCGGCCGAGGCCTGCGTGTTGGCGAGCTTTTCCAGCTTGGTCGCTATGGCAGTGGCTTCGGGTGTGCCCACTCCTGCGTCGAAGGCGTTGCAAAGGTACGCTCGGGCAAGTTCGTACGAAGCTCCGAGTTTGACGACACCAATGGCGGTCTCGTCCTTGGACGACGGGTACAGGGTCATGATCTTTTCCCAGCGCTTCACTGCCTTGGCCTGGTCCTTCATAAACTCGCTGTAGATACGCGCGATGGCCAATTCCAGCCGAGCTGCAGTGACTGTTTTCAGAGCCTTGCGGGCACCTTTTGCGGCCGTTCGCCAAGATTGGACAAGGAAGTCAAGGTTATCTGTTGCCAGAGCTGCGTCGGCGGCAAAGATGAGGAAGCCCTTGGACTCATCGCCGTCTGGATTGTCCCATATTGCCTGCGTTAGCTTGGAGATATCCTGGTCAGGCACGGGGGAGTCTGCAAGCTCTTTTAGGAACTTGATGGCCGCAGTATGATCGCCGTTGGTCGCATAGAGCTCGAGCAGAGCGTTGGTGCAATTGTTACAATATTGGGGAACGTTCTCAAGCGCGCCCTTGATGGCCTCCAAGCGGCCTTCCGGATTGTCCAGCTGCTTGTAGCATTCCGCCATCCGTTCCAGCATGAAATGAAGCCCGGGTTTGGCGTTTTCATCCTCATTGAGACGCTCGTTCAGGATCCTTACAGTCACCACATCAAGATCAATAGCTTTCTGCCATTCGCGTTGCAGAAAGTATGTGTAAGCCATGCCGGCTCTAATGAGCCACTCATCGGGTTGCAGTTCGAAGGCCTTGGAGAAGAGTTCCATCGCTTCCTCGTGGTGTCTGAGCTGGCGCAGAACCATTGCACAGCGCCGATACCATTGCCCCGTTTTCTCTGAGTCGCCGAATTCAGCGGCTTCGATGAGCTCCTTGGCTGAAGCATCGACCGCGCTGTTAAGGCCGACTTCTGCCCCATTGACAAACCTTTTGTAGCTCCAGACGACAGCTGCGACGGGCCAAGGTTGCCATTCGTTCTCTCGTACCCATTTCTTGATGCTGAACATGGTCAATGGCTTGAAAGTTCTGACAGGGTCCGCCTCGGTAGACTTGATGAATTCTTGGTCCTCGGGTGAGAGAGACTCGAAAACCTCCGAGTTCTTCCACCATTTCTGGACTGCGTCAACATAGGCCTGCCTGATCAGCAGGCTGACACGGCCCACCCATTCGACCATGACCTCCTCCGACCTGACCATCAGCAGGACCAACCGAGCGATTTCCTTCTGGTCATCCAGCGAGCATTCCTCCGGCGTCGTATTTTCAAGATGGTAAACCCAGGTCCGCGCGGCATGCTGGAGCATCACTTCACTGTCGTCAGCCTTACTCGCGAAGTCCTTGTCCACAAACAACCGTAGGAGTGTCTTCAGCACATGCGCCTTGGCGTCATGATAGTGCACGCCAACTGCAACATGACCCTCGCCGGCAGACACCTTGCCTTCTGTCTCGTCGCGGAAGAAGTCACCTATAGACGCGTGACAAAAAGTTGCGGTGGTAGTCTTGCTATCCGAGTTGAAGTCCGTAAAGTTATCAACGTCCTCAAATGCTTCTTCTTCTTCTTCCTCCTCCCTTTCTTCTTCATCATCCGATGCATCGAACACACCCGGCTGTCTTGACATGTTCTGCAGTTCCGCCGTTGTGAGTCCATCCTCGCGGTCGAGAACAAAGAACGAAGCAAACTGCCGGCGCAGTGCTCCTTCAAGGTAAATCATACCATCGCCCTCGGGTGACTTTAACTTCAAGATTGCGTCGATCTTTTCCAGAGTGAGTGGCTGCTCAGAGCAAGTCACCCAGGCTAGAATCTCGTTGAAGTACTCGAGCTCCTCGTCATTCGAGGAGGCCGAAAAACTCGAAAGGACATGCCGCAAAATCTCTTTGAGGCCCTTGGGCGGATGCTCTAGCGCCTTGCGCATGCTACCTTCATTCCGCTTCTTCACGAGCTCCTGGAGCATGAGATTCACCCAGAGGAACATCCCCTCTGCACCAGCAGAGAGTTTCTCGACAAGCTCTGCACGCAGCTTGGCTGACACCCGGCGAAGGATAGGAGACTTCTTGATGCTCGCTTGGATATATGAATTGATATCCCCCGAATTCTTCTGCGTCGTCACATAAATCGTTGGCACCTCGACCTCCAACCCCTCCAGTAGCTGATCGCTAATATGTGGTCTCCCCACAAGGGCAATCTGGAGTCTCGACTCCTCCGTCACTTCGTACAAATCTCTTGCCAGGCTTAGAAACGTCCGTCGCTCATCATCATACGCCTCGTCCACGGCGTCGAAAAGGATATAGACACTGCCGTCGACATTTATCTTCTTGATGAAGTACTCGACGAACAAAAGGCGCCACGCGCCCTCGAGGGTGCTGATCTTCTCGTGGCCCTCAATGCTCGCTAGGTATTTCTGGTAGACTGGGTCGTTTTTGCTGATTTGGAATGCAAGGTCGCGAAGAGCCTGATGCAGAGACCGTGTCTCGGGGTTATCATCCTTGAAGAAAAAGTATCCCACAGAGACCATTTCCGTGCTCTGCACGTGCTGCGGGTACCTATCCTTGAGGAAGGATATGATGTTTGCCGAAAGGTATGATTTGCCTGCACCAGGATTGCCGGAGACAAAAATCACCGGTGTATCCTCCCTCTCCAACCACGCCTTGAAGACATTCTCCTCCCTCACCCAATCTCCCGTGCCCGGGATCCGCGCCTTGTGGATCTTATCATACCAGTCCTGCGCGTGATCGACTTTGGACGGCCGCAGGACCTTGAGAACATGCGCCTGTAGCGCCTTCTCCCTCTCCTCACTGCTCTCCGTCTTCCCCTCATTAACACTGACCATCAAACTCCCCAGCATTTCCTGAACTTCGCCCACCTGCACGCTCATCTGGTTCACAGTCATTCCCGTCTCAAGGACCGTCGCGTTTGTCGACGAAACCGTCACCTCGATACCATCAACCACCCGCCCCGTTCGCTTGGACTCCGTCAGCGTCTCAGCGCCGACCAGCGCGTCTTCGACGCCGGTAAGCTTATCGAGTTTCCCCATCGCCGCTTGGATCGCATCGTTGTTTCCGAGGAGGAAGTTCCGGGTAAATTTGAGGAGGCGGCCGCGCCGGATGGTTTTTGTCGAGAGCGCGAAGATTTCGATGAGTGTCACGAGGATGTCGCTGAGTTTCTCGCCGAGGTCTGCGCTGATCGACTCGCGGCTGTATGTTTTTAATCGGATTGTGAAGTCCTACCATATACAAGTCAGTATATATGCTCCTTCGCCGTCGCTCAGGCAAGTCAAAACCCTGCCCCGACCCCGAGTGTGGGTAATTACCTTCAAACTCCCCATCAACTCCGAAATGGCATCATAACTCCTCGAAACGCCCTTGGCTGCACTCATAAGATACGTGACTGCCCCAAAGACCAAACTCGACGGCGGGAAGACCATACTCGCTCCTCCCGCCGCCAGACTCCCGAAGAGCTCCACGGGGATCATCGCGGTCTTGAGCACATCAAAAATGACGCCGCGCTTCTCGCGAAACTCGCTGAACTGCGTATTCCGGGCATCGATTTCGCGCGTTAGGTCGTCGACGTTTTGGAGCTTGGCCAGGAACGCCGTGTCGAGTTTTTCGTCGGTGATTTCTTCATATTTTGAGATGGCGCGCGCGTATATTGCGGGGATCTGGGCGCTAAAGTCTGGATGTGGAATGGTCATCCTGATCAGTGCGCTGGAGATAGAGTGGGGGAATTGTTGTTGTTGTGGATGGTGAGTACTGCTCAGGTACACAGGAATTACCCCGCGGGTATGACGAACCTACGAGGCCTGCTGTCGCCTTATGTATCGCGGGACAGGACAGGGAAGACCATCGGGCAGGCGACATGATTCGTATTGGGCGGCGAATCAAGTCTAAAGTATCGTGTGATTCCAGACCAAGACCATCTTTCCCCCTCAGCCCTTCAGCTCGGCGGGGTAATGAGCGGGACTTATCGCGTTCGCGGTGTCTCCATTCGACCAGGCTAGCGGGCTGTCCGCAGGTGCGTCGGCTAGGTGACTCTGAGGCACTTGGACCCAATCTTGGGAATCCTCAATTTACACGTATTGGATCTTGGAAGGGCCAGACCATGGGGCAGAGAAGTGGATTAAAATTCTTATCAATCATCATCATCAGACCCGCCAAAGACAAAAAGCGGACACGGACCGAGGTATCACGAATCAATGCAATGTGCGAAGTGCGAACGCCAACCGCCAACTGTCGACGCGATTTACAAACCAAAAGAAAAAAAAAAAAAAAAAAAAAAAAAAAAAAGCCGCGATAACACTTATTTTGGCTCCGGGGCGACATACCCAGTGCCAATCTCTCTCAACTCGGCGTTTTTCTTCTTCTGTCGGCGGAGGATAAACCATGCTGCGAGCAAGATCAATGCCAGACCGGCAACTCCTCCGACCACGCCTCCCGCAATCGCTCCAACGTTTGGACCGTCGTCTTCCGGGTTGGAGTCATCTGTGTGCGCGGGATCGGGTGTAGTGGTTGTGGTTGTGATAAAGGTGGAGGTAGTCGTCGTCGTTGTCGGGGTACGGGTCGTCGTCGTCGTTGTGGTATCGTCGGTGTCGGTTGTGAAGTCTTCGTCGGCCGGTACTACAAACTCCCGTTAGCGATCAGATGATTCGCAATGGAGAAGAATACATACCGAGAGTAAGCTGTGTCCCGACGAAGCTTCGATAAAGGGTTGTTGGATTGTCCGCATCCATGCACCAGGCCATCGTCGCCGACCATCCGTTCGAGGGCTCGGCCTGGTACATGGTGGTTTCGACGCATGGGTTATTGTTTTCACTATCCGACCCGTGTTAGCCGAGGCCTTCCCGGGTAGACAAGGGGCCCCCACCATGTATAGGTCGTCCCATCCTCGTACACCATCATACTCTGCTCACATCTTTGTCTGAAGTCGCAGTTGCCGGCGCTTTCGGTCGGGCAGCAAACGCCGTATGTGCTTGAGACGAGGAACTCGTATTCGTCGCCGCAGACGATGGTCGCAACGGCCGTACCGGAGGAGTAGTATCCGACGACGCTGAGCTCGTTTGGTGCCGGGCTCCAGGTGGAGGTGATGGAGCTCGCCGTGAAGCTTACGGTGCCTGACATTGAGGTGGACGACATCCTGGCGGTGGTGTGACTTCGTGAAGACCGAGTATTCGAAGGATGGGCGCTCGAAGATAAATTCCAATATTCTCGAATCGCAGTCAACCGATCTTCACCCACGACCAGGAACCGTTGGAGATAGACGTGAGGAGAAAACAGAGTTGGAAGCCAAAGATCGGAAAGTGCAGCCCACCTCCTGAGGCTCGCTCGTCCACGCCCCATGCCGCTGGACACAGCCTTTTGAGTTCGGCAAAAACAACCAAAATTCATGAGCGCTTCTGCATCTCTCCGAATGACACCATCTCATTGGCTGTCATTGCTCCATGGCGTGGACTAATCTCTCAGGGCCTCGTATTCATCCTGCGCCAAGCACATTTGGACCAGTGACGGTGCGACGGCTGGTCGGGCGCTTTTGTCAGTTCTGTTGCACTGCCAAGGGTTGCGGGCAATGCATTGCACAAGTTACATCTGTACAATTCTGACAGGTTGTGGACATGGTTGTGCGCAACGTAAGGTGAAACAGACGAGGCTGAGTCGTGTCAGAGTGAGCCCGATGCGATGGGCCTGTGGCTGGGTTGTTAACATGGTAGCCACCCAGCACAGGCAATAGACCCGCTCCCGAGGGAAGGATCAGCAGGGTCCGAATAGCATGTCAACGCCATGGCGAAGCTCGAAGACCGTCAGCAGTTGTTTGCCGACCACTCCCTTGGCTTCGATTTGGTGTTTCCAAGAAACATCTTCACTTTTGATAATGCAACCGAGTACCGCCACGACGCTTGTTCGAAGTTCGCATTGTGTGGAGGGAGCCGCAGGAAATCCGGCACGCGGTATGGGTACCCCCCATGCTTGCACATCTTTTTTAGCCACAGAGTTCATTCAGTCGTTCCGCACTTCCTTTAGCATCAAGAACGCCCAAGTAAACTTCATCCCGGACTCGTCGGCTTCCGATTGCAAATCCCTTTTATCTCGGTTGTGCCAACTGCTATTGTCCTCGACCACTACGCTCTCCGGTCGAGGAGTCCTTGTTTGCCAATTCGCGAGAATATCTTCCACCAAGTAATACCCTGCGAATTTTGACTTAAGCGGAACGTCCCCGCGGAACGAGTTGTTGATAGAGGTGTCCAAAATTGGGGGGTAGAGCAGGTTTTTGAGCTCCTTCGTGGAGTGGGATGAGATGTCTCCACGGGACATTAAGGCTATGAAGTTTATCGAAAGAGACAAACGAGCCAAAGCTGCAGTTCATCGTAATGACCTGACCCCCAGCGGATGATATTGTAAGGTTCTCGAGGTTTGGTTTAACTTGCGCCAGCGCGTCGTACAGGATTTTGCGGGATACACGCAACTCCGTATCACCGAGATATGGTTGGTAGGATAGTGTGTGTAAGTCTGGGAGGCGAACAAGGAGGCGTTTCAAGTAATATTCCTCGATATGATGGCAGTCCAGTGAAGTGATGGGAAGAGGAGACGTAAGTTCATCAAGGCACTCGACGAAACTCCCTGAAAGTATGACTCGCGCGTGGCGTAGGGAAAACGGGTGCATGAGGATGGACAGAGGAACCGAATGTTCTTCTTCATAGATCGAGAACTCCTCATAATCCAGAACGCCAACCGACCATGGCCGCGCAAGAGGAAGGGCATTTGCCGATTGCGGATTTCTGACGAATATGGTATTCTTGATGTACTCTTCGTGTATCTTTAGGTGGCTGACATTTGGAACATATGACAGAAGAAGAGCTGTTAGAGCGGATGGATCCGACTCAAGGAGCAGTTCCCGTCAGACATCGAGCGCCACAAGAACATTCGGTGTGGAGTCACATAAGCGGCCTATGTCGAAGAACTCCTGCGCGTCGAAGTCTTTGTGAGAGCACTCCCAGCAGTAGAATGAGGAGATTTCTGGATATGGAGCTCAAGGCGCCGAATCCGATGCCCAAGAGCCGGTTATTGGAGATCGTTCTGAGCAATTGATAGAAACTCCGGGGGATATGATATTCCCCGGAGATTCTCACTTCGCGATAGAGGAGCGATTGAGCGAGCTCTGCGAAAGTCTTACTTGCCTGGGCGACCTGGGCGACAGGAGACGGAGCGGTGGACGGAGGAGAGGAGGACCTCTCTCACGAGCTCGATTGGGAGTGTTTTGTCAAATCGCTCCACGAAGGCCGAAGACGAGTTGTGGAGCGTGGAAGCGGGGAAGGAGCAACTGAAAAAGCTTCACGGGTACACCGCGCAGCGCCATCCGCCAATCATCGCTTTGCTGATTTACCGACCTTGCCTGATCCAAGCTAGCGTCTGGCCACTATCGAGTCTTGGCGCCGACCGCCGTCTCGAACCTCCTTCCTGTTTCGGAAGGCCCCTGGTTGACCAGGCACAACTTTGCCCTGTGCCTGGGATAAGTCCGTTTATGTGTGTGCACTTGGGTAAAGCATATGCCAATGCGCGCGTACTCTGGCGACAATCTGAAGCTTGGCTGCATCGTGCTTCCAAATCATCACCCCACCGATCCGATCCCTCGGAAGGAGGGCCGGATGGGGAGAATCAGCCGGCCAATAAGCTTATTTCGAAATAAGGATCGACAGGCAACTTCGGGTGGTTTCCGGGGCCGCTGCTGGATCCGGGATCCGGAGGGGTTCCCACTGGAATGGCTCGAGACCAAATTCAATACTCCAGGCACAGAGCTATTGTCACGGGGAGGTACAATAGTCCTCACTGACGGGTACGTATGTCCATCTGGAAAGTCGTCAACAACGGGTGGCTGACCGCTGCAGGCCGAAATTGAGTTCCCGTCCGCATGGCCCATGGCCCATGCCGTCGCCATCACTATCACAGGCACGTGTAGATCGTGCGCATGCAGATCACCAGGCTAAGCAGAAATTTGTAATTCTTCCTCCAACACTGGCCCGCTGCCCCGTCTGGTAGAGTACTTGCGTTGCACGACAATCAGGCTCTGACTCGCGCTCTATATCAGGGACTCACTTCGCCATAAATCTCGTTCGAATCAGCAGAAACGTCCGCCCTACAGGTCCGCCGCGCCGAGAGAAGCAGACAAGACAAGACAAGACACATTCACAATGAAGCTCTCAATACTCGCCCTCGCCGGCCTCGCCTCGGCAAACATCCACATCGGTGCCCACCTCAACCTACACGGTCTCCACGACCTGCTCGACCCGAGTAACTGGAAATCCGCCGAGTCGGGAGACGCCCGCAGCCCGTGCCCCATGCTCAACACCCTCGCAAACCACAACTACATCCCCCGCGACGGCCGCAACATCACACGTCCGATTCTCGTCAATGCCCTCACCAAAGTCCTCAATTTCAACCCCGAGCTCGCCAGCGGGCAGTTCGATAATGGGCTCCTTGGGAATCCAGAGCCGAATGCGGATTACTTTGATCTGTATGGCACCACCATCCACACCACCCGCCCACCTATCTTTTCGATCTATACTAATCCTAGTGTAGCGACATGCTAAACCAACACAACACACTCGAACACGACGCCAGCCTCACCCGCCAAGACGCCTACTTCGGCGACGCCAACACCTTCAACCGCGCCGTCTACGACCAGTCGCGCTCCTACTGGACAGAGGACACCCTGACCGCCGCCATGCTCTCCAACAGCAAGGTCGCCCGCATGCTCGACTCCAAGGCGAAGAATCCGACGTACACCTTTACCGCGCAGCAGGACCAGATTAACCTCGGAGAGGTTGGTGGGCTTATCGCGGTGCTTGGGAGTATCGAGGAGGGGACTGTGAGGAGGGATTTTGTGGAGTATTTCTTTGGTGCGTATACCGTCCTCCTGCTTAGTACTATCGTTAGGTTGGATGTCTCCAGGGGTCAGCTGGCTAATATGGGTTGTATTTCAGAGAACGAACGCCTCCCCACACCCCTCGGCTGGAAGATGCGCAGCCAGGAACTCACAGCCGACGACATGGCCAAGGTCTCTGGGATGATTTCCAAGGGCACAACCCTTACGACTGAAGCGGCCGCGGACTCTGGTGCTGCGCAGAGGAGGAGGGCGTACTAGGTCTACCTGTCGTCTCTCGGATAGATGGCAGTTTTGTTAGTATCTCTTTTCAACCATAGAGCTAGTTTAATATATTATTCATTACTTCTATGATATCTGCCGGTGGTGCGCATACGACAGCAGCAGTAGTACTGAAGTAAGGGGTCCCTCAGCTACAATAATTTGAGTTGTATCTGCCTATCCCCCGTAGCCCCGAGTCGAAGAGCCACACACAGAACAACCAACTGCGACCCGGCTAGGGTAAGCCACCCAGCCGCCTGGCCCCCGCCAAACAGGATCTCGGACCACCATTTCATGCTCCAAGGCGGAATAGGTGGGAACAAATTTGGCATGTCAGGTGGAGGTAGTGTCGTTGGTAGCGGTCTCATCCGCACGGCCTGCGAACAAGCTAGACATATCCATGCGATCACCTGGAGTCCTAAACCTAGTGTGCTTAGATTGCACGGGTGATCTGGAAGACCATCGCGTGGTTGGGCAAGCATGAGCTTGATCTGGGGGATGAATGCCAAGAGGGAGGTAAGGAGACCGGTTATTTGGACTGGAATGGCATAAAATGCGTGAAGGACGATGGTGAAGACGTTGTCCTCCTCTTCTGTCAGCTGCTTGAGCAGCCAAAGGGCGCATGGGAGGAGAATTGCTGCGTGAGTGATAACAATCGCGAGGGTCGCGGTCGTAGACGGCGAATCTGTCTGGTACGTGTCATTGCGAAACGCTGCGTAGACACCGAACAAGATGATAGCTGCCACCCAATGCACCAAGGGTTGTAGGTACACGACGAGCGAAGAAAACGCGTTAAAGCCCTGTAGCTCCCCTTGACGGAAGCACTTCCAGGCCGATGAGCTGGAATAATTGTCTAGTCGAGCAGCCAGGTGTGCAGTGGCACTGATTGTGAGCAGAACAATATACTAGCCGGATATTCCGGCAGTGCCTCTGCGGTCGTTGACGATCCGGATGACTTGGGGGATGTAGGAGGCGGCCACGAATAAGCTAATGAGACTAAACGTTCCGTCGGTTAGTGTTGATCAGTTGATCGGATGGGGATAGGAGAGTATCGAATACAGATCAATCGTTGTAGCCCTGGGGTGTTGGGCCTCAAGGGCGCAGAGTCTGGAAGTCATGGCAAGTAGGCGGTGGGGGAAGGGGGGGGGAGACGGCGGACGGAACAGAATGGAGTGCCCACTTGGCCTCTTGTATTTATATCGGGTGTTGGTGATTTCAACGCGGGAAGCGGGCAGATTTGGCGGGCTTTGCAATTTCCAGCCAATCCCAGGCGCTCCTTTGGCGCCAACTCGCCGCCACAGTCCAACGGGGTCGAGGTTGCGGTGTAACCCAGTCAATCAGGAGGAGTTCAAGCCTTCAAAAGGGTTCTTTCTCGTTCTTTCTCGCGATCCCAATATATATATATGTACTGAGCCCCACCGAGCTATTTCCTTTCTAGGAAAATGCAATCAAGTCCCGTCCGGGTCTATAGCCTTTCTCAAGGCGCGAAGGGACAATTCCGCGAGGTTACAGGGGTGGGCTGAGGGTGTTCTGCCAGCTCGATTCCTTGCTCTTCTTCTTGGGCTTAAAGGGCCCCTTATGCAAGCGGCGAGGTCGGATTGGTCGCGTAAGCAGTCGATATTCGCTCGCAGCGGTAACCTCTCTTGGCAAACAGCAAGATCACAGGCGCCATAGTCATGGCAGCCAGTGAGGACAATCAATGATGATTTTGGCTGACCGACAATACCTAGCCCTATCGCTTAGTTGAGGACGCGCTTTGCTACAGGCTAGTAGTGCAAGGTGCTACGACCACACCTTCAGCAACCACCAAGTTACGATAAATGAATCTAAACTAAAATAAGAGAGACACATTCAACAGCCACGGAAATATACTCAGATTACCGCCATATTCACAAGTCTGCTCATGGAATGGCGTTTTAGAGGCTCCGCGCCGTGGAGTTGGAGGTTTCCAGACTGCCAGATTTTATTCCAAGGGAGGATATCTGTCTTTACCAATAAGCATTGAGATTTGGACTGAAGTTCTAAGCGCGGTTTCAATTGTATACTATTATACCATCTAGGCCTAGGCTTCAATGCTGTCCACCAACGGGTCAGGAAGCAACTTCGTCTCTCTTAACCCAGCGATCTTGTATTCCAATCTTCACCCTGTTAGCAACTAGAAACCCCGTGCGAAACACGCGGTCCAGCAAAGAGACTATTTGAGACCGTTGAGCGGGATCTCGAGCCCGGGACCCTGCAACTGTAAGCGGGAAGAACAGCATCACCCCTGGTATTTTGTACTGGGACAGTATTTGCTCCGCTAGTTCTAGGATTGCACTGAGATGATCGGAAACGTCCATAGGGCAAAGTACTGGCGCTGGAATGTTGTTCCAGTAGGGAAAGTAGTCAAAGTTGCCCGAGAGAAAGATAAGCAGAGCGTGGTAGTATAGCAGAGATAGATCAATGTATCCATCGAAACAACCCTGCGATAGACGTAACAGCGCCTCTGTGTGCCAATTGTATATTGTTGCTTGGATCTCGAGTCCCTCTGTTGCAAGTATAGTTATTGAAGCGTCCGTGTACCGGTCTAGTTCAGGAACAATTTTAATAAGAGAACGGGCTCTAACCTTAATGTTAGCAGCGAAAAGGCTATTTTAGGAATTTCAGGGAAGCTTACCGCAAGCTAAAGGCTGATGCCTGGATCATTAGGCTAGTGATCTCCTCCATAGGCTCCCAGCGCGTAGTGATATCCGAATCACTGCATACATGTAATTGAAGCCAGCATTGTTGGGAAAGGATAGTCTCTTCGTTATACAACAATGACCGACTGGCTTCGAGAACACGAAACAAATCATAGAATGCCCGGCGAAGCGATGACTTGCAGCCGCTGGGTCCAACAAGTTGTAGCATCTTCGATGTTCCGTAGAGCATATGCTTCACCCAACCCTCGCCAGAATGTTCCGATAGTAGCTGCAAATGAGTTAGTGGGCCTATATAAGAACAGGGATAATATCTCGCAGCTCCCATACCTCGAAAAGCCCTAAGAAAAAGGTGGCCCAAAGCACGTCATCTCTTTGCACCACGTTCTTATCCCCTAAACACTCCTGCAACGCCACCATAGACATATGGTAGGATCTCATGGCAGCCACTTTTACCTCAACGGATGCACGCTCAACATTATTCCGATTTGCGTGCAGTGCACCAACCGCCATCACTGCCTGATGTAAGACTGGGGACGTCGAGATTAGAGGGAGTAGGTCCCAGATTATGAAAGGAAACCCCATAGTGAACGCATTATGTTGAATAAAGTCAACAAATGCATCAAGAAAGCAGGTGGCCTGATTCCTCTTGACAACATTTGTTAGACGACCTCGGGTGTCTGGCTTGCCGGGCAGGTGGCTCTGTTGGACAAATACAACTTTGTTATTAGTCTGCTGTTGCTGAACACATGCCGTCTTCTTTCGGGTACAGTATACGCATGGACTGCCTCCTTCACACTAAAACTTTTAGCAGCAGTACTTTTTGGGAGGATTTCCCAAGAATTATTGGGACTAACATACCTTGATGCGCCGATGAGCACAGGCGAGGCACCGCTTCACCTTCCTCCGTTTATCCAGGGGCCCGACGGCTCTTGTTGGAGACATTGCTATTTATGGTCGTCTATCTGGTTCGTAACCGAAACGGATATTTTCGTGCGATCAATCGCAAAGACACTCAACTTAAAGAGGCCAACCTATCAGCCTCCTATTTTGGCGCTAGCCCGGATTAGGATACAATAGAACGCAATTTCCATTTTGGGGTTAGACCCGTCAGCGCAGACAATCTACGAGTCCCTACCAAGGTCCAGAATTCATCTTCCGCCTGATAAGTTCTATTTTGAGTAATACTAGATCTAACCCGTGGACCTTGGGATCTTTCCCCGCTATCAAGTGTATATAAAGCCATGGTAGCACTGGTTGCCCTTACCATTAAGCCTCGAACCGCCTATTCTTCCAGAAGACGGAGTCTATCAAAGAACCACAATGTTCAAACTTCCCTACCTTCTGTCTTTTATGGCAGCATCAGTCTCTTCACTCCTCTTCCCTAACCCTCTTGGCCCCTACGACGTCTACCGCCAAACCACAAAACTAGTTGACACCACCCGAACCGATCCCTTCTCCCCTAACCAAGACTACCGCGCAGTCCTAACCACAATCTTCACCCCAACAATCTGCTGCACCTCCCTCCTACCAAGGCCCTACATTCCCGCCGCAACAGCAAAATTCTACACGGATCTCTTCACCACATATGGCCTCACCATCCCCGACGGCGCATTAACCTCACTGCAGCTGCAGACCTGCCCAGATCCCCCAGGCCCACATTCAAGGACCCAGCCCAGAAAATTCCCTATAATTATCTTCTCACCCGGCCTTGGCACAACTCGCCTCTTCTACACCATCCTCGCGCAATCCCTGGCAAGCGCTGGATATATCGTCGTCTCCATCGATCATCCCTATGATACGGAGTTCCTTGAGTTCCCGGACAGAACCGTCGTGACTGCCGCGAATATCACAGATGACCTTGTTCCATTGGATGTTGACACTCGTGCGCGCGACATGAGCTTTGTACTCGACCAGCTGCGCCTAGGCGCTATGGGTGTCCGGGTCAGAAGGACTGCGGATGTCGCGGTCCTCGGCCACTCACTCGGTGGTGCCGCAGCAGCCGAAGCGATGCGGCAGGATTCTCGGTTCCGTGCGGGGATTAATCTCGACGGGTCAATGTTTGGGCCTGTAGTCCACCAGGGACCTGGGGATGATGACGAAAGGCCTTTCTTGCTCTTCGGTCATGAGAATAAGACGCATGCCACAGATCCTTCGTGGGCAGAGTTTATTAATAATTGGGGACAAGGCGGGATGCTGGAGCTGGAGTTGAAGAAGGCGGAGCATTATGCATTCTCGGATTTGCCGTCTTTACTGGATCTTTTGGGCTTGGATGGGAGGCAGGTGCCTGCGGTAAAGGCTATGGTTGGCTCTCTGGGTGGGGAGAGGGCGTTGGAAGTTATCCAAGGTGTGATTGAAGGGTTTCTGGAGGAAGGGTTTTGCCAGGGTTCGCCAGAGAGGCTGCTGAATTACCTAGAGCTTTATCCGGAGGTAGAGGTCGTTAAAAAGTGCTAGTAGAAGAGAGCACTCGCTGGTTTTTTCTTCCAACGCTGAGGACGGAAAAGATATAAATAATTGGTCTAAACACATCTGTTACAGGTAGTAATTATTTATATTATACCCTTGAAGGACTATTCACACTCAATCTAGAAGCAGTCATATACCATAAACTAATAAACATGTCCAGAAAAATACATAAACAGCACAGCTTATGGCCCGGCCCTGGACTATTGACATAGACAAGTAGGCAAGTAGTAACATATCTTCAGTTCTCAATAACTAGATTAGCTCGGGCTAGGTGAAAACATAATGTCCCACTGACTCGACCACCAACTTCACCAAATGAAACGAGATAAATTTATTGATTAGATGAAAGGGATGGATCTGTAAATCTACAGCGCAATATAACCCGCACGACTACCAAGCCCAAGAGCAACACACAAAACAACCAGCTGCGACACGGCGAGCGCCAACCACCCAGCCGCAAGCCCACCCTGAAAGAAAAACCCAAACCACCAGTTCCGACTCCAGGTCTGAACGGGCTGAATCCAACTCTCTGCATTTGACGGCCGCGGCAACGGGCGGGGCCTTGTCCTCCACCCCTGCGAGGCAGCGAGGAGTGTAAATGTGATGACTTGAAGACCAAGGCTTAGTGTACTCAGGCTGCCCTGACCAAAAGGAAGACCATCACGAGGCCGTGTGAGCATAAGATGAATCTGTGGGATAAATGCCGTGAGTGAGGTGAGGAGGCCGGTTATCTGGAGAAAGACTTCCAAGAATGTGTGGAGAATGAAGATGAAGGTGTTATTAAAGGGCCCCTCCTTGTCTGTCATCTGTTGGAGGAGGCAGAGAGCAGATGGGAGGGTGATGGCAGCGTGTGTGAGGACGATGGCGCGGATGGCGGAATTGGAGGGTGAGGTCGCGCTGACGTGACTTTCATGTCGAGAGGAAGCCCTTGTACGAAACGCGACGTAGAATGCGAGCAGGATTATAGCGGCCACCCAGTGCACGAACGGCTGGATATACACGACAAGGGCGGAGAAACCATTAAACGAGCAGCGAGGTGTGCGGTGGCGCTGGTCGACAGGAGAATAATATACCAGCCGGAGATTGCAGAGTTTGTCGCTTTGAGGCTGTTAGCGATTTGGATAAGTTGCGGGATGTACGAGGCGGGAACGAGCAGGCAGACAAAGCTAAAGAGTTATATACAAAGTTAGTACTGCTATTACAAGGTTAGTACTGCTATTATGAGCGAGAGGGGTAGCCCGGTGGGATGGGAGCGAGTACAGGTCCGCTGTTGTGGCGAAGGGGGATTGAACGCGCAGCTGGCAAAGTTGGGATGGTGGCATGGTGAGGCTAACGGAGGACCATGTTCTGCTGAATGTACAAGTCAGCAGCTCGGGGTCAATATATCTCTGGTGGCACCGAGGACTGTAGCTGTCGGCTGGTGATGGTTCGATTGGAACGCTGTGTTTTGAATAGGGTGACAACGGTAGACCTTGAGCGGAGATCCAGATCGGAAAAAAACATAACTCATGATTCGGAGGGATTAGACCATGATGAATTTTTAACAGCCCTGATTAGATTGATGCCCTTTAACGCAGCTTTACTTGATCTCTAGGCCACTAATCGGCCTGACTCATATGCCCCGTGCTCGCCAAGAGATATATAGGGTGTCACCCCGCTTCCTAGCTTAGGTCCATTTTCCTCCTAGAAAAAGTCTTCGGAGATTCCTGGCCTGGAGATTTTATGTGACGCCTCGCGAGTGCCAGGGGCTCATACGCCTTCCCCAAGTCCATAACAACCTGACACGGCCATCCCGGGCATCATTCACCTCCATGCGATAGCCTTCGCTCCACCCTCTGCATCTGCTCCCTCCACCGCTTGATGGCCTCCTCCCTACTCATCTCCGGTACATCAGTGTGCGGAGCCTGGAGAGGCTGATGAAGAAGCCTGGCACTGTAATCAACCACCTGTTCCAGGTCAGTCCCTTCCGTCCCATGATCCTTTTCCCACTGTAGCGCCTTCCATATGTCACCAAGCGAAAGCGTCCTCTTCGTGGGGACAACGATTTTATACATGCGACGCCCAACCTCGAATCGGGGATCAACTCCCTTGCGTAGCAGGATGCGGAGGAGTTTCCCATCACCGTGCAGAACGGCATATCGCATTATGGTTGGGTGCGTGCCCTTCGTCGGGAGGATGGACCAGCGGTGTGAGTCGTCGCGCGCGCCATAGTCGAGTAGGAGAGATATGAGCTCGTGGTCGCCCTTCTTCGCGGCGACGAGGAGCGGCGCGTCCTCGTTTCCATTGTACGTGGTGGTTGGATCGTACCCGCGCTCTAGGAGGGCCTTGAGGATGGGCGTTCCTGCTTTGGGTGTCCACTTTCTGATCGCTTTGGCGATTGGGCCCTCGGTAAGCCCTCTTGGTCGGAAGGATGGATCGAGAGTTGTTTTGTTTAGGATGAACTCGACTGCGCTGAGATCTTGGAGGAAGATGGCTCTGAGGAGGCCCTGATACATTAGCAGTTGTCTGTCGCCGTTCCAATTGTCGAGGATGAGGTCGATCATCGAGGTGTTTTTGCCCATCACGGCGGCGCGGACTGCGAGTGTCAATTCGGCGAGGACGCCTTCGTCGGTTTCGCCTTTGATATGACCCATCCATACTTCCATTGCTTCGCGATTGCTGTCTTCCACCGCTGTCGCCAGGAGATGAGTACCCTCATACGGACCATTAAGCGTAGGAGGGTAATTGAATCGCAATAGCATCTTGATTACATCCTTGTTGCCAGACCCAGCGGCAAGCTTCAATGGCCCTAGGTTAAACCGGACAGTGAAGAGAGGTGTCGTTCCGCACTCTTTCAGCCACTTCTCCATATCAGCCAGATCCCGATCGTGAATCGCCCTGCACAGCAAAAGGCTATAGTACATCGACTCGGTGGACTCCTGCGCCCACGTATCGTGCCATCCATCAACGGGTACCTTCCGCCGATGCCTGTGAATATCGACGTTCTGCGTCGCTGCCAAGTTCCACGGGTTGAACTCGCCGAGCGCGGCGCCGGCCATCAACTGATCCACGACGCGCGGTTGTTCGCCGTGGCTTATACTCTTGAAGGCATCTAGTTGTTGCATCTCGCTCAGCCAAAGGTAGAGGTAACAGCGAGGCTGAGCGCCCGCAGCTGGCTCCATGTACCTTAGGCGCTTCAGGTACTGGAGTCTGATTTCATGTGGGAATCTCAACCATCTTTTCCCCGGCTTATCTGACGCCCGGAACTCATACATGAGGCCGTTGTGGCTCTCAAAGTCCGCCCTGTTGGCGATGATGCGGTTTGCATGGTTCTTGAAGACTCCTAGGTGGGGTTAGCTGGAGGAAGAAGCCCTGGTTTCGTATGAAGGAGGCACGTACTACAGACTTCCCGAAGCCACATCATGCTGTAGATGCTTGACATCTTGCTCACCTCCCACAGTATCATATCGAGGATCTTCTCAGGAAGCTCGGTGAGTCTCTTTGGTTGTGCCATGTCGTCGATTTGGTGTTCTTGTGGTGTACAATCTCTTGGTAATGGTAGGTAATAAGCGATCCTACAGATGGGGAGAGTCAAAATGTTTCAGGGAAGAGTGGGCATTCCGGTTCTCAGTCGGGCATAATCTTTCGGGGTGGCAGCCTTTGTTCCTTTCATTCACAGCCTAACCAACCATGGCGAGGGGTGACCGAACAAAGACATGTGAAATCATGGTTGTCAGCAACGTGTGCTCCTAATCCCATAGTGTCGAGTGAATCAGGAAATAGCGACAAATGAACTTCCTAGTTTGCAAGGCAGCATGGTCCCTAACATAGGTCACTTGACGAGGATGGAGTCCCGACCTCAGCTTGCGCAACACAGCCAAATTCGCCCGTTCGCTTGGGTGGGGGTTGGCTTCTGCCAGTCTTTGTCCCCTTTGTGGCGGTTGGTTCATCTCATGCTCTTCAACACGTGCTGAATTCTGCTTCGCCTTCCGTCGTTTGCGACCTGGGATTCAATCCCTTCGGAGTCGAAGGTAGCCTCATGGTGAGTAAGGATAAATTCCGTAGCCAATTTACCATCTCTGGGAGGGCAAGTAGACGTCTAGGGGGGGCCACGTCACTATACTTAGACCCGTGTCTGGGTCCCAAAGCTCCATACTTTATGAGTTGTGGTCCTAAATGACAACCACCCAGGACATTTCCACCGCCCCTGTTGCGATATGAACAATAATCGCATCCAGTTGAATGGAAGTCCGCTCGGTGGTCCAGGGAAATTGTCAAATCTGATCTTCAAGCCAAGATTCGGAATTCAACCGTTTCCCCGGATTCAATTACCCCGAGCTCCAGCCAAACCTCTAGAGCCAGTGACAATCTCCAGTTTATGCGGGGTTATATGTAACGGGAAAATAATTCGGACGGAGATGTCGCGAGGAAGGCCACGGCAGATATAACGCCGTCCTACCTCTGGTGTTGGGTAATCCTCTGCGAGACGGAAAGGAAATATTGTCGGTATCCACGTTCTCGAGAGTACTTTGCACAAGGCCTGACCATGCGGCTCGGATCTCTGGCCCTGCTATGGGCATCGACCGCAGGTGCCGTACAGTACATGAAATCGAAAGATTTTCGTGTCGGCGTTGACCCCGATTCTGGCGCTCTGCTGTCGATCGTACATCCCAAGGACAACGCGTCCATGAGCTGGATAAGCGGTCCGGATAATACACCGTGGCAGCCGCCTGGCAGCAGATGGGGACTTGGGTACGTCGACTGGGGAAGTCTCCACCGGACATTCTGGACTAAACCGCACATCCGTGTTGAGGATGATCGCATGAGCGCCGTGTACACCTTGGATGGATTGAAAGTCGACGTGACCAGGAAACTTGATCAGCGCTCGGGTAGTCTGGATGAGTGCTACGCATTCACAAATACTGGGGATGATCCCGTGACGCTCAACGATAGGGCGACCGAGTCCTTCGCGATATATACACCGTTCAACGATCACTATACCACGACGGAAGATGTGCTGGAAAACCGCGCACATGCACATGTTTGGGCAAACGGTGGAGCCTCCTCATGGGTGAAACTGACCCGGATGGGATTGCGGGGGCCGCACCTTGGTCTTGTCCTGACGGAGGGCGCGTTGGCAGGATATAGTGTCGAGGCCAGGAATGTGGTGACACTCTCAAACACACGGGGTTTCTTCCTTTTGCATCCCGATGCTCCGCGAATCGAGCCTGGCGAGTCGACACGGATCTGCTGGTCCCTGTTCTGGCACGACGATTGGGAGGATTTCTTCGAGCAGGGTATCGAACGGTCGGACCAATTTCTCCAAGCGGATTCATCGAGTTGGACTGCTATTGCCGGTGAAGCAGTCAATTTGACTGTGTCGAGTCGCCGGGGAGCAACCATCTCTTCTGATGGCGTGGATCTTGTGGCGGGACAGCAGAAGGGCTCCTTTTCAGGATCCATCAAGGCAGACAAGACAGGGCAGCAGAAGATCTCGTTCACCGTGGACAATGACGGGATTCAGACGAACTCCACTGTCATTCTCAACGTCGTCGCTGACGTCGATGAGCTTATTGCCAACCGCATCAAATTCATCACTTCGAAGCAGCAACTAAGTACCGACTTCCCTGATAAATCCAAGGCCGGTGCGTACGCTGTGTACGACAATCAGATGGAGGGAATCATGACATTCGACACTTCATCCGATCGAAACACCGGGCGAGAACGGGTTGGCATGGGTGTTCTCATTGGTCGCTGGCTGCAGTCCAACTCTGACGCCGAAGTCGAAGAATCTCTTCGCATCTACTACGACTATGTCAATAACCAACTTCAGGATGCGACGGGGTACGTCCATTCCTGGCCGATTGATGCTGGAAGAACGGCATCCCTTAGGCTGTACAACTGGCCGTGGGTGATGCAGTTGCATCTTCAGATGGCAAAGCTGGGTAACAAGGTAACAACCAGCCATGGCAACTACACGGCGACTCCTAGCCAGCGACTGCTGGATACGGTCGAGCGGTTCTACGTGCAAGACGACGCGAACGACTACTACCCAATCAACGTACCGATCTACGAGACGCTCACCTACTTTGAGGAATCGGGGAACGAGGAGGCAGTTCAGCGTCTCCTGGCCCTCTGGACAGCGCACGGCAAACGCATTGCCGAAGTCGGACAGAATTACCCAGCATCGGAGGTAAACTATGAGCAGTCGATTGTCGCTCCCGCAGCCATCATCCTTCTCGAGCTGTATCGGTATACCCAGGACCAGGAATGGCTCGACGCAGCACAGGGCCACTTTGATCGTCTCGAAGCATTCAGCGGTCGACAGCCAGACCATCGTCTCCACGATATCGCCATCCGCCACTGGGACGGGTATTGGTTTGGCAAGGATCGGATGTGGGGAGACACATTCCCGCATTATTGGAGTACCCTGACGGGCATTGCGATGCATCACTATGCCAAGGCAACGGGAGATGATTCGTACCAAAGGCGCGCGGAGGGGATACTGCGGGGAAACTTGGTCCTTTTCTCCAAGGAGGGGCGGGGGTATTGTGCGTATATTTACCCGACCACTGTCGACGGCAGGAAGGGAGGATACTTAGACCCGTATGCGAATGATCAGGACTGGGCGTTGGCTCATATTCTCGCGATAAGGGGGTATCAGTCATCCGAACGCTGATATGGAGGACATTGTTCTTGGCGTTCCTGGCGAGGGGCTCGGAGGAGTGTCAGCCTTATCGCCACTGCAAAGAGAAAACAGTTTCGCATCGAGGTTGAAGTTAATAGTAAACTACTCCGTACTTACCGTGCGGACCGTAATAGTATGCCAACTCCAAAAAGAACAGCAACCTTGGGGACTTTCGAATGTTCTGGTGCAATTCGGGGCTAAATGACGTACCCGCAAACCCACAGAAGCTCGAGCTCAGCTCAGCTCGGTCGGCCTCGAATGAAATTGAAGCACGAATATCCAGCTATTCGTTCTCCTGAACAGACTTGAAGAACGGAGTTGAATGAATTGATGTAAAATCACTGATCAGTAAATATCTGAACCAGATTTGACCCAGTGTCGTCAAGCTCTGAGCTCCAGCTCGCAAGGTGTTGAGCGAGCTGGTGAGGGGCATTTTTCGTCCGGAACAACTAGGTTCCGCCACCCGAGCAGAGTTCGGAAACGACAAATAAAGACCCCTCCACCGCTCACGACGCAAGTTCTGGGAGTTTTTCCTCGCTGATTGGCATTCACCTGGAATCCACCTGCGGCATCAATAGACGAGCATATAGTCCAGGACCGCGCAAGGTAGCATGATGTCGATTCACCGGAGTCGGGTGAAGGCGGTCGGCGTGCTGACAAAGGCGGGGCAACCGTAATGCCCCGCATCTCCATCTCGAGCACTTAAAAACCCAGATCTTCTGCAACTTTCGCATTGCACCTTCATTCCACCGAGACTAGCACTCACACACTCTCTCAACCTTCAAAATGTCCAACGTTTACTTTGACGTCACTCACAACAAGCGTACGCCTCTTATTCCCCCAGATTCCCCTCCAATCTCGGTTCAATGCTAATCGAGTTTCCAGAGCCCCTCGGCCGCATTGAGTTCAAGCTCTTCGACGATGTCGTCCCCAAGACCGCCAAGAACTTCCGTGAGCTAGCCACCGGCCAGCACGGCTTTGGCTACGCCGGCTCTCCCTTCCACCGTGTCATCCCCCGCTTCATGCTCCAGGGTGGTGACTTCACCCGCCAGAACGTGAGTACCGCCAGCCATTGAGGAATAACACAGGGTGCTAAGGATTGCAGGGAACTGGTGGCAAGTCCATCTACGGTGAGAAGTTCGCCGACGAGAACTTCACTCTCAAGCACGACCGCCCCTTCCTCCTCTCCATGGCCAACGCCGGAAAGAACACCAACGGCTCCCAGTTCTTCATCACCGTACGTTGCTCTACACTTTTTTGTTTTGAATGGATCACTAATCCAGGTTTAGACCGTTGTCACTGACTGGCTCGACGGTGCCCACGTCGTTTTCGGCGAGGTTGTCAAGGGCCAGGAGGTCGTCCAGGCCGTTGAGAAGCTCGGATCTTCCAGCGGTAAGACCAACGGCCTCATCGAGGTCGCCGCCTCCGGCACTGTTTAAACTGTCTACTATCTATGACTTGATGCCTTTTTGGAGCCACACTTACTTGGTGAACCTTTGGCTATCCAATGAATGAATGTTTTGATCTAGGTAGATTCAGAATCGAAGCTTGGAGTTGGAAGACAATAACTCCTTTTGTAGATCTCAACGCTCATAGGCTGCTCTTGACTAAAAACAGGTACACAACGTTATTTCGCTCGACGCTCTTCCAATTGGGAGATTACCGCGTTCCTTGTACGTGCTGCGCAAATCATTGGAAACCTCGTCGTGATGGCTCTATTATTCGTCGCTGCCAGCCAAGTGTTCCCACGCCTTAACGGAGCTCGACGCCGAGCCTCAGGAGCCTCGATTAAAGGAAATTTATCCCTAACCGACACTCCTCCGTAGTATACGACACCCTTCCAACAGACTATTGCGGCTCCCAATCGCAATTGGCCCACTGCGACCCTGATCGACGTTGGCCCCCATGCGATACTCTGCTGCCTGAGGGAATCTCTTTGTCTCGGATATCTCCAACACTAGTCGGACAGGGATATAGACCAATGTGATGCGTTTCTCATTCCACGGTGCTGAGGCCAGATCGTCGTTCAAAGAGCTGCTGGGCCTGAACTGGCTAGATTTTACGAGATGAATACCTCATACGTGTCTGGATGGGCGATGCATCCCTTTGAATGCGAACAGATCGCCGACTCACGATTCTGGACTGGGTAATTGCTAGCGTGATGAGGGTGCTTTGGAGCAGTCCGCGAGGTATAAAAGGCCCCGGAACTCACCTCCTCCTCTTCCATCCTTCCATCATCCAACTCCGGAACTTCTCTTCTGTCCACAACCAACTCTACAGCTTTTCTATCTGCCTACCAAGCAACCTTCCTATCCAATCCACCCCAACCCTCGATCTATCACTCACCATGAAACTCCTCACCCATCTAACCCTCTCCGCCCCCCTCACCCTATCCCTCCTCTCCATCGCAACAGCCCAATACTCCGGAACCATCACAACCGAAAACAGAGGCTCGTGCCCAATCCCGCTGCAATCCGGCGACCACACCGCGTTCTCCTGGTCCCCGCACGCCGGCGACACCTGCCTCGAGATCCCGCAGGAGCCCTACTACTCCGAACACTACCACGCGTCGCTGGTGGGCTACGCCGAGCTCCCTGACGCAAAGGCCCCGCTGTACTTTGGCGCGTGTACGACTGCGGAGTGTGATGAGTGTACGCTTGTTGATGTTAAGAGACGGACAGATCGGCCCGGGACTGTTGAGAGTGAGTGTGTGGAGTTTTCGAAGGAGGAGAGGTTTTTGTTTGTGGGGGGTGTTGAGAAGGGGGAGCTTTGAGCTCTGAGCTGTGAAATCTGGTAGTTTAGTATTTAGGTATCAACTCGGGATGTACCTAGCTTGTTGTAATACTCCGGTGGTGTGTTTTTCTGCTGCTTGTATACAGAGTAGGTACCTGCTATAGTCGGGGACTGCGCAATGATAGCTTGCTGTGGTGGTGGTAGAGCCTGGATCTTGATCCGAATGTATTTAGCCTGATTGCGATGTTCTGGTGGCGTGATACCATATCTGCTGCTGGTCGCGTATACGTATCGGTATCCATAGTAGTTCAATTTCCAGACTGGGCAACGGCGGGCGGGAAATGCTCAGGCTAGCGCGAATAATGAGTCAACGTTCCAGAACCAAAGTATATATGTACCATACCTACCTGGTCCGGACTGAATCAATTGACACTTGCGCACCTCAATTCCCCAGCCCATCATCTCCAATCCATTCAAAATGACTATAATCGCAACCCACTCCCGAACCCCCGAAATCCCACCAGCAACACCCCCCAGCCGGCCCGTCCTCATCGGCCGAACCGTAACACTCACCGCGCTCCACCCCTCGCACGCCCCAGAACTATTTCCCCTGGTAAACAACGACACGCCCGACCAACAAGCGCTCTGGACGTACATCCCCGACGGGCCGTACGATGAGCTGCCGCACCTGGAAAGCGATCTAAGGGCGAAGAGCGCGTCGAGCGATCCGCTTTTCTTCGCGATCCTCGACAATCGCTCGGCCGGACAAAAACCTGTGGGATATGTCGCGCTGATGAGTATATCCGTCGACCATCGCCGGCTCGAGATTGGACACGTCATGTTCTCGAAGGCGGTGCAGAAGACGACGGGCGCGACGGAGACGATCTTCCTTTTAATGAAATACGCCTTCGACACACTCGGCTTCCGTCGTGTTGAGTGGAAGTGCAATAACCTCAACGAAGGCTCGAAGCGCGCGGCGCTGCGATTGGGGTTCCAGTATGAGGGGTTGTTCCGACAGCATATGGTCGTCAAGGGGAAGAACCGCGATACGGCGTGGTTTTCAATTGTGGATGGGGAGTGGAAGGAGAGTGTGAAGGAGGTGCTGGAGACGTGGTTGGACGAGGGGAATTTTGATGGCGATGGGAAGCAGATTAAGGGAATGGAGGAGATTAGGGAACAGGTTAAGATTAGGCTGGAGGAGGAGAAGGGGGAGTTGGAGGAGTTGAGGAGGAAGATGGCGCTGTGATGTGTATTCAATGGCTAGAAATAGATGGCAATGGTCTTGATATCCTGCATAGCTGTGCATTTGCATAAATCGTGTATATCTCAACAAAGAGCAGAACACTTAGAGCAGAACACGCGAAAAAGCATCAAAAATTGCACTGGATTACCTCACGATGAAAACACCACCGATCATCCTCAGCCCCGAGAAAAGCCAAGCTACGGGGGACGATCTGGACAAAAGGATAAAAACGGTTTTTAACCATAAGGATGCTGTACACCGCCCATCTAACTGCTTAACTTGTAATTATTAAGCCTCTTTAAGCTTATATTCTTCCTCTTCCTTATATAATTATATAAAAATGCCTCGGCCATCTATTAACCTTGAGCCCTATAGAGAGGAGATCTCTCATCTTTATTATATAAATATTTCCTGTTAGGATATTACTAAATTACTTTATAATTAATATAGGATCTAGGTTAGTGATGCAACTATTAAACTTTATCTTTAAATATGGGGTATCTAGAAGGTGAATTATATAGCTGTTATGAACCTAGCCAAGCGGTCAGACGTTCTACCGGCAGAACATTCAGCGGTCAGAATATTATCGGGCGGATAATGTTCCTCGACGATAAGG